TTATTTTACATACAAAATCGCAAAATCCCCTTGACGATATCGTTATATAAAAATATCGTTGTATAGTAGAATCGCTATGGCCAAGGTTTACTGTAGTACATACATAGCTGATTTCGGCTTGACTGCATCTGCATAATTGCTGCAGGAAGGTAACCTGAAATGCATGTGATGGTGTTTCCAGAAGCTTTTGTTTAGCTTGCACCCCAGCTCTTGGATATTATCTTCGGATAACTAAATCGGCGTTTTTAGTCAAGTTTAATAACGTAAAGTAAGAGATGACCTCTATTTTAGAGCCTTATATAAGAAAATCGCGATCCTAAGGGACATAAGCTTACCAAATACATACATGCATACGCCCAGGGGTATACACTTATGAACAGATATGCTAGATATCTGTGTAAGTGGACAGTCTGTACCTATATCGTCATTTCATGAAAACCCGCGGCGTTACACTATTCATTTTGCGTCCTCCCCGACCCCAGTCGTCAAGATTGACTTGGATAGGATATGCTAATAGCCTGGTCCCGGCAGGCTTGACTAATGGGTCGGAGAAGCCTTGATCTAACCCATGTGGCATGCTTGGGGGTTCCCGTGCACGAGTCGCTCTGAGGCGTAGCTCGTTAATATTTGCTGTCATAATGGTTACATGGAATAAGGAGTGAGATCTTTAACTTTGCTAGGTGATAGAGACGATAGATTTCGCGCTCGTTCGGGAAAGCAGTACGACATAAACCGGACAGGTTTGTCGTAGTACGGTGACTATGCTGCCAGCCTATGCTGCATAGTAGCAGTGCTAACTTGATATGCCGTCCCCACGTCGACTTTTATTTTATTTGATTGTGAGGCGCTAGCTGAGCTCATGGGCTGCCGGGGGTATTTCTTGAAGAAACCGAGCCGCGAATGAATGAGATTACCAGAAACTGGGTCTTCGTGAATGAATGGCTATGACCCCGGGGAGAGGATACTCTTGATTCTAGAATTGCCTTGCCTTGTTATTTAATTAAACAATAGCAGGCGCCTCTGTACTGAACCATGTTATCTCGTTTTCTTTCCCTTCGCTCTTCGTCTCTCTTAGCTGGTGTCACTTATGTATTGCATTGTGTCGTATCGTCTGTACGTACGCCAACACCGATTTGAGCGGATTGTGACAAACGCACGAGTTGTTGCTTTTTAGTCGACTCTGGCCGATTGTAACAGTCCGAGACTGCCGAACGAGGCTTGGAAGCAAGCCGGTTGGACATCGACAAGCCCTTGAGGTATCTTATTACTCTACCTTCATTTTTTATGAATTATAAGACGAGGCTCGTGGAGTGAATCAGCATTGTGTCTGTTCGCTTTGTCTGTTCGCTTGTTAGGATCCAACTGTAGAGAGTGCCGGCCCCTGACCTGCGACTACGAGACGAATCTTAAAACTCGCCAAGTTCGTTCCCTATCCTACCTATGGAGTTCGATTAGTTTCTTTTCTCGAGAGAAACAAAGTGGAAGGAACAGGATTCGGAGTGAATTATCGAGGGATTTCGATATATTCGATTTAAAGAACGGATGTCAAAACCGACAAGGTCTAAGGATCTAACGCGACTCCAAATTTGGTTCGACCCACTCGGTCCCTCATAAAGTCAAATGGTGGAAGCTTTTCGCATGTCCCTTGCCGGTACTACTGCATACTAAAAGGGGAAGTGTTACCTTGGGTACCTACCTGAAATTTCATTAAAACCGAATTAAACATTGCATAAGGTTCAGTGCAAGTGGAACATTCGGAGGTACTGCATTCGAAGGAGTTGCGACGGACGGGTCGAAGCAAAATCTAGCACCCATAAGCCGTAGGCGTATGAGAAGTAAGGTACAGCCGGTACTCGATACGTGACCAGTACCACCAGTACGTAGGTACCTAGGTATGTAAATTCGCGTTCCCCCCACCAATCAAAGCACCAATTAAACCTGCACGTCTTCGTCCGACACGCCAATTCCTCTCCGTCTCCGACCACATACGTGTAATTCCATTAATTCCATTCCCAGAAAAATAGGAGATCATCCACTGTGGCTGCAGAGAGAAACAAGGAGCCCATCACTTGTGTCTGTGCAGTGCAGTAAGAAGTGGGCAACAACACAGACAGTTGCTTCATCTGAAAAAAAAGACCAACGAGGGATTCAGGGATTAAGGAAACGATAGAGAAAACAAGGGCCAAAAAGAAAAGAAAAGAAAAAAAAATAAGTGATATATACCACAAGGGCATCATCTATCACCTATTTTGGGTAAATGACAGGCCCATCTGGAGCCGGTCCAGCTGCAACAGCACCACCAGATGCAGCAGCAGCAGCGACGGCGCCAGCTTCTTCATCACCGAACGACCAAGGCCAAGGTCAAACCCAGAACCAAACCCAACATCATATCACCCGACCTGCATCCGCCTCTTCTCGCCAATCTCCCATACCGACAGCCTCCGCTTTTTCGGAGCCAGGATTGACTAACCTTCAACAACACAATGCCGCCGACCCATCGATCCAACTTTTAGCATTTTCTGACGTCCCGTCCGATTTAGTCCAACTCAAACCCATCCCGGCCGACAATAACGCCATCACCGCCGACATTATCAATAATTCTTCTACCATCAAGGCTAAAAATCACCAGCCGCGCAAACCTTCTCCTGGATTGGCTGCACGTCTCAAGGCCCTAGGCTTCGGTACTCAGAGACAATCCTCACCTTCCGCCTTGGCACCGAATCACGAACACGTCGGCCGCCTGCCAGAGGACCAGCTACGCTTTCTTGATCTGAAACACCAAGCCAATTCAAGCGAACTAGTCATCGAACGACGCGGTCGGCCTTGGAAGGGTGCCGGTGCCCCTCTCCAGCTGTTGAGATCCAAATCTAGTCGCGACTCATTTCGAAGAAAGAGCGCCGCGAGCGAGGAGGAGAAGCCATCACCGCCTCTCTCTGTTCAGGCCGAACCAATTTCTAAGCCTGAGCTTCTGCCTGAAATAACTGAAGCTCCACCCTTGGATATGGACACTAACAAATATCGATTGCCCGACCACACGAATGGAAATGGCACCAAGGCGCAGTTGGACACGCGTAGGGAACATCTCGAGCGAGACCTCCCCGTCCCGACCCTAGAAGTCGAAGATTCCCAAACGCCACCTCCCGTCCCAGCCAAGGACACGCCGCCCGGGGGCACAGCTTCTGCTGAATTTACATCCGACTTGCCTTCCTATTTCAATCCTCTAGGGCTTCAACGGCCGGGGTCCATATACACAATATCTCGTGCCTCGTTCGCGAATCAACTAGCTCAACTTACCGCACTACAACTACCTGATGCTGAATTGCTATCAAGCAAGGTTGCCGCCATCCCCACCGCCCAGGCTGCAACGAAAGCCCTGCTAGGTGCTGCCGAACAGATACGGAGCTGGATCTCGAAAGCCTCCGAGGTTATCGGAGGTCTCGATAGCGACGATGATGTGGAGTGGGCAGCGGCCGGTGGCCGAGAGGGGTATGAAGAAGTGGAGAATGCCATCACGAGATTCGAAGGGCTCATCAATGTCTACGTCACCGCGATCGAAGCGCTACAGAGTCGGCCAGACATTGCCAACGTATCTAGCGATGACCTGCAAAGAGCAGTGACACAGATGGAAGCCATTATGAGCGAGTGGTCAAAGATTCGCTCTACTCTGAACAACGTTAAAGGCCAAGTTGAGACAGCCATGGAATGGGAAGAACTGTGGAACATGGTTCTCGGCGACATCCAGAACGAAATGGACGAGTTGAGCCGATTAATATTTGAAATGGAAGAGCGACGCCATAAGTCTATAATGGCAGTTTCTAATGGAGATGGTGTTGACATTGGCGACCTGGAGACCATCGTCGAGGAGACGCCGCCAGCCGTTATGCGCAATAACCGATACAGCGTTCCATCATTCCCGCTCAGCCCAAGCTCTCCGGGAACTCCCACCCTCACCCAGGATGACTCGAGTTTACTTGCGTTATTCGCAAGGATGCAGCCGTTGAGGGCATCACTGGACTTTTTACCTATGAGACTATCCGTGTTCGAGGCAAGAGCCTCTGGTGCTTTCCCGACAGCTTGCGAGGAGCTTGAGATGAGAAGAGAAGGCTTAGAAGCCAGCTATGTGAAGCTCGAAAAAGATGCCGAGTCTCTAAGAAAGGAACTAGGGGAGGACAAGTGGGTCTTGGTATTTCGCGGTGCTGGCAGGCAGGCCCAGAAAATGATCGAGTCCGTGGACCGAAGCATGGGTAAGCTGCGTGAAGCTGTGGACCAGGGGTTGCAGCTCTCGAGTCCTGCAGCGATGAGTAAGAAGATCGAAAGCTACGAGGCGAAGAAGATACATTACGGGCCAGCGATCGAGCGCGTGTTATCCATCATTGATAAAGGTGTCAAGGATAGGCTTACCGTTAACGGTGAAGTCCTTAGGCTACATAACGAGTTGCAGTCGAAGTGGGCAGAAGTAAGAGAGTCGATGGCAACAATGAGTGTAGTCTTGGAGGAGATTCAATCTCAAAAGCAGAACCAACAGCTGCGGGATTCGATCTCAAGTATGCTTTCCATTGACAGATCTACTGTTGCTAGTGGCAACGATACTCCGGGAAGTTCGCCTCCGTCGTCGGTCGTCATGTCCAGCCTAGGCCTGGACCCGATTACTCCAGCATCAAAGAACAAGAGGCGTGCCACTAGCGGCGGCAGTCATTTGCCTCAGCCCTCAGCGGCCCGCAGAAGTAGTTCAAGTTTAGCTCCCCCGCCTTCACGACGACCCCCTGGATCTAGGTATTCCACATATCAATCGAGCACTTCCAGCTTGACGACGCCACCTCGAAGTGGCAGTGCGACACCTATGGCGACTCGGCTTCCAAGATCTACTTCCAATGTTGCTGACAACCGCCCTCGGTGGAATGCGTCCACGAACACCAACGATTCTGATGTCGGGCACAACTTCAAGCCGCTTACCCTTACTACACCTAGCCCGTACGCCAAAACTCCTAACTCTACGCACGCGTCTTCTTCCATAACCCCAACTTCCAGCGCCTCTAAACTTCCCCTTCGCAGTCCGTTGGCGAGGGCGACTTCGTCATCACCAATGCCCGACGATACGCCTCCTAGGAGAAGTACCTCTCGACTTTCGTTTCGCGATCGTATCCATGCTGCTGCTTCCGGACAGCCTCCTGCTAAACCTCGTTTTGTGACACAAGTATCTAGTTCGGCTCTCGATAATCGAAGATCTTCACTCCAACCGCCAAGGCCAGGTAGCAGCGTTAGTGGTAACTTTGGCGGCGTTAAGCAGCGGCCAGCTAGTTCCCTGGCCACATCCAATCGACGTAGCAGTTTACTTCCCCAGCCCAAATCGAGGGCGGAGGATGAGACTGGTCGTCATAGCCCGCATGCTGCGGCCGCTGCTCGTGCCGTTATGCGCAAGGGTTACAGCATGACGGAGTCGAAACAACCGAAAGATAACAAACCTCGTTGGCACTTTTGAGTGGCACACGCTCGCTTTCATTTCTAATTTCCGATCCGACTTGCGGAGGGGTCCTGTCGCTCCCCGTATAACTTTCCTATTTGTTGAAAGTCTGCTAGACGGACTTCATCTCCTTGTGTTCGCTTCTACTCCAATGATACCACGAAGGACTGCTTTTCGAAAGTACCAGAATCTAGGTTGCATAACGAGCTTGCGGCCGGCAATTAATATCGTCTGACAGCAGAGCAAGCAATTTTTACGCATAGCAGACATGTCTTCTTTCCTTGCGGTTGGATTATTCATCACACCTCTCCATTGTTCATTCCCGCCCATAACCTTTTGACGCGGAAACGAAGGGCGAAACGCAGCATGGCGAAACTCGCGGAGGTTGGGCCCAGGCGTTCTTGAGGATATTCATTTTTTTGCCATCGTCTCCAGGTGTTCCTTTTTTCTTCCAGCAATACGGCGGTCGTCATGGAAACGGTCCCAACTCTCACAGTGATACCTCTTATTTTATGTCTTTTTGTCGTCGTCGACGAGCCTACTATATTTTACCGCAAGCGTTATTACAAGGAAGGACTGCACGCGAGCGACCAAGCTAGCGCCCTTTATGATACGAGCGGACAGATTGAGTATGGCGAGAAAGGGAGAGGCGAGTAGGACTGGGGAGGAAGAGAGAAGTTGAGAGGAGACGAGGGGATCTGCCTCTGTCTTCCCCATACGTGGGAATATAGATGGTCGGAGACCCCGAGATAGGCGAGGCGAGGTGCTGCGTTGTATGATACGGATGTTCTTCTGCCTACATGCATAATCCACCCCATCGGCCGGCTTTTTTTGGGAGGCCTGTGGCAAGCAGTAACGTAGGAAAGAAGGGAGGTCGAGATAGGAAAGATGCATTTTTGGAAGGTCTGAGCGAGAGTAGGAGACGGGAGATGTATAGTCCATAAATTTGAGAATTGGTATCAAAACCATCACACTCAAGAAGAGCTGAACTTGGACGCACCGCGTATTGTGTTTGACATGTGATGGATGAGTCTTAAGCTGGTTAAGTGACGTGATAGGTGATAATGTGTTCAGAATGAAAGTCGACTGTTGGATTCTCGAGATCTTTTGCAGTAGAGTGGATGGGTAGTAGACAAGGTGGCTAGACAAGTAGCCGTGAGGTATCCGTTGGAATAGATGATATAGTAGGTGATATTGTAGGCACGATGTGTAAAGCCTGACAGGGACGGGACAAGTGTCTATATCCTGATATTTCAGGTTGGGCATGGTCCATGTAGTCACGGCTGCTATGACACATCTGACACCTGACAAAACTGCAGAGGGTTTATAAGTATAAACAAAGCACAGACTCACATGACAAATCAACCCATAGTGTAGTGGTACCAAGTGGTGCTTCAAGTGAAGTGAAAATCATGAGCAGTATGTGTTGGTCTGTCATTTTTGCGTGGGTTCGATTCACATTTGGTCCTACCTTTTTTTTTCCCCCTCCCGTCATTTTCTATTGTTATTTTATAAACAATACTCTAGAAATACTTCAATCACCTCTTTTCTCTATTCTATTTGGAAATACTTTCTATTTGCGTATAAGATTATCCGGCCATATATATTGGAAGCCTAGATATTTTTCTATTCACCCTTATCTACCTACCACAACACGAAGTAACACAAGGCAATTCAAGACCCCGTACCCACGGTCTACGGCGAAGCTGCCAATCTAGACAACCCAGTCAATCCAAGAGGACACCTAAAGCTAATCAATGAACACGCACATACAAGCATCACCAAGAAAGGATATGATCAGATATGGTTGTAATATGCATGTAACTAGGTACTGTATGTCATATATAAATATCAAACGCCTGCCCCTGAAGCACTAAGTCTCCAAAGTACGCCTTCGCCATCGTCTCCGCCTGTAGCCTTAGCCATGCCATGCAGTAAATTTAGTTAGTTCGTTCATCCAGAGCCATATGCAGAGAGCGTGATAATGTTAAACGTAAAAAGCGGGAAGTGGGTATGTAGCAACAACGCGCACTCGTTCCAAAGACCTTTAACCAACCCGATTCGGCTCGGCTTGACTCGAGCCGTTAATACTGCATGAGTCCGATGCCGCTATGGCTCGCCCCTGCCCCTTGCGACCTACCCCCTCTACTCGACTTCGCCGTCGATCTCGACGGTCCCCCGAAAGCTGCGGACGACGTGCCAGCTGTGGTCTTGCGACTGCCGGCCGTGGCCTTCTTCTTGACGCCCCCGTACGCCTTGCCTCCTCTGCTAGAAGCCCCCGACGACCTACGCTGAAAGGGCTTCTTCCCTCCGCGCCATGTATTCGCTTTAGCCGCGCGAGGCGCTGACGATGTCGAGCGTGCGCGGGATGCCGTGGCTGTGGCCGAAGCTCCTCGCCCCGTGCGCGCGGATGGGCCCGGTCCCGGGAAGTAGGATGATACCGCGCCCTGGTCGTCCATGTCGTCGTCGTAGCCGACGTCTTCCATTTCCTCGTCGCTCGACACGAGGTCCACCACATTACGAGAGCCGGATGCCGGGGCGGTGCCCCCCATGATTTCCTCATACCGGATGTGATATTGCCGGATTAGAGGTATGAACATATTGCCATACCTATCTACCTTATCACCGTTGATACCCGGGATCAAGCGCATTCTATCCAGCGTAATCGTCCATCTTATGGCCATCTCGCGGAGGTGCTGCTCGGTGAAAATAGGGGTGCGCAGATTCTTGGAGTTCCGCAGGTTTTCTTCCAGGTCCTTGGCTTCTTTGAGAAAATTGCTGATGATGTCGTCGTGAATATCAGACAGTTCGGCGTCATTCATCCGCGCATCGTGCGATATTGGCGGACCTAACGACTTTCGTTGTGATCGACTTCTAGACTGAGGAGGCATCGTCTCAAAATCGTCATCGGTATCATCAGGTACAACAAATCCATCTTTGGCGTACCCATTGCTGAATCTAGAATAGTCCTCGTCGCTCTCGTCGTCGTCCAACATCGCCACTGCTTTCCCTTTCTTTTTGCGATCCTTGCCCAGGATAGGTGAAGATACATTGGTGGATGGGACGTTGCCCGAAGTACCGCGCTTCGTCGCGGCAGTTGACGGTTTGCTGATCCGTGTTTGTCTTTTAGGTACACTGCTCTGACTATCCTTGCTCTTAACTCGGGTAGTCAGGAGAAGTTTACGTTGGCCGTTTAGGAATGCACGTGCCCCGTATCCAGCCTACAATGAGATGGTGAGCAAAATCAACAGCAGACACAAACAGAATACTCACCCTAAAGTACTGAATAGCAATTCTAGCCTTGTGGTTGAAGGCATTCTCTTCACTTAATGCGCCCTCAGCAGCGAGTCGATCAATGATGCGATGGATCTCGTTTTTAGGCATCTGCTTTGCTATTCCACGGTAATGTTCGGTGCCGCTCTTATATTCTGACAGCTTTTTCTTCCCCATCAGGAAATCCGTGCACTGGTTGAGCGTGAGTTTCCCTTGAGACCGCACGATCTCCAGGACGGCTATCGCGTATTCACTGAAGTCCTTTTGCTCGAATACATCGTTGTTTAGGCAGTTATCGCAGCCTTTACCGCATTCCGCCTTATCGAATGTCTCTCCAAAGTAGCGGAGGATCTCAACTCGGCGGCAGTCGCTCTGGTTATCGCAAAAGGCTGTGACGGTGTTTAGCATATTCCTCTGTCTTTCCTTCTGCTCCTCGCTGCCGTCACCATCTGTGATGAGCCTCCTCATAGAGGTAACATCGCCGTAACTAAAGTATAGATAGCATTCGGACGGTAAGCCGTCTCGGCCGGCACGGCCGGTCTCCTGGTAATACCCTTCGAGACTCTTCGGGATCGAGTGATGGATGACGAAGCGGACGTCAGGCTTGTCAATTCCCATGCCAAAAGCAATGGTCGCGACAACGACCTTAACCTTCCCGGCCTGCCACTGCTTCTGGACTTTCGCTTTTTCTTCGACTTTTATGCTCGCATGGTAGTGCTGGGCTGCTATACCATGGCCTCGCAGCTTCTCAGCAATCTTCTCTGCTGACTTCCGAGAAAGAGTGTAGACGATGCCTGTCTGCCCACTGTATTTTGTATTAATCAAGTCCGCTATACTTTCGACACTGTCCTTCTCCTTTCTCAAAACTTCGTAGTAAAGATTAGGGCGATTGAAGCTTTGAGAGAACTCCGCACATTCTTCAATTCCTAAATTGTGCTTGACGTCCAAGATGACATTCTTGGTTGCAGTGGCTGTCAAGGCCATGATAGGTACACCAGGATAACTGGTTCGAAAACTGCCAAGTTCTTTGTAATCTGGTCGAAAGTCATGGCCCCATTGGCTAACGCAGTGAGCTTCGTCGATGACGAGACGAGCGAGCTTCTTGTTGCGATAGAGTGCTCTCAGTCCGTCTTGGAATTGGGTGCTCTTATTGATCATTTCTGGCGTGACATAGAGGAGCTGTAGATGAAGTTCCGGGTTCCGTTCCTGCAGCCATCCTAAGATCTCGGCACGGTCGTGTGCGCTTTTGTCACCACTGAAAGAAGCTGCCACGATATTCAGTGCGTTTAGATGGTCTACTTGGTCCTGCATCAAACTGAGAAGGGGGGATACGACGACGGTGACACCATGCGTCTTTCCACAAGTCACGACGGCCGGAAGTTGGTAGCAAAGAGACTTTCCACCTCCCGTAGGCATCAAGACGAAAGCGTCCTTGCCGGATAGAGTAGCGTCAATCGCCTCCAGTTGATTATGTCGGAAACCGGTCATCCTAAACCTATCTTTCAACGCCCTTCTCACGTCTTTGAACCATGGACGATTCTTAATTTCGCGTGGGATCTGTCCTGACTTTAAAGGATCTGTCAGTTTCTGGATGGCTGTTTTCTGAGGCCGTACCCCCACATTGCCCGACGTTTCCGAAAGAATAGATCGCTGGGGCCTAGGTTGCCTGCTTTCCGCTGATGACTGTCGAAGGTCAAATTCCTCTGCAAACTGGACCATGTCAACATCATCACTATAATCACTCTGGTAACCCTGCTGACGGGTAGATTTTGCCTTAGTTGGACTCTTATGTGTCCTGACGCTCGCTGATTGCACATTTGTTGCCGTCTTCTTTGCTGTTCGGCGACTAGGCGGTGGTAACGGCTCCTCGAATAGGCCATCCTCTTCCTCAAAGTCATAGGGGTCCGGTTCCACAGTCACGGTTGACTTCTGACGAGCCGGGGTTCTTGTCAGCTTGCTGCTACTAGCTATGGTAAAAGGAGGCTGATCTTCGATCATTTGATCGATATCGGGTGAAGAAGAAGCAACCCGGCGACGGTGCCTTCCCATTGAACTCTGCGGCAAGGATGGTGGTTCAATGTAGTCCTGTTTAGGAATTGGTAGAGGATCTATCTGTCGAGGAAGCTGGGTTTGCAGGATAACTTGCGTACCACCTCGTGGGACGAGGGTTGACTCTCGCGAGAGACTCGTCTGCTGGGTGGTTCTAGCTGGCTGTGTTGCTTGCACAACAGGGTTTGTGTGGTACGTTTCCGCATCGTGAATCTGGTCACTCTCGAATAACTCTCGATTGTCGATGCCCGCCTTCACGATGCTATCCTTCAGCGACAATTGCCGTCCCTTAAGCAAATTCTCCAATTCCTCAAGGCGAGCCTCGTCGTCCTGTGTATCCAGATCCTGGTCATAAGCATCCGTTATTCGCGCAATCAGAGCCTCCTTTTTAAGTTGGACATCCTCATATGATCGATATTCGCCACAGAGCTCGTCCAAGGCTGCTTGCTGCTGCGCAAGCTGCTCTTTCTCCCGCCTAAGCAGGCCTCTGGGTGCGAGTTCCCCCCTTTTTAGGGCATGCGTGTAAGCATCCTTATTTTCTCGCAATTTCTCTTCCAGAGATTTCCTTTTCCTCTCAATAACGGACGGTTGATCTAAGAATAATTCAAGGATAGCGTTTTTCTCCTTGTCATCGATCTCAACGCTTGGTTCATACGGAGTTTGGGATCCCTGCGAGGGACCCGCAGCTCCTAGATCACGATCATGATCTCTCGTTATACCAAGGTTAGATGATAGGCTTTGGTCAGGTTTCCGAGGTGATCGATGTGGTGTACGTCTTACGCTAGTAGCTGCTTGTCTTGGCTTCGAGGGCGTGTCATAGGCCACGACAAAGTCATCATCTTGAGATACTCGAACAGATGCTCTAGGGCGGTTATTCGAAAGAGCCGTACTGCCTGGCACTTCGAAATCAGGAGGACTCATTAGTTCATCATCAGAATCCTCGATAACTCGATCATTGCTCTTTAAATCCCGTGGCCGTTGGGTCATCTGTGCTCTGGGAGTCTCGGGAGCCTCCGAAGACGAGTCATGCTTAGAAAGGATGGCATCCCTGGTCTCAACGGGTGTCACATCGCGCAGAGCCTTGTTCTTCCGGGATGCCTTGAGGGGAGATTGCTTTATAGTGCGCTCAGTGTCGAACGGCGAGTCATCGGAGATTACCGTCTCCCTTTTCACTCGACGAGATGTTTCCTTCTTGGGCGAAGGTATGGGCTTCGATGGCGTTCGAGTAACCTCGGTCTTCAGCTTCGATTTCGCTGGTGATTTCGTCGGAGACCGTTTTAGATGGGAAGACACGACCTCTTCCTCGGACAGAACTTCGTATATATCGGGGAAGTCATCTGCGTCAGCGACAGTGGTAGCAGGTGGTCGACTGATTTGATCGCTTTTTCTTTTTTTACCTCTCTTTGGCGTCAGTGGTACTGGCCTCGAAGCATGTTCCTCCTCCCATACCATAACGTCGGTCCCAAAGGCTACTGAGTTTTCCGTAGTTGTGGGAATGGGTTCCGCTCGCGTAGCATGCTCTTCGTCCCAAAGCGCAATATCAGTCCCAAATGCAACGGAATTCTCAGTTGTGGAAGCCGGCTCAGGCCGCACAGCAAAGTCTTCCCGCCATAGCCTAATAGTACTTCCAAACGCAACAGAATTAGGCGAAGTCAATTCATCATCTCCAGTTAAGTCGACGGTGTCGAAGGTACGGTCACTCCCAAACGTTGGGCCCGGTGTTGGGAACTCGCGTCGGGGCGAGGTTCTTTTCTTAGCCGAACTTGCGGTACCTATTCTCCTCGTTTAGCTACACACCACACTTCAATATTTAAAAGAAACAAGTGATCTGACCTGAGTTCTTCAACAAGGCCGCGTACTCCTTCGCAAGAGACCCCGCACCTCCTCCGTGCGTAGAAGTCGGAGTGAGTAATTGCTCCTGGCGTAAGACGAGAGTCGGTCGTTTCGAACCGGATTTCGAAGTTAGACGTCCCATGCTTTCCGTTTCCCTCTCCCTCCCTGCTACCGTTTCCCCCCGGGGTACTTGGAGAGGTTTTGCAGCCGATTTGTTAGACCCATTAGTCGAGTCCGGTTGCACAGGTTGAGGAACAGGAAGAATTGGATATAAAGATGATTCGGGAACAGGTCGACGACGCGTTTGCGGACGTAGATTCGTGGAGCGATCGAGAGAAGAGGTAGGATCGGAGGGCGATTGGTTAGAAGCTGGTGGTAAAACGGGCGCGTTTGGCGCGTTTAGAGCAACATTCGCGAGAAGCCAAGGTAAATGATCGCCGAGATTGTTTCGAGTCATGAAGACGCATTGGAACTCTCGAGCTCCATGGGAATTTTAGAAGCAATTGACATGAGAAACGAGGCCTAATGGAAAGAGTATTCTATGAAAATTGTTGTAGGTCGTCTCCTCTTGGTGACAAATGTGACAGTAACTGCATCGATAATATGCACGCTATAGAACCACGATGGACCCGCCAAAAAGCTCGAGCCATGTCACACCGAGTCGCGCGTCCAGGTGACAGCAATTGCACCGTAGGTAAAATCAATTAATTATGCCGCGCTTGTATCTACGTATTGTGGGACTCATTACGTAATTGAGTTGTGTTATCCCACCCTATAACATTTATACTCTCACTTACACACTCAATCTACCTTTCAACCAATCGTCGTAATGAAATCAATATTTCTCGGGTCATATTATACCTAAGCTCATCTCATTAAGCTTCAACTTGAGAATCTTACTCGAAAAGAAAGGGAAAGTTGGGAAAGCCCTTGAAATTTTACCTCAATCCAGTCAATACAATGCTTAATGAAGTACCATACACCGAGCTAGAAACGCCAGCAGCACGACATATTCAAAATATAACAAAATGTAGCTGAAATCAAGTCTAATTATTCGCTATCTGTCTTCATCTTATCATGTTTCATTCCTCATGCCTCATATTCCATTATCCTATATCATCTAACACGCATCTTCCCCGCTGGTCTTCCTAGGTTTCTCGGCACTGTTAAATAAATACATACATGTGACGAGCATCTTTCCGGCAGCCGATACCAAGATGGCCACCCAAGATCCAGCAGTTCGGTAGATTCCCGCACCTGCGAGAGAGCCAGCGACAAGAGTTGTCAGGAACATAGCACGCCTCGTGCGGGGTCGGTTCTGCAGTTTGAGCAGACCCGGATCGATCACCAGGTCAACCCAAGCGGCCGTGGCCATTGCCGTGCTTATCTCGGTCATCCGAAACGCGCGCGACTGTACGACTTGGCTGCCAGACGCAAAGGCTAGCAGTGCTATAGGGATTATCGCATCGGTTCCTTCTATTTTGTTGCCATGTACGTATTGCGTAGCTGCAGCGGCAAATACCAAGCACGACTGGATGAAGTTGCAACCAACGAGCCATATTCGCCGCCGCGGTCCAACGACGTGGCCTATCTGGCCAGTTACCCAGCTGCCCAGGAGGAAGAAGCCAAGGGCTGCCCCAATGTTTGCCGTTATGAACATCTCGCCGTTAAAATCGGGTAATATAATAGCCAGCATGAGAAAAACCGTGTTTCCTGTCTGGTTCGATGCGAAACAGTGGAAATCGGGAAAGGAGATGGCATCTTGGATGCCGATGCAGCTGAAATGGACTCAGGGTTAGCAAGTTGATCAGAACGTACGAACCAACCATGGATATTGGGCCAATATATACGGATGGACGTTTACTCCATGCCCAATATCTACTTTTTTAGGACAAGGGCCACTTACAAGGTCAGAATCAGTAGTTCAAATTCAACAAATCCCGACGGACGAACGGGCTCTAGCATATGATCCCATGCTCTCGAAATGATTGAGTTTGGACTGGACGGCAGGGTTGAGTCCGAACCGACCGTCTGGATGCTGTTCGATCTCTTTTGCTCGGGATTCTGAGGAGTGCCGACCTTAGGATCCGCCATGCTCTCTGAGAATTGATTGTCGAATGAGCTTATATGGCTAGCAACCAATTTTATCTAAATTTCAACAAACTTCGGGCAATATATCACAAGGGGGCAAAGTCACAAGTCACGGTCAGGCAAGGTTGGCAGGTAAAAGGAATCGCGTCCTATTTATCAACCTTTGACGGATATTCGACTCACACATATTGGAAGCCGGAGTCGGTCAAGAAAATTTAAGCGCCTTAGGTTCCTCAAACATTACCTGAATACCTTGTGAGTAGGCATGTCTTGTCCCGGCGTGTTAGCCGACAACCGCCGCAAGGAGAAGGAAACCGTAACCTCAACCGGAGTTTTGATGGATTTTCATGGATCTTTGCGACGTCACCGCTATTATTTTCCCAGCTTCCTAGATCTATGGCCGACTTAAAAGATTGCCGGGTCACGGACCCAGTGAGCCGCGCCGAGAGCCTATTTCGAACGCCTTTTGTCTGCCGCGACGCCAGCAAGATAGAAAAGTTACACGTCAACAGTATTTCCTAAATAGAGAATACGTCAGCGAAATAAGTATAACTTTGTCATCTTACTGGGTTACGTTGAGGCTGTCTATTGCACACAATGATATTATGGCATATGAGGGTAGTAAAGGGTTCTAGTATCAGAGAGCGGGTATCCATATTATAAGATGTCTAAGATGAATATAGCCAATGAGACGAGTGCTATTCGATACCATTTCCGACCTCAACAAAGGAGGCTCTGGCCTAAGTTCTTTACTTAATACCATCTGTAGGCCAAAATGCCGACTACCGAGTGGATACCCGAGATCCGTGGTCCGCATCCATCATCCCTTAACATTAAACTACGGCAACTATCCCATGCCGTTGCCGAGCTGCTAGGGTCAAGCTATGGCTACGGAAGTGGCGGCTTTGACGACCAAGATCCTGCAACTCGGTGTCGTCGAACCCTACGGAAGAGCTGCCGGCACAAAGGCAAACACTTGGCAACTTCCAGCGACTGTCAACATTTTACTAGAAGCTTAACGGTTAACCGGCAAGCTAGAAACGACTGAAAAATAGATACCTATACAGTAGATGCACACCATAAGTACACTGTTGCAATGACTAGAAGCTGGGCAATCGATTTCTTGTTTTACTTTCCCCTAAAGAACTAAATCGGAGCAATATTTTATAGAATATCATATTACGCAAGCAGCCCACGCAACATGCAAGCCCAGAAATTTCAAAATGTTTTCATCAAACTGGCTTGTATGAAAGCAGCTGGAGGCAATCTAGGATCTCCTTATGTATTGCCGTTCACATGTCACTAGGTACATAGAGAACTGTATTTCAGCCTTGCTACTAGCGGCAACGCAACTCCACAGACATGGAAGCGAAGAGTTCTGGGTCAAGCGGTGAGCTTAAGCACAGTTTTAAAACTTTCGATAAAAAAGGAGTCAGCATTTGCAATTCCTACCGCGCCTGAACCACTAAGAACCCACTACACCACTTATGAGTTCGTTCAGTTTTGTGGATGGGCTGCTTGGACCACAGCAATGATAGTGTACGGATGTGAAACGTTTAACCATTGCGTTTGAAATATTCTTTGTGTGAGAAACATAGTCGATCACGTTCCAAAATCTTAACGGCGATATTCTCTAGAAGATCGCTATTTGAAGTTTCGACCCTGTCGAGATTCTTATATGGTGAGGCATATGCATGCATTGTGGTCCATAGCACCAGGTATCGAACCTGCGCCCATCTCATTCTACAAATTTATTCTCAACCAACGAGTACAAAGCGGTGATCGATAGTAATGGCGAAAGCATATTTGATGGTGTTAAAGGTAGGTTGATGTTCGTCGTGTCCTTATACTACCAGCACATTTAGACTCATTTCATATATGTACATACCGAAACAATGAAGAGAAGAATATCCCTCTATCTACACGGTACCCTCAGTTACATGTCCGGAACAAAGTTATTCGGCCCTGACCTAGGTAAGTAAGTATACACCGAAGCATGTATAAGGCTGAAATATGACATATCACCTCTACCATCCTAGCGGTTCATCACGAGCAAATCTATATCGCACGGGGAGCTCCAATGGGATGCGTGGGGTGGCAGGGGCAGGGATTTAGGATAGGTATCCAGTGGAGCTGTCTATCGAATGATTCTTCTGGGTATGTGCTGTGCGCCTAAGGACAATTTCTCGCTAGTCCCAGCTCCCCACCGTCCTTCCCAGCATCTATTAATTACATATTGTCCGTTCGGATTACGTGCCTGAGTCATTCAGCAATGCGCGGTATCCGGAATACCACACAGCTTTTCTACTAGCTAAGTTGTAAGCAGGTTTTGTGTTACCCTGTAACGCTTACCCCCCCGTCCGTTGGTTAACCCACGATGCTGACGAGCTGACGTCGTCTCGAAGGATTCGGAAGTGCCTGTGATCCCCGGACTCGCCCCAATCTCCCGGATCTCGAGCGGCCAAGGGGAAAGTGGTTCAATACCTACAACCAGGGCCTGCATCATCACAGATACATTACTTACATGCCGGCCTCAGATCGATGTCCCAACATCCAACACACACGGTACGCATGAAGCTAAGGCAAGCCTCGTTCCCGCGGAAATCTTACAGGCTAGTCGGATTTCGGACGCTAGGCCACTGACAGCGCCTGTCCTTATCTCTAAGGCCGGTGAGCCGAAGCAGACCACAGTCGTTTCATAGTCAAAACTCGGATTTTCACCGGGCGCCCCAAGAGATAAGGCCAAGGATCTTTCAACGTCACTGTTAGCGCAGCCCAGGACAACTGCATCGTGATATCCGACGTTGGTTGGCTGTAGACCTCGGGGTGGTTCGCTATCTGCGTTCTTATTTGATTCTGCAACGACAGCGACAGCGTTGGTGCCATTCACTTACGTATATCATGGCTGATATACTGCTGCGAGAGCCATTGACCCGTGCGCAGTTCCAGGAGGATTTATAACACCGGAGATACGAAGGTTGGTCTTCGAACGTAACTCTCATTGTTATCGAGTTACCATTGAATGAAACCGAATCGCCTTGCCCAAATTCACTCTCTCCTGGTGTAACTTGGGTAATCATTCATTGAAACATTCATTGGCGACATAGTTGTGTCCGTTTCCGTGTTACATTGGTTGGGGTAACACATCATATATTGATTACCACCACCTAAGGCAGGTCGGCGCGCCTTATGCAAAGTGCCGCTATAGTCCTTAAAAGCCCTCTCTTTATCGAGACCAGTCGCGAGGTTAGCTTTGAGCCTCATCCACCTCCCATCTGATAGCATAGATACCTTGGCATTTACTCCGGAGATTGTTTCCTCGCCTAACATTTATCTCTAATTTTCTATATTTCAAAACTATTCGCGGCTTTAACACACTATCTCGTTAGTATCCGAATCGAACGTCTCCGCGCGCTATTCGGGCTCCTTCATGCCTTATCTAGGTGATAGAGGATCTCCCGCGGAAAACAATTATTCGACCCTTAGTGTGGGTGTTGATACTCAAGGCCCACTGCCGAGACGACCTGTCCGGAAATGCACAATTGCACAGCAAACCTACTCGCTAAGCCCGAAGAGTACATGTGTGTGTATAGGCATACTACAACTGAAGGAGTATAAACAATACCCCTATTGAACTGTCTGGCAGCAGTCCAAAAACCGGCTATAAACCAGATCGCCAGGAGTCGAGTATAGGATCTAGCCAAGCTGTGCCCTCCTGAGAATAAGATCGAGCGAAAGACATCTTTGGTCACATTTCTGATCGTGAGATCTCAGGGGTCCAACGCCGAAAATTCAATATGAAGTGGTCGTACCTTTGGACGGCCCCGGATGTCAACCCGATCAACCACAAAGCCCGTTCGATCCCCTGTCTAAATGTTTCTAACGTATACGGGCGAGTCTTTTTCTTCTCCTGGTGGGGGTTCATGGTAGCCTTCTGGGGTTGGTATGCTTTCCCGCCTCTGGTGAGTATTTCAAATCTGGTGTTTTGGTATCATATATCGTGTATGTTGGAAAGGGGGACTGACGTTGTTATCTATAGTTGACACATACCATCAAAAATAACCTCCACCTCACCTCCGCTGAGGTTGCTAACTCCAACATCGTCTCGTTGTGTGCTACGTATGTATCCAGGTCATTATCTCGTACGAACTTCTTTCAGCTAACGTCATGGAGATTGTTGATCCGACTTGTAGCTGGTCCTGCCTGTGATCGTTTCGGTCCTCGTTGGGTGTTCGCCGGCACACTTCTCATCGGATCAATTCCACTCGGCCTCGCGCCTCTCGTCCACGACGCTCAAAGCCTATACATCAGTCGTTTCTTCATAGGTATCCTCGGTGGTTCCTTCGTGCCTTGCCAAGTTTGGTCGACCGGGTTCTTCGACAAGAATGTCGTAGGAACTGCCAATGCCTTGACGGGAGGCTGGGGTAATGCTGGTGGTGGAATCACATACTTCATCATGCCTGCTGTCCTCGACTCTTTCGTAAGGCGCGGATACTCCGATGGCGTCGCGTGGCGTCTCACTTTCATCGTACCCCTTATTATAACCATCGCAACCGGCATATCTATGTTACTCCTCTGCCCCGATACCCCGACCGGAAAATGGTCCGAACGCCACCTTCACGCGGGCCAGAACCCCGCATCTCAAGGTAACAGCGCATCCTCCAGCCCACCCAACGGCATCGTCGATGTCCCCAGTAACATCACCGAGAAAGCAGATTCCACAGGCGGCAAGAGCATCCGCTCAGTCTCGCAAGACCAGAAGCCTCCCCCGCCGTACGCCGACCACGAAGCCGCGATCCCTCCAGAGATGCTCGAAACGGCCCGCGGCGAAGTAATCCAAAACCCAGACTGGTCCACAGCAGCCCACGTCCTCTTCTCGCCGCAGACGCTCTTCCTCGCGCTGACGTACGTGTGCTCGTTCGGGGCGGAGCTCGCCGTCAACTCCGTCCTCGGGTCCTACTACGCCCAGAACTTCCCCTCGCTCGGCCAGACGGCGGCGTCCGAGTGGGCCGCCATGTTCGGCTTCCTGAACCTGGCCACGCGGCCCCTCGGCGGCGCCGCCTCCGACGCCGTGTACCGCGCCCTCGGGCGCAGCCTCTGGGGTAGGAAGGCGTGCGTCGTGGGTTGCGGGTGCTTGGCTGGTGCTGGGCTGATTATTATCGGGTTGCTGAACCCGCATCACCTGCCTACGATGGTCGGGCTCGTGGCGCTGATGGCGATGTTTGTCGAGGCCGGGAACGGCGCGAATTTTGCGCTTGTGCCGCATGTGCATCCTCATGCTAACGGCATGGTCGCGGGCTTGACGGGCGCTGGGGGGAACCTGGGCGGCGTGATATTCGCGATTATCTTCCGGTTCATGGGCGGCGGGACGGATTACGCGAAGGCGTTTTGGGTCATCGGTGTTATTACTATCGCGCTTAATCTGTGTCTCTGCTGGGTTAGACCGGTGCCGAGGGGGCAGGTTGGTGGGCGATAGGTGGGTTGCTTGGACTGAGCGAGTTCATGTTCAAGTTTTTTTTGGTTTTTTTCCCCTTCCATTTTGTCTTTTTTCCTTCTCGGTATTAATGGATCGTTTGGGTGGCAATAAGCGTGAGCGCAAGCGTAAAATGACAAATGGTCTAGCTGGCGTTGGGGGTTGGAAGGTAGGTATGTATGTATGTAGTGTTATATCGGACAAGAAATGGAAATGGGGTAGGATGGGTTTCAGGAGACAACAAAGCCTTAATAACAATACGTTTAGATACCGAATTATGTATTTTGTATACAATTTCAATATGCCGACCGTAATCAATTCGTTAATTTAACTTGTTGTGTAGTGTTAGCAACTGTAGCATTCGGTTGTGGCTTTCAACAGTAAGTGCCCCTTTTATTCTGTACTCTTCTGCAGCTCGGACTTTCGGTATGGAGTATTTAGAGGGATGTCAATTTAGAATTCAAAAAACTACAAATCGGAGCAGTTCCCAAGGAAACACCACATAATCAGGTAGCATATGGAGTAACCTCCACAAGTAAGGCGATATCTTTCTGTGAAGGCTGTGCTCGTGAACGGTTGCATAATAGGGGAAGTACCTAACAAGCCAGTAATAACTCTGTGCTTAGGTACATACCGTGTTTCCCCAGAAATATTCCCAGCAACACAACACGTTAGGTTAGGTACCTAACTCCCACTGCTCTGGTTCCTACACTAGAAATATCAGATCTCAGACAAATCTAAAAAGCATCGCCCTCCGATCGTCGCTCCGGATTTCCCGATCCGTTTGGCTTCAAGAACCCGGCGTCGATGATCGGGAAGATCAACGAATAGATAAAAACAGAGATAACCTTAATGAAGTTACACATGCAGCCGGACGCGCGGCCACGTGGAAGTGACATATACTTAAAAGTTGACGGTTGAACCTACTTGCCTGGTTACCTTTACTTATGGAGTCTTAGTCATTAAGTTGAAACCTTGAGGACGTCCGATGTTTTACTTATTCGACCTTGGCTCTCCCTTTCGAAGCATATTCCAACTACATCTTATATAGCCCTCGACGCTGTTTCGTTTGCCATGAAACGACGTTTACAATATACCTATCTCTTATAACCGAGAGCCATTGAAAGTGATCTATCACGCTACACGTAGAAAGAGAAACATCACACGAAAACGAGGCAAGTCATGAAAGTAGTTTCAAAAGGTATATATTCAGGATGCGACAAGGCGCCGATCAAGTAATTGACAAGAAACGTGCGGGCATTATACGATTACCAAATCGCATCCGTCAAACGGTTTTACCTAGGATCCACAGCGCACAACCACGAATCCTAAGCTGTCGTCCGTATCAGACAGGCTAATTCAATTAAGTTCATTAATTTCCAATCCCCATTTTTCCTTTAGTCCCAGAGAAAACGTGAACCACGGCTTTACATGGCGAGGGCGGCGAGGGCCATACCGCCGATGAGGGCGAAGGAGCCGGCCGCGTTGGCAGCGGCGGCACCGGTGACGACGGTGACCGGGGCGGAAGTGGTGGCGCTGGCACTGGGGGTGACGCCGACGGCGCTGGTCAGGATCGTGGTGGCCGGGTAGCTGGCGGTGATGGAAAGGTTGCCCGAGGGGTAGACGGGGGCGGAAGCAGAGTAGCTGGGGACGACAACAGCGCTAGTGGTGCTGTTGACGGCGTAGCTGGCCACGGGGGCGGTAGTCGGGTAAGTGGGAGGGCTGGAAACGACGCTGCTGGACGAGGCGGGAGCAGTGGGGTATCCAACGGTGCTGGAGCTGGAGCTGGAGACGACAGAAGAGCTGCTCACCTCAGCGGTGGGGTAGCCACCGGCAGAGGCAGAGACAGAGACAGAAGCGCTTCGGCTGGTAGTCTCGGCGCCGCACGAGGGTCCTTCAATGGCGAACGGGAAAGAGTACTGGAAGACGCTGGCGTCGGCGACGGAGGCGATCTTGATACCGTAGGTCGTGTCAGTGCCGAGCGAGCAGTCAACGTTCCAGGTGAAAGAGCCAGCGGTGACGTCGATGGCTAAAAATTCGTGTTAATACTCGCATGACAGAGATATCGTCCAGCACAGGATTTACTTACTGGTCAGGACGGGGCCGGGAGAAAGAGTCGTGGGGCTGGCGCCTCCGAGGAGAGAGATGGTGGCCTGGCCGGTGTACTTGCCGGCGTCCCACTTGATGGTGAAAGCCTTGCCGGACTCGACCTTGGTGCCCTCGGTAGGGGAAGACATGACGGCGTAGCCAGCGGTCTGGGCGAAAGCCGAGGCAGCGAAGGCCAAGGCAGAGGCGAAAATGGTGGTAGAACGCATTTTGTCTGGTTGATTTTCCGTGGGATAGGAATTAGAGGGATGGGTGAATTAAGTCTACTTGAAGTAGCGGGAAAGAGTGACTAAATAAAAGAATGTAATGGGCCGTGAGGCTGAGTTTGGAAAAGAGTGTGATAGTCTGAAGGCGACTTTGGATTGTTGCGGCTGGATGGGGTGGAAGAGGAGAAGGAAGGGAAAAAAGGGAAAGATGTGAGAAAAAATAGGTCGACGATATGTATGACTGATGGGCCTGATGGGCCGGGATGGGGACCGAAGGTGGTGAGAGATGCCTAGTACCTTGGAACTACTTAGGGACCAAGCGTGGCACAGCCTGCAACGCGGGTACCTTTCCTTCGCTACAGGGTTCGGTGCGTCCACTGAGCCACTCAGAGGGAGGCTTTACATCCCCATAGTCCTAGACAGGGTCCAGTTCAAGGTCCAGTCCAAGGTTGCGGTAGGCTGGTTCGTGCCAGGCCCCATGGCGAGATCTTCTCTTGTTTCACTTGAGATGAGATAAGTATCTCTCAGCCAACGATTAGCAGCGAAGGTACATTCCAATCGACAAGAAATACACGCCAAGAATTCTTCACAGGGACTTGAGTATAATTGAGTATAAGCGTCTCCACTTTAAGGCAGACTACCTGCCTCCAAAGTCCAACTCTCCGTCATTCCACTGGTCGATCAATCTCCATGGGTCCTGAAAAAGGTAAATTACAGAACCCACAAGGTAGGCTACCTGAGCCTAGCAAAAAGTTAACATTACATTTCGAAAGGGGCAACCCTGTTTTTTTCATGCCTTTCTTGTGCCTTTTCGATCGTGACATCGGCTCCAGCAATCGCGCCGTTAGATGCGTGGAGATGAACTTAAAAATACCTACCTGGGCCAAATATTACCATCATGCGGCGCCGATCAACGCGCAAATGAGTCGTGATATTTTCTCTATTCATTTTCGGGTTCGGGTATACTACTATTAGGCAATTCACTTTGGCTTGTTACATGTTACATGACTCCATACCTACCAGCTATTTACCAAGAAGTCTCACTCCAGCTAGGTATGTTGAGGCTGTCGAAACGGCGGCGCCCGAAACGTGCTTCATTAACAAAAGGACCCGGCTACTTGCGCGGAGCATAGGGACCTTATTCCTGGCGCATTTGGCCCAGCTCGCCTGAGAGTGGAAAGCTAGCCTTCCTGCAGTAGTGCTGGGTTTTTAAGGCGCTGGGCGTTTATAGTGCCTATTAAGCGTCTATTAAGTCAGCAATAAGTCTCCATCTGAGCATCCATGGCTTTCAGCATGCCAGATCTTTGCGCCTTTACCGCCTACTCATGCAGGTACCATAGAATTGCACTATGGTCCCATACTATTCCAGTAAAAAGCTGCCATATTAATCATCAAGGAAAGGGGTGGGCTCACGCTCAACTTCGTCTCATCAGAATACGATATTTTACTTGCCCGCTTGTTGTCACACAAACATAATCTCTTTATATTGTGGTGCTTGCTAGACTGCTTCTTTTCGGATATGTATCACCAAACAACCACAACGCTGGGTGAGCATTACCTCATTCGAGCCACGAATGACGGCGTTAGGCCCCCAAATCCATATTCGCCATAGACAGCAAGCTTTTGTGACACAGGTAATACTTGCGTAGCATTCTGTGTCATACTAGCGGATTAAGCCTCCGCGCTCCGTTCTAACATGCCTATACTCATACTACTATAGCAGTGTAATAATAGACCTGTCAAGATTCGGGAGACACGGGTCGGAGTATAGAAGGATTCGGGATATCTAAACCAGGCTATCCATGATCATTCGAAATCACGCGTCTCGCGTCCCCTTGCCCTCCTCCTCGAGACCTCGTGCGAGTACCTAATGACGGGGAAGCAATACCTACATTAGGTACATAGCACTAGTAATACGCACGTATGAGAAAGTTGGTAAGAACGGGAAAGGTTTGCTTGTTGGCTGCTGCTCGAGCCATGTGCAACGACCTCGTAAGCGAAGATTACACACGCTCAATCGCATAGTCCAGCCTGCATACATGCCAAGGAAAAAAGGAAGAAATCCTCTTAGCCTTTAGGGTTTGGGCGTTGGACGACAGCAACCCCCCTGCGCGGCCGAAAGAAAGCCAGCGGAAACAGGCAAGGCTCGTATATTTTCGTCGTAGCGCCGAACCACCCCCCTTGTTACCTAGGTATGTATTTCAAGAATTAGGGACCGTCCTAGTTCTTGGTGGCAAAGCGAACTAATTACCTAGTTTAGTCACGCGTGCGAGAAGGGGGAGAAAAAGAAAGGGAGAAATGGTCTAGAATTCAGTTCAGTGCCATGTTGTTGGCGTAGGGCTGAAAGCTACGGTGGTGCAGTGGTGCCCTATGTTGAAAGGCGCATACATATTCTATACTACTACTGCAAACATACGGATTTAGAAGACAAATTCGAGGCTATGCGCAGAGTATAGCTATTCTGGTTACGCCTTTACAGATCCGGAACGACTTGTTACACCGATGTGTGCTCGAAAGATTAATATGTTCAGGGAGGACATCGAGAGTAAGCCATATGGGCATATGAGCACGCAAGGGCAGGGGCATTCGTGGGAGTGAGGTTTCACGAAAGGCCGAATAGATATTAGTCCTCATCCCACATTACTAAATTCATCGTAGCATGTGCTACTCTAGTAGCCGGCTTCACCCTCATTACCTTAGTCAGGCGCTCGGACGAGAATAATATATTATACACGACCACTTCTGTTACCAAGTCGCAAATCTTTGCCTTGTCTTAGATCTGCCCGCATGTTACCATTCGTATTGTATATGTTTGCAGGCAAACCCGAACTTGCTTGACCCGTAGTCTAGGTAGTTAATTCGAATGGAGGCAATTTTGAGCAACTTGCCAAAAGCAATTGCCGAATTCTATACTGATCGACGGGTAGATGGGGTATTGTAACATTTCATGATCGACCAGTAGGCTATCTAGAACGACAATATAATCACAAATATAGGCTACTAGCCCTGGCTTATCATTTATCTACCTATGATACTCTTGCTACATATAATTAGTTTTTCAAATTTTGTTGAAATGTACTTTGTCTTCGAGAAGCCGATGGTGAGACGACAAGAAGGCTATCGGATGCAAACCCCAGAATCCACCTGGATTAGTTCTCAAATGGCGATGGCCTCATTCATGCCTAAGGGTGTTTGTTCGGAAGGATAGTGGAAGGCTGGGTTACCTGGATGTTTCACACATGCACGACGATGATACCATCACTTCAGGCCAAATACGAGAAAAAAGAAGAACGAGTGCAATCGAGGAGTTAACGAGTCGAATCTGTATGGGTGCAAGGCGGATACGGCATTTACCATACAAGCCCCCCTCGTCGTCTAGATGAACGTAAGTTAGGGAAATGAAAAAGACCATATGTTGCGGTGGAAGGGTTCCCAGTTACTGAACACTGGAATTACCTGGAGCCACTCATGGTTTATTCGTTTCTTCATGTCTTAACCATTACTCAGATGTCTTTACTTGTTTTCACATTTGCCTCTTATTTTGTGCGCAATTTAAAAAGACCCCGAGCCTTGCGAGATCTCATAACAACTTGGACAAATGGCGAACAAAGAGGGAGACCTCTCTTGCGTGAGCAGAGATGTCCTTGTTCATCAACCCTGGTTGGATATTCACTCCTGACCATGACGGGTTTATCGAGCCCTCACAATAATGGTCTTTGAATATATCACACGCATCTCATCGGAATGCACTGGAGAGTTGAGAGAAGAACTGTGGATTAATAGCAAGGCGAATAAAGCTACGCGTATAGTGGGCAATATAACCCTTTTCCACTTTTCCATGATATGCCCTGCCTACCATCATATGGCTTAACACCATCAATTTCATGTTGCCGACGAATTACCTGAAATTTCACAAAACTACCGAACGCCACCATCCACCATGACCCTCCTCCCTTCCAGTATCATGCGTCAAGGAGGCCCTGACCCATATGGAAACGAATGCGATGTATAGAAACCGAGGCTCCTATGGTATGGAAAAGTCGAAGGTAACGGGATAGCCGGTAGTATAATACATCCGCCGTGCGTCCTAAGTTGTTAGATTCGGTGCTTTTCACTTTCTGTTCCTCACGGGTATGGTTAGTTTGTCTGGGCGTCTTGGGGGCGGCCGGGCCAATTTAGCCTCGGTATGTCTTATTAGATTGCTCACCCAGTCGAGAATAGAGCATGTATAGCGCCATTCTGTTACATTCCTCCGTTCCGGTGATAGTGACAAGTCGCTCATTACTATTGTCTTGCGGCTCGTTGATCTTAATCACACTACCGCTGATTTGGCGGATCTCGTTGATCTTCTGTCCACCTTTACCGATAATGGCACCGACCATGTCGTTGGGGATGTAGATTTGCTGAGTCATGGGAGCTCCAGCAATAGCGCCGTGCATTGGCTGAGCCGGAGGACCGCCGTGAGGATGGGGTCCGCTCACGTGTGGAGCATGGTGCGGCGGCATGTGAGGAGCAGCGCCATAACCGGCTGCCTGGGGCGCATAGTGCATCGGCACGCTTGGGTTAGGCTGCGGAGTAGCTGCATGCGGATAGGGCTGCGCGTACGGAGCAGGCGGCATGTGGTGCTGTCGAGGATCAGGCCGTCGTCCGTAATTCTCTCGGTGGCCGAAGTTGCCGCCAGCAGGTTGAGGACAGTATGGAACTACTTGCATTCCACCAGGTACAACACCTGTAGGACCACCGCTACGGGTGGCGTAAGCAGATGCAGCAGGGCCGCCGAATCGCTCGTTGAGTTGCTGAAGGAGCGTGCTGCCTACATAATAAGTAGCGATGTGAACAGCGTCAGCAACGCCCATGACTACAAGGGAACGTTCACTAGATAGCGGCAAGCAAGAGTCAGAAGCATTGAGTCTTGCTCCTGAGGCATCTTGAATCTCGCGAATTCGAGCACCACCCTTTCCGATGATTGATCCAATCAGGACATGAGGAATAAGGAGGCGGAGAGGATAAGTCTTGGACTGGGAATTGGACTTCTCTGTCAGAGGTTCATTGTTAAGAGTACGGATAATCAAACCGAAGGCCTAGATATGTTAGCTGAAACTCTCCCGTTCGTTATGGGTAGATACTAAATACCTTAGCTACGGCTTCGACCGCGCCACTAACGGTTAGGATCCTCTCTACAGCACCTTTCTGGTAATCACTGACGGTACACTTGGCGTTCGACAGCTTTCGGATGTTGGAGACATTCTCGCCGCCCTTGCCAATAATAGTGGCAGCTTCGGGACTGGAGATGACTGCGCGAATGTGAATCCATGTGGTCTCATCGTGAGTGTTGGTTGAAGGAGCACCAGTTGCGGCCGAAGGGCCAGTGACAGCATTATCTAGGGCAAGCTTAGACTCGTCGACATCAGGGACAACAGTATCTCCTTGGTCATCCTTAACTTCAGCCTTATCGCTACTGGCTTCCTCAGCCTTAGCTGTGCCGTTGGTCCCAGTCAGAGCCGGGATGTCATCAATGCTGTTGATCGGAAGCTCGAGATGCTTGTCGCTATTTCCGTTATTGATGACTTTGTCGAGGGCTGGGCGTTTAGCCTCTGGTTGGTCATTGCCACGAGAGGGTGACGAAGCATCCTCCAAGGGGCGCTTTGCCGGATTAGTCGGGTGAGAAGGCGATGCAGACATCTTGCTCTATTATCAGGTCACTCTTGAGAAGGGCTACGTGTGCCTTGTAGACGGTCGAATTGATTTTGTATTATCGAGTTCTTTTCTTATCTACACCTTGAGGGTTTTCGAAGGAAAACGTGCAGGTGTAGTGATTCGGGACGGATGGAGTTGCAATACCCTCAAGTTGATGGAATCTTATATGCGGGATCTGGAAGAGAGGTCGGAGTTGATGCAGGGTCGAGGATGGGACGATGAAGATCGAGGTCGTCGGGCTTTATGACGACGGGGATAACGAGAAGAGTGATATGAAAGATCCTAGTCGGATCTAAGAGTTCGCAGTAAGGCGAGGATGGCAATGACCTGACGGTATGGTTGAGGACGAGACTTGGTAGAGGTAGTAGAGGATGGCTAGCTTTGCTAGAGCAGGTATGCAGTGACCGAGTCGACGGGAGAGTATGATGGAAAGACGAACGAAGTAGAAGTTCAGGTTGTGGTTGAGGATTTGGATATTGGAAGGTGGCAGGAGTTAGAGACGTATGTGGTTCTCAAACCTTTTTCTTCCGCCAAAGGGAAACTATTACGAGAAATATCGTTAACGGTTTCCTCTTTCCTGATACAGCGCAATTTTTTTTTCTTCCTCTTAGTGAGCCTTCCTAGCAGGTAGCACCTTGATCTCGCAATTGACCAAGTCGAATTGACGCGTTCAGACGATCACAGGAGATTAGTCTCCTATTACTATTGCTCTTGACGCGGTTAGATGAAGCGCGACGTGAGTTTCTTTAGGTGGTTAAGCTCCGTGAGTAGTCATCCACCAAAGTTACCGATGTGCTCGAAGGAAGAATTAATCAAGGGAGAACGGGGGAGGAAGTGAGAGAATGAGTGAATATTAAACCATCAACAAAAATGAATTGCGGGGGGTAGGGTAAAATGTAGGGTTATGAGGAACCAAACGCAGACGATAGAAGCGACTGGTTTGATGGGTGAAGAGATAGATGAAGGGACAGATGTTGTTGAAAGGAGGTTCGTGATTTAGGTGGTTTAGGGTGATGCAAGAAAGATCTAAACTGTGGGAACCTGGCTCAGGCGTCGTAGTTGCAAAGGAAGTGGGTCTCCTCCACACGAAAAAAAATCTACCGTCCAAGCGTCATTGATTTCTAATTGGCTCAGTGATCACCGTGCTTTTTTTGAGTTCGACCCACTCGGATAATACGGTGAGGCAATATACTTGAAAACGCTTCGTCAGCTTGTATGTACTTTTATTTCTTCGCGTTCTCCCTATATTTGTTTGTAACTCTAGCTTAACCGTTCAACGACAACGTATGTAATTTGAAGGCATTCCAACCATAAACGGCAGCCACGTTGGATGATTAGACACTTCCTACTACCTATGTACCTACCATACGACGAAGAGTCAGTGATTGCCAATTTTGTATACTCAACTTTATTAGGAATTACCTCGTGCTCAAGAACTTTGAATCATCTAAACAACAATTCGGACCAATTAATTAGAAATACTCCAGTAAACCGCATAGTACCTACATAGGTATTGTTTGCACCGCAGATCCACCGGCAATTCATTACTAGCATCTCATTGCTTGGCATCTCACTGACGATGCCCCTGGCCGGACATTTCTTCCCGCATATTATCTGCAATATGGAAAGATAGGCCTCCACTACAAGCTGCAAGGCATCACATCATATTTTATCCCATTACAAGGAAGGTCTTGCAGCACATCAATTTTCCTCTCTTGGCAATTGGCATGATACCTCGTTCAAAATGGACACCACGATGCGCTTGAGTAACGATACCGATTTGATTCATGAATCTCGTCTTAAAGAAACATTACAAGAGCTCCAGACAGCAGTTAGGGTCCGCGAGAATACGCTAAATGAGTTGCGGTCCGCCCCAGCTGCGTTACGCACAGGTCAACCTCATCCTCCCACAGCATCATGGGATATCATGAAGACAGCCTACGACGAGTTGGCAGAACAGACACCATTTTTGCCGTTCCCGGACTCTGTACTGCCGGCTCTCTTGGCCCTTCGGAAAACCCATCAGACGGTAGAGGAGACTAAAGCCTACCTAGCATCCCATAAAGACTCGGTTGAAAAGACCAAGCGACGACTTGAAGTGGAGAAGTCAAATCTTGAAGACCAAAAGGCTCTCTCACAGAGCCTACGGAATCGTATACAGGCACTGAAGGATGGCCTGGAGAGCCGGATGGAGATGGGACCGGAAGATATCGCTGCGGAGCGGATCAATGAGCTGAAGCAGAAGAAGAAGCGCTACGATAAAGAGACATCCGCGCTCCTTAAGGCTCTCAGAAGGTTCATCGATGAGCATCTAGCAGGCATGCTTGCCGCCGAAGAACTCGGAGGCCCTGTGGTCGGCGAGATTATGGACATTGACGGAGATGACCTCGCCGCAGGATTTAGTTCCCAGGGCAAGCTGAAGAAAGCTAAGGAAAACCCGGATCAAGACAAACGGCAACGGCGGATTGACGAGATATGGGGTACACGAGAAGGTGATCAGCCGTCAGCAAAAGCAAGCAATGACAACCGGGATGAGACCGCGGCTGCTGGTGCGGAGATGCGAGATCTAACTGAGGAACTGCTCAACACCCTCGCGCAATCGGACGGCGATAATTCAGCCGCTTACGTCCAGCTTCCAAGAGAGTCAGCAGCCGCTAGGTTCTTAGTTCGATCTAGAGTCGCTCAATTTCACCCCAGAGACTCGACGAAGTTACGATTAATCGACTTTGGTAAAGAATTGGACGAATAATACGTTTATTTCCACCGTATTCACGGCATTGCCACGAGTCGGATATGTACGTAAGCTACGGCGGCAGGCAAAACGCCACCCAAGTTGAAGCTGTCAATCAAACCAGGAGGCCTTGTCTTGTTTCCGTTACTACCCCTTAAACCCGTTTTCTATTTGGAGCCTGATCTATCATATTGGGACTCGGGGCTTTGAGTAGGTAATACGTTCAACGCTTATTATTTCGACATTGCTAGTCGTACAATGGAATTGGCCTGGACTACCTACTTCCACCGATCTCACGCCTACAGATATGGATATCTGTTGGTTCGACAATTGGTGATTCTGATTATATTGGATCTTGAAACAACCTACTAGACAATTGGGTAATACCTGTACCACGATAATTGCTTTTCTCAACGCAGAATACCCATACCAACATACTCGAATTCAGAATTTTAAACCCGGAACGCCGTTCATATCCAAGAATAATATGTTCTCTGCACGACATTTCTATCTGTGACATAAAGATGCAACCATGATCCCAGCACAGCGTAGGTACCTGCGTACTCCCAACTCGCACAACCCTTGGCGCTGTAGTCCACGATAATTGGCCAATTAGCCCCATCCCTAACCCGGCGGCGCCCCTCAACGCGTCGGCAGCAAGCCCGCAGCGCGTCCCACCGCCATATCCCACTTTCCTTCGCTTGCAACCGCTCTCCGTTCGTTCTTTTTCTTCACCGCAATTGCAGCCTGCCGAGACCGCAAACACATTTTCCTCAACCCTACAAACCACCATTTCAACTTCTTCCCGTACACGATACGTACACAGCTTTCATTGCAAACTCGACGAAACCAGACCAGAGACTAGGTATGACCGCTTCTGCCTCCGTAACCTCACCACCAACATCACCGCCCGCGAAGCGAGTCAAAACGAGCGAAACCTCAATCATGGCCACCTCCAACGCCCCCGCCACCACCACCACTCCCGCCGTCCCAACCCTCGAAGCCTCTCCCCCGCTCCTAATAAAAAAACTCTCACCCACCGCCAAGCTACCAACCCGCGGCTCCGCCTTCTCCGCCGGCTACGACCTCTACGCCTCACAACCGACCACGATCCCCGCGCGCGGCAAAGCGCTCGTCGAGACCGACATAAGCATCGCCGTGCCGGCCGGCACATACGGGCGCATCGCGCCGCGGTCGGGGTTGGCCGCGAAGCACTTCATCGACACGGGGGCGGGCGTGATCGACGCCGACTACCGGGGCCCCGTCAAGGTCCTGCTGTTCAACCACGCGGACACCGACTTCGGCGTCGCGGCGGGGGACCGTGTGGCGCAGCTCGTCGTCGAGCGCATTTATACGCCTGATGTCGTGGAGGTGGAGGAGCTGGAGGAGAGCGTGCGTGGTGCTGGTGGGTTTGGGAGCACGGGGACGAATTGAGCTGGGTTGCAACTTGGTAACCTACTTGTCTAGGTAGCTTTCGGGGACCGGCACAAACCATATGGAGGGCTTGAGAGCTATGTCCTATATGTCTAGCGCCTTGTGATGAGAGTAGAAAAGGGGTGTGCCGGTTAGAGGATTGGGTCATGAAAGAATATAGATCAATCGTGTCGGCTGGCTGCGTTCTTACCCACTTGGGGATCAACGGGGTAGTGACAGGGTAGCAGAGATGGCTAGGCTACTTGCTTCCATTTTCGGCGGCTAGATCTTATGAAAGTACCGAAACCAAGATGATCATGAATATGAACGAGTTAATTGTCCCAGAGCTACCCCTACGAAGTAAAACAAACGAGATCCGTCCATCACTCCTTCAATGGCAGTAACAGTGTCTTCACATGTCTTTCTATTCTCTAATATATATGATCCGGCTAGCCTAGCCCGTCTTGAACACCATCTAATGCAATATACGTCTCTATACAAGAGACCCAACACTCTCGCATTTCTCGTTTCCCAACCTGTCCAAATCCGCTTCCTACATCTTCTCCGCCCTATATTCTATCGTTGGGCTGCGCAAGCATCCCAAGTTCCTCGTGAGTTTTAATTCTGCAGCCCTCGACTTGAGCAAATGCAATGTCTTCTCGTCTAGATCATTCCCCCTCCGCTCCCTTACTGTTTTCATATCAGCGTTCATGCTCACGCATGTGCGTTCCAGAACCTCGTGCATGCTAGCCAGGACCTTCTCCGCGGCCCTCGCGAGCGGCAAGTCTAATGCCACTACTGCGTCATCGCTAAGCCACGAACGCCTCTCGCCAAGTTTTCGGGACACTCCTTTGCCATCTCCGACTCCATTACTTAGCTTATCGTAGTTCGCGACAGCCTCGCGGATCCTCACCACCATGAGCGCTGCAAACATATCTCCGGTACCGCTAAAGTAAGCTTCGAAGACCGGGAACGAGATCTTGAAGGCGCGCGGCTGCCGATCTGACGTCATCGACGAGCCCACGACCGACATCGTGCGTGGCGTCTGTGTGGTAGCGGCCTCGGGGGAGCTCAAGAGTGGGATGGATACCGATGTTATAACGACGTGTGGAACGCCGTATTCTTGATGTAGGACGCGGATGGCATGTTCGAGGGAGTCTCGGTCGGTAATCTTAATACCTGAAAGGAGTCTGCAGTAAAAAGGGGTTTGTTAATTAGAATACGATTAACTCGGTTGTCTCCAAAATCGCCATCATTGGTCGAATACCAAATTTTAACTCCCTTTCTCCCAAATGGGACTTGAGCGTGGTGGACTTACTCAGCTTCGAACTGATTCGGTAATATGAGGTCGGCATAGTGTAGTAGGCTCTTATATGCGGGGACGACGGTTTCCGCAACGTATAAACGACCATTGTCGCCCATAACCGGGTCAAGAACCCAGAAGAAATTGCCCGGTTTTCCGGCTTCCTCCGACTTGTGCCTGAGTTCCTTGCTGATATTGCCTACGGCCGTGACAGCCTCCGCGCCAGGAACGTAGCCGGAGAGCATCATGTCGATGTTATCGAGGTATGACTGCTTGAGGCCGTCCCACAAGTCTGTGATCTCCTGCGCCGATACTCGCGTGCCCTTCCATTGTCTGTAACCGGTATGGTTGCCTTTCCGTTGTTACTTAGTAATTTGACCGATACAAACGCACTCGAAGAGGAGTCATTCTTCGGGGGCTTAAACGTACTGAATTGGACGGTATTTAGAGCGGATACATCGCAGCCCATGGACTGGAGCACGAAGACGGCGATCTTGTTTCCTACGTTCCTGTCCCAGGAAATTTGGAGTTAATGGATAGGCCGATGACGATATGGTAGTAAAAATCTAGGAATCTCACCCTGAGACAACCTTCAAAGTAAGGGATTAGCTGCTAGAAAAGAGGAAACTGACTAGTGAAGGCATTGTTTTCCTACATGACTGGCGACGGCAAGGACGCTCGTCTCTGGAACGGGAGGTTCGGTACTCATGCGGACGGCTGATACAGAGTATAGATTATAAGATTATACAGGGAAGTGATAGCTAAGTCACAACGGTCTATGGAGGAAGAATTGATTATATGAACACGGCACGACTGCCATTCAAAGTATGTTCATAAGAAGAAACAAAAAAGTGGAAAAAGAGCTTAGAAGATGTAAGTAATCATTATTCACATCCGCCGATTGCCGATACGGCAGGAGTGGAAGGGCGCATGACTCTTTTCTCGAAGGGTCTATCCCAGATCTGCAATTGAAACTTTACCTAAGGTTATCAACGTGCCCCGCCATCGCGGATAGCCCCGCAGAAGACCCACATAAATTTTCAATACTCACAAGCTCCACTTCCTACAACTTATACCAATATTACCTCCAATCGTACAATTTAGGATTTAGGGGCCACGTGAAAAGGGGTAGGGAAAAGAAACGTAAATTAGAGCCGCAGGCCAGATATTACTCCGAGTCAATTACCTGGAAACTCGAAGGGAAGTACTGCATAGGCACCTAGCACGACAAAAGGTCTTATAACTGTAAATGCAGACCGTTGTCTTCCATGCTGAATGCATTCGTATCCATTCCATAACCACGAGTATTCCGCAAGCAAGTTTCGTAACTAACTCGCTAATTGCTCCTGCCGACGTGGTATTATCATAACATTCATTATGTTCCGTTATTTTAACCCATTATTCCTCATCACCAATCTGCAATTCCAGCATTAGCAATTCGTTGCATATATTATGAAGAAAGTTGGGGCGTGACAAACCTTTGGTGCAAGATAGAATCTCAGAAAACTGCTACCAGCCAGTCCATACTCCACCAAGAGAGGCACTTCGTTAGACAAGCAGATCTTGACGGTGCTCGACAAAGCTTGGGCCTTGCAGAAGTTGACCAAGTACTTAAGAGAGAATGTCAGGCCAACCGGCTCGGTGAGCTCAATGTCGATGTTGAGTTCAGGCTTGTCGACATTCTGGTGGCTTCGGAGGGTGACAGCACCGTTGCCGATATCTCCGTTGCAGGAGAACTTGACGCCGTCCTTGGTAGCATCGATGGTGACTTTCATATGTTAATTGCGTCCTTCATATACAATAGAAACAAATAGGGCATAGTACTGACCTGATTCAGACATAGCCATCAAGTCGGTGCAGATGCGTCTGAATTCCGCGGAAGGCATAGAGATTGTGGCCGCGTACTCTGTTTCGGGGATACCGAGGTGCTCCTGGTCGATGTCCATAAGCTTCAAATCGTATTCACTAATACGGTCATTCTCGCTGCTCTCAAAGACTAGGTTGAGGGAGTCGGGTGCGTCTTCGGCTTTCAGAGTTAGGATATCTTCGTTCTGTGCAGCGCGGAGAACTTTGGTAAGGGAGACTAAGTTCACGCCGAGAGCGATGTTGCGGTCGCATCGGTAGGGAGAGAATCCCTCGGCCTTCAGCATCATGGACACGAGAGCGACGTGAGAGTTGTCCATAGCTTGGAGCGCAATGCCTGAGTCATTGCAATCGAAATTGCAGTCTTGCACCAAATCCTTGATAGAATCCACCACCTATTTTGTCAGTAAAGCTTGCGGGTAGGAAGGGTATTATAGGCTGCAAACCTTCTTCAGGATCTGAGCCTGTTCTAATCGTGCCTCCAACATGATGACTCGTTGATGATATTAAAAGACCGAAGTTGCTGAAAATATTCCACGTTGGTGAGTTATTGGTATATGGATAGATTAATGAGATTAAGACGTGATTGATTTGTGTTGTCGTCGGCTGACTTTTGCTTCAGAGTTGATAGTGTTGTCGGGAAGTGTTGTAATTTCGTATGTACTGGCGATTTCAGAAATAGTGGGATGAATTAGAGAAAAGACGCGTTGAGTGGTTGGACGCGTCTTTAATTGAAGGCAAACGCGAATGCCCCACCTGCATTAGGTAAGATTTCGGGGTTGCAGGGGTCTGCCTTCTCTCCTACATAGTAGGTAGGCACATACCTTCTAGGGAACTCTGCATTGCAACCTCCCTCGGAAACAAAGTCACAGCCCTACGCTTGCCCATAGGAGAAATATATGTGCGCTTTATTATCTGAAAGAACGGAGATCAAGGTTACAATATTGATATGCGTGCTACTCGTAGTTATCGAGGTATGATTAATATATAGTATTAATTCTTATGTTTAGCTATCTATTCTTAAGGATCTAAGAAGATAATTAGGAGAAGACCTCGGAATATCCCCGTCTTCTCAAATTTGGTTTTATTATATATAGACCTAGATAGGTAGGTGTTGGTTGTGCATATATACGGCGACATAAGAAAAAAAAGCATTATGCGCAAAGATCGTATGGATGACCAGCTCTCTATATATACGCCCCCTACCCTATGTAAAACCAAGCCAAACCACGCCGTGGTGAATAGAACTTCAAGCCGGATCGCTCTATCCCAAATACGCCGTAGTGCAACCGATGATGACCCAGTTCATGATTTAATCGTTACCAACGCCACAAGCTCAGTCAATGCTGTTAGTCGAAGTGATACAGATATCAAGGAAATTTTTAAAGAGAGACTCGGCCACGTCCGGGTTTTCTGTCCAGTACTCCTTGTAATTCTCGCATCATGCCCCTTTGGGCTTCGGCTTTCGCCTTGGCAATCTCTTTGCTCTTGCGATCCTCTCTCATCCTGATAATTCTTTCTTCTCGCGTAAGCAAGCTCTTCGGTCGAGGAATAGATATGGCCTCGAAAACCTCGGGTTCGATCTCCATCGGCGGCGTAGCGTCTCCGTTAAGCTTCTTTAATGCATCGGCAATACCGTCGTGCCCATCCTGGCTGCTCTCGTCCTCTTCCGCTATCGTTCGTCCACTCATCGTACTTAAAGGAGACACAAGCGTAGAGCCAATAGATGACAGGCGCTTCTCGTTCCTATCGATGCCAGACGCCAGCGAGGCCTTGCCGGTCTGCCACGCTTCCATCAAGTCTCGGAGATCTTGCCCGATCGAATCGTACTGGGCCATAAATAATGGACCAAGATCGCTGATATCGTCGGCTTCATTCAAGGCCTTGGATGACTCTTCGCGCAGAAGGTGTAACTTTGCCTGCACACTGCGGATGTTCATGGTCATCGAGTTGAGTCTTCGAACTTGGTGACGCCATCGGTCGTGGCCAGGGGTCTCAGGACTACGTGGAGTTTTGGGAATTTGAACTAAAGTTACGTTATTAGAATGTAGCAGTCGGTCGACTGGCCATAGCTCACTTACAGTCGTTATCAGCCAAGATATCTCTCACCCGCACGTACGCTTGCTTCGTAGACACATTTAATTCTTTAAACGCCTCCAGTATCGTCGAGAAACGAAGCCGATCGGTATCGTTGCCGGCGCTATGGAGAGCTAGTAAACCGCTTAAAAACATCTTTCGGATATCATGGAAGAGGAATGCGGCATCCTTCAGGGGTTGTAATTTTTCGGCATTCTGGGGGTCTGCCTTGGAAAACACTTGAAATCGTTCCACTACATCGGCAACAGTAAACTGATATTGAGATTGTAACTGCAGTAATTCGGTTTGTTCTGCAAATGCCCATATTGTGAAAGCTATCTGGTAGTACTTAGAGATAACTTCTGCGAGGCTCGTCCGAAGAGAATTCCTTAGTTGAAGGCACTTGACGTTTTGTCCATTATTCTCCAATCGGCTAATAGGGGGGATAGGCGTGCTCCTATTAAACATTAGCTGGTTGAATCAGAACTCTTTGGGAATAAGGAACATTACAGTCGATATCCGCGAGCAACTAATTCTACCTCCATAACGAAGTTGAGAGCTGCACTGTTCGCACAGTCGTACTCTCGCGAAAGCGAGAAGAATGTCGAGGCCTCTGCCAACCCTTGCTTTTGGATGTTCCTCAGGAGTTGCCTTCGCACATATGCCCTAGCGACTAGGAGCACCACAGAAGTTACTACTGTAGAAATCAAGAGCCGTTTCCAAGTCGGCATAAAACCCCCAAGCGCGAACCACCGAACCAGGGATGCCGCACTGAAGCCAAATACGGCCGCAGCAACGGCACCGGAAGCCGTCAGACCATGGAAACTCGGTTCATTTTCTGGTTGCGACGGTTCGGGTTCTATCGATGGTTGATAACCTAGCACCAAGGGGTTATCTAGAAGCTGGGATTGAATGATGGCAAGACGCAACCGTTCGAGGAAGCCGATCGATTTAGCATGGTCGATGGACGAAGTAACTGCTTCGACGAAGAGGTGCAGCACGTCGAAGAGAGGTGACGCGTGGTTATGGATCTCATCAAGGTTGATACGCGAAGGGAAAGTATTAGAATCAATACACAAAGGTCTCGGTAAGTTTTCCCGAAACTTCTTCCGGACCTTTGCTAAACCTCTCGGAGCGAAATCTCGTGGTGGGCTAGATTCCGGTGAGAAGTCGTGGTCCGTGGCATCTTCGGCTTCCTGCCACTGCGCTTCATCTCTCTCTCCGGTGCCTGTAGCAAGTATAGTTAGGACTCTGATAGCTTCGGACATATCGACCATATTATGAAGATTCTTTAATAAGGAGACTGGGAGCTGGTTACGTAGGCGCTGCATGTGTATAAAACAAATATACATACCCTCGAGGTAGTTGCTCAAAGGCGTTCCCTCATCTACGTGAGTCTCCATGTAATTGAGGTGTCACACGACGGATCGCGTCCATCTGGCGCGAAAGTGCTCGTGATTCACTCAGTTTTGCGAATAGCTCCACAAGGAATGACTCGGTTCGATTTGGTAAAAGGAACAATCAAACATGTAACATGTAAGGAAAATAGAGAAGAAAGGGGGGGTCAGCAGAATTTAGCAAAGGAAATATTTTGTTGTAAGGAAAGCAGTCGTTATTGAAAGGAAGTTAAGTTTACTTGTCAAGTGCTTTGTTCATTTGAATTGTACGAAATTGTACGAGATTACCCTGCCCTGCCTACCATAATGCTTCTCTAATTTAGGCAAGTACCTAAGCTAAGTATAGGCGTATGTAATGTCCGAGACCCCCGTGGAAACAGGGGAGAGCAAGGGGAGCTTTCCCCATAGAAAAACCCGAGAGAAACGAAGGAAACAATCACGGGTGGAAAAGAACGTAAAGTGGAACGTGGAAACGCGGAACGTGCCTACTACGGCACCTACGCTATAGGTACGTACATATGTCGTAGTTTGGTAGTACAGATTAAGCAGATTAAACAGGGCTGCGGCACACACCGCTTGCCGAATTAGTCAAACGTTTGCGGACCAGCTGTCAGATAACCTTTCTAACGGAACCGCTATCCTGGGGTTTTAGTTGCCTCACGCTATTCGCTAACGATCGCCATGCGGCTTATGGTCCAGTGGTCCAGTACTAGTCCAATGCTCTTAAAACATTACGTACATACCACAGACGTCAAGCTTTCAAATTCCCCGTCTTATTTCGAGACAGAGATACATATATTGAAATTTGAGGGACAAAGACAGAATTAAACACAAGGACGAGCGCAGCCATGCCGACCGAAAGGGAGCTACAGATATCTCCTATTGTGCCGGAGTCGGTAATGCACAACACAAAGGTCAGTTCTATCAATGCATTGATGCTCTAGCTATTGACGTGTTCTTCCTCCTCTGCTCTCTTAGGCTCTATCCAATCTCCAGACCCTTACTGCTTCCATCTTCGGCGCCGCAGCCGGCATCCTCGGTCTCGAATCATATAGTGGATTCCTTTTCTACTTTATCTTCACCATCCTCACCACCGTCCTCTTCTACACGATCCGCGTCGCGCCCACGTCGTTAAAGGCAGGCCACGGTCTTTTCGATACCAGCAGATACTTCAGAACCCAGTACGAATTCTGGACAGGAAGCCTCTTTAACGGACTTGCGGGGTTTATATTGACATGGACGCTGTTCTATGGTCTAGTGAGGGCCTGAGAGGGCTTCCCATACACGTTTAGAAAGGTTTCGAGGCGTTTGGCAGTAGGGTAAATGTACGCCTAGGAATATATGGCCGATTAGCCTAGGTCACAGGGGCATGAGTAGAACACCCTTAAGCAATATCGAATACCATTATGAAGTTTCAACATGTCCTTACTGATGTTCTATCTAAAATCGCTACATAGAAATGCTATGATAATAATGTTCTATTCACTCTACAATCTCGATCACATTGCCAACATAACCTTCAAGCCCCGACTTATCCCTGAATCCTCCTTCTACGAGAACGATTTGAGACCCGAGTTCGATCCATTCCCTACTATTCAGAAGTTCCAGTGAGACGTGGTATTCTGCTTGGTACTCGTCGAGATCCGCTTCTGACTTGGTACGTTCGAGCTCTATATGATCATTCATACTAAACATGTCTTCGTCGTCTTCTGCCGAACCCTTTTGTGCGTTGAGCTCGGACCTTTGACGTGTCACTCGCAATACCCGAACGGCGGCACGAACCATTCCCACGTAGGCGTTTACCAAACTATTCACGGTCAGTGACTTAACGTCCGATGTTTTGAAAGAAGCTATTAGACTAGAAGCTGCTTGGAGGGTGAGCCCCGTATCAACCATGTGTTGACTAGGCACGGCGAGAACCTGGCCCTTACGGAGGCTGCCAATGGATAGCTTCGGTTTTCCGGAGGCAGCATCGGAATCGGATATGTCGCTATTAGGTTCGTTGAAGACCACCTGAATAGAGCCCGCTTGTCCTGCTTCGATAGTTTGTACGGGGAGCCTCAAATCACGAATGTTCACGATTGTAGCTTGGCGCCATTCACCCTCGACCTTGGAGGCTGATAGCGTATGGCGAGAGCTAAGTCGGGCGAATTCCGCAGATGAAGGATGAGGAATTGATAACCCGTATCCAGGCGGAGGGTGATCTTTCGGGACCAGAGCACCAGCATCCTCTTCGTCTCCCGGGAAGGGCCCCAGAACAACTTTATCACCTATAGATAACCTCCCGAACCGCAGGTAACCCGTTACTACAGGCGCGCTTCCCCCCGGCCCTGTTGTAGCCGTCTGAGCGCGGCTCAATGACATATCGAAAACCTCATCGATGTGAAAGAGAGCATCCGGTTGTTCTGGGTTCAAGGCGAGCGGAACGAAATCTCTTGCCGTCGGTATAGGCGGAATCGGCAAACTTCGTAGCAAAGCATGAGTCAACCCAATACCAATACCTTTAACAGCACTTGTGAGGATCACGGGAACAATAGACAGCCGGTCACCAGATTTGGAAATGGGGCCAGTGACTTCATCCTGGATCTTCTGAAGGTCGTTGCTGGGAACTTCTATCAGATTGTCCTCGTCGCGTGCGGTTGAAGTCAATAATTTCGGTATCCTCCCCATAGCTTTAACTTTGGTGAACACTACGGCTAAGTGTTCCTTCAAGGTCGCCATCTGTCCCAACTCAGATTTGGTGATGAGAATGGCGAGAGGCATGGCCAGTTTTAAGCATAAATCGAGATGCGCCATAGCCAGATCTATCGAGGCTATCCCGACTCCTAGAGCCCCGTCCACACCGGAAAGGGAGTGGGCGCCAGAGGCAAGTGCCCCATCTTCATTTGGAATACACAGAAAAGTCCAGTGAGGTGCCCATCCGACGAGAGCTCGAAGAGTAGTTCGCTGGTATCGTGGGTGTCCAGCGGAGTCAAGTAAGAAGGCCAACCGGCCTTTCTCTGCGCGGTCATGGATGTCTGGCCATTCATTGATATTATCAATGTTGTAATTGAAGATCCTTCGATCCTCATACCCGATGAGTTCTTGTGCGATTGACTGGTGTATTTAAACATGATACGTTAGTGATTTCAACAATTGTTATAGGGTATACCAGGCGTTGTTTTCTTTACTTCAACAATAGAAATATGGATCTGTCCCACTCACTGCCATAGCGTTAGCAACTATATTTACCATACAAATTTAGGGATCCTTTTTGAAAACATAAGTATCAAGGTTTGACATATGTTTCCATACATACCACTTGTTTGTCCAGATGCGACCTCATGGCGATGTCTCAATAGGTTGATCCTACTACTTCCCCGTCCGTTGTCCAATGTGCCGTTGGACAGTGTTCCGAGTAGTGTTGTTTTACCAGACGTCGTCGGTCCAATGAGTGAAACACGGAGTTGTTCGGTGATCGAAGCGCCTCTCCTCGGAGTTGCGCTCAGTTGATCTACTTCTTGACCATTCTTATTGCTCTCGATATTTAGCACTGGCATCACGAGAGCCTCCGCTACCCAAAGATCTGCGACATGAATTTTGCCTTCGGACTCTGGTGTGCTATCGACCCACTGGCATGTCCCGATAGCCTTCATACGTTGCACCTCGACCCTGCAACCTAGACTAGCAGCCATGACTTTGAGAGTTGCCATGCTCTCGTCCATCTCATCCTTGGTCAAGCCGATGAACGTGCCATCGTCAGCTACACCTAATTCGTACAGCGCTCCATTGGACTCCTCGAGGCCAGGGAGTAGTTGCCCTGGCTTCTCTAAAGCAGTAAGATCAGCAATGTCCTCCAGCAATTTTGGTATCACGAGGTCACGTCTCGCCGTGGAATGATTCGGTGATGACTGTTGCAGTCTCCAAAGCAGTTGAGTGGTTAAATGATGGAGACGATTTTGCCTAGTCTGGCTAGAAGATGTGGGAGCTGGTCCGACTTGCTTTGGCTGCTTTGCTTCTCGCATTGGTTTGGATTGCTGAGATCCGGATACTTTCAGTGCAGTGCTCATGTTATTATATCTCCTTCGTGGCCGTAGCAAAAGGTGTAATTTGTACTCTATTGGGCCGTCCTGCGGCTCGGCTTCGAGTCTCTCCAGATGAGAATCGGAGAGCTGATCAGACTCAGGAATAGCCCCGGTTGTCACAGAACGCTCGACATGAGGTCTCTTTCCTGAGTCCTGTCCAGTTTGCCATGGGGAGTTCACCCGCGGGGGGTCATGATCGAAAGTGAATATGGAAGCCATCTTGAGCTTCGGTCATGGATATGATAACTTTATGGTGCGCCAAATTAGAGATTAGAGTGAGAACTAGTGGGCTTTCTTTCATATATTCTAATCGCAAATTGATTTTTTGGGTTGTTTTAATATCTATTCGACGCTATGACGACTTCTTGTATTGGTTCTGTTGCATGATCTTGCGATATTCGCTGTGTATAGGATGTACGTATTTGTGGTATCATCTTCGATAAATCAGAGCTTAACAGCTCACAAATGTGTGAATAAGGAGTTTTAATATGTATTATATAGCAAAACAGTTTTATTACGATGTCAAGTCAGCCATCGTGGATAGGAAGCTGGAGCTGATAATAGGTATTTTCAAGGTGAAGTGGTGATGGACTCGTCCATTCATTAGGTATCGGCACAAATAGGTACGTGGTGACATGTACCTAACTAATAATTGTTGCCTCAGGCAGCGCAGGCAAGAGCGTAAAACTCATGTATGTAGGTACCTATGTATGGATATGGCAAGGGGCTAATAAGGTAAACTTTGGGTCAATTAGCAAGTACATCTATGTACCCGCATATTTTTATCAAGCAATTACTCCCACAATTTCAAAACTTCTATATAGAATAAATATCAATGAGCTACTACTAGGTACATACATGATTTACCAATCCCCTATATACAACCTGTCTTGAAGTGAGTCAGTTAATTCCAGTGAGCTTGACACGGCGTCTGGGTAGATGTACTTACACAAAGAAAGATAAGTTCTACTAATACGAGCAGCACGATTCAAAAAGAGCCAAACTTAGAACTTGCACCCTTGTAAGTTGTCAGCTATGGCAGTTGCCACCGTGGTGGCTGACTGGTGGTCTACCGGTACCGCCCCTGACCGCCTATATAAAATATGGGTACTGCACTACTTACAATGCTGCGGCTAGCAACTGACGAATCATCTTAGACCATTCCAAGTTCCTATGGTCCCCTCCTTTTCGAAACGTAACCTAAGACGTCCCGTGTCTTCAGTTCCATAATTCAAGCCATCTTATAATTCGCGACATTCTTCCTTTCTCTCCAACTCGTCGGATTTACACACCTCATCATCAATCAATCAACTAGTCAATCGGTCGTGCAAGTAATCCAAATCGCCCAACAACACAATGAAGAAATTCCTCGGAAAGAAGACATCCGATGCGGGCGACGACCCGAATCGCTCCGCCCTCTTTGGGAAAAAGGGATCACCAGCTCCGTCGGACAATCCCTACGCCCAATCTCAACCTGCAAATGACCCCTACATGAACGACAACAACAAATTTGCCCATATGACTCCTTATCAACAAGCTCGAACGGGTCTTCAGAACAACCAGCCTGTTGGTCTCCCAAGCGGACCTGGCCCTCGCAGCGGATACGGTGCCCCTCCTCTTGCTCGCAACGGCAGCAGTTCCTCATCTGCGACAGCCCCTCCCCCTTATTCTAGCGGACAACCTAGCAGCCAGCCGTCTGGTGGTTATGCCAACAACAAATACGGCTCATCTGGTGGTTATGGGAACAATAAATACAACAACTATGGTGGTGCTTCAGCTAGCCGCCCTGGTGGATATGGCGGACTCGGTCGAACCGACAGCAATGGCACGGATGCCAACCGAGACGCTCTATTCTCAGGCGTTCAGGAACGCCACGAACAGAAGGGCAATCAGGATGGAGGTTATGGTACATCTGGCGCATCCGGCGCCGACTCCAAGTATGGTGGCTATGGAGAGCAACGTGAGCTTACGGAGGAAGAGAAAGATTACGAACAATACAAGGACCTGAAGAAGGAGATCCACGAGACTACTAAAGCCAGCGTCAACTCCACCGAGAACTCTATGAGGGCCCTGAACCAAAGTTTGGATGTTGGCATGCAAAGTCTAGCTCGACTCGGTGCTCAGAACGAACGGCTCTATAACACAGAGCAGCTCGTAGACTCCGCGATCGAGAAGCAGCGTCACGCCGATGTTCAGACAAAGAAACTCAAGACTCTCAACCGAAGCATGTTCGCCGTCCACGTCAAGAACCCATTTACGGAGAAGCGGAGGACCGCGGAAGAGGAGTCGAGAGTCATAGCTCAGAACCAAGCTGATCGAGAGGTCCGTGAGGCTACCCGACGAGAGAAGTTTGCCCAGAATTCGCGCATGGAGTCGAACTTCTCCGAACTAAACAGAGGACAAGCACCTCCGTCATTCTCGAAACCCAACAGAAATGACAGGAACAAGTATACTCTAGAAGATGACTCGGATGAGGAGGGTGCGCGTGACCTGGAGAACGATAACGATCAGATTGAGAACAACCTGAACGAACTCCAGAATGGTACTTTCAGACTCAACCGACTTGCCAAAGCCTTAGGCGACGAACTCGACCAGGGTAACAAGCTTATTGACAGAATTGGTTCTAAGGTATGTGGCTCTGTAATATTACTATTCTTCCGGAATCGAGCTAATTATATTGTAGACCGAACCACTTGATGACCAACTGAGAGTGACCAACATGAGGCTCAAGAAAATGAACGGAGAGTTATAGGCGATCCGAGATTGCGCACATGTTTACACACCAGCGGAAGCACATTTGAATATGGACCTTTCGTTTGGATTACTGATGCTCTACATGGGTATCTATAGTTCTGAGTAGCCTACGTGTGGAAAATAGAGTGAGGGTGTCGCAACACATCGGGGTAGATGGACACTTGCATACGTCTCTTGCTTTTTACCTCAGGCCAGTTCGTATATACATCATGCTTTAGAGCTATGACGTATTTTTATGATACAGCAATCCTAACATAGAATATGTAATAACAACATTTCACCCCCTATTTGACCCCTTTGAGAACCACAAGTGAGAAAATATGCCAATATATCTTGTCTTAATATAATAAACCCTACCTATAAATATTTCTATTGTTATCTTATGGAAGGCTACTATTAAGTAATTCAGTGATTCATCTTCATAGAGTGGGTTGTCTCGGGCATTAAAAATGTACAGTATGCGATTCAGAGTGCCATGTTTCGATTACACTGTATAAATTTAAATTTACCTACCAATTATTAGTATGGAATTACTTAATATCGCGAACCTTGGAAGCTCGAGATCAGTTGCTAAGTTCAGCACCAGATACCAAGCCACGTCCGCCATGAAACCTTCATGGAGGTTATTAGCCAGTGCGACAGCTGGGAATGGATTGAAGCCACCGCCTATGGCATTGTTGCCGCCTATTCCCCTTTACCGTCGCCTATTCAGAGCTCACAGAAAACATTTATCGCATGAAATGCGCCTGCTTGGTGATGAATATATCAAGGCTGAGTTTCGCGCCCATAGGAATGTCGACAACCCAGCACATCTAGTACGTACTTCTTTCCTCATATCTAACTTGGTTGGAATATTAATCATATCACAGATCGGATTCCTCACGGAATGGCAACTTTATGCTCAAAAGATAGAGGGCGACTCATGGGTTGGTGAGAAGTTAGATCCCGAGAAAGTTGCAAAGATGAGCGGTTTGTTCAATCTTGACCTTATGATACTAGCGATCCTCTAACAAGAGTTCACCAGACCAGCAATTAGGACAGTTATATGAGCTCATGAATGCTATACGGAAAAGGCGTGAAGATGGTAATGAGGAGTGAGCCCAAGGCATTGTGATCCCTTTTGGCCATCGTTAGCTTATTTGAATGGGGCAATAAATCCTCCTGATAAACCTTTTGAGTCATTGTAGACATCTATGTACCTAGTCATTGCCATGGCGTATGACGGTTTCGTGGGTACCTATATCCATCTCATGAAATGTACCTCTAGGTAGGTAGGTACCAAAAGTGTTCAACTTCAGAGGTAGCTTCCTTAACGAAGACTGTATCGTTTACACTGTGTGGGGGCTTTTAGATATAAATGTGGGTCTATCTCAGATCTTAAGACAACTGAACTTTTCACTTTTCAGTTCGAAGTAGAAAAGTACCTTCACGTTCTTACCTCGACGACAACCCAAAATGGCCCAAGATGAGCATAAACCCAAGCGACGGAAAACTAAATCGACAAATGATGCATCAGTTGTAAAAATTGGCGACAAAACAATATCTCTAAGTGCATATCTAAATCCTCAAAAGAAAGCACCAGAGCAGCCATCAGTGGATGAGCAGCCCATCACAACAGCTAGACCCCAGCTGAAATCTGTAGAGGAAGTTAAGCCAGAGCCTAAGCAGGAATCCCACCAGAAAAATGCGACGAAGAGGCTTGCAACAAATGGTGACCCATCATTATTGAAATCTCGAAAAGCATTGCCTATATGGGCTCACCAAAATGAGATCAAAGCCAGTTTACGGGACAATGATGTGCTGCTTATCGTTGGTGAGACTGGTTCGGGTAAAAGTACCCAAGTCCCTCAGTTCTTATGCGATGAACCATGGTGTCGAAAGAAGAAGGTTCGGGTCGAGTCTGATACAGTGAACGTAGGCGGTATGATTGCCATCACTCAACCACGACGAGTTGCTGCGACTACTCTAGCTAGCAGGGTCTCTCGGGAAATGGGAACTCCTCTTGGATCATCACGCGAGGGATCTGTCGGGTATTCAGTTCGATTCGACCACAATGTACCAAAGGGCACTAAGATCAAGTTCCTCACGGAGGGTATGCTTCTTCAGGAATTGTTGCGAGATCCCAATCTACGACAGTATAGTGCCATCATCGTCGATGAGATTCACGAGAGGAGTGTCGACGTCGATTTGATCGCTGGATTTCTAAAGCAGATCATGTCGAGTGACAAGGCCGGCCGAGGAGGTATCCCCTTAAAAGTCATCATCATGAGTGCGACGGCGGATGTGGAGAAGATCCAAGATTTCTTCAAGCCCCGAGACCAAAATTCTTCCGTTCAACTTCTCCGAATAGAAGGAAGGCAATATCCCGTGGATATCAAGTTTACGGTCAGGCCCGTCCCAGATGTCGAAGAAGCCCTTCTCAAGCGAATCTTCGACATCCATTTACATGAGCCGTTACCCGGTGACATATTAGCTTTTCTCGTTGGTCAAGAACAAATCGAGGCTGCTCAACGTCTGATTGAACAACACAATGCTACGTTGGCTTCGGATGTGCCGAAACTATTAGCTTGCCCTTTATATGGTCAACTCTCAATTCAAGCGCAGCAAGATGCATTTCAACCTGCTAAGGACCGCTTTACACGAAAGGTAGTTCTGGCAACAAATATCGCTGAAACCTCCGTCACTGTCCCTGGCGTCCGCTACGTGATCGACTGTGGAAAGGCTAAAGTGAAGCAATTTCGATCACAATTAGCGATGGAATCATTATTAGCGAAGGCGATTTCAAAATCATCAGCAATACAGCGGACTGGTCGAGCCGGACGTGAAGGGCCAGGCAAATGCTTCAGGCTTTATACTTCGGATACCTACGACACCCTCAAGGACGCGGACCTCCCCGAAATTTTACGCAACGACGTCTTAGGTGCAGTTTTGACAATGAAGGCACGCGGCATTAATGATATCCTCTCATTCCCACTAATGGACTTCCCTGATATCGAGTCGGTGGAAAAGGCTCTAATACACCTCCACTTCTTAGGTGCGCTAGCAGATGATGGCAGTATTACGAAGATTGGGAGAAAGCTAGCCCTTTTTCCAGTTTCTGCTCCATACGGGAGAGTACTTCTTGCAGCAAGCGAACCTCAATATGATTGCCTTCTCGAAGTCATCGATATTATTGCTTGCATCACGTCAGGGGAGAATATATTTCACCAGCTACAATCAGAGGAAGTAAGAGAAGAGGTCGAAGAGTACCGCAAGGAATTATATCGCAGGGAAGGGGATATTCTCACTTATCTAACTACCATGCAACGGTACGCGGCGGAAAACACTAACCGGGTCGAGTGGTGTAAGAAGAGGAAGATTAATACACGGAACATGAAACAGGCTCTCAATATCCGAAAACAGCTTCGAGGCATATGCTTGAAGGAAAAGATGCTTACGGAACCACCACCGCCGGATCCTCAACCGTTCGTGCCTATGTCTCCCGAGAGGGCAAATATGCTCCTGAAATGCTTTATGAAGGGCTTCGGAATGAAATGTGCTCTGCTGGCACCGGATTCCAGTTATGTCACCATACAAGGGAAGCACGTCGTGGCTATTCATCCGTCAAGCGCAATGCATGGGCAGAAAAGGGAGGCAATCATGTTTTTGGAGCACGTGTTCACGCAGAGGAGTTACGCTAAGAGAGTCAGCGCTATACAGGCAGATTGGATTGTTGAAGTGTTAGAAGGCAGATGAACGTCTTAAAAACGAAGGACAACCTCCACGTTGATACCCACTGTTTGCCTAATATCTGAAGCTCATGCTGTGAAACAACCATTCTAAGATACCTGAGGGCTGTGCCAAGGTGAAAACACATTGTACCAATGCGGTGCGGGCTGACATTCTGCATAGCCCGACGGCATAATGAGTGACCTGGCGAGTCGGAGCCAAGCTGGTATTAGTAGGCAAGTTTAGGAGCTCGAAGATACCCACGGAGAATGCCTTGTGCAAATGAATTCATGGCCGCAGCCTACATCGTATGTACCTAGTAAATATTTGGATGTCAGAGAAGAGTGGTTGGCTTTCGAATAGTCTCTGCTTCATGGGTAGGTAATTAAAACGATTGGCATCAGAGTGTTGATTGTAAGAGTTCAGTTCAACAGAATCAATACATCTACAACAAGATATCAACTGTCTTCGGCCGCCCCCACCCTACACCGTATCCGCATCCGTAGCCTAAGTGGCTTTTCCCACAATATGACACTGCATAAGCAGTGAATCTCATTAAGACTCACCGAAGACAAGTGTAACCTGAGAAATTCGGGATAGTCCGTATGTCCCATCCAAACGATTCTACATGCTTTCATGGGTGAAGAATGGTATATACGATATAAAAGTGTCTATATATCAACCCCCCCATAAACCCACCACAAACACCACTGCGAACCACGCAGGTGACCTCACCTTCTTCTCTCATAAATACATCCCCATCCACACCTACAGCCGATCAGCCTCCTCTTCCAAATACCAAGTCTGATCCCCCTCCTCCCCACCCAGCTCCCTCGTCGAGAACCCGTTCCCCAGATACCAGAACCGATTCCCCGCGGGGCCGTCATACACGTACTCCCAGTCCTCGCCGCGGAAGCGCTCGAGCATGTGGAAGAAGTGGACGCGGCTGCCCGGGTGCAGCGCGGTGACGGGCGCGTCCTCGGCGCCGTCGTTGCCGTTTTTCTTGAACCACGACTTGCAAGGGCCGGACCAGGCCACGCGCGGCATTAGAGCTGCGACGTGCGCCGCGTACTCGGATACGGCGGCGGATGTGGGAGCGACCGAGCGGATTTGCTCGGTTTGGCATTTGAGGATTATGCGCGTTATGTACCGCGCTATGTGCTCGCTGAGCGTGAAGACGCTGCCGTGGCCTATGGGCCCGTTCGGGCCGAGGAAGGCTAGGGGTCGCTTGTTAGTATGGAGAATTCGCTGAGGGGGTTTAAGAGTTTGGGTGTTTGGGAGGAAAGGGAAGGGGGGAGGGGAGAACTCACTGAAGTAATTCGGCACGCCGGCGAGCGCGCACGACATGTATCCCTTAGGCGTGTCATTTTTGAACGCGTCCTGGACGTTGCCATGCCGGCCGACGATGGGGAAGCGCGGGGCGAACGAGTTGTCGAAGCCGGTGGCGCAGATGATGGCGTCTAGTTGGATGATCTGGCCCGACTCGAGTCGGATGCCCTCAGGTACGATCTCAGCGATTCCTTCCGTTATCACTTCCGTATTTGAGGATCTCAGAGCTTCTAGATAGCCCGGGGCCGGCGTTATCCTACGACATCCTAAGGGGAATTGGGGGATTAGGGCTTTGCACAGCTTCTCGTCGCCGCCGAGGGTCGCCGTCATGTATTGGATTACTTTGCTCGTTGCGAAGGCTTGCACAGGGCTGTTATTTTGGATCTGTGGAAGGACGAGTTAGTGACGATGTGGGTATGTATATGCTTTGAGGATTCACCCACCAGGGCGAAGTTCCCGTTGCTGTCCTGCTCGATCGTCTTGACGAACTTGCGGTAAAACGCAGGATCCGCCTTGAACTTCTCGATCTGCCGCTGAGTGAAATTCTCCTTTTCGTCGAGCTCTATCTGGCCAAGGATATCTTTCGCGGGGCCGCCCATTGTCATCATTGACACTATTCGTGGAGGAATGACCCAGGTTGGGGTCCGGACAAAGTGGTAAAGCTTCTTGACATCTGCTAACCATTAGGCGGTGATAACTTCAGTGGCATAGGGGTTGACCGACCTGGTTGGATTGTAGGTAATAACTGAATACCGGACGAACCATTTCCGATTATGGCAACATTTTTGTTGTTATAGTCGAAGTCCTTGGGCCAGCTCGCCGTATGCACCAACTCTCCCCGGAAGCTCTTTATGTTTGGGATATCCGGCCATTTCCAGTTGCTAGGGCGTTTGATTAGCGATGTGGCTTACAAAGGGGGGATTTGGCAGTTGGGATGTCATCTTACTTCAGAATGCCTGAGGCGTCGACGACGAAGTTAGCCTGGTCCCTGAACTCCTCTCCGGTCTCTAAGTTCTGGACACTGAGATCCCAAATCCCACGAGCTTCATCCCACCATGCGCCAACGACCTTATGTCGGGTTTTGATAGTGTCTGCCATGTGCTCTTCTTCGACTATACGAGTCAAATATTGTTCGATCTCCGCCGCGGGTGCGAAGAAGTTCGACCACTCATGATTTGGACGCCAGGAGAACTGATAATTATGGCTTGGTACATCGCATCTACACCCGGGGTAGCGATTTTCGAACCAAGTTCCTCCAACCTTTTCGTTCTTCTCATAGATGACATGTTCGTAATTGGTCAAATTCCTTCGGAGGGTCCGTATCATATTAATACCACTCGCTCCTGCACCGATGCCTACGATCCTAACATGTTTGGTGGTTCCGAGAGGCTCTTCTCGAATCGTGTATGGTTCTTTCACTATGGGCCGTCGAATATTAGCACCGTTGATGTGATTATTGCCAACATGGCTTGAACCCTGGGGAACTCTGTGGCGCGTCATGTTCGCTTGATGTGTAGGTATGCCTTGAAACAGGGAGACTCAACCTTCTGTACTTATAAACTCCCCCATATCGTCGTATTAGGAGGTTCTGGCTTTTATATCTGAAGCTGAGGCTCGGCCGGTATTACATGGATGTACCTTATAGGCGGAAGATCACTAGTCCGTATCCCTGGCGTGAGAGGAGGCTCCAGCTGAAAGCTGTTTCAAGAGTAGGGCCAACCAGAGGTTACAGAAGACGTAGTTTGAAAAGAAGTAAGTTGATTGAGTAACGGGAAGCGGCGTATCTCGGCCTACCAGCAAGGAGGGAAAGAGTTATTGAAGTAGTAGGCTCTTATGTTGGCGAAACAACTCTTGCTCATATAGAGTACCTAGAATGTTTGCAATTAATTTTTTTGCCCCTCTACACATCAGCTAGGTTGTATTTACGTCTGATATTCGTATACAGTCACCAAATAAGGGAGGGCGATATTTATTTACCACCATCACCCCCTGCCGGCAGAAGGATGAGAAATCGAAAAATCGGTCCATTATAACGGAGCTTCACAGCTACGAGGAGCTGCGAGGAGTCGAAAGGAACTTGGCCACCTAGTATAGAAAATGGCAAGATCGCTTTTAACTAGGAAGCTCATCAGTTCACGAGTCCCCCGTCTGATAGGTCATCTTGCTTGCTATCATGAATGGGGCTGTAGCTCATCGTATTCCGTCCAACCACAGCTTGACTCCACAAAATCCATCACTCACTGCATAGGTAACTGTGCAGCATCGTACTTAAATGATAGACATTCGTGCCACCGAGGCGTGCATCTGTCCCGAGGTAACCAGGCCAAATTGGAAATTCAATGCATCAACGGTCTATGAGAGGATCTTAATTCATGTAATGCGGAAGAAGTGACCTAAGATGTATTTTGGATTATGTTTCGTTGTCGTTGGTTGGTCAATCCGCTTACGATAAGCTTAAGCTTTTTTAGTATACATCTTTGTAAGAAAACAGAAGAACAAATCGTTGCAAGGTTTTGGCTACTGACATGAATAAGCAGTCTTAACTCAGCCAGCTTAGCCCGAAGATCCCCCGCGCCGACCGCATGGATCCCAGCAGCTTATCATAATAGGTACTACCCTGCATTAGTATTTCTGCATTTTTATATCACTTTGTCGGTTTTCCCCCCAAGGATCTGCAGACGCACCTTTGTCACAAACCCTGATACCGTAACTCTACAACGTCGAATACCAAGAAACAAGGTCGAGTCCTAGGCTGGCCCGCCCTATCAACATGTCTGGGAACTTCTCCTTTTCCTTTTCTGGTGACGACATAGAGGACGAAGGCGAGTTAAATTCCGCGGCCCCCAATGCCAGCGAATCTGTGCAGCCGCAACCTTCCGCCAGTGCGTTTCCTGTAGCGGGTAAACCTTTACTCCCTGCCACTTCTCATGACCTACATCACATGCTCGCTCAGCTACCGTCAAAGGTCGCTTACGGCATCTTGGATATAGATCTCGATGGCAGTGGGGATATCCAGTTAGCTCGGAGAGAGCTCTGGGATGTTAGAGTCCAACTTATGGCCGAGGATAATGGGGGTGAGACCGAGCCTGGCCTGGGCAACCATGATGTGAAGACTGGTGTATATGAAGGCGGGTTCAAGTCCTGGGAGAGCAGTGTGGACCTCGTCAAGGTCCTTTCACCCTCGAAGGACTTTCTCGCTGATGAGACCGTAATCCCGACCATTATCGAGGTACGTCTTCTCGATTACGCTTAGACTTGAGAAAATGTACAGAACACTGAATCGATGTTCATAGCTCGGCTGTGGCACAGCTCTACCTTCATTAGCTCTCTTTCAGTGGAGCCTCAGTCGTCGGACGCCCCAGAAGAATTCCACACTTTCTATAGTATTGGCCGACTATAATCCAACGGTTCTGCAGCTTGTGACACTGCCCAACTTTATCTTGTGCTGGGCCCTTCATCAACGACGGGAGCTGCCTCTCTTGGAAGATGCGTTTTCAGAGGGAGAACTAGATCTAACGCCAGACGTCATTGGGGCCTTTGAAGAATTCTTATCGGCTCAGAAGATTTCTCTTTCTTTCTTCTCAGGCGCTTGGTCGACTGAATTTATCGACCTTGTTAGTTCTAGAAAGATACCCACTACAGGAAACGGTGCCAAACAGCATACTATCATACTCGGCGCAGAGACCATTTATTCTCCCTTTGCACTTGGCTCCTTTACGCAAACCATATTCTCCTTTATGAAGCAGGAGAGGGAGCAGGGAAATGCTGCCGAAGCCTTGGTCGGCGCTAAGAAGCTTTATTTCGGCGTAGGCGGCTCATTAGACGACTTCGTCGCCAGGGCCCGAGAACTGGGTGCCAACGTAGAAGAACTCCGAGAAGAGGCAGAGGGTGTCCGACGCGGCGTTGTTCGTTGTAGTCTCCCTTAAAAACACCCACATAGCCACAAGGTGAGGTCTAGGGTTCGCATAAACCCAAGCTGTCGCCATTCTTGTGATAGTGAGATACGCGAGGTCATTCATTCTCTCGCTCAAGTTACCTTGAGTTGAAGCTGCTGAACACATTCCATGACGGCTGTGAATTTACTGCACTTGGTGAGAGAATCGGCAACAGGATCAGCGCTTGATATTAGTTACATAGCCATGCCACTGTAAATGAGAATCGGTAGAGTTGAAACTCTATCTCGATTCTTCGACTCGTGTCCGAGCCGGATGATTTCGACCTCTCCTGAGTAAAGGCATGGACGAGGAAGCCCAGTCTTTCGCATGGAATTCTGGTCAGTATCTGATATTCTTGCCTCATTCTTACGTACATTTCGGAGGTTTCCTCCGAAAGTTGTTGTATCAAAGCGCATTAATCCACTCTGGTTGCCTTGGTCACCCTAGGAATGGAGTGTATCAGTCGACATAAACATATCGCATACCAGGTTGGATAAGAATTGAGTCTCAGATAGCACTATTGTGACAACAACTCTAATAGAATGAGATCTTCCGCGTAAAATGAGTTTCCAATAACATTCGATTGGGTTTGTTATTGTGCAGTTTCTCACGTTAGTCACGAAGTTTGAAGAAAGCCTAAGGAACGTGGTCGGTTATTAGGCTTGTGATGATTTTAGATGGTTAAAAGGGGAACCCCTCTGAATTGCATATCGAGATATCTGGGGAAGCTGCATGTGGCTTTCGTCAGGGAACGCCCCTGTCGTCTAGATCACATTGGGTCCTCGATGCAGGAACCAATCACTCAAGACCAACTGACTTGACATAGCGTGGTTTATTAGCGAGATTGCTTCGGCCCCGCTTACCCGCTTGGAGTAGCACAGGGGGCACAGGTAAAGATCCTGCTGCGAACCGGACATGGACTTTTCACATTTCCTGCTTATTAGTGGCTGCATGTTCTTATTATGTATGCATACATACATGTGCGATATGTACATAATGTTTGAAGTAGCAAACCACTTTTAGGTGATATACTAGGTAGTCCTGACCGAATCGTGAACTTAGGGAAAGGGTGTAGTAGCACAAGAATTTCGGTGCGTCGTTAGTAATTACCTTAATTGAGGCTGAGTTTAGGTGTCGTATGTCCCGAAGGATTGGTAGGGTTGATATGCTGAAGGAAACCTTTTCTTTTTTTTCCGCCATGCAAACGTGGGCGCCCTGGGCGTTCTGAGACCTCTTGAGACTTTGTAGACATGATGCATGAAGATTACGGTGCCGAGACATCCCAGTGAAGTGGCAGTTGACGTACGTCATCCACGGAATTTTGGAATTTAAATGCGTGTATCAACATTTATTACTTCGAAGGATGTGGCCGATATTGGTGATTGAACTCGTCATCGCCAAACCAAGGGATAGGACTCACGGACTGGGCTCGTAAGGTGAAGGTATGTGGTAAGTGAGACCTCACCGAAGTTTGTCAGAATGTGTTTAAATGGGGTACCACCGGCGGTAGGCTGTAGCACCTAGTGGCACCAACGTCGGACGCGACTGCGTACCAGGTGCGCCGACTGGCTAGACTTGACATAGACCAAGCCTAGGATGGAACCCTGAAGATTAATGTGGTGTCTCATTGGCTGAAGAAGATCTACCACATTAGGCCCTACCAAGATTAGCTATTTCTGTATCTCTATACAAGGAAAGAAGTGCTAAGATCATGTTCCCGAATGCTGGATAGCAGCATATTTGCAGGCAAATTGCCCCCAAATGGCCCTACTAAACTTAATTAAGTGGACTGTGGGTCAAATTCTAGCCGTTGTAACTATGGTCGTAGCTTCCTAGCTATTGCTGGTAAATCTTGTTATTTTCATTTGGCAATTTCCCGGGAACGCGGCTTCTCCTGCACCTACCTGGCGACTCGAGTAGCACATGAGCCTTCACACACTCTTTTCTTTCCTTTTACATCAGCCGCTCATTTCAGCAACTTCCACTCTTTTTCCACACAAACCACGTTCGTTACCAAATCCATTTCTCTCGCCGCCTTTATTCCATACACTTTTTTCTAATATCAAAGAAGTAGTCAATACCGGTAAGTTGACTCGCATTCATTTTTCTTATACGCCTACGGCGCAAGTCGACAAAGGATCAGATATCCCGCAATTCCGTCTGCTTAGCCGCGGCGTCGCGAATATTGAAAATCCCCCAAATCGACAAGCGCGAAGACACAGCTGTGCTCAGTTCAGCTTGTTATGCCTTCGCCACTCAGCACTTGATATCTTAGCATCTGGAGAACGTCACTCAGGCATCATCTAGCTATATAATTCTCACTGGGCGAACCCTGCTAATATTTGTCTTCCTCTCGCCACAGCTTCTCTTGTCACTCATTCAAGACGGTTTAATACCAATCAGCAACAGTCAAAATGAAGAACGTTTTCGCTACTATCATCCTCGCCGCCCTCCCGGCTTGGGCGGCAAAGTTCACCAACACTAACTTTGACGGTATCACCGTCGGCAAGCCCTTCGAGATCACCTGGTCTGACGCTTCTGGCGCTGTCACTCTGACCCTGAAGAACGGCTCTTCCGACAACCTCCAGACCGTTGGCGAGATCACTTGTGAGTCACGAATGAATTAGATATTTATAGGACCTATTAATGCTAACAATGCGCAGCTGGCCAAACTGGCGAGAGTTACACCTGGACTCCCTCCACTACCTTGGCTTCCGGTACCTACGCCTTGGAGATCAACGATGGCACCGAGGTGAACTACAGCAAGCAGTTCGACATTTCTGGTGGCACCAGCGCCAGCAGCAGCAGCAGCTCTGCTAGCAGCACATCCTCCGTGACCAGCACCAGCTCATCCACTGTTTCCTCGTCTAGCACCGTCTCCAGCACCCTCTCTACCAGCACCACTAGCAGCGCTTCTGCTTCTTCTACTAGCAGCTCTGCTTCCTCATCCACCACCAGCGGTTCCAGCACCTCGTCTAGCGCCACGTCTGCTAGTTCCAGTAAGTAGAACATAGGTGTTATTATATGATCTGTATCTAACAACATATAGCCTCTTCCGCGTCTCAGACTTCTGCAGCTGCTTCCACCTCGGCTTCCGTCGTGCCCAACACGAATGCCGCTCAGACGGTGGCTCCGTTTGTGGCCCCGATGCTGCTTGCCGTCGGCGCCGTCTTCATGTAAACACATGATATACGATGCGCACTAACTATTCTTCTACCGAAGCAGCACGATCTTTCGTCGTTAGAGGGAGGGGTAGGGGTTTTTTCATTGTATAAAATATGCTTCTCGCACCGTTTGTACAATGGCATAATTTTGATAGCCGACGCATAATGGAAAAGGAAACGCTCTGATTTGAGGGATCATTACTACTGGTTGAATGGGGGAAATTCTAAATACCCAAAGCGGTCTCAGGACACCCTCCTTGCAAATGTTGTATACGTAAAAGTCTGGCCGTAGAGCAAATGTATAATCTTCTCAGCGACGGATACTGCCTTAAGTGCCTGTGTTGCAAGGTTGTGACCAGTTCCGTCGTCGTTTAGTATAACGGTCATGCTTGTAGTACTGTACGGTGGAATGGTGAAACACCGGATAAGATCTGTAGTGGGAGATTCCACACGCACAACCCGCATTACTGCATCCCGCTTTACCGTAGCTTGGCGGTTGCAGCGATGCAGTAAGTAACAATGGATGGGGAGGGTTGCTTGCTAAACCAGTAGAATGGCAGGAATCTCGTTCGGGTACGTGCACCTTACCGCAGCCGAGGATCGATCGATGGGTATATCGTGCATAGATTAGATACTTAGTTGACTACCTAGGTAGATATATGGCTTTGGGAGTTTGTGTGCTTACCTGGGTAGTTACGGTGCCGCCTCAACGGCTCGACAGTTTGTGCTCTCGAGACTCGAGACTCGAGACTCGGGACGGGTATAACCGCCCCTGGGGATGCGCATCGTGTAGTCTGAGGCGGTAGACCGGTGCGCCTGTGTGTTCGAGATCAGATATATCCTAGTCTTGCTATGTCAAATCATGTATCCTCAACCCTCTTCAATACCCAGGCTTCGAGGCAACGAAATGATACAACGATTCCTTGTAAAAAGCAAGGCATCCTAAATCCATGACTATTGCTCTCCGGCTAATCTCAACCGTCTAGTATATACCTACATTACTAGCAGATTGGATCACTTCGTTTATAACCACCTACTCGTTGCCGCTACCTGATACTCATAGTTAACGTAGACGCAAGTTTAAACGAGCTCGCTATTACAATCTAGGTAGGTTGAGCAATTCACTTCACGCGGAAAGCCGCCGTAGAGTGACAGCGTATCCCCCATCAACACTATACACACCTAAGTAGAAGACCATAGTAACATAAATGCGCTCCGTATCCTCTACCCCAGTTTAGTCATACAGCGTAACAACGAAGTGATTGCAATGGATGGATGTTTAGTATACCTAGTAGACCCTAAGCCATTTCCCCCTATTTGATCCGGCGACTCGGACGAGTCCTCTGTTCAAACCCCATCCAATCCAATCTGGCCTCCTCCAACGAAACCCCGTATTTCCATCGTCCGTCGCTGTACAAATCATTCATCGTCCTCATTGTGACAGATTTGAGTAATGCTTAGACGACCTTTCCTCCCCTGTTCCTCCTCTTGTCCTATCCTTTCCATCACTTAGGAAAAGAAGAAACCCTCCTTCACTTCTCCACCCCTACAACCACAACCCACCCTCTCCGCTGTACCAATACACCATGCCCCCGTTCTTCTAAAATTCGATATCTCCCCTGAAGACCTCGGGGTCCACGCCCGGCAGGACCTTCTCCGCGAGGTCGCGTCTGCCCATCTGCGTGAACACGCGCCGCAGCGTGTCGTAGAGATTCGTGCTCCGATTCTGCGTCGTCATGGCGTCGAGCTGCGCGTCGCTCACGTCTCCTCCCAGTAGCTCTCGTGCCTTCTCCCTTCCTTCCTTCTCGACCGTCTTGTGCATGCCTAGAGCTGCGAGAAGATGTCCCGCCGCTTCGGCGTGGCAGCCCATGTTAATGCAGCTTACCCCGAGGTTGTATCGTGCCCGAACAAAATTAGGCCGTAACGTTAATGCCTTTTCGTATGCGGCGATGGCGTCCTCACTCTTGCCGCTATTGGCCAGCGTTGCGCCTAGTCGGTTCCATAGGAGGTGCACCTGACCCTGTCGGTTCGAGGATCCAAGTTCCGTTGATGCTAGAGCTGCCGAGAAGCAGTCCACCGCCTTGTCGTACTCTTCAGCTCCGTAGAATAACACTCCCAGTCCCACCTGCACATCTGGATCCATGTGCTCGCCGTCTGGGCTAAGCCGCGCCGCCTTGATGAAAAGATTTGTGACCCGGTCGTGAAGCTGTTGTCGTTCGGTAAAGCCAAGCTCAGATGGAGACGAAAGGTCACCTGGTGCAATGACGGAGGGGTATCTGATAGAGAGCCACCGCTCTAGCGTTCGATAGGCGATACTATCGTAGCCCTCGTTCGTATAGGAGACGGCTAGGGTCATCAGCGCTGGTGCATTATTCGGATCAAGGTTCTTCGCCTGTTCGAGCGCTCGGATCGCAGCCGTTTCCTTCTCGTTCTGTGCCTGGGCCATGCCGAGCTGAACCCACGCTTCCACATGCGTGGGATCTTTTTGGACGGCGGCTTCGAAAGCGAGAGCTGCCAAAGACAGGTTACCGCCTCCGTCCACAATCCGCATACCCTCTTCAAATGGATTGCCCGTGTTCTTAAACAGGTTATCTTCTTCAAAGAGATAGTTTTCTATTTGGGGATCAGCCATCAACCTGCTGTTAGCACCAGGCATACTCCAATCCCCGAAGCGTTCAGACCAGTCTATAGGATCCGCTGTCTGCTCAATCCACTCTTCCTCGTCGAGCATCTCTTTGCCGGCCGCCTCCTCTGCCCTGATGCCTCTCCAAATCGACTCGAAATCGCCGAATTCGTTGGTTTCCGACTCCAGGATTTTCTCGTCCAATTTGTTCAGTTCTGGTTCCAGTGCGGCGGCCTCGTCGACATCCTTGGTTTCATTTTCCTGCAACTCTAACTGCTTGAACTGCTCTTCCCACTGCTGGTCATCAAGCTCCACCACTTTTTCCTTCCCTTTCCCCTTGTCTTGGCTCGTTCTTTCTTGGAATTGTTGCCGCGCGGCCATAGGGTGGTGCATTCCCATGCCTCCCATGCCATAATTCATGCTCATACCGTTCATCATTCCCATTCCCATCATTGGATTTTGATATTGCATGGCGGAGGGCATGGGGCTTGCTCGCGACGAGTTTGCCTGGCCGGTCATCCGCTGGAACTTGGCATAATCTTCGGGGCCAAATTGTGTGCCCTGAGGAACCTTAAAAGCCGACTCCATCGCCGCCTGTGGGTTGTGTTGGAATTCGTTTGCCCACGACGGCGAAGTCGAGTTCGCTCGCAGGTGGACGCCGTGCGCGGGGTGATCTAATCGTATCTGATTCATGCCCTCGAGAGGCATGGTCGGCAGCTGACCATTTTGCTGTAGGAATGAATTCATCATCTACGAGCGTATGTAGTTAGCTTGTGTACGTACCAAACCTCGTTATCGTCATCATACCTCATCCTGTGGTCCATGTTGGGCAGCACTGCGAAAGCCGCCCATGCCACCCTGGGGAGTGCCATTTCTGAGACGATCCCTTTGCAGAGTGTTATCATCCTGGGTGTGTTTCGTGAACTGGCTGAGCGGGTTGCCCGCAGTCGAGCACTCGGGCCCGCCAAGGAAAGACATGGTTAGGGGATTAAATACGATATGAGAGAGGCAAATTCGTGTGTGTGTTCGTGAATACAGCTATAGACACAGCTTCGGTGCAAGGTCTGGTTGTTGTTAAGGATGATAGGAGACTCGAGGGATGGCTGTAGCTGTAGCTGTCGCCCGATTATTTAAATCAGGCCGTTCTCGGGTGGCGGTAGGTTTGATCGAGACTCGCCGTGTGCGAGCTCCTGGGTTCTGGATTAATCAACGTTGTCAATAAAGAATATTAGGCGTGTAAAGTGTTGTAAATGTTAAGAACAGAAATGGTTCACGTGTAAGTAGTTAGTAAGTAAAGTGCAGCGGTGAAATAGGTTTGGCGTTATTCTTTATTACAAAGCCGTTCTTCCAAATATTGGTAGTGTTGGTAGTGAAGTCACTGCCCAAGTTGCCGAGGAACCCCACGGGCAGGAAAGTCCGGCGACACAATTTCTACCTGCGGTAGCCGCCGAGGTCAACCGTTTGCCCCCCTCCCCCCGCCAAAGCTTCGTGGTTACCTTCCATTTGACATTTGCCTTTGGATTTATAGTGGTCAATGCGCTAAAACACACCACATCCAATACACTTCCACGCTTACACGCTTACACGAGTATCTTGGGTAGAAGAGCCCTTAGCCCTAACATTTAATGGATGTCCATGCCGCCTAATGTCGAGCTAGTACATACATAAATACGACCAATTCACTAAATAGCATCTTACACATAAGGGGTCGCTTCTAGATATGTACCTACCTATTAAATAGGTAGGTACATAGTAGTGATAAATAGTCTCCTACCCAAGTAGAAGCACTTTGGGAGATGGGCAAGACTAAGATCATATTTCATGTCGTGTGAAGAAGGGAGATTTTGTACATTTAATTTCGTCGAAACCATGCCACTCATTTTGTGCCAACCGCGAGCCCCTATTAGGTAGAAACGGATGTTCTACATGTAGAAGGTGTTGTTACATACAATGGCCTGGTCCTCCATCTCTTTCGAATGGATTCCCGCCAAGGACTTCGTAGATACCATGCCGGTTGACCCGCTCGCCATGATGCCTTCTCCGTCACGTCGCAAACCCCAGCATTCCACCGATATCCTTTCGTGAGCCATGAGAAAACAGCTCCGGGTTCGTCGCAAGAAATGTCAGCACTGTCTCATCACGCCTTATACCTTGTTGTTTTTTCTGTTCTCGGCGTAGTCGACACGGAGAGTGCGGTCTCCGATAGTGAAGCTCTGTAGCTTCTCATACGCCTTCTTGGCGCTCTCAACGTCCGTGAAGTCGGCGTGGGCGAAGCCGCGAGGCCAGCCCGTGTTGCGGTCTACCGCCACGCGCACATCCGTTACGTTGTCCAATTCCCGGAAGATCTTGTTAAGATCCGCATCGGACGTCTCGTACGGGATGTTGCCGATATATAACGAATCAGTCGGGTTCATCGGGGCCGATTTGCGCCCCGACCCCGACCCTGGGGTGCTCGCCTTTTTGTAATTCACGAAGATGCGGCGGCCGTGCCAGAACGAGTTGTTGGCTTCCTCAACCGCGCGGTCGGCAGCCTCCTGGTCCTTGAACGTAACGAAAGCAAAGCTGCAAATCTGTCAGCGAATTCGAGCTCGTGCGATCCCTCAACTACAAGAGTGGAAAAAGGGTGGTACACCCCAGCGTTAAAGTGAAGTGGACCAATGCGCTCACGTACCCTCTGCTCAAACCTCGACCATCCCGTGCAATCCTGAGTTCGGTGATCTCTCCATACTTGCCGAACGCTTCTTGGATGTGGATGTCGGTGGCATCAAAGGTCATGTTGCTGATGAAAACGGTTTGGTTTCTGTCAAGCTCATCCGGGAATTGGGCAGATTCGCCAGATCCAGTCTGCTCAACGCCATTCTCAAAAGAGTTCTCATCCTGCGCAACTCGCGACGTCTGCGAGAAGCAGCGAGCAAGAGGCAGCATCACAGCAGGTCTTGCGTTGGCCTTGCTCACATGCATGGCGAAAGAGGCAATCTGCTGTCTAGGGACAGCGGCAGCGACAATGGTGGAAGAGCGTGCTGCCCGCACAGCTGCGCGACGAATGGACTGCCTGTAAAATTTCGAAATATTAGCCATTTTCCATATCTGATCAACTGAGGGGTGTCAATTCATACATTTTGATCGGATGGTTTTCGTAGAGGAAAGAAAGATAGACTTCGCCAATCAAGTGAAATTTGTAGACGCAGGATGAAATATCACAACGTCGGCTGTAAATTGATTGCAGTGAATTGGAAAAGTTCGAAATTCTACAGAAAAAAATTTCGGTTTTTATCGATGGGGTGATAAGAAACCACCAAACCTCCCGCACACCCACTAATGCAAAATTGGCCAATTAAGTGGACCGTACCTAGCCTAGCATCCTAGTATTTTACCTAGTTTTTTTCCCGCGCGATAAAATCCTCTTATCCGTCCCTCTTATCGTGTGCTAGGACGAAAAGTTGAATCTACTGTGTATATACCGTCTTCGGGGTCTCGAGAGACTAGATTCGAGAGGAATTATAGACACGAGTCATGGTTCCCAAGTCTTATTCATATTGACTCGCTAACATATATACCGCCGGTGGCTAATCAGCCTGCTACACACACGAGGCATACCTGAGAGTACCTATGTAGGTCAATGGGAATTGTGCGGCACACAGGGGCGCGGATTTCAACTTCTTAATAGTCCGTACGAAGTCAATACAAATACCATATGCTATATCACATATCTTGAATGTCCGAGCCGTGATCTATCCGACCCATGTAGCTTCGGGAGGTGATCGAGTCTCAGTTGCACACTATCCCAATTCCTACCGCTCCCAAGCCTTTTTTTTCCTCTCACCATTCCTCTCCTTGCCCATCCCAATATGTCCTCATTGGTAACAATGCTCGTGATCTTCAAACAGTCCAATAACCGTAACACAAATGTAGCCGAATTGTTAAAAAGACGGCGGGTATATGTATATATACAATTCGAACAAACCTAACAACACTAGGAAGGGAGGCGAAAAATGACCGTGATGCGACAAAGCTAGCACTCGGATAAGAGACGCTAAACATTACGATGGCGCATCCGGTTCGCCATCCGCTTCCCATATTAGAAGTTGCGCAACTCCTTCTCCTCTCGGATAAGATAGGTGAGGTGACGAGTGTCTGTGTCTTCTGTAGATCGCGGAATTGAGATCGAGATGATGAGATGTAGAGATTGACATCAATCAAAATCTCCGCGATCACTGACGAGCCAGAAGGAATCCAGAAACCATCCGCCTCACAAGTTCCCCAACGCCGAAGTAGCAAACACTAGACTGTAACCTTAATCCGACACAGTATCCTCTGTTCCAAGTCCGAGTGCGCCTATAAAGTTCCGAGGTGCTCGTCGCCAGCCATAAAAGAATTCAGCCGGACGGCAACCGTAATCTTGTACGGGGTATCGATAAAATGCGCAGGAAGTTTCTAGTTTTTTTGATGGCTACCGCCCCCCCGAATGACACGTTTACAACGACAAAAGAAATTATAAATAACGGTGCCTTTGTTTTTGCTAGAAACGATCTGATCGAAACCCGTTGGGTCTCTGACCTTCGTACTGAACACCCGTCATTGATTCAGGCGCGTTCAACGCGCGTAAAGGCGGCAGCTCTGGTCGCGGGGCTCTTCCATACGGGTCTTGGCCGTAGGGGTCCGCAGACGGCTGCGATGGTAAAGGCGCATTCGGCGCGCCCTGTCCGGGTGGAAGCGGCACGTTCCCACGAAGCTGCGCATTCTCCATGCGCATCCTATCCAACTCACGACGCAACATTTCCGCCTCTTGCATAGCAGTTTGGTAGTGTCCCGAAAGAGACTTTATAGTGTCGGTCTGCTTCTGGTGTTCGGCGATAGCTGGAAATGTTAGTATAATCATGCCGGAGTCAAATTGCATAACAGCATACCTTTCGTTAATATCTCCCATTTAGAAGCCTTTGATCCTCGCTCCTGTGGCATTAGATCGCGAAGTTGTTCGAATAGTTCTTTCATCTCCGTCCTCCTCTTCCTTTCGGCAAGCTTATGACTTTGACGCAGTTCCGGGGTCCTGCTATATGGTTGATTACCGCTATGCGGGCTGGACTCTTCGCTATGGAGATCCGAGAGCTGTTTGTGTTGAAGCGTGTGGTGGTGAATCGTTTGTTGGAAGTCTGGACCAAGGCCATCATCGAGTCGCCGCTGTCCAGGAGGTAGCCGGGATTCGGTCGTGAATTGGCTACTCGCGATCGATTCCGTAATACTACTCCTCCGCGAGTCGAAAAATGTATGATTACCAACCGCGGAGGGCAGGCGCTGAATTTCCTCTTCTGGGAAGGCCCATGCTTGACCTTTAGTAGGTTCCGCGGCTCGAGCGATCGTACTAGTGGCAGGGCCCGTGATAGCAGGCGCAGTTCGAGCCGTCTTAGTGTGTTGGCTATCCGGAGTACGCTCAATATTTGGTTGATATCCATTGGATATCCTATGGACAGATAGATGTTCTATCCCCGGACGAGGGTTTCTTTGTTGTGCCAAAGCTCCGTGAATCGATGCCGTCGACTGATTCTGGCTCGCGTAAGGGGAACCACCCAATCTTAAGTCGCCAAAACCCTGGTTAATCCTGCTGTCCACGCTTTCCCGTCGCGAATCCGGTCCGACACTTGCTGCACCTCCTAGCGATGCGGCACCCGGCATAGAATCCAATGATTGAGGTCTTTCAAAACGCCCGCCACCTGGAGTTGTTGGCGACATTATCGACGCCACGCTCATATTGCTCGCGGGGGATATGAGGGGCTGAGGAACCAGCGTCGTGGTCGTGGGGGAAGGGGTCTTGTCTTGCGCGGAATGATACACATTAATGCCTATGCCAGACGCGGCCGAAGTATCTACATGGCTACAGTTAGCAACTTGAATACTCCGCACTTAGCATAAGGGACATGGTAATTAACTACGTACGCTTGCTAGACGCATCGGTACTCGAATAATAGGCCGAGTCCCGATTCTCTTCGGGGGCATTTAGGACTGTAGCCAGGCCGGCTGGGAGCTTCTGCGACGCAGGCCGAGACTGTTCGGCCGCCATTTTCGAAGATTGATGCCGCGGTTTTTTATATGAGGCTAACTAGGCAACGCAACGTGAGATAGGGAGGTGGCGGGAAATAGCTGGAAGTTGCAAGGACGTCGTCGAGTTAAAATATGTTCATTGACGGTGCTAAAGTTCCTAATCATGAAAGATAGCCTCGTAGTATGGGATGGTAGTCGCCCTCGGGAGGGCTAAAGGACGGTAAAAATTATAACTGTAACTTAGAACGCGGTGTTCAAGGGCGATTTACATTGGCGAACGGGGGTTTAGAATAGCATTGACACTAAACAGCCAATTGCAATCGGGCGCAACTAGATCGTCAAAGGCCCAAAGCTCGTGTGGGGGAAAAGAAGGAGAAAGAAAACGATTCCTCAAGACTAGAGCTAGTAGTAGTGGTAATAAGCGGTAATAATGGTGTAGTATAAGAAAATGGGACAAGTCGATGGGCAAAAGTCTGGAACTAGGACGAAGATGGCTCGAGGTTACAAGACGTCAGGAGCGTGTTTTGGTACCAGCACCCGGACGCAACATACAACATAACGACGATGCGCTTTCTAGAGGATGGTTATGGTCTGAATCTGAATGGCTCGGACGCGGGAAACAAAAAGTTAAAAGGCCAAAACGAGCAACAGAATAAAACAAAATAAAAAGGAATTCTGAATTGTTGTATGTCAGAGGAAAAGATCTTAGCCCCCAGTTCAAAAGTTCCAAATCAGCACGGGCTGGTGGACAAGGGCCCCGTAGGTAACTCCAGGCTTGTGTACCTGGGATTGCAGGTAGTAAGGTTGTAGGGTTGCAAGGGGGGTTACGATGGTTAGGATGCTCGATGTTCTCTAAAAGAAGGAGAGATGGGAAAATGGCCTAAGAGAGAAAAGAACTGGCCAGGTTGACTAGGGGCAAAGTCTCTTAGCAGAATTGTAAAAAGCAGTTGTACATAGAATGGAAAAGAGAAATGTAAACCACCCCCCTTGTTGGATCGAAGGAGGGAGCCATGGAGCCCTGCGCGCGTGGAGGAACTGCAAGAGAGAAATGGCAGGTGAAAAAAGAGCCGAGAGGACGGCCATTCCTTCTCTGTCTCCATGTCTCCATGTCTCCATATCTCCATTTACATAAGTAGGTACATACTTGAGAATGTACCGAACCATGCAGTATAGGTAGCATGTATTTAGATGATGTACAAAGTACCTTACTATATACGTGCAGTAGAGACATTGGCAATGCCGCAATCGTTGTAGACACGCGGGTAGTCATGGCTACCAGGCTACTAGGTATTAGACGCTCTGACTTACTGTCTACTCTGACTAAGGATTAATCGCATGGCCTTTTCCAGGAAGATTGCTGGAGATGATACTTGAAGGATGAGTACAGTGTACCTCTGCTATGCTCGCTTTTCGACTAATGTGTAACTAATGCGCCGCTTGTTATTGCTTGCTGTTTCTTTTTCCTCGTGGCGCGCGATGTACTGGTCACACGTGAGGAAGGTTGAGCAGGGATGTCGTCGGCCCATGTGCATGGAAAGTGGAGCTGGTCCATGAGCGGCACCGTGGCCGAGTCAAGGTAGCAGGGTCGTAATGAGGTACATCATCTCATGTAGTCCCTAGTAGTTTCCTTTCATTAGAGAAGAAGTACCTGGATACATGTATGTCTGAGGCTTGGCTTCAATGGGCCCAATGGAAATCCATCGAGGTTTTACATAGCACATCCAATACCTAACTACTATAGTAATAGCGGTAGTAGTAGGATGTCTACGCAGAGGGTACCCGATTAGGTATTAGTTATGTAGGAGGCCATCGGGGAAAGCATTCAACAAACTCTGGATAGGATCGAGCGTCAGCAAAAGACCTGCCAAAGACCAATGCTATGTTTTCCTACGGCGAAGGGTATTTTACTCCACGGCGCCCCCTTCTACTCTCCGTTTGAATCGGAAGTTCCGAATTCCAAGAAAGGATAGAAATCGTCCTTTTTTTATGGATAAGGAATGCAAGGCTTTTAATAAGAAAAAAGAAGAAAATAAGGACTTCCTTCTACTGCCATAAGATACGAAATTTACAGGCGTCAAGGAACTACTAGGAACTAGGTCAGGATAGGATCGAGGCGAGTTGGTTTTGCCGCCCGAGTCCAGGGAACTGGTGGTCACTAATGGTCACTGGTGGTCTGTTTGGTCTGATCGAGCCTGGAAGTTCGCAGGGAGTCAGGGACACTGACAAGCTCAGACAATCCAAGCGACCTTAAAAGGTACGGAAGAAGGAAATCCAAGCTTGTCCCCCGCTGCCCTGTAAAAGCACGAGTTATCTGATGGCTCGTGCTGGAACCCAATACCGGATACCAGCGCGGTTGGTAACAACATGGGCCGTGCTACCAAGGTAGGTTGTACGGGGGGAAACCGGGGGGGGAGAACCCTTTGTAGGGGTTTACAAATAGATGACATACCGTCGAGACATGGATATCGCTTTAACTCCTAAAGCATCAAGTGATTGGAATATGTATGAGAACTTCCGTCTCCGCCAACACGAAATGGGCTCTATTATATTTGCCGCTACCTGAATATGTGAAATGGCTGACCAACAGTTAGAAAACATACGCATAGTCTCACCAATGTGTTTCCCCGGCAGTTCACACTTACCCACCTGGGTACCCTAGTCGGCGTACCCAGATATAATGGCTATATTTGTGTTTGCTATCTATTAAAGATGGTCAAAATCGCACCACAAATCAAGTATATCGGCTTAGGTTTGTAAGGCATGTAAGACACAAATATTGAAATACTATGCGTATACACATCTTCAACCATTACTACGCATTGGGCCTAGGCATTCGACTAGTCCTCTATAATCTCAAGCGCTTCTCCGATCGAGGTCATAAATTAGCCTAGGATGATGTGAAGCATCATGTATGGGTACGTTACCGTCGGTGTCCCTGAAGAGAAGTAATGCCCGAAACGACAGAAGTAGTGATGTATGTATGTATGTAGGTATGTAGGTATGTAGGTATGTAGGTATGTAAGGATGTACCTACGCTGGATGTCAATAAGCTCGCTTGGGATCCGCTGCAGCGGACGTCTACGGTCTACCTACCTACACTATTACTAGAGCCATCTTACGATACCTTGGCTTCTTACGATCCTCCCGCCGCCACGTGAGGTGGTACCTGCTAACCATACAAATCCCTTTTAGTAACATGGCTAAGCTCCAGACTAAGCCTAATACTACCCTGTGTTGGTTGACGAGATGTTCGGCACAGTGTTATGCACCATATCCCATCAACTATGCGGGGTGCGTATCAAACGGGTAGCTTTCCGACAGACCTGTCAAAAGTTGATCTTGTATACGTACATACATACATACATATACGACAGGATCTCTAATGCCGCCGCCCTCACGGCACACCATCTCTCAGATCTACGGAAAGGGACAACCTTGGAAGCTCTCTCCACCGGATTGGCTATGGACCATCCCCTACGTCGCGAGCGGTGGGGATGTCGGTACGAAAAACAGGTTGGGAGCTACCAGTATAAGGAACAGAAATGCCTGACGCAGCACGATCCAGAAGTTAGCGACGGCATCTTACATGGCCCTGGCGAGGTGTAACTTGTTTGCCGACGTCGCTCTGCTCCGTGAAATCACGGAAGCGCAAAGATGTCAACCAGAAAGATAGGTTCCGGATCTGCTGTCTCGGGTTTGCTAACTCCTCATGCCACCCTAAAGCACCGGACCGGCTGTCCTGCTAATGTGCTCGGTTATGGAATCGTCTCAATCATGAGGCCAAACCATCTTACCGTGTGACTTAATGACCTCAGAAACAAGACTTCACTAGACTTTGGTTCCTACACACTACACCCCATCATCGATTCCCTGCAGAGACAATAGGTAAAAAAGAGACTTATCAGTCTTAGTCAGATATGCGCTGTAATGGTCTTCGACAACGGCGGTAGTTGTTTGACAAATCATTAGGTGCCATATATATGTAAATATGCGTTACATCCCATTCTCCAGACCCTCGAGAGTAGATGGCAGAGTTCTGGTGTGTGAGAGCCTTCTATCGCTCACGCCGCCACTCCACAAGAGCGTCTTGCATTCTTGGGACGAAGAGACCTATCACCAAGTCTCGCCAAGGACTCGTACACGCGTCGCACGCAAACACACAGGCGGGACGCCCACACGCACTTTCGGGCTGTCGCTTGCCATCGGTCGGTGTGATATCTGTCATATTTCACATTCGGTGTACCGCGCGGGTTTTACATATTACATACAAGTTTTTCTTTCTGTTGGAGTGAGAGAGGTATAGGGTTAGGTATAGTATAGGGACAGGGACGGGAGACAAAAAAAGAGACGCCCTCAAGTGAAGCACAGTGTCCGGATCTATACCATTTCAACCTTCCTCCCAATCTCTACTGGAGGGGGGAACATCTCAGTTTGTCTTGCAGAATTGCCGCGCCTCATGCAAGTCTTGGGTGAGACCTTACCCAGGGCTTTTTCTCTGTCGACGAATTGGAAGTTTAGAAGCTTGTGCGACTTGAGGCACATCGTAGGTAAAATGTATGCATGCGCAGGAAAAGGGGGTGTGGACGTCTTCACCAAGCCACCTTTCTCCGCTTTATACAGTATTAATGCTTGCTTAATGCATTGTATAAAGCGAGTATTCTGTACACGTTGATTCAGATACATATGTAGGTCGAGAACTTCCACGTGGTTGACGGCGTTCCACATTACTCGAGTCACGTACATATTATTTAATGTATATTATCCTGTTCCTTCGCTCCTCGTAACCCCTTTTTAGGCTTAAGTTAAGACATATTACGAAGACATCATAAACTGGATTTCTGTCACGGCATAAGGCTGCCAGTACGTATCAAGGCCTGTTAGATCAGATATCTTCATCGTCAACGACACGCAGATACTTGGGGGCCGCCGGCACTGCAAACTGCAAACTACAAACTACAAACGTAAATTGGCCTACATATGTGATAGCCTACAGGAAGTTAGAAATCGGTACCAATCATCACCCAGTCAGGGTTCCATGCCTGCAAGGCGGATAACGGTGATCGTTCCCACCCCCCTCCTAAATTTTTTCATCGTGACCCCGTTTAGGCTCACAAGTTTCCCCATCCCTTTCACCCCCCCAAGCTTTGGTGTTGGTGTGGGCGTGGGCGCGGCATGCGGCATGCCACGTTCCTCATACACTTAAAAGGAATTTTCCCTTCGCTAGCGCCTCCGCCATATCCCTGATTCCCTGTGCTGTGCCAAGCTCACCAGGTATCGTCTCTGCGTAGTAGTAAGGCTAGCAACAAAGCAGGGTTAATCGGTGATTCTCGTCATTTCGGGAGTGAGATCCTCGTCCTGGTTCGGCCGTTCCCTATCTTTTTTTGGCCGAGCTATTATTCGATAGCACCCAGATCTGATATTAAAAAGTCAAGCCTCATACTGGCCCGTGGTGAATATCCTTGCCAGGTCCCCGGACTAGAAATAACAGGGCTACCGGTAGCTCACGTTATTCTTTTTAAGGGTATTTGTACCAAGTCTGCTTCTATTCGTAGAAAGGTACTCGATGGGATGCTTCTCGGTCTAATATCAAAAGAGTCTAGGAAGCGCACCACTTCTGTTCCTTACAGAACATATAGAACGGTAAACCTGTCTCCCGTGCAATGCCTTATGCACTCCATCGCGCTACACCGATATAGGTAGCTTATTAACCCTTTTCTGCTTACTGTATCTGCCATATAAGGGCGCCAAGATTATTTTAGAACGACACGATCAGCTCCCCAAGGATCGGCCACCTTTACGAATGTGATACCATGCAACATCTACCGAGAGCCATACTACGTATTTAGTAGCGCGCCTATGTGCGTAGTGTTCGTAAAGCAGTCTAGGACCCATCAGTATAGTGACTGTGCAACACCAGGTAGGAGTAAAAGTCATGCCATTTGGCGGCTTTATAAACTAATCGGGCTAGGACCAGGGACAAATAGAGACTATACTCAGCCAGCATTTCAATTTTGATATAAAAGCTGATCTACGTAAAGTTGACAACACGAGATTCGATTATGATTTCGGGCGGTAATTCTCACGGTTGCCTTCGAGTTGGTACCAGCCTACGTCGTACCAGCGGTTCGCGCAAGGTTGGGGACTGTTCAATGAACCGTTGAACTATTGGATGCGAGAAAAGAAAAGACGGCGTCCGCTCTCCGCCTAAGGAGATCTCTACTATGGATTCTTCCGACTGCAGCCGTTGCTTTTTGCTATCCGCACCTGGATCGATGCACGGGGTAGAGCGATCTAGCACGTAGATGAATACGATCTATGCGCTCTTCTCCCTCGCGTTATTGTTGCGTAGTTCATTCTTCCCACGAGAAACTAGCCTTGAAGCTATTCGTCTTACACGTGGGGGGTCCAAGAGATCTAGCCTTACCGAGGACGATACACAGCGTCTGGAGACCCTAAGCGGAATTAAACCGTGTCCGACGGGAACTAGTAGGATAGAATCCAGCCACATTTTCGATCATTAGCATACTATAATAGTTAGACCTCGGCCTTTCAATAGCCTCGCTATTTCATGGAGTTTACCACGGACACCCTACCGGCTTAGGCATACATGCAGTATTACAAAGTATTCAAACGCCTAAGCTCGATTCGTCCTCCATCCGAATGGCATTCGAAGAAAAAAATAAGCACGCATATTCACTATGTACTAATTAGTCGATAGTTAGTTTGATGCTGCGTGGAAGATCCTTATGGAGGAACTTCCGCTTTCGCCTAATCCGAGCCGACTCCTCTCGGGATCACCACTGCAGCACAGCTGATTGTTACTAAGAGCTAACCCTTACTTGACTTCGCAAGCTTTTTGGCCTGTAAGCTTCGTAGCTGGTGTGGTCTGAGACCTACCGAGCACACACGTCGAGGCATTGCGAAACCTGGAAAATCAGTTGCTTTCTCCTTTGGCAGTTTCCTTTTCATACACCTCGGTCTGCTGGGTATCGCCGAAGGAATAGGATCCGCGCGCCACTCCCGCCGGGGGGCCATCCCGTCTGTGACGCCAACGTGGAGGCTCTACGTGCGTATGTAGGGGGCGAAACCTAAGAGGCTAACCAGACGGGTTATCCATGCCCTGCGCTTAGATCTATGCTTATTCGCGATGCTAAATTCTACAAGCGAATTATATGATCCTACGGACAGGCCTTGACCGACGATTGTGATGTAATATTGTATACTAGGTATGTATGTGGATGCATGCTGACGAGCATGCCACGAGCTGAATGATTCGAATCCCGGCGTGGATTACCCCTGGTTATTCGAATCCGCCGATTAGTTCCTGGCGTCAGCTATGGCACTATTCAACTATTCACTACACGGCGCCACCGCGGCGACAAATAGGTTCGGAGACGGCCGCGGCACTTAGAATCCTTCCTTGCATTTGTGAATAGGGAGGAGTGTTGAGAGTGATATATCATCACGAGACGATAGCATGTTCTTTGATGACCGTTGAAGTTTTGAACAACTTCAGCGCTTAGTCCTGAGCTCTCGCTCAAGGTTAGAATCAGAAAACAAATGCATGCGTACACTCAAGTCCAATCGTGCTACGTCCCGTGCGTTGCGAAGAAACAGTATCTACTCTCTCGGATATACGGCATATACAATTTGGTACAACTTGATCACATAGAGACGATGTTCGTCAATAGTTAACGCCAGGGGCAATTGATTAGTATGAACGGCAACTCTTTTATCGCACGGCTGGCCAATAGTTTCGGTGCCAACCTGCACAGTAGCACCGTCACATCTCGCTAAACTCTTGACCTGGGGGATAACCAAAGCCTCAGGGGACGTACTACGTATGAGAATAGTCAGGTTTCCTATACGGCGAGAAGTTAAGACTGCCTACGTACTTAGATAATTTTCAACTTGTTAGACAACCTTCACCGTCCTCGATTTATCCCAACTACCTCACAGGAACCTATCTACCTTGTGTAATTCAGGAGGCCCTACGTGGTACGATGGCCTCACCTATTTTCCTTAAGGGGAAGACGCTGGCGAGACCGTTCGTCAAACACTTCCCTCCTCCTTTCGACGGATCTTTGTCCTCACGTTTTTTTTGCCCCAGGAAATCGGATCCCGTGGGATTTCCCCCTTTCCAAAATTTCGGGGTAGCAGGTGAGACATGGGACTTTTGGGGGCACGGCAGGATTTCTGTACCTTCTCTACCACGTTTCTAGACCCCGAGGTAGCGCGATCTGGATGCGATAGTCCGACCTGCCACAGCGTGGGACCCGTCTGTCTCGGACGCGGATGTATCGCGTTCTGTAAGGAGCTGGGCGGGTTTGCTTGAAAGTCCTGCCGGGTTCCGTCTGCAAGGCCTCTCCCGCTATGCCGCTTGACGGCCGAATCTAGATCTTGAATAGGCAGGAATTCGCGATTCAGCGGCCTCCAGGTTCTCGTTTTCCTTGCGTGCCGACTGGTTGGGACATTTTGAGACGACTTCCGAGTAAAGTTCTTTTCTTTTTTCCTTAGCATCGCCACGTCTATACTATACAAATGAACCAGTGGAGCACCATCTTTTACCAGTCATCCCTCGCGTATCCTGGCTAATGTCTCATGCCAGCGTGCTTCTCGCGAACCAATCTACTAGCTGAACCTCTTCATCTACTGAAACAACGGTTGCCATGCTAGAATCCACGATGGAGCCCAGCCAGTCGTGACACCAGCACCGTGGCTTTCGGGATCTGGTGTAACAGTTTCAGAGGACGATGGAGTTATTTGGAACACCTTCAAGCTAATCAGATGCCGCTTACTGTGAAATGGTATACAGAAGTGCGACTGCAGCGAGCCTGGTGCCCGTCATTGTGGTCACCTATGAACTTGACCGCACTACGAAGTCGTACGTAACAGACTTCAACTACACGGAACATACCTAGGTGTGTACAGGAATACGGAAAAATTTCAACGGCGATTGCTGATATTCACCACTAGTAGGTATAGGTAGTCATTATAGCTACAAGCATCTTGGGAGAGAAGGGATAGGGGTTCCTGACTATAGTAAATATAACCACTACATTTCAAAATTATAAGCACAAGCCAGCTATCTTGCGAATGTCGTACAAATAAATACCTAGTATGCCCCAGGCTACACTGTATATTTCAGCTCAGCCACTAAGACCGTCGCAAGATAAATGAGAGCCCTCTCGGTGTTGGAATTGAGAAGGAGCTCAATTCTTCTTGTGCCCTAAAATATTTTCGTGAAGCGTCACTCAAAGCTTTGCGGCCTCAACTATGTACTGAGCTGAATCAGCACTCCCGTAATCTAGAATTGTAAATGGTGGCGGATTGCTCTAAGTGGATCTTGCGGAGTTGGCATGAATCGGCGGCGGAGTTGCGGACTTCCAACGTCAGCCTTTGTAGGCCTTCTCTTGTCGTGTTCGTTAGGACATCCTCTCATTCTACCAGAACAAACACATGTACAGTTTTTTTCTATGTGCGGATTATCTATTGCTAAGCGGTTAGCATTTATTCATAACGTCTATCCTCCCATCTCTGAGTCATTGTTCCGCAGCAGAATCCATGGCTCCTGGCGGGATATCGTCGCGGCAGAAAAGTTGCAACGCCTGCGTAAAAAGCAAGCGACGTTGCGATAAGCAGACGCCGACCTGCGGAAACTGTGTTAGGAAGAGATGTCCTTGTTCATATGGAGGCAAGTCGGATATGCAACCCCGTTATAATTCCGCAAATGGTTCTATCGGCGTAGACACTGTTGCTAGTCCTTCTTCAGCGTCCTATGACAGCGGCTTTGTGTTGAACGATGGCGGGTTCTCTACCGCATTTGACGCAGACGTAGCTCTACCTGACGCGACACTACAAATCGATGGGACTTTAGAGTCTCTGCTAAATTCAATGTCTGGGAGTACATTCGGTGATACATATGGGTTGTCTGATCTCCTGGGACGAGACGTGCCAATGGCGTCTTCGCCAACGAGTAAAGCCCTAACGCGACCAGATTATTCCAGGATAGCACCCGTCTGTGTAAGTGTCTATATAGCACTTCAGGTCTTTTCCTGCGTTAATTCTTATGACCGTAGGACGATTATGCCCCGTGGCAACTTGCCGACCCTTCGTCGAGAATTGCCTACGCAGTAAATGTCTTCAAAAACTTTCATGTTACATTTGCTCAGAATAAGTCAACTATATACATGCATAGCCAGCTGTACGTAGGAAACACGCCGCGCTGGATCTTACAGGCATTCGCTACGTGCGTCCTATACACAAACCAGACGAAAGAAACTCGCGGCTTCGTCCTAAAGATTCTTCACGAGAACGTCAATAATCTCATAAACACTGCCAGTGGTGTATCATTTACACCACGGGAAAAACTTGCGAGGGTTCATGCCCTGGTAGTTTACCAAACTATTTGCATGTTTGATGGAGACATCTCCCTTGGCCAACGAGCCGAGAATGATTTGCCTATTCTGGAATCATGGAACGAAGAGTTGAACAATATAAGGGACAACCTTGACGATGTAGCTGAACTGGATATGACTGAACTTCGCAAAAGGCAACCTGAGTCTTGGGAAGTAAGTTTGAAGAATGAGTTTCTACATTAGGAAGCACATGGTCACTGACAATCTTTAGCGTTGGGTGTTCGCAGAAAGTGTCAGGAGGACCTATATCATATGCCACGCTCTCAAAACTTTCTGGGACTTGTTGAAGGACCGAGGTGATGAAGGTAATAGCATCGACTTGTCTATTTTTGAATCCACAGCTAACCTGTGAGCCCAGATAATTTTGGGAAATGGGAATATATCCATCGATCAACCCTATCGAGACATCTATGGACTGCGACGAACTCTTTTGATTTCTATAGAGCATGGAACGAAAAGCCCATGTGGATTATATCTGCCTTTTGCTTTGACGAATTTCTGCGGACTGGAAAAGGAGACGACATAGATGACTTTGCCTTAGCTTTCTTGACCTTGTAAGCGTTCGCCTATCACAACCACCATTCCCTCGATTATTAACCTTTTCCTATTAGATCTTTCGGTTTGGACGAAGTGAAGACGTTTTGCTACGAGACAAGTAGACGACTTCTAGAATAGGAGTGTTCCTCTCATACAGGCAGGAACTTGCCACAACTCCGCAACCCCAAAGCTCCACTCCTAGTCCGCACCAGCGGAGCGGACTACACATGACTGACGCGGAGAATATGGAGTGAGCTCTTATTATGAACTTCCTTACTCCCTACCTTTGGTCATGATATAAATATACGGTCCTGTCTGATGGAAATATCGAATATGATCTTCTCCAGTCATCAAGTCTTCATGCTTCAAACTCACTCCTATCTAACTACCTCCGTATTCGACCTACCGATACACTACACCTAGCTCAGCACCTAATCAATACCTAACCATGTCTTCCGTCCCAACTCGTCCATTAGGCAAAAACGGCCCTCTGGTCCCTCGAATCGGCTTCGGCACTATGGGTCTCTCGATGAGCTACGGAAAGCCCATGCCGGACGAACAGCGAATCGAGCTCCTCGACCATGCCCATAAAATCGGTGAGACTTTTTGGGACACCAGCGACTTCTACGTAAGCCTCTCCGCAACATTATCATACTATGATAGACTTCCATTTTCAAAATTAACATGTATTCGAACCCCTACAACAGGGTGACTCCGAGGACATCATAGGAAAATGGTTCGCCAAGACCGGCAAGCGTTCTGACATATTCCTCGCGACCAAGTTCGGCGCCGTCGTCTTAGACGGCGGCAGATTCAGTTTCCGCGGCGACGCCGCGTACGTGAGCGAGGCCTGCGACAAGAGCTTGAAGCGTATGGGCATCGGCTACATCGACCTATACTACCCGCACCGCCTTGACGGCAGCACGCCGATCGAGCTTATCATCGCCGAGATGGTCAAGTTGAAGGAGTGCGTCTTTTACTTCCCCCTTACCTACCTCTACCCCTATTTCACCACCCTTGCCAAACACCAAAAGTCCACGAAACCTCCGATGAAAACCTCATGAATCTACCTGGAAAGCAAAAGCTAACACCCCAACCCAAAAAAGCCAAGGCAAAATCCGCCACATAGGCCTAAGCGAAGTCTCCGCCACCACCCTCCGACGCGCCCACGCCATCCACCCCATCACCACCGTCCAAATCGAATACAGCCCCTTCACAACCGAAATCGAGACCCCCGCAAACTCCTTACTCGCCACCTGCCGCGAGTTAGGCGTCGCCATCGTAGCCTACAGCCCGCTCTCGCGCGGGCTGCTCACGGGCCGCGTGCGCAGCGCCGCGGACTTCGGGCCGGGCGACGTGCGCGCGAGCTACCCGCGCTTCTCGGCCGAGAACTTCCCCGAGAACCTGGAAGTCGTTGACGAGCTGCGGCGGATCGCCGAGGGGAAGAAGAAGGGGTGCACGGCCGCGCAGCTGACGCTCGCTTGGCTGCTGGCGCAGGGGGATGATATTTTTCCTATTCCGGGGTGAGTTAGTGGCAGTGAATTACCTACCTAGGTACCTAGACGGTTTCGTTGGTTGGGTGTTTGTCTGCTAATGGGATTTGTTTCGCGGTAGGACTACGAAAATCGCTACGCTAGAAGAGAATTTTGCGGCGGCTTCTGTCGAGTTGACTGCTGAGGAGACCGCGCATATTAGGTCGCTTGTCGATGCGGCGTCATGCCATGGTACCCGATATCCGCCTTCTCATGCCCTGGGCTTGTTCGCCGATACGCCGACGCTCGAAGAGTACAATCCTGACTCTGCTCGTACGGCGATTGTTGGAACTGTATATGAGAAATAGATATTGTTTGAATGTCGTCACTGGGATGGATTTGATTCATTCAACCCATAGATTAGGTATGACCGGGAGTTGGAATCCATGTGCTTGGGTTTTGGTGTAATTAATTTCGCCACTCTAGATTGGAATACGAATGGTTTCGATAAATACATGATGGGACTTTAAGAATATCTAACATTTGGCTTATGGATGTCATTAAGACACTGTCTGTTACTGCCATTGGCATCAGAAGTCTGCATTAGTGAGTTCGATTAGAAAAGTGGTAACTATTAAGCAGCCCATCTTTATTTCTTACCCCTTACCCCTATTCATGGGACCACCCTTCGGTGGCATATCACTTAGGTAGTGAGCTATCATTATAATTCCACTTTTTCACTTAAATCTAAACCTGCTAACATTCCCAAAGTAGGCGACATCAGAATCCATATTAATCCATACATCCAACCGAGATACCAATATCACTCTTGATCGCTTGACCGATGGGGATATCAACGCTCATGTTACTAGCAGCCAATGAATTGGCGAAGTACGGTATGGGCTGACCAAGATTCGTCACATTCTTCCCAGACAGTTCGAACGTAAGGGTGCCGTTGCGCTCGCACGTGGGTCGTTTTGTTAGTGCGTTAAGGACAGCTGTATTGTTGATATCAGCCCAGATGAAAAAGTCATTCGTCCCTGGGTGTAGGACCATATTTAATATGTACGACGTCCCGATTTCGCTGCCATTCAAGTATGTGTGGAAAGTAGTATTGCCCTGAGTAACGCATATTAGTCTCCCATCCCCCTTCAATCCGCTAATACCTGAGTATCACGACACTGGGAATTTGGTTGGGGAGGAGTGCTAGAAAACTTACGACGTCTAGCGTCAACGAAGATGGGTTGGGGATATGGGCAGTAGCGTTGAAGTTGTCAGCCTGTGCGAGGCTCACATGCGGGTTCGTGACACTGAGGTCCTTAAAGTCGTCAAGCCCCTTAAGCGAGACCGTCTTGCTAAAGGTTACACTATAGGCGCGGGATATTCCACGGACGTGGACATGTGTGTCCCCTTTTACCAACACATTGACAGATTCGCGCTGGATGAGTTGCTCATTGAACGTCGTAAAAGCGTTCTGGTCCGAGATCGGGATTTCCTGGCTAATATCAACCGTCTGGTGGGCGTCCGACGTCGTCTCTGGAAAGTTGATCTTTGCGAACGCAAGGGGAGGGTTGGCGTCTGCTAGATACATGGTCCCTTCGAATCCATCTATGGTGGCATGAGTCGATCCGTCTGTGGTGATTGTCGAGTTGATGGCCATATTGAGAGAGTTGGTCTGGACTTTGGTAACGCTGATGCCATCGATAGTCAACCTGGCCTCGTCGAGCTTATTTTGAGCCATCCTCGGGACGACCACGAGTATCCTGAATACATACTTAATCATGTTCTTAGGTAGTGACTAAATCTTGATTGGTGTTGACTTACACGCAAGGCACAACGACAACTACCGCAATGACGAGTATTATCAACACGTAAAGCCACCATAACCTTTTGCAATGGCCCCTTGAGCTCTTGCTAGTACTTTTGCCGTTTCCGCCATTCCCAATACTCGCGCCTCCCTCGTTTGTTGCCTCCGCCATCTTTCTAGTCTCCCTTTTTCTTTTTCTTCGAATCTAAAAGCGCACTCTTCTCATTCAGGGGATGGCGATAGTTGCAGACTAGGAGTCAATTGTCGCGGAATTAATAAAAAGAAGGGCAGCTGTTGTATAATAACAGTTTGAAAGGGATCATCACATGTTTTAAGGGCAAGCCGCGTCTCGCAAGGGGCGTGTACGCAACCAACCATTGCGAACCCATGATCTTGGAAAGGTCCTATGTGTTAGGGTGGTAGCGGCACATTGTCCCCCTCTTTCTATTCCTTCCTACTTGCCATAAGTATTATCAAGATTGTCACTGCCGTTGGCGTCGACCTGTAAGAGTTACCCTCACAGCTTCCCCCGAGAAGAGGCTTGCTAGCTCGGCCAAATTGACTAGGCCAAGTTACACAATTACCAACTTGACCCCTATAATACGCTAGTTACCTTACACGACAGTACGTCCGCCAATGAGGAGATAGTATGAGGAGGAGATCCTTCCTGTTTCGAAGCGACACGAACTCAGATACCCCAGAGATGCTCGAGGAGTAATAGATCGGGCCGTGTAAATCTTATAGATCGAAGCCAATGGCGTTCTCTTCCTCGGTGTAGCGAACGAGCACATGAAAATTCTTTGCTCCAAGTTTTCCAAGTTTGCTTGTCAAAGTACCTAGGTAGGTGAACATAACATGCAAGGCGTCTTATGTGGTATAAGGGCAAGATGCTGATTGGATCAATTGTGCCCCCTGGAAGGATATCCTGGTAGGTTAAGTCCTCCATATAGTCCTCCACATTGAAACCTGAAAACCTGGAGAAAACCTGGGGAAAGAAGTCTGACTAATTCTTAAGTACGTTCATTATAGGTGTCTAAGCAAGTGATGCCGGGTTGTTATTACTCTTTGTTCGTAAAATAAGCGGAAAACGAAGTATTCTGAGACAAATGTGACATAAGAGACTGGACGGAGCAAATATGTGACCTCGGCTACCTGCAGATGATATATGCCGGTGCAGCAGCCATCTCAACGGAAGTCATGGATTTATGAATTGTCTGCTGAAGCCGGAAAATCCAAGGCCATTTTCAGTGCTAAATTCTTCGCTCACGAAAATAGTAACACCGATACCATTACGCTGAATACCCGGTATACTGCGATGTTGAAAGCATAGATTCAAAAGTGATCATGAAAACACCCAGACCACCGCGACTAGCCGCCATATAATGTCCATTATTTCAACCAAGTGTATAGTTCACATACAACAGAACTGACACACAGTTAGAAGCCAACTTTGAAATATAATAGTTATCCAAAATAAGATCATTATTTCGCTGTTCTAGTTATATCAAATGCTACTATAAATCATACAATCAAATACCTATCCTATCTATACCCCATATGGCCATCGTAACTCATAGCTTGGACTTGACCTTATCCCACAGTCCAAAAGTCTCCAGCCCCGCACCACCATTGAATATATCCCTCTCTACTTTGCTGGTGTTGATCTGTAACAAACCACGTCAGTCCTCATGACCACATATAGAAAAGGGGAAATGGGGCAAGTAACACTCACATGTCTCGGTCCCAACTCGCTCACGTTCTGCACGCCCAGTAACCTCATACACGTCTCCGTCTCCGCCTTCAGGACTATTCGCCCGCGTCAGTAACATAGACCTCAACAGCAAACACGTAAAAATAGAATAAAAAAATTCAACTTACTCTCCAAAGTCCTCTCCACGCCCGCCTGCCCACCAGCCCCGAGCCCAAACAACGCCGCCCGTCCAACACCCACAGCCCTAGCCCCCAGCGCCAGCGCCTTCACCACATCCGTCCCCCTCTTAATCCCGCCGTCGACCCAGACCTCGATCTTATCAAAGACCTCGGGGCAATACTTCCTGATCTCGAGAAGCGTATACACGGGCGGGGACGCCGTATCCAGCGCCCTGCCGCCGTGATTCGACAAGATAACAGCCTTAACCTGGGGCGCGTGGCGCGCCGCCAGGAACGCGTCCTCGTGCGTATGCACGCCCTTCAGCACGATCGGCAGGTCCGTGTGTTTTGCTAACCACGGCAGCGTGACCTTCCACGTGAGATCGGACGCCGTGCCGAAGAAAAGCTGCTGCCCGACTCCCCCACCCCCAGGCCTGCTCGGCTCGTCGTCCGTCTTCACGCCCGACGCGACTTTCGTCGCGTTCTTGAAGTTCTGCTTCTCGTCGAGCTCGCGCTTGCCGGGGGCCGGCGCGTCGAGCGTGAGAACGACGAACTTGAACCTGTCGCGCATCCTGTTGACGCGCGCGAGCATCGCCTCGCTTCTCGCCCGGTCGTTCTGCACGTACAGCTGCCATCCGAAGACCTGGCCCGGCGCCGCGTCCGCGACGACCTGCTCGGGCGTCATGCTGGCGTTGTTCGAGATGACCTGGAGCGCGCCGAACCTTGCGCACGCGCGTGCGATCCCGGCCTCGCCGTCCGGGTGTCCGAGCCGCGCCATGGCCGCCGGCGCCACGAAGATCGGGAGGCCGACCCTGTGGCCCAGCAGCGACGTCGACGTGTCGCAGTTCGTGCAGTCGACGAAGACGCGCGGCCGCAGCAGGATCTCCTTGTACACGGCGTTGTTGAACGACTTGGTGATCTGGTCGTCGCTCGCCGAGTAGTAGTACGCCCACGCCTTCTCGGGCATGCGTTTCGTGGCGACCTCCTCGATCTCGTTCAAATTGAGCAAGCTCTCCATCGGCGGCGGGCCTTCCTCCTCCTTCTCCTCTTTAGTTTCCGGCCCGCTAGTCTTAGCTATGGTCTGGGGATCGATGCGGCCCAGCTTAGCCTCGGGCTTCAGGTTTTCCTCTAGTGTGCCCGGAGGATGTATGGGGTCGTATTCCTCCGTAGCATCGCGGCCGGCGAGTTGTAGGATGATTTTGGAGCCCCCCGGGTGCTCGGGGAGAAATTTGGTCACGTCATAGACGTTACCGTACAGCACAACCCAGCAACTGTCGCTTGTCGTGTGCTTTTCGACTGAGAGATCGTGCAATTGTCAGTGACAGTGCACGGATGGAAATAGATCGGGTATAAAAGAACCATTCAGACCCTTATCTTACCTTCCTTTGCGCTGATGAGCTTTTCCGACATTTTCATAACATTTCAGGCAATTGATATACTCTACCTATCTTCTACTGCAAAACAATATGTGTACTCTACTTCGCTGGAAATGTTAAAAAGGAAATCATTGAATTGAGAGAGCTCCAGCTCTCCAGCTCTCGGCTGTATTTAACCCGCTACAACCCGGAGGTCGATCGGCGTTCTCAACTTAGCAACTCCCCGCGCTTTACCAGTCTGCTACCACGGGTATGAATCCCGCTATTAGCTATTAGATAACTCCTATTGGATAACTTGCCGAAGCCTGGAGAGCTTGGGGTTAGCTCTCATTGGTGGAAAAGGTAAAGCACTAATTAGGACAATTACGGCGATTTTATCAGATTGTATTGTCACTATCCACCTTCAGCATGCCAGCCTCAAACCACCGCTAATTCGGCGCAGGCGACACAAAGAAAATATCCACCTCAGAGAAATCCTTCCAAGGCCCTATGCACTCATGCGCCTTGCATAACATGACGTCGGCGGGACACCTATGCTTTGATTAAATCAGACCGAAAGTTCTAACTCCCAAGGTTCCTGGGTGGTGAACCTTCATCCCAGTCAATTGGTCTACTTGCTCTCAGCGGTAGGTTTCTTGTTGTCTTGATTAGCCCGGGCCCTTCTTATATTACTAGCTCCTGGAGCGCGAGGAGGAGTAGAGGAATAGCTATTCTGATGCGCCGCCGGAGCTATAGGGGCCGTATAAAAGAGTGGGGGCATAGGGTGTCCGCGAGGAGGAGGAAGATCAAAGAGCGGATGATAAGCTACAGGAGCCACATTTGACCTGTAATTAGGTGGTAAATTCGAGACTGGAATTGGATAACCTTGACTGATATCCATATAAACCAGCCTGGGTCGCTCTGGTGAGTAGAGATGGTGAGGTGGAAGCTGAGGCCACGGCTGATGCTGAGGTTGCGGATTAGGGTCGGGGTTAGGAAGATAGTGAGGACGAGGAGCAGGAGGAGCAGGCCCAGGGTGTGCGAACTGCTGACGATATTCACGTCGTTCTCGTTCACGTATGAGCTTTTGTAGCATGTTGTTGCTTGAAGCCACGCTTACCTCGGATTCTGCAGTACGGGATGAACGATTCGAGTTGTGACTAACACGTCCCGAATCGCGTACAGCATCTAATGATGAATCCTGCTCAACTGTTGATCGCTGTCCTGATTTTCCCTGGGCAAGGTTAATATTAATATATATCGCTGTATGTATATGGTTCAAGGGAGAGTGGTAAGGAACTTACATAAAAGGTAGCGGCGTTTGCAGTCTTGTCGTCGTAGAGACCGGCCATCCACTGTTGGCATTCTGCGTTGCTGACCTTCCTGCGTTTCTTAGGCGTCTCATCACAATCTGGCTCCCTAGAAGGTGAAGGTTCACTCTCATCATAGCCATCGTCCTTTGTTTCTTTTCGACGTTTGACTGGACTCGATGAACTCTTCTAGGTTTCATCGGGATGAGCCTCGTCGACAATATCCTCCTTCATTTTTGCCTTGTCCTGTCTCTTAGGTCGTGTTGGAAGATACTGCTTGCTCGAACTCATTGTGAAGAATCCGAAAATGGTTCTCAGAGTACTACTCTAGAATGCTTCCTTAGTTAGAGTGGTGTGACGAAATCGTGATCTGAACTGTGATCAACTGTGGTACGGTGTTAGTGGGTGTCGCATTTTCTTAGAATTATTATACGAGCTAGCTTCTGCTCGTTCATAGGTTGGCGATGGATCAAGACGAGGGAAAAAAAGGAAAAAAAAAATATTAGATACGCATAAAGTAGATGTATTCGCGACGTGTCGCTATATATGAAAAACTGAGATGAAGACGAAACAATGACATGTTGTTCTAGAATGAGGGAAATAGAAATTATATACTTACGTCGGATGTCTCCAAGCTGTTTTTAAGTTGTTGTCAAGACTGACCAAATAAATCGGTGATAATGAAGTTTGCGATTGTACTATTTTTGAAAGAGCGAGGGTAAGCGTGAATGAGAATGTGAATGGTTGTGGAAGTTTCGTCGAAGGCAAAATTATTGGTGAGATACCTGGTATTATATAGATTTACAATATTTAATATCTCCATCGTAGTTGCCGCGGCGTGTGTCTGGCAGAGTGACGCAGCTGCCAGGGAGGTACCTGTGCCATGTCCTGCACGTCACATTGATATGCCGATTAGATCTTTTTGACAGACGATAATGACACATTACAGGTGCCAAGACAAGAGCTGTGATCATCTGAAGGTTCAGGTCGAGAATTACGCACATTTATTTAAAGCATGCTCGCACCATATAGCGCCTTTTCTCAATAATTGAACTCCCTAAGCTACGGCAGTTATTCACTAAAACTCGGCGGATAGATCACTATTAGGTCCGGGCCTTAAGCTTAAAGCTACCATTTAAGAATCCATTGATTATCTAATTACCGATGCACTAAACAAGCTGGCGTGAACCTTGGTAGTATATCTTACCGTTTTAAGTAAAGTTAAAACACTCCACAACAATGAACCTCGGCTTGCGGAGGATAAAGATGGGGAACATCAGACGGCATCATTTTGCATGAGAGATTCAATTGACGGTTATAAACATATCAGGTAATAGGCCACCAAATCGGATATACCTTAATAAAGCGTTGCTTTTGCTCTAAATTAATACTACTTTACGGCTATTATCCAACACTAAATCATCAAAGTAAAACGAAAATGAGTGGTCCCGGTGCTGGTTTCGAATATCCTCCCGTCGAGGTATCGTGGACAAAGCGTGATGTCCTGCTGTTCGCCAACACCGTAGGCTGCACATCAGATGAGCTTCACTTCTTATATGTCAGTATCTGACTAATCTTATCTCATGCATGCTTATGTGTCTGGTGGAATCAACATCTAATGGTCTAGCAGGAACTCGATCCCAAATTCTCCGTATTCCCGACCTACCCGGTCATTCTTCGTAAGCGCCTTGCATTGTCCCAGATCAATTGGCATGTACGTGGGCTATACTAACAACTACGCAGCGTTCAAGAAGACCCAGCAAGATGTCATAGACTTCTATGCCGAGCAGAAGGCCATCCGAATCCCCGGCGTCCCCGAATTCGATGCGCGACGAGTCGTCGATGGCCAGCGATTGGTCCAGTTCCTCAAGCCCCTCCCGACCTCGTCCGCTGGCAAGAAATTTGAGGTCCGTTCCAAGGTCCTAGGTGTTTATGACAAGGGCCGCCCGGGCTCCGTCGTCGAGATCCAGCAGGACCTCGTTGATGCCGGCACCGGCGAGGTCTACTCGCGCGCCATCGGCAGCTCATTTTACGTCGCACAAGGCAACTGGGGTGGTCCTAAGGGTCCCGCGACCGAGAACTTCCCTCCTCCTAAGGGCAAGACGCCCGACGCAGTGGTTGAGCACCAGACCACAGCGCAGACGCCGCTGCTGTACCGTCTCAATGGCGACTACAACCCTCTACACGCGCACCCGGAGCCGGGCAAGAAGATGGGCTTCGGCGGCGTCATCATCCACGGCTTATACTCGTTCAACTACTCCGCCCACGTCCTGTTGCAGCAGCTTGGAGGTAGCGACCCTGCCAATATCAAGGAATTCCAGGCTCGGTTTGCGAGTCCTGTTAGGCCTGGAGACAAGATAGTTACATCGGTGTGGAGAACGGGAGAGAAGAAGGGCGAATGGGAGGAGATTAGGTTCGAGGTGAAGGTTGCGGGCGGAAAGGTGTGCCTGAGCAACGGAAGAGCGTTGATGAAGGTCGTGAGAGAATCTAAGAGCAAGCTATAAGTGAAACTATTAGGGATATGGGTATCTGTATTGTATTTATTTCATAAGGTCTAAAAGTTCGAAGCGGTGTGTAATATGCAGTTACAGAATCGAATAATTATCAAATATCATTGAAGCCTTTTATCGTCGTTATCGCCTGCCCTCCGTGCCTTCCTATCTAATTGGTGGTAATTCAGGGGCTAGGTGCAGTTTGTACCCCGTAATGCTCCTCTTGTGACGCCGTAACGACCCCAATAAAACTTGTTGCCTGATAGTACCTAGGTAGTATCTACTCCTAAGTATGGATACCTTCCACTGCACATTTACAACAACACAGACCGGATTGAGTTGTCTGCCACCGCAGGCAAATCTCATGAATGGTTTTATGACTCTTCTGCGATCCCTATGGCGACTAACTTCAAGGTCGGCGACCGATTATCCTATGATGGAGCCGTCTGCACGGTCCGGTATATCGGCGAAGTCAGTGGTACATCTGGTAGCTGGCTTGGCGTAGAATGGGACGACCCAACACGAGGAAAACATGACGGGTCTAATAAAGGAGTGAGGTATTTTACTTGTAAGTCGTCAAATAAGATAGAACTATCATAATCTAACTAGGAGAAGGCCGATCCAAATCACCAAATGCCGCATCCTTCGTACGGCCAACGCGGCCTACGGAGAAACCACAAAGTTTTATAAAAGCGATAACTGAGAAATACGCCTCTGAGCTGACCAATACTGCCGTCATTAAATTTTCGAATAAAGTAGCAGAGGAAGTTGGTTTCGATAAGATCCAGCGCAAGCAAGCCCAATTAGCTGAACTGAGAGTTGTCATCGTCGACAGTTCGCGCATCGCATCAGCCTACTCGGAAGGCGATAAACCCCTCAGTGAGGTCTGCCCTAAGATAGTCGAGCTAGACCTTAGTAGGAATCTCTTCCAGAAACTTGGACAAGTTGTAGAGATCTGTTCTGAGTTGCCTGCTCTGCGGAGTTTACGCTTGAAGTGAGTCGTCTCACCGTATCCCGTGTTTTAAGTCGCTAATGAGAACTAGCGGCAATCGATTTCAGGATATATTCAATGATGAGGTCCTAGGAAACTCCCATGATGTTCTGAAAGAAGTCAAAGATTTAGCTCTTGAAGAGACGTTTATGAGTTGGGAAGAAATTTGCCATGTCGCAACCAAGTTTCAAACACTCTCAACGCTTTCAGCCAGCGCGAACCAGTTATCATTTTTACCAGAAACACCTTTGTCGACACTCGCTTCTACTCTCGTCTCATTGAATCTAGAGTTTAATAACTTTATTACCATCGCTGACGTCGCTAGTTTGGCTGGGTTGAAGGCTCTTCGTAATCTGCACCTCAAGGGCAACCATATATCTACGATCACCCAGGACCCGTCTCATGCTCTACCGGTATTCCCAACGAGCTTGAAATATCTAGACTTGTCGTACAATAAAGTATCATCATGGGATTTCATCGATGTGCTACCGAATTGCTTCCCAGGCTTAACATCTCTTCGCTTCTCCCACAATCCTATATATGACAATCCGGACCCCGAATTCTCAACCCAGTCCAAGAGCATCACAGATGAAGCATACATGTTCACGGTTGGTCGCATAGCGAATCTCAAGACTCTGAACTTCGGCACAATCTCAAACTCCGACCGCCAGGATGCGGAAATGTTCTACCTAGCCCGCATCGGCAAGCATCTAGCCGCTGTCCCGGAGGATCAAGAGGCAGAGGTCATCAAGCGGCACAAGCGCTTTGCCGAGCTATGTGAGCTATACGGGCCGCCTGTAGTCAATAGGCGGAAAGAGATCAACCCGGCCTTCCTGGAGGCGAGATTGGTTACCGTGCACTTCAGCTTCCATCCCGCCGGCGAGGAGGACAAGATCGTTGAGCGTACGACTAGGATCCCGAAGAGCTTTGATATCTATACCGTGAAGGGAATTGCCGGCAAGCTGTTTGGGGCGAGACCGCTTGGCCTGCGTTTGATCTGGGAGACAGGGGAATGGGATCCGGTTTTCGGGTTCGATGACGAAGTGGAAGACAGTGACGAAGAAGAGGATGAGGAGAAGAGAGGAGAAACGGATGCGGGAGATGCCGAAGATCTAGGGGACAGCTCCCAACCGGACGGTAAGCCTGGTAAGTGGGTCAAGCGTGAGGTAGAGCTGCAGGACGGGCCCCGACAGCTTGGGTTTTGCGTTGACGGCTTGGAGGCGAACATCAGGGTTGAGCTTAGATGAGTCATGGTTTGTGTCTATAAAACAATAATCCAAGTTGTTTCGAAAGGCTCAGGTAGATGAGTATTTGGAATCCAAGACAACTTGAGCATTCTCTGATTATGAGAGCTGTACATCCCAAGACAATTGCTATAGATACGGCTTTTCATTCTGGGTTACCTGACAAACATATGTTCTCATTGGTCGGCTAGATGAATATACAAACGGACACTGACACAGCAAACGGATGCAACAGGTGCCCAAACTATGTAATGCTAGATGAACAGCATAAAATCAAACTGCTAGACACAGGGGGGGAACCCATAAGTTTCAATTTCAACATCCTGTTACCCTCTCTTCTGATACCCCATTCCATATCTAACATAAAGTCTAGAGCGTAACTAGCACACCTAAGAAGACGAAAGAGGCATGAGACCATGATCACCACCAACACCCGTCAAAGTGCTGTTAGCAGCGGAGGATCAGCAACAGCAGCGACAAGCCATCAACGAACCGCTTCCATCTCCGCGCTGCCCACCCGCCAACCCAACAACACCACTAGCCCATCACAAAGCCCAAAGCCAACCAACCAGAAGACCGCGCTCCCGCAGCACTTCATCGTGCGCCCCGGCGTGACCAAGCACACGGCCTCGGGCACGGTCACGATCCCGGGCCCGATCGTGCCCCTCGTCGCCGTGGACCAGCTGCCCGAGTGGCTGGACCTGTTCGGCGTGCCGCGGGAACTGAGCCTCGAGCAGACGGTCGGGCTGACCAACCTGGGCACCGCCGTGCGCAGCCCCGAGTTCTACGACGTGTACATGCACGGCGACGGCTTCCGACCCGTGCCTGTGGGGGCAGCGAGCGGTCGTGACAACCAGGATTTCAGACGGGAGGGCCAGGGTCAGCGCCGAGAGGACAAGAACAATGCTCTGCTTGTCCCCTCGGGTGTGTGCACATCCGGCCCGCCTTCCGCTTCGTCGTCTACGGTGTCGTCGCCAGTGTCCCCGTTGAGTTCACGTATGGATCTCGCTGCGAAAAGCGTCCCTGGCAGCAACCAAGCATACATCAACGATCCCGACAAGAAAGCCAGTGGAAACACCACCAACAACAGTACCGCCAAAAAACCACCCAACACATCCCCCCAACCCTCCGGCATCATGAATCTAGGCCTACACCAGCGCCTCCCCTCGCCCACAGCAACAGGTAGCACGCCTCCAATAAGCAGCAACCCATACCCAATCCTACACCCATCATACCCGCACCCACAACTCCACCCCCAAGCCTATCCGCCATCACACCCGCACGCAGCGTACGCAATCCCGCCTCTCCCAGCACCTCCATCCATGCACCCAGCAGACCGAATGCTCTACTCCTGGAACCCGCCCTCCGTCAACGCGCGCAAATCCAACGCCACGACACGCCCAAAGTCCAGCACGCCTAACACTTCGAACCCTTCCCATCCCAACAACAACCCCAACTCCAACGGCGCGGGAGGCAGTAGTAGTAGTAACAGCGTATACTGCAAACACTGGTGCCACCGCGGCACCTGCCGCTGGGGCGCGCAGTGCCGGTACGCGCACGCGATGCCGGCGACGCCCGAGGGTCTGCGCGAGGTCGGGCTCTCGCACCACCCGGCGTGGTGGACGACCGCGTTTAACATGGCGTACGGGTCCGGCGGGTTCGGGGCCTGGTATCCGCCTCCTCCGCCTCCGCCGCATTTATCGTCGACGTCGGCTTCGGGGAAGCATTACGGGCGGAAGGCGCAGAAAGAGCGGGAGCGGGAGCGGGAGAGGGAGCAGAGGGAAAGGGAGAGGGAGAGAGAAAGGGAAAAGGGGGCTGAGAGGGAAGTGGGCAAGGGTAAGGAGAAAGATAGGGATAGGGAGGATGGGAGGAAGGGGAAGGTGGTTGATGGGGATGGGAATAGGGGGGCTGTAGCTGAGTCGAGTGGAAGATCGGAGGGTGCTAGTCAGCTGAAGAAGGACGGTACGGAGGGAAAAGCGGGAGTGGTTGGTCAGGAGCAGAGGAAGCCGGAGCCGCCAAAGGAAGAGCCGAAGCTGGTTGAGATCTAGCTGCGTTATTAGAAGTCAATTGTATTCTGGGGTGTTTATTGACCGATTCATAAATCTTCAGCATTCCTATAACCTGTTACTATTGGCCGAATATGCATGGTTAGCGTCGGTAATGCTGTAAGAGGCGTAAAGGAAAAGCACCTAAAGCGTGCCGATCATTCGTAATATTGTGTATTTGTTATCGCAGCTAGATAGTAAAGAACCTCAAGACTCACAACTCCAACCATGCTCGCAGACAAAGAGGACACGGCCCAAGACGTGCACAACCCAACCGCAGCTGGACGAATAAGCCCCATAGCATACACATAGTTTGTCATAGTACTTTGTACAATTGTCTTCTGCTTCTCAAAATTTCTAACTTCCCGTCTCTTACGGCTCACGGCTCATGCTCATGCTCATAGCTCATCCACACGCTTTCTGCTCACGGCGTATCCCTACATCTTATTGATCGGGGTTCGCCTGTCTCATTACTGTCTACCCTAACCTAGGAAGATCAGTCCTTCTCTTAGAAAGACATCGTCTTCTTGATCTCGGCAATCGCTAATCCGGGGTTGAGGCCCTTGGGACATGTTCGCGTGCAGTTGAGAATGGTGTGGCATCGGTACAGGCTCATTGAGTTGTCGAGCGCGGCTTTGCGTTCTGCCTTGCGCTCGTCGCGGGAGTCGGCTAGCCATCGGTAAGACTGAAGGAGGATGGCGGGTCCCAGGTACTCCTCAGCGTTCCACCAGTAAGAGGGGCACGACGTCGAACAGCACGCGCATAGAATGCACTCGTACAGGCCGTCCAGCTTCCTGCGATCCGCCTTGCTCTGTCGGTATTCCTTGCCCTGTAGTATAGCAGTCAGCACGTGTGCGATCAGAACTTACGAAGGAGAACTCATGACGTACATCAGGTGCGGGTGTATCTCGTTGAAGGTAAGGTTTGATTGACTTGTACTGTTTGTAGAAGTGCGTCAAGTCAGGCACGAGGTCCTTGACGACGTAAGTGTGGGGTAGTGGATAGATCTTCATCTCGGCGCTAGTGTCTGTGGGAATTCGGCCTGCCATGTGAAAGTCGTATTAGCCGCCTATCCAATTGCTTCCTTGTTGCCGTTAATTGCCAAACGGCTAAGAAAAACTCAACTTACACAAGCAAGCTAATGTATTTGTGCCATTAATGTTCATGGCGCAGCTACCACAGATACCCTCTCTGCAACTTCGACGGAATGTCAATGTCGGGTCTAGCTCGTTCTTGATTCTGACGAGAGCATCAAGCACCATGGGTCCTGTCTTATTCAGATCCAGCGTGTACTTCTGCATCTTCGGCTTCTCGGTAGGAGTGTCAGGGTTCCATCGGTAGACGTGGAAGGTCTTCATGCGCGAATCGGTGCTGCCCTTCGGGTTCGCCTCTACGGTAGCGCTGCCAACTGATGCCATTGATCGCGCAAACATCAAAGGCAATGCTGCCGGGCGTGGCGATGCAGTCGCAGCGAGTAGCCGCGACGATGTTGAGCGGAGAGCTGCCATTACGGGCAATATCGAGAGTAATTGAACCGATCAGCTGCTCTGCTATTCTTAGCGTCGGTGGAAAACAGAATAGGTGAACAGAGCAGAATGGCGTTGATGAGATGAATATTAGGAAGGTTAATTGAATTAGAAGGTTAAAAGAATTAACGGCCGAAACAAGCCTCTGGTAAAGGTTGTTCAATGGTAATTAGTGGCCAAAATGAGAAAGAATGTCTTCATCATTGAACTTTCCTTCCCACTTTCCACCCGACCCGGTTTGCCCTCGGCTATTGGCATCAGAGCATTCCGGCCAATCACATGCTTTCAATTAATCAACTCATCCGGTCCGTCCTTTCTTCCGTACCAGCTGCCACATAAGGATCCTTGCCGCCTTTAGCGTCATCCATGGCCCCCGTCCGAATGAAATCTCCATATCAACCAATCAAGTAACATGCTGAATAACCCGCTGAATCGCATCATGCATTGGAAGCCACCAAGAACATCCACCAACCCCCAACTAAGCCAATAGTTGAAGACGTATTTGATTTTTGTATTTTCTTACGTGCGGGTGTACTTGTCCTTAACCTTCTGAGGGGAAAGTCTTGGAGTAGGAATGTAGATCCATTAGCACTGAGAAATGTATCCATACTGTAAATACAGTATCTACGATGTCTACTGGTGCTCCCCTAGGTGGATATACAGCATACAACTGCTATAAACCTATAAGGTATTTGGTGTACCTAGTAGGTTGGATGGACAAATGAGTCCAGCGTTCGCATCGTCGTCGCAATTCATCTTCGATAACACAGTTGATTATTAGAGGTCTAAAATATCTACCTCTATCGCATAGCCAGGGTGAAGGTTCCGTAATTGAAGGCCCCGTGAAGGAAGTCGCACCAAAACCCATTTTATCTACCCCCTTAGTTCCCGTAACCTCTGACCACGCCCCGTTTTATTTTGATGTTCCCCTTTAAATATCCCTCCTAGCATAGCGACAGCGTGCCAGACGCCTAATATCCGTATTTCCTTAGCTAAGCCTTCAGCCTACCCGCATCTGCAAGATTACCAATAGCAGCCAGCATCAAGGAAATATTACTTATTTTCCCGCCCTAATCATACAGAAGCTCTCTGTACCCCGCAATTGACTGGTCGTCGTCTGGATTTCTCGATAACGCTACCGCGAATTCACCGAAGATCCAGACGTGCTGTGGAAGACTATGCGCCGAAGATTGCTATAACATCTAAGTTAGTAGCTGCCAAAATAACACTTGTCGGGAAGAAGTCAATTTCTGGGGTAGGTGCACAATCTTATGGCACATCAAAAGGAGCGAATAAGGAGTCTGCTTACTTTGGTACATGAAGTCCTCTGCTAGACCCTCATCTATTCCGTCAATAAGGTCATCGTAGTCATCGACGTAATCTAGATACTCTTCGAAGTCTGCCAGATCCTCATCGTCGCTCATGTCGAGTACTTCGTCCTCTGGGTCTCCGTAAGTCAGTACCAATCAATATATTGAGACAAATCTGTTATGCTCACCGTCGTCGTCGTAGTCATATGGGTCGTATGCGTCCTCCTCTGGCAGCATGTCAACCATGCATGCTAACACCTTTTCCATGTTAGGGCCAGTGTAGGAGAAGGCATTCTTATCGTTGAACAGCAATTCTCTGCGTGCGCGTCCTGCCCCCACGACTATCCGGTGGAAGTGTACTTCCTGAAGGCAACGAGCGCTTCGGGCTAGGGAAGCGATAGATTTGGGCCATTCTTCAAACTCGTCTTTGGATGGGTCAGGTAGATTGAGAGTCATGTCACGGAGGGTCAACTTGCGCAAAGTTGTGGAGAATCTCTTAAGGATGGCCGTGATATCGTTAAAACCAAGCTCCATCCAGCCGAGCTCCAACTCGCGGAGTTGTGCGAATACCGGAGGTTGAGCTGGCTCAAGTCCGAGGAACCTGCCGCAGCTCTCATTCAAGCATGGGGCTGTTAGCCACTCGAAAAATCCATCAAAATGTCGTAACTGCTCAAGGCGCAAATGCTTGATTTGAGTGCACTGTGAGAGAAATTTGCGTAGGTGATACGTGTCGAGCTTGTCCGATAGGGAGTCCATCCCTAGTGGATTAGATGCTAGGCTTCTGGTCCCAACTCGGATATTCATAGCTTCAAGACTTGACAGTACCGGTGAGACAACTTTACGCATGAAGCTGGGAATATTGAGCGCGTCATCGTCAAATTTGGTACTGCATATTTCGATCTCGAATCGTTTCGGCCTTGAACCGGATTTCCCTAATGCAAGTAGGACGTTTTGCACGCAGTTCGCGTACAGTCTTCGTGGGTTGGAATGACTAGAAATATCATCGAGTCTAACGTCGACCGAGGTCTCCCTTAGAATGTAAGACATTCCCTGCGTGATAGGTGTACGACCTGGGAAAAAAGTAGGCGCATGTTCGTTGACCTCGACCACCTGGAGGTTGAGGTTGCGGAATGCCTCGACGAGCATCTCCTGGTCGTGACTGGTCTCTAGAAGCACCATTTGATCGGAACATAGTTGGTTGAATTTGATTAGTCCGTTGTCTCTCTCATCCGTAGGGGGTCGTCTGACGCTGAAACCTCGTTTAGGGCTCAGAAGTCGTGTCGAGATGATCACGTGTTGAAGATAAGACGAAAAGCGAGACTTTGATATATCGACGAGGACCTGGAGGCTGAAGTCGGTGCGCATGAACCTGATCTTGCGGAAGTACTTTTGGGCAAATGTTCTGAATAGCGCCGTTTCAATACCTCGACAGGTCAAACGGACGGCGCAATAGCTGGGTGTGTCAAGGTATGATGTGATCTCGATGAGGACCTCTAAGGGCATGGTGATAAGATTCGCGGGAGGCATTGTCAAAGTTGTAAACGCCGATGCGTGTGGATGTGTAGTCTAACTTGATGAACATTGACCTGATATGTTAGATGTATGTAAAAGCGGAAGATCGATCGTTCGATTTGCGGTTTGAAAAATAAAGTGAGATAGGGAAACTGGAAACTGGAGCTAAGAAATGGATATTAATTGAAACGCGGGGGGGTAGCTACCACCTTAGCTAAGGCTGCTAGGCTGCTAGCATCTCAGCTAGCGCGGCTGCCCACAGCTGAATTTGCAGGAACGATTAACGCGTGAGCACGTGCCAAGACTTCCCGATCTCCGGGACTTGATAAGCTTGCAGCTGGCTGCCGCCTGACCCAGTTTGCCCCACGAGCACTTTTCTACTTTCTACCTACCTGTGTACATACTTTTTTTTATTTTTATACACTACGGACGGTCAACATCAAGGTGAAGAGAGGGTGAGGTGCTTACGGTAACTTATAATCCTTCGCGGCCACTCATGGAAAGCCACCTTCCCAAGTTGAACCACGATGCTCTCGACGACACGTAATGGAGTCCCATTCAGACATTTAATATCTTATTCGCAATACCAACTTAGACCGGCGCTGCGACTTACGTCTTCCTCTCCGCAGCGAATCCATCGTATGCGGACTTTCTCTGTGCAATCTGTCCTTCGATCGCATGAACCGCCAACACAAACAGAACCCCCACGTCGTTTTACTTACCATGCTGCTGCCTCCTTTTCTGCCAAGTACAAAAGTTTCGACCCGACAGCTCATGTCTTCCACTTCAACCCCTACAACCGAATCCAGACCCAAAAACGTCCCAAATCGAAGCGCCCGGCTAGCGGTCAGGATGCTTTCTTCATAAGCCGTGTAGGCGATACAAATGCGGTCGCATTCGGTATCGCCGACGGGGTCGGTGGCTGGGAGGACAGCGGAGTTGATCCAGCAGATTTCTCTCACAGTTTCTGCGATTACATGGCTTCGGCGGCATACGAACATAAGCCAGTCTCGAGCGAAATTCTGTTGACGGCCAAGTCGCTGATGCAAAGGGGATATGACGACGTATGCAAAGACAATTCTATACACGCAGGCGGCAGCACAGCTTCTATTGCTATCGCGAGCGAAGACGGCCAGCTTGAAGTAGCCAACTTGGGTGATTCAGGTTTCGTACACCTCCGTTTAAATGCGGTGCATAGCTATTCGGAACCGCAGACCCACGCATTCAACACGCCTTTTCAGTTGTCAATAGTACCAGCTAGCATGCTCGCACGCGCCGCCGCGTTCGGCGGAGCCCAGTTGTGTGACAATCCCAAAGACGCGGATGTCACACAACATACGCTTAAACATGGAGACATACTTGTCTTTGCGAGTGACGGAGTATGGGATAATTTATTCAACCAAGATATACTCCGGATCGCTAGCCGACTGATGGTTGGCATTGGCGCCTGGAAGGCGAGTGAGGGCGGCATACTGGTTGCGAATGACTTGAAGTCATATACCCAAGCGGAAGACTCAGTACAGCGGCCATTGACGCTTCAGAGCGCATTAGCAGTAGAAATCGCGGGGGCTGCCAAGATAGCCAGCACAAACCAACGACTCGACGGGCCGTTTGCCAAAGAAGTTCAAAAATATTACCCTCAGGAGAATTGGCACGGTGGCAAGGTGGACGATATATGTGTCATCGTCGTAGTCGTATCCGAGGATGGGAAGTCAGAAGCGATCAAGAGCAAGTTATGAGACTTAGGGCTAAGCCTTGACGAAAGATAGAGTTTGCATCATTAGGCGTTCAAAAAGGGGGATGAGTCAATATTTGCCTACCAGGTCCCGAGCATTTCGTATATACGATCAGGCAAGGAACGGCAAGGCAAGCTGGCAAGGCAAGATAAAGATAGTCTTGTTTCTTGTATATTCTTAGTTACGTACGTATCTATAACTCTTCTTTTTTAATCCCCGAGTTGGGGGGGAAGAATACGGCTCACGCTGGAAAACCACATTATACTCTACCTGCACTTCAGACTTGACCTTTGTTATCCTCTATATACTACCCCTTTTGATTGTCTGTTCTATTACTAAGGTACTTTCTACTAATCCAACTTCCAATATTTAGTAGTGGGTTTTTTTAAACTGGCCAATATCTTCACAAGTCAACCAATTAGAAGTCTTTAATTCTTAAAACGGGTCATTTATGGGCCCATAATTATCGAATCCCAGCCTCCCCCACATAGTACCTAGGTACCTATGCAAGCTCTATGTGGGGCTTTAATCCATCCACCCTTACAGGCCGCGCTGCAATTGCAAAACTTCAACAACTTCTCAATTCTTTCATATTTCTGATTCAAAGTCGCATCAATTCATACATAATTAATTGCGAAGTCGAAACGTGACAATGGATAACTCTGTAGGGCCCTCAGATGAGGGTTTCCTGCATGAATCACTCGAACCTCCTATAATTGATGGTCCATTATCTATCTCTGATCCAGGTCCTGATCCTGATCCCACGCATACCTTCGACATCGATATTGAAGCTCCTCCGCCATCAATGCCCACTGATTTACCTGGGGACGCGTCACCCGACACCGCCAATAGCGAATCTAGCAGCCTTAAACGCTCAAAACCGCATGATGAACCCGACGAAGGGTGGCAGACTGTAGATCGTCGATCCAAAAAACCAAAGAAAGAAAAGAAAGAGAAGAAGATTCCGAACCCGCAATCGACCAATTACCCTTCAATCACATTCAACTACAACGCAAAACTCCAATCCAAGATCGCGCTAGATTCTCTTCGCAATCTAATCCTCTACATATTCTCTGAAGGAACTGCGCCCCAATGGGTCGCAATCTCCCAACGGCCGCAATTCCGAAAGATTGTCGCAATTATGGTACCGGGACTGGAAGAAGCCATGTTTAAGCAGGATGTTGACTTCGCTACATATAATGATCAGCCTCTCGATCTTGACCAGAGGCCTCGGGTCATGACATCTCCTGATGATTACTACCCACGACTACTCAAGAAGGATGAACTCCCAAACATTTTGAAGGATTTTGCCGACATGTTTCCTCATCTCTGGCCAGTTAAGACCCCAGGGAATGAAAAGTTCGGCCATATCCGTTCACCATTAGGCACTATACTCACGGCGCCAATTGAGAAGACTAAAGAAGAGAAGGGCAAAGGCGTCCAGGCTGCGAAGGAGCCGAAGGGCTGGAAAGATCAGCGCACAAGAATAACAGAGTTCTTGACAATGCCGGAAGATTTCCAAACGAATGGGTATATTTTACATCCAGCTTGTATACCAGCAGAGCGGCGCAAAAACTATCAGGATCTGGATGGCTGGGTTCATACTAATGTAGAAGATTTTACAGATGGTGATATTCCAGAAGACGAGATCCAACAAGGAAGTATAACGGCAGGTCGAGAAATCCTTGCCCTCGATTGCGAGATGTGTGTTACTGGTCCAGACGAGTATTCTCTTACAAGAATCAGCCTAGTGAGTTGGGACGGAACTATAGTCTTAGATGAGCTCGTCAAACCAGATAAGCCGATCATCGACTACGTCACTCGTTTTTCTGGTATCACGGAGGAAATGCTGGCTCCCGTAACCACGACGCTGAAAGATATCCAGTCCAAGCTCCTTGAAATCCTCCATCCACGAACAATTCTTGTAGGACATTCATTAGATGCTGATCTAAAATCCTTACGGCTCACCCACCCCTTTATCGTCGACACCGCCATCCTCTTCCCTCACAACCGAGGACCTCCGCTAAAGAACAGTCTGAAATTTCTGTCGCAACGATTCCTCAAGCGCGAGATTCAAAAAGGGGTTGCGGGTCATGATTCGATCGAAGATGCTAAGGCATGTCTAGATCTAGTGAAGCAGAAATGCGAGAAGGGTAAATCTTGGGGTAACCATGAATCGCAAGGCGAGAATCTCTTCCGGCGATTAACTCGCGCTGGCAAGGCTTACCGCGCAAATGGTGGGGTCGAGGCCAAGGGAGGTGTCCAGGTTGGAAAGACGAGCGCTATGGTCGACTGGGGCGACCCGATGAAGGGCGCTGGCGCAGCATCAACATTCCCTATCGGGTGTCAATCAGACGAGGAGGTGGAAGAGGGTGTCATACGCGCTGTCAAGGGCGACCCCGTCGCTGAAGAGATACCATTCGGCGGCGTCGACTTTGTCTTCGCCCGATTTCGAGAATTAGAAGCGCGCCAAGGATGGTGGAATGCCAAGAGCGATATTCCTCCCCCTGACTTGTCCGATATGTCTCTTGAGACATGTGTTCAGAACCTCACTCAGCGCATCAAGCGCATATACGACATGTTGCCTCCTTGTACGGGTTTCATTGTGTTCAGTGGCTCCGGCGACCCACGAGAGATGGGCCGCCTACAAGCCATGCAGGCTCAGTTTAAAAAGGAATACACGGCGCCCGGCAGTAATTGGGATAGCTTAAGCGTCAAATGGACGGATAGGGAGGACCAAGCATTGAAGAAGGCGGTCGGAGTTGCACGGAATGGCATCGGGTTCATCGGCGTCAAGTAAATTGAATGTTGGAACGATGTATAAGTATCACCGTAATACTGGTCGGCATATGTGGGCTGTGGAAAGGGAAGCACTAGGAGGCGAGGCGCATGAGATACGAGTCACGAATGTGGTCTGGCATTGGGATTAAGCGATACCCCATTTTCATACTCTTGTAAGGGATACTTGGGACCCTAGGTATGTCCATATAGTGGTTCGGATCAACGAATTGGCATTTTTGGCTCATTTACACCTACGTCTTTTCGGTCTGCATGCACTTACGTTAACTTGATACGATCTCACGCGCTTGATACTTCTATTCTTGTGGATATTTGAAGCATGGAGACTAGGTGGTTCCCATATAGGCTGCTCGTTTATATGTACCTAGATAGGGGTGTGAGTCGGAAGAACTAGAAGTCTAGGATTCGCCCTGCGTAATAGAATCTCCATGGAACTTTTTGCATTGGTTTCAGATGGTGCTCGTTCTATGCGACTGGGACAGCCGAGATCAACATAACTTGAGTTCAGCAGCTTCAACTACATGATTTTTATTAGTATTATCAAAATACTGCATACCTAGGTATTCAATATATGGGAAAGCAAGAGAGTATGGAGTCTAGGTTTATAGGGGCCTACCTATAAGTTGCGGGTCCTTATCACTTATCAGTCCCAAAATTATCCACCCAACCCCGTATTTTATGCAGGTACCCGTCTTCCTCCCTGGCTATCAATTGATCTTGGATCCATCCCATCAACAACTTTCAAGTGGACATCTTCTCAGACATACATTCCGTTACTATGGAGAAAGTTGTCTGCAGCTGCGCTAGCTGTAACGAATACTTGGCCGAATTTTTTAACCGGTGGATTAAGATTGGCAAAAGTTATATCAGTCCTGTCATTGACACTGATGAAATCTTTCCCGGCGCGCCTACAGGCGCAGTACGACTCGGGGAAAAGGAGACACTGGTTGAGAATTGGTATGAGTATTGATTGAGTTAACTTTGTAGGATTTAGCTGACAAGTAATCAATGATAGCCATCTCCAAGACATAGCGTGCAGTTGTGATGCTATTGTTGGGCTTAGGTGTTTAGACACACCAGTCAATCATGTTCTACACGAGTAAGGATCTTTATATCTATCCTGTAACCTGGGCGCATTTAGCTAATTACTAATTACCGTAGTGGCCAATTGTTTCTACGGCTCTCTTCAATCAAGACTAGAGCCGTGAATGATCACAAACTTGTTGACATAAAGATTCAGAGAACGTTGAAGCTTAGGGAAGCTTCACATAGTGGATCCACGACTGCTAACACCCCTCCAGCCTCTGAGGACAGTGCCAATATGCCCATGGATCATGATGGCCCCTCAGAAATCCATGGCCATCTCCTCGATCACATCCAGGATCAACTAGACGCACAGAGAGAAGAAACCCAGAGATTGAATCGAGCTGGGTTTCAGATGGCCTCTTCTTTTGACAATGCTGTGCTCCGCATTGAAGGCGAAATCAAGAAGTTAAAAGATGGTATGGGTGACTTAAGAGATGAGCGAGAGACCAATTGTAATAAGATTGATGCTATTGATGACAACGTTGCGCAGCTCCGAATCATTGTCGATGATGTGAAGAATGCGTCGCAAAACAAATCGGCATACACTCGTCTTGATGAAGAGCTCGCCTCCGCAAAGCAGGCAATCGCAGACGTGCGCTTATCTCTGAACAACGAGCTTGATAAATCAACCAAAAGGCACCAACGAAAGCACGAGACATTAACTTCGGACCTCAATGCTGTCCGGCTCAATTTAGGGGCTATGCGGGATGAATTAGATGGAACTAAGAAGACCATCAATAAAAGGATATCAGCAGAAAATATTCATGGTACCGAAATAGCTTCGCTCAGAGCTGAACTGAAAGAGCTTAGAGAAGAGTTGGCCAAAGAACGATCACAGAAAACATTCCCGAGAGGGTCTATGTTCCCATCACGGGAGATCGACATACTTACAACTAATATCACCAAGATTGGTCAAAGAGCAAACCAGATTGAAACTCTTCAGATGGCATTTGAGCTTCTCAAGGAGCGAGTTCAAAGGATGGAGAAGGGCTCAACATCTAATGATCAAGATGCTTCAGAGACGGGGAACCAAAACAGGCATTCGATTGATTTACTACCTGAAGTATCTAGGCGGAAAAGGAAACATAGTCCCCGACCAGAGGAAACTACCGACTTACCCACGCCACAAACCACTTCGTCAAGTAAGAAGCCGACGCGACAGTTGAGGTCCAATTCCCCGTTGAGTAACCATGGTTCCTTGTGGTCTTCGCCGCGAGCTAAAGCCCAAACATCAGATGCTCAGACAGCTGATTCTCCACGGCTCACTAAATCAGGCGCAGTTGATAAAAGGTCTATGAGGAGACTCACTCGACTTGCGGCATCACAGAACACAGGCTCAAATGACTAAGATTCTATCTCTTGTCAACGAAGTTTTGTGAACTATTACTTATGCGCCGAATTCAGCATTTATTATCTCCAAGGCAAACCCGGCTGCTTCTTCGATCGGCTCGAGAACCGTGGTGTTGAAGAAACGTCTTTGTTCTGGGTCGTTCGGATTCTTGGTGAAAGTATCGACTAACGCGTTCTCGGTTTCTCGACCGGCTAGGGATTTAAGATCATCCAACATATCCAGTGCTTGGTAGCGTAGCTGCCACTCGTCGGATTTAGCCGCCGGGCAATGATAGATGACTCCTAGCAAGAGCATCTGACACATAGTAGGCTGATCTATCTTATTCGAAAACCGGGAAATCTTAGTTGCAAGTTCTCCACTGCTGCCTTCAGTCGAAGCAGAAAATGGACCCGAAGTCAATATTTTCGTCATCATGAACATGCGCTGCACCCTCGTTGCAAAGAACGGCGCGGGCGCTATGTACGGTTCGCTGTTCAAGGCACGGAAGCACTCGATGGCGAAAGCGTGGGCAAATTTGCCTTTTATCACGAAATAGAGGCCGGCATCACGTAGCACCCGGTTCAATGGCTCTATAGCATATAGTCCCGCATTTCGAAGCTGCGCGCACAGCTTCCAGCGTTGACGCAGTTGTTTGCGCATCGCCGTCGCATCCGGTATTTGCAACTCGGCCATACAAATCGGATATATCTCTTCGATATTTCGTTGCAGAGCTTTGCTCGAGTTTAGGAACTGCTTGACGGGAGGGTTCCGTAGCTTGTCGATATCGCGCATAATACTAAACGAGTTCAGTTCCAGATTCGGATACATCTGGCAGACTTGGTAGACGTCCAAATCCTCCTTACATCGAAGACACTCGCAATCAAAATAATAGTGCGTCTTCAAGTGATGCTGGCGTTGCGGGCGAGAACAGTCATGCTCTATCGTGAAACAGCCGTCAGCGGTATCTGTAGAAGATATGTCAATTCTAAACTTACCCGTATAAGAAATCGTGATTTCCTCGCCCTTCTTGATGTCTTGATACGCGTGCAAGATGGCCTTCCGTCCCGTAAATGACACGTACGCATTCGGGATACACGAGTGGTTGACCATCGCCAACGCGGGGTTGACGTACATGCCGCTCTGTCCGAAATCCGCATCTTTCCGGTTGAACGAGTTCACTTGTAGCTGGTCGTCGTTAGATCCACCGCCATAATATCAATGTAACTAGCAAATAGGGGCACATAAAATCATCGTAGGTCCACTCACCTTACACGTAACATCCATGCCCACAGCCACATTCTCCTCGTCGCGCGTCGACCGGCCGAGCCAGTCGAGCGCGGCGCGCACCTGCAGCATCATCTCGAGGACGCTCGTCCCCGGAGCGGTGCGGTCCTGCCCCTCGTGGCCCTCCATCTCGTACGCGGCCTCCAGCATCTCGGGCCGCAATAGTACTTGCATAAGCGTGCGCACGGGGGTCGGCGGCACGGCGGGGCACCCCTCCTTCGCGGCTTGGATGCGCGCCCGCTTGTACGCCTTGCACTCGCCGCGCCCGTGGACTAGGTCCCATGACGCGCGCTGGCAGGCCGTGCTGCAGTAGTACGTTATTCGGCATGCCGTGCAGGCGCGGACGCTGGCGACGGCGCCGCGGGGCACCACCGGAGCAGATGGGGAGGGGGAGGGGGAAGTGGTGATGGAAGAAGAGCCTGCGTTGGGGTCGAGGTTGAGGGTAGATGAGTAGCTGAGGCTGTTTAGCAGCGAGGCGGTGACTTTAAGGCAGTGGCTGCAGGTCTCGGATATGTGGTGGCTGTCCGGCACGGCGACGGTGGGGGTTGCGGAGGGCCCTTGGTCGCTGAATTCACCGATCGTGCTGCCGGCGCTGAAGGCGCGCGTGGCTATTACTGCGCGTCCGCGCCCCGGGGAGCGGCGGAGGCGCAGGTCTGGGGGGAGAGTGGGCATTTTGGGTTTGGGGGTGTGTGATGCGTGCTGCGTGTGATACCTGGTTGGTCAGATAGGATAGGATAGGACAGGATAGGATGCGATGGGATGGGGTGAGCAAACTAAGATGGTTTGATTCGTACGACTCTATCTAGCTTGAAGGTACAGGGACCTTATAGGCGGGTTAGAGAAGAGTGGTGTTTGTTATATTCTGTTTAAAGGTATGATACGCACCTATGCGGATTTATATCTTTTAACCACATGCAGCTGTACCTACTATCAGTGAAGATGAGAAGTGGCAGTGGCGTCCGGATGTTTCAGGCAAGTGCCCAGGTGCGTATCCGTTGCAGAATACTTCCCCGGACGCTAGGAATCTAGGATCCTGGGGTTTGAAACTGTGGGTCTATCTGAGAGTCGAACGACTGTGAGTTAAGTTCATGAGACTTAAAGGTTCAAGTACCTGGTAGTTCATATCGCTTACCTAATAGTAGACCGTCAAGATGAAAGAATACCTATTCTTAACTTGAATTCCTTCTCCTTTCAGAGCAATACTATAAGGTTTCTGTTTTATGGCGTGTACCAAACTCTATACTAGAAGGTGATCATACTTTCCGCATAGAGCGCCGTTCGCTGTATCTACCAATCACCTCCGCCGAAAGTCTCCAGCAAACGAAATCCAAGATCCTTATAAGGTAGGTACTTGTACTGTCTTATTCGACGTACCCCCGAGGGGGTACTGCGCTTTAACTAACGAAATGGGCAGAGAGTTGCAAAGTATCCGAAGATTATCCTATACTCTCTAGTTGAGTAAAATACAAGCTACCTTGTTGCATTATAGGGCTTATGATAGCTGCCTTACTTATAGATGAATATTGTATGTAATAGTAAGGGCTATCTACTTATACCTATATACATGGTTTTAATAGCAAACTCCACCCATCCGGAAGTACTTCGGGTATTTCGCAACTCTCTGCCCATTTCGTTAGTTAAAGCGCAGTACCCCCTCGGGGGTACGTCGAATAAGACAGTACAAGTAGGTATTTAAGGTACCTAGTATGTAATAAGTGACAGGGCGTACATTCAACCCCCACTCGGTCAGTGAGTCACTATCGCATCTGACAGACGCAGGTATAAGATTTTAGCTACGGATTTAGACGGATATCAACGGAAATATTGAGTGACGAGGCAGGCATCCGGCATGAGGCATAGTCATGAATCAAATATCAAAAAGCCACTCGATGTTTGTTCAAACAAGCCGGCCATCAATTCATTCCTTGTCCATACAGACTGGCAGATCAAGTTGGAGATCAAGTAGGTCTCCGTGCAAACGGTGGTTCATAGGGCTTCATTTTGCCAATCTAAGCATCTAGGCAATCATTACTGCATCAAGCAATCAGCCTGCTTCTGCTTTTCTCACCCGTCCAGGTCAGACCAATCAAAGGAAACATGACTCTAGAGCTACAGCCAGCCACCGAAGCGGACGCGCGCCGATCAGCAGAGATCGAAGGGGCGGCGTACGCTTCAAACGCGTTCAACGAGATCCTTTTCCCCGGACCGCACCCGCCAGACGCGCTTGACGGGCGTGCAAAGGGCCTAATTGCCGAGCTGCATAACGATGTTACAACACGCTGGTCTAAGGTCATCGATACCGACCTTCCGGAGGACGAGCAGATGATTGCCTTTGCTAAGTGGCATATCCAAGCCGAGCCGCTAAAGCCGAGTCCCCTTAGGGATTTCGGTCCTGGATCTAACGCTGAGGCGTGCGAGTTACTCTTCGGTGGCGCCAAGCAGCAGAGGCTTCGTTTCTGGGGGGATAAACCGCATGTCTGTAAGTGTTCTGTTAAAGCTGTATTGCTCATGAAAATAAGACAGGTGTGAAGGAGAATGTTATACGACGATGTCCAATACCTACCTAGTCATACGACACTTACTGATAGTGAGTAAAGATTTATCACTCCTCTATACCGATCCCAAATACCAAGGTCGTGGCGCGGGAGGCATGCTAGTTCGACATGTTGTAGATGAGGCCCGTAAGCTTGGTATGATCGCCTGTCTCCAGTCTTCACCGGCAGGCCATGAGCTGTACAAGAAATGCGGCTTCCATGATATCGACTGCTTGTTTACCGACCTAAGTAAATGGGGAGCAACGGAGACGCATCGGATTTGGACAATGATGTGTGATCCTTCTCAGATTCCTTAGAGGGGTCTTTTCTATATATAATATAAGAGATCAGACGTTACCTTGAGCTTCATGAGTTGAGTTGTACAAGGACAACGTATTGGTACATCCTTCATCCTTCTTTCCGAGCGGAACTTGGGAATGGTACGAATACATCATCTCACTCAGATTTTACTCGTGGATCTCATCTCGTCTTGGTGCTTCAGATATAACAAATATACCTAAAGAAACACAATAGTTTTCCGAATACAAGAATATATCGACTAATAAGATTTCCATTTCCATTATCATTAATTACACAGAAAGTCAAAGCCCCTAGTTACGCTCCCACTATTAACCCCACTAAGCCACAGCCCACCTTGCGTCATTAAAGGCGGGTTCCGTCTTTCTAAGCTTGCCCTACCAGGGTACCTAACTGCCTAGCAAACCGCTAAAAAGCAACCTTCACTCCCGTATTTAACCCTAGCAGCCCTACCTAATTCGGACTGCTCGGACAGATACCTAACGATGCTATCATCCTTCTGGAAACCCTCACCAACCGCAAAAATGCCCGGCGGCCCCCCGACAAACGATACGACGGACCCCCCGGCGCCCCTCGTCAGCTCCTGGCGGGCGCGCGTCGACGCCGGCGAGCCCGTCGCCGTCGTCCGCGTGCGCAACCTGCAGGCCTCGATCCCCGTCGGCCGCGACGCTTGGGGCAGGCCCGGCGTCCTGCAGCCCGTGCTGCTGTCTTCGGAAGTCTCCTTCGCGAGGCCGTTCTCAGGTAATGCCGCCGCCTCCACTTCGGGCGACACGGATGAGCTCGACGCCGGGACCGTGCACTACGGTAGTCTGAGCAAGACGCTGCTCTCGAGCCTCGAGCTGTGGGGGCAGGCTAACATGCCTAAGACCGCGGGGGGCACGGCGACAGCGACGACGGTGCCGGCGACCGGGTTCGCGGCCGAGGTCGAGGCGCCGCGGACGAGCGATGTGCTGGAGCTGCTGTGGGTAAGGATGACGGGGCGCGTGGTCGACGGCAGCCGCGTGGCGCTGCCGCTGGACCAGCTGCCGTTCCTCGACGCGGCGAAGCTGCGCTCGCTGGTGCTTACGATCGGGTTGCCGAAGGCGTCGCTGCTCGGGGCTGGGGTTAGTCTTACTACGACGGCGAGCTTTAGGGAGGAGTTTGGGGATAAGGGGGAGGGTAAGGGTGAGGGTGAGGGGGAGAAGGGGGGTGGGGAGGAGAAGGAAATGGTGAATAGTAAGAATCCTTTAAGGTCGTACTCGCGGTGTCTACGGATTCGCGGCTTGCATGTGCCGACGCTGATTGGGGTTAACTCGAACGAGCGCGAGGCGAGGCAGATGGTTGTTGCGGATGTGGAGATTGATAGGTTTGATGCTGTGGAGGATGTGCATAGTGATCTTGAGAAGATTATAGTTGAGGTGAGTGCTCGAATTTTGACTGATGATTAGCTGTTGAAAGAGGTTGAAGTTACTGACATTATCGTATAGACGATAGAGGCTTCATCGTTCAAGACGCTCGAGGCCCTCGCATCCCATGTGGCGAATAGGATACTGTCGGATTTCAGAATCGGCGATAGCCCGGCGCCTATGAAGGAGCGGGGCTGGAAGGTCAGGGTCTGCCTCGAGAAGCCGATCGCTGTCCCTTTTGCGGAGTGTCCTTCTGTTGAAGTGATTATGGAATAATGCCGCCTTTCGATGAGATGACAGTATTTATGATACATGAATAGATATTGTTTTGGATGACGGGTAGGGATCACATAGAGTAAGTTCTGCGATATCATTCATTACTAACCTTATTCTAACTTCGTAGGAAGTTGTTCAACACATATACTCTCTCAATTATGAGATAGAAAACTTTAGATGCTACCTAAGTTTACACGCGTCCTCTCATACGATGACTCGCGGCTACTCTCCCGTGTCTTTAAACGGAAGGCAACTACAAGAAATACAATCTGCATCCTAGTGAATTGCAACCTTTAGGATGAGAAGCACTGTAGAGTAGCTAATTAACATATACATAGGTAACTACCTAGCTAGGTAAGTATTAGAATGATATATCATAATTCAAAGAAATAGCAGTATATACGATTCGAGGTGTTCGTGTGATATGATGATCTGAAGTGACTATTACAGGTTACTTTTACGATGGTAAGGGGTTGGCACCATCTGGAGTACAGACCACCAGCTACCTATATTCTAGTTTAGTGAAGGTGGTTACAACATTGACTATGAGGTTAGGCACATCCACCCTTGGTAGCAAGAGAACCAGACAATATCCAAGATTTAGACGTGCTATAGGTAAAGAACGGGGGACTACGGGAAGACGAGCGGGCTTGGATCGCCGACTCTGGAGATGCACTAGGAGGTGACGTACATTACCGACGAGCCTACGAGTTTGCTCTTTGGCCGGAATGACGTGGAGGCTCTAATTGAAACGGGGATCATCAATAGCCCAGTAATAGCAAACAGAAACTTTTGTATATTACTTAGACGTTTAAGTACCTTGTATTGTGCATGCTTTCATATTTGCCATGCCCTGACGTTCTGTTAATATGTCAAATGGAGACCAATGGGCGTTTATCATACATAGACGCGTCTGTGGACGTTCTATCAAAATGACAAGTCAAATCTTGCGACAAGATGGAATGTCGCCATTAGTGATCTCATCGACGAATTTAGGATCCGGATCGAAGAGCATGACGTGGAAATGCTCTACGGCCTGGACGGATTTCAATGACCTCCAGTTCTTGAACCAGATGTACTACAGTGGAGTCTTAGTGTAGTCGACTAAGGAAATGAGGCTGTAATGTCACTTACCCGATCTCTCGCCACTCTAGACCCAAATGTTTTCTGCACGTACCCATCAATAGCGGCCCTCGCCTCATCCGTAAGGTCGGTTGTGACGGGGTCCTCAGCCAGGTCGAACTTGGTCCAGACCACGAGATGCACTATCCTCTCATCGATACCATACGGCCAATCATTCCATAGGATCTTCACATCATCGTCAAACTCAAACGGCTTACCCCTCGGCGTCACAGGAGCCTCCCAGTGCAGCCGGTGACCTAAGACGAAATTCATGACGCTTCCATAATCTCGCTTCAGGCTCCAGGTGTACTCAAGGTATCGCCTCAAGTCGGATGGGACCCGACGAAACGCATCTAACCGGTTCTCCGCCACGATTTTCTGAACCTCGGGCCACGTGGATCTGCGGTAGAGAGAGTCGGGCGTGCCGATGATGCCGATATCCTTGGGACTGAGGGTGCTGAGGAATTCTGGACATTCTTCCGTACGCTCATTTTCTGGGACGTTGACATGCCAGTAGGGCAAGTCACTCATGCTTCCCATCTTTTTGTTTGTATGTGAAGTACCGGTAGAGAGAATCTGGCCGATTACCTAATGCGGCTCCAACTTATTAGTGCTGGGTACCAGCTGGTTGCTAACGAGAATTTGTGGCAGCGAGCCGGTGAAGCTGAAGCCAATCGATAAGTCAAGTAACTAATTTGAGCGACTCAGGAACGATATGGGCTTCAAAAGGTTCGGGCCGAGGAATTATTGTCAATATTGGTGCTAATATTAATGAACTACATATATAAAGTTGAGGCCTAGAGCTTTCCGAAGATAAGAGAGTCGATATTCGACGAAGTCTAGAGCTTGGTGGATGCTTCAATAGAGAGAAATTCAGGGGTAGTTGGCTGGCTGGCTGGCTGGCTGGCTGACAGGCGGTCAAGCCGCACTTGGTGGATGCCGTTCGTGCTCGTAAGCGCCACAGACGCTACAGACGCCATCGCGGCATTATCCGAACTTTGGAATCTTGGAAACTTCTCGGGAAGGCATGAGAGTGAGAAAAATATCTTGGTACAAGAACTCGTATTGTTAAATTTAAGTCTCGTGTTTTATGTCCATATTCTGGTTTGTTGGTGCAACGAAGACCTACTTGGGCTTTCTTACGTGCACCTAGGTTAGGGGATGTACATACATAAGTACCAAGTAGCGAATGTACATTTGAAGCGTGGCTTTGTTCCAAGACTCGGGATTTTCGATCCGAAGCTTCGGCCGGCTATTGAAGTCAGCTAGATGCGGCTCTTATCTTAGCCATGAACGTGCTCATCTCAGCCAAGATGAAGGTTATATAAGAAGTCAGCACAAGAGTTCTAAGATTGACGTCAATAAGCACTGCTTATACATGATTGACTGGCTTGTACTGCTACCCCCACGTGGAAATTTCACGTCTATCTATTTGCTACAAAATAACGTGGCTGATTTCGTCATTATAACCCACGAATCTAATCATTATAAACCGCAATTTTCTATCTACCGCAAAAAACAAGTTTCCACATTTTATCGGTATATGGTTTGGCAGGAGTTCTTGTCGACACCCTTTTCCAGCAGTAGTTCGAAATTCTTCACGGCTTCGATAATCAAAGTTACTCACCTACCTAGTTAAATATAGAAACCTCAACTAATATGAGAGTTTCATTAATCACACATCAAGTGGGTTGCACCGGAACCCAACTCTCATCTAGTTCCCGCTAGATTAGAATTAGAACGATGTATTGGATGAGCCAATTGTTCGCGGTGGAGAGAGAAAACTGCACTAGCTATTGTGAGATCAAATACCTATGGCGAATATGCGACTTTGCCCAACGGATACTCCTGGAACTCGGGCGTCGTCTACTCGAAACGGCAGATATCTCGATGAGGGCACTTGCATGGAAGTGTCTGGATTGCATAGAAAGTGGCCAAGTAAAAATATCGTGGTAGCTTGTGCTTGATGTCAACATTGCGCCGAAAGTGGTTGGAAATACTACCCACCCACTTGAAGTCCGGTCAGGCTAGATTTCACAACGGATACAAGCCTAAACCGTTGTTCCACACACCACGGGTACCAAACATAATGTGATAGGTCTCTTTGAAACGTAGCGGCTTTTCAGCCTTGAAGCGCTTGAATCGCCCAGGTAAAAGGCCTTGAAATACATCGCTAGTCCAAGTTCGAGATAGGTATCCGATATCGTGGGCCAGGATGTCGCATCAATATGGTGGAGGGGCTTTAACCGCTTGGCTCAAAAAGGCCTAGCCGATGCCAACAAAGGCCATAAAGGTACTAGCCTATCCTTGTTTTAAGGGGTATATCGAGAAAAATGATCCGTTTATGAGTAGAATTCCGCGGTCAAGATCAGGTACAAGAAGAATACTTATACACCGCAAATCGAAAAAATACCTCCGCTTGATCGAGAAATGGGGCGGCCGATAATTTCCTGGAGCAACCATCAACTCTCAACTTTCCAGGGGTTCTAGGATGGTCAGAACGGTTAGGACGAAACTAAATAAAAGGGTAGATGATGCTCGCTCTTGATATTTGCTTAGTCCTTCCTTTTCTCCCCGTGAACTCCTAATTCGGCCAGATTGGGTGTAAGACTATCCCCAGGTACGTTCATGATCTTCTCTTACTCTAATTTGACCTGTTATGCATCGCATGTTTTTTGCTTGTTCCCCGCCCTGGTCTTTGCATGTGATTGAACGCTGCACGAAAAAAAGAGGAACATTAAAATGGCAACATTGAAGATGGCAAAAAAAAAAAAAAAGGAGAGTATACAGAAAGTTCGTGTGGCGTCTGAGCCATGCATGTGGCTAAATATTGTTATATTGGATTATAACGTTAGCATTTGTGTGCCTTCCATCGGCTTGAAGGTTATACAATATTGGTGCTAGCAAGTGCAGCCGTCTTGTCATTAGTTTCGCAAATGAAACTGATGAGGTAAATGGAGATGAAGGAAGTTTGTTTCATTGGCCGGGGAAGGCTGCACAAACTCGAAGGCAAAATGCAGCTGGCAAGCACAAGCAGGGAAGAGACTTGCTCTAAATTAGACTGCATTACGTCAATGGTGCATTCCACTATAGAAAGTGAACTAACGAGCTAACATTTCCACCCCCCCTTTTTTTAGGTACCTATAGAAAATTACCGTAGCTGCCAAAGCTCCGACGCCAACCAAATTTACCCCGCCATTCAACCCAAGAGTAACGAAGTCCAAAAGCCAAAGGCTTGAAAGTTTAGAAGGAACAATCGTCATCCCAACCTTTACCTTCGAAACTACAAAATTAAATCTTCACCTCCTTTTCTTCCTTATAAACCTCACCTTGACGGCATTGATTCAATCCTGGGAACGCTCGTCTTCTTCCGATTTGGCACTCTAACATCTTCCTGAGTGACTACTCTATACCTGTTTCCGACTCACACTTCGCACACGATGGCTCAAGCAATTAAGAGCGCGTTGCCTTCCCATCTGAAGCCCGGTGGGAGGGACGCGGATGCTGAGTTCGCTGGAAGACACCATGGCAAAACTCGATCACACATGGTACGTATAACTCCATGCTCTGCTACAGCTTTTCTATCATCTACACGCATTTGAGGTGAATGGAAAGCCACTTGGATACTCGGCCGTCAGAAAACAATGGAGTTACAGACTATCTACAGCTTTGTTTCTTTGTTCTTTCGCCTATCTCGATGGCGAAGTAACCCAAACACCTCACGTGTATCTGCCTCAGAGCTTCGCATCTTACGATTACACACCTCAGATAAAGTTTCTCCATCTATCGCTTCCTGAAGTTTGAATCCTCCAAACGTCAGGCAAAGCATGTACTACTTACCATGACTGTGGAACACCCAATACCTTGAATCACTTCCCCATATCCCTATCATCCTTCACTAGATCCAGATTCTATAAAAGCATAAGAAACTCTACATCGTCTCATAAATATTCGCATATTTAATCTATTTAATGTTTTCCCTAATTCATCCCTTCACCCTCCACTCCCCTTTACCTTCTAAATCTATATCACTTTCGAGGTGATCGAACAAATACAATGTCTATTACAGTAACTAACGGTAACAAGGCCTTTGAGAATGCCTCGACCAACGTCGCTGCGGCGCAAATGCGCAACTCCCTAACTGAGCTCGCGGAGACTGTCAAGGACCCGGAGCAGAAGAAGCTGTTCGAAACTGAAATGGACAACTTCTTCGCCCTCTTCCGCCGATACCTCAACGACAAAGCTAAGGGTAACGCTGTGTACGTATAACCCTTACCCTAGTTACACTTGGGGTACAAGAAACTGGAGGCTAATATTGGGTTGGTAGTGACTGGGACCGTATCGCTCCTCCCGCGCAGGGCCAGGTCGTCGACTACGAAGACCTAGCCAACTCCGAGTCCGTTGGGTTCCTCAACAAGCTCGCTGTTCTGAAATTGAACGGTGGTTTGGGTACGTCTATGGGTTGTGTTGGTCCTAAGTCTGTTATCGAAGTCCGCGATGGCATGTCTTTCCTTGATATGTCCGTACGACAAGTCGAATACTTGAACCGAACGTACAACACTAACGTCCCCTTCATCCTGATGAACTCTTTCAACACCCACGATGACACTGCCGCCATCATTAAGAAGTATGAGGGACACAACGTCGACATCCTGACCTTCAACCAATCGAGATTCCCCAGGATCTACAAGGACTCGCTATTGCCTGTCCCCAAGAGCGTCGACTCGTCGATCAATGAGTGGTATCCTCCCGGACACGGTGATGTCTTCGAGTCTCTATACAACTCTGGCCTCCTCGATAAGCTCATCGAGCGGGGTATCGAGATTATCTTCCTGTCAAACGTCGACAACCTAGGCGCCGTGGTGGACCTACGCATCCTACAACATATGGTTGAGACGAATTCCGAGTACATTATGGAGTTGACCAACAAGACCAAGGCTGACGTCAAGGGTGGTACCATCATCGACTACGAGGGCTCTGTCCGCCTACTAGAAATTGCTCAGGTTCCCAAGGAACATACCAACGAGTTCAAGTCGATTAAGAAGTTCAAGTACTTCAATACCAACAACATCTGGATGAACACCAAGGCCATCAAGCGCGTTGTTGAGAACAACGAGCTCGAGATGGAGATTATCCCGAACGGCAAGACTATTGCTGGCGACAAGAAGGGCGAGTCAGACATTTCTATTCTGCAGCTTGAGACTGCAGTCGGTGCTGCTATTCGCCATTTCAAGAATGCCCACGGTGTTAACGTCCCACGTCGCCGATTCTTGCCGGTCAAGACCTGCTCAGATTTGATGTTGGTCAAGTCCGACCTGTACACTGTCAAGCACGGTCAATTACAACTGAACCCGAGCCGATTTGGCGGCGCGCCGCTTATCAAGCTTGGCAGCGACTTCAAGAAGGTATCAGACTTCCAGAAGCGCATCCCGTCGATCCCCAAGATCATCGAACTTGACCACCTAACGATCACTGGTAATGTCAATTTGCATCGTGGAGTGGAACTCAAGGGAACTGTCATCATCGTCGCGACAGAAGGCTCGACGATCGACATCCCCCCCGGATCGATTTTGGAGAACGTGGTAGTTGAGGGTAGCTTGCGTCTGTTGGAGCATTAATCTGTGGTATTTCCACCATTGTCATTTTTGTAGTACTCCCGTACTTTCCGTTGAGCGTTTGTTCCGACCCAACTCTTTGTCCGCAAACCTCCACCCTTTTCCCTATTTCTCGATAGGGATTGGGGATTTTATAGAGATAGCTAGCCGTAGTAAAGGTATCCTGGGACGGATGTGGGAGATAATGACTGATGTTATGCACTTGGGCGTGTTGGACCAAAAAGCGCCAGGAAGATAATGCGATGCAATAAAAAAGTACACATGTGGTATAATTCTGCCGAGTCTTTGCCTGTCGTGTGATTTAATTTATGTGTGTTGTTGTGTTGTGACTGGTGGATACTTACGCATTGTTGCCGGCTTACCTGGCTTTAGCTACGTGTGATTTTCGCATTCTACGATTGCTTCATCTCACTTCACAAGGATAGGCCCCTCCAAAAATCGGACGAGATTTCATTGCTTTTGAGGACTCTCAGTAACGGCGTGTGATGTGACTACCTAGAGAATTGTGGAGGTTGAGTGCTTTACATGGACCTGATCCCTTCAAGGCTTGAGGTTTCTTGGGACACTCGATATGTGGCGGTTGAGTATGGATATCTTCCTATCTTGCTGACTAGGAAGACTTGTAACTATCCCGTCATTGACATGCTCACCACATACGCCCCCATATCGTCTGCATACCACTTTTCACTTCTCGGATCACCCCACGTCTCCTTCCTATCCTCCAAAATGGCAATTTATGCCGGCCAAGACAGAGTTTTCAAGGGGTTTGATTGGTTGTAGTGTGGCATTTTTAAGCTCGATAGCCTTCGAGTGTATCGAATTAGTGACCGGAAACTAGTTGACACTTGAGGCTGAAAACTTCGATAGTACGTAGTATGTGCGAGATCCGAGTGGCGTAGTTATCAAGGGTTGTGTGAGTTCGGTAGTAAGTCCTAAGCCTCATCCAAGGGCAATAAAATCGCCATCTTCCTCCAATCTGGTATCATCGTTCCAAGAAAAGAAAACGCCAAAAAACAAACAACTTCACTTCCCCTTCTTCTTCATAGCCTCGGTGCAAGCAGGACAGTACCAGCGGCCCTCCGGCTCCGACTTGAGGCCCACGCACGTCCAGTGGAACCACTCGTAGGGACACGCGTTATTGTCGCAGGCTACCATGTCGCCGTATGACACGTGCTGGCAGAGGCAATACTTCTTCCCTTCCTCGTCTTCCTCGTCGTCCGACGCCCCGGAACCCGCCGACGCGGACCCCCGATCCGGCATCTCTTCATCTCCCTCTCCTCCTCCTCCTCCTCCGTGAGTGTGGGTGCGGTGGTGTTTATGTACGTGAGGGCGGGGAACAGGCGTCCCGCTGCCGGCTCGAGATCCGGCGCGCGACGATCGAACAGATTCTGCGTCGGAAAGCTCGCTGTCTGCTGTCGATGCCGGGGATCCCTTTGATATGCCTGCGCGCCTCACGCGCGATAGCGTCGATTTCGAGTTTGGTGGTTTCTTACGACTGATTCCTGCCGATGGTGTGCCTCTTCTGCCGGCACCTACGCTTCCTGCCTTAGAACTAGCCCGGGGCCCTGCGCTACCAGCCCTGACCGTTGCTCCTGGTGTTCCCGCCTTGGGTGTCCCTGGACCGAGAGAAGAATGCCGAGCCAACCCACTCGATGCCGTGGGCAGACTGCCCAGACCAGAACTCACCCGTGGGCCTCTCTTGGGGACACCACTTCCACTAGAATTTGTTAGTACCTATAACTTATGCATAGCTCTGTGAATCATCGGTATGAGTATTGGTAATGTGTCTTTGTATCATAAGCAGAAACTACTGCGACAAAAGGGACGGGGGGCTCCCAAAAAAAAAGAAGTGTTGAACGGGTGCAGTAGTCGGGGACACATAATAATTGTAAGGTTACTCACGGTCCAGCAGAGGACTCGCGCTGGTTACGGTTGCTCATGATCATGCTCGCGGCGGGGGACGTGGGTGCTGAGTTAGAGATATGCGTTTGTGATTGCGTTGTTCGGATCTGGGGATTGGTAGCTCGCGAGTTTGTCGGGGTTGCGTTGGTCGAGATGGGAATGAGCGGCGTGATATTAGACGTTGACACAGTGAGTCCTCGAAGATTGGGGTTGCTGTTGTTCGCGGCGCTGGGTCGTACGGTGGAGGGTAGTTCATCAGGGTCGGTGAAGCCGGGCTCGCCTCGATCACCTAACTGCTTGATCTGCAAGTCGAGATGCCGAAGATGCTTGTCGATAAGAACCTTAGCCTTATGCGCCAGAGCAATCTTCTCCTCTGCGAGCTTGTCGGCCTTGTCATAGTTGTCGCGGATGGTCTCGCGCAGTGCCTGCTCGCGAGGGAAGGGCGCGTGGCTGCCGTTCAGTCGAATCCAGCGTTGGATCTTAGCGTCGCAGTCTTCGATAGTCTTAACGTGTTCGTTGAATTGACGGTCTTTGTAGGCGATCTCATCTTGGTAGAAGCGTAGCTCCTCGGGCAGGTTGGCAGTTCGGTAGATGAAGTCTTCGAGGATGGCGGCCGGGTCTTGGGCCTCGGCGGAGGGCGCCATCTTTTTCACGAAGTCTATGGAGAGATCGTCTCTAGGCATGGTTGTTAACCTGGCCCTCTAAGCGGGGGCGCGCTCCCAGTGATGGTGAGGAATGTTTAATGAGGTGAGTGATGCATGCGCATGATTATAAGGGAGTATCTCAAGAAGGGGGGTGTAAGTGACAAGGTGAAATTGCTTTGAAATAGGTTGCAATATCGCCTGGTTTTTTGCTGATATTGTTTTTTCCCCGAACTCGAGTTTGTACTTATTATTGATTGATTCTTCTGTTTGTTTTTTTGTTGCGCATTTATTGCTTGTAACCTCGACCCAGAAACAGTGCGCAGGATCTGCTGGGGATCATAGGTTGCGATGGCAATGTTGGATTGAAGGTTGAAAAAGGCTGGAAGTTGGAAATCACATGCATGTATTTTGTAATTGTAACGGTTGTGAATTCGAGCTGTGGCTCACCTTCCTAACCAGTCCCAAGAATTGATCTCGGAAATGCGATCTCCCAAGTCAAGGACGACGAGACATGAATTATGAGGACGCCACTATGAATGCGTAAAGAAGGAATAATTTTTCGCTTCTTTAGGCAATCGCTAGGTACGAAATGGCTTACACGGAAGGCGCAAACACGAGTAGCGGTCCCAGTCCCCAGTGCCAATGTGGGGTGTCGTTTTCGAGTGGACGGAATTATGAAAATGATTGTTAAAAGGAAGAAAACGGCCGAGCCAAAATTTAGGATGTAAATCAACGAGTTACGTAATACGGTTCGTCATCCAATATCGGTCTACCAGGATATAATTGTAAAACAATTGAATACCATATCCAGTATAATACAATAAATGAAGCATTGAGTCCATGCACTTGTTCACTAATCCGGCACGTGCTTTCTTTCACAAGTAATGCTCATAACTTCACAGCTTCAACACAGACCAAACATAATTATTTATACCATCGCAGCCATCGTCATACCGTCGCCATGTGGTCAGAACTCTACATGAAGTCAACATCCATGCTTGTCAACATGGAGTTTTCCCCTACTTCATGACGTCTTTTTCGCTTTGTCTCATCGATGTTCTGTTCTAGTTTCTACCTCGTAGAACTCCTTACACGCTTAATTACTTAGATACCTATTGAAATGCGTATTCCAGAGAGCTGTCTGTCTAGCAAACTGTTATGTAGCATATGGAATCTCGGTAGGGAAGATAGGGGTAAGAAATAGTAGGTAGGTATGGGATTATGATATGAACTCCCTCCGGACGATCCTCAAACCAACGAAACAAGGATTTTGACCGTCATTTCCATCATCCCCGGGAGGCCACATATCCACGTAAATTTCGTCATGCTGAAAAGTCTGATGTAAACGATTATTTGACTGAACTAGACTGCTTGACAATGTGGTATTTGACTTGATTGTCAGGTTGTACGGTAACTCTACTCATCCAGACAAATTCCATTTATCATGACTCCCGAAAATGCCTTCTTAGCTTATAAACGGTATACCAATTACTTGGTGTGCTGGCTCATCCATACCACGAGTCGAATTTCCCCGCCATTAGCAGAGGTGGGAGGTTCTACCAATGTACATGCTATGAACATCAAATACGGCGAGCTCATGGCAAAAGATCTGGTTTCCGTCTCTAAGTTCATTGTAGAGCATGGCGTCTCCGTTCCACCTATCATATTTCGCTTATTGCAAGAGGCCATCGAGGCACGGATGGCTGCAAATGCCATGTTCGCGGACGGTACCTACAATGACCCGGACGCTGAGTCAGGGAAATCTAAAGAACAATATAAGTATCTGATCGAGGTTCTAAGAGAAGCTTTCGTAATACTTGGAGGAAAGGAGTGGGAGTCAACCGACCAGAATTCATGGAATGGGGGCGACAACTTGACTGATGGGGCCGTTGAAGAGGATTTATTCTCGGAGAAGTTGGATCCCTTGAAAGCAAAGCAGAAGACGACTGAGTCAATCCCCAAATCAAACCTCGAAGCAATACCGATCGAGAGCTATCGTATTGTCAGCGGAGAGGGCACCGCAACCGAATATGGCGTGGCTCTCTCTGACCTCCTGATAAACTGGATCGAACTTCGCACTTTTGTCCAACTCCATGGCACGATGTGGCCTATAATGGAGCTAACAGTGCGGTTGCAGGTCGCAGGTCCAAGTTCGCTATTGCAAAAGCGCGGCGCACCGAAGCGGGCCTGCTTTCCGATTTCCCATCTGGCTTCGATCATTTTGAATCGGTTATGAAGTGTTTGAGTAAAGGGCACCCGGAGAGCTGTCGTGCGTGGCAGAAACATAGCAGCATGAAAGATCTTCCCCCACCACGTATTCCAGCTCCAGTGCATTGTTGATTCCTTCACAATCACCCGTGGTTGGAACTTTAGCTCGGACGAAGTTGATGTCTTTGAAGAAACGGCATTGGAGTACAATCCGAAGAAGGACATTGATCAATTCATTTACGCGGTGGACGGCGAAGATACGCGTAATGGATTTTCCCAATCAGCAGACATTCTCTCCAAGATGCTAACAGTGGACAATCTACTCAATGAGGACACACAATTGCATGGGTCCCATATCATGCTACTACAAGCAGCAAAACTTGATTACTGCAATTGGCTTGGAAAGTCACCCATCAAAAACGGATATAAGCATATGAAAGGGTCTCGCTTTCAAGGAACCAATCCCGACGGTCTCTGGGAATACTCACCTTTCCTATGCGGAACGGCTCTTGTGGAGGTAATGGAAGAAGCTTACCTCACAAACATGGCGATCTGGGATCAAATTCCAGAGCCAACGAACCTCGTACATCTACACAACATGCTCGTACGGAAAGGCTATCTAGAAGAGCCCGTCATTTTACTCAACGCACTAGATGAGGTCTTTAGCAGCGCCTTTTACAAGGACGATCTGGCACCGCTCAACGACTTTGCTGCAGTACTCGCCGAACGGAATGAGCAGATCGGAAAATCAAGAGATTCTATTCCACAAGCCCATCGCCGCACAGTAGTAGACCCTTTTGGTACTATGAGCATGAGTGACAATACTCTCTTCAATAAGCGATGCAAGCCGCCTCTCATACTATATCAAGAGGCAGGTTGGAACCCTGATCAGATACCGGACAGCGAACTGACCATCGATTATCAATTGGGGAAAATACGGATTGCTCAGACGAAAACCATTGTGGAGCAAGTGACGGGAGAGAGAAGGCTTGCAGATACGGAGCTCGTTTGTCGTATGATTCACCTTGGGCATAGTATGGACTGCCTTTTAGAAGGTCAGACTTAGCTCAAAAAGCAACAAGACCTAGACCCAACCGCTATATCAACACAAGCACGAGATGAAGAAGTAATTAAGAAATGGGTTGGCAAAGAACATTGGGACGCCGTGGAGATACCTGGAGGACAGAAACGTCGCGGGGGTCTAAACCCGGAACCTAGCGATAATAAACGCGCCGATGTTGAAATAAATGATATGTGGCTCTTGAAAATGATAGCCCAAGATGCCGCCGATGATATTTACGGGGACAAAGCGATATCCGGAATCAACTTCACACACGTCACAGCTTGGATCTTTCACTGGTACATGGCGGCGACGAAAGAGCTCAAGCGAACGGGGAATAGGGTTTTCAGATACGCTTTTATGTACGATGACGACGAGGGGTGGTGCAAGAACGCCAAGGTGATCAAGATTGCTTTGCAAGAGCAAGACGAGGAGTGTTTTCGGATTATGGCAGATTTGTTGGATGAGATGAGAGTGGACTATGACTCGTTCCTTTCTTGGTAATATATATGCTCGGATTATAGACCAAAACAGCTTGTTCAGCAATGTGAAGAGATATTGAGGCGCAAAAGAAGATCGGTAGGCAGAGCAGATAAATATATCGGAGTTATGAGAATGAACATGGGGCATGTCACTACCCCAGCATCTTATATAAGTGCGCCATGGAGAGCCGTCGAAGTTCAAACCTGGGCTTTGCCTGGCGGGTATCGAGTCTTTCAATTTTGAGTGTACCTAGGTGGGTCGCATAGTGCCGGAGCTGCGGAGGAAGCCACACCTATATCTGACACAGATCTAATTCATTACAAATCAGGATTAGCGTCTTTAATTTTGCATATCGTTAGTGCGTTAAAAGTGGGACTACCCGGTAACTACCGTTCTTTGGTGGTGGCACGGCTGAAAGTCGCCTTCTTCCATCTTCAAACTTCGTCACAATCGACAACAATTTCATCGCTACTCAGAAGAACAATCCTTCAGAGTTTCAAACTCGTTTAGTTTCTATGGTATAGATGAGGCCATTTTGCCATCTTCGTCTAATGATTCATGAGAGGTTCGGACTGATGATAGGCGACGCGTTTCTTACTACTAGCGATTTTTAACATCTTCCTAAATCATCTAACTCAACCTTCCAGTCATCATCCGGACAAATATTATCATCTCGATTGTCGCGCAAGTGAATTATCGCGAATCCGGCATTTATTATTCCTCTCAGTTTAGATAGCCAAATTATCAAACGCCTTTGCGTTGCGCCTCACCTGATACTTTCCTATTAACCAGCCGCAGCTCATCGGCTGGTTTTCACGATGGAGATAGACCCGGCGAATCATTATTCGCTGCGGATACCAAAACCCAACTACCTACCTCACAAAGTCAATGTCGATGAGCCAGTGGTTAAGAAGTTTTACAAGCCTTTAGATCGCCCAAGCGAGTTGGAAAATGCTGCCTATCTTAACAAGATTAAACGATTTGCCCATGAATACGGCATTACGAAGCCTAAGGGCTACACCGTCTCATTTCACTATAACCCTGAAATGGAAAGGCACCACTTCGGCCAGACGCATCCCATGAAACCGTGGCGCTTAACTCTTACCAAGAGTCTGGTATCATCATACGGCATGAGTTTCGCGATGGACAACTACACCGCGCGCGCGGCCACATACGAAGAGCTCACGGCTTTTCACACAGACGACTATGTCAATTTTCTTGCCATGGTTGAGCCTCAGCCACTCCCACTTGACGTTGATAACTCTAGTCCAGATCTCAAGTTCAATTTGGGAGGTAGCGACTGTCCACTATTTGAGGGATTATACGACTATTGTTCAATGTCTGCTGGTGGTTCCCTAGATGCCGCGAGGAAATTATGTGCGGGACAATCCGACATCGCCATATCCTGGGGCGGTGGACTACACCACGCCAAAAAATCGGAGGCTTCAGGATTCTGTTATATCAATGATATTGTCCTTGGTATACTACAGCTGTTACGCGTCCACCCCCGAGTTCTTTATATCGATATCGACGTACACCACGGCGACGGCGTAGAGGAGGCATTCTTCTCTACTGATCGTGTCATGACAGTCTCCTTCCACAAGTACGATCCCATGGTCTTTTTCCCCGGTACTGGCGGCCTAGATGACAACGGCCCTAAAAGCGAGCATAATCCGGGAGCGCATCACGCCATCAATGTGCCCCTAAATGACGGGATCACCGACGAGCAATACGAGTGGCTTTTCAAGAGCATTATCTCAAAATGTATCGAAAAATTTAGGCCTGGCGCAATTGCTCTGCAGTGCGGCGCGGATTCTCTAGCAGGAGACAGATTAGGTAAATTCAATCTGCTCGTTCAGGGTCACGCGTCATGTGTGGAGTACTGCAAAAGCCTCAATATCCCCTTGCTCATGTTTGGTGGGGGCGGTTACACGCCACGGAACGTCGCTCGCGCCTGGGCGTACGAGACGGCCGTCGCTATCGGACACAAGGAGACTATACCTACGGAGATCCCCTTCCACACTCCTTGGCGCGAGCGGTTCCGCCAAGACACGCTTTTGCCCACCCTACAACAGATCTTGGGTGAGCCGCGCCAGAACAAGAATACTAAGAAGAAGCTGGATGATATTATAGAGCACGTCAGCGAGCAGCTGCGATTCGTCGAGTCCGCGCCCAGCGTGCAATTCTCTACTATACCACCTGACCTCGGGCCTATTAGGGACGAGGTGGAGCAGCGGATTAAGGAGGAGGTCCAGGAGAAGGATGAATTAGGGCGAAAGCTTCGGGAAGAGGGCGTTGGAGATCGCATGGAATTTTAGTTGCTAACAACAGCAAACTATCTGACGACGAGCTTAACTGATAGGATCATGTGAATAATGCAAGCGCTTCGATTCTAGCATAAAAGAGGCCTCACGCTAGGGAGCATTCGACATATCCTGTCCAGGTATTCGGTACGAGCCTCATCGTCAACGGTAATACCTCCCTCATATTTAGATATAACAAGTAACGAAACTTGGATCATGGCATTGGTTTCACGCTGCCTCTATCGTCTGTTCGATCTCGTGACACCTTCATTTCATCATGGAAATTTTATAACCGCCCGGAACGCGCTCCTGGAATACTCCGATCGGATCGTATTTCGCTGACGCTTCTTTCATCTTTTTAACGTTTTCCTCACCGTAATTGCCGAGAGGGTTTTGCGATCCATCACAGTAATTTAGATACAGAAATCCGACGTCTTTATCGAGCGACTTGGCGTACGATTCGACCTCACTAAACATCGCTCTTGTCGCAGGCTCGCTGACCTTGTCAGATAACTCGGACGTTGCGACTTCGACTCCGACCACGACTATGACGCAGTCCTCCGTTATCCGCTCGAGCCCAAGCATGTTACTACCTCGATCCAAGGAATGCTGCGTCCAGGACGCAAGCAATGGCTGAAGGACCATGTTCACGCCAAAACTGTTATCCGTAATGGCCTCTTTTAGTTGTCCTAATAAGGTCTCGTACGCATCGACTGTTCTACGTATGATTCGATGGTCGAACTTGAAGGTAATCGTCATCCAGAAATCACTAACGGTGTATGTTAGCTAATCTGTTGTCTCGTTTGTAGATCTACTAGCTGCTATGGCGCATATAAATAATACAATGAAACCGAAATAATTGTTAACTTACTACTTGCCCGAAGGAAGAATGAAACCTGCTATTTTATTCGCTATAGTCGTAGTTTTTACATTCTGCTGACCGGGGATCTCCAGGAACTTCCGGGTGGTTTGCGGGTTCTCGACCCCGTCGAGACTAGTGAAGAGGATATTTATGATATGCTCTTGAACAAAAGGTATAAAAGTGAACATCGTGAGAACATGGCTATCGCCGTTCTTGACGAGATTCGTCGAAAAGTCGACATATGCTTCGATGACCTGGTCGGTATAGGCTGGAGAGATCACGGAGCTGCCGTCCCAGATATTGGACGCTTTGAAGGTTTGCATGTCAAACCGCGTGACTATGCCGAAGTTGTTATTGCCTCCCTTCAGAACACGGAAGAGGTCCGAATTCGTTGTACTATTGGCTTCGACTACGCTTCCGTCGCCCAAAACGACTTCGTAATTGACAACTTGGTCTATATTTGGGCAATAAGCATTCGGACTTATTATCGTGAAATAAGGATATAACTTACCACAGCCCCACCCATAGCGACAGTTGTAAAATGTCAACCCACCGCCAGTTAGAAAACCTCCAACGCCGACCATTCCCTCACGGCCACCAGCAACCATTACTCCGTCTACGAGGCCTTCAGTCAATATTTATCATGCGCGGAAGGCGTGAAATACGTCACCTACGCTTCTCTACATCTGTATAGACGTCCTTCCATCTGGCACCGGGTTGTATTGACGCAAATCCAGTTTCTGGGTGGTAAGTCGTCCCCTTCATGAGGCCAAGATCAATGGTCACACCGTCTTCGATATCGTTGCCCGCCCCCGCGTGTACCATATGGCCACCACTATTCGGATAGACATGCGTCAGTAATATATTCAAGATAAATATGTCTAAAGATGTATTCAGATTGAATAGGCAACCATTAATTAAGTGAGTCCATGAGATGCGGGAAATTAGGCAGGTCAGCACTAACCTACGGACAGCAAACTTGCAGCCAGCTGTTCTCACCAGAGCCTTTACTATCTTGGAAACCTCTTCCGTATTCCGGGGCTGCACGATACCCCAGGGTCGTTGACGGGGCGTTAATGACCAGTAGGATTCCTCTTGAGCCTCGTAAGTCTGCTGACCACGGGTATACAAGACATCTCCTAAGCCGGCCTCTTTTAGATTCGAAATAGCGGATTGCGCGATAGAGACCATGGTGATATCGCTAGCTTAGAAGCTGGTCGAGCGTATGCAGAGAAGTCTGTAGTTGTGTGACGACCGTCGTCCGCTCTTCATACTTGCCTACATATTTATGGATAACGTATATCGCTTCCGTCTCGATAGGATCCATGTCTCAGCCTACTTTCGGCCGAGCTACGTAATCAGTGAGCTGTTCCCGAGTCACCCAATGAGAGCCTCCATACTAATGATAGGCAGGCCTTTCACATGGTAAGCTTACACTAGGTTCAAGCAGATCTAATAGAACGACAGAATGAATACCTGGGTAGGCTCCATACCACTTACAAGCGACGATTAAGAAAGAAAGCAACTAACTTTGATATTGAAAATCATTCGTAATTAGGAACCCGAATTAAGCTTACCCACAAGTATGGACGTACGTCGTATGGATAACCTATAACGTATGACTTAAGCCATATGAACCTAAGCCAAGACAAGGTTCTGATCAACAAGCCTAGTGACGCGCTGTCGACGAATCAATACGATTGTCTATTATTGGTAAGTAGTGACGTCTTATAACCGATAGCCGGAATAATCACATCCGAAGCCCTGCGATCAAAACCATCGTAGTCATCTCGGCCGAATATGAGTGTATAAAGGAATTCTAGTATAAGCCTGTACGCTTGTATTATATACCCTATGGCTACCTAAATAAGTTGTAGTTTTTGAACTACCGCTGAGTTCGTCTAGGGAACGATGTTCGAACGGGGTACAGTTCTTCATAGGATAGTTGGAACCTTGAGATATCCTTTTCACGTGCACTTGTCGCCAGCCAGGGATTAGGAGGCAAAATACAACTCATCACCCTCAAAAGCTCGGTTCAAGGACATTGCTGGTACAAATGGTTCAAGGCAGGCTATATGCAAAACCATGTACCGTTCATGCTTTAGGTATTCTGGGTCTGGCCCACCAGGTCGTGAAGTTGTATTTTGCCTCCTAATCCCTGGCTGGCGACAACCGCCAGTCAAAGGGATATATTAAATATTATGCGATTCTTTCAACAGGTCTCGTGGTCTAGTTGGTTATGTGAGTAGAACCTCGTTCCTAACTAAGTGGACCTCGTGAAAAATCCAGAAAAAAACTAACATCGTCCCCACAGGGCATCTGTCTAACATCACGAACATCGTGTGTGGAACACAGAAGGTCCCCAGTTCGAGCCTGGGCGAGATCAAAATCTTTTTTGGTCATGTTATGACTGCTACACAGTTTTCTGGATTAGTAAAACTTTTTTCTCCTACTGGAACTAGGAGCGATCCTGTCGCCACTCACGGATCCTGTGGCAAAATAGAGCGCATGGAGGAACCTTCATGGTTCTAGTTTGGCCGTATTAAATTAGGTACGTCAAAGAAATAAGTGCGGCCTGCATGATTGCTAGATTACTCGCTATACTAAAAACGCTCCGTAGCCAATAGCCATACTCAATTCGGCAGGCCTTTCTCGTAAACTGGATAATCCGTATAACCAACACTATTATCCTCCAGCGGCCCGTAGAAGGTAGAGCGGTCATAATGCGAAAGTGGTAAGCCGCGACGAAGCTTCTCGACTAGGTCCGGATTGCTTATGAAATAGCGACCGTACACCAAGGCGTCGTAAGCTCCGCTCTCCAGGACCCCCCAAGAGTTCTTGTCGTTCCATCCTCCGCCAGAAAATAACGGGGTCTCGCCGAAAATCTTTCGAAAAGGCTCGAGACTGATGTCCGGCAGACCCCAGGAGTCGAGGAATTTCTGCTTCTCCGCTTCCGTGTATATCAGCTCGAAGCGCGGCTCGATGAAGCTGACGTAGGATAGCTTGGGGTGGTTTGCCTTGATCTCCCGGCACAGGTGGCTCCATGTCTCTAGACGCTGCGTGCTGCGTGTTTGGTTGAAGAGACCGAATGGCGACAGGCGGATGGAGAGGTTCTCCTGGCCGACGACCTTGGCTAGCTCGCCCATCAGCTCCAAGACGAATTTGCAGCGTTTCTCTGGCGTTCCGCCATATTCGTCTGTCCGATGATTGATGTTGGAGCTGAGGAACTGCTCGGGGAGGTATCCGTTGGCTCCATGAATCTCGATTCCGTCAAACCCGGCCTTTAGAGCCAGTCTTGCGGCGTTACAGTAATCTTGTATTGTGCTTTTGATTTTGGAGACGGTCATTTCAATTGGAGGGTAATCCACAAATTTGACTGGTGTGGTACTGTGGGGTGGAGGGTATGCTGTAACATGTTGTTGGCAAATGCTATTTTCATATGCATACGAAGTCAGGGGTTCAGGGGTCCAGGGGAGTCTTTCATTTTGAGGTTGAGTTCAAAACCAAGCCCCCGCACAAACAACGCAAAAGTTGATATAGCTGGATTATAAAAATAATGCATTCAAAGTGCATTTAGATGTACGTACCATAATAATCATTTGGGTCATCCCACGGTGTGCTTGAGGGACACAAAATTGGGGTACCTACGACACCAATGGTCAGAAAAAATTGGCATATCTAAGTAGGTAGCAACAGCGGCATTTCATATCGGTTGAGCATTCACAGGAATATCACTAAATAGAAGGTAACTGACCTGTTAACTGAGGAATATTTGCTCTTCCGGCGTGCCATAACTGCGCATACATATACCCACCTTTAGCATGGACGGCATCGACAACCTTTTTCCATCCTTCCGCTTGTTCAGGGATAAAAAGACCAGGCACTCCAGGCGTGGCATTTCCCTAGAGCGCGATCGTTAGAAATGATTATAAAAGCATATCTGAGGATTGTTTCGCCTTACTTCAAGCGAAGGAGGGATAGCCTCCGATATCAAGAGACCCCCATCCGTAGCCCTTTGAGAATAATAATCGACCATAAGATTATTTGGCACCCATATTCGGTTGGGCTTTTCCGGAGTCGATTCGGAATATGGCGTGCCACGATTCCTGGTCAGCGGGGCAAGGACAATGCGGTGCTTGAGAGTGATCTTGCCATCGGCAATAGCTAGCGGTTGGAAAAGCTTCGATTGAGATCTCACAGAAGCCATGTCTGCGATTGGTAAAGAATCGAGTGGTTGGATTTACGTCCTCAAGACACAAGGCAACAGCCTCTTAAATATTCATGCTTTCGAAGCCATGATAGTGCCAAGAGAGTGGGTAATGGGCCAACTCCCGAGAACGGAATGCGGGCCTTTAGGGATATAAGCCTAAGGTCCGCGTTAGTGCTGTTAGTCACTTTAGAATATCAACCAATTAAGATTTTGAAGGCCGTGATTTTACTATGGAGTAAGTGTTCAGTCAGGCTCAATGCCGACGGTGATAACGGCGATAGTGGGACCATAAGGGAAGAAAAGGGGCACACCGGGGTCATGCGGATGGGCCGGAGAGTGACAGCAACGCAAGGTATGAGTAACGTTCTGTCTTACCCCAATCGGCACATATATGATGAGAATGTTGGAGTTGGAAACAGGGGGTAAATTCGGGAAGTTGGCGGGTAAATTTCGAAGGGATCAAGATATCATGAATGAGGAAACACACACCTGATTACCTTCCTATGATAACAATAAGCTGAAGGGGCTACTACCTATGTAAGGAGTAGTACACCGTCAATTCATTATGTATATGTGATGAGTTATATCAAAGGATCTCACTTTAACCCTCCTGGCATGGAAAACTTTCGAAGGCAATGCGTTTTTCATCTTCCCCTATGATTCATATATATGCGCAGCAGAATATTGTCAAACCAAGCTCATAACGACTGACTCTCAATGTTAAGAAACGCAAGAACCCCGTTTTACTTAGCGACCTTTGGGTGAGAGCATCTGGCTAGATACCCACCTGCCTAGGTAGGCTATATTGGCATAAGACGAAGACATCATCTTCATTAGTAGTAACCCTTTGCCAATTGAAAGCATATGAAATGAGAAATAACTCATAATATAATCCCCTTTTCATATATCTTGTTACGATAATAGGATACTCACTTCACTGGGTCATGAACGCTAGGGAGGATATGTTCCTGTGTTATAATACAGTTACGATTCAACCTCAGATACGTCTACCTAGATAGGCAGATACGTGAAGGGTTTAAGTTTTTATGAAATTATATAAGCCTAGGTAGTTTGAAGACTTTCTTCAATTGGATTTCTCATGACGTTAGAATTATTCTTCTAATAAGGGTATGGTACTTGATTATGCAATATTCATTTTACGAGGTGTTAGTATTTTGGGTTAAGAAACAACGAATCTTTAAACCCCGGCCAAATTTGACACGCCTGACACGCCATCGACGCGTTTTCCAAGATTACGCTTAATGATATATCACATTTTGTTCTATCGATTGGCCTGTGAACGGTTCAGCTATGGGTATGTGGCTGGGTCCTCAACTGTTTACGGGAGTCATTGTCACCTCACGTTCCATCTCGACACGCGATTATAAAAGTTATGACTTTCAATAGTCTTATCTGAGCAGCCGCATAAACGAAATAAACTGCTTTCTAAGTTTGTGAGGATATAGTACTGTAGTGGCCTAATTGCCGACACCGTCGATGTCATGGTAACTTACGACTACGCTATGAGTAAGAGTTTGAAGGCGAAGCTGCTCGAAGCGATCAGACAACTTCCATCACCAACTGAGGACTTGACCAACAGGTCTGAAGTGTTTGAGGATATAATTCAGAAATGGATTTCAAGCGCCCGGGACGTACCGGGTCAGACTGGCGAGTTGCTCTATCTGCTCGAGGACTCTTTAGATACGGACTTCTCCACAGATGGCTTGACTGGAGCTGGTTTGATGTTGTTCCGCCACTTACAAAGTCTTGAGTCTCAATGTCATTTCAATGTCTTCGTTGCACAAGTTGAGAAGCGAGAAATAAGGACCACTTGCGACGACTATGCTCGCGGGTTCAATGAATGTGAGCAGAGTGAGGATGAAGATGACGAAGAAGACCTGAGCGATAAAGTCCACGATATAGATTGGTCTCTACGAGTGACGCTCTTCGGCAGCAAAGTCCCTCGAACACCACACAACTTGAACATGAATCCCGATTCTATCCTCCAACACGACGTTTTCATAGACACCGACCTCGAGGAAGAAGACCTACCTGACGATTACGATTACGATGAACCTTCCCACCCAGAGGTTCGTCTGAGATACTGTCAGATCTCTACTTGTTTTCGCTAACTCTGCTAGTGGCGTGGATTCGCTCGGTACTACAGGTCGTTAGTTAGTGTCATCAGAAAACGGTTTGCCTAAGACGCTTTAACTGACCTTATTCTGCAAGGCTCTGCTTATAGTCCCCCAGGCCACGACAGTCACCTATTTTACAGAAAACTCAAAAGCCCGGGACGATTATACAGCGACTGACCTACTTGAATACTTTTCATTGAAATGTGCCGAGTCCAGAAGCGACGACGGGTTTCTTAAGACATTGACCAGCATGTGTGAGATATTCTTCCCCTCGAAAGATGTACAGTCAAAGAGCAGGATGGATATTCCCGAGCCGATTATCGTCAAAATCTTCGAGGTAGCAATGTCACGCCAGAGTCAACCTTTGTTCAATCTAGTTTGGAACAATAACGAAGCCGAACTTTCACCTCAGTTCTTCCTGTGGATACTGGCAAAGTTGAGGGAAACTCCCATGCTTACCCTTGACGCATTGATCTCGGCGTTAGTAACATCATATGTGCGAACTGAGTTAAGTTAGTATTAACTGCGTTAGTCTCGACCGTTCTGTTTTCGCTCTGAAAACCCTCAGCAAGCAGCATACGTACCTCAGGGGTTTGAATGATGCTGGAAATAAGCCACCAAAAGAGTTAGAGGCCCATGTTCTCGATCTTTTTGATAAGATGGTCGGTCTCTGTTATAATTATGTACTGTGCGAGCAAGATGGAGAGGTTCTTGTCCGGATTGCTTGCGATCGTCAGGATTATGAATGGCTTTCCAAAAGGTAAGTTTCTCTATACCACTTATTCCTTAAGAGTCTAACATAAGATAGCGTTGATCCCCTCATTCAAAAAGAACGCGAGAATATTGCATTTATTCTGGGATTTTGTTGGGAACTATATGCTACAGTTACCCGAAACGAATTGCGAATTTCCAATTCATTCAACTGGCTGAAAACCATCGTCAAATCCCTAATTGCACGACTCGATGTCAACCATCTTATAAGTGTACATGGCTTTCACTGTTGGCAACAGAACCAAGCTGCTCCCGTGAAAGAACATAAAGTTGCAATCCCACAACCTCCGACGCCAGTCACCAGCCAGACCCTCGTCAATTTATATGTGCTTCTATTAGGCTTGAATTTGGAAGAGGATCTGCGTTATCTGACGAAGAAACTAATCGACCAAAGTGGAAGAATCAATCCATTTGAGATCGCCAACCTTTTCGTTCCCTTCGTCGGTAATCTTATGGACGTCCTAGAGAACCGATCGATCTCTCTCGAAGACCCTCTGCTATCATCACTAGTCCGAACAATTGTTATTGCGTTCTGGAACCAATACGTCATGCCGGGGGAACCGATTTGGACAGAGCCGCGCTACAAAATCTTGGACAGCTGTAGTTGCAGGTTTTGTAGGTCAATGGAATCCAACCTCCGCAACCCCAAGAGAGCGAATTGGGATGTCAAGGAAAGCGAAAATAAATCCAAGAGGCATATTGCGGCTGTACTTAAAGATCTTGCTTGGGATTCTCACTGCTCCTATCATCGAAGCAATGGGACAAAATATTCGACATGGTACATAACAAGACTGCCTACGGAATATGAGAAGGACAAGTCTATCTGGGATAAGAAGGTCGCTGATGCTAGGGCTCAGCTAGCAAAATTCAACCAGAGGAAGCTTTGGCAAGTGTTAGGACCTGATTACTGTTGTATCACTGGAAATAATCCACCCTACTTCGAGGCCCCGCGAACAGACACCGCAATGGTTGGACAATCGACGAGCGCGCAAGCACCTCCCTTAGTCTGTGTACCAGAACACACAGAAGCTATGCCCCAAGTTGCACTGCCGCCGCCAGACAACTTATATGGAAGCATCCCATCTTCACATTATCCCCCGCAGCCTCTTGTCCATGATGGTCTCCCTTCCGTAGAAGAAGCTTCGCACATACCGATATATAACGACGAACCGCCAGACCACCCAGAAATTTACGGACTACCACAGCAGCCTCCGGTCGTCAATGCATGGTCTCCCGGTGTCCCTCCGCCCACAGCTCATCCGGGCAACCCGGCGCAGGTATCCATGCTAGGTCCGGCTCATCGGCAGAACGGACCAATTCAGATGAACCCACAGGTTGCTATGCCGCATTCCCAAGGTTTGCCAGGGCGGCCCCCACTTGCGTCTTTCCCTGAGAACCTGGTTTGGAACTCGGGACCGAGGATTGGCCAAGGGAGGGAGGCGCCTGCGGGCGCTGGGCTGAAACGCAAGCCAGATGATGATGATGATATTTTATTTCTCGGTGAGCGATCAGTGAAGAGATAATACTAGGACCATGTGATGTAGGATAAGACTGCGCGGCGTTGTTAGTATTTGGATACTTACCTATTTTGGGATTGTTGATTGCGAGTTATATTCGCATTCTAAGCGCTCCAGCTGCATCCAATAGCGAATGAAGCTTTACCAACCAAAGTCGGGTACCCAGGTTGGTTCTATAAAAAGCTATCAAATGTGGCTCTCACGATGTGTGTGCCATTGGACTGTTCCACACACAGGTACACAGATGAATGACCTATCAGAACGTCGTCAATTCACCAACACACAAGGTTCTATTCCGATACGTATCTCTCCCTGGTCAACAACGACCAAAGCTTCTAGTGTTGAATGTGAAGACCAACATCAATTATACGTTGGAGGAAGTACTCATCTTGCTGATTGCTTTGTCCACTCTCTTCGCCCTTGCACCACACATCTACCTATTTCCCACTAAGCCAGTTTTAATTCCGATCCCCTCTTACAAGTTTATCCATTTGCATTTCTAATTCCATGAGACACTCAACGTTCTATTACATCTAAACAGGTGTAAAGGATGGCTCCTTTCACTATCCTAGACTCAGACGGGCCTTACGCTTCATCGAAATTCATTATCGCCCTACTCGTCCTGGTTGCTGTAATACCCGCCTTGTATTTATTGTAAAACAATGCGAATGGAAGCTAATCCGTATTTAGTATTTCATATTCGGGGTGGTTCGCAATCTTTTCTTCCATCCTTTATCCAAGATACCCGGCCCCCCTGCATGGTCAGCTTCGCGACTACCATTTATCTGGTCACTTCTTAGAGGCACTTTAATCCACGATGTTGAGAAGCTCCATCGGAAGTATGGGCCGGTCCTTCGTATTGCTCCAGACGAAGTGACCTTCGCTGGAGAGGAAGCATATCAAGATATCTTTCAGATTCGACCAGATGGCAAACAGTTTCTCAAGGACGCAGTCTGGTGGGAGACACAACCGGGTCTTCCAGAAACGATACTAAGTGCTATTAACCCCGATGCGCATTCTCATATTCGGAAGATTTTCGCCCCTGCTTTTACTCCACGAGCTTTGAGAGATCAAGAACCGATTTTGCAACGTTATATCAACTTGCTGGTAGAGCGTCTACGCGACCAGATAGTCGTAGGTCCGGAGAGGAAGTCTGCCCGAGTCGATCTTGTACCTTGGCTAAATTTCACAACGTTTGACATAATCGGAGACTTGGGTTTTGGTGATTCATTCGACTGTCTTCAAAATTCCCGGTACCACCCATGGACTAAGTTATTATTCAGTTCCGTGAAGGCTGCTACCTGGGTTGCTTCGGCGCGTTTCTACCCCCTGGTTGAATTCCTGCTCATGAAATGCATCCCACCCTCTCTTATGAAGACGCAAACAGACCACTACAACCGCATTGCTAATAAGGTCCAACAACGCCTTAACTTTGAAGTACAACGCCCTGACATCCTGTCAGACGTGCTCAAGGATGGCAAAGAGACATTACCAATTGGCGAGGTCAACTCTACATTTATGATACTAACTACGGGCGGAAGTGAAACTACCGCCACTCTCGTATCTGGCACTTTGAATTATCTGGTTCAATGTCCACAAAAGCTCAGCAAACTTACTCGGGAAATTCGGTCTCGTTTCCAAAACGATAGCGAAATCACCCTAGATGCTCTGCGGGACCTTCCATATCTGAATGCTGTCATCAATGAGGGCTTTCGGATGTGTCCTCCGGTTCCATGGGTACTCCCTAGGAGAGTGCCCGAGGGTGGAGGCGCAGTATGTGGTGTATGGCTACCGGAAAGAGTAGGTCTCATGAGTACCCCAAATTGACTCTAGTTTCTAGATTTAACTAACCTTTCGACTCTTTAGACACCGGTCTCGATCCAAGCGTATACAATGAGTAGAGATCCTACATATTTTCATTCTCCATCATCCTTCGAACCGGAGCGCTGGCTACCAGAAGCATCTACGAACCCACAATCGCCCTTCTTCAAGGACCGTCGAGGGGCAGTTCAGCCGTTCAGCGTTGGTCCACGCAATTGCTTAGGCCAACACATAGCCATGGCGGAAATACGGCTCATGCTCTCGAAGCTGGTTCGGACATTTGATTTTGAGGTCATAGAAGAAGCGAAAGTGAAGTGGGAGGACCTTAGAGTATTCTTGCTCCTCGAGAAGAAGCCTATCGAGGTAAATATCAAGCTGAGCGAGGTTGCTTGATGAGGCCATATCAATTTATTCTTAGAGGAATTATCTACTATATACTGACAATGTGATATATTGTGTGTAAATGGACACATCTTGGCTCGCAATTAATTATGTAATAGATTTCATATTGCTTCCATCCTGAGGAACGTCGTACTGAACGAGGCGTTTATGTCGGAAATGTTAACGCCGACGTTGAGCAAGCAGGGAATAAAATGGATACCGGAGTGAAAAGAAGCAATTCGCAGTCTAAGGGTTGATATTATAGGACGAACTAAGGTTGTTGGTTGCCCACATGCAACATGGATGCCTCCTAAAACAGCCCTTGAGTCTTAGTTTAGGCATTTCTAGCCGCTGCTGGAAGACACATGGCTAACTAGGTGGATATGAAGTAGTTCAACTAATCTCTAACGTCGGTAATTGCCATGCTGTAAGGGCATCTCAGTCTTCCTTTGCATCCCCAGGTTGACTTGACTGGGTAATTTCAGGGGATAACTTATTGCGGTTAAGCTAGGTTGAAATATTCAAAGAATTCGGCTAGATCAGGTAAAGTAACTACCTAATCATAACTCTGGTATAATAGGGGTTATGCATTATCTGTATACCTATTTTGAAAGAAAACACGTGTCTTATGATACTCTACTACCTCGTCTTTTTCCCTTTGTGTTGGACAATATAGACTACCATCAGATTTCCCCTCCCGCAATAACAGGTACTTTATATTCTCGACGGTAAATATGGCATATGTGGCGTAGTTGTCCCATTTATCCCTACGAAGTGGAGTGAACCTGCAGGACCAACGGCTCCCTTACTTCGTGTCACGGCTCCTACGTGCTCCGAGCATCTTTCCGAGATGTACTCGCAACTAACAGCATGTCAAAACACTAGATCTCTTAAAAATTTCATATCACCAAGTACATGCAAACGCTGGCCAAGACAGATATCAATAAGATCACACAAACATCAACTCACATCTAGATAAACCAGGGACACCACTTCAACCCCTCGCCATCATGGGCGCGCAATGGTCCCAAGTCTTCCCCCCCAAACCAACCTTCACAGAAACCAGCCTCGGCTCGCAAGAAGGCAAAGTCTTCCTTATCACCGGCGGGTACTCAGGCATCGGCCTCGAGCTCGCCAAGATCCTGTACAGCAAGCACGCACGCGTCTACATCGCAGGGCGATCCGAGCAGAAAGCCGTCCAGGCCATCGCGGACATCCGCGCAGAACACCCTCTCTCCAACGGCAGTCTCGAGTTTTTGTTTTTGGAACTCGACGACCTGCGCGGCATCAGAGCGGCCGCGGACGCGTTCAAGGCGCTCGAGACGCGGCTCGACGTGCTATGGAACAACGCGGGCGTCTCGCGGCCGCCGCTCGGCAGCGTCTCGAAGCAAGGGATCGAGCTACAGCTCGCGACGAACTGTCTCGGGCCCTTCCTGTTCACGCAGCTTCTCACGCCGCTCCTCGAGACCACGGCAGCCGCCAACAGTAAAACCGCCCCCGGCAGCGTGCGCGTGGTCTGGACGTGCAGCAACATCGTCGAGCTATCCGCGCCGCCGGGCATGCTGATAATGTCTGAACTAGACGACCCGCCGCAAGACCAGTCGCGCGTGTACACGAACAGCAAGGCGGGGAACTGGCTGCTGTCGGCGGAGCTCGCGCGCCGGTCCGGGCCCGCGGGCGTCGTCAGCGTCGCGCTGAACCCGGGAACCGCGTACACGAACCTGTTCCGGCACACGCCCGCCGTCTGGTTCTGGGCGTACTTGCTCATGTGCTGGCCCCGGACCGCCGCATACACGGAGCTGTACGCGGGCCTATCCCCGGACATAGGGTTGCGGAATAACGGATGCTATGTCGTTCCGTTTGGGAGGCTGGCTCGGGAGCAGGATCAGAGGGAGGATTTGTTGAGGGCGCTTAGGGCGGAGGAGGAGGGGGGTTCGGGAAGGGCGAGGGAGTTTTGGGAGTACTGCGTGGCGAAGACTAGGGATTATTATAACTGAGTTGATGGGGATGCTGTATTGGGTCTTGGAAGTTGGGGGTGTATTCTGTTGGTTAGAGTCAGTGAGTAGACGACGGGTTAGTTAGAATTAGGGCTTTGGACAACAGGTCGTATCCAAAGAACACATGTTTATGATTGCTGCCAATCTAATCTGTTTGAATATAGTATAAGTCTATTCGGACTCTATACTCGTCATCATTCTATCGGCAAGTCACTCACTCTACTCACTTCCTTTTCTCTATTTCGAGACCCTATCCTCATGAGCTGTACGCTGCAAACACTTCGCCCTTCAATTCGCGGGCTTGGATAGTATCTTCTTGTTAACCTGATCCGCACTCTCGCAACACTCCTCAATAACCCTCCAGAAAAGCTTAATGTCTAAGCCGCGGGGTATGCGAACGCCTTCACTACCAGGGGGCAGCAGCTTGACAATAGTGCGGCCCGTCTGTGCGCCACGTTCCCTGGCGTCCTCAAGCGTACCCTCCGTCACAACTTGCACCGAAAAGCGCTCCTTACGACTAGCTCCCTCAGGGCTCTTAGGATCATAATCGTAAAAGGGGATCTCGTGTTCCGTGCCCGTCAGTATCGCCGCCACCGCTAGCGGATCATGTAGCGGCGGTCCCTCCGTGATGCCGAATACATCACTAGACACGCGCAAGTCTTAGCACCATACCTACCATACCTCCTAAAAGACAAAGTAGGGGAAACCCAACTCACCGATAAGTACTCGCAAAGAAATTCACCAACTCAACCAACATAACCCTCAAATCCGATCTTCCCCTCCCCTCCCTCGGCTGGCCCTCGCGCCCCCTATCCGTAGGCGGACCATACAGCAGCAACTCCTGCACCTCCTTCGTCGCCAGCACCAGATGCGTCAGATCGAGCGGAACAAGCGTCGTCTTCGCCGCCAGCACCGGATCATCGAACACAGCCGCCGCAGCCTCAGGGTCGATCAACACATTGAACTCCGCCCACTCCGTATAATTCCCGACGCGGGGCCTCCCATCCACAACCCCCATAACCGCAGGCGTAAACCCGTCCCCGACACTCCCGCCCATGACCGTCAACCCCTTGATCCGCGCGGCTAAGTCCGGATACTTCGCAAACAGCGCCGCGACATTAGTCAGGGCTCCCGTAGCCGAGATCCAGACCGTGCCAGGCGGATGGGCGCGCAGCGCCGCGGCCATGGCCTCGACGGCGCTGGGGTGGTCCGGCGCCGTGCATTTCGCGAGCCGGTGCGGCGGGGGCGGGGGTAAGAGCGAGGTGCCGTCGAGCCCGGACTCGCCGTGGATGTCCGTTGCGTGGACGGGCGGGCGGACGAGCCCGCGCGCGGCGCCGGGGAACACGTCGACTTCGTCGTGTTTCCCGATCGCGGCGAGTACCGAGAGCGCGTTCCGCGTCGTCTTCTCGAGCGAGGCGTTGCCGTGGACTGTGCTTATGCCGAGCAGCTTGATGGCGGGGTGGTAGGCTGCTAGGAGGATGGCGAAGGCGTCCTGTGGGCGTTGGTTAGATATATGCGTATATATGTACATGTATGTCACTTGATATATAGTGATATATGATTTAGGTAGGTAGTGTGTGGCATGAGGTGAAGTCTGGGGATATCCGGAGTTGCGTGCCGGCGGCGTTTTGGGTAGCAACGACGCGCGGAGCCGAAGCCGGCTTAAGATAGAAAAAACTGCTCCGACGCGGAAACGGATCCGCCTTGCTGCGACATTGCGACGGCTCCGGTGTAAGGGGTAATGTATGCAGACTTCTGCCTGAGACGCCTCATGGTTGATTGGCTAGGAAAAAAAAGTAATGGATGAATTCAAACTCACATCGTGGCCTGGATCACAGTCTAGCCAAAGTGGGACGGGCTCTGACATATTTAAGTCTATTCTAATTCAACGATTTGATGCAAATAACAGGAGACCGAGTAAAAGACGTTTACTAATGTTTTAAGTTTAGTTTCTTAAAGGATTCTAACGACGTTGAGATTTATCTTCCTCTAAAATGAAGGTTGGTTATGGAACTTTAAAGTGGGAAATAGTTGAACAAGTCAGCGGTGGGCAGTGATATGCGATATGCTTTTCTTTGTGGGACTTTGGCGGGAAAGTCGGCGTTGCGATTGACACTGCATAGCCCCTTTTCCCGACCCCTTTTTTCACGAGGGAATAAAAAGTCAACTACACAATCATGTCACATATATATACTTCCCTAGTAAGTAAGGCATATAAAATAATGCAAATGAGGATAGATGATGAAGTTATGATGATTATTATTCAGTGTAAAATCATTTCGATTTTACCCCCGCCAAGAATTATTTCGCAGCTCGGCGTTTCTCAATTACTCGTAACACGTCCGCGGCGTTATTACCGTCCCCTTTCCGCTTTTTGGGGCCTCTCTTGCGCTTAGAACCGCTCCCCCCACCATGGCCGTCGTCATCGTCTTCATGCCCCCATTCTGACAGCTTAACTCTTTTCTCTTCAAAGTCCTCTTCGTCTTCAAATCTACTCGTGCCGAAGCCCATGTCCATGTCCTCCGCATCGCGGTCGTTGGACTGAAGCAGTTTCTTTAGGCGCTCTGCTTTAGCTCTAGCTTCCTCATCGTCCTCATCCGATTTAGGAATTTGCTTGAGAGATGCGGCCTTCTTGAAAGCTGCTTGTATCGCCGGATCAGACATAGAAGGCGCGCTGAGTTTTTCTGACGATATCAATCCTGTCTTAGAGTCCTTAAAGTAGTTTCTCGGCTCCGTCGTAGTGGTTGGCCGAGGTGGAGGGGGCATAGAAGCCTTGTCTTCTTTGCTCGCTTCAGATGGTTGCACTTTCTTCTCACCAGTTTCCTCATCTTCAGAATCCTCTTCCTCTAGCCCCGCAAGAGGATCGTAGTCATCACCGACATCGTCAAAGATGTTAACATCCTCATCCTCCGGTTCTTCCACCTGCTTTCTGTATTGTTCTGGAACCTCCATCCCAAGAGGTTTGGCATTCTTATCAGGCACCATATTCGCAGCTTTGGGTGTCTCTTCGGTTGTAGATTGAGTCTTTCGTACTTTACGCTTCTCATTGCCATCCTCATCCACCACAATTAGCACCTCTCGACCTTTATTGTCCCTCTCTATTCTCGTTCCGGGGGTCTTAGCGCCAATCTTTTTGAACTTGGAGCCAAGACCAGTATCTTCTTTCGCTTTCGCGGCGTCCCTTGCGGCCTTCATATCGGCTAAAATTTGGTCCCTCGTTCGCTTCTTCGATGGGTTCAAGGGGGCGGTTGATAATTGCCCTTTCTTTTTAGTCTTATCCTTCGCGACTGTGGTGACCTCTGCTTCTGCTAACTTGTCTAGCTCTTCGTCAAAATCGGCCTCTTCCTCGGAAGATTCCTCTTTCGCGCCACTATCGCCGTTGCCAAAGACATCTTCACCTTGGCGTATTCGTTCGAGAAGTTTAAAGTCGAGGCCTTTTATTAAGTGTGTGCTGGATAGATCTCCGCCAGCGATCTGATTCTGGAGCTTGTCGAAGGTTTCTTGGTCGATCTCCCCCTTCTTTAAGGACTCTTCTAGTGCCTTTATTCGCGCTGCTCGTTCATCCTCCTCTTCCGCGGTCCTATTTCGAGCACGGTCGACATAGCCCTCTGCTAGTTTGCTGCCTTTCGGGTCATACGACTTGAACTTTTTGGCTTGCTTCTGATCCTTGCTTTGGTCTGCTATCTGTCGGGCAAAATCGGGTTTATGGAAGCCAACTGAGCGACTACATTAGTTAATAATGTATGTGAATGAATATGATGAGTTAGTAGACTTACGGTGTCATGGGAATACTTGATTTCTGTCTGGACCCAAGCGATACTCCCCGTGGAGTGGCTGCACCTGGTGACGCGCCATTGCGATCCGCGGCAGGTTTGGGGGTATTGGCCCCAACAAGGCGGCGAAATTGCTCGTTGTTCATTCTTGTATATTTGCGACAGAGGCTAGATCGTGCCGATACGAGAAGGACAATCGATTCCGTCGCGCGATCTCGTCTTCGATATGCAAGGCTGAAATGATTAAAATAAACATGGATGAATCCAGATACGTAATGGAAGCTTTCTAAAGTCACATTTGGCTTATGTAATACTATGCGATAAGATAACTGATAAATGTGGCGCTAACCATCTTAAGCTCAATTAGAGCTGGTCACGGGATGACGTGATGTTACCCGCGCCACTCGCGTCTTCATAAATTAGCATCGTCCTCAACGCGTTTACCGCCGATATCATCTAGACGATGTTCGTATTATTTTAATTAGATTCATATCTCTTTCGGATTCACCGGAGAATTGAAGTCGCATTCTAAGTAGTTCATCTTATGATCGCCATAGCCGCAACCCTGTCATTTCCAAGATGACCTCCCATCGAAAGATCGCCACAGGCAATCGAGTAGAAGTTCTTATCGGAATAAGGAGTCGCGCTTTTTGATGTTGATGACAAAATCATATCAAGATGGGGAGTCGTCTGGAAAATAACTCGAATTCCGTGCGAAAGCGCATAGAGAACCATACCTTCTCCGATGAAGGAGGCGACGAGTACGAACCTAGCGCCTTTGGAGGATTTGAAGATTATTTCCGTCGCAAGAAGATCAAGTTGCAAAATCTTGATTCCGAATTACGAGCTTCATCAAATGACAAGCCTCAGATCTTCAAAGGAGTAGTCGCACATGTTATGGGTTATACCCAGCCATCACTCCAGGTTCTTCACCTTGATTTGGTTCAACATGGAGCTGGATTTCTCCAGTATTTGGATTCTAAGACCATGGCCACTCATATCATAGCGTCGAAACTACCGCCGAAAAAGATGGTTGATTTCGGCAAATACAGGATAGTGAAACCTGCTTGGGTAACGGATTCTATCAAAGCCGGAAAACTTCTTCCGTGGTCCGATTACCGGGTAATAGAGGAGACTCCGAGACAGAAGACATTGAAGATGAATGGTAGTGGAATATCCACCCAGTCAAGCCCATCTCCATTGTCAGGGTACCGAGAACAAACCGAGTCAAGTTTCTATACTAGTCAACTCAAGGGTATTGCGCAGTCTATCAATGGAAACCACCTTGGAGACATTACACCCAACCGACCGGGGCCGGCTAACAAATTAGCTCAAAGGACTGACTCTAATGAGCCTATGACGCCTTTGGGGTTACAGGAGTCGCGAGGCTCACCAGGGACCTCTGATAAATCCGATGAGGATACGGTCATGTTGGTGGACTTTCCAGAACCTACACCTGATAATTCCAATGAAAGACCGGATCGCCCGAGCAAAGATGAATTGGAGGACGATGTTCAAGCTGGACCAACAACTGAACAGCAGAAGACGATGACTTCCGAGGAACATAACGCTATGTTACTCCAAGACCCTCGTATGAGAAAGTCGTCAACCGCAAATCCAGATTTTATACAGCAGTACTACTCTGAGAGCAGACTCCACCACTTGTCCACTTGGAAAGCCGAACTGAAGTCGAGAATGCAGAGACTGGCTGCCGAGAAGGGTGCTCAAAGGAAGCCAATGAAAAGGAAAGCAGGCGCGAGGCGTTACGTTATGCACGTAGACTTCGACAGCTTTTTCTGTGCGGTCTCCCTGAAAAGTGCGCCTGATTTCATTGACAAACCTGCTGTCGTTGCACACGGAACGGGTTCGGGTTCGGAAATTGCCAGCTGCAACTACCCGGCGAGAAAGTACGGCGTCAAAAACGGCATGTGGATGAAGCGAGCCAAGGAGCTATGTCCTGAGCTCAAGGTGCTCCCGTATGATTTTCCGGCGTATGAGGAAGCTAGCAAAGCATTTTATGAATGCATCTTAGAAGTCGGTGGCATTGTGCAGAGCGTCAGTATTGATGAAGCTCTTGTGGATATTACCTCGGTCATCCTATCCGCAATCGGTTCTGACGGCTCTGGGATCGACGAAGGCAGTATATGGAGAGAACAGGAGAAATCGGACCAGATGGCATCGGCCTTGCGAGATCAAATCAAAGCGAAAACTGGGTGTGCTGTTTCCGTTGGGATAGGTGGTAATATTCTTCTAGCAAAGGTTGCCCTTCGGAAGGCCAAACCCGCCGGCCAATACCAAATCAAGCCAGAAGAAGTGTTGGACTTCCTTGGAGAGTTGAAGGTTGATAGTTTGCCTGGAGTTGCGTATAGCATAGCCGGCAAGCTAGAGGAAATCGGAGTGAAGCTCGTGAGCGATGTTCGGCAGACTTCTAAAGAACGCTTAATCAACACTCTTGGGCCCAAAACAGGCGAGAAGCTCTGGGAATACGCACGTGGTATAGACCGAACAGAAGTTGGCGAACAGCCGATACGAAAGTCAGTTTCTGCTGAGGTCAACTGGGGTATACGGTTTATTAGTCAAGAGGAAGCCGAAGAATTTGTGTTCAACTTGTGTAAAGAGTTGGAGAAACGATTACTCAATGAGCAGGTCAAGGGCAAGCAACTCACGATGAAAATCATGCGACGCTCCTTGGACGCACCACTTGACCCGCCAAAACATTTAGGGCATGGCAAATGTGACACTTTCAACAAGAGTGTCTTGTTTGGCGTTGCGACTCACGACTACAAGGTACTAGGAAAGGAAGCCGTTTCTATCCTCCGTTCTTTCAAGTTCACCCCCGGCGACCTCCGCGGCCTAGGCGTACAATTAACTAAACTAGAACCAATCAAAACTTCACTGTCAGGTCTCGACGGAAGCCAGAAGAGGCTAAGTTTTGGTGCCTTTCGTACTCCCGGTTCGGCAAAGAAACCGGCCTTAGAACCAATCCAAGATGGCATCGGCGGAGAAGAGACGAGTTTGAAACAGACTCGGCACGACTCTCAAGATCCTATTGCCGAAGATCCCCTAACACCCCGGAAACCAAAGCCAGAAGCCCGCCACCCGGCGTTTACGATATCCCGGGCGAGCGAGAACGACGACAAGGCAAATACCCCTTTAAACATTGGCGGGACTCAATTCATCATGCCATCCAACCCAGATCCCGCGGTGATCGCAGAGCTCCCCCCAGACATCCGAAGCCGGCTTATGGGGCAAGGTAGCAGAGCCCGCGACGCACGACAACCAACACCAACACCAACATTAACACCAACAGCCAAATCCCGGACCCAAAGCCCAGCCCCGGCCAATGAGATCCCGCCCGAGATCGACCCCGAAGTCTTCAACGCCCTGCCAGAGGACGTGAAAGCCGAAGTCCTAGAACAGTACAGACCCCGAAGCAGACAGCAACAGCAAAACCCCCCTCAATCCCCGCGCAGAGACCGCCAGATCCAGCAACCCCCGAAGCAGCAGCAGAAGACGCCGACCAAACGCCGGGTCGCCGGGCTATTCGCCCGCGCGCGCGAGCGCCAATCCGATGCCAGCGCGAAGATAATCCAGACCACGATCAAACACCAGCAGCAGCAGCAGCAACAGCAGGCCTCAGTCCCCGAGATAGCTGACCTAGACCCGACCTTCCTCGCCGAGCTGCCCGAGGAAGTGCGTCGGGAAGTGATCGCAGACCACCGGCGTCTGCGCGCGCAGCGGTCGGGCTTAGACCTGCCTTCCAAGCTCGCCAACAAGAACAAAAACCTAGCCGCCGATGGAGATGGCGACGAAAGCGGCACCGCCTTACCAGGCGGACAGACGCGTCTGCGCTTCGGGCCCAAGCCCGCCAAGATAGCGTTCACGACAAACGGGCTCACGACGCTGCCCGAGATACGCGATATGCTGAATGTGTGGCACCGCGAGACGCGGGACGCGGGCCCGCACCGCCGGGACGTGGACATGTTGGAGAAGTACCTGGTCCGCGTCGTCGTCGAGGAGAAGGACATGGATAAGGTGCTGAAGCTGGTCCGGTGGCTCGATTACCTGGTCGAAGACAGCGGCGACGAGCTGGAGTACAGCGGGAAAGAAGCCTGGCGCGAAGTCGTCGGGCATGTCAAGCAAGAAGTGCAGAATGCGGTGAGGTCGAGGGGGCTGGGCCCGCTGGATATATGAAGAATGGATCATATGGCAAATATGCGTTTTATAATAAGTTTACGTCGATATGGTATAGTTACGATCGAGACGACGACGAAAGATGAAGTATCTTAATGAGACTGAGTGTTTTAATATTAATAGCGTTGTATTCAGGCAATCTAGGCTAGGGTAACGCGAACGGATGCTCCATATCCATTATTCAACACCTCCCTCTAACTCTTCCACCCCCAAGTCTCATAGGTTTTCTTCACGGCAACTAGTTCCGAAAGGAACGACTCCGTAACATCACCCACCGAGGTTATCAAGACTTCAACACCGACTCGGACAAATAGGATCTTGGCGGAAGAAACAAACAGCAGAAACCGACCTCTCACTCACCCACCCCTTTCCTTACATTATCTCTCCGCTTACAAGCAACCCATACCGAGAACAAAAGTCACGGCCACAAGCACGAGGCCTACGCCTACAGCCTGTGCAACAGCCTCATTGCCCGGCTTTGAGGTTGAGGCGTCGCTCGTTTTGGATCCTGAAGCGTCACTTGTTTTTGATCCCGTCGACACGGCACCACTCGTCTTTGACCCCGACGATACAGCACCACTTGTCTTTGATCCCGTTGATGTAGCGCCGCTCGTCTTCGACCCCGAAGCGGCACTCTTTGGTGGCTCGGTGGTTTCATCGCCAGTACCAGTGCCTGGTCTTCCGGTATCCGGAGTTGTGGCATTGTACAACGTGATAGCAAGGTGTCCTCCGCACACTGTTGAATTGGCACCATCACACTATATGACACGAGTTAGCCGATTGCTTCTACCTCCACTCCTTATGCGTCTAGAACTCAAGCGAGAAATGTCAAGTGAAAAGGGGGCGGGGTCTCTCCAACATGTACTTACGGGAGTATCGCAAGCACTCTCCTGCAAGTGCAGACTCCTCGGCGAGAGGCTGTCGCCGCACCAGCACTCGCGGGCGAACTCGAGGCCGGCGTACTTCCAGCCCTTCGTCTCGGGGTGGAAGTGGTTGTACGAGCGGGCGCAGTAGTCGATGCACGGCTTCACCTGCATCTGGCCGATGGCGGTCAAGTAGACGCCGTCCAGCGCGCGGGTGTGGGGCGAGAACTCGGTCGTCTCGGACCAGCAGCCCGCGTAGTGGTATACCTCGTCGCTGTCGACGATGCGGAGCCCGTTGGGCCCCTCGCGTGTGTTGTTCCCTGGCACGGCCGTGAATGATGGGATGGCTCCTGATTCGACTGGAGATGGTGGTGGACGGTCTTGGCAAAGGGAGATGGGGGTGCTGCCGAGCAGCATGAGGAGGCTAAGGGTGCTAGTGGTGAATGTGTGTGGTGCCATTGTTTGTAGGGAGATAGGAAGTGTCTAGATGATTAGGAGTCGTTGTGTACTCTGCCTTGCCTCTCGGTGATCCTAGAGGCAATGGAATTACAATAGGGGACTGTTATTCTCGTGAGGTCTTTGAAGCCTGGTGGATACGTTGACTTGATTATTCAGAGTCGTAGTACTTTTCAGAAAGAAACTTTGAGACGAGAAATTATTGGAGTCTTCATACGAAATGTTCGCGGTATAACGAAACTCGAGACCAAAATTGTGATAATAACAGCAATGATGATAGCAACGTATTTGTTGTTTGGAATGGTAACGTGTGTTGTTGATGAGAAGATGGAATAGATTCTAGACGTCTGAGGAGAAATAGATGTCCAGCTTCTTCCTCATACTAGCTCTTGCCGAGTCATAGAATGAGTGTAAGGCAGGAGACAAGCAAGAGCATGAGGAAACAGAGGTCCGCTATACCACCCCTGGCATCATATAGATCGAGAAGCGACGAAGTACATAAGTGAAGTTTAAGCGCAACTCGATTCTACACCAAAGTCTCAACTACTCAATTCACTTTTTCAATGGAGTATCTCTTTCCTTTTTTCTTATAATACGTACGTGATTTCCGCAGAAGGGGTAGGAACTTCTCAGCATATTCATATAGAATAAGGGGAAGTGCAATGATCTATCGTGTCGGATAGCAGCTAGGCGATGGATAAACACTAGTCCACACATGTTCTATATGCTTGAGTCTTTATATGTACAACAAAGCATCCATGTTTATGCACTAGCAATCTTATCCTTATCAACCCAACTCGCCACCAATACCATAGCCTTCTCGTCGCCATTTATCAAGCGCTCATCTCGCAGAGCATCTGAGAGGCACCTCCAAGGATCACGGCTGCCTCCCCACTTGAGGAGGTCCTCCTTCAGCCTCTCACCGTTGGCCCGGTCAAGAGCAGCGCCGTTATGGCCCGCCGAAAAGACGACATCCCACACGCGCTTTGAGAGCACTTGGTCGAACAGATAACTGTAATACGTGCTACCGTAGCCGAATAGGTGGCCGAAAAAGCCTTGCCACCTAGTCTTTTTTGGATCAGGCGGGAACTTCCCGAAATCTTCCTGGAGGGCATGGTAGATCTCCGTCGAGTCGAAGCCGACTTCATCTGGTAAGGATGAGTGGTATACCTGGTCCAGCATGGCCAGTATGATTTGATTCTCCCTATCCGACGCTTCGAATCTTCTAGAGATGCGTAATTTGTCCGCCACCATCTCATATGGCAACGGCTTGTCAGAAATATGATGCCGCGCGAATAGCCCCAGAACGGATGGGTCGGCGCAGAAGTGTTCCATCAAGGTCGAAGGTAGCTCCGCGAAATCAGTTGCACATCGCGTCCCTGCCACGTTTTGTAAGGAAGTTCGAGCCAGGACCGAGTGGATAGCGTGTCCCATCTCGTGGAAAAGTGTTTCCATCTGATGATACTCCAGGAAGGCAGGTGTGTTCCGCCCTTTATTCTCCTCGAAGTCGCATACTAGCACAATTGTCGGCAGCTGCTTGATCGCACCGGATTGACGTGATACATGCATACCGTCATTCGCAGCCGCGATAGGTGAGTCGAATATAGGCAACTCCTCGGCATCGTCCTCATTTCGTTCAGCAGCTTCCTGGATCTCGGCTTCCGAAATTTCTCTAGAGCAACGCACAGTAAAATGTGCCGGATTGGAGCACTTATCGACTCGGTAGAAAAGATCGCAGTAAAGGACAGCAATGTGTCCATCGGTATCAGAGACAACATCCAGTCGTCTTACGTCTGGATTCCATGTCTCACCTGGTAGCATCTCCCGAGGAACCAACCTGATTCCATATAAACGTGTGAATAGTCTTGATAACCCTTGCATGACAGTCCCGAGTGAGAAATAAGCCGACAGGGAATCGTCAGTTCGCTGTCGCGATCTCATAGCGAAACGTATATGCGTCATTAGAAAATCCCTATCCCACGGCTCAATATTGGTTGGCGGGGGTTTTTTTTTCGACCATCTTATCTTCTCCTGAAGTAGCGCCGCGACCTCCTCCTCGACAAGCGGTTCGTTACGTTTAGAGAGAGCTAAAAGGAATTGATGAACAGACTCTGGTGTTTTCGCCATCATTTTATCATGAAGAGTCATTTGCGCATAACTTTTAAAGCCAGAAAGCTTTGCTAGCTCAGCACGCGATCTCAACATGGCTTCTAGATGTTTAATCGTCTCGTCAGAAGCAGTTCGAGTTGCATTGTAGATGATCTTCCTCACCCCTTCGTCATGGACGGTCCTGAGCGCCACTGTCGCTTCAGGTAACATTGTCTGCAGGCGAACTGTGCCCCATTTGCTCCTTGATTTGCTGATTGATTGAGCTACTTGGGGGTCTAGGCCATATAGGTCGTCGCTTCGGAACTCGAGTTCCATCTGTTGGGGCTGCATATATTCGATAAAATCCGATCCCAACTCGCTGATATGCTGTGACAGCTCGACAAACCGATCTCGTGACTCTTGCGGAAGATGTATTGCCGACTTCATAAAATCCTGCTGTAGCAATTTTGCAACTGTCTGTTCTTCATCACTCCAGCTGGCCATTACTTCTGGGTTGGCCATGGCCTTTCCTAGCTGGTTACTGAGTCCCGTCTCGGTGTTTAGTTTGTTCATGTACTGATAAACCAACGACCACGCCTCCGATGCGGCACCCTGTATCGATCCTTCGGGGTGAGTAACCCGTATGAAGTCGGCTACATCCAACACCCGGCAGAGTAGGTCGCTAAGTCTATCTAAATCCCGAACGATAGCCTTATAGTCCTCTAAAGTTGACGCATTAAGCACCTTATTAACCACCTTCTGAGCTCTCTTGATCGTGACATTGGCGTATTGAAGAAAGCCATCAGGTGATCTTAAATATTTGTTCCTGAACAATCCTACATTATCGCGGTACGGTATGGGGCGGAAAGGATTCCCGAATTCTTGAAAGGTCGACGCCGAGTCGAAGATTTCGCGCAATAGGGAATCGTCATGCTTTAAATCGGTAGGAGAATGGTCGACCGGTATATGCGATGTATTGATTTGAGCCCCAGCGCCGGGCGCGGAAGAGAGCCAGCGCCTTTGGTCTCGGACCCGAAATCGAGAGGCTTGTCGGAGGCATCTTGAGCAGGTCCAAAGACCTGATCGCACTGTTCTCATCATGATGTACAGATCATTATCGGCGACCTAGCTAGACATGCAACCAAGCAAAGTCGCCAATGAATATTGCAAGGCAAGAAAAAAAAAGTTGTAAAACCTATAAAAGCAATTTATTGCTTAAAAGAATTTTTAAGCACTCTATTCTTTCTCCATTTGAATTGATTGGGAATTGACGGCCTACCGTCTACGTCAGGTACAACGATAAAGTTTTGGCCGAGGGGCCACCGGTCCGGAAATCGCCGCGAAGAAAAAAAGGTACCGGGAATTTAGTAAGTGTACGTACATCATCGCTACAGTCTGGTCCTACCCAAATTAATCCTCAAGCTCGAAATTCAATATTTAATACTTTTAATACCTCGACAACGGCCAACGTCAATTGAGCGCAACATGGCTGCGAGAGTGCTGCTGCGACGGGTGAGATATTTTCATAGCAGCCCAATATAAATGATTATATGCTGATAAAATGGAAAACACAGCGTGTCGCCGCGCCTTTCATGGCCGCAACTCTGGTCGGAGGAGCTTTATTTCCCTCGGTTGCGCTGGCTGAAGCACCATCACACGACTACGTACGGCCTGAAACCTCCTTTTATCTATAAGCCAATAAACCCCGTTTATTAACAGCAACAAACAATACAGTTCAACAAGAAACCTATCTACGACGACTACGAGACCTTCCTCCCCCCCAAATCCAGCACAACGCCGGTCCCCTCCCCGGCCTCAGACACCATACCTCCAGCATCGTCAGAATCTTCGCTCCTCCTCCCCGAGCCCAAACACCACAGCCCGACGCCGACCGACCGGCTCGCCGTGCAGATAGGCAAGGCGCGGCTGTTCCTCTACCGGTACGCAGTCGCGACCGAAGACGCCGTCAACAACGCCGTCGACGCGGCCTTCGGGCTCGAGCGGTCCTTCACGGAGACCGTAGCCTCTCTCGCGCCCCCGCGCGAGAGCGGCGAGAAGCTGATGCCGGGGCTCGTGTACGTGCTGGTGGCGAGCATGGCCGGCAGCATCGCGAGCCGGAACCGGAACCTGGTCCTAAGGGCCTCGGTGCCGCTCGCCTTCGGCGTCGGCGCCGGCTGGCTCCTGATCCCCGTCACCATGACCAACGTCGCCGACCTGCTGTGGACGTACGAGCGCCGGTTTCCTGCTTTGGCCGACGCACACCTGAAGACGCAGCAGGGCGTCCAGGATGCGTGGCGCTTTGCCAGGGTCCACGTCGACGTGGGTAAGACCTATGTCGATGAGAAGGTTAGCGACGCCCGGGATATCGTCGAGGGCTGGGTGAAGAAGGGGAAATGAGCGGATGGTGTTCGACGACGGAGCGCTTCCTTGTACTATAGATCAATGCATAATAGACAGAACTTTGCTTTGTTCAAGGTTATGTTATGTGGGGTTTATGTAGATGACAGCAAAATAAATGTGAAAGCATATATTGAATTCAAAATAAGACTTTAAGAATTGTGATGTGTGGTCTGCTTGGCACTTTTGAGTTAAACACAAATCGAAAACAGGTGCTTATTTTCAAGTTGTCTAATTCAACGTTTTACGCCATTCCATCCATAGCCTGTAGCTGATAAAGCCAAAGCCAAAGCCAACGCATGCTATACAAAATGCACGCAGCAGCGTCTATATGTATAAGGATATATATGTATATGCCAACGCCGTCCTCATTGCTCATTGCACCGCCTCGATCTTTTCGCCCCGACTGATAAGCATATTCAACACCCGCTCATAAGTCCACATCGTAACCGCACTTGCGGGAGCCGCCTTTATCAAGCTCACCGTTAATCCTCTGTACAGACCCCTAACTCCTTCTCGTTGCAATACCTGGCGTACCGTGCTCACCGTGCCCCTGTACTCGGGGATGTTCTTATGAACATAGCGGCTCCGCGTCGGGCCCTGGACCTGTATACGCTTGCGCACGAGATCCAACGGGAACACGCCGGTCTTCGCGACGACACTCGCCACGATGCCGGCCGCCGCGTCACCCGAGCCCCAGGGCAATTCCATCTTCCCGAGGGGTAATCGCGCACCCTCGTACACGGCGAAGAAGAGCCCCATGAACGGCACAATCTGCGCCAGCGCCGGGCTGAGCCCGCGGAAGAAACCCCGGATCCCTTCGTCCCGGTTTATGTCGGCGACGGCGTGCCGCAGGTTATCGTACACCCGCTCGTTGCCCTGGGCGGCGAACCGCGTACGCAGCAGGTCCAGCGGGTACGTAGCCGCTGTGGCCGTGGCGCCGGCGGACGCTCCACTAATGAACGACTCGACGGACTTGGGGAGTCTACTTTGGCTACTATCGTCTTTACCCCTGAATTTATGTTCATATCTATCTCCGTCTTTTGCGAAGACACGCTGCAAGAGCAGGGTCATGGATCGGTACGTCGTGAACTGGATCGACGCGTACGCGACGTACATCAGCTCGGCGGGAACGTTGCCCTTCCATAGCGCGGTGACACCCTCGTTGGCCACAATATGGCGAAAGGTCCCGATCGTGCCTTTGTATATGGGTGAGCCACGCAGGTCGACTTGGGACAGCGGGTCCGAGAGCGAGTGGGATTGTAGTTGTAGCCGGATCTTGACGACGTCGAGAGGCGCGACCACGAAGCGGGACATCAGGCCTGCGGTGGCCCCAGCGGTGACGACTTGAAGCCGGGAGCCCTTTTTAACGGGGCACACTAGTGTCAGCCTCTTCCAGTTCCTAAATAGGCAAATTTTCTATCCCAGCTGATTGCTACATTAGGAAGTCATACCTCATCTTGAAGGCGTTGGTCAGATTTCGACATACATCCGCAGCGGCCCTAACCCGGACTAGGGGTGTTTCGATACAGAAACAACCTTCTTTCAGAAATCGTGGGTCTGATATAGGTCGTATTAAATTGCGGCGTGGCCGCGCGGAAGCCTTCGCAGGTAAGACGGGATTTGAATCCGCCTCTTTTAGGAAACAGGGGTTCTTTACGAAATTTAGGAATCTTGAAGGGACTTAGTAAACACCTTCAAAAATTTACGGCACGTGCCGTGACTAGGTTGTAAGCATGCAGCTAGCAGGGTCGAGGTCCCGAGACACGATAATGGACAAGGTGACAAGGTGAACACTACTAGGGCCGGTCAATTAATTAGTCGCGACCTCATAAACCTGAAGATATCGCCGACGTTTTTACTTGTTACTAAAAATGACGCTCTGCATCGGAACTTTAATGAATCTGAGGCCGAGTTTAGCGGTATTGAAATCGAAGAGAACTGAGACCAACCAATGTCCGACCAGAAGAATATTGAGTGACGTAAGGCTCGGGACAAAAACATTACAGGTCATTTTCATTTTTTATAGCCATCACGTGCATCCAGTTAATCCCAGGCAATTAACGTGTTACAAGGTAAATTGTTTGGAAAGAAGCATCGCAGAATCTGGACTTATCGAAGGATCGACGAAATATTCTACAAGGTTTCAAGGTTTCAAGGTAACAACGAACAAGAACGTAAGGCTCCGAACTCAAATCATCGGTATCGGAGGTTCGGTGCTTATTATTACACATCGTTTATCATTTTTCCATTTCCTAATTCGTCTTTCAAATGCCAATGTATTGAAATGGATCAATGGAGTCCATGTTCGGATGGCCGTCATGCATAACATTGAACCTAGCAGGCGGCTGATAGGAACAGTCATTTCCACCAGTTCCAGAAATCATTTTACTTCTAGAGCAAAGCCAAGTCTGCACTAGGCATGTAGTCGCGGCACCAATACACGACACCTTGACACCTGAACGAGTTATTAAGTCACAGGTCATTGGATACGCTTCCGCCCGCCCGAGCTGCTAGCTCCCATTTGTCCTCTCCCCAGGTTTGCTGTGGGGTTTGGAGAAGTCGTTTGTGCTATTGGTCATCGTCCAGTGCTTGAGGGGCTTTTACGTGTATCTACATAACGATCTGAATGCTCACCTGGATCGCTTGTTCTGCTTGTGTATGTTCCTTCAATTCCACTGTAAGCAATCCTTTCTCAAATTCTCATTTCCCAATGCAAGGTTACCTTCCAGATTCAAGTTGGTTATTCTTTTTCTGACCCTGAAACAGAATAACGTTAGCTTAGTGTCAGCCACGCCGCTTAAGCTAAAAACAGCTAAAATAGAGGTCAGCGCGCAGCAGGAGGATCAGCATTGCATGTGATAAGGGCCTACAACCTAAAGTACTAAGCCTTAGCAACATCTCTCTTCAATCTACCTCACGAACAACACAGAACACAACACTAGAATCTAGGCAAATCTGGTGAAACCATGACGACCTCTACTACCATTAAGCAACCGGACGTTCAACAGGTTTTAGGACATCTCTTACCCTCGCTCCCGGCCGCTGCACTATCAACGGAACCGGCAGAAAACGTCTTACCTCTTCTCTCTCCCATTCTTAGGCAACGAGTCCAACTTTTATCAACAGCATCTAGTTCAGATCCATGGATTCGATTATTATGTTATGACCCCTCAAAAGTTCCCAGGTTGACGGAGATCGCTCAGAGTGATCGATTGGAGCCTCACCCCGCGTCTGGTGAAGTGGAGATCGATTGGGATTATGACGCCGAAATTCGTTACCGACGAGTGGACGAAGAAACTCTTCAGGCGCTCGTGGTTTTTAGAGATCTAGAATTGACATTTCGATTGATTTATTGTGTCGGAGATCCGCTCGGTGATGGTTGGAAAGTCGGCGAGGTTAGCGTCGCCGAGAAACCATCGCCATTTTCGTCGTTTGGAGGTGTCTCGAACATTGTCGAAGCTGAGAGGCAGTTCAAGGAATCGAAGTCGAAGACTTCCCAGAGCAATGGGATCTCGAGCAGTCGAGGTGCCTTCGTGACTCATGACGACGATGAGGAAGACGACGACGATTACTGGGCGAGGTACGATGCAACACCAGCGAGAACGCCTGCTATCAAAAGGTCACCTGCACCACAATCCGGCCATGGGACTGCCGAGGATGATTATTACGCTCAATATGATGACGTCCAGCCGGCCATGGACAACCATGACCCGGACGAGGAAGCAAATCTTCGTAGCATAGCACCACCTCTAGGTTTGGGCGCAAGGCCTGAACTCCCCGTTGTAAATGGGAGCGATGACGAGGTGGAGGTTAACGAAACTCAAGGCTCGTGGACACTTGCCAACCCGCCTAGATCGCCTTCTACTCACTCGAGAAGAAGCGGTGATGACCCGAATTTGGTTCATCCCCATCCGAGACCTGCCTCCAGCGCCGGGTCCAATGCGTCAGTCGAGAAGCTCGAGGCGGCGGCAGCAAAACAGGAGCAGAACGACTTTGGAGTGAAGCAGCACGTGTCCCGAAGCATCAAGAGTTTATATCAGCTATCCCGTGCATCGGGGATTGATCGCGAGGAATTCGAACGATTGGTGAAAGTTGAGCTGGACATGTTAGGACTGATGGAAGAATGAAAATATTCGTTGCAATTTGCAAACATAAGATTGCACTTATTTTAAGGTTGGGAAAGCTGATCTATGCCAGGTATTTGAATGGTGAATGGCGTCTGGGGTTTGGATTTTTGGCGGGTCCCAGAAGCTTGGGATTTATGGTTGCCAACGTTTTGTTGGGGTGCTCCGGGAGCCGAGTTACAGCGCACGGCGTAACTATTTCAGGATTATCTTGCATCTAACGGTGTTGGTTGGCTATCATGGTCGTGGTTAAGGTCATGGATGGGATAGTCTGGACAGAATAGCGAGCACATCTAGATATTCACGAGCCTCTGACGAAGAATGTAAAGTAAGGTTAATCGAAATCATTTATATTACCTTTCCATCTTAACTGCAAGTATGACGGGTGAACAGCATGCTCAACTTCTATGGATAGAATTCTAGGATCTCTAAAGCTGCCTGAAGAGGTACCTCAGTACATTAGTATTGGTGCGCAGGTACCTGGGCCGTCTTATCACCGCCTCAGATGTCTGATAAGCCAAATTAGGCCGCCGATATCTCCGGCGGGCCAATCCAATTGACCCCACATCTCCCCGAGTCAATGCCCCTCTATCGGACCCCTCTGACTCAAAAATATCAAATTGTACACGTCCCTTGAGATTATACGACGGGTAAAACGAGAAAAAAAAAAAAGTGAAAATTAACAAATCTGTCTTTTCGTCTTTCTAGCGGCCCATACGTTCTTTGCGCGACACTCATTCGCAAATATGACTCCCGAGGAGTCGATTGCCTTAATCAAGGCCAACTTGACCGAAGTGCTCAACCCCGAAATCATCGACGATGTTATCCTCAACCAGAAACGAGACCTCAAAGTTTACTGGGGAACGGCGACGACAGGCCGACCTCACTGCGGTTACTTCGTATCGATGACCAAGGTCGCAGAACTCCTCCACGCCGGCTGCCATGTCAAGATCCTCCTCGCCGACCTCCACGCCTACCTCGACAACATGAAGGCCCCGCTCGACTTGATCGAGCAAAGACTCAAATACTACGAGTTCATTGTTAAGAGCTTGCTGAAGGCTGTCGGCGTGGACATCACAAAACTTGAATTCATCAAGGGAAGCTCGTACCAGAAGAGCGAAAGCTACACAATGGACCGGTTCAAGTTGGAAGGGATGACTAGAATATCGGTTGCGCAAAAAGCGGGTGCCGAAGTCGTCAAGCAGACCACCGATCCATTCCTAGGCGGATTGACCTACCCTCTGATGCAGGCGCTAGATGAAGAGTACCTCGACGTCGATGCGCAACTTGGTGGTCTTGACCAGCGCAAGATCTTCACATTCGCGCTAGAGAATCTGCCGAAGATCGGGTACAAAGTCAGAGCCCACCTGATGCACTCAATGGTGCCAGGTTTGGGAGAGGCGCAGAAGATGAGCTCCAGCGAACCGGATTCCAAGATCGACCTCTTGGATACTGCCGAAGCCGTCGGCAAGAAGTTGAAGAAGGCTGTGTGCGTACCGAAGAAGATCGAGGGTAATGGTGTTGTGGCCTTCGTGGAGCATGTCATTTTCCGAGTGCAGGCTATAAAAACGAGGGGGAAGCCTCATTTCGTGGTCGACAGACGAGATGAAGAGCCTATTATCTACGACGACATCGCGAAGCTGAAGGCAGATTACGAGGCAGATATAGTAAGTTGCCCTTAATTATTCGGATGTTATGCTATTAGTGTTACTCACCTTTCTACAGCTCACACCCCAGCTGCTAAAGGCTGCTTTAACGAAGGCGCTCAACGAGCTTCTAGAACCTATCCGCAGCGATTTCAATGCATCGGAGGAATGGCAGAAGATCGCAGAACTCGCCTACCCACCGGAAGAGAAGCAGCAAAAAGTGAAGAAGCAGAAGGATAAGGGTGACCCGGCTAAGCGTGCGGCCGCACTTGCTGCGAAAGCAGAGCAACTAAAATTAAAGGAGGGTGAATAAATGAGTTATAATAAAGTGAACAGATACCTCTTGACAGCAAATACAATGCATTTGGCGTCATATGCATATTCCGATAGAACTGATAGAAAGACATGTCTACCTACAAGGTGACTAGGTGTTTTCAGGCTGCCAACTTTGAAAGTTGACGATGTCATTTTAACAGAATGGATTCTAGCAAACTTCTCTAATTATGAGGTATCTAAACTGAAAGTCGTAATTGGCCAACTTGACACACTTATAAGTTGATATTAAAGTCGATGTTGAAAGCTGAAATACGTAATACCCCTGACCAGTCAAGTATAGTAAGTACTTTGGTACTTCTAAGAAATGTGCGGCGAATTCAATGTTCCCCAGCCGAATGAGTTTTAGCCAATCAGAGGTCAGCGCACTCATGCTCGCGCCTGCTACCAGAAAAAAGTGAGCTACTGGATACAGCGACTAAATTCAAATCTCGAGATTGAAATATCTCCATACACAACCACACACCCACAATGTTGCGACCAAGATTACGCATACCAAGGCCAGGCCGATTATGGCGCCCGGCAATATCCTCACGCCAGCTACACTCTGTTCCATATCTACACCAATTCAAACCCGAGGAAGGAGTTCCAGGTTTATTATCACCAGGCGGTTTCGATCTAGCATGGACGCAATACATGAATTTTGTTATAGAAAAGCTCAACACAATGATTGCAGGTAAGTTGGTAGGATCTTACGGGTCTACGGGCTGAGTAGCTGGTGCAATTGGCAAGGGAAGGATCATGCAATCGAACTTGTGGGAACGAATCGCGGGGTGCTTCTCTTCTCTAAACACCACCATGTTATAAAAGACTACGGGATTGAGAGCTAATTAGGGAACCAGAGGACGACTTCGGACAACAAGACCCCTTATCTATCGTCAAAGCGACCGCCCGCGAGCCTTCACTGGCACACATCTTCAACTATGCCTCTATGGCATACAACAACCACTTCTTCTTCGATAACCTCGCGAGAGTGGAACCAGGACCCAATGGTAAGCAAGGAGGGGAACCCACAGCACAAATCCGGCCAAAAAAAAAGGAGCGAGAAGCAAAAAAGGCAGGAGAATAAAGAAGAGATAAACGGCTAACAGCCCCCGAAGAACCTACAGGAGAAGACAGGATCCCGGAACAGCTGAGGCAGGAGATCACTCGGCAGTTCAGCTCGGTGGAGACGCTGCGGCGCGAGTTCCTGTCGACGGCGGTGGGCATGTTCGGGCCGGGCTTCGTCTGGCTCGTGAAGCCGGCGCAGTCGGAGCAGTTCAAGATCCTGCCGACGTACCTGGCCGGGACGCCGTTCACGGCGGCGCACTGGCGGCGGCAGGGCGTCGACATGAACACGCAGGGGCCGGCGGGGCGCGACGTCGTGGACGGCTGGCTCGGCCGCACGCAGGCCGGCGCCGGCGCGACCAACGTCGGCTCCCGCTTCGTCGACCACAATATGGTGGCGCCGGGGGGCATCGACGTCATCCCGCTGCTGTGCCTCAACACGTGGGAGCACGTGTGGCTGCGCGACTATGGCATCGGCGCCAATAATGTGGGTGGCAAGAGGCAGTTCGTCAAGAGCTGGTGGGACGTCATCGATTGGAATAAGGTCGAGGATCGCGCGATCCCGAGCAGGAGGTTCAAGTCTTAGGTTAGGAGGCTTTTTACTAGGTGCCTACTAGACAGGTAGATATGTGGAAGGTACTAGGACTAGGTATCTAGAAGGCTTACTACATACTCGCTTGGTCCCGGTGTATGATATGGGATTCGACGCGAAAATCCCTTGCAGATAGCTACCTATCTACCTACGTAGACAGACAGCTGGCTAGGCTGGAGAGGGCCATGTGCTATATAAATGAAATGTGTAAATGATACATGATAGTATGTGGTCTTGCAATGATGGGTGTTTGACTTTAGGCAATGGGTATGGAAATTCTTGTTTCTATTCTTGTCATTCCATCCATGCCAAGTAGGTTGTCAAGTAAGGGATAGCTCTTCAACTAACTTACATCCATAACCCGAGGCTTAGATGGTTATGTTATACATATACGACTTATAATAGAACTTATAATAGTATCACTCGCTACCAGGACCACGGAGAAGGGAAAGTATTGAAGTGAAGTAGGTGTTTTATTTTTTATATCAATCTTCCTTTTTCCAAATTTTCAAAGCTACCTAAATTTTTGCAGGTCGCCCTGACATACATGATATGATATAACAACCTTATAAGGAGCGTGCTGGTATCTCATGCGCCCATCATTCGTTTAACCAAAAAAGAGTAAGAAAAAAGGTATTCATTCCAAAAAGTCCATTTCGTTAATACGCCCCCTTAATGAAGTTGCCTTCGCTTGTTTTGTGTAAGCGGCAACCTAAGAAGACGAATTGCCAGAAGAGTAGTAGGTATAAAAAGAGAAGAGAGAAAAAGAAAACGTGGGTTGCTTGCTTGAAGCGGAAGCGTCCAGTGCTTTGGGATATCGAATCTTGCCACGTCCATTACAGTCGCCGTAAGCCGTCATTAGCATCTCCCGTCATTGTCGTCAACATCCAAAACCAAACATCTCCTATCCCGCGTCGAACCAAGGCTTGCTAAGAGCCGGCGACGGAGAAGGCAAGCAGCGATAACCAACCAACCACAGGACATTAACTTCGTGTAGGTGCGTCACCTCCATATATAAACCATACCTAGCCAGGCAGGCATCGAGAAAAGAAAAGAAATCAAAAGATAGGTAGGTTATACTACGTATATCGATCTAGAACGACCCTAGATCATGTTTCCATTAACACTAACCTCAAACCCCTCGCCCTTCTGCTTCAGCGCCTTAGCCAGCATAAGCTCGCGCATCCAATCAATCCGCTCGTCGCGGCTGCGCACAGCAAAATGATGCGTCTTGCCCGTGCCATTCGCAGCGCCCTCGATGCCAGGCGGACTCGGAAGCAACGGCCCAGACCCCACACTCTGACTCTCACGCTTGCGCAAGCGTCCTCCTAACGCCCCCGGAGCGCGACCCCCCTCGCTCTGCTGGGGGATAAGCTGAAAACTAAACGCGGCGACGGAATCCGGGTCCGCGGCCGACGAACCGCCGCTGTTCTTCGAGGACCGCGATATGCTCATGGCCTTGAAGGCGGCGTTCAGCTTGGACCCCGTGGACAGCGACGAGCACGCGATCGCGTAGTCGTCGATGTCGATGTACTCGAGCGCGCGCGACCGCGTCGCCGCGTCTTTGTGCAGCGCTAGGCGTGTCCCCTTGAGCGTCGCGTAGTGGTCGTGCCATTCGTGGCGTAGCATGCGCGTCTTGCGCTTCTTGACGGGGCCGGCGTATGTTACGCCCTCGGCGTCCTTGACGGCGGAGGGTGGGAGCGCGGGTTGTGTTGGAGCGGCGGCGCGCTCGAAAGCTGTCCGCGAAGAGGGCGGGGACCATGGGTATTGTGGTCTAGGGGGGGCTTGGAGCGGTTGTTGATGCCGCGACGACGACAAGGGTTTAGGCGGAGAGGAGGTCTTGGGGGAGACGGAGTGCGTGTACCGGTGCCCGTAGACGCGGGCGACGGGCGTCGCGGCCGCGTCTTCTTCGACGGGGGCCATGACCTGGAAGGAGGGGCGCCGCGAGGCGCGCGATTGCGAGCGCGAGATCAGCGGCGCGGTGCGGTAGTTCATGTCCGGCGGCACGGACTGCGAGGCGTCGCGCGCGACGGGGCCGAGGGGCACGGCGGTCAGCGGCACGTCCATGTCCGAGAAGGGCGTGCCGAAGCGGTAGGGCGCGTTGTGTAGGTCTGGCGATAGCGCCTCGGCTCTGTCCATCCGCTGCGGGTAGTGCGAGGGCTGCGGCGTCTGGTTCGCGGAGCGCAGTTGTTGTTGTTGGGAGTGCCGTTGAGATTGCAGATGCTGCTGCACCTGCGACTGTTGCTGTCCCGGAATGGCGAGCTTAGGCAAAGCACGCAGGCCCTCGTGAGGTCGCGGCGTCGGCGTCGGCGTCGTGCTGGCGGTGCCGATGGCGGGAACCTCGAAGGGAGGCGTGGGCGGGACTTCGGCGGAGGAGCTGGACTCGTCGCCGTGCTGGTGCTGGAAGTTGAGGAACTGCCTGACGTGTTCCTGGGGGTCGCGCGTCTGCAGATTGCGCAGGGCGGCTTCCTGCAGGTACTGGAAGGGGGGCATGCCGGGGCCGAGAACGTCCGAGGACGCGATCACGGACGGCACGGCGTCAGACATGGGCCGTAGCGCCTCCGTCGACGAGGGCCGGTTGATGGCCGGTGCTGTCTCTGGGTTCCCTGGGTCCCCCGCCACCATGATGATGCCGCCTTGCTCCACGTCCACGAACGGGTGGTCTCGCTTGAAGGCTTCGATCATGCGCTGTTGTCTTCGGTACTTCGAGCAGTTCTCGCCTTTGGAGCAGTGGTGCGGTTTGGGCATCATCTGCTCGATTCCGACGATGGATACGGACTCTAGCGGTGAAATGATGTCTTCGTGCGCGGGCTTCTTCTTGCCTTGGCCTCCCTTCACACTTCTCGATCGCTTGACGCTCTCACTACGAGGAGCGCCATTGCTTTCCTCTTTTCTTTCTCTCCTCCGTTCCCTCTTTACCTCCTTGGCTTCTTCATCTTCTATCGGGGTTTCGGGCCGGGGAGACGCTGCCGCCGCCTCTGCCGCCGCCTTACTGTCTCGCAGCACGTGGATCTCCTCCCACACCTTGGTCCGGACGCCGAAGGACTGGATGCTGAGCTCCTTCAAGTCCTCGAATTTGAGCGTAATCAGGATAGCCCCGTTGATGTCGTTCTCGACGAACTTCTCGGCGACCGGGATCTCAATGCCGGCATTGAGCATCCACTGCGCCACCTTCTCGGGCGACCACAGCGACAGGTCGCCCGGGACCAGCTTCTCGTGCGTGAATTGGAACGGGCTGTTGCGCGACTTAGGAGGCGGCGGCTCGTATGTTAGCGGAAACCGATGATCCGCCTCGAACGGCCTGGCCGTCTTCGGCGTTATCGGAGAGAGGGTTAGGGCGGATTGGTATTCGAAGGAGTTGAATGACGACGTCGTCGAGGCTCGGAATAGGTGCGGGCCTCTGGGTCCCTCGACCGGCTTCGAGGAGTCGAAGTCGAATCCGTACACCTCGCGAGCCCTGCTCGACCTGGGTGTTTGTGCCTCTTCATATGAAGAGAGGGTGGTTACACTTGGTTGTCCCGACTAGCGATTCTATTAGTCGCAAGCGCAAGTATGGCATGGCATTGGATGATAAATCTTACCGAATTCAAGCTTATTCGTGGCGAATCTGGGTCGTCATCTTCGATTTCGCTGACGATATCTTCATCCTCATCCCACTCGGTATCTACAATCTCAGTCGCAATCGAGGTCGGTCGAGGGTCGAGCCCTTTTAGACCGAAGAAAGGGTCGTGAAAGTGACTCTTTTGGCGCATTTCTCTTCGCGACCGCTCGCTCATCCTAAGCGAATGTGTATTCTACGGCATTGAGGGTCAGTTACTATTACTTCGAAGATAAGGCTCCGGGGCGAACCCGGCATAGGATGTGAACAACTACCGAGACACTTAATAAGCTTACCATTTTGGATAATTTAGAAACGGGAGGTAAATATGCGAACAAATCCGATTTTAGATACCAACGCCGTCGCCGGCTTCACTAATTCTTCTTTTCTCTGTCTAAATCAGGGGGGTATATGATATCATGCGAAAACGAAAGGAAATAAGCTCGCTATAGGTAGTCGAGGGACAGGTTCGACGTCGCAAAGGGGGGGAGAAAATGGACTAAACTACACCACGGGCGAGTGCGGGATGTATATGTATGGGCATTAGCATATATGGGATGGTGTAGTATAGCCCCGGATCGCAACGGGCAGACTATCTAGGTATATGCAGGAGACGGTGAAACGCTGTGATGATAGGGAGCTAATCACGATGTGATTTGTTCTAAGGTCTAGGGCCCTTCACACGGCAGGCCAGTAACAACTTCATCCTAGTTGTTGGTGCGGAGAGAGTCGCCATAGCCAGAGATCACCCAGGTCACCTTAACCTCTTAACTGCTGTGTCCTATGTCCCTAATAATAGCATCCCCTCTCTAGTGCGTGGGAAGCACAACAAAATCCCACGAAGGCTAGAATGCTTCCCACCACATGCCCAGCGTTAAACCAACCAGATGCGAAAGGCTGGTTGGACAGAAACTAAGGTGTGCCAGGAAAGAATTGGGCCTTTCTCGAGTTTTCATTGGCCAGATTTTGTCTACTACCCAGCCGGCATCGTCTTCTAAGCGCCCAGATAGCCTAAGCACGGGCTTGCGGGCGACAAGGATGGACAAGGATGGCGTAGACCATGTCCGTTTTCTTCGACTACGAGCCCGATTAGGCATCGCCACCATAGTGACCGTTAGCAACAAAAAGTGGCGCACTCTAAAGAGGTTCTAAACAAATGCAGACTGCACGGAGGGACCAACACCCGTTCTCGTCAACCCATAGGGAAGACGTCGAAAAGCGCCTCGAATAGTTAGACATACATAGACGTTGGCCACCCCCTTACGGGTCGATTGCCATGCGAGAAGATCATTTCACGCTTCGATCGTTCTCCGCAGAAGCTGTGTGATGTAGCAGCACTCACTATATGCAGCATATACAGTATATGTAGGTGCCACTTTGAGCCACTTTGGACTACCCGTACAACGGGAGAAGCCCGCACTACTGCATCACGGCGTCAAATTCCCATCAATTGAGCTTTTCCACTGTTCCTGATCTACTGAGGCGGTCAGACGTGAGGGACCTCTTCGTCGTCATACCTTGCGAATCTGGCCTATCGTGAAGGACCTGCGGATCTTGTTCAATTGATGAAAACCCAGGATACGATAATTTGGTCGAACGATCACTGGAAGCGCTGGGCATTAAGCATTAGCAATGGCAATGGCAATAAGCACTTGCGGATTTCGACCCAGCAGCTTGCCCAGGCCGGTTCTTGCAGAAATCTGCGAGTTTGCACATTACCTACCCCTAGTTGCCCTTGGTATTCTTCTCTGCAGCGGCCTGCACATGCTAGTAAGAGTGAAGACCTGACCTGGAAAAGAGCCCTGGAAGGTGGTCCACTACCCGGCTCAGGTCGGATAGACGGACGGAGGAGAGAATACGACGTTGAGCCAGGGGGTATATGCCGTAGTTTCCCCACTGGGGGCTTATGGGATGCGCAAGATACTGCTGTAGGTATTCCGCGTATTGTGCGCCTAAGAAGCCCTTCGGTGCTTTGGTGGTTACCGGTACTACATGCTACTACATACTACCATGCCATAACCATACAGTGTTTTCTCCTCTATCTATCTTTCGACCTGACCCCTCTCGTGTGGTACGTTGCGAGGCGATGGGATTGGCGTCTCCAACTAACGATCTCTTATTAAATCTCTGTGCTAAGAGTCGATTCGGAGAAACTAGGGCTTCCCCCTCACCAATGACGGGATATCGTGAGGGCCAATAACGGATCTCAAAGACACTCCAAGGAAGACGTTCATGTTCGCATTTCCCGACGAGACGACAATTGTAGTACAACAGCGCCTCCACACTATGGATCTGGAGCGGTCCGGCTCTTGCTTAGTTACGGATCTACCCAATCTTCGAATTCGAATCTTTGAGGCGGCCGTGACCGGTGTCGAAGGAACAAGTTTTCGAAAGTTCCACGGTCCCTTGCGACGGGTCCACCTAGGCTTGGTACCCAATGAAAGGTATATCGTGGGAGTCAGCGTGACCTGGTCCACGGACACATGACGGCCGAATATCAGAGGCTTTAGGTACGTGAATGGCCGAGTCCCACGATTCCCACGATGATATGACGGAATGGAGAAACGATATTCTCCATTCAGCTATCCGTACCTACCCAAGCGGAAGATAATTCACCAATCGATAATTCGATCCCGGCTGTAACGAGACGTAAGCCACGTAAAATCGGGTAGGTCGTTGAAAAGGTAATTCGTAGTCTATCCTCCTCTCTTTCTCATTTAGACAGGGCCATCCGAACTTAACGATCCAGCGAAGACGAATAAGGCAGTTGTCGTTGACTGGGTAATCTACCAGCTCCGCGAACAGCATGTGGCGGGGGGTCACACCTCGTCCTGCAGTCTTTGCATGGAAGCCAGTAGGTTCCCGCATACGGTATGCAGCTGGAAAAGCTGTGTCCGTATGCTCCCCGCGAAGCGAGTTCACACATACATTGCTACGTTAGCGCCGGCCAGCCCAATGTTCTAGCGGAATACACCGACAAGTTAGTTTGATATTGATAAAACGAATGCAAGATCGTCACCAGCTAGTTTAGACTTTCAAGGGAGCAAACCAAGATCTAAGACAACGTGATCCCCGTACTCGTTCTCGTCCGACGGCAACAATGCAACATTTTACGAGTCGGTGACCGACGGGGGATGTACTATTAGACTATCTAGGTAGACTATTAGACTTAGTAATTCTGTGATTCCGCTGGTGAGCTCGTCTCCGCCGCCGTTGCTGTGAGGCTCGCCTGGCAGATCGCTTCAGGCATTATGCGTGGTAACTACGGTTACTTCCTTGTCACCAGCTTGCGTATCGTACATAGCTGGCGATCCACATCTAAGTTGACACGACTCACTAGAAATATTTGATGAACATGGTCGCTTCCGACTATATCCGACATGAATGGCACGTCCAACCTGGGCAAATAGATAACTATCGAGATGTGAGTCGTCATTTCTTGACCCTGACATAGTGGCAATATCACATTGGCGAATGTTTATCTGATTCGCCTGGAGTCTGGACGACTTCGGGGTTCATTGTTACGAAGCAATCGCATTTTAGACTCGGAGGAGCTGCGGAGAGAGCTGTGTTCTCCAGGGTGAAAAGGGTTCGCCTCGATTTTAAGCGATGTTGATCCAAAAGGCCGGGGACCCAATGGCACGCCGAGAAGGGGTATTTAGAAGTTATCACATGAGGATTTCTTAATGCGAGTCTAGTCACCTGGTGGATGGTTGATTCTCCTTTATTCCGAATGAAGTGAACGCCTCGTGGTCTGACGAAGATCTGTGTTATGCGATGCTTAGATGCCATGCCATCTAGAGGCTCTAATTTGTTTTTTTCGTGATTCTTCAATTTCGCCGTCGAGTGCCTCCAACCGGTGAATAGGCGAATAGGGTTTTACAAGGGAGATGTTGACGAATGCAGGTAATAATCTCACTCGAGCTAGGGGATCTGGATCCCTGAATCACCGTAGCAGCGTAGCTAGAGCATAGTCAGCATTAAAGACAACCTGGTTGATTTGATGATTAGTAGATCGTGAACGGCTTAATACCAGCTCGATTCGTGCCTAGCTCATCTCCACTATGAGACGAGTCACAGCGGACCGATGAAGGGTAGAGCCTAGGTGCAGCAATCCTTCCATCGTTAGCCGACGGATGATAGACCGGGACGCAACAGCTTGGCTGCCGGTTTAGAGCCGTTAGAGCCCTTGGGTTTTTGTTTTTATGATGATTTGCATCAACACCACGAATTGGCAGGGTTGGAACGGACATGACAGCCAGGACAGCTCGCTGCACGGACTCAATTTTTCTTTGATAATATCCATTACCCGTTCAGCCCATTGTCTAGAACTCCACGGGGGTGGAGCCGGGGGAAAGAAGGTTCTCTACCACTCTGCTGATTTTATCATATCTGATGTTTGGGGGCTGAATGACGATATTCGGCATTGATGTCGCTCAAATACTTACCTTGGTATATAAAATACGCAATATACACACACGTGCATAGAAATTGGAAGTATGTACATACGTATCCCGCGTATCCCACGTATCCCCAATTGTTCTCGTAGCATACTATGTAGTAGCAGTAGCATCCAGATGCTAGGCAAAATCACGTACATAAACGGGGAAAAGTATCAAACCCCATTCGCAATGAGACCATATTACCACTTATCCGTCCACCACGTACACACGTATAATGACTATGTAGCATAGCATATATTAATGACAACTATATGACAACTAGCAGCCAGAGCATGCGAGCATAAGGATGGCATGACGCATGAGTTAATCTACATGTTGGTGAAAGAGATGCATTGCAAACCGTCGCCGTCTTCTTGCTTCTGCTACCTAGACCACAATGTCGGGACGGTCGGTAAAAGAACTTTTGCGTACAGGGGTGGCTTGGGCCTGATTCCCGCCTGAAAGTTGAAAGAGGCTTGAAAAGTTATTAATGATGTTATGTCGCAATGGGGCTAATCTCGCGATCGCTGTCATGGATGAGGATAAAGAACTCGAGTTGGACTAAAATCTATTGATTATGGGGGAGAACCAAATTAGCCCACATTGTCAGACGGGCACGAATTGAAGAATGTGGGTTAATTCAAAAATAGAACTAATATCGATGTTGGTCAAGTTGGTCCGAGGTCAAGTGCTGCAGATAAGTGTGTGACGGTTTAGCGCCCGCCGTGCGGTCGCATGCGAGTTAAGTTGCTCAAATTAGCCCATAATTAGTCAAGTGAAAAGGATGCTAAGTGTGCAAAGTGGGATAATTTTAGAAATATTGGGCTAAGTGATAGACAATGTGAGCAAATTAGCCCTCCACGACGAATTGATATCGGGTGATCTTCGTCCAACAGCCGGTCAGCTTCCGGCTCGTATGCAAATCCGGTAAGCCACAAACCAGCCCCCCAGGAAGCTTATGAGCTTTGGGGGTGCATAGACCACTGCTTGATTAAAATGAGAATGCTGACGGGTTGGCGGGATCATGGGGAAAGCTACTTTGGTGTTCTAGGTACCTGGGTACTTATGTAAGTAGCTTACTTAGGGCTAGCCTGCCGAGAAGCTACAGCTGTCTGTTTGGCTAATCTAGAGAGAAAGGAAAGAAGACCCCTGATGCCGTGTCTTGGCATCCCGGGATCCATAAGATTTTGCATATGGACCCCACTGAGACCCATTGTTATACTAATGACGCTAATGGGAACTTGCAGCTTTCGAGCAGAGATTGGTTAATTGTACGCCCTCCATCATGAATTAATCCCGGCCGAGCAAGGATTTAGCTTCCGAGCTCGAGCCAATCCGCTTCCCGAACCCATACTTTGTCACATTCACTAAGATTTCGGCTAGGGCCGCTACTGGCGCCAACTTTCCTAGAGCCTCGAATCAAAATGCTCAACTGCCTTTATTTTACTCCCTGAAATCTTTTAAGGACGCATCACCAATATACCTTGTACACTCATCTGATTGGCGAGTTCTTACAACCCTCGAGAATTGGAAATGTTCACCGGTGCCACAGCAACGTCGAACTTAAGAACAAGACAAGCCACGAGCATGTTTCTTCCATGCTTAAACAAATTACAATCAAAATGATACCAGGAAAACACATGACTTCCGGTGTTCGGCTGCGGGCATTTTGGTATCGGCGCGACTCCTTGTCCCGACCTCGTCGTCCCGTCTGGCTTGCAAGGTATCCAAGAGGCCGGTCCTGATAGCCCTGCTACCGGACTTTTACTGGTCTAAATTCGCGACCAATCTCGTGCTCATATCCATAGATTCGGCATTCATTGGCAGTTACGAATACTGCCTAATGGACGCTTGGGGAATATAGTAATTATGCTATACGAATCGTATAGAGCCGTGTTTCCCCCCCGCTCGGCCTAGGAGAGTAGAAACTCGCTATCGAGAGCCGTCTCCAAGCTCGCCAAATTCGCAAAATTCAACCTAGTTTTTATTGACGGACAACTTATTAATCCATACCAGAACTCCCCACTCGGCGATATGATATCCGTATGCAGTAACAAGCTAGAGTAGCGGGGGTGGTATGCGGAATACAATTCGAGTTAAACTACGTACTACGTAGTATAGCTGCGTACGAATTTGGGTTCTCTCAATACTACATATGCAGCTCGAGAGCAGAGCAATCTATGATTATCGGTCAGCCTATGCAAAGTAACCACACCATTCGTGCCCTAATGGTCAATGCGAGGGCAATCGGCAAGCTGCCATGGCTCCTTGCATACATATTACTTTTTGCGTGCTGAGTACGACGATTTTGGTCCTTCTACGTACTCAAGAATGGAAGCCCGCACGTGGGGTTTCTCTTCTCTCGTGCTTCTTCTCGCACAGCATGTCTATCATCAACGTGCAAACTTAGCGAGGAAGCGTGAGAAATTCCCAGACATAGTCCGACGATCTACAATCTCCGCTTAAAGACTGGGAGGTGGCATGACAAAGTTCCTCGAAAAGAATAGCTTCTCCTCTTAGAGGTGGTACAAACCGCACTTCTCATCCTCTCCTTACCTCTTCATAAGGTCGATCGACGCTAATAAATCCCTGCGGCTTTCAATAAACTCGTCGACCCTGGCTCGCAAGGGCTTGCTCGATGCAAGGATGAATACAGGGCTGGCAAGGTATGTGGTGTAGGTCGCTCTCACACAGACAAGCCATACATACACACTCGCTGAAAGGCACAATTAGAAAATCTGCAAGTGCTCGACAAGACCCCATGTCTCCCTTCTGCATGGTGGTGACATTCATAGTGGGCCGGACCTTCAACTGGTCTATCCAATGACCGGCAAGCCACGTATGGGAACTGCCTCTTTTAGTCGCTCAACGTCGTCTACCTTGCAGAAGGATCCCTGCCGCTGCTTGCAGCCACCGTCTTCCGCGAGTGTGACCGAGTGGTACAATGTCCTTGTACCGCTCACTTCGAGTGGGGTGGTTGGCCAGGTGGTCGACGTTACCCACCATCATCCGGGTGACTCGACCACAATCCAGCGAACCGGCCATGCTCATTGGAATCCGCAAGCGCATATCCGGCTCAAGTCACCAGCTGCTACCCCAATTTGGGCTAATTTGCATATGTTGTGGTCTGTAATTAGGCCACAAAAGTCATGGGTTAAAAAAGGAATTACCCCAAATTGCGTCTTGTTGCTATTTTTGAACACAGCCTTCGTCGATGCGCCGGCCTACGATGCAGCTAGAGTGGTGGCCGAAGAGGACGAGGCCACGATATAAGTCTTCACACCTCCAATCTAAGGAAACATTTTTTTCGAAGATAGATGTTGTGAAGGGTAGAAGATCCAAGTGTCGTTCCAGTTTCCCTTTAACTATATTCCTCCTCTCTCTCTCTCTTCCTAACCTCCCTTCCTCTCTCTATACCTTTCTCATTCCGCTAAACTCGACTAACGTGAAAGGCAAGCTGGTACTTGCTTGGATCCTATCATTCATTCGACGAGAAGAAAATAATACTAATTTTGACGAATTTCGAACACACCCCATACCATTCCGCGCTGGTCGGTCTTATCCCCACTCGCGGATTATTATTCACCGGGCACGAGGACTTGAGAGCATTGAGCGTTTTTGGGCAATTACTGGCTTCGAGGCGCAATCTCTGGAAAGATCCTAGCAAATATCGACCTAGACCTAGAACTGGGGCCCCTGGCTCCCCTTGTCTCCTCCCGCTTTCGCTCGGCTTGCGACTAGCATACACCCCCCCACTACCATCTCGACGCAGGTACCTTGACCTTGAACAGAGATACAAATGTCAAGTCTACCCCCCAACCCCCAGGGAGACCTAATGAGAGCATCAACCGTCAACATGGCCGTCGCACAACCGACCAAGTCGAAGGCTGCTGCTAAGCAAAACAACAATGCCAACTCTAAAGCTAAGACACAGATGCACCGCCGTTCCAGAACAGGTTGGTGTTCCTCTATACCCTGACTTATACGGCCACTTACACCGGATCGTCGTCGGTGCGTGTAAGTTGGTCAGCAACCACATACTAACATGTCACCCCTTTTATAGGTTGCTATACCTGCAGATTACGACGGAAGAAGTGCGATGAGGGTACTCCCATGTGCACAGCATGCAAGCACCTCGGTCTTGTATGTGAATATAAGAGACCAATGTGGTGGAGCAACAACGATGCGAGACGACAGCACAAGGACGAGATCAAGATGATCATCAAGAGGAAGAAGCTCTCCGAGAAGGCTTCTCACACTATCCAAACTACGGTTAGCTCGCCGCCGGGCTTGTCTCACTCTCTCCCTACTTCCGCAACCTTCTCGGACCCCTTAGACCGAACAAGGTCGGCATCGATCGATTCGCAATTCGCCTTCAACTTCAACAGCCCGCCCAATGTTAACGACTATGGGGCTTACAATCCGCACATGCTCCCGTCACACGCCGACTTCATGTTCAACATGTCTCCTTACGAGATCGATGTTAAGACCGAGCGACAAATGTTCGTCAACGACGTCCCAACACTGCGGGAATCCACTGTTTCAACCTTCAGCACTTACCACACTCCGCCTCCGCCAGGAACCGTCCTCCCATCTTACCCCGTAGATGGCGAGTGGACCGAGCAAGTCTTCCAGGAGCGCCGCGAGTCGCTAGCAGAAGAGACCTTGAACTACAACTTCTTTGACTTCGCCAACGGCCTACCTACAAACACAAGGCAAGTCGACATCGAACTAGACGAGAACGACCAACGGTTGCTGGACCACTTCATTCAATTCGTGCTGCCAACTATCTTCCCTATTCTGGAAACTAACCAACATGGATCTGTCGGCTCCGACCTCATCCTACCTAACCTGCAGAACAACAAGGGCTACCTCCACTGCTGCCTCATGATCGCGGCGCAACACTACAAGGCCACGATGAACGTCCAGGGCGAGGAAATCGACAATGACATCATGCGACACCGACACGCCACCATTGTTGCACTTTGCGATGCGCTAAACAAGGATGAGAACCACCACCAGATTCTTGAGGCCACCCTTGGTCTCATCTTTTTCCAGTGCTGCGTTGGACGGTATGATGACTCATTGCCCGACATCCCATGGCACCAGCACTTCCAGGCGGTGAACTCCCTGGTCAACAAACTGGATCTGCCTCGATTAGTTTCCGACTCAACTGAACAGTTGACTCAAACACCTTTCAACATGACGCTAACCGCGTGGATCGACATCTTGGGCGCAACTATGCAGGGGCGAGCCCCGACCTTTGCGCACACCTATCGCGAGAAGCACTTGTCGACAACTAACCCATTCCTTGGGCTCCGCGAGCTCATGGGCTGCGACGACCACGTCATGTATCTCATTTCCGAAATTGCTTGCCTCGAGGCGCTCAAGAAGGAGGGAATGGACGATATCACTCTATGCACACACGTTCATGCGCTGGGTGACCAAATTGGGTTGACGGAGGCCAACGACTGCGGGCCTAAAATGCCATTCAACGCCAATGGATCTCTTAGCCCGAAACAACTCAGCAAGAACATCACCAGCGCCTTCCGATTGGCTGCCCGCATTTACCTCTGCAGCTTGGTGCCTGGATTCTCACCCAGTCAAACCAGCTGCGTTGGCCTCGTCGAGAAACTAACCAATGTTTTACAATTTATCCCATCTGGCCCTGGTGGCTTCGACCGAAGCCTATCTTGGGTCTACTTGATCGGTGGATCCGTCAGCGGAATGAACTCCAGCTTCCGACAATTCTTCAATGACCGCATCGCACAGCTCGGTGACGCATCCAACTACGGCAGCTTCGGCGGCGTCGTCTCCCTGCTAAACGAAGTCTGGCAACAGGCCGACAACAGCCAGCCGAGTCCTAGTGCTAACGGGACCCCGGAAGCGCCCTACATCTCCTGGAGAGATATCATGCAGATGAGGGGATTGGACTACCTACTGATCTAAGTTGATCATTCACCTCACAGCTGGTCTTGGGGGAGGTATCCCTCTCCTCATCTGCGGGTTGCTTCCTGGAGCGATTCAGGAAATTGCTATCCCGTTTGCACTTTGACTACGGCTGACTGCACACAACTTTTTTATTTACTTTTTTTTTTTTACTACGATAATACCCACTAGAGAGAGGTAGCCGCAAGGCAACCGGAACGACACTTGGAATTGGCAGGATTTAAGGGGCTTGGATCAATCATGATGACGGGTAGTCGGGGAGGACTACCACAACTGGGAGGTAATGAACCTGCTATGGCTTTACGAGGCGACGACAATTTCTTATTTTCTACTTTTTGGGTCGATATATCATCGTCGAGTCACTTATATATACCATGCATGCATTGGTAGGGAAGGTAAAGGAGTTTTGGGCAATTTGAAGCATTGGTGTATATTTGGATAAAGGCCTAGCATTTTTACTTGCCCCTGAAAGGCAAAAGTCTTATTAAGGACAGGTTCATTAGGAGGCACCGATTTGATTGCCCCCGCCTCTCGAAGCTCTTGGGGACTAAAAACCCTAAGAGTCGAAGAAGTATCTATTATTGTAATATAATAACACAAATCTCAATAAAATTCAAAAAGTATACAATATTCTGGAGTCTTCAATATTTTGCTGTGACTTATGCGAACCCCTAAAATGAACAAATTATCACCTAGAATATTTTGACCTAATTACGTTATGGGCTAATTAGTTTCATTAGCCAGTTAACATCAATTGAGTTGTGGCTTAATTAGTTTCCTTTGACATTGAGTTTGTCCTTGACCTTGTCCTTGTCTTCGTAATTGAAAACCAAAGCCAACTTCTCCCTTACAACAAAGTCTCACAACTAAGCCGCAAATTTTTTCTATACCCAGTATTGACCCACGATACTTCACCTGCGCCGAACCCGGAAACTTGGAATATGCTGCAAGTCGCTGAGCGGTGAACGGGAAATGGATCTCGTGATCGATGAGGGATGAGTCATGTGCTCAACGCCCAACGGCGACGATCCCATCGGTTTCACATGGGGAAAAAAGATCCAGATCCCCTCCCGGGCCCGCATCCTGCTGCTAATTGCCGCATGTGGGAAGCCGGTCCAAAAGAGGCGCTTTTTTGACTTGCATCACGACCCTCTGATGGCTTGGACTAACGGATAAGCTATGCTGGGAGTTTCACTTTCAGCTGCGAATGCCGATTGCAGTTCCTAGGTGCAAGGCAGACCCGTGGCGTTGCTGTCGCGTGAATGCGGGCTAATTGAGCACTGGTCAGGAATTACTTGCTATAACCTGCCATGCTATGGATGCTACGGATACTAGCTGGCTGCACCGTAGATCAAAACCACGCGGATCAGAGAGATCTCGGCAACCATCGCACCATATCGCTAAGGCTTTCTCTAGCGGGCTGTGCGGGAAAATCATGCGCAGAGAAGTCCAAGCTTTCTTCCCATCAATTGCACGTAAGGTAGCAATGACGTATGGAAGGGATCTTTCTTTCATCCTTGCTAAGCTGAAATGACACTCGTCCGAACTTGAATTCCCACCTTTTGAAACTTGCGAAGCCACTCGGCCGGGGCACGGCAATTCAACTTTTACCACTCTGCCACTTGACAAGTTGGCACCATAACACCCCAACATGCCATACCTAGGGGAATAGCAAAGCTACCTATAGGATGGAGGATGATTCAGCAGGGCAAGGAATATAAATTTCCGAAATTCCGTCATAAGGCAGACAGCGAGGCGATGATCTATTTCTCCGCCCACAAGCGAAACAAAAAAAAATTTGTCGCACAAGCGGTCTGCGCCTGACGGGTCTCGGAGTCCAACGATTCCTTCTTCCCAACGGCCCATCGCGCCGAGTATCCCAACATTACGGAACACATCTTATTATCGCACGCATCAAGGTAAGGAAGGGTTCCTCGCAGACGCCAGTGGCGTGGCCGGATCAACTATCAAGGTCGAGGGTCGCCACCTTATGCCGCGGTGAGCTGTCACGAGACTACCCGGACAACGGCTATGGGCTTGTTGTATGTACCCGTACCTTGTCGCGAGCGCAAGCGCAAACATCGCTCGACACCTGGTAGGCCGCTCAGCAGAGGCTGGTCAAAGCCGTCTTTGACTTCATAGGGACGGGCCTAGAATGGCATGGCCGGGTCGTCAAGGCCTTGCTGTCAGTCGACCCGGTCGAAGTTGGCGCTTAACTGGCGCGAGTACTTCTTCAGCGAGCTGTGTGCGCACGGTCTTAACCAGGTTTCCCGCCCAGAGATATCGACGTCATGCATCGCAGACTTTTACTTGAGGTTCTGGACTGGGAGGCCTGCGAGGGGGAACGCCATCTGTTGGTCCTGACAGGTCTACCAGCGCTTCCCCCTCTCCCCCCAGATGGCGGAGACTGGCATCGCTGAAGTCGAGCCCGCTGTGAGATTATGGCATAACGTGGCCTCATGGTCGGATACCGTCTCGTAAAGGTGTTCGAAGCCGAAGCATAGTGCCCTTCGATACACTGGATCAGTGGATAGAACTCCTAAAATATATTTTGCATATTCCCTCCCTATTCGCAATGATGACTGATCAATACCAAAGGGAGGCTCAATCTTGATCGGGTGTTAGTTATAGGTAGGTTCGATTACTTAAAAATGATGTCTCAAATAGAAAGGTATTGTAAAGATATAGTATCATGGTTTTTCTCTACTCTCTAGTCTATTGAGATTAGTAGACCTCGACAACGATACCACGGAGTATATTCCCGTTTTCGCATCTAGGACGAGTCCTTGACTGTCTTGATAGCGAAGGGAAACCAAAGACGCATGAGCGCAAGAAGCCCACCATCCTGTGGCGGCTTTTGACTCATACGACTAGAGGATATCCGTTTGTGGACATGCGCTTGGTGTCGAAGATGACGAAGTTGTCCATGTCGAGTTTGAATATGCGGCGATGCAGTCATATTGATGAGCCTTCACCGCGAAAAGGGGGAGGACATACCATTTTTCATAGGGTATTCGTCCAAGGGATTATAATGGTACAGATTCGGTTCCTTTAGCAATGTTTTTTTTATTCTGACTTTCCTCTTTTCCTACTAGTGGTTTTACCATATCATAGCATTTCTTAGTGACGGCAAAATCCTATCTCCTAGCCCCAGCATCGCATACAACCTTGGAGATTTGCGGGGCCCCGTATCTTTAACCCACGGAAATAAGGATGAAAGATGTTTCCGGCCCAGTCTATTGTCAATGAATGGTTTGTGGTTGAGTGTGATTAAGTGAACCTCGCTGTCGATAAACTCAGGTTGTACCTCTTCCTCTTGTGTTTTCTTATGATTTAGTTCTACCGGCCTACCTAGGTAGCCATCTAGGTAAATTCTGCGTTCCATTTTACCCTAGGGCAGCAGTAGACATCATGGGCGCAACCGACAATCCCAATCCGATGAGCAGTCCCTTTGACAAAACAGTCAGTGATGATGCAAACCTCGAACATCTTGGCTACGAGCAAGGTCTGTATAATTTATTTGCACGCCTAAAGTCAGCGCTGACATAAGACGCAGAACTTCACCGTTCCTTCTCACTCCTTGGCATGATCGGCTTCTCCTTCAGCATCGTCACGTGTTGGAGCGCTTTAGGGGGTACGCTGATAGTAGGAATCGTCTCGGGAGGTCCGCTAGTCATGATATATGCCTGGATCGGCGTGTCTCTCTTCTCATTAGCTGTGGCGTTCTCCTTTGCCGAGATGTGCTCGGCGTACCCAGTGGCCGGCGGGCAGTACTCGTGGGTAGCCGTTTTGGCCCCGAGCCGATGGGCTCGCGGTATGTCTTGGGTGACGGGATGGTTTATGCTCGTCGGCCTCATCGCCAATGGCTCTGTCAACAACTTCATCGCTGCCAACTTCATCCTCGGCATGGCGAACCTAGCGAACCCGGATTATGTGATCGAGCGGTGGCACACTGTAGTGATTACTTACTTCATTATCCTTACCGTGGGCAACGTCAATATCTTCGCTCCGAAGGCTATGAATAAGATCACGCAGGTTATTCTAGTTTGGAACATCGTGTCCTTTTTCGTCATCACCATCACGATGGTCGCCACGAAAAAGGAGAAGCAAGAACCGTCGTTCGTCTTTCAAGAATTTCGTAATGATACTGGGCTGTCTGCTCCCCTCGGCGTCATTGCCGGTCTCTTGCAGACATTCTATTCGATGTGCTGCTATGATGCTCCTGCGCACATGACGGAGGAAATGAGGAATGCCTCGCGAGACGCGCCAAAGGCTATTGTCGCCGCTGTCGTATTGGGCGCAATAACCGGACTCTGCTTCTTGATCGCGGCATATTTTTGTATTGGAGATATCGATTCTGTCGCTAACTCATCTACTGGTAAGTTTACGTCTTCTTCGGCCTTTGTCTTGGACAAGGTGTTTTCCCATGCTTCCGTATAGCTGCTAATCACCCTTTCCAACCTAGGCGTGCCGTTGATCCAGATCATTTACGACTGCACGGGATCCGTAGCTGGGACCTGCTTCCTATCAAGCTTAATCACGGTCATCCTCTTGGTCTGCGCTAATAGTATTATGGCCGAGGGTTCGCGCGCCCTTTGGGCTTTTGCTCGCGATAACGGCCTCCCCTATTCGAAGACGATCAGCAGCGTCCACAAAAAGTTCCAAGTGCCAGTCGTAGCTATTATCATCTGCATGGTGATCCAGGCGGCCCTCAACACCATTTATATTGGCACGTACACGGGCTTCAACACCGTCATCTCCATCGCTGCAGAAGGCTTCTACGTCTCATATGCGATACCCCTCCTCTCGCGGCTTATGTCACACTTCAGCGGCGCAGAGGTTCGACTACAGGGAGGCTACTACAGTCTCGGTCGCTGGGGTGTCCCGCTGAATATGATCGGTGCCTGCTACCTTCTCTTCGCCGCCGTGACGTTTAATTTCCCCAGCACCGCCCCGATCGATTCGCAGAACATGAATTATTGTTCCGCGGCAGTCGGCCTGGTCATGCTCATATCCGCCGTGACTTGGTTCACTGGCGGACGCAAGAATTTTACCATGCCTCTGCTAGACAAAGCTACCCCTGCTTTAAGCGAACCGTCGGAGCGCGCTTGTGAGAAAGAAGCTACAGGTATAGATGGGATGAGCAGATAAATAATAGATAGATTTGCATTATGCAGTATACATGATTCTGTATAGCGTATTTCAAGCCTGTACTAAGAGAAAGGGTTTGATGCTAGTTGATGAGTGCCTCGCAATTTTATTTCATTTAATTTTTAGGTATTCTAGCTCGGGGCGAGATATCATCTGATCGCCACAAATTGAAGTGACATTGGAGTGATTTGAGTCACCTTATTTCCGGACGGGTTGGTGTTGGTAGTCCAATTTAGATGATTTCCCTCACAAGGCCTGGAAACGGGAAAGCCGTGCTTCGTAACAAGTTTGCCGACGTTGAGGAGTGAGGAGATAGGAGAGAGCCGAATTTAACGACGGGACGGCCAACCCGATACTCCCCCTATTAATCTTATCTCAACCAGCCGCATTACCCAAACAGGAGATGGTAGCTCTTGATCTGCCAATCAGCACCTTTCTTTCTCACGTCCCCTGACCAATCTCTACCGGTAGGTACTCTCCGAGGAGACCTGTCGTGAAAGTGATCTCACTCTGGGCACACTCTTTTAACAGGTGTATTCGATAACATAGGACCGCGACTGCTATGTGTTAGGTAAAAGACCTGATTTACTTGGAATTTGTAGTGCGGAGTGACACAGTGCTTCGAGATATTCGAGCTCTTAATCTTACTAATGGGCATCTCTAGATTATCAGAGCAAATATACACAAGCTCTAAGTTATCAATGACTCCAAAAGATACGTTAGGTAACCTAGGTGTAGATTGGGTGGCATCAGGAAGCCGATGCAGTGCCCATCCTTCCCCCATAGGTTCCCCTATCTGCAATGGGAATAACGGCCGATAACTGGTGATATCAAATCAGTCTTCAAAAGGAGGGGGTGAAATGGCCTTATTCCTGTTTATATTGAAACAAAACTGACTATGATGCTTCCAATGTTTCCATATACCTGGGAGATATCATCATTTCTTCAATATCATATTTTACTCGGAAAACTCATTCACAATGACGATACTTCCGGCTCGTAGGGGTGCTGCGTTCCCTATCCAGAAGGGCCAGTATCTTAAGGTCACCAATACGTATGGCAAGCAGGTAGTTGATTTTTGGGCCTTCAATCCCAACGATAGTCATGATTACCTCTCGATGTCGCATTCGCGCACCATTCTGGTCGCCGTCTCGCCACGCGTGGGCAAGAGCCTCTACAGTACCCGTCGGAAGCCTATACTCACGTTGGTTGAAGATACGTCACCTGGTGTACATGACATGGTCTGGTCGGCTTGCGACCGGGAACGCTATCGCATGCAAGGCGCCGTCGAATATCATGACAACTGCCACGACAACATGCACCAGGCCCTCAAACAGAGCTGTCCAGCAGACAAATATCCTAATCTCCAGATCGCGGATGATTGGATTCCTGACCCCTTAAACCTTTTCATGAACGTCCCCATTAACCACTTCGGAGGGCTGGACATTCAGCCGCCGACGAGTGAAAAGGGTCAGTACGTGGTGCTGAAGGCGGAGGCAGACCTGGTGATCGTCATGTCTGCTTGTCCTCAAGATATGGCTCCGGTGAATGCCGGCGGGCCGGCAGACTGCGAGTACGAAATATTCAATGACTCCTCTCTTACGGAGCCTGCGTCGACCAGTATCCCCCGCACCCTTACTAAGCGCCCAAAGCGTGTCAAGGTCGCGCTCTCTTTTGATTTTGACGCCGTTTCCCACTGGCTCGGGACGGGATGCCACCCTGACAATAACATGGCCGACTACAGCTCCGGCATTTTCGCTGGTCAGGTTGGCGCAATTCGTTTGCTAAATATGCTGAAGAAGAAAAACATCGCGGACAAGGTGACTTGGTTCGTGCCTGGCCACACCATAGAGACCTTCCCGAATTCGGTCAAGAAAGTCGTCGAATCGGGTGCTGAGATCGGTCTCCATGGCTATTCCCATGAGGGCATTTACCAGATGACCCCTGAGCAGGAGCGCGACGTCTTGGTCAAATGCATTGAAGTCGCTACCAAGTTGTGCGGTGGACAGAAACCTCGCGGCTACCGTGCTCCCATGTATACCATCCGAGAGACCACCGTCGAGCTTCTCCGCGAGTTTGGCTTCCTTTATAATTCGTCTCTCATGCACCACGATTCTCAGCCGTACTGGACTCCGGCCGATCCGCCTATAGAGAAGATTGACTTCTCAAAGCCTGCTTCCTCTTGGCTAAAGCCTACACCTATTACTGAGCCTACCATTGGGCCGCTAGAGTCTGGTCAACATCCGTTGGTTGAAATCCCCTGCGGTTGGTATAACGAGGATATGATGCCGTTGCAGTACCTCCCACATCTTCCTAACAGGTAAGCAAATATCGTGATATTCTCCTGTAAGAGAATTGGGCTGACCACTGTTGAAGCATGGGATACGTCTCTACTAGAACCGTAGAGCAGATGTGGAAGGACAAGTTTATGTGGTTATGGGAGAACGCCCCCAGCGTCGAGGGCGAGGATGACAGCGAGAGGGCCAACGACTCTGTCGATTTCGTTTTCCCTATCTTGATGCACCCCGACACGTCTGGAATGGCACACATAATCGGAATGTCAGAACGTATCATTAGCTGGCTACAAGGATGGGGAGAGTCCGTGCAATTTTATAAGCACGAGGATATCGCCAAGGAATGGCTGAAAGAGCAGACGTCTCGCAAGTAGGTAACTATTCGTTATTCTTACTCAGGTAGGTAGGTTTGATATCAAGCCAGCGCTTAGCCCATCATGATTTAGAATCAATATGAGGCTTTCTATCCATGCCATGCTTGATTACACTTCAAATTTCTCTCTCGACAACGTGAGAGGATGTCTTGGATGGCAATAGCCGCCACCCGCCCAAATTACGCGCTATTAAGTCGGACCTCCGAGGAAGAAGGACATTCCACAGATTAGCCACATTATCTTTATCATTAATTTTAACCTGGCACGGCATTTGGGCTGTTGAACGCCACTACTTTCCTACCTATGCTAACCGCTCCCATAAAAGGAGCTAGGACTCGAGTTATTCGTATTCGTTAATGAGACTATGAGGCTGCAGTTCGACCTGATGCGGTCTTCTGGCCTGAAGGAAGACTGAAAGTATATTGCTTTCTAGCGAGCATTTGGTCGGAGGCCTACAAGAAAGCTCTGGGCCTAGTGGGGTGAGACCGGACGAGGCTGTCGTTGTCGCGGCGCATGCGTACGATTTCAGGACTGTGCGGAAGTTCGGCATGAGAACTGTTTACCTCAATCGTTGGGCCGATGACCGTGGTGGGGGCATAGACCCTCGACGTGGTCAGGATGAATAACGACGTGTTCTTCAACGACAGCTGTATGCAAGGATTCCTTCCCGCCGTCAGGGCCTTGGGTCAGGTCTCGCAGAAGAGTTGACAACCTGTTCACGCACATATCATGGGGCACGTCATAAATCCTACCAACGGCCTTGTAAGGCGCTGGAGCAAAATTGTTCGGCTCACAAGAGCCCGCAGGCTGTGGCTGTGTGATGTCGCGCATACAGTACATATCTATATATGTACAAATGCTGGCACGAGGCCTCCGTAAACGGGGTTGTTGGGAACCCGGGAGGCTCATGTTTAGTTGCATCGAAGGAATTGAGCTGTACGACATCGCTGTGGTTAGCTACACGAACCAACACACCACACAACATTTGCTGGGGAATATTTCTGTGTGTATAAATGGAGTTGTACGGATGTGGGTGAGGTCTGCCACCCCCAATTCGATAAAAAGCCGACCGGCAACTTTCGGAGCCAGCAGAAGAGTACAACGGTACACCGCAAGTACAGTTGTACATACATTCAACTCCGGGTTACTGGGGTTTAAACTACAAGTGGATCTCTACCGGGATCTTACAGGGTTTGTGTCGCGCAATCAGCGCTCAGATTTGCTAGATTCAGGTCCAAATTAGGAAACCCGGTTGAGCTTCGGCCAATCAGACACGCGCAACGCACATGGTCACGCTAAGTTTGAAAGATTGTACCAACTCATCTAGTCCAATCACGCCCTTCAAATTTATTCTCCTACTCAACCGCCGCCGTTGAGCGCCCCTGTAGCCGCCCAATAACGCTTCGAAAATGGACATACCAAGAAACAATTTTGGGCGATTCGCCTCGTGAGAACCTCTCGTTGTGGCAACTCCTTCACTATCTAAGACCCGCAACGCCTCATCTCGATACTGAGATGCTTGCTTGAAGTCGGTTACATCCACTCATGCTGCTTCGCGTACACACAAGCGGTACTGATGGCGGAGACTATGGATCCTACCTAAGTATCCTACTCCAGTAGCCAGATGAGATCTTGCCCTGCAGACGATTCTCTTACCGTCTGATTTATTTTTGGGTTGAAGATGTCCAGTCGATCATCCGCATCCTGCCGCGTTTAATCTGGGGCATCGACCTCGACGGACCCCATCTGGTCGCATCTGTTGGACCAGAGATGCTCGTCTTCGTTCTTTAGTCAGACGACCTATACTAATTGTTCTATCTAGCGTTTCCGCCGTCTTGGCCAGGGAAGCCAGGGGAGCCAAGCGGACGAACAATAGTCGAACAAAGTGGAAACAAAGCCATCAAGGAATCAAGCCATGATTCATAGGCCGGGCATCAAAATTTCGCTGTTGTTCGCTCTTTTGTTCGGGCTCTTCTTCGTAGTTTGTTTCGAACCTTTGTTTTACACGTCGTCTCGTCTCCTTTGGCCTCCTACAACCTTTTCCTAGTCATTCGATTCAGTACGAGGACACGCTCATTGTCCGTTCGTGACTCTTCTAGTTGCTATTTCTAACTCACATAGCCCCTGCGCCTCCCGACGCCTCTGACTGATAATTCTTTCTGTGAATGAATTCGGTCTTCTTTTCTGCTTCTCATAGATATTATTGCCAACTACTACCTTCTAGTGACTATTTACTTTTAACTCTTTTCGATATTTTTCTACTTAATTTTCAACCTCTCGATTTCAAACCAACTTCCGTACTTGATATCCATATACAGATCCACCAAAGTGGCAAGCCCTTCTGCCATAGGCAAGAAGTCAAGATATAAAATACCCACTTCAAAGGTAATAGTAAGACGGCTCAACACATGCCGCAACTTTGGGTCCTGATACGGGCTCTGTATCCCGCGGCGCTGCTGCTGGCAGCAGCTGCCTCAACATCAGCCTCTATTATTCCCACAGAAAGCACCCGGGTATTTGAAAGAGCGAGCACCTGCGGAGCGAACTTCTCGCCATGTTCGCAACCGGGGCTCCCCGCCAACTTCTGCTGCGAGGCGGACGCGACATGTAATCTCCTCGCAGCCAACACAACGGTCCTATGTTGCCCGAAGAACGCCAACTGCGATACGATATCCCCGATAACCTGCGATCTCGGGCTCCAAGATCCTGCTACGAATCCTTCCGCCGAAATCAAGACCACGGTGCTGAACGGTATCTTAACTACGTGTGCCGGCCAGTGCTGTCCTTTCGGGTACTCGTGTAACGGGAAGAATTGTGTTAAGGACGCGGACCAGAGCAAGAAGCCACCCGTTAAGGCGCCAACGAGTAGTAGTAAGACGACTAGCCCGACGGCGACGAGTACGCATGGCAGTTCGACAACGGTTGCCGTAAGCGGTGTGAGCTCCGCTTCCGCCTCCGCCTCCGCGGCACCATCGACACAGACACCAACGACCTCGCCCACCGGAACTGCCAGCACAGTGACTATTGTGGGCGGCGTTATTGGCGGGCTCGTTGGTCTCGCGCTGTTGATCTTAGCCGTAGTCATGATACGGCATCGGCGCAAGAAGACCTTGCGAGAAAAGCAAGCATTGCAGCGCCAAGACTCAACGTCATCTTTCGGGAACATAATCTCCAACCCCGTGCCACACGCCAACTATCCCTCTCAAAGGTTAGATTTCCTCGCTAAGTCCCACCCCACAGGCTCGCCAAAGAGCTACGCGCCGTCCTCGCCAACGGCGGTAGCGAGCCCGAGGTCCCAGAAGACGACGCAAAAGGACGGGTTTAGCGAGGTTAAGGAATACTACGGGAACACCGGCTTCATGCCCCCGAACAGCCCGTATAGCCCGTACGCCCGCCGCCCCGACAGCCAGATGTCGGACGTGCCCCGCAGCTACCACGCCTCGGCCGAGATCACCGGGCTGCGGAGCCTGACGCACTGGCCCGGAGCCAACTCCAGCGCCAACTCCACGCCTACCAAGAAGCCTTCCCAGAAAAAGGGCAAGAACATACCCCTCAACGACCGGGCGAGAGACTTCGCTCCGGCACCTCTGGTTACCATCACCCCCGCGACGAACGATGACGGGTTGAGGGACGGGGCGAGGGGAAGGTTCGGCGAGAGGGGACGCGAGAGGTACCCTAGCGAAAGCGAAGGGGAAAGCATAAATATCTTCGCGGACCCGCTGATGGTTCCCGGTGGCGCGGGCGGCACGAGGCCTGAGAGCAGCGCGACGACGTGGTCGAATATACAACAGCGGGCTGATAACGCGATACACGGCGAGGGCGGTAATGGGAGGAGCAAGCTGGGGGAGTCGCCTTTGAGGAGGTGATGAGTGCTCTGACTAACCAATAGAAGATGAATTAATAATTTTTGGCGAGGTTATTAAGAATGATCATTGATTCCGGGCATGGCGTGGGCTGGCGTTTGCTTTTTCTTGTTGTCGATGCCGTCTGAGCGGATGACATTCACTCACATTTCTTTTGTCGAATAAGAGAGTGTTCAAGGGCATATTAATGGGATCGCGGACTGGGAAGACGGGACTTCACATGATACCACCGAAAAAGGGCAGGGGGGAAGTTGCATTATTACTACGGCGTTAGGGACACTCGCTTGAGAGAAAAAAATCCCCCTTTTTATATTCATATTCTCACGATCTGATGAGGAGGATGAGTTGGCTGAACTACTAGGTATCCGTCTTGTCGTGGCAGTTTGTGTAAATATCTAACGTATCCTCTTTTGAGAGGAGTTGTGTATCTACTTGGAGCGAGTAGATTTTATGATACATGCCTCTGATCAGCTATCTCGCTCTGCTTCTTGAGTCTTACCCCTAAACCCCGCCTTCCTAGTGCTCCCTTCACATTGTGGGTAGTATTATTGACAACCCCTCAACCGCTGTCGTCATAATTCTTATACAAAGCGTTTGTCTCTTTACTCGTGGCAATTTTTATATTTTAGAATAGCTACCTAGGTATTTTATCTTAAAATAGCATATGAAGTAAGAGGCTCCTTGTCCCTCGCTAGGTAGGCGCTGATAACAAAGGCCCTTGTTCGTATACACGCAAGTGAAACAATGTAAACCAGCCACCTTCTAAACAATTGGCCTTTATCGTTTAAAATAGGTAGTGTGGAATATTGTACTCATTTCGTAGCAAAGAACCACTTGGTCTCGAGGTAACGAAGTGGCCTACCCTATGAATCTAATATTCTCATCAGAGCAGTATGTAGTATGTAGAACAGCATCAGGTGTAATCCAAGAAGTTTGAGTTTAGAATATCATTTTAAAAGGCTAGTTACCTTATGCTTGGTCGCTTCTTGTCATAGATATCTACATATATAGGAGCCAGCACACCACATTCCGTGACGAAAACTGGATCAGACGTGTGATCTCGGAACTCTCGGAACGCATACCCATCAAGGCACATCAAAATAGGTGACTAAATGAGCGTCACAACACCACAAGATCCGATCCAAACATCAAAATTGAACCAAGTTCGTGTCATCTAGATTCGTAGACACGTTTAGATATCATCTGACCTACACGACGCAGAAGCACTTTTCTTTTCATACAAACAGTTCATGTTTGTTGTCCCAACACATGAGGCATCCCGTTCATCTCCTCTAAACTTCCGAGCAACCGCCCGCGATCCGTATCCTCCCTATGTCTGTAATGCAAATGTTGTTTTTACACGGCGACGGCGACGGCGACGGCACCGACGCCCGCCCCACAAAAAAGTCGGATGCGTTACGCGCGCAAGGACCCCATTAAGAGAATCGAAGAAGAGAAAATGGAATGAACAAAGCCGGAAGAGGGAAAAATAACCCCTTTCACTGCTTCTTCTTGTTCTTCTCGCTCGTCGGGCTCGACGGCGCCCCCGACTTCTCCTTCTCGAACTTCTCGTACTCCTCGCTGTCCTTCCTCTCGGCGTACCACTGCCCCGCCTGCAAGACCAGCACGCCGACCAGCACGAGCGCGAGGATCGTGTTGCTCGCGGCCAGGACCTTGAGGCTGTCCTCGCGACCTAGTATCATCTCGCCGCCGGTCAGCGGGTCGCCGCCCTGCCTGTGGGGGCTCGCCGCGCCCTTCAAGTCGAACTCGGGGTCGTTCCAGGCGCCCGCGGAGACGAGGCGCAGGCCCTTGACGATGTTAGCGACGTAGACGCCGACGCCGATGAGATAGAGCACGAGCGAGGCGCCGTCGAACAGCATGTTGGACTCGGAGGCGCGGAAGAGCTTGATGAAGAAGCCGAGGAAGCCGACGCCGACCATGATGCTGAGCACGCGCGCGATCAGCGGCGGCGACTGGTGGATGAACTTCAGGTGCGTCTCCAGCTGGTCCAGGTACGCGGCCGAGATGGGGTCCTTGGTCCAGAGCAGCGGGAAGTCGTAGGGAAAGAAGGCGAAGAGGATGCCGAGGAAGAAACATGTTGCTGCGGGTTGGTTGATCTGTTAGCGCCCAATTCAAAAGTTCGTCTACGTGTATACTAGGTAGGTAGGTAAGGGTGAGTTGTTAGGTATGCTGTTTGGCAGAGGCTATATTGAAGGATCTAGCTAGTCCTTGTCGCCATCTGTCCTGTTCGATCTCTTGGCGGGGGAGGGGATCACAAAAAGTAAAGATGGATTAAAAGAACACATACGGCCGATGATCATGAAAGTCGCGAACGAAGAAGACCCTCGGTAATCCTTAGACCGGGTGGTCTTGTTCCAATCCACCCACTTCTCTGACATGGTGACGGCGTTGATGGTGGTGCGCGACGAAATGCGACGGGATTCAGCTGCGAGGCTACTTCGAAATACGTAATACGATAGCTGTCGACAAAACTCTGACAGCACAAGACGGGGAGAGATCTAGGGTTCGTTAACTTTTTGCCTGAATTTGAGTCCTTTATTGCATGGAGGAGGAAAAGCTTGTTGAGCTTCCTCTTATTTTGCTCGAAGGTCGACTAAGGAGGTCGCAATTACGTTTCTCGGCGCAGCTGAGGAGAAAGAGAAAATGGTTGCGTTGCAATCTCTGTGAGGCTAACCAGTCCGCTAACAAACCTTAGTTACCTACATAGTACCTAGTACCTCAGCGGTGTGGGGTGCGATAAGAAACCTTGAAGCTGCAATTACGTATTATGATATGGATAACACAATATTATGCATATAAATCATATAAGAGTAATACAAGAAGTCTCACTAGCCCACTTCTCGAACCTCGGAAGCATTGGAGCATTCCATCGCATACTTTGAACTCCGATCCGTTTGAACCTGTTTCCCGATTCTTGTTTTAGCAACAACAGGTTGGTAAACCGTGTAGTCGGAGAACACCATTCGCATATTGGAACACATACTCCCCTACGTCCCAAGAGAGTTGTCGCTATATCAAGCGTGTCGGGAAATATGTCGTTTATGTACCCGTGTTCGATATAGCGCCCGGTCGCATCATTATACATTTCTATTTCCTCCTTGTTCACGCATCGGAAACTACAGACTGCGCACTCGAGGTCGAGCTCTGCCGATAAAAGCAGACTGGTAGGATCGCCGCCTGGAGGTTTTGTTACGATCCTTGCATCGACCAGTTTGATGAGTGAGCAGTATCCTGGACCGATATCCATGAATCTTACACCACCCGTTATTGACGCCCAACTCCAAGACGGAGCGTATCCGTTCCGCCTCGGTGGATTCAATTTGTCGCCGTCGGTTTGCCATAAAAGGTAAAGGAAGATCTTGTCTTTCCATAATCCGGCGAGATATGTGTCGCCGTTGAATTCGCCAAACGTTTTCGCAACACCAGATATAGCCATCAACTTGTCAGATTCTTTAGTGAGCTGACAAGACGTGTATTTCGTGACGATAGCTCTCCAGGCCTTATGGGTAAAGGCATCATTGAGGCCTTGTGGCAGAGGCGCCGTTGAGCTTGTTCTGATTTTGGCCATTGTTAACTTTGGGTAGGCATAATTCCAATTGCCTGTTTGATTTACCCTCTCCCTATCCAAAATCAGGAGCTTCTCTTTGGGTTCGGCTTCACAATGAGTGCATTCCAGACACTCCCAGTAAACCTGGTTTCTTGTGAAGTGAACCAGTCGCCTAGCTAGGAACCGTTCCTGCACGACCCATCCGCGTCTGCTGAGAGGCGCTCTCTCGATTTCGTAATCCCAGATTGATTTGTTATGAATCAGCCACGACCCATTGCTTACATCCCCAGATTGATCGCGTAATCGGAAATTCGCTATGAACGGATACAATATTCTCGTCCTGATCCTTCGTCGGCCGAAGAGGCCCGTAGCCGCTGGGTTGTATGACGAAGAGATCGCCGATATATTGCAAAACGAGTGTCGGTAGATGTCTACCAAGCTACCCACTTCTCGGTGCCAGTCGCTCGTCGAATCTTGGAAGATACAGAGTGAATCGATCCAGATATACCTATATCCTAGGCGGCAGACTAGGAGAATCGCGTCGCGAAAAGCGGGTGACAGTTCGTCAAGGGATATTCCTTCGCGAAGCCGGCTCTCCGTGGTCTTAAGGAGTTGCGTGATCTTATTCGGGTCTCCCCAACGGTGAGATAGGGTCCAGTAATCAGGATAGCTACTTGTCGACATATGCTCAGATGAGGAGCCCGAGCATGACATTTTTCGGCCCCTTTTCTCCTTCTCATGCTGGTTCATGACTTCTTCTCTATCCCTTACAATTATTGTATTGGAGCTGGCATTTGTCACGTCGATGATTCGAGCTGGAAAGAACATTTTAGCCCCCAGATGAAAAGACCTGCAATGCTCATGCTTCCCTTGACATGAAGATATCCAGCCTTGGATTTTCTGTAAGGATTGATTGGATCCTATATTTGGGTCAAGATTATCCCCCAGCCGTACATGTTTCGCTATAGAACCTTTAAGGTCCTGACGCGAAGTTAATTTGCGCAGGGAGACTACATTCTCGTAAGAATATATTTTAAAGGCAGTGTTATTCCCCTGATGGCGGGGGACATACCCTTTAATTCAGCAAGAGGGGCCCAGTTGCATCGGATGCTAAAATGTGTATGATATACGTCCCACCCTCGAACGACGAGGCAAGATATCCTGAACGTAGGTTCTTTTTCGCTGTTCCGATATCCAATAGGTGCGGGCATGTGGCTTTCCCATAGCCATATGCAGAGAAAACAACCAGTGTCTTTGCTTGCCACAAAATCTTCATATTCTTGATGATGGTCTCGCACTCCTTCGAAGCTCAATATACAGGTATTGCATAACGTCCACTTGAGACTGGAAATGTTAGACATAGAGCGCGAATTGAAGCGAAAATGTATGTATTAAGAAAAATTCGTCCGTATAAGGCGTTAAGGAGAAGAAAAAGTCTTGCGACGAAGTGATTAAGCAGACTGATGTCTCTCGGCGCCTTATAACCTGGCTCACAGCCACGATCCTTACGGTGGGTCAACAAAAGAATCGTCAAATACCCCTTTTTACACCAAAACTCATTATGTAGGTAAATGAGTAAGCAGGTAATAATTATATATGCAACGGGTCTATGTAGGTGCCCTATGTCCCTCATTTACCTATCTATTACTTCTCTGCCCCGATCAGATCCCCCGTTTCAAATTCTAAGGGTGCGTACCGATACACCATTCTCGCAACAATTCAACGGACTAATCTCTTAAACGGATGAGCCTCGGTGTTGAATACCCACTCATCTAGACTTATGAGATCCGGTTCACTAAAGATCAAATAGAAGTATCTATAATTTCATTTAGCCACAGTTGGAACAGTTAGGACGAAGACAAGAGCGTGGAAATCAACTTACTTCAGCGTCTCACCCATCCAGAAGCTCTCCATTGAATCTGTTTTCGGAGGGTTGCTAGCGACAGTCACGTCACTAAGGGCGGCATTCGCCAAAGGGGTCTTCGTGTTCTTTTCAATTGCCTCGAACATAGCCCAAGCTGACTCAAGAAGGTCCGGACGACCAGTAATCCGATACAGAATGAAGACGCTTTCTATAGCCTCTGGTCGCAGGATGTATTTAGCCTGGGTTATCTGCGTAAATCCTTTTGGAAGCCTCGATTTTGAAATAATCTCGTCCGCCTTTTCCATGTTAGTTAGGTCTTTCTCACCCGCCTGATGCAGAATGGCTCGCTTCCACAAAGACTCGTCCCATTCGCATTCCGTTGCTGATTTACAAGGGGCCATGAAGAATGTTTCGGGCATGATTCCCAATGGCATCGCTTTATAAGCCCATATACAGCCGTCTACAAGTTTTCTGGCTGCTTCCAGATGTTCAGCTTTCTCAAACAACTTCCCTCCGACAGCTAGCATCCCTCCGGCAAAGCAGACCAAATGTTGGCCTTCGTGTTCGAAATCTAATGTCATCTTATCATTCTCCTTCACGGTATGTAGAGTGCCCGATATGAGTATGTCAGCCGTATCTGGAACCATAGGTCGGAAGAAGTTGTGCTTGGTAGTGGTCTTCATCGAATCCTCGTACATGTTCTGGTAAGAGGGTAGAAGTCCACCCATGAGAGCATACATCTTAGGCAGATATTCGTAGGTACTATCTGCTAAAGCGCCCAGCCCGAATGTGTTATCGAAGGCGAATTGTTTCTCTCGGGGATTAAGTGTAAAAGGCCACATGCCAGGCAACTGAGTGCTGCTTTGTTGTTCTTCGAAAACCTCTCTGACCCTCTCCGTGGCATCGAACCACTTCGGGTCGCCAGTAATTAACGATAGGCGCGTGAATTCCATGCAGAATGATCCAACCTCTGCTAGTAGTGCTGCCTCATTCGCGACCTGTTGCCCCCCTTGAGAAGCATAATCGAAATCCCAGCGAGTGATGGGCATGCGATTCGGCGTGTCAAACACCTTATAAAGCATATCGCCGACTTCCCTAGCTTTACGAAGTAGCCGCTGGTCGCCGCTCAAATCGTAAGCCGAAAGAAAACCTCCCAGATAGCGGATAGTGGTTTCGAAAGCATTCACGGTTTCGAGTGAACTGATGGTGAAATTAATATCAACCACGGCAGCAACCGCTTCTTCAAACTCTTCCCGCAACGACATGATCCACAATGTATCCAAGCTGTCGACTAATGTGGCTCCCCAACCTCCGAATGTATCTTTGGATTTGCCGCTAATAGGGGCAAGCTCATCACTCATAAATGCCTTGGCTTTGTAAGAGTCCCAGCAGCGAATGAACGCTTTCTTGACGGCTTCTTGCCGTTGTTTTCGGGTAGCCGCATCTTTTGGTGATTCTTTGCCGAAGTTGGTCTGAATCTTGGGGAGCTTGCGTGGTCTTCCTGTCGGTAAAGGTTTCATATCCTTGACAGGATAATGTGTGGGCAATCTCCGCCAGAAATAGCCCTCATCGTCGATCACGTTTTTATCAAAGTGAGGCCTTCGGGCTGATCTTCCGGCACCGGCCCAACTATAGATGTCTCGAGTTGTCCCGGAATAGAATAATAAAAGTAGCGCTACAGCGATCCCGAACGGGAGCCAGAAGCGTCGTCGCAATATCATGATGAGTAGCCTGAATAGCTCAGGTGTTTGAAATATCAGGATAAATCCAGATAGAGGGAAGCATCAGAGAAAACATCGAAAACGAGTGACAGTAGAAGCAAAGTTTGAATTGATAAAGTTAATGAGAAACAAAAGCGGGTTTCACATCTGATATTCGCAACTTACATGTACGTCGTTTCCCCTGAAGATATTTGCAGATTGAGGTAATATTCCCCTCCCCACGCGGGTACGTACTTGATAATTAAGATTAAAAGTGATTCGGGTTCTACGTCATAAAGTTTACATGTAACTTTATTTTTTTTTTGACTCGATACGTGCTCAGGCACTTGCCACGTTTTGTTGACAGTTTTATGTACTGGCATAAGTCGGAAGTTCCTGAGTTTTGATCCACCAAACCTGTTTTGCCAAAACACTATTTGTATCTGAATTTTGGCATCAAAAACCTTGATTTCTCAAGTGCTCTCTCATAAATAAAACATCCTAGGAATTTTCTATCATTCAAATAAAAACTCGGTCATTACAATCTCATTGACGATGAAATGACCGTGTTACTGTGTACCTACTCTGGGACGCGACGATAACTGACATGGAGTTTAGCATCCCCAACGATAGAGCTACAACGTCTCGCTTAACTACTACGAAATTGACGGTTCACCTTATTTATATCCAAACTATTCTCTATTAAATGAGATCATGGGTATCCCCGAGTATGGGTACAAGGCAGTACAAACGGGACGATGTCCATCTTGTTCCACGACAATCGCCTAATGCCATTCCGCATATTGTCCGAAGATCGTATTCCGTGTTCTATTTCATTCAAGTGGCTTAGACCCTCGAGGACCTAATAGTATTTTCGCGCAAATCGAGGAGAACTACGACGCCCGAGAAAGATGACTATCTTCTCACCCCGACCCAGGAAAAGGCAACACAGCAACTCCCCTAAAACCATCATCACTCTTCGCCCTGACACCAAATACAACATCGTCCTTACTCAGTGACAGCATGGCCTGTATAGCGGGTCCAACGTCAAGCACCCCCGTCCAAAACGGCGCGCTCGTCGGTCTCCACACTATCTCATACCCACCGCCGTACTCTGGGTTCGGCGGGTCCCAGTAGAGCGTCGTGTTTGGGCTTAAAGCCGTTGTATCGACCCTCACGTTCCGCGGGGCACCAGGACCCGTCGCCAGGCTCCACAATGCCGCGCCATTGACCCTCGCAACGCGCGCAACGAATTCGTAGTCCACGAACTCGGGCAGGTCGCCGTACTGCTTGCCAGTATCATCGATGCGCACATCTTGGTGCTGGTGCGCGAAGTCCTCATGCGGCTCTGTAAATCGCGCCGCCGGGTACCCGGCCTCGAGGAAGGGCCGGTGGTCGCCGCCTCGCAGGTAACGGTCAAGTCTATAAACAACCGATACGTTCATCCCCGTCGCCTCATTCTCGGCGACCTCTTTGACGAACCGGGCTAGTTGGCGTGCTGGACTGTCGTTTTCACCACCGATCGTCAGGCGACTTTCGCGTGTAGTACTGTTTTCTACCGTGAGAGGCGGTAGGCTCTGCGCGAATAACCGGATCACGTACGGGTCGTTACGTTCCCCGTCAGTGCCGCCTTTGGGGGAGCCTACGATGTCGTTTGTGAACATGCCTTCGACCTTGATGTCACTATCAGCTTCACTGTAGCTTTCTGACTCTGGATTATGTATGAAGGGAAAGACTTACGTTAACTCTCGGCGTAGCATTAGCGTACTTCTGCGCCAGATACTGCGCTCCATACAGTCCTTGCTCCTCGCCGGCGACCGCCACAAATGCAATACTCGCCTTTGGCCTCGGGTATTTCGTCTGCGAAAAGACCCTCGCCAACTCGAGCGAGATCGCCACTCCCGAGGCATCATCATCCGCCCCGGGAGCATCATCTTCGTAGTTTAAAGGGTCAGACACCCGCGAGTCGTAGTGTCCACTTACGACATATAGCCTGTTCTCCTCGGCCCCATGAAGCATAGCAACGACATCGCTGATCAGCGTCGGAAACAGGATCCGGTCGCCGTCTACCTCCTGTATGTATCCCACCGTCTCGACGGTTAACCGGCCGTCGCTCGCATTCGCGTACCGTTGGAACTCCGAGTGGATCCAGTCTCGCGCCGCGCCGATCCCGCGCGTGCTGGAGTTCTGGGTCGACAACGTGTGGCGTGTGCCAAAGGAAACCAGTTTTAGAACCGTAGCCTCGATGTTGGCCGGATCGACTTCCGCGAGTATAGATGAGAGGTCCTCGGACGGCAGTTGCGGCTCGTTGGTGACACCGATTAAGTTGGGCGGCCAGCTAGATGCCTCGCAGGACAATGCGGATGGCGCGTCAGCTCTAGATTGTAGGAGCACGGCCGCTGGGTTGGGAGATGTGAGAGTTAGTGGTGTTGCGCTGCCGAGGACCACAAGAGCAAGGATGGTAGAGATGGTGAGTTCCATGACGGCGGTGATACGCCCACGTATTTCAATGTGAAATGAAGCACCGTAGACCTAGATCACTCTCCTTAAACCGTAAAAAGAAGGGACTAAGTCTCTGCTTATAATCTCAATCCCTCAATCCTAGTTTAATCGCGCGTAAATTGACGAAGAAGCGATGCCGACACACCATTCTTCGTCTCGATATCATCATCACCACCGCATCGTCTCGGCTGCATCCGAGGTGGGAGGTTGCATGCATACAAAGCAAAATATCATAGCTCCTCTCCAACTTTCTTCCCCTCGTCGTACTTCCAAGACTCTTAGCTATCTCCCATATCCTAGGTAGGTACCTTACTAGATATCTAAGCCTGCTTGATAGCACGAATTATCCAATCATATCAAGCATACAAGACGTCTTCCCGTCGTAACGGACCGCGAGCTTGTTTTAATGCTCGAGTGTATTTCTTGGAGCGACGGGGGCAGGCGGCGTGCGTGTCTTGGCAATAAAATCACCTATCTTGATCTGGAAGCTGCTGTGTCCAGCATCTGTGGGTGAGGGGGCGTACATGCTGCAGTTTATTTATTGATGATCGGCATCCAGATCGCACGTTTTCCGGACGAGGACTTGACGATAATTGATCTTGGCCTTGGTCCTTTGTGTCTACACAGTTGAGGAGAAACTGCTCCAGACATTCGGGCTCTAGATAGTTAAGAAATAGTCACTCGCATCTAAGAATCAGAAAAGCAGGTTCAAGTAATTGTCAACGGCGGTAGTTTGCATCCTAGACGCACGCACCTCATATATTAACTGAATTACCATTAATACACGAGGCCTGTTTCCAACTACCTCCATTAGACATTCTTGCGCCCCCCTCTTTCCTTCGCTTTCCTCCATGGTATCATTTCGTGCCTGAATCCTGCTCTAGCAATGCTCTGCGCAAAGATGGGTGAACATTGTGGGAAATCTCAAAATAAAAAAGCAAACAAAGAACAAAAATGCGAGTAGTGCGAGGCTACTGTGATATGTGGTATCAAATACCAAGTTCAACATGGGTTGGTTAACTTGACTAAAAAATACAATGAGGGAAGGGTACGATGGATGGGCGGCTGTTTGAAGTATCATCTCGGACGACCGTGATAGAACGACAAGGAGAGCTCGCTCATTCATCTCGTTGGGGGAAAAAATTCGCTGTGCGATGGATAAAAAGGAGGGAAATCGTATCGTATAGTCGTACATCTCAAACGCCATGCTTGGACATCGTGATAGGAACAACCAGTGTTGTTTCGCCAAGGGAGTAAAGACAAAAAGCCTCCGCCCAATTGCTTCCGGGAAAATGAATAATGATGCCAGGTAAAAAAGTCGTAGGAAGCAATGACCTCCTGGGTTTAACCCTAAGTGCATTAGCTAGCATATCTCAGAGTCCGTGTAGTCATAAGTCTACACTGCTCTCTTGTTGAGACCGCACAGGCCTTTTTAAAGTCAACTGGCTGAGGGAAAGCGTCCTCGCCGCCTTCTTTCTTGAGCCATCTACTTCTTCATCCCGTAGCTCTTCGCCGAAAGCGCCGAAACCGTGGCCTTCCTCCTGTGGAGTTTTGAATGCCTCCGACTCGGTGTCAGCACCAGCACTCAAGGGCTCGTCATCGTCATGTTCAAAGGCAGAGACGGTGGAATAAGTGGTAGACGCAGTTTCGAGCTTAGGTGAAGTCCGACATATGAGATTGAGTCGGTGACTTAGCCTGGTCACGCGAGCTTCTAACGCCTGCCGCGCGTCTCGTTCAGTATCGACGAGGGCTTTGAGTGTTGTATACTGATCCGTAGCAAGAGCTCCCGCATTCTCCCCTAGTAGTGCAGGCAGGCTCGTCGCACCACGAATTGTCGAATTTGATGTGGGCCTTCCAGGTGGTTGTCTCGTCGAAGGGGGCACTGATCCAATGAATGTGTTCCCGTCTCCGAACGACTCATTCGACTGCTGGGAGACGCTGTATCTCGATGTGTGTTCAACATCCTGCGAAGATGACTGATACCCAGACGTTTCAGCCACCGCCGCGCGCGAAGGCGGCGGATAAATCACTGACTGAGCTACGGATCCTCGAGGCTGTGCTTGGTCAGGGGTGTCAGGCACGTAATTGTTGACACCTGGCACAACCTGGAACAGCTGAGATATTAGCTTCTCTAGTTTTTGATTGTGGACTTCTAGAGCAGCTATGCGATCTTCCAGGCTAGCCGCTTGTGTAATCTTCATTCCGACCATTGGGCCGAAATTGAAGGGCTGTGGCGGCGTCTTCGGCGGAAGCTGCTCGGGCGGTTCTGCTGGGGATTCCGGCTGTGTTCCCGCATCCGTACCCACGATGGCATGGTCATCGTTATTGACAGTCGACGCATTAGGTGATAAAATAGGTTGGTTAAAACTCTCCCTCCAATAACGAATCTCATCGCTACGCTTTCGGACATTCGTGTGACTGATCGCAACATCAGTAAGCTGCGACAAACTCCTCGATCTCCGACGATGCGTGCGACTATCACTAGTAATAGCGCGACCGATGTCCTCGGGATCTTCCTGCCTCGATAGATTACCACCACGCCCATGAGTACTAGCCGGCCTAGGAGAAAGACCTATAATCTCTCCATCAAAGTCCTTGATTCTTCCGCTTAAGATCCTGTTAGACGACGCAGCTCTCCTTCGAATTAGCGCGGGATCCGCTTGCAATGAGCTGCGAGCGCTAGTGATCGCCATCATGTCATCGGGACCAATCGAATGCGATCTTAGCGCTCTATCGTAATCAGTAACTGGCAGCGAGACCGACCGTTTAGACTCAGTCTCCTTGTGAACTTGGTGTGAAGCTGATGCATCCTAGGAACACCGCTGTTGTTAGCGACAGTCGTTCTCTAATAGGTTTGGGAATAAAACACGGCAGTCATGCGCACCTCTTCGCCCGATCCTGTATACCGACCCTCCGAAATAGAAGCACCGCCTAGACTCTTCTTTTTTCGCTTGAAGAGCCTACCTAGCGTAGATTTCAGCGTCGATCTCTTCCGTTGAGGTCGATCTACGTCTGTGCCGTCGCTGACGGTAGAATATCTTAGGGTGGTAGGACGGGCAGTTCTTTGCTGCCGCGGACTCGCAGAAGAATGAGAAGCTTGGCTCGGCCCGGAAGGGGTCACAGAATCTATATTATCCGCCTGTACTACCTCGGAAGGTATGTTCTCAGCTATAGAGGCGGGCTGGTCCTCGGTGCGGGACTCGGTTTGTTCTGGTTTGCCTTCATGAGCTATCCCATGGCCAGGCTGTCTAATGGGAAACTCGTCGTCCATCGGCATAGGGCCACTAATTCTACCACGGAGTGAACTCGGATCAGGCTGGGCGGTTTTCGGTCGGCCGAGGTTGGTGGAAGGCCTGAAGAGACCCATGATGTCTCTCGGAAAGCTGGAGCTGGAAAGGCGCGATTTACGAAATGATAATTTTCAGGGTTGATAGCGAACGACTAGAAAGATAGTAGAAGTATGATAAATATGGGAGTTTTACGGCGGCCGGCGATCCATTTCCTGCCTCTCACAATATGATTCGGTCGAATTTGCAACTGGTCACTTTGCTTTTGGGAAAGAGATCAGTCTCTTGCATCTCACATCGCCAGCAATGCGGCTCGAAAGGACGTGTGGACGTGGACGTCGATATGCGAGTCGAATGGATGAGAGGGGACCCCCTCCTGGATTGTCACTGGACGAGAGAGTGGCGAACAGAGACAAACACAAGGAAGGATAGGTTATGAGGGCGCGGAGCTAGTTTATGGGATGGGGAATACGACAGGTCCTGGGGCCACTACAACGCATATTGCAATGCGTTCCTGCGAAGGCGGACCATAGTCTCCATAAACTGGTACGTATGTAAGTGAGCGAGTGGGATGGCAAGGTTCCAGAAGCTCTGGGGACGAGGAGCGGATGGGCGGTAAACATATGGATAAGTCTCGACCGATGAAACGAATCAATGCACATAAACGGCGAGCTCTGAAGGGTCAGAAGGGTTTACTGCAGGTTTACTGCAACAATGTCTAATGAGATGATCGGCTGTAAGTGGCAGAAGCAGCAGAAACAGAAGAAGCTAGGGCCGCAGAGTGACCTCAAAGAGGATTAGGAGGAGACCAGGATAGGTCGGGATGACGAAGGACCAGGGCCTTGGAATGCTCTGATACTGGTTGGCCCCCAGGGGTCCTCGTAGTGGACTGAACCATGCTCGGACCTTGTAGCTGCAGGACGGTCGAGGGTCTGTGTGTTCATCTGTCCGAGTGTTGGCTGAGATTGTTTCGATGGTCCATGGTCTATGGCGTGTGCGTTATTGCGGGCATAAGACGAACGAGGGGGCAATGGCTGTGACGAGTTTGAGCTCTTTTCTGACATCGTATCCAAGTACGTAAACTGTCTCAGATACTATTGTATCATAGAAAGACCACAGATTCCAAGTTGGCCACATCAATGTAAGGGTATATGCACGTTGACATTTACATACTCGTAGTAAATGGTGTATTATGAAAGGTTCCAAGTTTGTAAACATTTAGACAGAGCACTAAGATAAACGATTAAGCGAAACTTGGCTACTAGGCTGGTAGCTTCCCAGCCTGCCAGCCTGCTAGCTCATACTACATAGTAGGTATGTAGTATGTAGCTTCCCTGCAGGATGACCGGATAGATGCATATATACTTGGAAATGGAAGTCGGCCGGGAAGCCACCTGGGTACCTTCTGCCATATCTGGAAGACTCAAAGTCTGAATTAGACTAACTTTCCAATAGCACCCTAGAACCCCCACCCCTAGGCTGCCCTAGTAGCGAACGGAGTCGATTTCCGGTTGGGGCTCCACCACCGTTTCGCCTTAATAGACATCTTAATACTCTTATATATACAAACCAAATAGCAACCTCAACTATCACTTCGAATTTTTTCAAATTGTCAATAAACTGGTAATGTCGGTCAACGTATAGGATGACCTGAAAACCGATCCCGAAACAAACAACGGGGAAAATATTGTACGACCAGTTATGGATATCATTAATTTGAAGCCGTGAATATCGATTGATAACTTGGCGTATTTCAACAATCTGGTGATGTGTAGGTACCAACATGCCGAATTCGATTACGATGCACGTACAAGCGGAATAGTAAAACATCATGGCGTCTTTCAGCCACGCCATCCTAAACGACAAGAGTATCACGCTCAAACGGGTTAATAGCCAACGTACGCAGTACAGAGCTTGAACATCGTCTATAGCGAAAAATGATAGCTCAAATGTTGTCGAATTTTAGTTCTGAGGTTACCAATTAGCTGCATAATCTATTGTCATCAATCGGACCCTTAACCCTCGACATCACGAGGGAATCTGGCCCGATTACCCGCCCAGCTGAACCATAAGTTAAAGCACAGAATGCGGTTCTAAGTAATAACGAGTCTAGCGACCTACGCCGGACTGGTTATACTGGGGCGACATACTCCATTTTCGTCCCTTTTATTTTGCACCACGTTTCTCTCCGCTCGATCCGTTGACTTATCTATCTCAGACGGAAAACCGCCAAGCGTAGGTTCGGTACCACGCACGACTGTGGAAGGAAGCCTTGATACACCATCACGCGAACCCATGGAAGCACGCCGCGTTTGATCTGCGTGAATATCTGGGGGAACCGAAAATCCTATCGGCTAGGATATCCCTTAATAAGATCTCCAGAGCAAACGTTATTGCAGCAGAGACTGCGTTATTCAATAGCATCGAAGTTGAGACATCAACAACTATGCCGTTGGCACCACTATATTGGTCCCATACTTGAGCCGACACCGGCACAATGCTTAACGGAGCCCGCGTATTCGTTGGCGCTACTAGATGTATGTATGTCTCTGATATTCTGGGCGAGTAAAAGCGAAGCAGAGAACAGAAGCGAGGACTCGCATATCCAATCCGTATCTCCTAACTCTTGCATCTAGTTGCTGCATTGGACGTTGTCGAGCGCTACCTACCTTGCATACAGCAACGTACTGCATGCAGACTATTACGAAGCTAACCAAATCTAAGCAAATCCCAAGAGTCGCAGAATTTCTCCGAACCGCTAATTCATGCAGGTACACCGTCGAACGAGTGTTTTTGGTTACAATGGGGGGGGGGGAAGGGCAGGGGAGGATGCTATGCAATGCGCGAAGCTGTATGAAGAACTGTAAGAAGCTGCCTAACCTGCGAATATCGAGTTCCAGTCCGCCGAGACAATGTGAAGAAACTTCATTTTCCCCTTCTCCCTTTCACCTCTTGAAGATCAATTTCTTAATATCGAGTTTCCGCCGTGATGGTAAATCGGGTGTGCTCTTTCCCCTTCCTCGGCAAGTTCACCAGCCGGAATATTTTTAATAGATAAATTACCATACACAAGGTTCGTCCTTCTTGTATTAGGTCTAGCCCTGTGGATCACCAACGGTCCGCCCCCGCTACGAAAAGAGTTCTGAAACAGCAAGGATATGGATATTACGCCGGTACGTACATACCTGTCCAAGTATATCAATTCTAGCCTCCATATTTTCAAAAATCACATATCGGTCACAGCGCAAAATCGTCTGATATTCCTTCAGCTCGTTCTAATTTGGACATTGACAGCATGAATTCTGAAAGATGCATTGAAGACAACCGGGGGAGACCTTGGCTTGTCATTGCAATGACGACTCCGTTAACCCACCGATACGGTCCAAATATTGCATTCCATGTCCCTTATTGCGATACAACCCGCTACCAACCCCTTACTCTCAATACATCTGAACACATCTTGTCAATACCATTACAACAGGTACTGTGTGAAGGCCGTTGGGGGCCGTTGGTGAGGCCAACAGAAAATCTACGATATGCAAGGTAACCTCTTCTCAATAAAATTCAGACAACATCAACCAGGAAATCTCAACGACTGGACGTTCGGCAAGTATCGTAGAGTCGCATCCGTGTGTTCTAGTCACTTATCGTTTGCCGTGCTAAAACTTCGGATGAATGCTCCTTCAATTCGCCAGTCCCAAGGGACTGAATATTAAGGTAGAGTCTGTTCGCCTCGGCCAATGGATTTCGACCGCACCTGTTCGTCACATATCACGTCTCTATCGAAGCCGAATCAATATAGCGAAGATCGGCATTGTTCTCCAGCCATTCCATCCAGTTGTTGAGAAATTTGCTGCCTCTGGTGCCGAAATCAGTAAATGACTTCTAGAAACATGTGAAACGACCAAAATCGTCTAAGCGTGAGCCGTAGTGGGGACGATGAATTGAAGATTCACCCAGATGAGACAGGTACCTATGTCTACCTATCATGGCGAGATACGGTTGGCAAGGATAAGGGCAAGGGGAAGGATAGCTGGGAAGTAAAGGCACAGTAAATAAACATACCGACGAACAGTCTCCGAATCACCCACGACGACGAGTGACCGTTTAGGCCTTGTCATTGCAACTAACCCAATTAGCCTCACTTCTCTGATGTAACCTCGTAATATCAATTGGTGCTCAAAAACTCACCATTGAGCCGACGCTTCTCGCTCAAAAACCCAACCTCCCCCTCGGAATTGCTCCGTACGAGACTAACGATCACCGCTTCTTTCTCTCGGCCCTGGAATCCGTCCACGGAGCCGAGCTCGATGCCGGGGAAGGCTTCCTTCAGGGGAGCCAGCAGGCCGAGCTAGGAGCGTAGTTAGCGTACCAAATATCAGACGATAACTAAGCATTGAGAAGAAATGAAAAAAGGACACCTAGGTAGATGGCTAGAGTAAATGAGTGAAGAAATACGAAAACGTACTTGCGCATTGTAAGGCGTAACAACAGCGACATCCTCCGGTCTCACACCAGCATCGACCAACTTCTTAACATGCTGCCGCACCAGCGCAGCCTCCATCTCGTTGCTCTTGCTCTCACCAAACAGCGACCTAGCCGTAGCCTTCTTCTTTCCCTTCTCCCCATCCTTATCCTTATCCTTTCCCTTGGCCTCCTTATCTTCCTCTTCCTCGTTCTTCTCCGGGTAATCCCCTCCTTGGGTATCTATGAAAATGACCGGCTCGCTCGTATCTTCCGTATCTTCAACCCCGTACTCCAGATCCTTGAGCAGCCTCTCCTTCACCGCGTCCGCGGCTACCAATTTCCCCTCGTAGAGCTCGTCCGACGGGAACCGCATGATCTTCTCGTGCATCCGGTACTGCGTCGTCAACATCCTCTTGATCCCCTCGCCATGTAGCTTAAGCAGTCTATCAAACAGCGTAGTCTCCAAACTAGCCCCCTTGATCACATCCCCCTCCCCGCCTTCCTTCTCTCCCTCATTAACCCCTTTCCCCTTCGTCTTACCCTTCCCCTTCGAATTCGTCGACTTGACCGTCGGCGGCAACTGCAAATGGTCGCCAGCGCACACAGCCTTCCTAGCCGCCAGCAGCGGGACCCAGCACTGCGCCTCAAGAGCCTGGCTCGCCTCATCAATAATCACGACATCGAACTCCTCACCCTTTAACTGGAAGCCGCCGGCGCCGTGCAGCGTCGCCAGCACGACCTTGCTGCCGCCCACGAGCGCGCCGACGCACCGCCGCTCGCGCTCGCGGTACTCCTTGCGCAGCTCCTTGAGGTCCGCGTACACGGCCCTGCGCTCCTTGCCGCCGCGCGCCTTCTTGATCGCCGCCTGCTTGGCGTCCATCTCGGCGCGCACGTCTTTCACGATGAGCCCGGCCTCCGAGGTCTGCGTCAGCACGTCGAGAGAGTGGCTTAGGACGGAGGGGAGTAACCGCGCCGGGTGCCCGAGGCGCACGATAGGCACGCGGTGCGGGGACAGCCGCTCGACGATGTTGTCGACGGAGATGTTGGACGGTCCGCAGACGAGGACGCGCTGGTTGCGCTTGACGAGCTGCAGGATAAGCTCGATGAGCGTGTGCGTTTTGCCTGTCTGTTGAACTTAGTCTCGGGCCTTGGTCACCTTTACCATTCGAATAGGGGACAGGAACAAGGTAGGTAAGTCTCAAGCAGCACTCACCCCAGGCGGCCCATGAATCAGCGCGATCTCCCTCGACCTAAGCGCGAACCGAATAGCATCCTTCTGGGACTCATTCAAGCCCGGATCAAACCACTCCACCTTCCCCTCGCCCACCTCCTCATCCCCCTTCAAATCATCCGGCACCGGCGACGGGCTCGCCAGCCCGAACAGCACCCTCATGAACCCAGAGTACTCCGCCTCGCCCATATCCCGCATCTTCTCCATAGCCTGGTTCATGCGGCGATACGTCACATCATCCGCGAGCTTAACCAACCAAACCCTCCCGCCGAACCCCGCCGCATCCTCCTTATCCTCGTCCACGGCAACCGCGATCGCATCCCTCTTAATCCTAACCACGACGCCCTTAGCACCTTTACGCTCGAGGTCCTTGACCTCGCGCTTCTTAGCGCTACCCGCGGGCTGCTCGGCCACGAGCACGATATCGCCCGTGCGGACGCCGTGCTCGGGAAGCTCGCCTGCGCCGGTGGTCGCCGCGTCGGGGCCGAGCTCGAGCACGGTCCTGCCGCCTAGCCCCGTGCGCTGCGAGGACACGGTCAGGTTGGTGACGGCGAGGCCGGCGCGCTGCAGCGACGCGGGGCTGGCGCCGCCGATCAGGCCGCTGGTCTCCTGGATCTCGCTCTGCAGCTCGGCGTCCAGAAGCGCGAGCTGCGTCCGGGCGAAGGCCGGGACGTCGACGGATTTCATGGCTGCGGGGGGCTTACATACATAGGTTGGTTGGTTGGTGAGGCAGAATCGTCTTTGTAAGCTTATTCTGAGGTGGTCTAAGGCTTCGGTGATGTGTCCGTGAAAATGTTGTAAATCCGACGAACGTAGGTAAGTGTTGGATTAGGTTTCGTAAGTGAAATATGCAATATGTAAGTTGTGAGTGGTGAGGTCTCGAAGTTTAGTGGAGTAAAGCCTTATATCATGTACTACCAAATTCTATCGTAATCCATAGTAGTATCACTGATTGAATCTTGCAAGAGCAATTGAATTATATTCAATTATGTACCTATTCATAAGATATATCTTACAGCATATACAATTATTATCATGGTCATAAATTCCAACCCGCTGTGTAGCTTAACTACTACCTAGATGTGACACTCGAAGGTTGTGTGAATATGACCACAAATAAACTGACAACAATAATGGCACACGCAACTATTGATACTATCACAATTGTCCCCCTAGATGCTGGGAACTTCCCCTTGATCACCCATTGCTGGCCTTGGTAATATCTGCGATACCCCAACAGCAGAATTAGTATAGATATGCCTATAAATGTTGCGCCTAGAGGCTTTCCTATACGGCGGATGGTTTCGGAATTGGGATCGTCTCCGGTGTCTATCGAAGTATTCAGACGGAATAATTGGGTGATGGCTATTCCGATAGATGCGAAGGAGAGTGATGTTCGAAGCCAAGCAAGAAACGTTCGTTCTAATTTCACTCTATTAGCTTGCAAGGACATAAGGGCAAGCAAAGAAGAGACAATAGTAATTGGACATACCCAAGGCTAAGTGGTCCCTAGCTACACTTCCCTTGTTCTCCAGCTCTACCGACCACAAGCCGCTAAAGCAATGCTTTAACCAGCTCTTCTCATCCGGGCGATGACCTGCGCCGTTCGTGCCGTTCGTCGCGTTCGTCGGGGTGTTGTCGGTACCCGATTGTTGCGCGGGCCGCCTATTCCTCGGACTGGGCGAAATCCGCGTGCCCTGGTAGTTCGGCGTGTTGTCGCGCGCGTTTGTGATACTAGTCGTCTCGTCCGGACAATCGTCATCGTCGCGCCCCGACAGACGCTGGAAGTTTACGCTCATTCTCGGACTGCGACCTGAAGCTTGCGAACCGATCGTATCGGCGCGTTCTCTAGCGGTCTAGAAATTGGAAAAATTATCGCGTTAGAATTGTAATTGAAGATATGTAGGACTCTGTACTCTGTACTCTGGAATCAATCCAAGAATGCAAGGGTTGATTGTAGGTAGTCTAAGACTGCTACACCTGCATTTCTTTTCTTTTTTTGGCCAGAAAACCAAAAAGCGACACACGGACCAAAGAACAACTCCGATTACGATATGCAGACGAACCTCGAGAATGCCATTGAGCCTATCTTGGGAAGATAACCTCGACAGTGAGAGGTCTGGTACCGGCGAAGATCCTCGCAGGTAGGGAGCAGAAGGTCCCACCGGCTGCATTGGAGACCCGGGAGCCATTGACGGAAATTTTGTCAGAGAGGGCAGAGAGCGGACTCGCTCTATCGTTCCAACTGATCGTACGGGAAGTCAATCCGATGCCATGCAAGCGCAAAGGTTAACGGGCTGGGCATGTTTGGCACCTGGGCATTCCATGGTGTTTTTGTTAGCTTTGGCAAGTCTATAATTGGTGCGAATAAGTTTAGCTTTGCCGCCGTTATTCAGCACTACGCGCTACGTCATTAGCTTCCGCAGTTGCAGGAACTGTTCTGAGCTACCCAGAATGCGACTTCCTGAATATACCCAGGTAAGCATTTATATGCGAATTGAGTTTATCAATTTTCTGTAGCTTCAACCGTGTAGTTTACCTACGTTCTCTTAACTGAGCAAATCCTAGCGTATCAAATATAAGATCACTTCATCTTTACGACTTGGTTACTTGCCTTAACAGTTTGTCATATCCATCATTTACTAATATCGCTGTAGCAACTCGGGGCATCGGCATGGTAGATGAACTAATAAGATAACCTTGGAACGCTTCTCCTTTTTATCTGCACCCGTCTCATGTCTGTCTTCATTCAGGACACCTCAGCTGTTATTATCTTAAGCTATGTTGATATACAGAAGTCAATCGAAGCTGTCTTGTCGCAGTCGTTTAATATCCAGCTTCCCTCGAGCTTCACAAGACAAGCTACTGCAACAGAAATTCCCAACCCAATAGCACCAGGTAGTCAAAAGCGCCCGCCGGACGACAGAAGCCGGATCTTCAATATCAAACTGAGATTTCTATATTACCTAGTACCTAGCCTATTAAGATTCGTAAGGGTTCATGTCTGGGTCAATAAGGGTGAATCATAGTAACAATAGCGCTGACACTTATTCGAGGTAAAGTTGAGTTATCCTCGTTGTATCCACTCGACACGTTGGCAGTTACGCAGAGCATCTGAGAGGAATGCTAATGCCAACTACTCCATTCATGGGCGACGTCCACGCGTCGCTATATCTCATGGATTCTCAACGTATACCTTCTGTTAGGTTCTCGTCCATGCGATAAATGGCATTAATCAACCTTTCATGATCGATCAAGTTTCAACGCCTTGGTTGGCGCTAGCCCCCATAAACAGATATCTTGCAGATGTCCTCTTAGGCAAGATGGCCATAAGGACAAGGGGGGACAGAATCCTCGAATTCGGTCTAGAACATCATAGATTGGTCGGACACGCTTACTGATGAACTGGACGAGAGGTCAGCCTATGGTCAACTTGGTCACACGGACTTTCAAGACTTTTGTATACCTACGATAACTAGGCATATAATCTGACCCTTCATTCAGCCCTAAGCAATGCAAAATATGACCCCCAAGGGACTAACAAGTGGCCAGAATAAGAATCCGGGGGCCGACTCAACCAACGGAGCTGAAAATGATCTGATCCGATCAAATGATAGATCTTACTTGGCTCGCCTCAACTCAGCTAGTGCACGTTTTGCCGCGCGCGATTCGGACTCCAACTTATTGACATCACGATACTCGCCCAGAGATCACGAGCGGTAGTCTCTCTATCATATTTCCGCCTTATTCCATCCGCAGGGTCCGAGCCTAGCCTCTTGTCCCCTTCAAGCAAGCCGGCACGGAAAGGCAAGAACAAGCGGGCCCGAAGACCCGGTCTTGCGTGTCTGTCTCAGACACATCTTAAACCACCCCCCTCATGAAAAAGCTTGTCTTTGTCTCTCTCTGCCTAGTACGGTCTCACGTAGTACTGGGCTAGAAGCCTCGTGGCGTCGATGGCACAAATAACCCTGGGTTATCGGCTCATGTCTTAGATCTTAGGCTCGTCGGGCTAGGCTCTTGTATACGTTCTTCTGGCTCTCAAGTGCTGAGTTATACGTGCGTAAATAATTGGGGGAGGCAGTATACCAAGCCCAAGGTTATAATCTATCGATACTCGGCAGAGGACTAGCCCTGTGCGCTCCTAGCTTGAGACAGACACCGCCTTCGCGTGGATATTATAGGGAATATGATGTGGCGCTCTGGCTTACAAGATTCGTAAGCCTGATACGTTAGACTGGCGGCCTGATGAGCGCTACTAGCGAACTGGCGGGGATAGGCGGCTACGACCTGTCTAACTTCATGCTTTCTCGGACCCTTATTCAGCTCCGAGGTTGAGGGTATTAGTCTGGGGCCTCTTAGCCTCATTTACACATATGGACACAACGTAATAGTTTGGGAACCTCATTTGTCGTTCGGGGCTCTCTTACGGCCGTTCGGCAAATGCTGCCACGCTTGTTCGAAGGGTAGCTACACCGAACTAGTTGGTTTATCACACTTTACAATGTTCTTCACATCTCAAGCTGGGTCAGACTAATCAACACTGCGACATGATGGCTCAAGATATCCAATAACGCCCCCATTCTCTCATTTATCATATAGGGTTCAGAGGAGGTATTCGCCCATCCTATCTTACAGGTATAGCCGACCCCTTTGTTAGTGACGCAACGGAAGTATAGGACAACCCCCCTAAGGACATCTTCTCCCGATATGCGGATTTACTACCGCAGTATCAGATCTCACGGAGTAACAAAAGCTATTCATAACATGCTTATAAATGTCAAATATGTAGATACGTCAATAAGATACATCAAGATGATCACCTCTGACGATACATCTACCTCAGGTCTCCACGTTTTGGGTCGGGTACCTGAGCTTGCACGTCATACACGGTAAGCTGACGACGAGCTATTGAGACAGATTCCTCTGTCATGGATTATATCCGACTAGTCAGAACTCTATGGTGATGAAGGGTGAGAGATCCGTGCATGGCTCGATATCTGATAGCCTATTCTTGTCGATATCAACACATTTGTGTTATCCCTCTGTCGATATACGTGTACTGTACCGACTTCCCCCACAAATAAATCTTCAGCGGAATGATTAGCAGTAGCACAGGACGGCCGTTGAGCAATGAGAAATACGCCATCCCATCTCATGGTGTAGCACACCGACAAGCTCGTTTCAACTCGGCACCGGCTACCAAAGGCACGACTATTTCGTAACGTACACGACGGCTACGCGAAAAAAAAAAAATCTTGAGCTGTAAGAAATTGTTGATCACCGGAAAAGGACGACCTATGGTACGATACGTGATAAGCAGCACGCGGAGGAGCGTGGCGTCAGCATATCACTTGCCTGGGAAGTTTCACAGCATCGGAGACATCTCCACAGGTAGTCATGATCTGACCTTTGTATGAAGGGGAAAGAAACTCAACTAGAAAATACCACCCTCAGCGCGAGTTTGGTAGACGATTACGCCACGTTATACCTCTAATTCGGCACATAAATCCCATTAGGGCACGCTAAGTATGTAGGTAAGCTTCCATAGCAGCTAGACAGCCAAGTTGATATGCCTCCAAATAGTCTTAGTTTTGTCAGAAGTTAAAAGGGTAGATATCTTACGGCTTACGATGACGCTGAGTTAGTGTAGTATATTGATTAAAAGCGATGCCTAGAGAGCCTGATGGTGTCTATGATCGCGAGATCTGCCTCGCAGTTGATGTATGGCGCCATCTCATATGTTTGATACTAGGCTAGGCTTGATAGCCATCTACAAGTGAGTTTAGGCAGTTTCTGATAGCAAAAGTAAAGTCTCAACGCCGTAGCCTGACGGAAACCGCCAATTCGCCGGATTTCGATGCCGCGAATTGTAGTAGCGCACAGTGTAAGCAGCCTTGCAACATAACAGTTGCAGCAGCTGAAATGATTGGATTCCGTACGGGAGGTTCCTAAAGACTATTGGTGGTGCGGCCAGCCAGTGAGAAAACGGCGCAGGATTCGATCAACCTACCAGATTCTAAACCGAGCTGTTTATAATAGCTACTGTATTTCACGTTGGATGGATTATAGGTGGTTGTCGAAAGCGGTGTATGTCAGCGTTGGACTAGTCTAGAACCAATAGTCGGCGGCACTGCAGAGCAAGCTACGATTCTTAGATATTTCGGTATATCAAAATAGAGGGTAAGCGCACTAAGCTGTATACGCTATGTGCATAGATAAGTGATTCCATATAGACCGATGATCTCGCGATGGGGTCCGAGGAAGGATCCGAAGATACATATGCTGTGTCAGCGGGCATACATACAATATTTGCACATACCTATAGCAATCCCTTAAGAAAGATTCCTTAGAAATCGCCTTACTGGCCAGTCCGTGCCGTATTATAGCTTCATCCCGTTGGATTTCGACTCGCATGCATATTCCCTCCGCATCTATTTACTAGATCGGCTTGGACGGCTAAGCAAAACATACCTCCTAAGGGTAACCTGTACGACCCATGAAGTTGGGTAGCACGGAATCCTTTCGACACGCTTCTGGACCAAAAAGCGGCGTGATCGAGCTCGTCTGTGCCCTCCTATGTACGACGCAATCAAGAATGCGACTGCGATAAAGATAGTACGTAGACGTAGCAAAAGTTCACGTTCGAGATTTTGGACATCGACCGAGCCGGCCTGCTTACACCACAGTCTCGAAGGATCGTAGTGCTGACCTAGACGGGAGAGGCGTTCGACCAGTGAGATTCTCCCGCCCATACCATGCCTCGGGACGATCCCGCGATCTCGTCATATCCGCAGGTTAATCCTGACCCTAGCTCTGATGATGACGGCAGGGCCGGGCTTGCTTAATATTGAGGGAGTGCGAATTTGCTTGCGACTTATTCGTCAGCTTTTTTGCCCTTGGCTGGGGGTCGCTGCGCCCACCATGTTCATGCAAAGCCGTTTCGAAGAAGGGATGGGATGGCGACCTCAATTCTCCGAACGCTTCTGCAAACCCCACACTTGCTGATGACGTCTCTTAGTCTAGGTAGGTTAGATAGATTAGGTAGCTTGATGCTTTATCTTTTCGATGTCTTTGATGGACCATCTAGGCAGGCCACTTTCGCTATAAGGATCTTGAAGGATCTCGACGTAGGTGCATTCGGAGATCCCGCCTCGGTCGTATCTAGCGGGGAGAAAAAAGAGGCACAGCTTCCCAAGTCACCGATGACAGTCCCGTGTGGGACGCAACACTCCCACTCTGTCACCTACAACTTACAGGCCCCTCGGAGTAGCTGCAGGCTTGTGGCGGGCAGTTGACGGAGGGGGAAATCCCCGGCGAGGACAGGGCAAGCTGCGAACTGAACACAGTTGTATGCGTCTGTGAAGACTTCCGCATTTGGTGGCTTCGCTTCCGAAACATGTTGGTGCTTGGGAAGCAAGCGTTGCAAGTGTTGCAAACTTCTGCCTGAGAATATGCAGCTTGATGTTTTCTAGGGCGAAAAGTTTGCTTTCACATCAAAGTCTCTGGCTTGGCTCACGTAGATACCTTTTATTCGATCTGCCTGGTTGACTTAACGTTTCCCCTGCATATGTCCTCTAGTTACAATGTGTATGGTATGTCTCACACAGATAATGCGGGTTCGCATCGTCTAGATCTCAGACCTGGACATTCGGAATATCCCTAATCGAGATAAGTATCGCAGAAAAGGAAGGCTATCAGCAACAGCATTGTACATTTGGCGATGCTTTACTTGGGATCGTGTTGTCGTCATCTGTTCGGCCCGCAACACTTAGCAAATTCGCATTAGGAAGGTCATCTAATGTTGGCAGTGGCAGACTCGCAAAGAACACTTTTTTGAGACGGAACTTCTTGAGTTCCATCGTTCCTTAAAACACTGCATTTATGGCAGGCATTACTGGATAGGTGTGGTTAAGAGAACACGTGGGGTGCAAGTCATTCTTGATGATACTCACCACCAAGAGGTACTAGGTAGCATTGAAGATTAGCTAATTCTTCCTTTGAACCAAGTTCAAAGATCGAATTGTCCAATGATGCTGTTTGCCTCTTCGCTCTCAGACTCTAGTGCAACACTTGCCTCTGCGCTCGACCGAGGAGTTGTTAAAAACATGGTCTGTATGAATCTCGATGATACCGTAGAATGAAACGTTGACGCACAAATTTTTTTTTCATCACTGACCCCGAGAGAATACTAAACCACCTCGCTTCGTAGCTGCATAGGTAGTGAAAGCATTGGTTTCCTACACCGTTACATGCACCAGTGCGTCGTTGGAGCGTGCGCTTGTGAAGCTTTGGCCGTCTTGACACCGCATTGAAACATCTTGCAGAATCTTGTAAGAACATCATCTAGGACTTCCTGATATCGGCATCCGTGATGATAAACCCCACGAGATAGATCTTCCGGTAGCGGTATGCCCGCCACGGGCTCCCGGCCCCACGATGTCAGAAGCTTGTTGCTTGCCTTTCGCTTACCGGAGCCGTTGCGTGGGAGATGACGATCTTCGCTTTCCCAGAGTTCATACCTTGGCGGCAATTGCCGAGGCATCACGGACTTGCTGCAGGCCTCGCAAAAAAGCATTAAGAGAGGGTGGCAAAGAGGCGGTTGCAAACATTTAGACCAAGATCATCGTAAGAAAAGATCGACGTTATCCGTGAGATGGCGCGGGACGACACGCATTTGCTTTTACATAGACCAGACGGAGTCCCGAGCTTCGGGGTAAGGAATAAGTAAGAGGGATATCCACCTGACGCATGAACACATGTCTGATACTAGCCCTTTAAAGGCGTGTCCTATGCCTTACTATAATGCGGATGTTTTAAATAGAACATCCTTTATAATAATAAAAAGTTTCAACAATAACATTACGCAGGCGGTATAGCAATTCTTCGTCTTCGCCGTAATAACAGGTAGTAATAGATCGGACCGCATTCTCATTATGAGCTTCGCGGTTCATGCGAATGGGAGTTGAGAACTGATAATCCTGGTGGGATACGACGTAACTTACCGCGGTAAGTCCCAAGGAATCCCGGGATCCATCAAGGTGAGATGAGGTGAGAAGGGCTGGGGAGGTTGAGGTGTCTTGGAATATTCTATCGTAAATTTTGGAAGTACCCGTGCCTATGGCTCTGGGACGATACTATGTAGAAATGGGAATTTTACAGGGCTACATAACGTGGTTAGGTAAATTAAACGACTAATTCCTGGGTAAATGGAGTCCAGTATACTCTCCGTAGCATACGAAAAATGGACCCCGAATTTCCAAGCGGGTTATATACTATGCGACGAAAAACGGGGTCATTCTTATTATCAGTTTTATTGTTCATTATAATGCTTATTGTTGTAGTTTAAGCAGCCCTGGCAGCCCTGGAGTTTGTAGGTAATGGCAAGCTCACTCACAGACCACCACGCTTCACTATGCCTGCCTCGCTTAAGGATAACGATAGTTCGAGTGATAATGATGAACTGGTGGTTGGAACAAGTGGGGTGGAAAAGATGACAAGAAACGGATACGCAACTGAAACGCAAGAAGTCTTCCAGAAAAAATAACAGCGGAACGTTGCCAATTGGACCGGGCCCTGCATTAGCGGGACTAAATATCGACGGGGAAGATAGGATGGGAAGCCCAGGAAGCCCAAATCACCCATGATAACCAATAGCTGTACCTGACACCACCCACGATTACTCACCTGTGATATAGTCGGTACATCCGTTTGGATGCTACCTTTCATAGAAAACCTCCGACATTGGCTCTCTTCGCTAGTGGTATACTAGTAACACTTAGTACCGAACCCTTTCTTTATTTGTCTCTGTGGAGTACATAAATTTAGTGTAGTGCTTAACCATTCCGGTATAATAAGTGCACTCTGCTAATGTTCCGCGGATGGTTAGTATCGTGACCATAGTGGCGGCGGCGAGGCGACGACGGTTCACCTTCGGATCTGTGTGTTGGAGTAATAACGGAGCGGCACGCATTTGAGAGAACTGGTCTGATACATCCTGACAGGTCAACTATCAGCTTGGCGAATGTTACAATATTGTATCGATAGATTAAGAACTCGTTTATTAGTAACATATTGCTCTCTTCCCCGTCCGTGCTAAGCCTCATCTATCATGTGTCAGATGCTGTAGTCTGGTGTAGTCTGGTGTTTTAGCATCTGTGGCCACGGTTGGATATTTCGAAACAGCATATCATACAATTATCTTAGAGCCTCTCGGTTGCTTAACGATGATCCAATGTTTGTGAGATTCACATTAATGCGACGACACTGGTGCTACGGCCTTTCCTTGCATATGATGTGTCGTAGGCCCGAATGAGAAACATCACTCACCTAGGGTGGCCGGCAACGTGCTGAGGATGCCCTCATGTACCCATCTCTATCCTACGTAGGCTTGCGAGCCGGTATCAATGCTCATTGGCCCAAAATATGCCGGTGAAGAAGCCAAGACCTCGAAAGAACTGACGAGATCTTCCAGAATCACGCCTGGTACAGTTCCTTACAGGGCTCCCGGCTCGAGCCTAAACCGAATCTGTCGCTCATTTCGAGCTAGCTCGCAAGTGCGTGGAAGACGTGGAAGCCCTCGGTGTTGCATTATCACATGGGGTGGGCATTTCGTGCTCAAGGGCTTCCCTGGCCGTCTGTCTTCCTACTATTTTGCGAATCTGGGGGAACAGGTTGGAGGAAACGGCGCTGTTCCTATTTTGGTCCTTGTCGCCGAGTTATCAATTCCGCCAACGGGTGCGGAAGGCGGCTCCTTCTCCAAACGGACCGTAGTCCAGTCCAGGGCTTCCATGCTTTCTAGATACGCGCATATCTGGGAGAATCGTATCTTACGTAGTAATCATGAGATTGACAACGATGTTGTAGATAATGAGTCAAGAGTGAGTTTATCAGTCACCTGGCGGCAAATTGCCGAAACGACCGAACAGTAAGGGAGACGCCAGCTTCCCGGATTCGACGTCGAATTCGGGATTGTTAGCGGAGTGGAACCGTTAGAGTGTGTGAGGCGACAGTTGAGAATCAGGGTTGCCAGCCTTCTACGGTATGGCTTTGATAGTTGTTGACATATTGATGTTCTGGCATCGTACGTTCCAGGACGTTGGAACTGGGAGGAATATGTTACGGTGGAGTTTCCGACCTGAAGCCGATCAGCCCACGCTGACGGTACCGTGGACTCATCGCTCTCATGTAACCCTCGGACAAACAATTGGCGATGTGGTTGTCGTTCGCAGAGACTTAAAGTTCAGCTTCTGTGAGTGGAAATACAAATCTTGCCACTGGCTCTTTTTTCCCAACCAGTGTCAACCTCCCTCATTACGGTTTTCTATCTGGATGAGGAAAGGGTACTAAGTACGGGATAGCACGGGCCTCTATATAGTATCGCTTGTCATGTACCACAAGATAATTCTTAGCCTCTCGTTTTCACGTTGGCAAATTGATGTTCTGGACTGCTTCCGCGCTGTGTACGAGTCCCTCATGTATGTACTATGTAACGTTCAAGGTCTTGTCATCGGTGCTAGGGAACATGGGAGCTGTACAGATCAGACTTGAGGCCTTTCGACAAGCGTAAAACCGTCGAAGGACCGCGCAATAGAGATCCTGAGGGTAGTAGCCCGTGCATTATTGCATTTTATCCTGCATCACTGTCGAGGTCGGCAACAGACTCGTCGTCGAGTACTACTTTGGGGTTGTTTCTTTTTCCCGCATCTCCATTATCTATCAGATGTAAATACCTGAGTATTTAAGTAATTAAGCCCCGGATCATTGACCTGCTTGCATACCGACTTACCATGGCTAACTCTGTGTAGTAAGAATGTGCCGGTTCTGCATTGTTCCTGCAGGACGAATGCTGCAGGCACAAAATTGACATGCAAGGTACAGTCGATGAATTGGCCGAAAGAAGGCGATTGGTGTGGAGAGGACTGCATGTACTCTCCAACAGGCGGTACTTCGTCCGTTTCTGGGCTTCATCAACAGGCTACCCTGACGTATCTTGGTTTCCAGCACTGTGGGAGCCGGGTAGCAGGCCGCATAATGGGAGGCAAATTAGCTAGAAGGTCTCTCGCTGGGGGTCCTGTCGAGCCGGAAGGCTTCCACGGAACCAGTTATGGGTACGTTCAGGTACCTGGCAAGTCGGAACTCCCAGTAAAGTGTCTAGGCACTTTGGCGGTGGAATGATCGCCTGGCCCTACCTAGCCCATGATAAGCTTCCTGATTTGGGACTCTAATCCGATAGAAGGCCGGTCCACCGCTTAATTAGTAGCATTCATACGTAGAGTACTGAGAAAATGGGTCAGTATAATGCATGTACATAATGTACATATGTTCCTGTATGTGTACGCGTACAATATGTTAATGCAATGCTAGTGCATTGGCATTTGTACTAGTATGCACGGTAAAATAATGAAACAAGTGATGAGCGCCGATGAGCGCCTTGATGATACCCAAATAGTGTTTAGACGATAACAGAGTGCACAATACTATGTATGTGATGCAGGTTTGTGCGCCAAAGCATAGCCCCATCGAACCCATTGAACTCAGTGCATCCTCAGTGCCTATCAACACCAAGACCGGTTGGAGAGGGCAGAGGGCGGTGGCGCGATAGGCGAGCGTATCACCAATGCTGTATGTAATGCCGCTTCTAGAGCACGCTAGGAACCCGGAAACAGTCGAGGCGGTCGGACTCTGCAGTCGTCCTGGCCGCTTCAACCAGGTACCGTTCGGAGTTGAGCGACAGCTTGATCATGCCTGATGTGCCTGACATGTCTAATAGTGGAGGAGAGTGTTATCAACCGACAAACAAGAGCGGCGATCTTATGGTTTAGTGTTGGTGTTGATATTGGTATCGGAGATGGCGTGCTCTAGCAAACTGGCGGAGATGAAAAGCCTTGGAGATGTTCATAGATCGTATGAGATGCCTCGACCAACTACGGTCTACAGTACATGTGCATGTCTAAGCCGTGGGCTGGGAACCATTACGGGGGAGGCTTAAGGGAAGAGAGAGACAATCGAGTTCTCTTTCCCCGGGATTCCGAGCCGTGTGTGGAAGGTGCAAGAGAGGGAAACGGCTTTCGGATCCAATGAATACGTTGGAAAGTTCCGAAGTTGGCAAGCACGAAAAGAACAGAAAAGAACGGATAATGTATTCTTTCCTTCCACAAGTGACGGGATTGATGACGAGTCAGGTAAGAACGATCAAAGGATCAACGACGATCAAAGTGTTGATATTGCTTTTCCTGCAAGTGAAAAAAAGAAGCTTATTTTCCTATGCACATTTTCCGTTTCAATCAAACTAGTAAAACAACGCTCAATCATCCTAAAGCTTCATCACTCATCACATATCTTCTGTATGGTCCGTCACGATGGCTATGTTCTATTTTTATTGAGATTTAATCTTATAGTTATTAAGTATACATGTATTATCATATGAATTAGTAAGTAAAGTCGTTCTAACACTACAGAAAATTGCTTCCATTGTCTTGGTACGAGGGGCGAACCCATCGGGTGCTCGATCACATCTTACGCTACAGGTGATGCGGGGTGTAATTTCTTCAACTGTAACAGAATGTGCGGCGAATATGGCGGATTCAGCTGCTAAACCGCTGTGATATTACAGATCGGGAAGTAAATTCAACGAGAAGATAAGCCTACGCCTTGAATCAGCCAACCCCATCTCACCTTTTCGTGTGATAACACCAAAGAGAAATTTGAAGCGCGTGTTCCATAAACAGAAAACATCATGATTCGATGGTTGCTGTGGCATAGACGTCTTTTAGGGGTATTCTTTCTGGATGAATGGGTTGCATTTTGAGGGCGACTATGCTATATAGTGCTTGCATATCAGGAACGCGCGCGTCTTGGAGGATTTCGTCCACTCACACGATGCCTAGGGCCGATCCTATGTTTCCAATCCCAATCGATGCAACCGGTTTTAACAGATAAATTGTGAAAATCTACTCCATCACAAGCTAATCTGTGGTCAAATCTGCCAATGCGAGGTCAGCTTAGGCAAAACACACACATCATTGGTCTTCATTTACTGGAACTATCTTTCTTACTTCACGCACCATCAGTTGATGCACATACCTACATTATATCCAATACGATGTCGATACCGTTGTATTGGGCATACGATGGTAGGCAATAGCCAGGCAATGGCAGGCTGCCTCTCACTGCATGCTGACCACATACGGTTCACCTCACTTAAATGAACTCTTCATTCACTAGCTTCACAGCCTATTAATGTGATCCAATCATCAGCAAGTAGGAATTTTTCGAGCCAAGTTCGGAAGGGAAGCCCTTTCACTGTGCCAGTCTTGGTTCTCTTAGCAAGAGCCTAGAACGTAAAACTATCATGTTGTCGAGAGGGATCCAGGTGGCCAACGTCATTGTCATCCTGGATGAATACGGTGAGGATGGTTTGCGCCGTGGTTTGCTCTCTCCCTTCATAGCATCTACCATAGTATCTACCTCCCTCTCTGCCTCTCAAGCGGCCAAGACACGTGAGTATCTCATATCCGGATCTCCATCAAGGAGAGAGTACGTAGCAAAGCACATGAGGCATCCGATATGCTGGATACCAAGTTCCCCGCAAACCAATCGACACCCCAGAAGCCTATCCGGAGCTCAGGATACGCGCAAAGTATTTCTCGTGAAAGGCGCTGAATGACGAAGGTGATCCACAGCGCGATGCCTGGTCGCCCGTACCTGCATTCCATCACGCTGTTCTACTGGACGGCACTATGGGCTGGCGCAGAGTACTCCGCGTCGCGCGAAGGCAGGACGGCGTTCAGCGACTGGCTGTGCAATGTTGCAGCCGAACACAACCACCACCACCTACGGCGAAGAGCTTTGGCAAAAATGGACGAATTATGCAAATTGTGTGGCTCGCTTCCTCCTCTGGTCCAGCGGTCAAACCCACCTATCATAGTCGCCCGCTCATGTATCGTACATACGACGTAGGTATGTATGCATGTTCCAACCATCCAAGAAAATCCTGAAAATTTGTGCAGAGTACCATCCGTACCATTCACGACAATCAATTCCCCAAAAAGGATTTTGTGGAAAACCTGCCGAGGTACTACTGCAATCGCTATATGATAGGCGTCGTCTTTTTACTCATCTGTTCGTTAAGTACAGGTTTATGCGTGAGGTACGTAGGTAGATAGCATATTGTATGTACATGCCACCAGGCTGTCCGTTTGAACTGTCTGTCTGTCTACCAATACCTGCCTGCCTGCCTTCTCGACAAGCACGTGGGAGAAAACCTGGATAATGACAAGCTTCGTACGACTGATAACTTCCAGCCAAAATACTAGTTGTCAGTTATCCACCAAAGTCAAGATAAAAGAACGGACATCCTGGCTTAGCTGCTCAATGTCGAAATGCATCTCTGCTATGTACCCTCGCTATGTACTCGGGTCTGCATGAGAGCCCGTATCGTCTATGGACTATGCTAGGCGATATGCAAGGTGTCGTATGCTTGCGCGTGCGTATTAACCAACGGAGTTAGAGGTATGCACTATGCGGTAGGTACACGACCAGTCGGACAAGGTTTCTTCTGTCCGTCGAAAAAAAGAGACAAAGTACCCATCAATACGCGGTACCTCGTCCCTCTCGTCCTCGTCCAGTGTGTTATCCAGATTTAGAATCGCTCGGTGGCTGCGCCCACATAGTACCAGTCGACACAACCCACTCATCTCATGTTTCCGTTTTTGCCCCAGACATGCAGAATACAAGGTTAGTTAGTGGCCTGTCGACCAGAACACCCAAGGCCGACCAGGGCCTAAAGATGGCCCCCTTGTCAGCTTTCCCCAAGTGAGACATTACAGGGTTGCTCGCCTTGGGTGGGTGGGCTCTCTATGGGTCCCCATTCCACCCGCAGGCCTTCCAGTGCCTATCGATGGGCTTCTTTTATCTGGTGTCGTTGATCTGGGCGGCCTTCAACTATTTTACATTATCCTCTCAAGGTTCCCTTCAACCACGTTCATTACTCTCTTAGCTAGTACGTGATCGACATATCCGTCGTCTTGGAGTGATCTCTTTCTTCTTCATAACCCTATCGGTTCTCTTGTTTCTTCTTGTGACTCGTCTTTTTGGAATCGTTCGATCTCCTCGAACTTCCTGCCCTTCATTAACTATACAAACTTGTACCTATCCGCTCCCACACAGCACAACCAGTTGCTTGACGATAATACTCGGGGAGTTTTACGAAGTCGAGAGCAGGTCCATGTATAACACCAGACAACAACGAGTCACTAGCAACTAAAAGGTCTTATGATCCAATATCAAGACCAACGTTCGTTCATTCAGACACCCAGGAACCGAAACCACCATCATTAGGCCAACCGCCCACCAACAACAACGCATTGTACAGTACACTTATAAGTATACTTAATTTATAAAACGAAAGGGAAACGACAATCTTCCAGATAGTCCGATAGCAACGTAACCGAAGTCCGGTATATAGGTCAGTTTATATATCGGGGTGAGAGTCACTAGCCGCAAAGACTGACGGGTGGTATTGGATAAAGACAACGACAACGACGACAATGGACCCAACTATGATGGCATCCCAGATGGGACCAACGCCTTTCTTCTACTACACGCCAGACCCCAACCCAGAGAACCGGCATCACGGCCACTTCAGTCAACAGCCTGGCTTCCAACAGATGCAGCAGCAGCAGGTGTTCCCCGTGGTACCTACGCTGCCTTCGACGCCGATTTACTCGAGGCCGAACTCGGCTTGCTCGCAACAACCGTTCCCGAACAAGATGTACGGCGCAGTCCCGAGCAACGTAACTCCGATGGCGTCACCTCAGACCGCGCAGCGACCTGGCATTCTAGTACAGACTCAACCTTCCAAGCTGATGCTGGAGACTGAGCTTTGCGACAATGACGGCTTCTACTACCCGGCCACGCCTCCCTTGTCAACGTCGGGTAGCTCCATGGGTAGCCCATGCAACTCGAACGACATGTTAGCCACACCGCTCAACCCCATGTTCTCTGGATTGGATGGATGCGAGATGGTCAAGCCGGAAGTCGAGACCGTACCCGAGAATCTTGAGAACCTGGACTGGGCCAACTGTGGCTCGCCACCTCTAACACCTGGTATGTTTGTGTTTTCAATTTTCGGATTTAATATCCTGCAACAGAATACGTTCTATGAATTGGATGCGATTGGTTTCCAGAAAAGATGAAAAATGGAAGGAAAAAAAGAGAAGGATTTCTAAAAATAATTCACGGCGGAAATATCATAATCATGAAAGTTTCAAAAGTTTCAGCAATTGAACTGGCAAATTGGCGGGGCATGGGTGTCGAAAATTCACCGCTCTTATCTTTCACTATCTAAAACTTTAACGATTTTTAACTCAGGGAATTTGGGGTCGCTAACTTTATTCTTTTTTTCCTCTGTACAGTCTACCTCCAAGCTCAGGCACAACAATCAGCAGCAAATCAGAGTCAGGTTCCGTCACCAAATTCCAGCTTTTCAAGCGACCACCTATCGCCAACATCCTGCCCTTCCTTGTCACCGTCACCATCTCCCTACGCACGATCTGTTACATCAGAGCAGGACGTGGATTCTAGCTTCTGCGACCCTCGGAATTTGACAGTTGGCGGTGTATCTAACCCCACATTAGCGCCCGACTTTTCTGCCCCTGTCGCGTTAGAGGAATTCAGGGGTGACGCTGTACCAAAACAATCTCTCCCTACTTCCTTTGACTTCAACCCAGATATTCATCACGGTCTACCAACTTTCGAGGACATTGACGACCTTGAATCAGAGGACGACTTTGTCAACCGTCTATGCAACATTGGTGATCAATCAGGTGCAGACATCAAGAGGTCACGCTCTGCTACTTGCTCTACCACGCTGTCGCTTGGTAGCGAGTCGTTTTTGGGTGAGGGTGACTTCGACGCCGACGACAATTCTTGTGCGACTGGATTTTCCAGCTACACCTCGTCAGACCCAGACTCGCACAAAGACAAGAAATTGAAGAAGTCAAAGAAGGAATCGCGAAAGGCTGCGCCCGTCATGAACGTCGCTGCCGATTCCAACTCCGCTCAGGGTGGCGAGCAAGAGCAACAACAATACACCCAAACTGAGGCGGACGACAGCAACAACGCTGGATCGCCTGAGGGATCAAATGCGCAAACCCCCCTGCCTGCTCCGCCCAACCGCCGAGGCCGTAAGCAATCATTAACCGAAGACCCCAGCAAGACCTTCGTTTGTGAGCTATGCAACCGTCGTTTCCGCCGACAGGAGCATCTCAAGCGACACTACCGTTCTCTACACACGCAGGAGAAGCCCTTCGAGTGCCACGAGTGCGGTAAGAAATTCTCTAGAAGCGACAACCTGTCACAACACGCACGTACTCATGGCAGTGGCGCCATCGTCATGAATCTCATCGATGCTAGCGAGGAAGGTCTTGATCTGATGCCAGCTGGTGAGACCGACTATGCCAACTTCGGTAAGGTCCTCTTCCAAGTCGCATCGGAAGTCCCTGGCAGTTCCAGCGACCTCTCATCGGATGAATCGCCTAGTGAGGGTCAGGGCAAGAAGAAGCGCAAGCGATCTGACTAAATCGGAATTGCCTAAGGAGGATTCAGATCAGATTTACCCGTCGAGGATCCACGAGAGATCTGTCGACGTACGCCCATAATGATATAATGACTTTCCACAAACACATTCGACCTAGCCTAGCCAGCTTCATTTACGCGGATCAGGTCACTAGGCCTAGGTAGAGAGGACCACAAAAGTTGCACATTGATTTTCCAGCATCGACTTGTCTTCTTGTACCAATATTGTGACAAAAACACCCTTTTCTTCATGACGACCATAAAAAATTGCTCACGGGAGCGGCAACCTCAAGGGATACAACGGATTGGTGATGAGGCGTCGATCGGGCGGGCATTTTGAAACATACAGAGGCGGACACACTTGATACTTGCCATGGGAAGCAGATGCGATACATCTATTTTTACAACTTTATTATGGCGGCTTATTCTTCTCTACGCTCGTTGTAATCACTACGGCAGGGCGGAGCAGAGCAGTCGTTCCTCGCTACAGGACACGTTCAGTGAGAGGGGGAGGAAGGGGAAGAGAAGAGAAGAGGATGGGAGGGAGGAGAGGGCGAAAGAGACAGCAGGTGGCAGGGTGGCCTCTCACTGAACCCTCTTCGTGTGTCTAATTTCTCGGTTTTGATTTTTTTTCGGACTTCGTTTATTGCGGATTGCTCTGGCGGTGCGGGTCACAAGAAGATAACTTTCTGCATACTCTGTAAAAGATAGGAAATTGATCCAAGCAATGGTTTTGCCGCTGCCCAAGAATAACTACGTCCGAGTCTTCGCGCTCTACCGTGACAGTCTTCGTTACATCCATATCGTGTATAGAGATCGATATATGTTACCTTATGCAATTACTTGATATGAGTGCCTCAGTAGTACCGGAACAAGTGTGACTGCCTCGCCTTTACTATTTTACGTCATTTCAATCTAATTATCGTCTTATCTAACTAACCAAACCAACCTGTGGGTCATAACTTTTCAGTCTCTCCGTTTTCAATCGAAACATCTCCAAAAGACCCAACGGACGTAAAGGCGCAACTTCTACCAACCTCCACTTGTACATATTCATTCGCTAAATCGTACTAAGACGATCGTGTTTCTGCCTAACTATTTGACGGCCTCTGTTGGTGACGGCTAGTCCCTACCTACTAGAGCCCTAGCCGTCCATCATCGGTCTCCCAAACTGTTTCAATCGTCCGGGTCCCCGCCAAGCCAACGCCGTTTTATGAGCTATCATCGTTATAATTCGCTTGATTAGTGTCCTAATTGGAGATATCTATAGCTTTAGGTATGCCTAACTACGTCTACACTAGTCGCTGAACGATAGCTCACTGCGCACGAGCACTACTTCAAATATTCCATATCACGAAGCAAACACCGAGATCAGCTGAGATATACCTTACCCGGCGAGAAGAAAAAGTGAAAAGTGAGGCAATTGGACCTTGGTCTTATTGGAGTTGTGACAGTCAAGACAAAGCCGACCTACCGGAGAACGATGACTCGTCGGTAGGGTGTTGCACTATTTGCCTTCTTTTTATTTCTCCGAAATTTCTACCTGTCACATTTTGACAGTCGCAAATGACCCATGGCAACGGATGATCCCCTAAACGTTGTCGCCTTGGTATCTGGAGGAAAGGATAGTTTCTACTCTATTCTCCACTGCCTGGCTAATGGACATCGCGTCATAGCACTGGCTAATCTCCATCCGCCGCCTAAATCTGGCAGTACTAGTATACGAACTACTGTCAGATCTGAAGATGAAGATGGATCCAGAGCCGAAATTGGCAACACTATTAGCAATCTTGCTGCCATACGGATCTCTCCCAGCGATCATGTTGTTGCCCAACCGCAGCACGGCTCACTCACAGGACCAAGAGCTGATCACGATAGCCAAGATGAAGACGAGATCGACTTGAATAGTTTCATGTACCAGACCGTGGGCCACCAGGTAATCCCTCTTTATGCCCAAGCCACAGGGTTACCTCTGTTTCGCCAGGCTATCCTTGGTACAGCCGTAGATAGTGGCACAAGTTACAAAGACCCTGACGGTCATCACGAGGAAGAGGATGAGACGGAGTCCTTAGTCCCGCTCCTTCGTGCTGTCCTCAAGGCTCATCCGGAGGTTAACGCCCTGTGCTCGGGCGCAATACTATCGACGTACCAGCGAACTCGTGTTGAGTCCGTCGCCCTACGTCTCGGCTTAATTCCGCTGGCGTATCTATGGCAGTACCCTGAGCTTCCGCATTCTTCCGCTTCCACTACTACTTCTGCATTCCCCACAAATACTCTTCAACCTGCGGCATGTACCGATGACGCGCAGCTACTTCGTGACATGGCTGCCGCAGGGCTGGTAGCACGTGTCGTGAAGGTGGCTAGCGCTGGTTTAGGAGAAGAGTTCCTGTGGGAGAATGTTGCTAGCGATACCGGCATATCACGTATCCGCCGCGCACTCCGGCGTTTCGGTGGTGACGGCGGACGGGGTGCCGTGCTCGGCGAGGGAGGCGAGTTTGAGACGCTCGTCGTAGATGGGCCGCCAACGCTGTTTAAGGGCCGCATCGTTGTATGCGACAACGACAAGAGGGTTGTACGTGAAGGAGGCGGTAGTGCTTGGTTGAGTATTCGCGAGGCTCAAGTTGAGGCGAAACCGGAAGCCGAAATGGTATCCAAGACAGAAGGCCAAGGCGTCCGTATTCCAGACCTGCTTGATCCGAAGTTCGAAAATATACTCGGTTCGTTACGTAGCAAATTCTTGGGATACGAACATGGTAGTATCAGCCCTCACGAAATCGGCCAGCGGCCATCTTTCCTTTCCCTCAAGCTTACTAGCTCTATTAGCCAAGACTGGTACCACGCTGGTCGCACCGGAGATATTGAAGTCCAGGCAGCCCAAATTGTGGATGAGGTGCGTCAAAGACTACGCGAATACTCATTATCGCCAACCGCAATCACCAACTCAATTATTGTATTACGGCGAATGGCAGACTTCCCAATTGTCAACAAGCTTTACGGGGCACTTTTCAGGGAGCCCAATCCACCGGCCCGAGTCACTATATCCTGCGGCGACTTCCTGCTGCCTCGAGATGCCGATATAACCATTCTCCTCGCGGTGCAACCTCGGATGAAGCAGGGAGATAGACGCGGTTTGCATGTACAATCTCGGTCATACTGGGCACCCGCAAACATCGGCCCTTATAGCCAAGCCATCACATACCCGCTCCTACCAATCGACAAAGATAACAGTAATGATAATGACGTAAATTCGAACTTGCCCGTCGCGGTATCTATTGCAGGCCAGATACCCTTGGTACCTGCATCCATGAGCCTAACCCCCATGTCACCGGGCGATAATGATAATATCCGCCTACAAATTACTCTGGCGCTACAACATCTCTGGCGTGTGGGCGCCGAGATGCAGGTCCAATGGTGGAGTAGTGCCGTGGCATACTTTCCGCGCTCAACTACTACTTCATACACAAAACATCGTGCTTTGCTTGCCGCAAGTGCTTGGAGAGCCGCACATGCGATGCCATCTTCTGCTTCGAGTGATGCAGAAGACGGTCCGGACTTGTGGGATCAAAAGTACAATCCTTTATACATGACTTATGGCAATAGCGGCGATACTTGTACCGCAAAGCCAGGGCTCCCAGATTGGGAGGTGTTGAAGGACTTTGACCCCGACTCATATTCGGAAGGCGGTCTATCACAAAGAGCACTTCCGTTCGTCTTCTCAGCCGAAGTCGAGGAGCTACCAAGATCCGCTGGTGTCGAGTGGCACGCGCATCTGGGATTCGCGAACGTGGGCTTTGGAGATGTACGGCTGTACTCATCTCACGGCTCAGACAAAGACAAACATACGACAATGCACAGCGTTGTCGTTGAGTCGCCTTCTGGCGACGTGTTCGTCCAGACTATCGCGGCGTACCAGAACAGCGAAGCAGCTCATAGCGGGGTAGGAGTTCGTGGAACGCAGCATATTTTGAGGGTGGTAGGTCAAATACTACAAACAAGTGATCGTCCACAACTGGGATTTATCGAGTTAAATCCAAAGCTCACGTACGTCAACTCCGAGTCTTTTGACCTACTTGGAGATGCGGGTTCTTTGCTCGGGAAGGGAGCAATTATCCCGTGTAGGTCGCTGTGGGATTCCGCTGCGCAGAAGCTGGATATGGTGGTGATACTAGAGAGTAGATGGGGGAAAAGAACTCATGAAAGCTAAAGTTTGTTTACGGGTAGGAAAACACGTACAAGAGGAAGATAAAGTAAACGGTCTTGTCGAGTGGCTATATGTATATTATGAGTATTTATATCGTCATTATATATCTTATATAGGCAGCTACTTAGATATCTTTTTAGATAATCTCCGTAGTCATACGTAGAACGCTGAGCATGGTAGGTAGGTTTAAGATACTTTTACTGCTGTGTCGCAGGAACAAGTTTTCTCCAGAAGTCGCACCGATCCTGCAAATCCGACGCCACGGGCTCCATCGAGAAACCCTCCGTCTGGAAGAGCAACCTTTGGCCTCCATCACTAGTATTATTCGCATTATTAGCACTATTAGTTTCGTTAGTCGTCCCCCACGCCTCCCACACTGGAGCCCCTGCCGCTCTTCCCGTGTTCGGATCTAAATTCTTCACGAACGAGATCCAGTAATCCTGCACCGGCTTGACGACCCCCGCCGCGATGCCGGGGTAGTAGTAGCTCGCGGGCCCGCCGCCGACGCCGTTAATAGCGTCCGGCCCGTACACCGCCCACGACTCCCATATATGCGGGACGCCGAGCCCCTCGGCCGTATTCATCGGATCCGCGACATCGTACCGGTACCCCCATATCCGGCTGGCGTTGACGCCGGCGTTGAAAGGCGGCACCGGCGGGCGCGCGTACGAGGCCAGGATGTAGTCCGCGGGGCAGATGAAGGTGGCCTCGCCGTACGCGGCGGCCGTGGACGGGAACCAGGAGGCGTGGGCCGGGAGCGGCGCCTGCAGGGCCTGCGGGTACTCGGCGACGATGTCGGCAGTCTGGTTGGAGGTCAGGTGCGGGTAGTTGTCCTGCATGAAGGTGCCGAACTCGTCGGGCGTCGACGCGTTCGTCGCGAAGGACGCGCCCTCGTTCGTCGTCGTGCCCATTATCACGGGGACCGGGACGTACTCGCCCCGGTCGAAGAGCACGTACGGCAGGTCGCGCAGCAGCGCGCCGTCGACGCAGGGCGTCCAGTAGAACAGCGGCAGAGGCGCGGGCAGGCCTGGTCGTCCTGGGAATGGGGACGCTGTGTTCAGGGCTTGTAGGGTCTCTGTTGAGAGCCCGCGGAGGCATGACAGCGCGTCGCACCCCGTTTGGTTGAGGAGCAGGTCGTACTGCCATTCTAAATCGGCGAGGACAGGCTGCCACGGGAAGAAAACGGACTCCCCGACGCCGCCGACGAAGAGGTTGGTGCCGACGCTGTCCCCGACATCGCTGTTGTCGCCGCTGGTGGCGTTCCCATAGCTACCGTAGCTACCGTAGCTGCCCTGCCCGTGCGCGCCGTACGCCATCACCAGGTGCAGGGCGACGGAGCCGGCGCCGGCGGATGTGCCCGTGATGACGACGTGGTCGGGGTCGCCGCCGAACTGCGCGATGTGTTGCCGCGTCCACCGCAGCATGGCGATCTGGTCCCGCAAGCCGACGTTTAAGTCTCCGTCGGCGCCAGGGGCTAGGAGCCGCTCCGAGGCTAGGAAACCCCAGAGCCCGACGCGGTAGTTGAAGTTCACGAACACGATGCTGTTGTTGGACTGCTCGAGGAGGTAGGTCCCGTTCCAGTTCGCGTTGCTGTTGGTGTTGTAGCCTGGTGGGTTGGTTAGTTTGTGGGTGGTGAGTGGTTTGGTGGGTAGATGGAGAGGGGAAGAGGGAGGGGGATTAAGGATATGGAAAGGCTCATGGGAAATGCGTACCACCGCCCTGGATAAACAGCCATACGGGTAGCTTGGAGTCCACCGTTGCGTTGACCGGTGCCCATACGTTGGCGTACAGACAATCCTCGTCTTCGTCGCTATTCGGATACGACGACCCGAGACCTAGACAGATGGGACCGAACTATATATAACATCACGGTGTGTCAGCTGGCGTGTTTCTCCTATCCTTTCTCTTCTAACTCTCCTCTCATTTTCCCTTTATTTATTATTATTTTTTGTCTCTAAAGGAAAAGAAATGGGAGGGAATTCCGTATCACTAAGTATATAATACCTAACAAAACAATGGTCCAGCGGCATAAGACAGTTCACAAGGGAATATAAGAAAAAGACGTTGAAAATGAAAACATACGGAATCAGCGGCTTGATCTCCCGAATCTTCTACCTCTGGTTCGACGGGCGCCTTCCACCTGCGGTCTCCCGTCGGCGGCGCCGCAAACCGCATCCCGAGGTACTGCGCCACGCCGCCCCCGCTGCCGACGAGCGTGCCCTGGTACTGTGCGTAGCCGAGATTCACTCGGGCGTTGCCCGGGTTGGACGGGGTCTGCGCTCAGGTCTTAGCATTGGATCTCACTCAACAAGATACTCCAAGGAGAGGGAGAAGAAGTGAGAAGCAAGAGGGGAGAGAGAATACCGCTTTGTCATGCTGAACTTTTTCAATGAACCACTGGTGATTCCGTCGAGTGACTAGCACGGCCGAAAGCACTACGACGAGAGTAACTATCGTCGTCGCTATGAGGGCGTATATATACCACGGCTTTATCCTGCGCTTGACAGCGCGGAGTTTGTTCATGGCGATCTCCCGCCGACCTTTGGGAGGGTCTGGCAATTGCTCTTCTTCCGCCATGGCAAAAGCAGCCGTAAATTAGGTCTCTGGGAGTGAATAGCCGCCCTATCCGAGTATTCCAGCCTCGAAGAGCTGGTTCTACTCTGCTTCGTATGAGCGCCGGCTGAGCTGCCAGCGGGGAATACCTCCCGGTAGCCTCGTTATAAATGCTCATCTAAGGGGAACTGTCTCGGAGAGGAGAAAATGCCTCGGTTTTCTCATCACAGTAGTAAGTTAGTCTAGCCCGTCTGGTTAGGAGAAACGCCACATGATCACGAAATATTTGCATGTAGGAGTGACACGGCAGTAGTCTTTGTCTATTGTTGGAATGTTACTGGAAGCCACCAAAGCCTACATACCTAGGTATCCATGTACGTATGTATGTATGTAATGTAATGTATGGTGAGCTGGACGACATAACATGTAAAGTAAAATAGTCTGCCGTAGGAATAAGCCTCCGACAATGCTACAGTAACAGCGGGCAGCGGGGGATCCAGGCAAGCGAAAGGCGCCTCCCGGGGAAATTTGCGATTTAGAGGTCATGATCTTCGGTGATGCGGGAGACAGGCATCCGAAAAAGGTGACTATTCCCTAAACTGGCTTTGACACAACCCTGTTTTGGGGTTATGCGATGAATGATACATGATCGTAGAAAGACGGGACAGCAAGTGTTTAGGTGAGTGGACACTAAAACGTTTCCTCCATCTGATTCTGGCAGTCTGGGATCAAAAATTCAAACTCGTACTCAAACTGGGAAAGGACTTCGGGCTGAAGGAGCTATGGGCTGGGAAGATTGGCCCCGCTCTGCCCGCTCCAATGCCAGTAATACGGCCCGGTGTCCTTGGAGACATCCATGATATGACGAAGACCGGACAAGGGAGTAGCCGGGGAACGGTCAAATAGGATTGGTCGAAGAAGGTTAATCACTTTCACCGTCATTATGGAGTCAGCCCACACTACCCAGAGCCGCTGAAGATCCATGAATCTCACCATCACCATTAAATATTAAAAGCGAGTCGTAAAAATAGTAAAATGAAAAAGTTATTCATCATATACGCGTATTGATCTAAAGCAAACCCAAGCAGTGATACCTCAACGAGAAAACCCTCCCTCCTTAATTTACTCCAAGGCTTCTTACAGCTTCGCATCCTCCTTCCAGCTCGACGTCAGTTTAGAATAGACACAATTCAGCGTTGAAAACCAGCCCGGATTAAAAGATGCAAAAGTGTCCATTCCGAACCAACTAACCAAAAAAGCAAAAACAGGAACCGTAAACGCCCAAGTCATTCAGAAAGATTTGCGTGGGCAAGCCGGTCGGTCGGAACGAATAACAAGCAACCAAGGTAGCCAGCTGGGTACTTTATTTTCTTCGAAGAGGAATCATCGAGGAGGACAGATGCGAAGAAAGAAAGAAGTCGGATCCATTATATTTGATTTGAATTGGGGGTGAAATCCATGTACCTCTTATTGATACCGAACGCCAAACGCATATGCAAAGAACCATGATTCGGTCGTCATAGTCGTCATCGTGAAAAATTAGCTGCCCGCAGAAGGTTTGATCATCATTGGATAAGCCATGATATATTGCAGCATTATTCAGAACAGTCATCGACAGTCCAATTCGGCGGCTGTAAAACCTCATTATCCTATAACGCGGAAACTTTACGTGCCGAATTGGCTGTGTTGTTGGTGCCAATGCTACCGATCCGACCGCTGGTCTTTCGCACACCCATTGAATCTTTGTTTCGGGCAGACTCGGTCGATCGCTTGCTGCTCCTGACCTTGGTCAACACGCCAGAAGCGCTTGCCGAGCGTGTTGGCGAACCGCTTGCCGTGACATGGTCTACGATGGTCTTCGGACGACTGTGACCAACGTTTTCGGCGTCATTGGATGCGTCGTTGTCAATCACCTGATATATTGTTGTGGTCGTGCTCTGACTGACAGATCGGATCGTTTCGTTGCAAGCTGGTGTGCGAGATTGTTTACGATTAGATCGCATGCGCAGATATAATTCCTCCTCCGACTCAATGCTATCGTTAGATCGCCTGTTATGAGAGGAGGCTACCTCTGCGTTCTTGCCGGCGCCTTCTTGTTCCTCTTCGACAGTAGGATGGTGGACCGAATTCCGTTGGTAAGGATGATGACGGTCCGCTCGGCTGGTCTTTCGAGGTTGACCGGGCGTTGGTGCAGGTAAGTAGTCTTCTTGCGCACCAGCATTACGGCGTTCATCGTCCAAATCGCCGAGGGGCGTGCGGTTAGACGGGCTTCGACTTGGGGGAGTTGAGGCTTGAGCGCTTCGGTTCAAGTTGGCCTTCTGCATCGCACGGATAGGTGTGCTGGGTGGCGCATTCGCGTTCGCGGCCATCTCCTTTCTCAACTTCCTCTCCAATCTCTCCTCAACCCACCATTCTCGGAAAACTCCCTGGTTGATATGTAGCCAATGTTGCTGAGGACCGACAACCATGCCTGGACGCATGAACCTCATGAACGAAATAATCTCATTCGCTGTGAAACCATGGCGGTAGATCAAATATGCTCCGATCAAGCAACCAGTTCTTCCAAGACCAGCTTTGCAATGGACGGCAATCCCCTTCTTTCTGACTGTGATTGTCTCATGGGCAAGTTTGATGAATTTTCGGACGGTACTGAGCGGTGGGCAAGTACCATCTTCGAATATCATGTCAAGATGCTGTATCCCTAGCGCTTCGAAGTAGGACGGAGAGTAAAGAGGAGAGTTAAGACGCACTACCAAGCCGATGTTGCGCTCAGAGAAGTGTCTCAATACGTTCTTGAATGGTTGTGGGAGGGTCGGGTGAGCATCTACGGCGGACAGCGTCTTAGGCAATGAAGCATACAATTCGGAAGACTCCGTGATTCGTGCCGTCGGATTGCTTTGCGGAGAGGCGAACGCCAGGAAGTTGGGAGTGATCCAGTTGAAATCACCATGCTCAACTCGCTCAAATCTCTCGTACTCGTCGAGGTCAAAGTTGTCCAAGACACAGCAGCCTTCTTCCTTAGCTTTCCAGACACCGTATACAATGTCCTGAACAGTGATACCATAGTCGGCCTGACTATAACCAGCATCGCGGAAAGGCATCAGGGGCGGTTCGATCTGCGCAATGGGCGCTAGGGCCAAGTGAGGTGGCCATGACTGGATTAGGACCATGTAGCACGCTAGTAAACAAGCGGCATTTGCTCGACCTGTCCGGAATTGTCAGCAATCGTCACAAATGTCTCAAGGTCAAAATGTCGGTAAGCGTACTTCTTGGGTCTGCTCGGCTATAAAACACAATCGGTCTGTGTTGGTTTTCCTTAGCACCAAGGATATCGTGGAAGTGCAGCGCAAAGCGGTAGAGGTGACCAATGTGAAGCGGGCCAAAATCGTGGTGAAAGGCGTTGTAGAGGAGGCTGTCGTCGACAGTAAAGTAATACGGAGGGTATCGGTCAGACTTGGATGGCGCAGGCGCAGGGCCATCAACGGCTCTCTGCGACCTCTTCCTTGGTGATTGAGGTGGCGGTTCTTGATACGGGAAGACGGTGTCGGCGGTAGGGGTGTGGAGGTAGGATGCTAGGTATAAGCGGTCTGCAATTGTAAGCAATGTAACTGGAAATGCTTCCGAATTAAGTAGTAAAGATGGATGATGTAGGGGGCCATGAGAGATGCCAGCAGACACTGAACATCTCAAATTGGTTTGCGTCATTGGAAGGCGCAAGGTAGTCAAAGGATTAGGATAATTATCGAGGGCAAGACGAATATGAGGGTGCAAGTTATTAAGCTATTATCGATGTCGTCCGCGAAAAGGACGGTGAAGACAAAAAGACTTACCCGGAATATACTCAATGACCGAGCCAGCGTTGGAACTCCTCGAAGAAGGCCCCATCTTAGCGGATATTGCTGTTGACACTTCTATACCACTTGCGGTGTCGCTACTCGTTCAAGAATCCTTTGAGGACACCGTCAATCGGGACCCGAACGAGCTAAGGAAGCTTCAATGGCTCTGCATAAACAAGAGCAGGCCCTTTGCTAGACTCGACAACCGAGACTTCAAGTGCTAAGGTATGCGACGCACTGCCTAGAAGGATCGACTGGCGATACTCAAATAAAGAGAGTAATGGGTATGAATAGAATAAGTAAATGGGATCATTCACGCATTAACAATCTATTTGAATGACAAACGCAGTTGTGATAGAAGTAGAGGATGCAATGCGAAGAAGAGAGAGCCGTACCGAGTACTAGTAGAGATAGAGGAAACGATTTGAAGAAAAAGGAAATGTTGTAGATCATCAAAACATGAAGCCTTTTTCAAGGAGACGATGTTTTTTTGTATCAGATGCTGTATTATTATTTTCCTGTTTGATTGTTATTGTTGGGGTAAGAAGGAAAGCAAAGAAAGCAAAGGCCATAGCGGTCTCATTTGACATTTTACCTATTCTGGTTAAGGGCATGACCCATAACCTTGTCATGTTTGTGGGTACTTTCGTTGCCTGGCAACCGGGAAGACCCACTGACTGCTAACTGTCCATTATAGGCCCATATTACATAGGTGGCTGAAACCTTGACCTCCTAAGCCTCAGCTGAATTCCAACCGTCCTGTCCAGTCAACTTTATCTTATCGTCGCTTCGGAATAAAAATTACCTGGTTGCGATTTACCCCTCCTTGCGCTCCCTGAAACCGTGGAACCTCGATATTTTCTCATTACGCAATCCGCATTCCGATCTATTTAGCCAACCGTAATTTTTCCAAACATAACACAACTCGCTCGCGAAAAGACAACAATTGTCAATAACTGTTATGGCGGCAACCAAAGATGCACAGTTCCCTTGCGTGTTGTATGTTAGCGTTTGTAACCACACACGCAGCAATCACGATGCTAATACTGCTCCCTTCTTAGAACTATTGAGGTGCCATTCCCAACACCTCGATTAGCATCTATCGCTCTCAAGACGTTGCAGGTAGACAAAGAACTGTCTCCGCTAGTGCAGCGAAATTTCTCTACTGGCAAATTAAATGATGATGCCGCCAATGGAGATGTAGGAGGAAATATTTTACAAATTGAGTATAAGGCTACGACGAACAGGATGCTCCGAGTAGCTGTCAACTCCTTCATGGACAGCTTAAATCTAGTACTTGAAGTCATGCAAGAACTCGACACGGATGTTATAGCTGCAAATAACATCGCAGCATGAGCGGAGCAAAACAAATATCCCTTTCACCAGGACCGTTCTAGAGTTATGGACTGGAATGTCAAACGCTCAGACGTGAGTATCAGAGTGAACACGAATACTGAAACGAAACAGATTATTAAGACATATCGCAAAAGACACCAAGTTCGGTCTAGCGACCTAGGGAGACATTGAATTATTTTGAACGCAATTTTTTATTGGTTATGATGGGGGCAATTTTATCTGAAAACTCCTAAACTCCTTGCGCCTGCCGTTCGAATTACCAGGTTATTCTCGGCCTTCCGTACCTATTCCTTGCCAACCGTACCCGTCCAAGTAAGAAAAATCCACGTTTACTGGATCTCAACCTTATGGATCTGAGTCCACTCCTTCTCGGTCTTAGGAACGGTCACGATGAGGATACCGTTCTCCATCTTGGCGGTGATGCCGATGCCGTCGACCTCCTCCTTCTCGTTGCTTCCGGGAGGCGGTAGCTTGATGCTGCGCTCGAACATGCCGACCTTCCTCTCGCTAGAAGTCAAGCAGCTGATGAACTCCTCGTCGCCGGGACGGTGGACGACTCCGGCGATGTTGACCTTTTCGCCGTCCCAGCTCACACCGACGTCCTCTTTCTTCGCACCGGGTAGCGATACGTGGAGGATGTAAGCCTTGTCCGTGTTGAAGACGTCGACAGGGGGTACGAAAGCAACTTCCTGCTGCTCGTTGGACTCGCCTGAGAAACCTCCGCGGGCCTGGTCCATGTAATCTCTAAACGCCTCGGCGAACGGATGGGTGGCGAAAGCATGCATCAAGGGTCGGAAGTCCCAAGGGCCATTGTAATGCGGGGGCGGTGAGTGTGAGTGTGAGTGTGGGTGTGGGCCACGGCGGCCTCCCCGACGTCCGAATCGACCACCTCGTCCTCCACGATGATGGCCACCGAAAGCACGGGGTCCGTGGTGGAATGGGTGAGGTGGGTGAGGAGGCTGGTTGGGAGCACCCGAAGGAGGCGCAGGCGGGGCCTCACTATTGACAGACTCGTCCGGAGTGTTTCTCATGGTTTCGGGAGCACTCTCCATCTCATCGTCATCATCGTTGTCGTTGTCGTGCTCGTTCTCCTCTCTGTCTGATGTAGGACCATCGCGATAGTTCTGAAAGCCGTGTCGACCGTGCCTACCGCCATGCCTGCCGCCGTGCCATCCATGAAATCCGTGCCACCCGTTCCATGGCTCGCCCGAGCGGGCCCACTCGTGGCCCGGCCAAGATTGAGCGTTGTGGAATGGGAACCCGGGGCCGAAGCTGGGTCCGGTGTTGGCGTGGTCGACACCAGCGCCAGCTCTCATGGCTGCGTGAGGTCCGAATGATTGCATGTACTCCCAGAAAGGGGGCACTTGATTGTTGTTATTGTTGTTGGCGTTTGCCATGTTGAATACTTAATAGATGGTAATGGATCTGATGATCTAGTGATTGTTTGGTGAAGTTGTTGATTGTGAAGAATCCAAATTCGATTGTGATGGGTCTATGTAGTTTTTATATACATTTTGCAGAGGTAGCTTGACAAGAAGGCGACTCAAGGCTACAGACAGGGATGCGTAACGGTTGTCGTGTGATGGCAAATGACTAACGTAACACTCCAGCTTTCCACGACGCAACTAAACACAAGCTCGAACAGGGCGGAACAATTTAGAAGGGTGCTGCCTAGCTATATCGTCCGTATCGAATCCATGGATGGGCGATCTAGAGGGTCGCCACGCGTCCCTACACACTAAATCAAACGGTCAAGAGTGCCGAGAAGCGTTTTGATTGGCCGAATATTCAAGAGCCGAACCCCGATCGGGGCACTACGAAACATGGTCGGTATCCGAGCTCTTGGGTTTCGAACGACATTTGAATCACAAGGTAAGAGTCATAGTTATGCTAGTAGGCAACCGATGGGATTCGTGGTTTTCTTGGTCACGGCGCCGCGTTAGAAAGTCGCCTCCGAGTGGAGACGAGCGGCCTCCTTCGCAACCGAAGCCGAGAGGTGGCGACCGACCTTTACAGCCGACAAAGTTATTGTAAATTGGAAGTGGCGTTCTTTCTTCTAAGGCCGTAACTGCTCTGCTCCTTTCACATCTAAATGTGCTCATGATTAAAATAGTAAAGAACGATGAGAGGCTATTAGTCGTCGTAGATTACTAGGTACCTAGGGCATCTACTCGCTCCTGCGCCGATCATAATTGACGTGTGTAGCATACCTACCTATCTATCTATCTATCCAGTTGCTTTCCAAGGTTCCAACTTCTAGGAACACACATACCTAGTCTCTTTTTCTCTCAACGTTGATATCTATAGATTTGACTTCGCGCTTCTAACTGTTCAAGTTAGATTAATAAATCGCAATTTAATAGTTTTCGATACTTCCGGGTCTGGACCGACAATATCTATCAGGTAATAACGAAGAGGCCATTTCCTTAAGTCTTACGCCACTTAAACTGCCCCCATATGCAGACGCCAGTACCCGAAGACAAGAATATTCAAAGACGGGTGTTTACATCCTTAATGCTCCCGATAGATGTGTAACCAGTTCGAATCAGAAATCAATTGGGATTATTAGTTGAGTTGAAATAGCAAGTGGAAAAGTTCGAGCGAAACCAGGTCAGTTCAGCTTTCAACGATTCTCGATATATCAAAATCCAACGTAGCCCTATGGGCAATTATCATTTAACGGCGACACGCTAGCATGACGGGGCCTCCCGTAACGTTATTATTTATAGGTAACATCAAGATTCGGCCAAAATCCCATGCGACGGGAAGGATTTTCGACAGCCGTGCATAATGCATGCACATTTGATCATGCTCATTGCATATGCTATGCGATTGCGAAGTTTGGATCAATAGCCGCTTGAGCTAAGTCCCATGTCCCGGCTATGATGGGATAGATATGGATCCTTTTACTCGATGAGTGATGGTGGGAATATCCGTCTCAAAACCCTTGTCACGTTTTTGGGCCTTCTGAGTTTTTAACCAAAGCCGCGGTCCTGTTGCGCGCTGCGATGAATATCATCTGTGCCTAACTTTGAAGAGATCGAGATAGAATGCAAGCGATCATCGTATTCTCGTCATCTCAGGAGGTATATCAGAGTATGCGAACGTGCTTGACAACCAAGCGATTATAGGGGCTCGATAAACGTCTCGAGTTATTCGTTGGCAGCTCGAGCGCTATCAAGGAAAACCGGCAGAGCTAGCCAGCCAGAGAAATACGCTCATTCATGTGAGGGAGCCAGTATAATTCGCGTACTACACCAAGCGTCGGGCTGATTGGGCGCTTGGAAATGGCATCTGCTTCACCCATATTTCCCTATTCTTTAAGCGCCTGCTTCTGAGCGACCAATCATCTGGCCTGTCTCCCGACCTGCCAAGGTTGATGAACCCACCGAACCTGCGGACAAGGTTGCTCCCCCCAGATCCCCCTCCATAGCCGTGTGGTCGCATATCATAGACCTCTTCGAATCCATCTTGTCCTTTCTTGAACTCGTTTCACCTGCTCGTGTCTGTGTCCTGTGTCGTGTATCCTATTATTTCCATCTTGTTGGTCGAATTCGTCAGCTTCGGCTTCACAACTTCGCTCCAAAGCCAATCATTGTAACCCCTCATCTAGTTGCGATAAAGTCATTTCGTCGCATACATTTTTAAGGTCTAGCTGTCGCAAAGCGCCTATAAATAACTTTTTCTCATTTTTCCCTGCGTCATCCCGCGTCTATTGCTAGTACCTTCGCGTCTGTCGGTTGCCTTGCGATCCGCGTACGGTAGAGTACGTGAAACAAGATGGACCGTCACGGAAGGCCTGATGAGGAGATGTTCCTCAGCAAGCCCGCCGAGGATTGCGACAGCCCTACCGTTGAGCCTCTGAGAATATTCAAGCCTCAGAGCCCTAAGCCTGCCTCGGATAGAGCTTCGGAAAGATTCAAGTATCCCGCCCCGGCATCTTCCAAGCCGAGTTTTCCGCTGCCGCCGGGCGCTTCTAGCTCTGCTGCGCCTCTACCATACCCTGATGACGACGACCATCGGATAGCTCAGCCGGTTGCCCACTCGAGTCGACCTCCCTACCCAGCCGACCAGCGTCGGCCGTCCGGTAACAAGCTTTACATAAGTCCCGCGAGCTCTACACACTCAGATACCTTCAACGACACAACCCCGCGATTAGATAAAAGCCCTGTCGAGAAGAAGGGGCCTGGTCTTGCAGAACGACGAGGAGCCGGTCCTAAGCCTCTACCAGGAGCGCTTAGTCCTGCCAGTCCACCTGGAGACGACGGTGGCCTATTTGCGAAGCCGCTTGCCAACCAACCCAAGCCGGCGGCTGCTTCTTCTAGTACATCTTTTCCCGATTATCATCAGAAGCCCTACTATCCGCCACCTAGAGCGAGTTCAGCGGCTTCGGGCTCAAGCTCGAACAACAATGCGCGACCTCAGGTGAATGAAGATAGCTACCTCAAGATGCCTGCGGATAATGGAGTGAATCGCTTCGCCTCCACAGCTTCCACTTCAACTACAAGAGCAAGCCGAGGATCCCCTCCTCCGCCAGAGACGCCTATCGTCGAGCCGGGCACTATTCCGGGCGGTGGTATTGAGGCACGATATGCGGCCGCTGGTATATCCGGGACCGCAACACTTAACAGTCTCCAAAGCCCAGCGGCATCCCAACGACTGGCGCAATATGGTCAGCACCCGGCTACGCAGCAGGTGCCTCGCCCGTGGACGCCGACGGAAACTCCTGACCAACAGCCGCATGGACCTCCCACGGTTTACCAGGGAGCGAACCCTGTCGCAAGTCCTACCGCATCGACGTTTAGTGCTCAGGCAGCGCGACCGTCAAATATTAACGCAGCTGCTAACAATAATAATAATTCCAATGGTAATGGCAATGGCGGACCCGCCCTTCAGATCAGCGTGTTAGAACAAGACTTCCAGCGAATGCAGATGTCGCCTAGCCCTCCGCCTGCATATTCCAGTATCAACCCTAATGGAAGCTCCTCGGCATATCCTAACGAGAAGCAACGGCCGACCCAACCGAGTTCAAGCTCTACGCCGGCACCGGCCCAAGCAGCTCAGGCGTCAGCCGCAGCATCTCCCCCGAAGAAACAGACCGAGATAGCAGCTGGGCTTGCGTCTCCAGCTTTGCAACATCCCGGACATCCTGCGTTTGCCAACGATCCGAGGCCCGAACCTCAACAAAACGGTCAGCAAGTGCAACCGCAAGTAGTTACTCACACCCCTTCTCCATTCCAAGGTCAAGGTCCTACTTCGCCACCACCGCTGCCTGAGGGTTGGATTGCGCACCTGGATCAGAATTCCGGCCAGTACTATTATATCCATCTAGCCACGCAGGCTACGCAATGGGAATTCCCTAAGGGGCCAAACCCTATTCACCATGAAGCCGCACCTCTATCTCCCACGGCATCAACCTATGGCAACCCTCTCGGGTCGCCGATGTTTGGCAAGCAGAGCGCGATGGCCTCACCTATGTTCCCGCCGCAGACTCCCGGCTACGCTGAGAGTATTATGAGCGTCGCGACGGCTACGCCGACCGCTGCTGGGTTTACGGGACCTCCTGGTGTTGGTGTAGATATGTACAAGGTTCAGCCGACGAATGGTGTCTACTTCGGACCCTATTTGAGATACACGAACATGGATGTTGAGAAAGGAATGTGGCTAGGAAGTATCCTCATAGTCACAGATGCTCCTCAGCCGCCCACGATCCACATTCATCTCAGTACTGATTTATCACCAAATCCCCGCCAGCTAACAGCTCGTTCTATTTACACACATCAAAGGTGGCAATTCTTTAAATATGATGTCGACTTACAAATGGGCGAAACTGGTACGGAAAGGTGGACTTACGCCGTCACTTCGCACCTCGGTTGCACCAGATATGAATTCGTGGTCGCGGGTCGAAGTGAGACTAACTGGCGCTTCATCGCGCATTCCGGAAACGACTTCGCTGCCAGCACGAATCAGAACGAACGCAGCAAACTTGGCGGGCTCGGATTTATGTGGAAAGATGTGCTGCAAAAGAATGTCGACTGCGGTGGTTTCCACGTCCAGCTCGGCTTGGGCGACCAGATCTACGGAGACCGGCTGTGGAAAGAAGTGCCACTCCTCAAACAGTGGCTGGCTATGCCGGGTAAGGAGAACAGGAAAAATGCTTCGTGGACGGCGCGTCATGAGGAGGACGTGTCGCACGCTTATTTCCATTTCTACACGAGCCATTTCGACCAGCCGTTCCTTCGTGAAGCGTTTGCGCAGATTCCTCACGTCTGCCAGATCGATGACCATGACATGTAAGTTCTCACTTATAAACAACTAGCGCGAGCTTTAGGTATATCGTGAAGATTTCCGTACTAATAATCACCCAGCTTTGATGGCTACGGCTCCTATCCCGATTACATGCAAAACTCGCAGATGTTCAAGAATATCGGCCGGATAGCCGTAGACATGTACCTGCTTTTCCAGCACCATACCACGCTGGAGGTCCTTCGAAACGTCAGCCATGATCTAGATCTGTTCACCGTCACAGGCCAAGGCTGGCACTTCATCAAATATCTCGGTCCCGCCGTGGTCGTGGTCGGTGTCGATCTCCGGTCGGAGCGAACGCAAAACCGCGTGCTCGCAGGCCCGACATACCAGGGCTTATTCCCTAAGGTTGCGATGCTACCGCCTAGCGTCCAGCACTGCCTCTGGATGCTATCGGTGCCCATTGTCTACCCGCGACTAGACACTGTGGAAAGCCTGGCCAATACATTCGCGACGGGTAAGAAGGCGGTCAACATGTCGTACAACGTGTTAGGCAAGGTCACAAGCTCGGTGGCGGGCATCGTCGGCGGCAAGGAAATGGTCGCACAAGGCTTCAACCAAGTCAAGAAGGCCGTCGGAAAATCGGGCCTCATGGGCAACGTGGTCAACCAGTTCGGCGACCTGGACATCAGCGAGATCTTGAAGGATATGTGGACGCACGACAGCAAGGACCTCGAGCGGACGTACCTGATTCGCACGCTGCAGGGCATCTCACACCAGAAGGGCTTGCGCATGACGTTCTTATCCGGAGGTACGTTAATTTTCCATACCCCCTTTTCTGTCACCCTTTCATCCCTTTCTTTCCCTCATCCCACCCCTTACAAGATCATAAATAAATATCAGCTATTCCTAACAAACAACCCCAGACGTCAACGCCGCAGGCGCAGGCCTCGTGCACGACCCCGCGCACCCTTCCGACCACAAGACAATGTACCAAATCATCACCTCGCCGATCGTCGCCGCGCCCGCCGCGCCGTACATCCTCAAGATGCTGCACAACAACCGCGCGCACTACATCCCGGCCAACGGGCAGCGGTCGGCGGCGAACGAGGTCAGCGACACCAAGGAGGACATGATGGAGATCTTCCACACCGACGCCTCGGGCGCCCCGCGCGAGCTCAAGAAGCTCATGGGCCGCCGCAACTACGTCGCCGTCCTCGCCTTCGACCCCGACGCCGTGCCCGCCACGCCGTACGGGCCTAATGCCGCCCACCTCCAGCAGCATGCGAATGGTGGGTTGAATCGTTTGAGTCTTGCGGTGGATTTCGTGGTTCAGGGGGACGGCGCGTTTACGGCGCCGACGAAGTATGGTCCGGTTATTGTGCCGCATCTTGAGTTTGGGCGGTGATGACAGGAAACTACGGGTGGGAGAGGCCTATTTTGGTAGGGTGGAGTAGAGTAGAGTAGGGTGTCTTCCGTCCTACGAAAGGGGGGGTTATTGGACGAGTCGCGAGGGTGAGAAAGGAGAAGGGGAAACGCATGATGAATGACATTTATAGCCGTCCGGGGCGAAGCAAGCCTGGAATTTGGTCTAGGGCTTTGCGCTTGACTTCTTGGATGCGGGATACCTTATATTATACAGTATGTCTAGGTAGGAGGTAGTCATGCTTGAATGATAAAGTCAAAGTTACGAAAGATATTTCTTAATTTCTCCCCGAGGTGCATGTCTACCGCGACTTCATATCTCGCATATTATGTAACAGGCAATAAACGGAGTGGTACCCAGTGTTATTCTTGTGACTTTTTGTATTTTTAAGGGGATTTTCGAGGTGAAGTTTTACGCAGCTAGATATAAAAAGACGTTTCTAAACCCATTATGCGGCTAAAGCGCCCTCTACCTTTATAGGCCTTTTCTTTTTCGTCGGTTCTGTTTATCTGCTCTAGTATCGGCCAGATCTAGTTGGATATTTTTTGCTTCCGTCTTATGAAAACCTATTTCCTATCTTCTCGCGGCTCGAGGTCTGGATTCAGTTCTAGAAACTGGCTGTGCTCATATGTGAGAATCTGTAAGTAACTTATAGGTCGAAGATCTCCTTTATCTGCTTCAAGCAGTCTTCGGGTCCCTTGACAGAGTGCCCAATGGTGCGCGGGTCGACGTAGATCTCGTAGTCGTTGCCGCCCTTGTCGGTCTTGTCGCCGAAGAAGTGGATCGTCGTGTACTGGATGCCGCCGGGCTTCTTGGCCTCGTCCTCCAGGTGCTTCAGGCAGTACGTCTTGTCCCAGCCGGTGGGGAAGACATCGAAGGAGATCTGACCACCGATGGAGAAACTGTTTGTTTTTACCACATTAACTTTTTCTCTCTTCTTTTTCTTTTTCTCCCTTCCTTTTTAAGTAGGAGATAACTTTAAGAGAGGGCGCTTACGTCAGACCCAAATGTCCAAACTTCTCCCTCATCTTCTCGACCATGGTCTCGCGGATCTTGTTCTTCAAGTCATACGCCTGGTAGTCGTTGCGTTCCTGCGTGCTAGCGTTACGGCCAATTGGCGAGACGTTGATCATGCCGTTACGGAACTCGATAAAAGTACCGCGCTTGACCGGGATGTCCAGGTCCGCGATGTAGTGCAGGATCCAGTTGGCCAGCTCCTTGTACTTGTCCTCGCCGATGTACTTGATGAAGCTGTTGGAAGGCAGCTCCTGGCCCAGCTTGAAGGCCGTCAACCCGTTCTCGCTGAAGCAGAAGTCGAACATGGACGTCACGGGCCGGTCGCCGGTGCCCAGCTGCTCTTGCTGCTTGACCAGGTTCGATCCGCCAACGTACCCGATGGCGACTTTTTGTCGCAGCTTCTCGAGAGTCTGGAGCATTTCCGGGGAGACGGAGAGGCGGGCAGGGGTGAGGGTCTCGTCAACATCGAAGAGCGCAATGGTGTTCTTGATCGGGCGGTCCTCTAGGGGAGGGTAGGGAGGAACGGCGGCGTCCATGATGTCGGTATTTTTCTCTATTTGTTTTCTTCTTGTTGAATTTTATATCCTTCTGAGCGAGAGACTAGCTAAGATTATATGTTAGAGTTAGGAACGCGTGTCCTCAAGCAGAGAGATTATTAGGTAGTGTTTTCATCAAAAAGTCAATGGCTGCGCCTCGATATAATAAAACACTCGGACCCCTGTAAATCTGTAGTTGGAGGGGGAGGGGCTGAGGGGTAAATTCGTGTTAACGAAGGCGGTCAAGAAAGTAGGGGGGACATGCACCAATTGAAGCTCGATCTGGTCCACATGCTCCACACTAGATCGAGTACCTAGGTACGTACCTAAATAGGGGTAGCATTTCGTATTTGTTCAATATTCCTAATAGAAAATAGGTATTCTATACATTTTTAAACTAATCTTCATCCGAACGATACAAATACAAACTTCTAATGTATTTCGAACGTCCCGATCTCCAGCTCACCTTTTTTAACCATCTCAGCCGGCTCTCCATCTGGCAAGCCCGTAGCAGCATCCCACATGTGTTAAGGACGAGCCTCCGATCTCTACTTTACAATTGAATGGAGATGTACAACCACATATTTCCAAATGCCTCCATGAAATCTAACATATGGCGGTAGTTACCCCTTTTCCAGCCGGTGATTAAAACACGACAACATCCATCCTTCCACTAAATCTACTAGTTCCATTCCAGACACACCTTGTATTATTAACCATACGTATGTTTTGACATTTCGAAGAACTATTCAGACGAATTCATAGCATGATTTCCTAGAGCTCAATATCGTCAAGTTCACACTTAGTCATGAACCACCACTCGGTCACACTTGCGGCATAGCTCTCAGCATTGAGCGTCTCCGGGTATGGAGGCGGGTCCTTTGGTGGGTTTTTCCGAAGGGCCTTGACCCAGTTGTCATGAAGCTGGCGTGCCGCCGTGGGAGGGTTGTCTGTGTAACCAGAAGCTTCGTAAATATCCTCTGTCCCGGCGGAGGAGAAAGGTTGACTAATAAGTCGTCAATCTTAGTAACGTCTAGTGCGGGATGACTAACACGACGTAGGTAGACACAAACTTACCCTTCAACAGGACGTCTCGTGAAACCAGCACGGATTCCGGCTTCGTCCAAATGAGTGAGCTCGTGAACTATCGTGGTCCCGCCCACCTCGAAGTTCAGAAATTTATACCCAGGCTTGCACCAGCTCTCCTCGTAGCGCTTTGGTTTTAGCTTGTAGGGTTCTGAGTCTAGGTTGCGACTGGTGGCCGGCTCCCTGAAGAACTGTGGACAAAACCGCATTTGAGGAGTGAAACTGCTGCTTTCTGGTCCTACGTCGGTCACCACCAAGGACTTCTTCCCACGACTGATACAGACGTCATCGTATTGACAAGTGATTTTCACCGTGAATTGATTGAGCTGGATCTGTGGGCCTGCGCCAGATTGGTGAGAATCGGGTGCTGGGGGCTGCCATTGCTCTCCGATTGCAGCCAACATTTTCTGGACACTATCGTATTGGTCATCCCGGAAGTAGTGTGTGAATCTACGTAGTAGATATCATGTTAATTGGTCTATAAGTAGGTCAACTAAAGATCTATAGAGCACTCACGCAAGAGACGATCTGAAAGTTTGGGGCCCTCGATTTTGGGTAACTTGTCGTGCTATGACAGCTGCGTCTTGGAAGGCCCTGTTGATATGGTTTCTCTGGTCATCACTGCACTCTGTGTAACCGGTGTAGTCTCTGGAGAGAATCGTTGGTTCTCCTTCGGCTGTAGGCGCGCAGGCAACCTGGCCTAAGGGGACAAGGAGGCCTAGGAGTAAAAAATTAAAAGGTCGAAGAAGTCCCATGGCGGTTATAAATTCTGGTTTATTAGTTGGATGATAGGTTTCTATGATTGAGGGAGAAAGAGGTCATGGCATACCATTCTTTTGGTTCCCTTTTATATTGCCCTATTCACCATTCTTCCGCTCTACTCTTCTTGACAAGTATGTCATCCATGATCCTCCAAACGTACTCCATCCTCCATGATGAATAGCGCTTACTATGTATACAAGAATGTCTATTCTATATTCTGACCGTAGGAGATTCCTTGATCGAGTCTGGTGAGCTGTCCACCTGGACCCAGAGGACTCAGAAGATTTTAAAATATGATACAGTTTAACTGCTTGTTTTCTTTATTTAGAAACGTGCAAATTATCTCCTTTTCGATTGCTAACATTCGACTAAGGGATTAGAGAGCTAGAGATCCTTCAAACTAGCGTATGTCTTATAGCTACGACTTCGCCGTAGCTGGGTAAGCTAGTTCTTACAACTCGTACTCGATATCGTGAATCATTGGTAACTAAAGCTCGCTATGTGTGTATCTCAAACATATTGAAGACATCCTACGTGTAACACTGATGCCGGTATCCTTGAATCTAAAAGCCAAACCAATATTAGCAACAGTAACCCAGGTTTATCCCTGGGAAACCTCTTAAGAGTATATTACCCGTCACGTGCTTGTCGTCTTACCTAGGTATCTTATATCAACATCGATAATATCTAAGTTCTCATCCTAGACTAACATTTACTAAGCAACTCTCCCCCCTTATACACTTCGCATTCCCCAAAACCCCACAAAGTCGATTTACCATGTCTTCGAAACCTTATGCAGAAATTGAACTTTCCGTCTCTGTCTCACCAGACACAGTAAGCCTATCGCGACTCGATGAGCCGTTGAACATCATCGTTGCGGCGAAGACAATCTCCTCTAGCAAGCCGTCGTCCGGGGTAGTCATCAACACAAGATGGACTGCTTTGGATGATAGAGGAGCAGGCCTGTTCATGGGTGCTCTATTCCTAAAGAGCATATCAGATCCAGCCAAAGTCATTCCATTTGCCCCTGCTGTCAGCGCTCCCTACCCTTCTCACCCGCCATCCGATCTCCGCAAGAGCGAGCTCGAGCTTTTCAAAGTGGTGCCGGGGGTCGATAAGGGCGAATTGACCGGGACTCATGAGATAAACGGGGAGAGGATTTTCCAGTATAGCACAAAGACACGCGTATGTCTAGACACCTAGGTATCTAATACGCAATTAAGTCATGAGATACTGACGTTGCCTGACACTCTAGCCCTCTGATATCTCTCCCGGCTCAGAGTACCGCATTGAATTTGCACGCAAGCGCCTGGGGGCTTTCTGGTGGACATTTGAAGACGAAGCTGAGGGGAAGATGTTCTTCGACGGGATGTTTCCGGATGAGGATGACTGCTTCGGATTGAGAGCCGAGGACCCGGCGTTTATCGAAGAGCGTTATAAAGAGGGCTACCTCTACAGTTACCAGATGAATGATCTGAAATATAGCATAAACGAAGACTCATCAACGACTATTAGGTTCGTTGAATGAGTCACTTTTGAGTTAGTAATCTTCAAGCCCCTTACCTGGACGGGGTACAACACGACATGGCAATGGAGAACTACTACGATAGAATGGAACGGATGGATATTTACCTAAATAGGTACCCAGGTAGGGAATATGGATACGCATGGAATTGATGGTTTTCGTATGCTCATAGTGATTCTCGCTTACCCCCCCCCAACGATATGTCTTTTCTCTCCCTATAATACCTAGTACTAGAAAAAACAGACGAAAGTAGCATCTTGTCTCTCTTTTCATACAGTCCGTGCAATCAAAATTATCACTTCTTCTCCGTCTCTTTTCCTTACCTAGGTACTTTCGGTCACCTTCTCCCCTCCTTTGCCTTTTCTCGCTTCTACCACTATTAAGTCGTCGTTGTCGTCGTCGTCGTCGTCCTCTTCATCATCGTCGACTTCCATGTCCATCTGTGAAACGAACAGCTTATCCAACTCATCTGACCCCCCTGACTCTTGAGCAAGTAGCTCCCTATCCATATCATCCAAGGGTCCCGGAGGCTTGATCTTGCCCGACCCGACCAAGTCCCTAATACTCAGGCCTAACCTATCATTCTCGCCCTCAGCTTCCCTCAGCAACTCCAGTAATCTGTGCTCTTCCCACAACATAGCGAAATTAGGTCGAGTAACGTTCCCAAACCTCAATCCTTCTTCATCCTCCCCCCTTTCCGCCTTACTCTTTTTGTTTCTATCCTGTTCCTTTTCCCACTGCTCTTCCATCTCTCTTATCCATTCCCTTGCTCTTTCCCTTTCTGCTTTCTCTCCCTCGGTTCTCTCTCTTGGCTTATCTACCTTCCGCTTGACGAAGGGAATCTCCGTCTTCTCGGACCTGACGATTCTCTCCGAGAGGGGCTTGCTGGCGTCTTCTTCGTCCTAGCGGGTTGCTTCTATTTGTCGCTCGTACCACTTGTCTCGGTTTTTCCCCATACCTAGGTAGTTTTCCAATAACCCTACTATGGGGGTTTTGTATGTATGTTTATGGTAGCTGGATATTGTCAAACACTACGTACCTAAATGAGTTGTTTGGAATATAATAAAAAAATCCAGTAAATAAACGGTATGTTGAAATGGAACGAAAGCTCCAGATGTGTGTTCGGTTATGCCTTATATCTGGCAGATGCTGTACGTTGTTACCCCTAAGTGGCGGGTATCCCTCTATTTAGTAGGTAGTGACTGTACGATTGCGTGGCCCTTCCGACACCATAGCTGTTGTGACCAAGATAACGTCGACTGGGAGTGCGGTAAGGTCATGTAGGACTATTTTAAGCATTGCTGAATCTGTTTCTGCATGGAAGTGAGTGGTAGGAGACATAAATGGTGGGATGGTGGTATTTCCATAACGACGCTTAATCATTGGATGTTGAGGGGCCAAGACTCGAGCTGTTCACTATGTGAGAATGATGGATAGGAATGTTAGAAGGGATGCCAAATGATAAACTCTCCAAGAAAAATTGAGTATGCAAACCTAGGTATATATCGGTTTTCGTACCAACGTGTAATCAGAAGAATCCGCGGCTCAGCTTTTTAGTGTTTTATCCCCTTAGTCTTATCCATTGACACAAATTAGGTGCATGGCTACTTATCCTATAAGCTAGAGCATCATCAAGGATATAACGTCTCTCGATGCGATACTCTGCTATACCGGCCCTGAGGACCACCCACACACTTGAATGCAAACAGGAAATTCATTTAGATAGATCGCTTTTCAAATTATATTCCTGTTTGGAATAGTCGCTCAAAACGCCATGCTAAGCTCGAACCATTTTAATTTCTTACAATCGTACACTTGGATAATAGAAGCATTTCGTAATCTCGTCTCTGTCGCGCAACGCACTGACTTAGGCTATTTCCTGCCACACTCCAGTGACCTCGATGGCCAGATTCACAATCGTGCTAATAGACCAAAGTCCTATTAAACTCCAGCCGATCTTTCTGTTCATCATCCATTTGTTCATTGGTACGACAGTTAGCAACGCAAGGAGTGTGAAAAGTAAAGTAATAGCGGAAATCATCAGCGTCCCGCTAACTTGTATGTGGTATGGCTCATAGAGTATCGGGTCGTCCGGATGTTTTATTTTCCTGCGTTTTGCTGCGTTTATTGTTTGATACGCGCCTCCAAGGCCGATGCCGAGCAGTATGTTCAACAAGGGGCCGCCGAAACAGGCAGATCTACGCAAGGTTAGCTGAGCGGATCAACATGATTTCTATTCTGGGAACGACGTACAAAGCCATCACTGGGTAACCCAGTCGAGCGACAGTTACATCCGCAACTAGGTCTCCCACCGAATTGCCAACTGCAAAAATGGTAAGGCCCAGTATCGCTTCTGATATGTCTAGGATCACCCCGAATGCTTTTAGCACCCCAACTACTTCACCAGCAATTGTAGAGATCCAGGCGATCGATATGCAGAATCCTAGAAAGCAGAATAAGAAATGATACTTAGGTCGACGATCAGAGGACGTTGTCAGAAGTATGACAACCAATATAAATAGAGAACAAACAACCGAAATTAGCACCGCTTTCCAGAGAAAAGTGAAAGGTTGATCAAGATCCTCAGCCATGTTTGCCCAGACGATAAAAACGCAAAATATTGGACCGGTGAAAACCTGGAGGATCAATAGCCAGCGGTTCCATCCTTGTTCTTCGTCGCTCAGCGTTGAACTCGTCTGTTCGGGCTCCGAGGCAGGTTTTGATATATGTACATCTGAAGGGGCAAAGACCGGTATCGCCTGGGGTTGGTCTGACCCCTGCGCACCATTCGTTTGCGTATCGTTGGGGGGATTTAGAGAGATAAAGCTAGCATGGCTAGGTGAGCGGCTCCGACTAGATGCTCGAGATCTTGTGCTCCGTCTGTACCGCTGCCACTCTGTTTCGGGCTGAATAGAGAACTCCGGTTCGAAGGACACCGACGACACTGGCGCTGCCACATTCCCTATTTGCTCTGAGGCTAATTGTTCTACAATACTTCCTTCTGAGTCATCTTCCGGTGCTTCGGTCTCTACCACAGGCAGTGTAATGACTAGAAAGAATATGCTGGGCACGGATATCACGCTGACGAATTTATCCCAGATGCTTTTGCTCTTCCAGCCTTGTAAAGTAGGGAAAAGAGTATAAAGTATGGTCTGTGGTGGAGGCAATAACTGGTAGGGCCACCATCTGATGGGTCTCGAATTTCTGTTTTCAACCAGATTGCGGAGCGACGCATTTCGCTCTTCCATAGAGGGCGGCAGCACTATATGTGGAGGTTGGTGAGGATTTTCTGCAGTCGCAAAGGGTGATTCTGTAAACGCAGGGAACGGTGATAATGATGGCGAAGACCTCTCACTGTCACGAGGTGGACTTGGGATGCGGAGGCGATGTAGCTGCGGTTTCCGCGACGGATCCTCCGAAGTCGAACTCTCCGCATGATGACCGCCTAAAAGATCGTTGGGCGGAGGAGCTAACTTCCCTCCTATGGTGTGTGGGCTAGGGGCCCTACCTCTATCCTCTGCCGATTCTTGAGGGGCAAGGTCAACATCAACAGCAATTGGGACGGCCCCGGATGACCGTGAGCGATTTCTAACGATGACGGAAGCATCCTTAGTGTCCTGAATCGTTTGTACACTCTTGTTCCCCCGAATAATAGCATGTCCCTCTTGCAAAAGATCGGCAGAATTGCTACGACCATGGTGTATTGGTCGCATCCGTAGGTTTCCTTCGTCTTGTAATGACGACAATACTGACCTGAATTCCAGCGCGCCAACTAGACTGGGCCGGATTGGGGTGATGGTCGTCGTGTTACTTCTCCTTCCACGCGGACGATTCACTCGCATGCTGCTCGCCACCTCTGCAGCAACATGTTGGCTGCGGTCGCCATCGTCGTCGTCAGGTGAGCCGACCTCGATTCTGGGCCCTCGCTCTAGCGCACTGATATCAGATCCGCTCCTCCACGAAGTACGACGCTCTGCCGGTGGAACGTCTTCGTCATCCGGGTCATCTCTATAGGGCTCCAATGCATCATCCCCGTGTTCGTTTGCGGATGCATAGAAGTGGCCGCGAGATTGGGCCTCCTTAGCTCGCTGAGCTGTTCTCCTCTTGACGACTGCATGCCAGCCGACCACTACGATGACGTAGAAAATGTAGAATGCGATCATGGCGGCGCATTCCCATAAATGCAGGTACCCGTCGGCCAAGAAGCCCATGGCAAAACTGACGGCCGCTATAAAAAAGCAGATGTCTCGCACAAAGGTCTTCCTCGAAACCTTGAATTCGCGTACTAGGGCCATAGAGCCGGCAACGACAGACGTGATGAAGCCCGCAGCACCAATTAACTCGCCGATGGCCATGCTCCCACTATTGGAGCCCATGGCGGCGAATGTACTGAACACATCCGGCGAGCCATTTCCCAAAGCCAAGAAGGTGACCCCGGCAAGGCTTTCACTCAAACCGAGGACGGTTGCGATGGTGCTAAGGTTGACGCTGAAAAAGTCACTAGCGGCTATGCCGATAGTGGTGAACAGAAGGCCTAACCAGAGGGCCAGTATAATGAAGGCGACGGGTTGTGCGCGCTCAAGGTCGCAGTAATAGAATGTTAAATATTCTATAATGCCTGCTTCGTCATCTTTACAATTGAGCCTTACAAAGGCACACTTGTCTGGCGCATTGTGAACTAAGCGACAGTCTTCACCGGATCGCGCAGTTAGAGAGGGGGATTCCTTTGATGAGACTGTTGGCGCTCGAATAAATATACTATATGTGGCGAGAAGTGTAATAATGAATATCGTCGTGTAGAATGGCCGAGAGCTGATGGCGCCCCTCCTCCAAGATAAGGAAGTATGCATTTTGGCTTGGCCGGCTGGGTGCGATCAAAATGCCATAGCCAGGAGAGAAATAGGGGATTGTGACATGGATAATATGATGAGATTGACAAATTGTACGATGAAGCCGGGTTCTAAAAACGAGCGAAAGGATGAAATATGATATACAAGAACGATTGGGAACGATTTGGGAAGATGGTAATGATATCGATTTAGGTATTAGGTATTTCTTGGGTATCTCTTAGGAGGTGGTATTGATGAAGTGGTGAGCTCAGGTTCTGCTGAAAGGCCAATCAACTACCCGGTCGGTACCTTGTCGATACTACTCAAGTACATTACCCTACGTCCCGTTGACGTGGACGACAGAAGGAACCCCGGACATTACATGTGTATGTCTATGTGTATGTCTGTAACTTAAGCTAGTGCGTCAGATCCTTCCCAGACCGCTGGAATTGTAAGGCATTGATAGGTAAGTATAGATGGGCGGCCTCCGACAGTTTATGACGTCGGTATCAATATTTTCGTATGCGCTGTGACTTGGCGAATGTTAGGTCGAGACATTTTCAAGATTTCACGGAAACTTTAAGAGAATGTTTGAAGGAAACGTTTAAAAGAAGAGATCCGGGTGATCAATTGATCTGCTCCTGGCTCCTAGATAATCCGTAAGTGCCTAAGTGCGTAAGTACGTACCTGGATAGGGAGTTCCGATCAAGTATCGCACTCGTACTTTGCCAAGGAAGGCTATGTAAGCATCAATTGGCCGTTTTCTAATTGGACCAGTAGGAGCGGTTGGAGGTACGCCACAAGCGGTTGGAGGTACGCCACAAGCGGTTTGAAACCTTCTCCTAGCGCCCCTTTCGACATCTTTGTGGCTGTGGCGCAGCACTGGAGAGTTCGGAGACTTGCAGAGAGTCAGCTTTCCATCTCCCCGCCAAAACCCCAATTTTGAACATAATAGGTTTAGCTTATTTTTGCATTGTTTACTTGCGCAAAGTCCAGGTTCATCCGACCCAGCGCAGCACATAGCACACACACAACTCCGAGTTGGCAACGCGACACACACATACATAATTTTGCGACCTGCATCTCGGCCCAATCCACAAACAACCCAAATACATGCGCATCCAGAACAAACGAAGATGCCTCGGGTAGCTCAGGTTCCTCGCGCCAGCGTCAGCAGTCGAACAACAACTGGTTCATCCGGATCTCCTTTCAAATCCCCATTAAAGTGAGTAAACTTGGGTCGACTTAGTCAGATGTTTACACCGGTTGTTACGGCAGCCCCCGCAACCAAAACTCTAACTGCCGAAAACAGGATCCCTCTCAACGACGACGCACGCGAGAGAAAGGGGCGACTTCACTCAAGGCGAGCCCTTCACGAAAGACAGATTAACGACCTGCAGGCCGCTGCGGCGACGCCTGCGAAGAAAAGGCTGGCTGATATCGATAATGGGTCTCCCCGCTCGAATCCGCGCACGCCGCGACGCGCTGGGGATGACGACGACGATGTCTATGTGGCCGGCACCAACAGCGGCGTGACGCCTATGAAGCGCATGCCTATCTTGGCCAATTTCGAAGAATGGATGAAGATGGCCACCGACAATAAGATCAATGCCACCAATTCTTGGAATTTCGCCCTTATCGACTACTTCCACGATATGTCACTGCTAAAGGATGGAGACGGTGTCAATTTCCAGAGAGCCAGTTGCACCCTAGACGGTTGTGTCAAGATCTATACGAGCAGAGTCGACAGTGTAGCCACAGAAACAGGCAAACTACTCAGCGGCCTCGCAGATAGTAATTCCAAGAAGAAAGATAGGGAAGGCGATCAAGATGGCGAGGATAGCGAAGAGGAGGTCGACGAAGATGGGAACGTAATTAAGAAGAAAACGAAGAAGAGAGTGAGCTTGACCGTTCGTAACACATCAAATGTAGGCACTAATCACTATTCTACAGCAACGGTCCTCAGAAGCAACTCTCGTACCATCCTTCGCTTCCTTACAGCTCAAGAAGTTCGAGCTTGAATTCGGAGTGGACCCCTTATTCAAGAAAGCTTCAGCAGATTTTGACGAAGGTGGTGCTAAAGGTCTCCTACTAAATCACCTTATGATCGACGGCCAAGGTCGCATTGTATTCGATAGCAGTGATGACACCAACGATGCTTCTGCAAAGGGTAGTAAGCCTCGACGGAGAGAAGATGCCGCAGCAGACGAAGAGGACGAAGAAGCAGACGACCAGTCGGAGGCAACTATCACAGAGGAGCAACCTGCTCAAGAAGAAGATGACGTAGAGATCGACATTAGCGCTCTCGGTGCCAAATTCTTCCCAGACCTTAGCAGGTTAGACGAACAAGATATCTGCCCCTCGTTGAAGACTTTCGAACTCGGCAATCCGTCAGGTTCTATGGAATTACCCTTCCTACGCGCCTCGGAGAATGACGACGACGACACAGACCTTAGTGGAACCAATGTTGGCGGTGACAAATCCGGCATGTTCATCGATGATGACAATCCTGCTGCCTTTGATGACATGACGGCCATGGGAGGTTTCGATATTGCCGAAGTCGCGTTCGGCGAAGGTGGCGAGGCATGGGCGCGGGAAGCTGCCCTGGAACCTCAGATGCGACCTTATAACGTGGACGCTGATGATGGTATGCCTGGCATAGACGGAGCTGACGGCGTCGAGGAGAACAACGGCGACTACATCATCTCTATGAAGCACGCCAAGAGCGGAGATAAGATGCACGAGGATATCCTAGGCTACTTCGACCAAGCTCTTCAGAAGAACTGGGCCGGCCCGGAACACTGGAGGATACGGAAAATCAAGGATGCCAATAAACCCGAGACGACTACTCGTCAACGAAAGGAGAAAGAGCCTTTCGAGATAGACTTTAAATCTCCTCTGGACCAGAAATTAGCCGATACCATCTTCACGCAGGCGGCGAGTAACTCTGCTATATCTATGCCTAAGAAAGACTGGAAATCCAAGACGCGGAACCTGCTGCCGGATGATAAGCATTTCAACTCGACGCAGCTGCTAAGCCTATTCCTAAAACCAAAGGCCCGGATGAGTCGCCGCAACCGCTTCGGCAACAAGGGCGGCCTGTTCGGAAGCAGCGGCGGCAGCGGCCAGGACATGAACGTGGCGCCGGGCGACATGAACGAGGCCTTCTGGGCGCAGAGGGAGCCGCAGCAGAGCGCGGAGCAGGACACGGTCCTGCCCACGGGCGACTACGACGCGAACTTCTTCGACGACGAGATGCCGCTGCCCGGCGGCGGCATGTTGGACGACGACGACGACCTCGAGTTCGCCGACGCGAGGGACCACTTCTCACCAGGCGCCGACGTCCCCGTCACCCAGGACATCGGCATCACGGGCATGCTGGACAACGGCATGACGACCGGCGGGTTCGGGACGCAACTGGTCACGTCGACGCGGAGACTACGGCCCGAGTACGTGCAGTACGCGCGCGTGGCGAAGAAGGTGGACGTGCGTCGGCTGAAGGAGGAGCTCTGGAAGGGAATAGGATTCCCCGAGACTCCGGTGGTAAGTTCACAAAATGCCTTTTTCAAATTCCAATTCGCGAATTTTATTCTTAATTCAATTCAATTCAAATCTAACATAACTAACCTATATAGGACCCCGACCGTTCAAGACTGCCCACACCCCCGAGCCCGGAGAAGGCCAAGGAGGTGCCGACGCTCAAGTTCACGGAGGTCATGAACGATTTGCAGACCGTGTACCCCAAGACGACCATGGACGACATCTCGACGAGCTTCTGCTTCATCTGCCTGCTGCACCTGGCCAACGAGAAGGGTCTCGTCATCGACAATACGCCCGAGCTGCTCGAACTTGAGATCCGGAAGGATTGGACGGCCGAGGTTACTGGCGAGATCTGATCCCCCTTACTAACCCGGCATAAGGTCGCACATCTGATTCGCTCATTTTTCGTTCATTCAATCAGTGAATCGTCAGATCATCTATTAAACTACGAATAGTGGTTTCAAGAGTCGGGGAGAAAAGGGGGCGCAAACGGAAAGAGAATATGCACGTGATATGACGATCGGGACGGGAAGGCAAGCAAGCAAGCAAACGTTTTGTGTGATGATGATGGGTCACTGCTTATGATGACGGTTCCAGTTTGGTCGGCGTACCACTCTGCCTTACAATGTCTGGTTACGGGATGACGAACATAAGTTGTATGCATATGGATCGTTTTAGGTACTTGATCGCGTGCCCCGTTCATATCTAATCCATCCACTTTTCGATTTCGATTTCGGTTTCGGTTTCGTGCCGTGCCGAGTAGAGTTATCGTTAGCCGGGAGATGACATTACGGAAAAAGGTAACGACTAGTCAAGGAATGGCGTCAAGTATGCAATGCAAAGCAAGCTCGCCACCCTAAGAAATCGCCAAGACCGATGAGGCGTAAATCTTGCATTGGTTTGGATAGATGTGGCAACTTATGATATAATTACTCGATGCGGCTCCTTGTTCTCGATCTATTTCTCGCAGCAATGATACTCTTGTCTTGCCAAAATAGCGAAATACATACATAATATCATTGGCAATTGGCTACCAAGACAAGATATACTAAGACAGTATGGCACGGAAATAGGACGTGCCTAGGAAGCCTCGAACGTCATGAAATTTTCACCAAAAAAAAGTGGAAGTGTCCGCTCCCTTATATCCGTAAATACATGAAGCCCGCCCCAAAGACCTTTCAACCTCTCAACGCCAAAGATTTTCGGCTCTTTCTCTCACAAGAGTGCCGCTTCGAGTAGTGCCTAAAAACAAAACTCCTATATAGGTATAAAAAAAGACCTGTAGTGATAGTCAATGGTAACGGAAATCACATCTGATTGTGCAAACAACATCAATGTCAAACGTGGAAAAGCCCCCTTTTCGTAAAGACAAAAAAAACAGTCGCTGTAAACATCACAGATGTAGAAAATGGGTATTTTAGATGGAATAGATTCAAAGTCTTTGCAGCAAGATTTACCGGGCTCTCCTCCAACATAAGAGACGCAAAGCCTGTTGTGTCCGGATGATAACTGCCAAAATGATCGCATTTAAGTGTCATGTCGTGTTGCAATTTCCAAACGCTCATTTCCCTCCCAGTTAATACCAGTCATGAATATAAATTTCGTAAATGCCATGCTCCGCGTACTCTTAACATGCAAATGTGATTAGTGCAGAAATCCACGAGAAATATAGTAAGGGAGGGGATAGCAATAATCTTGTACCCGCTTTACTGTCGATCGACAATTTCTCGCGCTTTAAGAAGGGCACTAATGCCGTCAAGAGTATTCTCATTGGAGCTATTAAACTTCGAAGTAGGAGAAGCCTTTGATTCAGCGGGTCCGCTGAAAGTGCCCTCTTTTTGAAGGCTAGGAATCGAATACTTCGGAGTAGTTGGTCCCGGAGGGAATCCTTACAATAAGCATTAGTTGTGTCAAGTCAAAATTCCTAGGGATAAACATACCGTTACCACTTGACTGGTCACCGGGTGGGCGGCCAGACTGTGGTTGAAATATCGGTAGCGGCGCTTGCTGGGCAGGTGCCGGACAAGGAGGATACGACGTCTCGGGCTTTGTCAAAAGAGCATGTATTGGCAACGATGCATCGCTCGGCGTTCTCGGGATGGCGTAGGAATTAAGTGAGCTTACACTTCCGGTCGAAGATTGCTCGGTCTTTAATGAAGGCGGCCGTGACATAGACGCTGATCCAGAAGATCTCGATCCCCGACCAGACCCGCCGTTTGGACCATGAATTGGAGCGGAGTTAGGTAATCCATTTTCTGGTGAATGTACCAAAGTTCCTGTAACACCTCTCGGGTCAAACCAGGAAGTGACTGTGCTGGGAGACTCTCCATACATCCGTTGGCTATCAGCCCAACCCGGCCGACGACTTGAATGCATCGTGAGGTCACGTGAAGTCGGACTCGATAATCCCCGAGGTCGCCCGCTATTTGGCTCGTCGTATAATATAGTCCTCGGCGAATGCAACTGGTCATCTCCGTGATGCATCGCATTCAACCCCGGCGAGAAACTACTTTCAACGGTCGATGCCGAAGAGCCCATCCTTTGCTGACGCGAAGGAGGAGGCTCGCTGCCGGGTTGACTGTCAGAACCGCTCACCGTACCGCTCGTTGTACCACTGGCGCCTGTTGAACCCCCACTGGTACTACTACCGCGGATACTGTCAGCTTCTGTCTTCAGACGTTTAGAGACATCTTTTTCTATTTTATCTGTTAGACTACAAACTTCTTGAGCATTATGGGGAGGGGAGGTTGTTGCTTTACCTTGTAATTGAGCTGCTTGTCTTTTACGAAATTCATGTAAGTAATCGCAGTACTTCCTATACTCAGCCGTCTTTTTATAGTCTGCTAGCTCACGATTGTACTTCTCCTTTGCCTCATGTGCTTGCCTTTCGAATGGCTCTTTTTCATCCCGTGTCAAATTTTGCCAATTCTCGCCAACCAACTTAGCAATCTCCGTGAATGTCAAATTTTGGCCCTTTAAGTCTTCTCGCATTTCTGAATTTGTCAGCAGGTGGCTCTTGCGTCAAGCAGTACCGGAGCAATGATCCACAATCGTTGCGACTCCCACTATGGGGGATATAACTTACTGTTTGAAAATAGCACGTACGCCGAGGGTGGCCGCTCCGGAGCATTTTCATCTGGCTATTATACTGTTAGTTCTCTGTTCCATACCACGAGAGGAAACGACATCAAAACCACCCAACAGCGAAAATGTAGAATATATATTAAATGGTGAAAAGCACGAACCTTCGGATGCCGTCGGTATTTTCGTTTCGCAACGCCGGCCCCATCTGGCTTGTCGGATTTCAAGGGCTCGATCCGGTTCGAGTCGAGCTTAGCATCTTCAATGCTGGTACGAGTAGGAGATACTAAGGACGTCTCGGGCGCAACACCTCTGTAGTTCGCAATCCGGCGCTGTAGTTTCTTTGTAATAGTTAGAATTGTCTCTCCTGGTCAACACTGGAGGGGTCGCCTTACTCTTCGATGGCCGAGCTTAACGCCAAGTGCATCCCTAAAATGTTGTCACGTCAGCCATTGACTCTAAACAACGGCATACAACAAAGCTTACAGGTCAGATTCGGTGATATCCAGAATCGTTTCCCATGAATCGAAGCCTTGGTCGAAAAAGGCCTCGAGGTACTGAGAAATACCTAGCTCGCCAAAGATGACCTCGAGGGAAGTCATATAGCTGATTTTGGCCGCGTCTCTGCGGGTCAATCGCTAGAATTTTAATTCAGCATCAGGCTTCCGGACCGGCAATTACGACGTTACTCGTGAGCAGCGGTTTTTGTTTGGGCGGGCGGGCGAACCGTTCGAGAGTCGATGTTGTTGTTTGGCAGATAGACCCAAGCGATCCAAAGGTTCGGATGACAACTCGACCTTTTCCGACAACGACACCCCCAATATACACAAGCGCCAGACGCTTCTTCGTCACTGAAATAACTGGTCTAATAACCAGCCTACTGGGGTAGCGTCGGGATTTTGTTCCAAGGTTGCCTTCCCACGGCACTAACAGTCTGCAACCGCAACGAAACGGGATTCCGAAGCTACGTAGAGATGGAGACGCGTCGTGGGTTTGATGCGAAGTTCAGGTGTGGGGCGTGGGGTCTAGAATTACAGGAGTGCGCGCGTGAGTGAAATGCCGAGATAAGAACGATCCCTCTTGTCGAAGGGAACGGACACGGGACGTAAAAATAAAAATATAAAAAAAGAAATTATAATAACAAGTACACTACAGTAGGGGAAATGCGCGAAGCTGTGATGCGGGTTTGCAAGATCGTGTATGTTGTGGCATCAAAAAGGTTGGGAATCGGATTTGTCTGTTTGCCCCGTGTTGGTCAATGGCAATGTCTAGGGGAAATGGGGAAATTTGGCATTCTGGATCCCGGGCTGTTGTGGTGATATACGATCCCTCTGCATTTTCCAGATCTCGATGAGTAGCGCAATCGATGAAAATCGAAGAACTGATGTGTGACAGCGAAAGGGAAAATTAGAAAAAATAACGGTTGCGGCAAAGACCCAGAAAAGCTAGCGCTTGCTTGAAGAGAAAAATAGAAACTCACCTACAGGACTAGCTCCCATTACTCTCTTCTTGACGGCCGGCGGGAGGTCCTAAGAACATGCAAGCACGAAATGGTCTGATGGGCTGATGGGCAATAATATGTCCACCGGTGGACACTCTCAGGACACTAGAAACGACCTGAACACGGTACCTGGCCGTCTATGTAACTATCGAGGTGTGAGGTCACGCCTCTTGCGCCTCTGCAAGTCCCCTGGGTCTGGACGAGACTGCTCAGGAACGTGACTGACTATTCCTAGATGATCATAGCCGGACTAAGTACCAAGACTCCATAAATGCAGAAGTAAATGCATGGAGTTGGTGAGAATCAAGCTCATGCAGCCTAGCCAGGGACTAAAAGCTTAGTGCTTCATAGGCAAGTCCTCACCCAGCTCAAAAAGGGCCGTCCATCCCCTTCTCCTTTTTTGCATCTTGATGATGATATTGATGATTGATGAGAATAGAGCTCACGAAGAGGTCCAACCAGTTTGCAGATCACGCGAGAGACGGCCATGGTACAGCAGTGGTAGCCGAGTGGAAAAGAAAAGGTTACAGGCTGGTGGGAGAGATCGAGATCGCAGACCGATGCTTACGACAAATGAGATGGACGTACTCCCAGTGGGTTGCTTTCATCTCGTGTCTCTTGCCAGGATGTGGGATGTGTGTGTACTGCTCCCGAGCTCGCCGCCATCTTGCTTCGCGACGTACCTTTTCGACGGCCGTGTCTGGCTGCCTGGTACCAGGAGAGCCTCTTTGTTACGATGGCGAATAAGTATTCACGTCTCGCCTGCTTACCTACTCTGCTACATAGTCCCGCTACTAAGTCTTGCCCATCTCCCCTCACCAGGGACGAGCTCGGGGTTCCCGAAAGGGACTGGTCTCTCTTGAAGTTCGTCCAGAAGATCGGTGATGATGCGATTTTTGTCAGGTACTTCTCTTCTATCTCTTCCATAGTAGGATAGAGGTATCGGGGTGTCGGACCACTAACCAATGTTGAGAGAGGAACGGAAGTCAAGGGCTAGCAGCAGGGTGCCAATGAGATTCAAGAAGATTTGAAGAGGGCAGGGTTTCGCAATCGACATTTCAGCCCGGGATCGAAGTTCTTGGCGTCCGTCGAACTAACGAACCCCAGACCCAGACAGACTAACTAAGTTCCGTCAGCTGTTTTTTTATTTCCTATTTGCATCCACTTCCAAATATCGGCGATTGTGTGCCAATATGCCCCTCTTGCGCCCCCACTAAGAGGTGGGAGAGGAAGCGGATGGAAGTAGGTACTTGTAGCTGTGTCTGGCTGTCTGGCTGTCTGCTTCCGGTATCGTGGTATTTTTGAGTTACTGTCAGATGTCGGGTTGTATACGAATCTGTAAGCTCACCTTGGCTACCATAGGCTAGGTTCGAGAATCGATCGAAGGCGGACGACGAGAGTAGAATAAAGCCCTCCCCCCTTCTCCTCCGTTGCAAGAAGATACCGCAGCCCTGGAGCCATCGTCATTGTGGGACAAGATCGAGATTAGAGAAGGCTTCCAGCAGACTTGATAACACTGGATAATACTGGATTGGCGACGACGTGAGTTGTACTGTACTGTATTATGTATGGGATTATGTAGGTATGTAAGTGTATCAATGTGTATGTATGTACAGTGCCTACAGATGTAGGCATATGTAGATGTAAGAGGTAGGAATTCCATCCACCAATCGCTATTCCCTATTGATTGATTTGGTTGATCCTCCGCAGGGCAGTGACGGATAATCACCTGATTATTCGTATAATATCGGTTTATAGTATACCCTTATACAGAGGTGCGCATTAGATCCTTTTTGCTGCATATATTACCCATTTACATACATATGTAGATACTACCTTAGTACCCGGTTTATGTGAAGAGGGAAGGAACATTGAAATCTTCGAACTTTCCAAAGTTCGGCAAGTGTCACGCTTCACAATTTCAATTTCCCATCGAAATAGATGGAATTCTTTGTCAAGCTGACGTACTCTAGCTGAACCTTGGTTCGCCCAGTCCGACAACTCGGAGTAGTAAAGGTAAGTGCAAAGGAAAACACGTGGTCTTGCAAGACTAGCAGGCTACCAAACTACCAGACTAGCAAAACGCATGGACACACAGCATTTGTTCGTGTTTCTTTCTGATATCGAGAATCCTTGACCCTTTTCCCTGCGCTTGCACGCTTTCACTCTCTCCCTTTTGCGCTATTGCTAATACCCACAACCAATGACGGGTTGTCCCAATCTATTGAGAAACGTTTAAAATGCCGAGATCCAGAGATCTAGACCGTAGGGAACGAAAGACAATTTTCCTTTTTGACATCGGAGTTATTTTCCAGCTAGAGAGAAGATCTGCGTTTGAGGCCACCGTTCAACTTGTCGATCTTCTATGGAGTAAGATCATTTCTGCATACTTATTGTGCACAGAGTCGCATTTTACACTTTTTATCATAATTTCTCGTTAATTGATTTCACGTGGAGAAGCTGACTGTTGGGACCTATCAGGGACGTTTCGGATCGACCCGTCTAACACCGGGCAATCTAACCAATCTTCATTCTCTCCGTACCTACAGATCGCCGCCCGGTCTTTTTTATATCTGACTTTATTATACATTTACCTACTATTTCCGAGCAGAACGCTTGGTGGCAACACGAAAGCTCTCATCGTCCAACCAACATTTGAGAATCTTCACCAATCACCCGTTTCTAAGATCCACATCGAATCTTAAAAAAATATTGGCATTCCATCTATTAGCTAGATATAGGGACGCTACAGTAATTCACTATGCCTCAATCAACGTCGAACGATGACACGAAGGCTCAGAAGCCTAATGGAGATTCCGCGAGTGCTTCTCGCCCAAATTCGACGCAGGCAAGCATCGCTGAGGTAAGCTAGCAGCCCCGATAAGTGTCTTAAAACGAGACCGATCTCTTGCTCTAACACAAATTCTCACGATCAGATTCTCCGAGACTTAAGAGTGTACGTATATATGCTTACTATCGCAGCCCTGTCAATGATTGAGAACGTTCCATGGGGGGGATCAACAGTCGATCTTGTCACCTGGACGAGTCATCTAAGTTGCCAGTTCCCGGCCTAGAGGTTCGGGAGGCGTGGCCACATGGAAATGCCCAAATTCGGCCTCAGATGTCCCATAATTTACCATGCAAATCGCTTCTAGGCCCCTGGATTACCCATCCTCCCCAGCATGCCAAAGTCCCTTTTTGCATACGGGGCTGGCACGATAAGCGTAGCTTTTCCCCATCGCGCGGCCCCCTGTCTTCCATCAAAGGTCTAGATCCCCGCCCAGTGGCGAAGAACAAACCCGACTCGTAATTTCACCTAACCGAATCCCACCTGAATGTGATAATCCGCATGGGAAAAACAGTTCATGTTTTATCGATATTTTCCCACTGCATGCTGCATTCCCATCGTGGAAGTCCCCGGGTATTTGACAATCAGATGCTGTCTCACTCGCATTGCCTCTTGCTAGTACTGAAATGGTTAGCATAACCATTTGCTCCACACTGTCATGCCTAGCAAAGTTGTATAGGTCAACCGCCTTTCTTATGGCAATGTCAATACCGATGTCTTGGGGTAAACGAGAGTCCCGTCTATTTCCATGGTGTCTGTGGGACAGTTCTCAGCTTGTCGCACAATGCTATCTACATAAAACCAAAGTGTGTAGTTAGAACAGTCTCGCCGAATATCTCCGCTAAAGGCTACTAGTCTATATCTAGCTATATTTTCATAGCAGATCAAAAGTTCACACGCCACTTCCTTTCGTCTCGGCCGAGGCTCTTGTAGAATCACGCAGCTAACGTGTGCTTTAAATCAGGGGCGAGCATCAGGCCGATGCTATTGAAGCAAAACTTGACCAGATAGAGCGTCATCTCGAGGAAATGATGGCAGGTTTAGAAGGTAACGGGAAGCTCGAGGAGCCTGGTCCGAAAGAGCATGAACCCGAGACCAAGAAATGACATGTTATATTTCTCCGCGTTTATTGAGCCACGCTATGTTCACTGGGCAGGGGTTTTGCCCTGGCGCTTGCTTGGGATCGAGATAGACAAACTATCATGAGTTGAAAGAGCACCCAAACTTCGTAACCCCCAACTCCCCCGACAGCTGAATTTGCCACCACCTCCTCATATACACACACTCACTTATATTGGTCTCCGCATACATCCCGTGCATATACATATCATGTACATATTCCAAGAGATTTGGAGGAGCTGTTATGGGAGCTACCCCACAGCGACAATGGTGTTACAGATCCGATAGAACGACACTGGTTGGGGCATCTGCTGAGCCAGGAAACGTACCTAGATCCTCGATCTTACAATGACATGACAAGCGCGATGTGACCGTCCCAGAGACGTGCTATTTATGAGCTCACTAGAGACTCTAGAGCAAAGGTAGCTGATTCCGAGAACTCCTAAAGAGCTGCCACTGAGGCTCGATGCGTAGATGACGCGTGTAGGTACCTACGCAATCACCACACGACAGAGCTGTGGCATGACGTTAAATATTTCGCTTTAACGAACTTACATGTCTGACTCTATAGGGATCACATAAGGTATGAGGCGAAAGAAATGTAATTCAAGCCTTCCCTTAGCTCGTTGGGAACGTACTTGGCAGGTATAACCTGCATTTCTTCATATTTGGCAGAACACTTTGGTCTTACCATCATCTTAATATAGCCCTTTGGCCAACAAAATCTTTAATATCATGCTGAATTTATGATCAGAACCAAAAGAACGTCGGGAGAAGACAACATAGCTGGGAACCCTAGCCAACGTCTGCCCACGTACATGGGGTAGCCCCAATCAAGAACCTCGCAAATTTCTCCTACGTTATTGCCTCAATTAAGAAGACGATGGTGTAGTCGAGTATTTCAAATGACTCTTAGTCGTAGGCATGGTTAGACATGCTTGTGGAAGCTATCCCCTCACGCAACCAAGCATGAGCTGTTTACCGCGCGGAATCACCTTCTTGACGAACTTTATTCAATATTTGGAGATATGTAAAAACTCGGACGATGTCAAACAGTGTACTCGTGCCCCAATCGAGGCCGACAGCGTGTCGATCCTTTGAACTGCCGAACGGCGGATCCACTGGTCGGTCCATAAATTCGGTGTCTTCTTTGAGTATCGTAAACAAACGCCTTGGTCGACTAGAGCGGACCATCTCGAATCTGGGCCGCGGAATCCGGGCTAAGGATCGTAAGGTGGTCCCATAATCTGACGACCATCTACTCATCACACGGTAGGAGGCCGGTTCTCCTTCCATTCCATTCCAACGACTCCTTTCTTCTCGCTTGTCTAGAGAAAATCTGCCTAGGAGCATAATTCAACTTCATTTGGGGATCTACATACTTCACCCCTGATCCATCTCCAGGAGAGACGTGTGGGGGGGCAGCGACGTCTACCTACGCACACCCTACGATGATGTGCATCACAAGGTCACGCTTGAGAACATCTAGACTTTCTCGCAGGTAATTAACGTCACGAAAAAAATAACCAGTGTTACATTATGAGTTACTATCATTGATTATGTATTCAGCAGTCGTCGTTTACGATTTATATATAAATATATCCTGTATGTCTGAGACCAGCTGCGGATGACCTTCCGGTTCCCATGCTTGGAAGCCGATTGGGATATCCCATCCACGACCTTAGAGACACATGAATTTGATATGGGTGGAGTCTGGGGATCTTCCAATCTTCTGATTCTGCAGCTACGTTGATTTGTCATCTACAAACCTACTTTCGTCTACTTACAGTATACTAGGTGGGCAACATCCCGGTCCACCCAGAGAAGCTGTCCTTCTAGGATCTTGTAATAGTATCGTCATCTTCTCGTTATAGTAAAATTAACTATTAAAGCAATACTAAGAACACGAAGACTTCATCACCGAACCGCATAATCATATCCCACATTGTAGGATGATTTCTAGGATGAGGTGTACGCACACGATGCGGCTGACTGTTACGCGGCCTGGTGGCCCTATCTTAATGCGAAGAACTGTACGAGGTAGATGGTTCTCAACCCCCCAGCTACCCCAAAAAAGCTTGTCTCCCTTTTTCTTACCTACCATATAGCTAAGTCATTCTACGAGGTATCACCTCATTATCGAGAGCAATGTGTAAGGCCCTCGTTGTATCTAGTCATTGATCGAATTGAAGGGGCTTTCAAGACATATGAAGATTTCAAATCACCTAGGTACGTACCTACACATGTTAAAACATATATAGATCTAGAACCTTATTAGCTGAACCTCGAACTCACATTCATACTCCCTTGTCACCTCCACGAATCATTTCTTCGGCGTTTCCATAGCATTTCTATCAAATGAAAATCGCTGAGCATCTTCATTTCCTTTTAAGTTCAGCTAAGCCAAACGGTCCCTAACCTCCTACTGGGCAGCGAACGAGATATAAAGTTTGATCTAGATTCAGGCCGGCTGCTATATTAGATCATTACGCTAGTCCCTGGCGCTGTCAAGTTCCTGAAGTTGTATACGATACATCGCCGGCACCAGGCCAGGAGATCCCGGTTCTGGCACGTTCCAGCAAGGATCGAGCGCCCAGAGGTCTGGAGAGTTCAGCACATGGCAAATGCTGGTGGTCTAATCTAACAATCTAGGATCATCCATATCGTATAAGTACTGTACCTAGACTAGTTGCTAAGTGACGTAATAAAAGGGGCAGTGTAAATAGTCGGGCTTGGATACCTACCTACCTACTCATGTCCTCTTACTCTGCTACGGTTTCCTTGTTTTTATGGTCGGAAATATTTCCGAGAATATTGAACTAGGATATGTAAATTCGCTGTGTCAGGCAAGGCTTGCTGCTTTGTTCGGGGGATGTTGAATATGAATGTGGATGCCTTCTCACTCACCTACCTACTACCCCTTTAGTGGCCATGGCTAAAGTGTTGAAGAGGAAAAACAGCCCGACGTGAGGTAGGAGCTAGTTTAATAAGTATGTGACGATAAACTCAAGACTCAAGACATATCAAGTTGAAGCCAACAAGGCTCGGTATAAATCACATGGCACAATCGCATGTATGAATTTGAGTAGTAATGTAGAATAAACCGGGAACTCGTTATCGCTGATCCATTAACAGACGTCGTGTTCCTATTTAGAGACAAAAAAAATGCTTCGTCTACTCCTCCGTTCTCTTCTCTTTTCAAGCGCACCGCAAAAAATGCGAGCCCGGTGATAGACAGCAAAAACGGACATAAGAAGGCACCGACTGAATTCCATGATACACAGGACCCAAGCACTATTTACTCCATATATGATACGTTTCGAACCGTCACGGAAGACTCCGACGTAGGAATCTAGACATGCTCTTATTCTCAATCCAAAAAAAACAAAACAAATAACTTCGTGTTTCCTCCCTCTCCCCAATAAGAATTCATTCATCCCTTCTCGGCGGACCCCTGGAATAATAGCCCAAAACATGCCAATGTCGAGGGGAAATTACCCGTGACTGAGATATTTCGCAAACGACTCGTGTGACTATTGTTTTCAAACACGAAGCAAGAGAAGAACGCCCAATGAAACACCGACAATTGCAGTTAGCTCCTCCCCAAAAGCGGCACATCCTATCCACTTTCCTGGACATCGTTATAACAAAAAGAGCCGTAGACCTGGAGAACGAGCAACAACAGCCACATGGTGTTACGTCCACCCGTAATCAAATTTGTGTATTGAAAACACAAGAAAATCAGGCGACTGACACCTATAACTGATGGCATCCTCGTAGGTCCTGGGTATCGTGAGAATGATCAAGAAACGACTCTCGATTGTAACACGGATTCCGGGTGTGCCAAGGGGAAATGACTTCAGGAGAGCAATGCCCTCCTCCCCTTTACGCCTTGTCCGGCAACGGAAACTGATCAGTTACTGTGAGCTCTTATCAAGAGCTGAGCAGGTGACCCAAGTTAGTCATGTTGAACGCAGGGTTCAGAGAGGGTTGAACGTGCCCTGTGCAACGGATCGTCTTGATTCGTTGAGACAATAGATGGGCTCTCCATGGTTCCCATCAGGGGTTCGTTCGTCGTTATCGAACGACCTTCTAAGCTAGGCCTCATGTGGTTCTGCCCGTTTTGTTTGCCGCCGTTCTTTTGCTCAGCTTGACGAGCCAGTTCTCGTTCCCGATTCTTCTCGAGAAGTGCGCCACCAAGAGTTGCACACTTTAAGATCGTCTGTATCAAGTGGTTTTGCTGCAGAGGTTTAGATAAGTATTCGTCCATCTGGGCTTGGATGCATCTCTCCCGGTCTCCCATCATGGCGTGAGCTGTAAGTGCGATGATCGGTGTTCGATGAGACCCAAGGCTGCGTTCGTACTCGCGTATTTTATTAGTAGCCTCAAAGCCTCCCTGTTCGCAGTTAGCAAGCTATAAATTGATAACGGATAATCCGATGGGGGGCAAACCATTATTGGCATCTGTACGTCCATAAGAATGACGTCAAACTTCTTCTTCTTGATGGCTTCCACCGCCTCTAGACCATTGCCGACGACGGTGACTGCGTGGTGATATTTCTCAAGGATCTTCACGGCGAGCCGTTGGTTGACTCTGTTATCCTCGGCGAGAAGGATTTCGAAGGATTTCGTGTTGTCGGCTAGCGATGGGGTGGCACGGTTCTCTAGGGCGGGGACCATTCCATTCCCCAGGTCAATTGGCTTGCATGGAGTAGTCATATAAGACGTGATGCCTAAATCTAAGCAAGACTTCAAGCTGACATGCACAACTGGAGCCAACAGGACAATAGGGAGGTATTTAAAGTCTTCGATGGCCCTCAACTTACGAGCGGTGTCGATAGATTCAACGATGATGACATCGTACGGCGGGTCGTCCGAGCCGGGGATATTGGGATTTCCTTCGGTATTGACGACGACCGGTACCAGGCCAAGCCTCTGCAGCATAATGACAATTTCTCTACCATATTGGGTACGTCCCTTGTCAATGAACAGAACTTGATGTCCTTTGTATGGTTTTAGTTGCTTCTCAATGGATGCAACCTCGCCGTCTGCAAGCTTGACTACGCAGGTGAAGTAGAACGAGCTACCCTTGCCAAACTCGCTCTTGACCCAAACATCACCGCCCATTAGGTTAACCAACCTCTTTGAGATTGACAGACCTAAGCCGGTACCACCAAACTTACGAGTCATTGACCCGTCAGCTTGTTGGAATGTGTCAAAAATCAAGTCGAGTTTGTCTGGCGGTATTCCTATGCCCGTATCTGAAACGACGAACTCGATAGCGTATTCTCGCGGATCCTTGGGTGGGGCGCCTTCGGCTTTCCGAATCGTCAAACTCACCTCGCCGTGCTCCGTAAACTTGATGGCATTGCCTACAAGATTGAGAATGATTTGTCGTAAACGGAAGGAATCACCGACCACATAATCAGGCACGGAGCTGTCGACCCGATATGTGAGGTCGAGGAATTTCTCGTTCGCCTTGACAGCCAGCGTCTTTAAGGCGTTGAAGACAGTACCCCGTAAAGTATACGGGATTTCTTCAATAACCATTCTCCGAGCCTCAATCTTCGATAGATCCAATATGTCGTCGATAATAGTCAACAGACTGTTGGCCAAGTTGTTCACAATATTCAGCATTTCTCTCTGATATTGTGTGAGGTCGGTGTCGAGGGTTAGCTGGGTCATTCCAATAATGCCGTTCATGGGTGTTCGGATCTCGTGAGACATGTTGGCCAAGAATTCGGATTTGGTCTTGTTCGCTTGTTCAGCCGCCTCTCTTGCCTGTGTATTTCTTTGAATACTGTCTCGCAAGTTGTACACCATCTGGTTGATCTTGCGTTTGAGTTCATCCATCTCGCCAGAAGCTTCTACGTCGACCAGCTTGGTGAAGTTTCCATCGGTAGCAGCATTAGTTATATCGCCGAAAGCTCGCACCTGAGTGGTCTTTAGAAAGTACTATTAGCCTCACATGACACCTCACGAAACCGGATAATCATAATAATAAAAAAGCTTACCAAATTTGTTGCCATCGTGTTGACGTCAGCTGTGATTTCCTTCCATCGTCCCTTGAGACCTCCAACATCGGCTTGGCCTCCCATCTTGCCATCAACACCAACGTCCTTTGCCACACGCTGCACTTCATTACAGAATACTGACAAACGGTCAACCATGTTGTTGATGGTTTCCTTCAGGACTAGTATCTCGCCCTTTGCCTGGACGTCGATCTTCTGGCTCATGTCACCATCGGCGATGGCTTGAGTGACGGTTGATATACCCCGCACTTGAGATGTAAGGTTCAAGGCCATGGTGTTGACATTTTCGGTGAGGTCTTTCCATTTCCCTTCGACATCGTCTACTCGAGCTTGGCCACCCAAGGTTCCATCGGTTCCGACTTCCCTGGCGACTTTGCTGACTTCGAAAGCAAACTTGCCTAGGCGGTCCACCATGGAGTTTATTGTGAGCTTTAGTCTGAGCATCTCACCCTTGACCTCGACGGTGATCTTCTGGGATAGGTCGCCAGCTGCTACGGCAGTGGTAACCTTAGAAATCTCTCGCACTTGCGTTGTCAAGTTCATGGCCATGCCGTTCACGTTGTCGGTGAGGTCACGCCAAGTTCCCTCAACGTCATTCACAGTAGCCTGGCCACCCAGGCGACCCTCGGTTCCGACTTCTCTCGCTATCTTGCTGACTTCTCGCGCGAACTGCGACAGCTGTTCCACCATGGAATTGATAGTGGATTTTAGTTCGAAAATCTCGCCCCTACATTCGGCTTGGATCTTTTGAGTGAGGTCTCCCTTGGCAACGGCAGTAGTGACCTTTGCGATATCGCGCACCTGAGTAGTGAGATTGTTTGCCATGGCGTTCACGTTTACCGTTAATTCATTCCATATACCTTGGACTCCCATTACGTCGGCTTGACCTCCCAGTATACCTTCGGTACCTACATCTCGGGCGACGCGACTGACTTCGGAAGCAAATGTACGCAGTTGTTCAACCATAGTATTGATGGTCTGTTGAAGTTGAAGAATTTCACCATTAGCCGGTCTCTCGATTTTCTTAGTTAGGTCTCCATGGGCGACAGCAGTTGTGACTGATGCGATTTCTCGCACTGGACATTTGTTAGCAACAGTTAATATTTATATAAGGAAAAGTGCTATAACGAACCTTGGTCGGTGAGATTTTGAGCCATAACGTTGACTATAAAAGTGTTAGAAAATCCCAATAATCAGGTTTACGCAGGACTCTACCATTGTCCGTGAGTTCTTTCCATGTTCCGTCTACACCTTCGATCATAGCTTGGCCGCCCAGTATTCCATCGGTACCGACTTCACGCGCGACACGGGAAACCTCGCTGGCGAAGACCTGAAGCTGATCCATCATAGTATTGATAGTCCGTTTGAAAGTCGTAATTTCAGGGTCCATTTCTACGGTATTCATCCGAACCTTCATGGTTAGATCACCTCGGGCGACGGCACTAACGATTGCACCAATTTCACGTAGCGCCTTTTGGAAGGCTTCGTTGGCTTTCTGATGTTTCCATAATTCTCGTTCCAAGGCAGCAACTCGTTCCTTTTCCATAAGTTCGAGCGCTTTCTCCTGCAATTGTTTCTGCTCGATGAGCTGAGCATTAACATTCGTCAATTCCTGGCGTTGATTATCGAGCATTTTAGACTGGTCTATCACGCGCTCGTGAAGCCCTTCGAGATCTTCGTTAGTGAGTGGAAGGACCTTAATTGGTCGATCTTCGGTAGAGCCATTTCGGGTAGGAGGGAGGACAGGATGCCGAGATCGCGTTGAGGACTTCAGAGAACTAGGAGACTCTTCACCGAAAAGAGACTCGGCCGTCTCATTGGGTGTATCGGGGAAAGTTGCGCCATTAGCGAGGTTGGCTCTGGCCTCAAGTTGTTGAACCCTGACTACGAGGGCTGACAGCTCACGTTCGACAGATTCCTTGGCGTGGCTTTCGCGACCGGGCAACTTGATCCCAGAATTGGTGCCAATAGGGACCGAAGTATATGCTGGATCTTTCGGTGAGGCGGCTAGGGACCTAATGATGGCTGCCGTAGCCACCAAAGTCTCCTCGTCGGCCATCACTCTCATGGTTACGGTTCTCGGGATGCAAAATCGTCTCTAAGAGTAGCTGTTGTTGATCATAAACGATGGAATGATAACGGCAGGCCAGCGTTTGTTAGGCGCTGGATAGGCTTATGACGAACGCATGGAGCAAGGCGATGCCGATGTCGATGATACAATAAACCGAGAAAAAGGAAGAGTAGAGCACACAAATCGATATCGCGGATTGTCGCGGCGTACCCGCCTCAACGGCAGTCGGGGGAAAGGGAGCGAATTGGTAACCGTGTTAAGGGTCGGATTAATAACAGCAGCGTTCGGAATATATAATTACAGGCAATGAGAACGCTCAACTCATACAAGTCTGACGATATTCGTCTTCGCCGTCGTCGAATAAGACGATTTGTGGTGTGTTGACTTGGATGAGATGGGATCAGATCTGAAAGAGAAGAGGCCTCTCTTCTCTTGTCGATTCAATAAGGAGAGACCCTGCTTGAAAGCGAGCGGGTGGAGAGACGAGGGCTCGGGCTTGGGAGAGGAGGTGTAGGTATGGGATGTACAGATGTACAAGGGTACGACGGTACAAGATACAAGATATACAATTGAGGATGTATGTGTGTACCACTTTGTATGTATGTATGTCAAGGGCCGCCTAGGTTCAAAAACCTAACTGAGAGGTGGATCTCCTTAGTTTCCCAATGGGAACCCTGACATAAAAAGCGAAGCAATAAGGGAAAGCGAAAATTAGGCGGGGACGACCTGGGTCTATGAGCAGTATGGGCCGGGGATTGTTGGATTGCTGAAGGATGAGAGGTCCAAAAAGTGCCTACGGACCACGCTACGTGCTAAGTAGCCACTTTTGCACTTTTCTAACTGGTCGCTACAACTAAACTTACGGCTTGGGAGGGAAGGAAAGGAAATAGCCGGGGTGAAACAGCCAGCCACGCTTAACTGGGAAATCATCAGGACAGCGCTGTAATTATGTACATGGTAATTTCTATTCTACATAGTAAATTCAGCATAGACTCGGGCGCTTACAGCCGGGAATGACTAGATATTCTTTTTATCCTATTTTTTCTTCTTTTTCTTCTCTTCGGTCACTAAGTATATCTGTCTTTGTCAACCCGCTTTTCTCATTGTCTCCAAATATAGATGTAAGGAGAAATATTGGAAGAAGGGTCCCGGTGTTTAGGTACCTACTCAGGTATTCCACTATCGTACTTACCTACACCAGCTAGCTGCAAATTAACCTACCACGCTAGTATGACTTTTAGCTAAGCGTATCTGGATACCGGTATTTGTGATCTCCAAATATTGTATAGGTACCTACTACAAACACCAAGTTCTAGGGGACTTTCAAGATGGCCAGGATGGGGTAACTTATCGAGTCTAAGGTAGGGGAAGAGGCGTGCACATACACACACATGTTGATTCCAGACAGTCCAAGGCTTTTCTTCACTTTTTAAAAAAAAACGGCGAATATTTGTTGCCTCCACATGTGCAATTCAATGAGGCACGGAAAGGTTGACTGCCACCTAGGTAAGTCACTAATAAGTATACTACTTACGTATTTCTGAATCTGATATGCGCTGTATGCGGTATTACGGTACATGTCGTCTAACAAGTGCTACGTACGGGACGAAATAAAGTGATCTACCCTCAGTTACGTAGCTGTTCTAGCTAGCGAAAGGGCTACCTTACGTGCCTAATACCGGCCTGTAATGAAGTCTAATTCGCATCTTCGGAGCAAGCGCAAGGCCTTGGAGCGTTTGTGGGGGGTAACGCCATTGCCATGTAGCTAACACTTAGCTAACATTTTACTAACGGAGGCTAGCAGCAATTAACCTCCAGGGCACCCACGAGATTTGAAGTAATCTAACAGGGTCAAAGCTTGTAAGTTGGTGGCCGATAGTTAAACGTTCCACCCAGATGGGTTTACTAGGTCGTAGAAAGTATAGAGAGGCACCTAGATGCGAGCTTGCGAAGTTAGGGACTGTCGAGATGGGAAATGTATATCGCGTACCTATATTGCACCCACGATGTACGTAAGCTCAAGTCGGGAAGTATCATTGATCGAACTGCTACGTACTATGTAGGTATTCTCGTATTTCAGCCTCCGCTTATGGGAAAGAAGAAACGGATAGACATAAACTAATGCTTCATATGCCGTATTTTAACACACCGGACCGGGCTGCGCTAAGCCGTTACCCTGATTTATTTGACTTCCTGGACGCTGAACGCTGAACGTTGGACTTCCAAGATTCCTAAACATCTTCTATCTTCAAACTAAACAACAGGGCTGACGTCATGTGGTCAATATTAACTTATTTTAAGATCTCTGGTTTCATTGTCGCATCGTCGTTTCTCTCTGCAGCTGTCACTTGCAGTCCGTTATCTGGATGGACGCATGGACTGGACTCACCTAGACACTCTCGACTCGATTACTGACTCAAGCCTTGCTTGCTCTCGCCGTTAATCGCAGCCGCGGCCATGATCACGGACCACTCGGTCTGAAGCAATCTGATCTCCCCAACCGGTCTGGACCGCAAGTCGCGCATATTTCCTACCTAGCGATAGCCAGCGATATCCTAGGTAGTAGGTACATACTGTAGGTACTACCTGCCCTGCCCGCCCTGCCTGCATCGTCTTGCACCCTCAGGTGTCTAAGGTAGGGTGGGATATCCCATGCCTTGTGAGATGCCTACACAAGCAGACAAGATGCACATCCATACAACGGGATTCCTCAAGAATCGCCATTCCGCTTTGTCTTACCATCCCATCTCGTCCCATACAGCCCATACAAGCGCATAGTCGACATCATCGACAATTGGCTCTAAACCCTGTTCGCCAACATGCCGATTCCCCACTGAACCTGGTACGTGTACTTTCGCCTGTAGCAAGACAGGCCAAAAGATCGCGGCCTTCTGCCTGTCACATTTACGGCCATGCCCCTCTCCATTTGTCTGGATTTCAAAATCGCATCTTATTCGTGCGTTTCTTCCGTAGAAGAAAAGCAGCCTTCTCCAGATTTGCATTCTTGTCGGATCTCACAAAATTGCTTGCTACACTAGCACACTACAAGCTACAAGTCTGACAAGCCACTTTACACGCCGGGGCCCAGTATCGCTCTACATACCTACTACCTAGGTGATGGTTGGAGGTATCTATGTACCTAGAGCGGGCTGTGCCTTATTCGCAGGTGGCAAAAATTACGACTCCTTTTTAGGTAAATCTTTTTTTTCTTTCTCATTTTCCTTATTCTGTCCTATCTCCGTATTATGTTTGATCGACAGGAACACTACGATATGTTATTATACTACTGATTCGTGACTTATGATCATGAGTATTTCCTGGTGAGATGTTTCATCGCGAAATATTTCTTGTCACACTTTTGGTCTAGCTCTTGTCGGACAACCTTTTTGGAACTGGCTTCCAATTGTGATGGAAGCCCCTATCGAAGGGTCGCTACGGGGTCGCTACAGGGACACTACTTATCTTCCCCCCATTATATGCCAGGTGACGTCACGGCATCTGCAAATCTGCATGTGCACCCAGCCGGGTCCCAACAAGGAATGTCCCTAGGGTCTACGTACCTAGGGTCCTCTTCCCGTACCGTGTCTTTTCCCGAAAAGGGAGACACGAGGCAACTATTGTTCTTGCTCAAAGCAAGCGACATATGGCACATATGGCAGAGCTGGCAAAACTCCGTACTGTATAAACTTGTACTGACTCTACAGAATGGACTTCCGGATGATCGGCTCACGAAGCGATCACGAATTGGTCCGGATTCGTAGGGCTATCAGACGCTAGCGCCGGATTTCAGGGATTTCGGCAACGAAACACACGATAATCCAGCGAATATAGGGATTATTGCATCCTGTCGCCCATCTTTACTATGTAAGTGGAATACCTAGCAAGTCTAGACGACCTAAATGACCTGGACGACCTGGACGACGACGGGATTAATTCGGTTGCCACGAGACCATTCAACAAAGACAGGCAGTGAGGGTCCTTTTTCAGACCTTTCAGACCTTTCAAGACCCTTCGTCTATCGTATGTCAAACCCCACAGAGGGGCAATTCAAGCGCTTCACCGTTGAGATGTCGAAAGATTCATAGGTTCAAAGGAGTGGCCGAGAAGGGAGTCCACTTAGTCTAGTCAGTTCTAGTCTACTGTTTACTGCTATTATTTCTCGTTTCTCCTTCATTTTACGTTGGTCGGCAGCTCATGGTCAAACCATCCCGACTGCCCCTCGTCGGGCATAGGTCACCTTTAGACACCTTTAGCGTCATGTCCAGAGGCATCGTTACATTGGACATTGGACCAGGTAAGCCAGGACCCGAACTCACGCGAACAGGCGAAGAGTTGAGGTGAGAGCTGCACGCGCTAGCGTTTCGCATCGTGGAACTTGCCCATCGATCCTCTAGCACGAGAAGAATCTAATCGGGGCCAGACGTCTTGGTTAGTGTTCCGGTCGTCTTTCGATTAAAGAAAATGAAGGATTAAAATTTGCAGGTCAATGTCCAACTCAGTATATTTTACAGTAGATCTTTCTGATTATCAAGCCGTGCCGCGGACTCTTAGGTCCATCGACCAACTACGCCGTTCCAGTTAGCCTGTATTAAGGATACGTCTAGGACTCTCCTATCAGGGGCCAGGTCGACGAGAGACTCGACACCGCCAGAACGCAAGGCTCCACCTGACACGCGAGAAGGCTGTTCTCCGGCCAAATCGCTTTGTGCACGCCAGCACCAGCACTAGCACCAGCACGACTCCATTACTATGTGCGTAGCAGTATGCTCGGCATTTTGCCTAGTAGCAAAACCTGACGACGAATCCCACCTCCGCCATTTGAGGCGGCTCTCCCGCCCGGAGCGGAATCTTGCGCAGGATGACTTCCCACGCATCGCATATAAAAGTCCTGAATAACTTCTAAACCTGAGCCCGTCAAAATGTGGTCTACGTACGCATGTGCGTTCTGTTCACTTTGATTTCTTCACAAAGGAAATACCGAGATGGAATTTTCTATCGTGCGCCGATCTAGAAATACTTACTCGTTTCTGCTCCAATCTTCATCTGAACTGTCAAAATCTCAGTGTTTCAGGCTGAGCAGATCGGCTTGCGGACCCCCCCTTTTATGCTTACTTACCCCCCCAAAAATCTGCAAAATGCCTTGCGTTGTAGATTACCTAGCGAGCGTTAAGTACCTAATCCGAACGTGCCTTTTCAGACCTAAACGCCCGAATCTTGGGGTTGGAATGGCGGGGGGCGAATTACCTAGGTATTTCTTTGGGTGGAAATTCCGGGGTCGAGATCGTCAACGGGTCAAGTTCCCAAGGTTTGCTACTGCGCGCGCACTTTGAGGGGGGATGATCCTCGACGATCAGCCCTCCCACCACCACCACCCACCACATCCCCCAAAGTAACCGGAGGTTCATGTGATGCCCTTTTCCCCCCCTAGCCTGGGACGGAGCCAGCGACCGCCAGAGAAAGACTATAGCCCCCCCGGCCGACAACGGAACGCTTCGCCGCGGCAGAGCCTTAGGGGCGGAAATAAACTGTTCCCCATGCCTTAAAAGTTGGAACATATCTGCACGTTGAGATTTTTTTCCTTCTTATTTCAAGTTTTCGTTTATTTTTGTCACTTCTCATCATTACCATTATTAAATGGGTACGGTAAGTAAGAAGGCTGGCGGTCGCTTATTATCACACACGCACACACTATTGATAAATTCGATGGTCGTTTAGGGCGGCTATCATTATGTAACAGTACAAGCCAAAATATGTGCAAGAAAGAATAGGCTCCCGAAAAGGATTATCCGTAGTACGAAAGACCAGGAGGATTCGGTTTGATTGAGATTGGTAGGTAGCTACACAGCCAAAGTTGCGAGAGTGATACCGTATAATATATTGCTACACATTGCCTCGTCGATCACGTTCTCCATCGAGATACGTGAGTCCTCGATTACGATATGATCCCGGTGGGATATGGTGCTTACTACCTAGCAGTCCTCCTAGAGCAGTGGCAATATGCGATGAAAAAACCACTCCCAGCCGTGCGCAGGTACAACACAGCTCGTGTTGACCCAATTTATATACGATTGTCCCGACCCTGTGTCGTCTCATATTACATACATTAATTGTACTTGCATCCGAAGTAGGTCTCGTGGATGAGAGTCAGCGTGACCATGGTAGCACTCTAGCACTCCTTTCTGTCGTACAGACCCTAGGACAAATACGTACATAATTTCATCATCAATCATCATTTCGTGTTTTTACTCGATAGCTTCATTCTGGGTACGCTAGCTACATTAGAATAGATTTTCCTCGGCAATGGCCGTAAAAGAGAACGAAGGCAAGAGAAGAAGAAAAAAAACGTTGAAAGGTACTACCCGCCTCCCCCCCATTGAATCAAAAGGACAAAACGCGAGACAAAGAACAACAACAACAAGCGCCCGTGGAACCTCCAAAGCTTGCTTCGTGAGGGTATCTATCGAATGCCAAATGCCACTGAACTGGTTGCCTGATAAACGCCGTTCGAAGTTCACACACCCATTGGATTAAAAGATAATCGCGAGAACGCGTTCGAAATGGCACCTAGAAAAAGGTAAAAGGATGGCGATGCCATAGAGCTTGGTTCGGCTTTCGCCCCCTTTAATACGCTGCTATACTCTGCCTCACTTCCGAAGTCCCTAAATCCAAGCTCTTCGAACCTCGCGCAACGACTTTCTCGACTCGATATTACGACCCGCCCGACTCTGCCGACGCAAATCTAGCGTCGAACCGGAACACCGCCCCGGCCGAAGCCGCCACCGGCTGAATTCCAGCCTTGGGTGACACTTTGCTTCACTATCATCGCAGCAGCGGCGGCAGCAGCCATGCGCTCCTTTTGACGGTGCCTCTCCTTGAGGTATCCAGCTGCTTCAGGCCGCATGCGTAATATCCGCAGGATCATATCGTCGGATGGATCGGCCTGGGCTTCTTTCCGCTTCTCCTCCTTGGCTCGGCGCATCGTGCCTAGGTTGCGGCTCATCATGATACTCTTGCCTCGGCGGATCGTTCCCATGCTGGCGAATGCCGGGCCGGCATGAGGAACGTTGAGCGACGAGCCCAACGATGCGGGAGCGGAGAGGCGGTTGGAGCTCATATGTCCTTGGAGCTGCTGTTGCTGCCGTTGTGCAGTTGCTGCGGCTATACGTTCCGATGTGCGGATCAGGTTTTCAGTAGTATCAAAGTAGAAGAAGTTGAGCGAGGCGAGCTCGTGATACTTAGGCGATTTTAGGACTTCTGCGGGGACACCGAGGACTTCCCCGTCCTCGTCTCGTGCGTTGAAGAAATCGAATAAGAGGCCTAACCACTTGAAAACGACATCGAGCTCGCGCTGAGTGAGAGGTCGTTGATTAGACGGCTTCTCTGACAGAGGCGGCACGAGGAGCGTTTCTATGGCCATAAGCACCTCCTTCCACAGACGTGTCATAACTGCAACCATAGTTGCATCAGTTAACGTCTGTTTCATGATGGCGAAGTTTTCGTCGAAGTACGTGAAAAGCGATTGTAACGCGTTTTCGATCTCGGTATCCGTGATTTGCGGGATCGTGGATTGTCGTTTGAAGAATGAGGTAACCTGTGAAGTGACATTCCTTCCAAGAAGGTTTCGTAAGGCATCGTATGAGAGCGATGCGTTGATATGGCGTGAAAGCTTCACATAGATCTAGATTAGCTATTCGTTTGGGAGCATTAGGGCCATAGAAAACATACCTTGTCTGTAATCTTGCGGACCATGTCACGCTCCGTCCTCTTGAGGTGCCGGAATGCCTTACCAAAATAAAATTGTATATCATCTCGTTCCCCTTCCATACTCACCCTTAGCAGGATCCTTCCTTGGGTGTCGAGCTCAAGCCAGAACTCTCTTGGGAGGTAGTCACTGAAATGTATAGGATCTAGCTTTAGAGAAGTTCTGCCAACGAAGTCATGGTCGCCGAAAGTGTCGTAGTCCCAGATCGTAGCGACGATGTTAAGAGGCCCTGATACTGTAACGTCTACGGACTCATCCCACCGAGGACTAAGTGTTCTCATTACGATTCGCGTCTTGTGCAACCGCTTTTGGTATTCGTCCACAAGTACCACATAAGGATCGCTTGTTCCATTCGGATCGCATGCCTTGATTTCCTCGGCCTCGACAATTTTGATAGTAAAGACGTACTTAGCCGGCCGCTTGATTTGTCTTTTAGGGCCATCAACCTTTTCGAGGATGTTGGCACAAGCATCTACGTTCATGGTCCTCTCAAGTTTGTCAAGTTCTTGCATTGCCCATTCAACATTGTTGAGTTTTACTAGCGACTTTAGAACGTGTTAGTATCAATTCAAGTATAATGATAGTTAAGGTTAATCATACCTCAGGAAAGAATTGAAATGGTTCAATCTTGTCCTTTGTGCTCCAAGCATCCTTAGCATATTGCATGAACCTCCCTTGCGTCGTTTGAGCCGCTTCCGCTGCTTCCTTTTCATTTGGTCTTGGTGTATCCATTTCCTTCACGAATCGTTGGTCCACAATCTCGCAGTATCGGGCAATGCTGTTAGCGAAGATTTTCGATAACGCAGTCATAAATCGAGCGTGGTGAACATCGTTGTCCCACTCCAGCTGGAAGACCTGATCAGCAGTTTGGTGGAACAGCTGGAACATATCGATGATCGAATGGCTGTGTCGTTCCGAATCCAATGATATGTGACCCGGTCCGTTGCCTCGTACTTGAAACGGATCTTGATTGATAGCCCCTTCGACAAACTCCTCTGCTCGGGCTTCGGTGTTCTGGATCCAACGCCATACGAAGTCTACGAGCAACTCCTCGACATCAAACGTAAACGGTCGCCCGGGAAGAGACGATCTATGAATGCGTCGAATCTCGACCAATTCCTTATACAAATCAAAGCCATCCTGAAGAGGTAACTCCACTCCCCGATCATGAGCGACCTGGACGATTCTCTTTATTAGGTCATGAGCATCGTCTTCAAAGTTGGGAAACATTGTCTCCACAAGAACAGTCAATGGGTTGACACCCATGATCTCCGGGTTCTTTTTATAACGCTTTTGAATCCTCTCGCAAAGTTTCACGACCGACTTGCCAAGCTGGACTACATGGCTAAAATCCCAGTCCTGTTGACTTCGGGGAACCTCGGTGTCTAAGAAACTGCGATAGACGATAGCAGCTTGCTCCTGCAAGCCAGACTCAAGAAGACGGGCATACTCCTGTGCGTCTTTCTCATTACGAGAGAAATCGGGGTCGCTGAAGATATGGTTTGTTAATACATGCACTGCCGGGCCAGCTGATGGAGGTTTTGGTTCGTAGCAATGCATTAAAGTATCGTAGAGATCGCGTAGGAGCGCATCGTTTAATGTCTGAAGAGTTTGCTGATACACATTGTAGTCCACAATAGTCCATTTACTCCGGTCCATGGTTGCAAGGGTCTCATTGTGAAGGTAGATATGAGGTGGCTTTTTGGGCTCCGGTTGTGGAATTTTAACCAGGTCAAAAGCGTTATCTAAATCGATCACTGTAAACAGCGTGTCTGTGAATCTCCGAGCTGCCACTTCTAGAAAGACGACCAGACGAGTAAATTGGGGAATTCGCCAGCGTACACACAGTTCTGTAAGGAGATCCATTGATTGCTTCGAGAACAAACTGGACTCCTCGGCCTCGTCGTCATGCATAGCATCAAACTCTACAGCGTATTTTGCAATGACTTTCAAAAACTCGCGAGGTTCGGGAGGGATAAAAGTGTAACTGGTGTAGTTTGCGTCATCGACAGCCCTGATGCTACTGCCATCATCCAAAGACATGGATCCGAGACTCATTACGCTGTCGATACCATACATGGAGGCTCTTTCCGGACTGAATGACGCTCTTTTATCATCTGGATGTGCCGAGGAAGGGCTTGCTGGCAATGCTTTATCATAAGAGACGCTGACAGTTGTGGATCTCCTAGCTAACTCCGGCTGAGCTGTCAAAATCTCCATCATCATTTGTGAAAGGAAAGGCGCTTCTGCTTTTTTCCACTCTTGATATGCCTCATCAATGTTGAAATCTTGGCTTCTTAGGGCGCCGCTCGCATCGGAGTTCAACCTATGCTGGTATGCCTTGAGGTCTCTCAGTGCGGCTTCTTCAGTCCAATTCTGTCGCTGAGCATCGATATGAGTCTGGACGTCGGAATGGGAAAGGCCAAATATCTTAGCAACGACTTGAACCATAGGCATATCCTTGACGTCGTAAGTAAGCGGCACTATCACCTCGATCGTATTACCAGAGCTCTGACCGGTATCGATATAGAGATTCTGGTCGTTGGTTAGAAGTTTGTTTTCAAGAGTGCTTAGTCTGCTCAGAAGTTCTGGCTTGTCTCGCTCGTGCCCCTGATCCCTTAATATGTTGGTCAGAAGTCTGAGAAAGAGGGCGACGTGCCGGTCGACAAGAAGCTTCCAGGAATCGTCGCCCGGCTCGTGGCCGAGCATACACGCCTTGGTGGCAGCCGAATAGAAAATCAACACCAGCGGCTCAACCTTGCGCTCCTTGTCGACGTTCTTCCGAAAAGCCTGCTCGGTAAAAGCTGTGTAAGCTTGCGCAAATGTCTTTTTTACAGCAGGATCGTTATAACCAGGCAGTCTTTCAGCACCCATAATAACCCGTTCCATTCTTTTCTCTAGATGGCCTCGAAATCCATGGGGAAGTTTAACGCTACTAGAGTTTCCCGGTACAAGTTCCTTGACCAAATCTCCTATATTGGACGTATGAGTCCTCGGCGGCGGCTTCGGTGCGGGGACCCATTGCTTTCGTTTGGTCTTGGGTTGGAGGATGTAATGTAGGTAGGCGACTCGTAGAGCGTAGGTATATGCATCGTCATGGCTCACGGCCAACTGCCTAGCCAAAGAACCGGCGCGACTTCTTCTATCGCTATTCTTCAAGCTGTCTACACGGCGGTTGGGCACCGCTTTCCTCGACACCGACGACATGGTGCAGGATGAATATAAGTCGGTCTTATGAAGTCATGTCCCATAAACTACCTGCGACGCATGTTCGTAGTATCACAATCAAAAACAGACTCGCGGTATTCGTAGTGATTCGATTGAAAGGCTAGTTTCTAGGCTGTAGGTTGTGAGTAGTTGTGAAGGTGTAAAATGTGCGAATGTGGTGAGGTTGAGAGATGCGAGAAGTTGTGGATAATCGGTCAGGCGATAATAATTAGGTTAGGTACGGAGGTTAGAAGGTGACGCCGCCGGCAATTGAAACTAACGTTTTGGTTTGTCCTGAAATAGAAATTGAATTGACCTGGGCGGCTCCGGGACTTAGGCTTTTCCCTTTACGAAAGTGCAGCAACGTCATTCGGTCGAGTAGTATCCCTTACAATGCAATACATGCAATACAAATAGGAGAGTTATCATTTCATTGAATGAAGAGGGGGCGACTACCCAATATCTACCCAATGACGATGATATAAATTTATCGATAGTGGAACCATCTTGGGACCCTGTACCTAGGTGGTTTCCCTTCATTAGTCCCTTCTCACCTTTGCTCATCCCCGCTTACCACCTGCAACACCTGCAACACCTGCAACACCTGCAACTTTTACCGTACCTAGTGCAACAACTTGCGACTGTAAGTAATGGATCTCTTTTCGTACACTAGTAGGTAATACAAGTCAAAGTCAGGCTTCAAACATCTCTTCGAAAAAGCGCGAACCGGAGGGATAACAAAACTTGCAAGATTCGATATAATGTATTAAACATGTTTATGATTGTGTCTATGACGATATTCGATGTCTATCGCCCCTTCGTCTCAAGGTTGTCTCACCCAATGAAAAGATGATAGATATCGTCGTTGGGTGTGTGGCCGCCGGATCAGACCTATCGAATAAGTTTTACGGGAACCTACATGTAATACACTCGCATATAGAGGTGCACATTCAAAGTTTTCCAAATTCCCTTATATGGAATTGGAATATCTTGTTCAAGCAAACAGCAGTGTGTGCTGGATGAACAACCTAGGTATGGTGTGGCTATACTACGCAAGTATAGGGGGCAATCTTTGAAACGATTAGTCTAAAATCTCTCGACGAGGACAGTCTCAATGGGCCACTCCGTTTTGAGCTCTGTAGATGTGACCCTATGCCCTTATGGCATCACCACACGAAGATTCTAACTACGTAGGGAGACCAGATGATCGGTCATCACCGTGCGAAGCTGACAAGTTGATGTACGTAAGTTTTATTCTCGCTCGTTCGTATATATCCGCCGCTCGACCTTGCCCGGTGCATATAGACTTTTAATAGTATGGAATATTTAGACGATAATCTAAAGAAATGAGGTAGCCATAGTGGCAATCTAACTTCGAACTTCACTGCCGAAGATCGGATAAGAAAAGTTTATGAATTCGTTTGCGACTTAAGAAATATAGGAAGATATCTGGTGTAAGTACATAGGTAGCTAGAACACCTTGCCAAGTATCCATTTCATCTCTCCTTGGAATAGAATGCAGATACTCGCTTATCTACTACTCCAGGTATACTGATACGACAATAAAGACTTCGAAGACACATCCATATACGGACTCTATGAACCTGTGAGTAGGTAGTGGGTTCGTATTGTGCTACCTGACTGTACCTATTATACACAGCTTATGTAATCAGCGACTTTCTCAATTGGTGTAGTTCCAAAATGAGTCCATCGCAACCTAGATCTTTATTAGATAAGATGGAGCACTTACCCCGGCTGAGCGGCTATTAAGGTACCTACTGCTAGGCAGCCTGGATAAGGCGAGGTAACTGCGTAGCTAAGCTTTCAGGTGTTCCAATACCACTGCCCTTGCCTTCATCTTTCGTCACTTGCTCGTCTATTTGTCTATTTTCGCGATCAGTTCATACTCACAAAATTCCAACTCACCCCGTCGCCACATACCGTACGGGTTTAACACTATATGAAGTATACAGCAAACAGATGTTTCCTTTACAGCGCATTTTACACATGCTTCATTTAGGACTTATTATTCAATTGAACAGGACGACGTTTTCGAAAGGCACGCGACAAGTAAAGAGTACGCATTCGCATTGGATATCCACTGGATCACTGCCCGTCTTGCTGGTCTTGACATCACATGCTGCGTTGATCAGGTTTTCGCTCAGCCTTGTTGTCCACGAGTGACTCCTAGGATTATACAGCTAAGAGTTGCGTGTGCGTGTGCCTGGCAAAAAGGTACGAATATTCTTCAGCCTGCCAACCCATCTGTTTCAGCTAAAAGGATCTCCTGCCCATTGTCTTTCACCACACCTTAGTACACACCTTGGTACACCCCTAATTTGCCTTCTTCTGCCCTTTTGGCCTTTTGCTCTGCCGCGCTCGTGTTTCTGTCGGAATCCCTTTTGGTTCTGTTCGTGTGATGAATACTACGAATGAATGCTTGCGCCTTTTCGGTCAGACGTCGCAACTGATTACATATCGATATATTTAGTATATTCTGCCTCATCGGGATTTCTCGAACGTCACCTTGGGGCTCTTCTACGTACCTACTCCTGCATGCTTGGCTATATTCGGCGTAAGGCAACACGACGGCCCTGCAACAGCGCCCCTTGGTGCCTCTGGTACCGTAACCACCACAACCCTGAATGATTTGACCCCGCCAAAATCCACTGCGCAATCGTTTCGTCCCAACCGGATTGGCTGCCCGTAAACCGTTCAGCACCTGCGGTCGCTGCGACCGTTGCGACACCAACTCCAGCTTTTCTCCAATTTGATACATATCTCTCTTACAACGTCACTAGTTAATATAATCCACCTTGCATCCTTTTACGCTCGCCTACTCTTTTTTACGATTATCATATAGTTGATCTGATTGATATTCGTACTCTTTTTTTCTTGCGCGGCCATTCATCTGGCTGGCTCTTCTCACCATGGGCATCGTGAGCAGCAGACTTGATGATGGCGCTGCCATCTATCTGCGAGACCAAAACCGACGTTTGTCTACTTTCCCCCTTTTGCGATTCGCGCAATCGGAACTGACACCATCTAGTCTCAATCGCCTCCGTAGTTATTACCTGCCCTCGCAAGCGCATTTCAACCACTATAGTCCCCAATGCGTTCCCCGCTACTCGGGCTACGGCTACGCGATCACCAGGCGACTCTGGACTGGTCGAGTTTATTCAGGTTGGTTCTGCTAAAATCCTTAGCTCTGAAGTTATTCCAAGTTTCTAACTTTACTACTTTAGGACACTGAACCTTCAGCTGTCCCGAACTTTCTCCTCAAACTCAACAATGACGACGAACTCATATTCAACTTTACCTTCGTTATCCGCCAGGAAGATGGCGGGGCTGGTATCGATACGCACATCAACGGACTAACATATGTCTATGCTTCGACCAATAGAGATCTCGAGAACCTTGTCACTCGCGAGTTTCACGCCGATCCAAATCTACACAAAAACGCAAATGTCGAATTAGTCGGCGATTACACCACTGGCGGAAGCGCTTCGGTGACTTTCGAATGGTCGTGGAAGTGGAAACCGCCAAAGGGGACGGAGGACGGAGGAGGTGGATGGAGAAATGTCTGCAGTGTACGTGTTTCTGGACTGGACATCTACGGCGACGTTGGCTAACATTGGTATAGTTTGTCGAGTACGATCAAAGAGCACACCGCCTAGATACCCTTGCCAGGTTCTCCTTCTGGGTCGCTAGTGAGTACAACAAGAACCCACGTTCACTATCTAGTCATACCTAACGAACTACTCAGATACTTCGCCTTTTCCAAGCCATCCCAACTCACCATCCCCGGCTTTCCAATTGGCAGTACCTCCTAGAATTCGAGTGCCGTCGTCTCAATCTGTTGAATCTCGTATTAGCGAACAAGATGAGCCGAGCTCACCTGTGCACCCGCAGAGCGATGCATTATCTATCGCGCCTACGATCGTGCCGGGCTCGCGGGATTCTGTGAAGCTTGATATATCATGTCCCCGGCCAGGCGAGGACATGACCGTGAGCGATGATGGACCGGTTTTCAGAGCTACCATCAAGGCGCTCGAGCAGAAGACTGGAAACATGAGAACGCAGATGAAGAAAGTATTAAAGAAAGCCGAACATGCATACACTACACAGACCGAGGCGAACGAGGCTTTCGTGAGCTTTACAGATGCCCTCCGAGAAGCGTCGGCAACGAACGCCAATGCGGTTCAGCCTGCTATCGATCACTACTTTGACAAGATCTCGAGAGAAATACTAAACTACGAGAGGCAAAATACCCTTAATTTACAGAAGATTATTATCGAGCCTATAAGCAAGCTCTATACGTATGACATCAAACAAGCGGAATCGAAGAGACGAGATTTCGAGGAGGAGAGCAAGGATTACTATTCTTACGTATCTCGGTATCTTGGCCAACGACAAGACTCGGTGAAGACTAAGAAGCTTGCCGAGAGTGATAGCAAATACCAGACAAAAAGGAGAAATTTCGAGCTCAAACGTTTTGATTATTCATCGTTTATGCAGGATCTTCACGGTGGTCGCAAGGAACAGGAAGTCTTGTCTCATTTAACCAAATACGCCGACATCCAAGCAAGGGGCTTCTTAGCCACCGCGCAGAGAATTGAAAACTTGTTGCCACAACTTGAAGCTCTAGCGAATGAGGTACAAGAAGCCGATAAGGAGTTCCAATACCAGAGACGCGAACGGGAAGAAAAGAGACGTGTATTGGAGAAGAGTAATCTCCAATATAATGAGCCAGAAGGTGTGACTACCGCGGTCCATACGACCGCCAATCCCAGCTCGAATGGTAACCAGCACACCTCTGACTCAGAACTTGGTCGAGCGGATAGTACCAGCTCTCAGCTCAAGCCTATACCCACGGGCAATTCAGGGCCGATGGCCTCGGCAGGCACAGACCTCTCGAGATCCCCGGGAAGCGTAGGACACGCTTCTCTGCACAGCCCCGCGCAAACATCGAAATTCAAGGGAATACGCGATCTGGAAGAGAGAGACTTCAGCCAGCTGGCCATTGCCGATAAGAACTCGACGCACCGAAAAGAAGGTCTTCTCTGGGCTCTGAATCGGCCAGGTACACATGTGGATCCGCTCTCATTAAACAAGCAGGGTTGGCACAAGTACGTAAAACTGATACGACCTCATATAATGCTACCTACTAATATGTATTTTTGCAGATTCTGGGTTGTCCTAGATCAAGGGAAGTTGTCGGAATACAGTAACTGGAAGCAGAAGCTGGATCTCCATATGGACCCCATTGACCTTCGCATGGCATCCGTCCGCGAGGCGAGAAATGCAGAACGAAGATTCTGCTTTGAAGTAATTACGCCACAATACAAGAGAGTGTATCAAGCAACTTCGGGTGAGGATATGAACAGCTGGATTCTTTCCATCAACAACGCCCTCCAAAGCGCAGTTGAAGGTCGTGGTCTTAAAGAAAAGCCGTTGTCTCCAGGGGAGTCGACCACCAGCCTTAAGCGCGATATCGGTTCGATTCTGACTGGGAAGAGCAGCTCTTTGAATCATGGTTCTCATCATGGTTCTCACAACAATACCAGCTCCGCCCCCCCGTCTCGCCGTACTACAGTCGGTGCGCGACCTGCAAACGCACGAGCGCCAAGCAGTAGCTACGATGAACATCCGGATAAACTCCTCCAGATGCTTCGTGACAATGACCAGGGCAATTGCTGGTGTGCTGACTGCGGCAGCGGGTCCAAGGTCGAATGGGTTTCGATCAACCTGGCTATTATTCTCTGCATCGAGTGTAGTGGCATCCATCGATCTCTCGGGACGCATATCAGCAAGGTGCGGTCGCTCACACTCGACATCACGTCATTCACGCCCGATATTATCGAGCTATTACTTCTCGTTGGAAACAGAGTCTCAAATATGGTCTGGGAGGCGAAACTGGACCCGAATCTCAAGCCGGGTCCGCAAGCCACGCGGGAACAACGCCTGAAGTTCATAACAGCGAAATACGTGGACAGAGCTTATGTGGAGCCGATATCAGCCACTCTCTCGCGGTATCCGACCGCCGATGAAACCCTCCTCGCGGCTATAAAGCGTAACGAGATTCAACAAGTTATATACGCACTAGCGCTGAGGGCTAACCCTAATACACTGGATAAAAGTCGTGGAACTCATCCGATTTTTCTAGCTCTTGCGGCGGCTGATCCGGCCTCGCCATCGCCAACTACTCCTGTAACCGGACGGCCGGAGCCCGACTCTCGGGTTATCCCATTTCCAGTTGCGGAAATGTTGATACAAAACGGGGCTGAAATACCTGCTGCAATGCCTGCCTTCCCACTGAGTCGGAGCGCCCAGATGTATCTCGAACAGAAGCGTGGCCGGAGCGCTGCTATCGAGGCATCGGGCGCGTCGTTGCCGGGTAGTCTCAGCCCGAGCCCGAGCGAGCGACTTCAGCGCGATAAGGACGCACGCTTACAGAAACGCATCAGCGCTGGCGGACGCCTGGCGAAGTCGCCTATTCCCGAACGGTAGAAACGGCGGAAGTCGAACGCCTCCCTCTCGTCTTCATCTCCCTCGTCATTTACACAGAAGAGTCGGCTCAGTCGACGGAAGTCAAACATCACAGGTTCAAACTCCTCCTCATCCACTTCCGGACGGTAGAAACGGCGATCGAATCGCTCCTTCTTCCAGATACCCCATTTGGATCTCTCCACAGCCTTACCGCCCTTCTGTCGCTCATCGATCCTCTGTCCTCCACTGAGACCTGTGACACCACCTCCCCCGCCTCGCTGTACAATCGGCTCTATGACGATTCTTACTCCACGAACTGATGAAAATAAATCTATACGATGATAGCTGGGGTTGCATTAGACACGTTGGTATTGGTAAAGAGTATTTTTCGGGTTTCAGGTAGAAGGGGATGTGTGAATCTCCTTCGTCCCGGGCGTTATGGAGCATACTAAGGGGAATACCAAAGTGGTCCTGAGCCTCATGTTGCGTTACGACGTCCACACCATTTTTAAGCAGCAGTTAAAAATACTAGGCCGGCTTTCCTAGATATGATACTAGGACGTAGCTTTGAGCGATGGGCAAGGAAGGAGTCCATTGGCGAGGAGGGACATGTACTGATACACCCATAATTTTAATCGTGTATAACGTCGGTGGTAGTTAGGTACATTTTTAGTAGACCGAAGGAAATACCACCAAGTGAAATTTTGGATAAGCTCCGGGTCCAATTTGTGAACACTAAGCATATTGTGTCTACTAGGTACGTGAAATGATCATTGCTTGTTCTTATATACGTTGAAGGAAGACAACGCATGTATATTAAATGGGATTGGAAGATACCTAAGGTCTAGTACTATGCGGAAACGTGTGTGTACTCTATAATGTTACCTGAAAAATTTCATGTACTACGTAGGTATGTAGGTAGAGTAGAGGTGATACCATGTGAATAGAGTATGGTGCTTATGATATAAGCTTTGAGCAATATTTATGGAATATATAGTGCCGTGAATGCTGAGAAACGTAACACATGCAAGGCGTTGCAGGTGTGCCCTAATGATTATCACCTGAAGCTTAAGCGTGCGAAAGCAAGGTTGCGTGTGACCACTGCTTAGCCTCACATGAAATAGAAGCCGTTATGAACTTTTAACTTTCAAGTATACCGGCACCCTTACATGACATTAGAAAATACAAGGTTTCCTGTTGCATAGCCACCTGTGATCGGGTTCCATGGGAAGGGAGGATCGATGGAGAATAAGAAAGTATGACGGAATCTCAGGGCACCAAATGGTGGAGCTTCTACAAGGTACAATCCTTCAAGCTTGGAAATTATTGCACAGCCCTATAACGATCCAGGAGACCGCGGACAAGCATCTATGAGTCCCCACTTGCCGATTACAGCTGCAGCACAATGGATCTCTAGCTCTGGGAAACTGGGGATGACCTCCAGCACTATCAGGTGCCAATTTCAGAGTTTGCGATTTTCTATACTTTCTCTTGACGTTTCATACTAGAAACATTGAGAATCACATGGCGGATGATTCTGTTTATACTCGCAAACATTCTTTCCCTTTCAACGGCGCTGAATGATTGGTTTTGGTGAGTCATTATATATCGGACGAAGGTGAAGGGTGATAGTGCTCGAAGTCGTTCGGGATCCCTGGTCAGCTGCGGCCGCCCAATCCCGTTGTCGAGTCGGAAGGACCTGCGACCCTTATTAGACTATGTATATCCATATCTGCGAGCTGGGGGCTCTTCCGCAATAAGCTTTTCGACCTTTGCCAAACTACCATAACAATTTTCCACTCAATTCAACCACGCTTACTTACTCCCTCGACGACCATTTGAACCGCGTCCCGCATTTCGCTGCAATAGGCTATCGCGTCAGACATAATAACTCGTCTTGTTCCCCTTGTTCCTCTTTTCTCCCCTTTGCTAGCTTGCCACGAAGGGAAACAAGGAATCCCAGCGCCCCTTGCTCAAGGCAGCCAACCATGGCTCCACGCGAGAAGAGTCAGCTCAAGAGAGGACGGGTACTTGCAACAATCCTCATTGGTGTATGCCGGATAATAATTAATGTATCTTCACAGGAATCTCCTCCCTCTAAGAATGATAATGACACTGCGAAGAAACCTCGTAGATCCGGCCGCCTGTCGCAAAAAGCTGAGAACGTCGATCAACAAAAAACACCGGTCATCACCAACAAGCAAAATCTACCCTCCCCAGTCACATATCAAACCGAAAGCGACGGGATATATAAAGAAGCAACAGCCGAACCCCCAGACGGACGCCCCAGTCAAGTGACTCATCGCAGTCCCGAAGAGACCTTCTCTCAAGTACAGGCCTTCTCGTCTCCGCTACAAGATACCCAGGCGTTTCCAACATCCCAATACGTTGACGGGAACGCCGCTTTGTCCGACGAGGTCGAGGATGAAGAGAAGGAGGGAGTATGGGGCTACCTGTTCCCGCTTAATACCATGTATGGAGGGAGGTGTGTAGTCTTGAGAAAACGATCTACTTGTCCGAAGTCAGACGAGCTCTCAGGCGCGTCATCCAAGAAGCAACCAGGTGGTGCCCCCCTGAAACAGGAAGAGAGCTTTGAGAAGTCCAAGGCGAAGGACGCCCCGTCAGGCGGATATCTGATTGGACGACACCCCGAGTGCGGTATGTTCCTGTTACTTATTAGTCTAAGAGTCTTGAACGCTTGGATTAAATACTGACTTCGATAGACGTTATCGTGGACGACCCAATGGTCTCTAACCGTCACTGCTTAATATTCACCGAGAACAATAGTGATGACACGATCGCCATCATTGAAGACCTGTCCAGTAATGGAACTTTCGTGAACGAGGCCATCGTTGGGAGAAACCAACGCCGCGAATTGCAAGAACAAGACGAGATTGCGGTTATGGACAAGGCTCGTTTCATCTTCCGCTATCCGCGAAGCCGATCTTCCAGCGCCTTCCTACAACAATACACTCTACTCGATCGCTTGGGCAAAGGTCACTTTGCTGAAGTGTACTTGTGCGTAGAGAAGTCTACCGGTCAGCGTTATGCTGTCAAGATTTTCACGAAGAACCCTGGCATGGATGAGAAGTCTAAGACGGATGGGCTGCAACAGGAGATTGCGGTGTTGATGGGAGTTAGCCACCCTAATGTGCTGTGTCTGAAGGACACTTTCAATGAGAAGAACGCGGTGTATTTGGTTTTGGAACTTGCCCCAGAAGGCGAATTGTTCAACTACATTGTGATGAAGCAGAAATTGACTGAGGCGGAAACGAGGAAGCTGTTCATCCAGTTATTCCAGGGTATCAAGTACTTGGTATGGCATTTTGTCTCCCTTTGCCTAACTAAACCTAGCTGACGATTGGAATAGCACGACCGAAATATCGTTCACCGAGACGTCAAACCTGAAAATATCTTGCTAACCGACAAGGATCTCCACGTCAAGCTTGCCGACTTTGGACTTGCTAAAATCATCGGAGAGGAGTCATTCACGACTACTCTATGCGGTACCCCAAGCTATGTCGCCCCGGAAATATTGGCGGAAGTGAAACACAGGAAATATACCAAGGCAGTCGATATCTGGTCACTCGGAGTAGTGCTATATATATGTTTATGCGGGTTTCCACCCTTCTCGGACGAACTATACAGTCGTGATTTCCCTTATACGCTTTCGCAGCAGATCAAGGGCGCTCGATTTGACTATCCTTCCCCATACTGGGATTCAGTAGGAGACCCGGCATGTGAGTCATCATTCCGACTTCGCGTCTTCCTATTCATACTTGGCTTTGCAAATTAACATTGATCTATTAGTGGACCTCATTGATCATATGTTGGTTCCCGAGCCGGAGAAACGCTTCACAATTGATCAATGTCTTACACATCCGTGGATAACCGAGAAGACACTAGGCGTCAATGACAGTACGGATGGCCTAGTGGCAGGTATTGGAGGTCTCGAGGTGCAACGAAGAGGTGCGGTCCGTGAGCGAACACTGCTTAGCTCCATCAACTCGGTGCAAGTCGCAAACAAAATCCCCGCCACCCCGGATTCAAAGAAGAGCCCGATAAAGGTGTTCAACAAGAACCCGGCAGCAGATAAGAATAAGGCAACACAAGCAGAACCTCGGCCTGCGGACCAAAGGGGTACGAAAGAGTTTATGGAAATGGGTGGCAAAGGCGACCAGGAGCTGTTCGGGAATGACGATGCAAGCTTCTACTCCAAGCCCGAGGCGGCAGCAGCAAAGGGGAACAAGGCAAAAGGTAAGGGTAAAGTGAAGGCCGGTGGAAGATGATTGGGCATGAAGCAGCATGAGATGAAATGAGATGGTGGGAAAATATCATTGTTCGACGAGTCTAGAAGATCTATCAGTTGTTCATTCCGCGGGGGGCGGCATATGGCGGGTGCATGAGCTTATGAGCTCTTATACTTGTCAGTTCTTACAAGTGTTGTCGGTCTTTAGGGGAGGTTTATTTTCTTCATTCAGCCTACTACGATGGGTTGATTTATATTTGCGGGTGTGCATCAAGCAGGCGTCTCCAAAGTCGAGGTTTATTCGGAATTAAAAAAGAGGGGAGGGGTTTTCTCAGAATTCGCATCACATCGTACCATGTAAGTGCCGACTATAATATACGTTGCTTTACTCATGAGCCTCAACAAATATCAATCAGGAGTACACTTTAAATGCTATTCAATTAAATGAAGGGTAAGGGTCATTTCACGTCGACGTCCGCGAAGAATTCACTAGCTCAGCCTAGAACGCCTGTCGTCACTAGGCTGTCTTCTCCCGCCCCTATGTCGACATCATAGATAATCTATTTCAAGCACTCGAGTCATCTTACTAAGTAAACGCATCAGAGATACGATATTTCCATATAATATACGCCCATTAGCTCAGATAGTTTCTTACTTTGACTAGACTCTATTTCGTCTTCGTCGCTCTAACTATCATAGAGCAGCTACCTAAGCAATATGGAATCATGCGATATACACTTCTCATATATGCCTATACTCACTTGGTTTACATCCATGGCGTAACCTTTACTAATTGGCTTTCTTTGTAAATCAAGACAAAGCAGTCGGGAGCTGGAACGCGCGGACTGAACTGAAAACAAAAGCAGCAACTCGGCTTTCCAGGCTCTTTGTCTCGTACTCGGGGCGAGGTATGAGATGGTCGATTCTTGAGAAGTGCAGCATCTACGGCTTCTCATCATAAGTTGCGGCACCTTTGTAAGACATGATAGAGGCAAGCACACCATTGGGATGGCCTCATCTCATATTCTAGGAGGCCTAGATAATGGCAGCAAACCGCGAAGAACGGGATCCATCGTCGCAAGATCGCAGAAATATCCGCCGCCGGCGGCATTGCCGGAATATGTCAATAGGGCGCTTCCGCCACGACCCGATTCGAACACTTCGTCCGCGTACGACAGCCTTGACGAGGCCACCAAACGGGCTCCGATTCCGAAACCTCCTTTGCCGATCAGCCACTTCAGACATGACAGCCCGAATCCAAGCCCGGCGGGTATCTTGAACGAAGCCGGCCTAGCCATGGTTCATCCCCAGTCGATAACGTCAGCACCGCAACAACTACAACCGCAGAAGAAGTCCCTAGAAATCGCCGCTCCGCAGCCGATATACCCAGCTCCCATCATCCTCGACACGCGAAACCAGGACTTCAACATCGTCAGCCCGGTATCGGCCGGGAACACGACGGCGATCGCGCCGCCGCAACCGTACGAAGTCTCGCCGCTCTCGCCGACGTCGTCGCAGCACAGCTTCGGGTTCGCGGCCGACCTGAAGCGCATCTCGTCCCCGACGACCGGCGACCTAGCCGTGAGCCTGACTCCGAGCGACACGGAAAGCAACGCGGGGCATCACATCGACAACAACAACGACATAAACTTAAATACCAACGCAAATACGAACACGAACATAAACGCGAAGAACAGGAACTTCGTATACACAGGAACCCACACGGCGCACTCCTCAGACGACCTGGCCGCGGCGCGGCTCGCGTCGCCGCACTCGCAGGTCTTGCAGATCGACGGCCGGTACAGCGACCCGGGCAGCCCGATCAGCGGCGCCGTGATCCACCCGCCGACGTGGTTTCCGTCGCCGTCGGACCCGGACCCGGGCGCGCCGCGCCTCGTCGACATGCGGGATCCGCCGCCGCCCGCGTTTACCCTTTTCCCGCCCCCGCCCCAAACGCAACCCCAGATCCAGGCACAGACACACAATTTCGTAAACCGTCTCCCGCCTAGACCCAAGTCCCCGTCCCCCGCCTTACGCGAGGAAGACAGTCCGCTGAGCGGCGGCGTGAGCGTAAGCGTTAGCGGAGGAAACTTGGCTAAAACGACCAGCGCGGAGACGAGCGGAAGCGGGAAGAGCGGGACAACAAGGATCGCGTTCGCGGGCCCCGGCGGCGGCGGCGGCGGCGGCGGCAGCCCCGGGACGATAAACGAAGGGTTCAAGCGCGCGCGCGCGAACAGCAAGAGGAGCGCTCCGCCGCCGCCTCCGCTAAAGCTAAGCGAGCGCCCGATCGCGGACGCGTACGTGAAAACGCCGTTCCCGCCCGCGCCGGCGCCGGCGTTGCAGAGGGGCTTGTCGAACCCGACGCAGCGGACGCGGAAGGTGTCTGAGGATAGGGGTAGGGATAAGGATAAGGAGGGTTTTGTTGGGTTTGGAGGGGGGGCTGGTGGTGCGGCGGGGGTGGAGGGGGTTATGAGGAGGTTGAATCGCGTTTCGAGTTTGCCGGGTTTCGGGTTCGCGAGGGGGTTGAGGAGGAATTCGGTGCTTGGGGTTGGGGGTGGGGGTGCAGGGAGTGGTGGTGGAGGAGGTGGAGGGGAGGGGGTGTTGGGGCTGCAGCGGGGGGATAGGGAGAAAGAAAGGGATAAGGAGAAACAAAAAGAGAGGGAGAGGGAGAGGGAGCAGCAGAAGCGGAAGCAAAGCGAGGACGTGAGGAAGCTGGAGAAAGAGGGGAGCGCGTCGCCGATGCCGAAGGTTAAGAGTTTCTTGGAGCGGGCGAGACAGCTGAGTATGGGGCACGGGTTGGGGATCGGGATGGGCTCGGAAGAGGCGAGGAAGGAAAGGAGGAGGGCGGAGATCAAGAGACAGATTCGCTTTGGTGAGCCGAGGACGTAAGGGTTCGGATGGGGTGAGAGCGGGAAATAGGGGTTGATTTAGGGGGTGGTCTCACGTGTTTATTTGACGTAAGTTATTGTCGATGTTTATGTCTAGATGAGGTATTTATATCTAAAACAAAGCAGTTTCATTAACGCCATCCCGATGATGAAGTATAGAAAGACATTATTTCAAAGATCAACCATCGCTCTCCTTCTCAAACGCCCATAACTTGGTCAGAGTATGATCGTAACTCATTTACCGGAGAAGGAATGCCATGCTCTTTTGATATTTGACGATAACACCTCCTTGAAATGAAGTTTGGGAGTTTCCGACGTTGTATCTCTAGGAATACTCGGGGGTGATTCTTGAGTGCGCACAGGAGTAGAGTTACTAAGATTGGAGGCGGATGAGTCACCAGATGTACTGAGGCTTGATCCAACTCCGCTGTCGCTGATCGTGTCTGTCTCGTTTTCTAGCTCTTGCGGGGGGTCACCCTTCACAGGATCGCCGTGGTCTCCCCAATGCCAATGGAGATTCATGTTGTGGCCGAAAATGACTGCACCATGGCTTTCTAGTTCGATTTGGGACCCCTTTCCAAGGCTCGGCGTGAATTTTAGCGGAAATAGAATCTGAACGGGATCGTGGTGCGCTTGTGTACTTCTACCGGTACAGGGGCATTTATCGAATGTTGCTTGCTTCACTTGCCATATAATATTCTCGCATAACCTTCTTGGGTTAGAATTCGAGTCTCCATCCCTTTCCATGATCTCTTGAAGATCTAAAACACAGGCAGCGAGATAGTACTTGTTGCTCGGTACTTGGGTCCAACGGGGACAAGGTATTGCGAATCGTGGTTGGATCAAATCTCCGAATCCTCGCCCGAATAAGGTCACAGCATGTAGGGCTCGAGTGAAGTCAACCCATCCCTTTCCAATAGTCTGGAGATGAGCAACACGGGGAAATAGCGGATCCCCGTCGGTGGCCAAGTCTTTGAAATCCCAACCCTCAAGTTGTCGGCGTGGTCGAATTTTGATATCCAGCCCAGATCGTCTTTCGGCATCAGTCTGGTGGTCTATCAGTTTTTCGAAGATGTTATATATGTGTTCGATTCGGTCTTCCAATCGATAATGTCTCGTCTGTCTTTTTAACACCTTGTGGGTTCTTTGCTGGTCATTGGTTTCTTCGTCGTATACTTCAGTCTTGTCCACGTAGAGCTTAAGATCACGATTCTGCTCATTGATCAAAACTTCAAGAGCTGATTGAGACCTTGGTGTCCCAGCTGCATCGCTTAGAGCGTTTGGGTCTAAAAGCCATGCTGATGGAAATTTCTGTTGGCTGTGCTCTAGGGATGCCCGAAGGATATGGAGCAAAGCACTTGCTCCGTTCACCAGCCAGCCTCTCTTCGCTTCCTCGTCCCAGAAAACGAAATGCTTCGACGAAATCCACTGGAGCTTGTTGAGGTAACCGAATCTAGAGATATGGACCGGTTTCTCTCTGTTGCCTAAGCTGAAAACTGCCGTGCCTGTCACAAATTGTCCTCCTGAAACCTCGGCTTTTTCCAGGGCACAGCCAGCATGGGCATAAGGCAACTTGGATTTCTCGATGTTATATTTCGACTGAGTGGTCCCTAGTGTAGGTGATTAGTTCGTTGAACTATCAAACAGGAAAAGGGGGAGCATACCAACAATTGAGACCACGTCAGAACACCATCCCAAAATATGGCGATACTTCCCCAAGGCATGCATCTCAATATCGATATGTTGATGACCAAGATCACAATCAAGGTATGATATCCGCTTGTTGGGGTCTTTGTTGTAGAGCAAGTGCCAAACCAGCAAGTTTCCCGATTGCTTCGTTGGTATCAGCATGGTGGAGAAACCCTTGATGAAGACCTTGGACTTGAATGTATCAACGTATCGTGCTCTCGCTAGTGCAACTAGCATGTCGAGCGACATTTCCAACCCTGTGCCCGTTTTGCTTCTTTTGAGAATGGGAAAGCCACGGACGACAACGGGGTCAGCGAACAAATTATGCCAGCATTGTCCATTTGTACCTTGGTACTCTTTCTGGACTACGTCGACATCGTGTTTGATATCCAATTTTTTGGGTATGAAGCACACGCGTGGAGTGCAGTGGGCGACACCAATACTACTCTTTGAGAACCGCAAAGCAGCACCAATCCAGGCGAGTTGCTCTCCTATTTCTACTACAAGCTCTGGGATTCCCTTAACTATTATAGAAACTGAAGAGTCTCTCACCTTACCTGATCCCATTAACTCATCGCGAGACTCGAAAAATGAAAAGAAGAGACTAAAATCCCCGTTGCCCCTCAACACTTCCTGAAGGAACTCAAGGGTTTTACATCCCGTATGAGGCCACGTCTGTGTCATATAGTCACGGCAACTAAGAGCTTGTGCATCCGTGTGATGTCCCGTCAAAGTGATAGCTTTGGCAATGGCATCGGCTGCGGACAGGTTGTACTCCTGAGCATCTAGAAACCCCAAGATATCCCAACGAAGAGTGTAAGTGATCTTGGTACGTGTGGGATACCATCTTCGACCACCTTCTCTTATCGGGAGAAGGGCTTGTCGGATTTTGCTCCTGATCTCATTTAGAATCTGTGGCTCTGTATTCGAGAGAGCTGCTTCCCCCTGTAATCGGCCAAGAAGCCACCGATAAGCAGGATTTTCAAAGATCAATCGTTTATACTCATCTAATCCGGGAAGACTAAACGCTTCACTTCTGCCAATTGGAGGGAATCCTTTGGTGTCTTCTGGGGGTTTTGCATCGTCAAATCCCCCCGACTGGGAAGTTTGTGTAGGAGCTGTTTCTATGTATGATTCACTAGCTCGCTGGCAGATGCTTTTGAAAGACGCGACAATCTTCCTAGGTCTTAGTGTTAGTATCTGATACTGGAGTAGGCAGGTGTTTACTTACCGTCTCTGTCCGTAAATAAATTCCACTACGTCGTGATTTGCATGGGGTTCGAGCCCAAGCCTGTCCGCAAGTGCCTCTAAAAGTGGAAAGAGGACAACTGACAGTCTATCGATTGTCTCGCTGTCTAGCTTATATGCATCGATTTCATTAACCATATCCTGGGCTAATTCCACCACATACTCTGGCGCTTGGTGATCATGCCACTTGAAATATTCCAGATCAGCATGCTCATCCTCACCTTCTACAGACGCCGCTTTATAGTGTGTGGCTGTCCCATGGTCCGACAGTGGAATGTCATTCTTGCAGACCTCTTGGTCCGATGATGCGGGTATATCACTTCTAACATTGGAAACACTAGCAACACGAGCTGGTAGTTGGATGGTAGTCTTTGGTCCGCCAAGTGGGACTTCTGAAATGAAGTAGTGTTCCGAACGTCTGGCGTTTGATTGTTCAAGTGGAAAGTCATAATAGCCTTCCTCAAACTTGCTGTAATCATAACAGTTGCACTAACATTTTATATTGAAAAATCAGCGATTATTCCAAGTTAAAGATAAAGGTCTGCATACTATTCTTTCCCTTTTCACACAGCCATATATACAAGCAAGTGTAAGGCGTCGCTTGAGGAGGATATTCAATGGTATATCAAGCATAGGATCGTTATCTAGGAGATAAAGCTCGGCGTCTGGATGATGACGGTAGGTGTATTCCTTGTCTTTCTCGATTGCATCGCGAGTTTCGTTATAAATCTTTTGCTTTTCCGGAGTTGGCTTAACAAGGATTTTAGGCGCGGCATGACCTGGAGGTTCCTGGGGCGAGGCGGGCGGAAAGGATGATGTACCGGGCTCTGTAATAGAAGAAGTCATCTTAGGTACCCATCAAAACAATTTATCGAGACAAGTTTTCTCGATGCTTACTATCTAAGAAGAAAATTGTAGATGATCATGACGACTTAAAAAACGAGACTATTCGGCTGTGGAAAGACTTAGAAAGAAATGAACTCCGTAATCTGACTGAAACGATAAAATATAAGAAGATCACGCCCCAAGAGCCAATTATATCCTCCAATGTATCATTAATGGCGAGGGCGGAGTGAAGACCGCGCCCCCAACCCCCCTCCCCTTGATTGTTGAACACAGCCCCATCTGCAGTCGAGACATCGGCTTCTTCTACTTCTACATTTGTACATCCCGATGGACCAAGTTTTAAGTTCAACAGCCTTCTACTTGGCGTACACCCTACGGCTAGGTATTCTTCAACCTCCTATCTCACCGCGTTTCTTTACTATACGTATCGCCATAAGTCGAGGCGCACGGATCGTACGACCTAACTAAATACACACCTACTATAAACAACTATATTGTTGCGAAGAGCTATGGGCCTGATAGATACTACTATATCCTACCAACCAACAGACCTATACCCCTATCCAGGTGGCAAGGGCTACGGTCCTGGTAGGACATTGGGTTGATTCGCAAGGCGCACGGATGTAAGGGCAGGTCTTTCTAACTTGAGGTGAGGTAGCACAGAATATCTGCCTGCATATATTGGTTGCGTCTACATTAGGTAGGTCATTCAAGACAGGTTGGCCGTTGGAACAGCCCTGCGTTTGATAAGTAACCAACTTGGGCTTTTACTGTTAGCATCCTCTGCGTTGCTTTGTTGTTTTCTTCGATGGCAAGCTTTGTTATAAGCTACCTACCTTATCCTGTAGTTTCAATCGACTCAATCATCATTTCAACGTCCTCTTTCGCCATTGCCGTATTGAGCTTTCAACATGGGCAGCCCTCCAGCGCGCGAAGGCGAAGTGGATTTCCAGGCACCTGGGGCGTCGAAGCCATGTAAGACATGGTACAAGGTCGTCGGCAAGCTGGATTCGCCACCTCTCATTGCTTTGCACGGTGGCCCGGGTACCGGCCATGAGTACATGATCACGCTGCTTGACCTCTATGAGAAGCACGGGCTCCCGATCATCCTGTATGATCAAGTCGGCTGCGGCCGTTCCACCCACTTTCGGGAGAAAGACGGCGACGAGTCGTTCTGGACAATGGACCTCTTCATCGCCGAGCTTGACAACCTGGTCGACCATCTGCAGTTGCGAGAGGTCGGGTTCTCTGTCCTTGGCCAGAGCTGGGGCGGCATCCTCGCCGGCGCCTACGCTTCGCGCCGACCGAAAGGTCTGAGGAAGATTATCATTGCCGGCGGGCCTGCCAGCATGCCCTTATACTCGGAGGGCTGCAAGTATCTCCTTTCTCAGCTGCCACCGGACGTGCGGCGCACCATCGAGGAATGCGAGCGCAAGGGTGACTACGAAAGCGAAGAGTTCCAGAAGGCTAGTGCCGTATTTTACGCCCGCCACTTCTGCAAACTCGACCCATTCCCCGAGCCTGTCCAGGTCGGGTTTCAGCACCTGAAGGAGGACCCGACTGCTTATCTCACTATGTAAGTGCCCCCTTGTAGTTACCCGGCCTCTTGTGAAGTTAGAGAGGGGGACTTACCGGACTCCTTAGGCAAGGACCCTCAGAATTCACCATCGTTGGTAGCTTCAAGGACTGGGAACCGTGGAAGGAGGCACACAACATCGAGGTCGAAACGCTGCTTCTCAACGGTGATCAGGACGAGGCGATGGACCTTTGCATCGAGCCGTGGTTCAGGAGCATTGCCAAGGTCAAATGGGTCACGCTGAACAATGCCAGCCACATGACTCATTGGGAACATCGAGAGAGATTTAATGAGCTCTGTGGAACGTTTCTCTTGAGTGGGTGAGAATCTGAATTTTTGACTGATATGGATGAGAACATTCAAGAGGTAGGTACCTAAGTAGGTAGTCAAAGTAGTCAAGTAGGCACCTACCTGCTAAGCAGTCGAAAACAATTATGAATTTTTACCGAAGTTCCAAATGAAACTCATCCAGTGTAAATATATGTAGAGGCACGTGACCATCCCCACCAAATCCCCCGCCAAACGCCCATTCCTAGGTACCTACCTATGTATGTATTTTCATGTCCGCTACGTACATACCTGAGTGCGGTAGAAATGCCCCTAGTTAGGGTTGACATGGATGTAGCAATATATATTGGTATGTTAAAACCGCATTATATCTCATGTTCTAATTACCCTGTTAATTTTTTTTTTTTTTTTTTTTTTTTTTTTTTTTTAAAAAGGACGCCTTTAAAAATGATCAGATTCAACGACCGCGGGCCTAGGGCAGCACATTTTACGGGGTCGCATGTGGCACAGCCCTGGAGGGAACACCATTTTCAGATCCCCTGTATTCAGCGCGCTAGGACACTCTTTTGTGATCTTTACCTTCTACAATTATAACACTCAAGCCACTGTATTACAGTGGCTAATGCCTTATATTCAAATAATTATGGAATGGACCTTACCCTGTTTAGCACACCTGCTTCCAAGGTTCCCCGAATTCTACTAGTTTTAACTCCACTAGCTCCACTAGCTCAGTGTGTAGAATACACTGTTCTAACTGGCAGTTTTGAAAGTTTGCAAACTGCCTATGTAAATAGACCAAAATAAGGATAGCATCCCGAACATCATCGTCAATGGAACTGACGGGTTCTGTAAGTCAGTTGCATATCCGGCAGGAAGAATCCGGATGCCAAAAAAGACAAGTGGCGGCAAAGCACAAACGACATGATAAGCTATCACCCAACGGAGGCTGATCATTTCACGTGCATAAATCCCCCAGAAAACTTCTCTTTTGTTTCCTGCCTCCTCCAATTCTGTCATTTTCTTCGGGAAGAAATCGAGGATGTCAGTAGAGTGAAGTCCCAGTGCTTTGCACTTGTGATACCAATGGTATCGAGACTGCGACTTGTGACATGCATAAAAGCGTGTTGCAAATTCGTGCTCGCTTATAGGCGGAATTAAGTCCATCGGTCTTGGTCGATATTCATAATCCGTGTTCATAACTTCGGGAAACGCATTTTTCTTTATTGGGACGAACTGGTGGTCATCAAATTTCTCACACTAGATAAGTTTTCAAAACTATTAGCCAAACCACATGGAAAAAATATATATGAGATTATAGGTCATTATTCCCAGAAATGATCAAAGGTTGTGTAAACTAGTAAATAAGTGTACTTGCCCTGTAGAAATCGCAGTGAGAGTATCTCCAGATACTGAACCATGCCCTGATAAATCCTCGAAGACGGAAATAATCTTTCTTTAACGCGCTGAAAAATTCTTGACAGCAAAGACCATTGATAACACCAATTTGTGCAATCTTATATTCTATACCCCTTTTTACGGTTAAAATGACGCGATAACTTAGGGTGTTCGTATTGGACAAGGCGGCTTGGAGCTGTGCCCCTGACTGGGCCGCATTGGTCGAATGTGAACGAGCTGACTGCTGATGTCCTTGATTCTGTTGAGGGGGCGTTGCTTGGCTTTGATTATTGCTTGTGCTAGCTAATCCACTTGATCCTCCATGAATTTGGGTGAGGGGGAGCTGTGTCGTTCGAGGAAGACTGCGAATAATCGACTGTAGGCGTTTAAAAAAAACCAATGGAACTTCTACATGCCTTTTCTCACCGCAGGTCTAAATATATAGTTACTATTAAAGCCTTCAATTGAATCTTTTGGATGTGTGGGTGATTAGCAGGACACTCACGCATTCCCAACATATTCTTGCTTCCCCATCTTTAAGGGGTCTCGCGAAACGAGGCAATGGAGACCAGTCCCAATGCTCTCCTGTCCAATTTTCTATTGTGCTTTGACAATGGCCGATAATCTGAGGCATGTATTTTGGTTTCTCACCAGTTTCGAATCGGATTTCATGGGGATTGATGTATTGTAGCTCTGCCGCCAGGTCTAAAAGTCGATAAGGAGCCACATAAGCGTGATACTTGTGATCGTTCCTTGACCACATTTCCAATAGGTGTCGAAGTCTTGATCTTAGGCTAGGATGGACGAATTCATGAAGCCGTCGACGCAAAACCTTATAAGCAATGCTACCGGTAATGAATTGTCCCAATTGGTCAAGGTGTGGTAGAAAACCATCATACAGCTCTTCTTCGTCGTCGTCCTCATCTAAAGAGTCTTGATCGCTATCATCGTGGGACTCAATAGGCTCGAAATCACCGTGGAGATTCCGGAGGAATTCATTGACCTTCTCTCGACGATCTGGGTTCCTTTGAAGGGCATCAGGGATTTGAATTTGGCTGCCCACAGAAAATTGTGCGAAGAGCTCGCGGGTGATATTAGATGACAATGAGCTGACAAATTTTACAACTTCTCGATGGTTCTTACTGCGAGCCTCTACCTTGAGATCCAAAGCGTAACGTTTAAGGAGTTTTCGAAACCTATCTCGCGTTTTTTCAAACCCGACGTCCTCTTTAGATATAGCTATCGGAATATCAAGCATTATTAGCTCATCTCGACGAAATAGAGCCGCGAATTCTTGTACGAGTAGAGTGTTCATTTCTCCGGTCTGGGAAGTTTGAGTACTGGGAATGGAAACAGGCTCCGAGAAAATCGAGTCGTTGCAAGACGATTCACCGGAAAATTCAAGATCCAGCTGATTCGAATCTTCATCGGCATGACTAGACATTAAATTGGGCTGAGTCCCTATTCGTATAATATTAATTAACAGTTGCCAACCAAAATCAAGCCAAGTTACAACTCTTTGACCTCTGAGAATGAGTACCTGGTAGGTAAGAACTGGTAGAAGGGCATCGGGCTGCATGTTCCTATAACAATGATGAAGAACTCACTTTGAGGGCTGTGTTTCTTTACTCCTCTGCCCTCCCACAAGTCTTCGGTGACAGGAATGTTGACAAGCTCTGGTATTTCCTTATCATGCTTTTCCTGAACATTTGTTGGCGACTGTGGAGGGTTACCCACCCCGTGAAAGCTATTACACGATTAGTACCTACTAGGTATATAGACTAGAAAACACTAAAATAAAGTGGTTAGTACATTGTAGGAGTAGGATGTGAACTTCTGAAACCACTGCTACCACCACCGCCCTTATGATCACAATTAGAGCAGATTATGTGCGCGCAATTTTTGCACATGGCTTCATCCGGGTCGCCCGTATGTTCAAATTTATCTGTTTCTCCACAGTCGCAACATGTTGCCGGGTCGGTTTCAAAGATGTCTTTTTCTTTCGGTACAGAGCCTTCAGATGATCCATAGCCTTCAAATAGTTCAGGGTTTTCAAATGAATATGGTTCCCTGATGAATTTATTGGTAAGATACCAAATATAAGCGGTTAAGGATAATTCTTACATCATGTCTTCATCACAGCCATGCACGTTGGATAAATTAGTACGCGTGGGCTGGACGATAAGTAAAAAGAGGTGCACGATATTAATTCAAGGTAGGCACCAATACCATAAGCTGGTTCTTGTATCCTATATAGGAAGCTGTAAGATAGATTTCGAGCGACGGTTCAAGCATAAAAGGGAGATGTGGACCTAAGAGGCCCAAGGAGGAATTTAGCTGGTCCAGCAGAATCTAAAAGATTATAGTCCTGAATACAAACCTTTTTATACAGTTGGTGAGTATCGGATTGATCTTTAGTATGTATAGTAAAAGGTATAATCTATTAAGAAAAGGAGAACGTTGCTTGTAAGGAATGGTGAGCTAGATATATCCACGTACAGCTAAGCTAATTAAGAGCTATTCCCTTTTAGGATAGGTCACCTAATCGCCCTGTGACAAGGATAGTTCATTGATACTACACTACTACCTAGCATTCACTCTATGTATGACATCCATTAAAGGAGAACTACTTTTCCTAACATTAGCACATTTGCAATTCTAGTCTCGAGCTCCTATAAGAAACCGATTTGAAAGCGACGGCAATGTTGCAATCTTGTGTCGATTGCTTGATCTGTACGAGCAGTGTCGAAGGAATATGATTACTCTAGGGGAGAAGGGCGCTTAGCATCTATTTGATCATTATGCGAATCAATTGCTGTCTGCTGTGTAACTCTTGCCCCTCTCTACATACCGTGGGCCGGCTGAGAAGCCCTCAGGACCAGAATCTTGATTTAGTTACCTCCGAGTTTCCACCTCTCCGTTCTCGCAATTCAAGAGCCTAAGATGCTACGAATCATCTGCAGTTCTAGACTTGCCAGATACGCCATATGTCCATGCAATACAGAGCCGCTTAGGAGATACTGAGAGTTGGGCAATTAGCTTATCCGTCTACGGTTTGGTGAGTAGGGCCGACGGTAGCACCGAAGGCTTACGGGAGGGCGATCGTTCTTTCACCACATTATCATCATCTGGCATTCCCATTGGCGTTCCGCAATCATACATACAGGTAGGTCACTACTCCATATCACGTAGCCTACCTACGGTATTTAATTAAAGCGCATCGAAGGCACGGGCACGCGTCCCAAGTCAGTGCCAGTAGTGACTCTGGTATGTTACGAACACCGTAACATTGCTGCACGTCTAATTTAATCCCACAGAATATACCGGATAAAGCAGTATCTAGATTTTCTAGATTCCCTCCTTCAGCGAATGGGTCATTTGGATTCTCTGGACTCCCCCTTTGTGGACTCCCTCCTTCTCTGAGAGGACCCGTCATAACCAGGGTGCGGTGCAGTGAGGTCATAACCGGAGGTAGGATGATTATAGACGGTGACATCTCTACTGCGCCCCCTCCGATGGCAAGAGTCAACACGGTAATCGCCTTTTGTCTAATTAGCTAAGGACGTATGTTTACCTAGATAGGTAAGTTTGCTATCAAGAACGGGCACACACAAGTTCTAGTAGATTGATCAGGCTCCCGGACCGCCGTTGAAGCTGCGGGGGAAGAGTGACCACTACTACCGTCACCCATATTCTCACAGGAAGAGCAGACTACGCGTCCGCAATATTTGCTGTGCTACAATCCTGGTCTTCAGGTTCTGCTAAGGGCTCGGTCGGAAAGCAAGAATATTCCGGATTTGCGTTGATTGATCAGGTTGTGTTAGAGTTGATGAGGGATACAAAAGCGAAGAAGCTTTTTAATAAAATAAAATATGAAGTCACCCGTATTTATGCTGACACGATACCTCCGGATTCATTTGGCCGGGTTTAGCCAAAATCGCGATGGTTCGAAGAACCGAACTGGCCACGTAGGAAGAGAACTCATATTATTACTTTACCGGTTTCGCGGAGGTTGACAGTCTAATGAAGGGAGAGTTGTGGGCAGACATCACGGACGAATACCTTGTAGGGGTGCGAAAAAAAGGGGTTACACAATCTCCACATTTAAATTCACCAAGGCGACACGCCATACACGCCCACCACCCTCCCCACATCAGCGTCCCTCTCGCCCTTAACCACACTCGCGACCCTCTCGCCGCCCTGCCACGCCTCCGCCGCGCCCCTATCCCTCAGCGCCGCCGGGTCGCCCGTGAAGTTCGTCGCGCAGAGGCCGGGGTCGGCGCCGAAGACGTAGAAGGAGCCTTCGGGCCTCCGCAGGCGCGCGGCATACAGGGCCATCAGCATGTTGAGCGCGGCCTTGCTGGTGCGGTACTCCGTCGCGCCGCCCGGCGCGTAGTGCGGCGACGCCGGGTTCGACGCGTGCGTGATCGACCCCGTGCTCGAGCTGACGAAGACGAGGCGCGCCGGCTTGTGCGCGGTCTGTCGGAGTAGTGGCAGGAAGGCTTCGGTTACGCTGAGGCTCCCGACTACGTTGGTGTCGAGGATACGGCGCATGACGGCGCGTGTTGGCGGCTGCGCTATCGAGACGATGCCTGCGTTGTTGACGAGGACGTCAAGACGTCCGTACTCGGACGCGATGCGGGAGGCGGCAGCGTCGACGGACTCGTCGTTGGTTACATCGATCTGGGTCGACGATACGGTGCCTTTGGCGCCTTCAACGACTTGGAGCTCCTTGGCGGCAGTTTCGCCCTTGGTGATATCTCGGCTGCCTAGGATTACGTGGTAGTCTGGAGACGAAAAAATCAGGTTCTTTGCTGTCTCAAAGCCCACTCCTTGGTTACCACCTGTGTATCTGGTGTTAGCCCAATGTCTGAAAGGTAGAAGGCGAGGTGTTACCTGTAATAAGAACGATCTTCTTGTCTGGTAGCGCCATCTTATCTTAGGACTTTGATTATCTTTCTGTTGATGAGATATGTTGATCTTGTAGCTAGAGGCAAGATATTAGACTTGGATTTGCTTTCTAATGAAACTTGTGGCTTTATATATTTATATATGTCTTTTAGTGAAGAATTGAGCCTGCCTCAGGTGAATTTCTCATGCCCCTTTTCAGCTCTTTGGATCTTTTACGGAGGATCAATGTTTCGGACTTAAGCTAAAGACGACTTAAGTCCAGTATAATCACCACATATTGTTTGTACCATGTATGTAGCACATGAAGTGTAACGAACTAAACAGTCATGGCAAGGTTCCACCTATATGTTGTAAACCTCACAGATGTTGTTGCTTTTCGATTGCCCACCTAGGTAGGTACTTGGTAGGCAAGCGTTCCCCTGACCGTTTGGACTAATCTTACTCCAGGAGGGAATCCGGAACCCTCTCCCATTCCAAGCATAGGGGTCTTCGAACGATGACAAATTTCTTACAATGGATATACATGTGTATCTGCGGCTCATACGCACATCGACAGCGTCTAGGCATCTAACATGAGGTTATAATAACCTTTACCGAACATAGCGATGTCACGTTTGAAGTTGAGGGACTTATGTTAAGTCCGATCATCCGCGTCTAACAACGAAGATCGCTACCAAGGTAAATTAGCAATACATGAAAATCTCTTTTAAACGCATTAAGTATATCATCAGCATTATATCGATCTTACCATGTATTTCTGAGAATTGACTATTATGCAGTGACTTCTGCTTAAGAATACCGTAAGTATATCAAGGGATACCCCTATAGAGGGGAGTCCAGCTATTCCCGACGTTATGTGGGGTACCCCGCGGGCTGTCCGCGGAAGCTACGTCAATCGGACCCACATCGGCCAGCCAGCGACTCACCTAACCTAGAACAAAAAAATAAAAAGGTCACGACCCGATCCGGTAAAAACGGCGGAACTCGCACACCCTCCCTCTTCCACGATGAGCAGCAGCACGAACGGCGCCACCTCCGGCACGGCAGCACGAAGAAACGACTCGCCCCCGCTGACGGAGCTCGAAACGGCCGAGATCCTGCAGAGCATTCGCAACTCCACCACCGCACCCGCGACCTCGCTGCCCGCCGACCTCGCCCTCTCGCTCGACTTGCAACGACAACACCGCCCGGCCGAAGAACCCCGCGATCGAGCTTCGTATTATTGGGATGCGTCGACCATGGCCCCGCTCAACGCAGTCTCGGCGGTCAGTATAGCTACAATTTAGACACACCTACCTACCTGCCTACCTTACCTCCTATCTGCCATCTGCATCTACCATCTATAATCTACCTAGTACCTAAGTCTTAAGACTGTTGCTGTGCCCTTTCACGTGGTAGTCTTGTGGCGAGTGATGCGAAAAAGAGAGAGACGCGATGATTCAACACATGCTCATGCGATCAAAGGCCGCCCTCGCGCGACTACGCGCCTACAAGCCCCCGCCGTTCCCTACCTGGGACCGCTTGCCGGTGAGCCGGCGCGCCGCCGTGCTGATCCTGCTGTTCGCGGACCGGAAGGGTGACTTAAGAGTCGTGATCACGATGCGGGCCGCGAGTTTGCGGAACTTCTCCGGTACGAGAACAGATGCACGCTCCGGGAACGAGAAGAAGGTCGATGCTAATATGCTCGGCTCGAGTTAGGTCACGCAGCCTTTCCCGGCGGAAAGGCAGATTCGTTGGCGGAGTCCCCGTGTAAGTTTGGAGTCGAGCTTTGGTAGAAGCTGCGATATTAATGTACTTCTCGACGGTAGACCAAATAGCCCGCCGCGAAGCATGGGAGGAAATCGGCCTTCCGATGGACGATGCCAAAATCCCGAAGCCCTTTCGAATAGAGCCGCTCTGCTGCCTACCGTGCAGCCTCGCGAAGACCGAAATGGCCGTGCGGCCTTGCGTAGCATTCTTACATGCCGATGACGAGCCGGGAAAGCCGAAAGCGATGGTGGACGAGAGTATGATACCCCGATTAGACGCGAAGGAGGTTGCGGCGGTCTTCAGCGGTCCGTTCCACAACTTTTTAAAGGCGAAGGACGAACCGCGTGAGGGGGAGACAATACCGCCCGGAGATTGGTACGACGGGTACTGGCATGCTTGGCAGAACGAACCTTGGCGGGTCCATAACTTCCACGTGCCGGTAAACAACCAGAAGGTAACTAAACCCAAGGTCCGAGAGGGTGGACAAGGCGCCTTGGCCGATGAGCTAGAAGATGAAGAAGATGAGGTTCAACGCTTCCTTGTCTGGGGCATGACGGGACGTATGTTAGTCGACGCCGCCCGAATTGCTTATGACGAAGAGCCCGAGTTCGAGCATAATGCCCATTACGGTGACGAACACCTTTTAGAGAGATTAGAAAACGCAGGCCGACTTCCCGATAAGAAAAGAAAGGAAGTAGGGCAGGAGGCCATTAAAGAAGAGGTCAAAGATGCGAAGATGTAGATGGACCAATCCAACTTCCAAAAGAGGTCTTCCTTGTATTGTAGATTCATAGTAGGCTCAAGCCCGTTGTATCTTTAACTCCGCTGCTACCGAGCGTGTAGTTGCGCTTTTAACAAACTGATCAGCGTCTCCGTCCCACACCATTGCAGACCGCCAAATTCGACCCCATATTTGCCTTCTTTAATATGCCTTGGCCAACTCGTACATTTAGATTGGATATTAATCAGGTCTTCCCGTATCTAGTGGCAGGCCGTCTCCTTAGCAGCTTTCGTACGCGAACCGAAGAAATAGTACCCGAGGCCAGCTCCGATAGCGACGGAAAGCATGACGAAGCCGTTGTAGGTCATGAAAACCAGCCTATTCGTTCGCAGACGGCATTAGAATATAGACGATTGGGGTGGAGCGTATAAGGCAATCCACTCACATAATCATGAACGCATAAAAGTTCTGCACGCCGTATAGCACCGCCTTCACGGCATGGGCTCGCCGTCCAATCGCGTCGGCCTGGCTGCTTCGTCCTACGCCAAGTAACGCCGCGCTCTCAGTATTTGGTTCGACTCGATTATTCGCAAGATCTTAGCCATGGACCTCCCCCAAGGCATGCCAATCAAACGGATTTGTGTGTGTATGGGATAGGGAAGGGCGGGAGGAGTTGAACTCACTAGGAGAGGCATCCTGCTTAACGGCGATCGCGGTCTCGTAACGACGGATGCCTTCGCGGAGAGCCTCATAACCGGCGCTGAGAGCGATGATGGCCAGCAAGCTGAAGATCAGGGAGGCATTTCCGCGAATGTGCCACTGTCGGAAAACGATACATAGGTTGGTAGTATCCCAAGTGAACAGCATCTGTTTGAGCCAAAACGCAAGGGCCAAGAGTTAGTCTTAGTTTTCCTTATTCATCTTCCTCCCCTCCCATTTTTCGGTACCCAATGAGGTGGCCGCTGGAGCTTGAGAATGGGGTTTCGTGGCGTTGAGAGCGAGGGGCGGGTTGGCGCAACGCAGGTCGTTGCATGAAGCTAGAGAATGCGAATGCGGCGTTAGGTAATTAGAGATATTACTGACATTCATGCTGCACATTGGCATTGGCATATCTCCGTGGCCCATGTCGCCATGATCCATATGGCTATGATCCATGTGCGAATGGTCCATGATGAAGTTATTTGTAGGATTACGAAGCACTACGCAAGGTTCGAGTTAGATTCGGCTGGTGGTCGGCGACTGACACGATGAGATACGAAGCTGGAATTGAAAAGAGAAAAGCAGGATGGTTGAAGTCTAATATGCTTCTTCGAATGCTTGAATCCACTCGATAAACTGCTCGAAATTTGCTTAAACTTGCTCACCTGCAACGAGAAAGCTGACGATGGAGTCAAATCGCGTGGTTGCTTCAAGATTGGTTGTGGTTACTTGGTATGTGAGCGCAAGACAGTGGGCCCTCAAACCCTCAAACACCAAAACACCCCCTAGAGCTTCCGTAACCCATCCCCAAACGGGAGACTAGGGGCTTCCTCTGTCGTTCAGGTACAGGGATTTCATACAACCACCCCGAAACTAACAATGTACGTACACCCCAAGCTAAACTCTGCTAAATAAGTGCCCAATATGGATATTACCTAATCATGATATGGTAGGAATGGTGGGGTAATGGAGCTCTTTTTAAACTTTTGAGCCTTTCAACCCTCAAAACAGAATCGGCATCCCGCGGATGATTTGACGATTGATAACGTAAACCGCTATCAGTCATCCCGAGGTCATGTACGATTAATAATCCTATTGGGAACAACTGAACCATTGAAAGTGTGGATGTTCTAATTCGCTCACATTCAACTACGACTCTTTGTAGTGAGTGAGTGAGTCTTCTACGATTTAGGTTTGACAGAACGGAAGAATCCACAATCGGCGTCGGATTTCTAACCAACCAAAATGCTCTCTACGCCAGTCAACCTCCCGAAGTGGTAAGCCAGCAAGGTTCTCGGTGACGTGTTGCCCGGGTGCGGCTAATGGGCAGCCAAGGCTCGAGGAGAATTCTCATCTCCTAAAACCCCCGGTCAACAACTATTGCGTCTACAATGAAGACTTCACCGTCATGGTGCGCAAATGCGTTTTCCAAATCTTCGCCCGAACTAGCTGATTTATGTTTTTACCTATCGCACTAGATCGTCGGCGGTCCCAACGCCAGGACGGACTATCACATCAACCAGACCCCGGAGTGGTTCTACCAGTACAAGGGTGCTATGATGTTGAAGGTCGTTGACGATGGCAAGTTTAGGGACATCATCATTCGGGAGGGCGACATGTTCCTGTTGCCGGGCAACACGCCGCATAACCCGGTGCGCTTCGCTAACACCGTCGGCGTGGTCCTCGAGCAGAAGCGGCCCGAAGGCACCATCGACCGCATGCGCTGGTACTGTCAGGAGTGTAACGAGATAGTACACGAAGCTGCCTTCCACTGCACCAACCTCGGTACTCAGATCAAGGCCGCCATCGAGGAATTCATGTCAAGCGAGGAAACCCGAAAGTGCAAGAAATGCGGCGTGGTCGCTAATTCGGTACCGAAACCCGGTATCATCAAGGATCCGAACACGGAGTAACGGTCTCGTTGACTGAAGTAGATCACATATTTGATTGATCTCAATACATATATTAGCTATGTAACCCATTTTCCGCATTGATTCATCTAGGGGTTTGTAGGATGTCTCTAATCGAGCGCCTAAGTTCGCTATCGCCCACCCCTAGGGTTAGCTGTTTACATATGTCGGGCATGTCCAAGTGGACAGATATAAGTTTCACATATCTTCTGTCGTCAGAATTATGACAGAGATTTTAGAGATGATGAATGAGTCATAATCATCGTTGCATATGGATAACCAACCTACTTGCTCCTTGGCTAAGATGAACCAGGGAGTATGCTTCTTAGTACCCCTTAACGCGATTTTAACACGACTTTACCGACTACACTCCTAAATACGGAGATATTTATCCAAGGAGCCTACTCTATCTCACCCTACCCATCGATTTTATTCGTCCTCTTCATCTGTCTTCCCCATGCCTTTTAGGTTAAAGGTAATATAAGTTAAGCCACGTGGGGATCGAGCCCTCTCTGCACGGCTCGCCATGGTTGTGGCGCTTACAAGAGTCTTATCGTACGAAACAACTCGACCAACTATCTGTCCTTTCTTAGAACTTCACATCCATTTCTTACCTATTAAAGTCTCTCGCTAGGTAGCTTTCCGGCCGGGGCCTGGGTGAACTTATCAACCCCAATGGCTTCTTCCTCTTACTTGTTGAGATCAAATGCGCCTTCACTATGGCTTGCTGTTCGACTACGTCGACTAATGAGACGTATGAATTACAGCTTCTTAGAACATCGACTAGATCAAGTCAGTTCTCATGGCCGTCACTGATACCGCCGATTGAACAGCCGACAGAATTCTCCCCGTTGACATTTTTACCTTGGGAAATCCAACTCCTAATCATATCCTACCTGGACGTTCGGGCTGCACTCCAACTTCGGCGAACATGTCGACTCTATTTCCATCATCTTACGGTAGATGTGGTTGAACGCCTTTTCACGGAGAATCGGTATATCACCTTCGATCTGCTGAATTGTTGTATCGATTGTCTCACCATGTCCCATGATGGCTACTTGGTCCAGGACGAGTTCTTCAGGCCGGGCACTTGGAGATCGATGTGTTTTCGCTGCTGGCGATTGAAGCGAAGCCCAGACTACTTTGACAGACCCAATCATCACATTACCTTCGTGAATGGGCGGGAGGGCTACGCTTGTACTTTATGTGGCTGGCCTATCCGACACGATAAGAGGCATCTGTCTTGTATCAGAACTTCAGCCCTCATGAACTGCATGTGGTGGATTATCAGCGCCGGTCACTTTTTATACGTGCTTGTGATTACGACGATGGTCTGGTTGGATTATGCCAATGTCACTCTGGTTATTATACCGGCTGTAGTAAGTTATGACCCGCCTCCATGGAATTATTAGCGGTTTACCGTCGCATCGGCGACTAATTTTTAGGAGCTCAATTTTCTCCTGTCTTTCGTATCCCTCGCCCTCCTGACGTTGGACTTCGTCCAGCACTCAAACACGACTCGCATACGACTTCCCCTAGAGCTCGTATCGACCGTCATCTGGACGCCGCCGGTATTCTACACCTCGCGCGAGGTATTTCAAGGAAAAACACGATGGGATTCTTACCCTGTTTACCTCTGGACGCTCTTCGTAGCAAAACTGTATGTGATCTTAAACCTTGAAATAGTCGTGCTTTACATCTTGGGTTAGCCATTAACATATTCATATATCAGGTTGGGTCACACTCTGAATCTTACGGGCCTCCTTCTCACCAGTGCCGAGTACGATCCCAGGAGCCCTTTTCTACCGGACTTGTCGGTGAAGCAGAAGGTATTTCTTGTGACTTGCTCTTTCTTGGTTCATTGGGCGCGTGTCAAATATCGTTAGATCACAGTTTCGTACACCTGGATGCCAATTCCAACGGTGCTGGTCACGATACGTGGTAGGTAAGGAGGATAGGGGTCGGAAGGCCGTTTTATTTATATACTATTTGCGAACTTTCGCATGTTTCTAGAGCTTAGTAGACATTTTAATAAAATAATCAATTGTACAATTTCCTCTGTATCAGAAATATACGTTTTAACTTAATCGGCTGACTGGTAGTGATTATGTTAAGTACCTACCTAGGTTATGTACTTCATGAATGATTTACTGTTTGAACCTCATCACGCTCGAACCATGGGCGAAGCAGTGTGCTCGTCCCTCATCCAGCCACTAGGCGTTATTTCATTCATGTCCCATCGTCGCATCAACTCCCCAGGCCCCTCCGCAAGCAACTTTTCACCCGTCTCATCCTCATTCCTCCATAGCATACAAGCGATCCTGTTGCGCTTCCGGAACAGTGCCCCGGCCATCGCCTCGCGCCTGTCCTGATGCTCTCGTAGCATGGCGATCGGCAGGCGGGCACGAGAAGCGATAGTCTCTACCCAGGTGCTGCCTTCAGCCAGCGTCTCCAGATTATCCAGTGTCGACAGCCAATCTTGCGTCTTGTGTGGACTCGCCGGCGATGGTACCCGCGCTAACCAAGCAACGCGGACAAAGTCGCCGATGTTGGCTACGGGAATTGGATAGCTGGTGTTGGAAAAGAAATCGCGACGCACCCAGGCCGCCCAGGAATGCGGGTTTGGACCTCGCGACTCCACGTCGATGACCCAGAGTCTCTCAAGATTAGTGGAATTAAGACGAGCGAAGTCCTGGAGTACTGCGAGAACTGGGGGAAGAGGAGAAGGCAGCTGATCTAGTAGCCCAACATGGGGAATTCGGGTGAGGTCGTCGCTACAGGAAGTCGCCGAGGCACCTTGGGATGAGTAGGGCGTAGGGAGAGATTGATAAGGCAGGTTTTGAGCATTGGGGCGCGGATGACTTGATAGGGCGTATCCTGACCGGGTAGCTTAGTAGAGAATATGGCAGGGCAAATTAGTGGAAGACGTAGGCGTAGGTGTCGTAACTGAGGTAGGATAACACGAATAGAGTCACACAGGTGCAGATGAGCTTGCGGATCTACGGTAGAATTCGGGATGAAGCTGGTGTATCTGACATCGATGTCCAGGCTTACGCAACAAGCGGGCAAGTGATCTAGAATGAAGGATATTTCCTGCGAGGCCGTAAATGGAAAGGGGAATTTGACCATGATAGATAAGGCCGAAAGCCTCATCCTCGGCATCCGTAGGCTGAGCCGCCTCAATGCTTCCAGCCTAGATTCGGCCGCTTGCTTGGCTTCAGATGGCTCATAGGGGTTAACGGGAATAGTATCCAACCGCAATGTCAGCGAACGGACTTCATGGTCCGTGCAAGTTTCCACGAACTTTGGGAGTTGTTTGTGGGTCAGAACGACATCGCCATATAGGACAGACAGAGCCAGAGGTCGCCATTTTCTGCAGCACAGAACGGAGGGGACAAGCGTTGCATTGCCATCCTGAGAAAGCCATTCGAAGATTTCCAGCAGGATCTCTGGTCCCAGATTAGCGATCGGCGAGATCATATTATACTTAGACAATCATACAATAAGCCATGGGACCGCAATGAAAAGAGTGACCGAACTTGTGGTGTTGATAAAAGAGGAAAAGGGAAATACGTGCAGCGCTAATGATTTCAGTTGAATGCGAAGTACATGTGGGATTATACAGGTAAGTACCCACCCCCCTAAAATAATTACCGAGAAATAGACAAAGAATTGAGCTGAGAAGAGTAGGTAGATATCTTCGTTCACATAAAGCAAGAAAATCTCTATAGATGGGTAAAACCTCAAGGTTGAAAATGGCGAAATGAATAATAGTTGTGGTATTAATCGTAATTTTCACAGGTACCTGTACCTACCCCTATCAGTCTTTACCCCTTTTATACACTCAGAAGTGACGGGAATCTTATCTGGGTATAAATCCTTTGAAGCTTAATTTGACATCGACGAAATATAATGCATTAGTAAGCCATGCCAGCATTACCTACCAAGTTATTTAAGGATTGGTTACCTTGGTAACCTTTCTTTCTGTGAATTTTCATAAGTACAATACATGGTCCATTTCATTTCCCTCCTTTTCAATCCCAGCTACGGCTTTCTTCCGCTGCCAAATATGCAAAGCGTAGCCAGCACACGCGGCTACGCAGAGACAACCCATGGAAAGACAGACAGTATAGCCTGTATGGTAGTAGGGCGCGTCTTTCTTGACGAACAGGAACGTTGCGACAATGCCTCCGCAATTTCCGAAGCCTATCATCCAAGCCGTTCCGATGCTCCTCTCCACATGGCCCTGAAGGTTCATCACGTACCAGCAGATGATCATCCCACCAATGCCGAAAGAGCCCATGGCTGTCAGACAGATTCCCGCGTATTCAGCTGAGAAATGCGATGACCCGTGTGTAGTGATTAGGATGGAGAGCCCGGTGATCAACAGTGCGAGACCGAAGAAGATGAATGGCGAACGCATCCGAACTTTGTCGGAGAGGTAGGCTAAGACGATAGCGAGCCCAAAAGCCGATGCGAAAGGTGGGACAGAATGCAGTTGAGTCTCAATTGTGCTGTAGCCGAGTGTTTGGATAATAGTTGGCGTGAAGTACGAAAGCGAATATGAGGTAACCAAGACCGCTGCCGATAGTTAGCATCCACTCCTCCGTATAAAGCCAACTTTTGACGGCCACACTTACAGAAGTACATGATTGCGCCGAGCCAAGCCTTGGGCGTTCTGAGGAAAGCGAAAACGTCCTTCGCGGTGACGGGGATTACCCGAGATTCATTAGTTTTCGTCTTATTTAGTATGAACGTCCTCTCCTCGGGAGACAACCACTTCGCTTCTCGTGGGAAGTCCGTGATGCAAAAGAACGCTAAGATACCAATCAATATCGTCGCAATACCCTCCAGTATGAAAACCCATCTCCAGTTGCTGAGGCCTCGGATACCATTCATGCATCCTATCGCGGAAGCCAGTAAGCCCCCAAATGCCCCAGAGAGAATAGTACTAGACCAATAGATAGTGAATCTCTTCTGAGCCTCCTCTTTCTTGTACCAGAAACTAATTAAGTAGAAACTACCTGGGAAAATCCCGGACTCGGCGAGTCCTAGGAAGAATCTAGTAGCGAGCAATCCACTGTAGCTCTGAACGAAGCCCTGACCCAGCATTATGATCCCAAAACATAAGATACAGGCCGGAAGGTAGATGTGAGGGTTCAGTTTCTTCATTAGGATGTTGGATGGGATTTCGAATATAATATATGGCACAAAGAATATGCAGAGTGCGATGTTCGACTGCTGGCCCTCGAGACCGAGCTCTGCGGGCAATCCCATGGTGAGGGCATTGGATATATTGACGCTACGTAAAGTCAGTCTCAGTTGTTTCAAAGGGTCCGCACTCCTACCGATCGAGAAACGCCGCGAGGTATACAATGAACAGTATAGGTACGACGTGTAAGTCCGTCTTCCAGAGTAGCTTTTTCTCGTCGACATAGGGTTGGAAGGATTCCTCAGCTACATGGTCCGAGTGCGAGCTCACGGACGCGCCGTGGGAGCCATCGACAATGTCAGCACCTTTCAGATCAGCCATGTCGGATTATTTTCTATAGAGGTGAGAGAAACCGATGAAACAGACGTATTGACATTTTAAAAACGGGAAGCTGAGGACGGGGAAAAGAAAGAGACACAGCCTCCCGACACTCTGGTCGGAAGGGAGTGAAGAGAAAACAAAGACCCAAGACCGGTCGGTCAAGACATCCGAACGCCAAAGGTTACACGAATAAGTATCTCTACATCGGGCACAGAAATTACTAATTTACCACATATCGTATCTCCGAGAGAGATGTACGCGCAACCCCCTTAGGCCCAATCAATCGGGTCATACCGTTGACCGGTTACTTTAGTGCAGACCAAGAGGCGTTGAGGCGTCGTGGAGGATTGTGGCATCTGCATTTGTGGCAATTCTCCAGCGAAAATCATGAATCATCTAAGTAGCCCGGAGCGCTTGTAATCGCAGCCTCGTCGGGGATGTAAGCCAATATGGTCTATGAGTAGGATTTCCTCGTCAGATTTCCAGAACAATGTACTATATTAAGATGTAAGAGCGTCGTTCGTATCCAAGCTAGCCAAGCCAGGGCTTTTCTAGAGAGCGGTAAATGGACAGGAGAGGAAAGGGAAGAAGAATGGAAGGATTTCTGCATATTGGTATAGGCTTGTTTGATATCTTGTTTGCTCTACATACCCCAGATCGAAGCCATGAAGAGCTGAGACGCCTAAGTTTTAGACATGCCTCAATTATATACATAGATGCGTAACCTGGAGGTCTTCTCATGCCTCCCAGTGTCTTACCCATCAAGTCTTCCCATAGAGTGCTCAGCAGAATTACCAGAATGGCGACAGCCTCTCCAACACCCGCATTACCACCCCCTCCAGGAGTAACTTCCAATTTCGTGAACCCGGAGTCCCTTACCGACGAGAACAACATCGCTATGGGAGTCTCTATTCCCCTGATAACGATATCCTTCTTTCTTCGGGTGTATGCTAGAATTTGGATCAGGAAAACATGGGTTTTCGAAGATTGTAAACTTAACTTTGACCCCTCGAGATGAAATCGAGGCTAACATACTAATTGTTAGGGCTTGCTTTGACTGCTTGGGTAAGTGAGAAATACGATCTCTCGAATTAACATTGCCTCCAACCAACCCACGTACATAGGCAAGCACGGTATCCCTCGCTGGAGTCGGCGCCGCTACTATGGCGAACTATGGAGGGAGGCATGAATGGGATATCACGCGAGAACAGGCCATACAAGCAGCATATGTAAGTTACAGACTCTTAATAAGTTCAGCAAACGAAAAAAGGGGCTGCGAACATTGACTTACCTTGAAAGTGGTTTAACGCCACCACCGTCAACTATGGCATCGCTATATGTATTACCAAACTTTCGGTTCTCTGGTATTATCGTCGTATTTTCTCTCCGTCCAGGGGCAGGCCTTTCGATATCAGCATCGTCTGCCTCATCGTCCTACTCATCCTATTTTACAGCTCGACGACCTTAGTTAAGATATGGGGGTGTATTCCAAGGGCCAAGATCTGGGACAACGATATACCCGGGTCTTGCATCAACACTCCGGTGCTGCTGGACACTAGTGGGGTGTTCAATACGTTGACAGACGTTATAATGCTCCTGCTCCCGGTGAAAGCAGTCTGGAATATGAAGTTGAAGCTCAGGCAAAAGGTGCTCGTCATTTGTGTCTTCACATTTGGTTTATGGTTAGTAGTTTGTCCAGCCAGTTACGAAGTCATAGTACTAAGAATGACCCAGTGCCCCGATATTCAGCGTTTTGGGCCTTGTAATTCGCCTAGAGGGGAATAATAACAACGACAAATCTTGGATACAGCCAAAGATTATAATGTGGGGTCTGTAAGTAACGTTAAGTTTCTTTTTCTGTCTCTCCCCTTTTGGCCTGTCTCGGGAAGGACGGTACTCGAACCAAGCCGACAAGGAGATTGTCATTCCCGATATCTGTAGATGATGTTAACTTTCTTTTTTAAAGTGCCGAGACGACAACCGGCATGCTCTGTGTGAGCTTTCCGGAGTTGGGACCCATTATAAGAAGAACAAAGCGCGCTACGCCCAGCGAGAGTATCTTGAATGGCCAGTATCTCTCCGATGATAGGTCACATCCACGGCAAGGCAGTCACGGATTCTCTACGGTTATTTCCCAAGGCATGATGAAGCTAGAAAGTGATCCTTATATCGAGTTAGACGAACGAGATATATATCTGGCTCAACACGCAGCTAAGACTGATCATATTCGCGCTTGGCAACAACCAGGAGAGATTACTGTCACTCAGGAGGTCACTGTGGACTCATACAAGAGAGATAGTGAAGATCAGCCAACATATTGATCGGGTAGCTGAACAGAGATAGTCATTTAGATCTGTCATTATTATTGAATAGTATCAGCATTCTTATGATACACAGACGTTTATGGGTAGCTCTGTACGGCGCACGATGTAGTTGTGCCTAACACATTGCTGTCCCTGATTACCTAAATATGCCTTTTTCCTTTATTTTCGTTAACCTCGCAGGTGAATAGGCAGTGTTACATGACTTGGCCCAGGTATCGAAGAGGACTGCTACCAACCAGACTTCTTCCCCAGAGTGAAGCAGGGAGTGGTATCAAGATGATTTGATTGAAACAAATGAGCCTTGTGCGCAAACTTCTCGAAAATTACTGCAAGGTGCCCAGCTCCGAGGTGGTGAAACATGTGAACAGCACTGGAAGTATCCGGTACAACAGCATGTACGTGCACGTGGCGGTAATCTAACCCCTGATCCCTATCCGTACATTAGACTGATTCACGAATCTAAACCTTGATCACCCTCCTACCGTCCTACCGTCTCGCGCCCCAAAGCCGCGGACGCCACTGACTTAGACGTCGGCTGCTGCTTTGGGCCAAATCTGCACCAGCTGGTGCTTGGCGACGTCCCCTCCGGAACAACCTTATTGGCCTCGACATCGAAAAGGCTTTCATAGGATTGAGCCACGAGTTTCTTTTTTCCTTGACCGAAAAACGCTCGGGTCTTCTTCTAAGGGCGGCACAGAGCAAGGTGTGGACGGACCTGAGAAAGTGCGGGATTGATATGTTACACTGCAGCGTCTTTTCCCACATACAATCTATTCACTCTCGAGGAGCAGATCGCCGCAGCGAAACAGATTGTGAGATTGGTTAAAAAGGGAGGGATGATTGTCGGGAGGTAGATTAGCAGTCTTATCGTAGGGCCTGGAAATATATGCCAGGCCATCCACTGGAACCTTTACGGATTGTGGAGAAAGGCTGGAGAAGCTGCACAGACGCGATGGAAGATTGAAAGTATTATGGGTATGGTTGGGTTCAGCCCTATCAGCCTTATGGAGGACGAAAATAGTCGCCGTTTACTATTTACCGTCACTAGGCTAGAGTGAATAGAGTAGATCGCGTGTACGAATCTAAACTCCAGATCTACTTCTCACCAGCCCTCTACCTGGGTACCTCATTCGAAGCCAGTTTTGAAATATAATCATCTCCAACGGAGTCCAGATCTTGGCATCATTATGTCGGAACCTTGCATGATACATGTGTATACATAGATAGGTACCTATCTAAAGGAGGCAATATTGCAATCCACTTCTCTCACTTAAGATACACTGGCGTCAATAAAGGCTCAACCCTCATTGGATAAATATTATCTAGCTGCTGTCAGCACCATATCAACAAGCTATATCCTGGTGGTTGTCCTTACATCCTTTCGTCTGACCGAAGTGCATCGTCTAACTCAGGACACATGGTAAGGGCTGTTGCATAATTAGACTGGTCGGATTAGTGTCCAGTTCTGGTTCCAATAAGTGCAACTTGTGCGAGATTAATTTAGTAGTCATTTTATCGATGCCTTTGATATCTCCATTTCCCCGGTTCTATTCTCTTTAGTATGGTTGACGGGAAGCACATGAATAAATCTTCGAGTAAAATCACTTATGTGGCGTAACCTTCGATATTATACCTAATGGAGAACATGTGTCTATGAATTCGTCGATAAAACCCGTTCTAGTGAAAGAGTAAATAGGTCTCCTACACTTCAATACCACATACTTGGCCCTTTTTGTACGGAGGTAACTCGACCACTTTACAACGAAAACAAACAGAGCACAGTCTAGGGTATAAGTCAATTTAAGGCGATTGTAATAAATAATCGCTTTATGCATTTGTATTAAGCACCGCTACAGGTAGCATCCTATGAGCTTCCTCTCCTAATCTGGCCATACTGGCACCCAACCCGAGGACCCATCCCCTATTCCGGGGGCCAAAAGCTTATTCATAAGTTCCCGATCAGTCTTCGTACGACTACCACCTATGCAATATAATTACCCCTGAAAAATCATGACCGTACGCCAATTCTTTTTGTCTTCCGCTAAATCAATCATGCGATCCGTAAACGCCTCCGATGCTTGTACCAAGTGTATCCATAATGGCATCTCAATAATGAAATGAGTTTATGAGAGAGTGTGTACGTATTCCCGTATTCTTCATAGCGCGAATTATGTCGTAACCTTGCTCAGCCCCTTAAAATTGATCCATTCGCACTTGCAGCCTCCGGTGCCGCCATCGATGCCTCCCATGGAGGTGTTGGGGCTGTTGTTCATGCCGTTGACCAGTGTGCCCGCAAACGCGCGGTTAACGATGATAAGCTGAGCATCTGTGGTGTTGATAGCTTGATTCTTCAGAACCCCGTAGCGGTAGTCAATCTTCTTGTTGCTGTCACCGCCGTGCATGTCCTCTGTGATGGTGACCGGGTACGGCATGGTTCCAGGGGTGGTGGTGGCGGACGTGCCGTTTGTCCAGGGAACAGCAGCGCCGGTATCACCGAGAAGTTGTGTCGTGTTCTCCATGCGTGTCCAGATCTGCACGAGGAAACGGGTCTGGGCGAATGTCACTAAGGACTTGGCGCTGGCCTCGGTCGAACCACCGTCGTCGTCCGCGGCGTTTACCTTCACTGTGTCTACCATGTAAATCGTCTTGTCGAAATAGGTGTAAAAGCCGTAGTGTTCGGTGGGCAGGCCACGGTCAAACAGACGGATAGGTTGCTGGACGGAATGCGGGAATAGTTGGGCCGGCGCACCCGTGCCGTCACCGTTCAGTTGTGGGGGAGGAAGTATATCCGTCAGATTAAAGCCATCGTCACCAGCTACGCCAATGGCGTTATTAGCTCCTTGTCGACGAGTGAGCATGTTAGCGCCAACTGTCTTGTTGACGTCTGTCAAAGTACTAATAAAAAAAGGCGTCGGTTCTCCGGCCTTGTTATCTGACTGGATGTGATCGGTCGTGTTGCCCAGGAATCGAATTTCCGCGATGGAGGGTGGCTGTGGGTTTGGATTGAAGCCTGAGTCGAATAGGGTAGGTTGGTCTCCATCATTTTCTTCCGTAACGTTCCAAAGAGCCCTAGTGCCGTTGTCATATTGGATCTGGAAGATGAACTCAGGCTGGTTAGGAGCATTGGGAGCTACAGATGCGTGCTCCTCTTTCGGCAAAGCACAAGACCAAGCGGTATCTGATGTGCCAACGAAACAGCCAGTCCTCGCTAGTGAATTGTCCGGCCCAGAAACCGTCAAGACGCCAGTCGGCATCGGCGGGAAATCTGTCAAATTGAGCCAGATTGAAGGAGCCGGATTCTCTTGAGGTCGAGGTCGTCGTGTAAGAACAACAGCTAGGACGACGGCAAGGATGATCGCAGCGATCAAACCAGCGATAACGCATAGACAAATCCGCCTTCTCTTTCTGCCCTCGCGACCGCTCCGCCCGAAGCAACCATTTTTAGGCATGCAGCCCCGCCCTCTCCAGAACCCGCCAGCTTTTCTAGCAATTACCTCTTCTTTCTCGTGACGGCGCCGTTGCCTTTCAGTGCGGTTGGCCTGTCCTCGGACTTCGTAGAAATGGTCACCAGGTGTGAAGGAACCGGGTGCGCGATCAGGAAGTACTGCAGCCTGCACAGGTTGAAGATTGTGTGGTGTTAAGGGTATGTCCGCCATATTTATAGCCCCTTGAGATGTCATCGTTCCCGCCAAGCCCGGAGTCACTGGACCAGGGGACGGGACCCTTTGAGAGTTGATTACAACCGGAGGCGGCAGTATGACGCCATATTTGACTTGAGGCTCTCGCGCTGGCTTGGGAGGTGAGTACGGAGGCGGTTCTTCATTCGATTGTTGGTTCTCCTCCAAAAGAATCCTTGCTTTCTCGGATCGTGTTTCTCTGCGTTCTGGTGACGTTTCGCGAGACGAAGAACCCGCTGACTGGGCTATATATTGTTGTTGGAGAACGACGGGGGTGCTCCTAGCCTGAGCTGGAGTGTTGGATGACGGCCCATCTTTCTCATTAGTCCCATTCCACCACTCACGAACACCTGTTGTAGATTGTAAAGGGCTAGGAGTGGCCTGCTGTACTTGCTGTGCTGGTGGGTTTAGCTGGGAAGGGCTACCCTTCTCACTAGCTCCAGCCCACCACTGATGAGGAACTGCTGTAAGTTGTGAAGGGCTGGACCCGGTCTCTTGTGTTTGATTCTTAAACGGGTTCCATTGCTGCGAGGAAGGACTGGATCCCGTTTCTTGTGCTTGTTGCTTAAAGGGGTTGTTGGTCTGTTGTATGAAAGGAGTTGTAACATGATCCCACCAACCATGAGATCGGCTACCAGCACTTTCAGGGCTAACTATCGCTGCCTTAGGTTTTACCGACTTGCGAGTCATCGTAGGACTTCCATCTTCTTCAAAAAGAGTACAAGGCGTTCCAAGATCGTCGTCATCTTCGAGATCCGCAATCACCACAGTCTGCCTCTCTTTGGACCCGAAAGTCGTTGGCAAGGCGGGTACAGGAGGTACATCGGTATCCGGTCTCGGGCCACCATATAAACTTGGCTGGGAATAGAGACTTGAAGCTGCTCTAGAAGCCTGGTACGGAGATTCGCTTGCTTCCGTGTCTGGTGACCAAACAGAGCGCAGTTGGTGGGGTGTAAGGGTTGAAGGATTGGCGGCGGTCGTAGTTGATTTAGGGGGGAATTTAGGAAAGTCTGTGGGCGTCTCGATGACGGCCGTTTGTGGGCTGACTTGATGGTCAGAGAGGTTGTCCGAAGGTACCGATATTCCAATGACGATTGGCCTAGCTACTGGAGAAAGGTCTGAAGACCGTTGTACAGATTTGTTGCCTGCCTTGATACCGCTGGCATTCCCGGGCCTTTGCTTAAGCCATGAAAAACTGCCTATTGAAGCAGAGGACGGCTCTCCTTCTAAAGCCTGAAGAGTGGTAGGATTAACGAACTTCGCGCGTTGCTTTGATTGGCGGAATTTTGTCATGTCCGTCACAAGTGATATACCGGCTTTTGCGTTTTGCGCCTTCTGTCTAGCTTTGGACTTCACGCGAACCGGTTTTTGAACCGAGTACCGTAATAGATTGCGTGGAATTCCCTGAGCAGCACCAGGTCGACTTGATTTGTGTTTCGCCTCATCGGAAAGATCGATGAGAAGCCCATCCTTATCATCTATGGTCACCTGTCCCTCTTCGTCCGAATCCTCCCAGTCCTCCCATTCATCCTTGCGGTTTGGGTCCCTAGGGCTCGGCCAGGGAGTGTTCGGGGTCGGCTCAGTCGCGTTCATGATGAGATAATGTACGTAGGAAATGAAAGTGTTAGAAATTCATCAAGAATTTATCTGTAAATTGTGTCAAACTCAAAGTACCAGCGTTGATGTCCGACGGGCCAGAAATGAAGAAAAATTAAGTAGTTGTAGTAAAGTTAGGTGAGAGCTTTCTAGAGGCTGCCTTGACAGTATTAAAAAGGCAGGTTTGATTTTACACGTAACGCGGACGTTGACGAGTGAGCGGAATGGTATAAGTCATGAAGAGCAATCCATTGAGTCATAGGTGAAAGAAAACAACCATGATAAATATAAATCGCGTCTTTGTTGAAACAAAAGAAAAGCTCGAGAACAATGTACGTTAGTAAAATCAGATGCAAGAGGTCATTGTGAATTGAGACTACTGGCGAAGACTAGTATTAAATGAATCTGAACAATGGCCGGCATGGGGGCAGACCTTGCCGCGGCCACACATCTAGACGAAGCCATAGTAACAGCTCACACAACGGAGGTTCAAGCTTGACCAACACCCAACCTGATTGGTTCGACAGGATAGTTTCTCGATGTCTGGTTGGCCGTGAAAATCCGACCTCATCGCACAACACGACGCCATAAGCAGGGTCGGGGACCCGAGAGACACTCACGGCCGCTCGATGAGGGTAAATTGAAGCCTCTGGATGGTGGAATTTTCGCTTGAGGCAGATGAATGTTCGATGTAGGCGCCTAGTTGTCGGAGAGCATGGACCTTATTGGTCGGTCATGATCAAGCCAAGCCACTTAGCACAATGACTGGGCGGCAATGTCTTGTCTCGCGGCTGCAACCCTACCGACCCACACATCCCGCCCTCCGCAGTATACACAAGCGGTAAGCGTACGTAGGACCGTAGGTTACCATTGACCATACCTGCGCAAATACATAGCTTGCTTGTTGAAGTTATTCATGTTGGTGTAGGTATAGGTAAGGAGTGCATGTGCATGGTGAGATTGATAAGGACGAGAGTGCAGAGTTAAAATGAACACTTCAATCATAAGGTAAAGCCTATCAAGTTAGTGGGCCATTTATCTAAGCATCGAATCAAATGAATCAATCCTTGACGATCTGCGCCATCCAACGGGATGCAGCTTCCTTACATACCAGGCAGACCAGGTACCTACCGGCAGTGTGTTCAAATACTCGTTTATATGTACCTAAGTACCCAAGCCCCCAAGCCCCCAAACCCCCTGCCCCTCTCCCTCCCAAACTGGCCTCTTGATTGGCCTCCAACTCTCTTTCATAACATCGATGAGACAACTGACAACATATCTAGCGAACAAGGAACAGGTCGCTGATGTATCAGACTGGGAGCTCGATACCATGCCAGATTCATCCTGCCGTATTATTCTTTCCCAATCTATCAACCTTGTGAACGGCTCTTCGTATGCTGTGGAACACTCGCCGTCTTATCCGTTGCGGCTCGGTCGTTCCCGAGGCCTAGTCTTCGATCGATATCGACGAAGACGTCAATGTCCCGCATCTGCCAACTTAGTGGTGACAATCTGACCAGCTTCAGATAAGTCAACTGTCATAAATCTTCAGCCGGGTCTGGCATCCTTCACTTCTATGGAGAAAATCGACATCAAAGGGTCCACTCGTTTCATTCTCCGTCGTTATACGCGGGCGAGATCCCCCACCAATCTCTCATCTTCCATCACTTCCAGGCCCCTAGGCATAATCCCTACAAGGCTGTCAACTATCATGTAGATATCGACAACGTTATTCCAATGATTCCATGTAGAATCCGTGGGATACTCCTCCAAAAAGGATGCCGTTCATTCGAACACCTACATGTTTATGTTTCATCATAGCAAATCCTGACAGCATCTATTCTGTACGGTACCCCTACTATCCTGTAGTCTTTCTGATAGCGTAGCATCAAGAACCTAGTGCTACTAGCATGTGCCTAAGGTTGAGCAACAGAAAAACACCCAATACCCCAGCAGCCCTGCATTTTTATTTATTCATGCTGAAAGTTGGGTAATTGATTCACAACAGGGCCTCCCTGTAAACCCATCAGCCCGTGCGCCGCCCATGGGGCTTCAGCTGGTATTCCCGGGTGCGACAGCGGCGGGCATCTCGAAGATTTACAATCTATTTCGCCGACCTGGGAGATCCTACTCATATCATATCCGAGTAAGGAAAAGTGTGTTTTCAACAAAACTGACAGAAACAATACTCCCTAGGCAGTTGCCGGCTATTAGTAACGAATATCCACGTGCTACCTGATCCAAATATACTATAACAGTGGGTTGGAGAACGCACGTCTGTCTCTATGGATGTCATTTAATAGTCATCATCCTAAAAAGCCTACTACATAGTATGCAGTAGGTAAGCGATTTAGGGGGTTTATGTCGACCAAAGTAGGCCAAATTAACAGTTGCTGCTGCAGCCTCATACTCGACAGAACGCGGTCTGCAATATCAGGATCCAGTAGATAGCGACCCTATGCATTCAGGGGAAGCGAGAACAAATTTCTCTCGTCCTCTACCTGCTTTGTCTACGACATCACGGAGACCGAGAGGGCAGTATCTTGTCCATCGTCGATGATAATCCGGGGCAATTGCCGAGTAGGGGGACATGCCCCTTTTACTTGATCCACTACAGATCCGTTCAAATTCTCGTCATTTACTTTACTTCCAAGATGCTCATTACGAGCACAGCGCGTTCGGTCTTGACGGCTCGAACATGAGATAGATACTCGCCGAGGGAAACGAAGCTATGCTAACGTCATCTCGTCTTTAAGAGTTTATCCTCGAGCCGAGCGTGTCATGCATTTCTTCTATCCTCGGCCAATTCGGCGTAAGGATTCGGAGCACAGGATGAGCGAAGAACCTGCCAGGCCGCCCGGGGCACGACGAGGCAGCGAGGCAGCGAAGCACGCAAAAAGGGCGAGGGGTGCCATGTGCCATGCCATGTGCTTTCATACCGCCATCCGATTCTGTATTCAGCGCATAACCTATTCTAGCTCCGGCTCGCGATTGAGAGGATGATATGCAAGTGGTATTACAGCATTGCAGTCCGGCAAGTAGAGAAGCCAAGAATGTGTTTCTGCATTTAAGAGTTGAAACCTTGACAGGCCAGACAAGCCAAGGCTACCAAGCTCCGCCGGTTCACGATAGGGTTAAGTAAGCCGTCTCCGCCAATAGTAGCCGTGGAGCTTCTAATTTGGGAATATTCGCCTCCGCGCTAACTCCTTATTCGCCCACCTCCCCTAATCCTTCATCCTCCTGGAAAGTCTTGGGTGACATCCTCCCAGGCTTGTTATTATTAAGCTTTCCACGATCAACATCCGGAAGGAAACTAGAAACAAAACGAAGTGATCGACAGGTGGTATTAATATGCCGCGCTACCAGCTAAAAACGGGTTAGGTCACCAGAGAATGCTGCTGGATGGCTGCAACACGTGTAGTAGATATGATTGAGCGACCATGGGCAGAGATGCCCCCCTGAGTGCTACGACCATGTCACGACAAGGGTCCGTAGTTCACGGATCAAGATGGCCGCCCTACCCATGACTAATATAAAGGCTAGTAGCCTTATTAGAGACGCCTATCCGAACGGGTCTTGCGCGTTGTAGGGAATACTACATGATGAAGCAGGAGGCGAGCTTCGCTTCGTTCTTTATTAGGTTATAACCGTTGTCTATCTCAACGTAAACGCAACAGGCTCTACATTCCTCTGCTACCCTCCCACCAGGTGCATCTACATCACAATATAATGATTACGTATATCTTCCCTATTCAAACCCGTAACAGATTATAGCAGATTATTTCCGCACTTTAAACTACATGTCCGAGCAAGATCAAGCCAACCTTGCGAACATGACGCTCTCACATCGATATAAGCATTCTAGCCAACACTCTTCCAGTACCATGACCACGCCACAGGCGACCACCCCGTCATCCACGCCTCAGAGATTCAATGGCCCTGCGAGGGACGGTGATTGGACCAACTACCGGGACACGATTACGTCCCTGTATCTCGACCAGAACAAGAGCCTAAAAGAGGTCATGCGCATCATGCGAGAAGAATACTACTTCTACGCAACGTAAGATTCCTATCCGTCCAACAGTTGCCCGACATGAAGTCTGACCCGCGTCTAGAGAAAAGATGTACAAGATCCGCTTCAACAAATGGGGCCTGCATAAGAAGTTGCGGGCCCACCAGGTAGCAGAACTCCTGGTCCAGCGGGGTAAGCGCGCTGCCGTCGGCAAGCCGTCTGTGTCCTTCGTTGGCGGCCGCAAGATCGATGCCGACAGGCTCAACACATATTTACGCCGGGTCTCCCCCGCCAGGCGCAAGGAGCTAATCGCCATACTCTCGGGCAGGGCAGAAATGGCTAGCACTCAGAAGCGTAGCATAGAGGACATCATATGTCGGACGCCGTCGCCCGAGCCAGAGCCGGAGATGGAGATGGTGCCGAGGCGACTGGAAGCGCCCGATAGCTTACGGCTGCCCGAGGAATGCATGCAAATCGTACAGACTTACGTCGGGGGCGCCTTCGACGGTGCGTTATGGCAAAGAACGCCTGACAAGGAATTGGTGTTTCCACCCCGGGGGAAAACGTGGCTAGACCCCGTGTCGTCCGCTAGGCAACTGTTCATCAACGGCTTCACGGAGCAGGGGTTCCGCATGATTAGGATAACCTTTGACGGCTACAGAGACGTGATGTTACGGCAAGACCCCTCGCTGCTCGTCGAGACATGTCTCGCCCTCGGCGCGTTACGACAATCCGGGCCAGGCTTAGCCGAGTCATTGATCAACTACTCATACAACATGTCGCGGATCGTCTTCGGTCCTAGACATCCCTTACACTTACTATTCGCGCGACTAAAAAGCGCCAGCCCGTCCGAGATCGCGCAGTTCTCGGGCCTGATACTAGAGACTTTCCTGAAAGCCGTCCAGGTGGATAGCCGCCTGAAGCCGACGTACCTCGCGACGGTGTACCGCGCGATGCTCAACAGCGAATTCCTCGAGCCGGCCGCGGCGCAGCGGTACATGCAGGACCTCCTCGCGGGCCTCAGGGAGGACACGTCGTTGTCGTCATCAGCGGCGGACGCGGCAGCCCAGGAATCAAGAAAGCGAGACATCGATCTCCTCGACCACCACCTCACCTGGCTGTTCAACGTGCACAACAAGCCGACGGAGGCCAAGGTGGCGGCGGACACGCTGGCAGCGAACCGCGGCCGCGACCCGCGCCTCGCGCGCTTCAGCTGCTACAACATGCTGCGCACGCTGCCGACAAGCTACGAGGTCAGCGACGAGGAGGCCGTGAGCATCCTGTACCGCAGCCTGGCTATCAGCGAGGCGGAGTTCGGGCACAACGACAACGCGACGGTGACCGTGCTCGCGACGCTGCAGAAGTACCTCCGGCGCATGGGCCGCGTCGAAGAGGCGGCTAAGGTGCGCAAGGACTTCGAGACAAGGTGGGATGAGGTGGTGGAGGGTATGAGCCGGCTGAAGGCCTGACCCGCAGCCCTGATGAATACCTACTACATGGTGCAATAGAAAGGGGGTATATCGCGGTACACTGAAGAGTCGTGAGAGGACATATAGGTGGTATTGTGTATATCCTTTATGTAGTGGCTCCGCAGCTTTGGATCGCAGACTGCGGGCTTGGGTATTCGTTAGGGTGACCTAAATGATAAAATAGAAACAATTAAGAATAAATTACAATATTCCAATAACCTCCTTTGAACGCCTTGATATGCTGCTTTCTAGTGATAGCCAATGTGGGCAAGTACGCTATATCCCCGATAGATATGTATCACAACTCGTCTCGCCCAGACGTCCTCGGTATATCCGCCCTCCTCCTCTTCAACAAATCAAGCAACGGCCGACTCCACTCCGCGTGTCCCGGATCCCGCCCAATCCTCTCCAAATGAAACTCCCAGCACCCGTCTCCCCTCGACTCCGTCCCGCCAGCCGCACACACGCCGTCCTCGGTCGCCTGAGCGGCCGTCGGCCAGACGCCCAGCGCCGCGCCGAACTCCTCGTCGAGGAAGGTATCAGAGACGATACGCGCGACCTTGGGTCTTTGGTCCTGCCAGACGGCGTTCTCGCCGCGCAGCAGGACCTCGAGGAGGCGCTGCATGCCGTCGGCGCGCAGGAACTGGGACCTGATCGGCGCGCTCTTGAGCAGCGGCTCCAGCACGATGAGCGATAGGCGCGTGCGGTAGATGTCGGCGACTTCTTCGGCACTGCCGGGCTCGCTGGTGGGGGAGAGGTTGGCGAAGAAGTCTGTTGCTAGCAGCGGGGGAGGAGTGGTGCTGGATCCGGATCCGGATGAGCGCACGCATTGCTTGTTCGTGGCTGCGTCCCAGGATTTCTCTAGGGCTTGTAATGCGGGCTTGTTGTTCCGGATCGAGGACGCGAGGATCAGCGCAGAGAGAAAGTCCGGGCGTTCGCCTACGGGCACGTCCTTTTTCGAGTCTGAGTCGTCTACGTTGGTGACGAGGCAGAATAGGCCGTGGACGGTGTCCGCGTCCTCGGCGATCTGAAGCCCGTAGTACATGTCATAAGACAGGTCTAACAGGCCCTCGAGAGCTTGGTCTAGCTCGGTAGATTGGCCGGAGTAGTCGCCGGCGTTGGTAGATTGGCCGGAGTAGTCGCCGGCGTTGGAGTACTTCTTAGCGTACTTCTTAACGGTCTCTAGGGCCTGTGTGAAACCCTCGTCTTTCTCCTTCGGCGCCTTGACTTTGCCCACGGGGTCGTAGGCCGGGGCGCCGGAGGGTATGCGGGGCTTGTCATCTTGAGGCTCCTCGGGGTCTACGATGACGACGGACCGGTCTACCGGTAAGCCCTCGAGAGCCGGGTTCTCCTCCTTAGGGTCGTAGAGTTTGGCCTGCTTCTTCCCCGTCTGGACATCTAGCTGCACGTGCAAGCCCGGCGGAAGGTCCTGGTCGTCGTGGACGATTTGGAATTCCTCTGTGGCGGAAAAGACCTTGGGGTAACAGTCGGCGGGGTTGTCTGTGTGACAGATGAGTTCGGTTTCCGCTGACGGAGATTCAGACGGAGGAGGGGAAGAGGCGGAGGCAGATACAAAGGAGAAAGCGGATGAGACGACGAAAAATGAAAGAGCAATCTTTTTCAGATTGCGCGTATATGAAGACCCCATGTTATCCAGAATTACATAGAAATGTATAGGACCACAGATATATCTAGGGTGGGTTTCCTGTAGTCAGAGCTTAGATATATAAATCTGTGTTATGAGTGATGTGGCAATGTCTTTTTAGGACAGTTTGCAAATACCAAACTGGACACAAGACTCAAGACGCTTAACTTGTGGGAATTATGACGAGATTAGAAGTGAAAAGAAACAGATATATCATTTCATTCCTAGATCATTCATTCTCTTATAATTCATACTTTGACTTCAAGGTTGTCAGAGTTAGCGATAGAAAATTACATATTGTATTGTAGTTGCAGGCATTAATGGTTAAATTCATTTAGACAGAATGTGGAGGTACACAATATACTGATACAGTATTAATATATAGTAAAAGCGGAACATTCGCACATTGAAGCTTACCGATTAAACGCATGTGATTGGCCGGATTGATCCCCACCATATGCCTCAATTCCAACATCTCGAGCTTCATTAAGCTCCTCAATAGCCGGACTATATCATCAGAGAAGCCAATTGGCATCCCGCGACCACACACGACCCAACATGCACGTCCTCCGAACGAGAGTGGCTTGCGTAGCCAGGCGATCACGACCGACGTCCCTACGAATATCCCGCTCTTACGCCTCCTCCAACGGCCCCGATGACCACGGAAACGAGTTAAAGGACACCCTCGGCGGCGACCACGGCGACCACGGCCACGATAGCCACGGTCATGACCACCACCATGACCACCACCACGCCCCCGAAGTACCCGAAGGGCTAGGCGTATGTGTTTTCACTCTTCCCTCAATAAATCAAATCGAGTGCTGTGCTGGGGGAGGCTAAGCTAACCATGCGAGGGGACAGACCGGCTTCTACGTCTTCGCCGCCGCCGCCCCCTTGGCTTTCCTCGGCTACCAGGTCACGCGGCCGGGCGCCGACGGCGAACCCTCCACCGCCACGACCTGGCTGCGGAAGTTCGACTACTTCAACGACTACGAGGAGCGCAACGCCCTGCGCACCAACCTGCTCGACCAGGCCTCCCACGACAAGCACCTGTTCATGTACGCCGGCAAGAACCCGCACATCGAGCTCAAGATGCCTGAGTACGTACATCCATCCATCCATCCATCTACATCTTCCGATTCTCCTCTCTCCCCGAATACCCTCGTATTCCAAGCATCACAGTTGGCATGTTCTAGCGCGGAAATCCCGGATCTTCCAGACCCCTAGCGCAAGGCACAAGGCGCAAGCAGCATGTGCTGTACCCAACCCATAGACACTCGCTAACATCACCCCTTTCTCAAACAGATTAATCGACTCGGGCTCGCCGTGGAACGTACCCGCGGGCTTCTACCCCAACCTCAGCCACGTGACGGAGCACTACCGGAAACAAGCCGCCGAGGAGGAAGAGAGGAAGTTCAAGAAACTCCAGCTACTAGCGGCGAAGGCGGAGGCGGAGGCGGAGCAGAAGAAGGAAGCGGCAGCGTGAGGGACCCAGACGTGACATCGTCATATACACTATCTCATCCTCATGCGGCGGACGTACATAGCATAGACCAAGAATCCAACGCGCAGATGGCTACCTACCTAAGGAGTAGCTACTTTTTGTTTTGTTATTCGCTGGCTATTCGCAGCGCTAAGGATTTCCGCAAGTGAGAGTGATATACGTGTTGTCTTATATTACTCGGGCCAGGTTCAGATGGTACTAATGGCCTAAGTAATCCGGTGACCTATATATCCATGCCAGTGTATTTGGTCCTCGAGTATTGCTTTCTATCTACTACTTAGCATCCTGTCTGTAAGCGGATCAACGCAGTATATGAAGATTTGAGTAACATTCGCAGTGAGAACGTGAAAAATTCGACGGCTAGATTTCTAGAAACCAGAACCGTGGGGAAGAATCTAAATAGGTTGCCCCTTTGACAATGCTAGATTTTGAGATATTCATATAGGAGGGCCAGAGTTGATAGATGCTAGACGTTTATTACGGATAAGGTCATAGGTAGTCAGCCCATAGCAACAGTTGACTTGGATAATGGCCGGCAGAGGTGGATGTGAATCGTGTTTACTCCTTATTTAGGCTTGACGTAGATAGCCATGGGGACGTAGATAGATGGTGGAATGATCTAAGCAAGAGTAGCATTGGTACACTGAGTTTCATGGCCCTTGTGGCTAATTCGGCACGCATATTATACCTAGGAGAGTTCACTCGAATACATGGATGCCAAAGCAGGCAAACCAGTCAGACCAGTTCAAGTCACGGCCGGATTCCATTAGTGTTTGTTATGCGCAATATGATTTCATTCATTATCATGCAGCGCATCCATGTCGGTTGATGGTCATCGCCTATCTACCGAAAAGAACCATTCCGTTCGCCCAATCCGTGAATGCAAGTGCAAATACCCTCCATTTTCCACACGTTTACTTGAGGGGAATGAAACGAGAAGAGTGAGTAGCACCGATACCGGGTCTACCGTGCTTGACAGGCTTGCTATAGAACTCGTCAGTTATCTATCCCAGGCATTTTTGAAAAATGCACGTATGCTTGTGCCAGATTCAGAACGTACTATGAGATGGAGAATTCGCCCAGGTAATGGCCGACCATCTCCGGTCGGATTTCGACCTGGTTGAACTCCTTGCCGGAGTAGATGCCGATAACGCTGCCAATCATCTCGGGGACAACGATCATGTCTCGCAGGTGTGTCTTGACGAGGTCGGGCTTCTCGTTGGGCTTGGCCTCCTGCTTGGCCTTGCGGAGCTTCTTGATCAGGCCCATGGGCTTGCGCTTAAGACCCCGGTTGATCCGACGGCGGGCACGGGAGTGAACGACATCACGTAGTTGATCGGAGGAGAGGTCAAGAAGGCTGTTGATAACACCAAGTTAGTCCTCGTGTTTCTCAGATATTTTGTCTTGTAATATTCCACCGTCGTGAAAATCGTTTCCGTGAAATTCGAATGACCAGGCAATCGCGCCAGGAACAGAAAAGAAATTTTTCGGGGAAAACATACGCATCAAGGTCGATTCCTCGGTAGGAAAACTTGCGGAACTGACGGCGCTTCTTGAGCTCAGCGGCCTCCTCAGCGTTCTGCAGTCCAAGTTAGTTGTCGCATTCCCATTAATTCATCCTCGTTCTGCATCGCCGCAGCCAATCTGCAATAGGAATTATCACGTACGTAGTCGGGGTCGTCAGCCATGATTGCGGTTTTTGTGATGCTCAAGACGTTTCGCTAATCGGTGCGGGTTGTCGGTTGTCGAAGAGCGAATGTTCAAGATTGAGATGGGGGGTTGTTGGATTTCTTGAGATGGTTAATTTGTTAGAGGGTTTCGCTTAGTTTACCTCCACACTCTTGGAAGGAATCCAGTAAATTTTTTGTGTGAGGGTTGTGGCCCCGAGCTACGCACAGGCCAATTTCGTAGTGGGCAGGTGGCAAGTACTATGTAGACGGACAGTGGCTAGGGCTTATGGCTAGTGAATTTGTGGCTGTCACGTGTACCCACTTCCCTTTTGATTAAGTAATCATGAGGCTTTCCAAGGGGGCCTATGGGCACCCAGGCATGTACTGTAGAAAACTTTCAGCTAACGAAATTTACCAGTTCATCATCATTACAAATTGATCAAACCTATACGAGACATATATCCAGTCGAAGTATTCAGCATTAATTAACTTGATCAGCTCAATTCATTAGTTTAGCGACGGCTTTGCCTTTTGTGCCCTGCCTCGAGGCATCTATCTGCGTTTGTATATAGTACACGGACTTGCGAGTGATGGATGGTATGGATGGTATGGAAGTCAAATACTGGGTTCCACCCGGCTCCAAGCCCGAAGACCCATAGGATATCACTGGAATCAAAACGAAAGACCTTAAGGGAACTCGTCAATCGACGCAAAACAATACCCCAGCTTTTTGTAGGCAACTTGATAACTCCCCAAACGCCCCCTTATCAGGATGAGCTTCCATCCATTAACGGACGATGCCAACCGATAAGAATCGGATCCGCAACATCGGGTTCCTCATATGCGCCATGCATACATAATAAGTCCTTCGCCAATTCATGCCTCCCTAGTCGTAATGCCATGGTTCTTTATTTCGTATAAGTTTCGGAGCATCGAAGCATCCTCTCAGCCGAGCTTCTCAGCTGCGTCCGTCTTGACTTCGACTTGGTTTTGAAGAGTTGCCACCTCGTTGGTAAGATACGTAATCTTTTCCTCCTGAGATCTACCCGTTGCTTCCATAGCTTGAACTCGGTCGTTAAGCTGCCTCACCTGCTCTTCGAGGCCATGAATGTAGGCCCAAATGCCTTGGTCGGTTGCAAATATGTTATTGCTTGCGCTGTCGCCACTTCCGCCATTTTGGTCACCTGATGCATGCGGGTGATCAACTTCAGGACCCGGCGCTACGGGCTGACCTGAGTTTCCAGGTACGGGTTGCGGCGCGGGAGCAGCGCCTTGCAGACCGCCAGCGGAGGCGGCGTATCTAGCGGCATCGGTCGCGGCAAATCCGGGCACTTCGTGGGTCATCTCAGTATGAATGTATGGAATGGGAGACTGTGGACTGTACGAACCTGGGGGTGTGTGTCGATCTGATTGGTGACGACTGAAGTGTTGCTGTTGAAATTGGGCCGTCAAGCTAGGTGAGCGCTGTCTGTTAATGTTGGTAGAATCATGGCCCTGTATGCCAGAGGGGCTGAGTGGTTTAGGGCTCTCAGTCATGGCATTCTGGGCGTACATGGCTGGGTTGCCAGTCCCCACAGGAAGGGATGAAATGCTCGTAGCGGGGGTCTGGGAAGCATTTGAGCTTCCAGAGCCACGATCCATATTAGGTGGATACAGTCGACCTGCAGTGGATCCTGAGGGTTCACGCGTTAAAAATGCGGAAAGATGAATCTTGAGTAGTGCTTCGTTACCTTGGACATGCTGGGCCCTTATGCTGGGTAAACTTAGACGTCGCCTTTCCTCTTCAGTCAATTCGGATTCGTTGCCACCCTCGTAAATGACACCAGACATTGCGGAATCATCGCCCTCAAGATGACTTGATCCTTCGACTTCTTCCTCGCCAAGAAAGCTGCCCAAGCTACTTCGCCGACCCACACAACCGCCAGGACCCTTGCTATGTCGCGCTAAAGCATCACCACGCGCAAACTTTCGATCGCACTTCGGGCATACATGAGGTTTCTCTCCAGTATGAAGCTTGGTGTGACGTTTAAGATCGTGTAGACGACGGAAACGCATCGAACACGTTTGGCAGACGTATGGTTTTTCTTGACTATGAGTCAGAAGATGGCTCTTCAGATTGTGGTGGCGGGTGAATTCCGTTTCGCAATACGGACACTTATGCTTCTTTGAGTTCGGCGAGCGTGGTGTTTGTGGGTTACCAGGCATTGGCATGCTCATACCCCGAACAGGAGGAGCAGGCATATTAGCGTTTGGTGGTAGTATACCGGGATACGATAACGAGGCGACACCCTTATCCTCCATTGGAGCCGGCGGCTGTGCTCCAAAGCCAGACCGGTCACTACGTCCGTCGATCTCCATAGGTCCTGGGCTCGTCGTTACCTGAGCACCAGGCCCACCACCTAAGCTGCCCAAGCTGGTCGCGCTCTGGGGGCTTACGTTCTCAGGCTTGTTCTCTGGATCTTGGCCGTCGGGGAGCGGAATCGAGACGGGATGAGGAGCAGGTTGTGCGCCATCTTCCTCGTGAGCATCCTGAGGAAGGCCATGAGGAATTTGAGGAATTTCCTGAGCAGCTTCTTGAGGGACAGCCTGAGAAATGGCCTGTGGCGCATCCATAGGTGTGTCTTGGGGGGCTTCCTGAGGAGTTTCTTGGGGTCGACTCATGGCAAGAGCGCTTGCAGACAATAGCGCAGATTGAGCCTTGAATGCAGGATTGTCACTAGCACCCGAGACTTCAAGCCTATACTGCTCCTCCTCCATCCGCCGCTCGTCTTCAACAGCCGCAGCGCCAGTCATGGGTGTAGGTGAGTATCTCGATGTCGCGCCGATAAGCCTTGCCGTTTTCGATGGTGACAATTCCCGGTGGAGTGCAGCTGTGAGGGCTGAAGACGGCGAGAGTGGCGAGGATTCCCGCTGCCTCTTCAGCGACTGTGTCGCGCGAGCAGCCTCAGCCGTCAAAGTCTCGACGGAGACGGGATCGGATGGAATGGCAGGTTGAGAGGTAGCCGAAGAGAAGGGCGGGGCTTCCGTCGCGACGGGACCTTTCTCGGACGCCATGGGTTTGGACAACGACGACGGAGGACGCGATTGAAGTCCCTACAGGAAATTAATCGAAATAGACCTGAAAGAGACGCAAGTGGTGCCTAGGCGCATTAACGACGCATTGTTGAACTTGATGACAATAAGGCTAGATGGTGTGGCTGAAGTACGTGGCTGCTGCAATGAAATTGACGGTGTTGTTGATGATCGCGCCTGCCGCGTCCAGGTGCTGATCTTCTGGGGGAATTCGTTTTTTTCTGGTTTACAAATGTGAAAGTCGTGTAGGATGAAAGATTAGATTATCTCGTTCGCCTCCGTAAAAAAGGAAACGATATGTCAAAAGACAATTGCCTTGATTGCACTGGTGAGAAAGTTGACCTTGTCAACAGTGTAAGTGCATGACTGAGCCGCAAAGACGAGATGGTAGGTTGTGGATGAGCAGGAAAAAAAAGGTGCTTGGGGGACGTCAAGTGTGGTGGTGCAGGCCCAGGTGGCAGTGGGAAGGGGAAGGAAAAAGAGGCGGAGGCGGCGGCAAGTTCCAGTTTATTGGGCTTGGTGCGTGTCGGAATTATTTTGGTTCGGCTCCAAAGCCCCACATGCACCTGCCACACTATATGTACTTTGCAGGTAAGTACCTCTCTGCAATGACGCATCAAGTAAGCGTACCTTAAATACACTTTACAGTGCGTTTAGGTACCCCATCGGTGAAGGGGGATAGTTAAATGCATACATTTATCAAATGTACTTATGTGTCTACTCAACATTCATATCGTAAGCAGGTACGATTGACAGGATTGGTAAGCTTCAACCCTAAGGTGAACAAGTAAAGTAAGTTTAAGCTGAATATTAAAGCTGAAAGCTTAGAATATACATTTCAATATTACTACCCATCTGCCTTTCTGAACGAAGTCAAATATTCCCACATATAAAACCCATATATGTAATTATATAGGTAGGTATATGCAGAAGCTTGAGATCGGTACATTATGTTATGTGCAAGGATGGACAAAGCTAGAAATGTAACTTGTAGATGTGGCGGTACCTACCATCAATCCAAAGGTCTCTAACCGCTAGAAATGTCCTGGATACCATTGTTGTCCTTCGCGACAGGTTTGACAATACGCAATACATCTCGCTAAATAACAAGCGGGGAAGCTTTTTGTTTTAATATACAAGATGATAAGTACATAATTTCAGCCCTTGGAAGTTTGAAGACAACCATTGATCTGAGGCAATATTCACTGTGGCTTGAGTGCCCCAAGAGTAGTAGGTAGGACAAAGAAGATCTCTCAATCTCTGAATACTTACATATGTACATTTACGTATTATTCTACTACTACTTCTAGGTAATAACTCAAGCAGGAGCTGGACAGTAAACACGGACCTGCTACTTCCATCATTACTCTAGTCCATTAGATTTCAGCCAATGACGACCTTGATCCAGATTAGAGCATACAACCGGCGCTTGCAGTTAATACGATAGAGTATCATGGTCGCCCATGCCATTTGCGATCGATAGGATGTCATTTGTCATTTGCTATTTGCTATTTCCTATTGCATATGTACATATTTGTTTCTCCATAGGCCCACACCAGCTGTTTTCAGTCTTGTATCTTCCAAGCCTCGGCCCACCGAATTTATCTCCATTTGCACATTGACATCAACGTTCTCTGATCCTAATAATTCGGACATCCGACAACTTCACGCCTGCATCACTTCATCACTGCATCACCCATTTCCACCTACCTACCTAAGTAGGTACCTCGTCATGGATACGCTTAAGCTTGGTACAGACATTGTTATCGAGATGTAAGCTCAAAACTCTCAACTCGATACAAAAACCAAAAGGTTCCAAAGCTGTAGCTCGGTAAGCTAAGCACAGATAGGTATGCTGTTGGTGTCGCGCCAGCAAGTAAATCCTCGTCATTATATGCAAGTTATGTTTCTTCTCTGCTACCCTACTACCTATAACATACAGATTTAATCGTCCTATTACACGCTTCGCCAACCCAGACTGCAACCCCACAGACGCCAAGTTTCTTCTCCATCGCCCAAACCGGTCAAATGCTCCACTAGTCTCTTCCGAATCGGGTCTTCCACGGCTCATCAATGTTCATCGATGCCCGTGATAATGGTGCCAGCCACCTATTTAGGCCGCTATGAACTTCAAAGCTATCTCGCAGGATATGAGCCAGAGTTGATCACGTTACGGAGACATGCCGGGATGGTAAGCCAAAGCGTGGTGCCCCTCCATAGGAGGGCACTTAGGGGCATAACATTCATGAATCACCTCAGCCTTGCTCGGTTAGCGAGTTAGACTAGGGGTTTCCCGGCGCCACGCAGTCTCTTCAAGGGACATACTGCTGAGCCTCAATCTCTGGCCTTGCTGAGCATGTACGTAACTGCTGACAAGCGTGTCGATATACGAGATTACTCCTCGTGCTTACCTATGTGCTTACGACAACGTACGTACCTAGGCAGGCAACCACAAGGGTAATTATTGTATTAAAAGTCGAAACATTTCCGCAGTTCCGCGACATCGGTTATCGTTAGAATTCGTCGGGTTAAGATTGTAAAGGCAGTCTACCATAGGTTTAATAAATGGTATCAATCCGCTCTCGACTTCATAAGTCTACCTACTTACCTAGCTCATTGATTTTATATGTGTTTATATGTTAGAATGTCATCACTCTACCACTGCGAAAGAACATGTACACCAGAGCTTACTATACTTGTGAATCAGGTCTCTCGCCGTTGGCTCCTAGACATGACCGTCTTACATAATAAAGGTCAGATATGGAACCCAAGGCTTGACGTTGACTGAAGCCTTATACCTATTGGATAAATATACCACTCACTCCAGGCAGCCACTCCAGCTACACTTGTGTAAACCTTTATGTTGCCCATGCTGGTCAACGAGTTTCTGGATGTGACCTATCCAAACAACAAAGTGTCATCAAAGTTATGGGTTCGTTGCATTCCCTCACCTTTTTCTCACCGGTGAATATATCAGTCATCGAGTGTTGTTTAGTCGTCAACCGAATTGACAATAATTATTATGTATGAACTATGTCCGATCTCTCTCAGATGATTCGAACGATTCTCCGATACAACCTCAGTCAAGGTACTTTGAATACATAAGTTCGGTTGTGTGATCTTTAACTCATGACATCTATGACAATGTACAGTCATTCAACGTGGCGACTATTGCGGTTGATAGTATCCTGAGTCTATCATTCGATATCTTGAACATACCGACCTAGGTAACAGTCCTATTTACGAAGTTATAAGGCCCGATAGATGATATTCATGAGATGACGAAGACTTCTGGAAGGTTCGTCTTGTTCTATAATGCTACCATATCCTTTATAGTGTATGTAGTTTCGTCTACTTATGGTTCCCTAATTTGAGGTCGCAAGCTCAGATCACGATAGATCATGCCATCCGTTCTTAGCCAGCGCTTCTGTGTGAAAACCAAATACGAGCATTTTCATATAGGAATCAACTAAAAATAGGCTACTCCTCATCGCACTGTATCTCCTTGTTGAGCTCTACAAAGTTTAAAGATACAAACTTAGTGTTTTCTCCAAGCCTACACTTACATTTCCTGTTATTACTAGGCCTGTTACGAAACTAAAGGCATCTCCAATCAGACGTTCAGTCAAATGACAGACAAGAAAATATATAACGACCCCCTAAACCAAAGAACGTCATACCGAACTATCGGTACAACCTTAAGCTGGACATCCTCTCCAAGATAACCGAATCCAATATCGATGAAACGATTTTTGGTGTCCGTGCAAGTTACTGCGGCCATAACTGAGCACGAGGCAATGAGCTATCATCAGCCGTCACGGCACACGCAACCTAGGTTGGGAGAAGCTCTATTATCAATTTAGGGCCTGCGAACTCGTATATCGTCGCGCCAGGTATGCTACCTTGTACCATATCGAAGCATGCCATTGCCAATATTACCAAATCTGCAAGTATGGCATTTCACCTGCGGAAGTCTAAAGACATCATAGAAAGTACATACTATGAATCCATGGTTATATACAGCTTACCTTGACAGCAACTGACGCCTTGAAAAACCACATTCGGGCTACCGCAGTCTGCCTATCATGGGTTGGTACCTACCTAGGTAGCGGTATTCCTATGGATCATTCTAATCCTGACCCTCCCACTCCTCAGCACAACTCTACGCGTACTGCAATTTCCCACCTCGCAGCTGCCCGCTACATCCTCGTCGCGAGACCGTCTTTTCAGCATCTCCAGCAACGTCTCCTCAACCCCCACACTCAGCCTGGTCCGGCTCTTCTCCCGCGCGCAGCTGACCTCGAACGCGGGCCGCAACTTGCACAAATCACCAGCGCTGTTTCGCCACTCTCACGAGTGGCAACGCCCGAGGAGATAGTCGACTAGGACTCCCCCCCCCCCTATGCAGCTGTTGTTCTTCTCCCTTGTGTCAAGGCTACCCCTTACCTGATATCCTGCTGGTTGGTGACCCCTTGCTTCCTGAACACGATATGCCGAGAAATTAGTAATCGCCAATGGCCTGCTTACGTCGTGAATTAGCTCGATGAGAGTTTAGCAAAGTAACGAGACGTCTGATATGTTAACTTGTCTCCAAATCGATATTATCCAAGCGAAATCCTCTTATGATGACTACCTAGTTATGAGATTTCCTATTAAACAACCCAAAGATCCTGTTATGAGTTGTACAACACCTGGGATGACCCAAACTTCGCTGCCTCTCTCGCTGAGCCAGCACTTGATTGCGGTTTCCTTTTGAAAAGATGAGTATATAAGGCTATAATTGAGTTAAAAAATATTAATATATTCCTTTGTCGTCCTTTTCGCTAGTACCATAACTAGATCATTTGCGGTTTCATATTAACCTGGGCTACCCCATTATGGTTGCTCTTAATTGCACTTCCCTAGGCTCCCATACATACCTACATTCTATCCAGAGGATGTAAGTTGGTCCTAGCCCCTGAACGTGTCTAGTTCGCTAAGCAATAATAGAGAGTGAATAGTTAGATTGTGGTTGTTGCGAAGTGAGTTATCGCGTGGCTCATCACGTATGCGGTCTATTATTGCTTGATGAACCCTGAGGAACCCCGGAACGACGTTGAAATCCCAGCTCAAATTTAAAGCCAGGCTCGCGGGCATCTAAGACAAGCGTACGAACCGTTGGGGAACCATGCTAACTTCGCCTCGAAGACAGTATGGGGTATCTACCTGTAGACTCCAGCCCCTGCCGTTCGGCCGCGTCATCGTCATGGCGCGATAATTAAATTATGTTATTCTTGACGGTGTCGCGGATAGCCTCCTAGGAATAGATAAGCATATATGATATGTGGTCACCCCTCTGCGGTAACCCGAATGGAAGAGGAAGCAAGAGGGACTATGGAGTCCGGTCCGCAAACATCGAGAGGCAGATGAAGGAAATGGACCCTTAACGGGTCCCCGCATGAGCACGAGTCTTACGACTACAAATATAATATATTGTGGCGCGCTCACTGTCTAAATAAACTAGTCGTCTCTAACTACGTACGATAAAACGTCATTCTAATTATTGATGTTGACTAGGTCTGCTAGCTTAGGCGGATCGTTAAGGCTAACTAGGTAGGTAGTTTACGATGGAGGCTACGCATAGACGATCTTGGATATCTCTTGTAGTAATTGGAGCCTCAGTCAGATGTGATAGTTTGATATATTCAACGGCATATACCAAATCGACATAATAACACAATGCTATCTTTGAAAGCTTGCCAGTCTCATAAACTCGCCTACTGTATCTCGCATACGAATCTGAAGCACACTCATACATCTCATCCAATATCTCATTGATATAGTATAAAACTACGAGGGGTTTTAAGCTGTCACTTACCAGGCCAAGGTCGATTATATTAAGTATAAATTATTTCTCATGCCGTTCATTTCGTTCCTCACCGAATCAAGCATGCGTCCTTCTCAATCGAGTTGTGTGACCTTGGCGGTGAATCCAATTTGACAACATTAAGCGGTTATATAGCAAATTCTTAACGTAACTATTGAGACACGGATTGCATAACACATAGAAGAGCGGAAAAAAAGCACTTGAAGACCTGAAGTCGTGATAACCGTTGTTGTGTTACTAGCTATGGAAGCGTCCTATTGGTCAACTACTTTAAGCATGTTCGACAAGGCACGATTGCCAACGTTCATCTGGGGGCAGATGGAGTGTAGTTGCTGATCTTTTTTTAAACATCGAAACCCCCATACGTAGGGCTTGAGAGGTCTATCGAAGAAGCATCGGAGGAACGATGGATGACGGGATCAAGAGGGTCATTGCTTGGAATGAAGATCAGCTAGCTAATCGATCTTTGTAGAAAGCTTGTAGAGAGCCAAATCAAGAAAGGAGGTGCAGTGAGGTGCTGGCAGAGAAATTCTGACCATTCAGGAGGCAGATGTCCCTGGCTGCCAATCCCGAAATTGCAGCAATTAAAGCCAGGGAACGGACGCGCAACCTATCCACTCCTGCCACTTGTGGCATGTGCTAAAAAGATCATCGAGATATTAGCCCGTGTTTTTCTCTTTATTATTAGCCCCAAATTGTGAGTTGATGCGTACCTAGATGGGTAGTATTTTTCTTTTGTCGTGTTTTGTTTTGTCTCTGATGTTAATAGATGCTAGATGCATGTGAACTAATGAAGTTATCCGAACTGCTGGAGTACAGGTTTTTCACTAGTAGACCACTAAAAGTAATGTGAAAACTGAGAAGTCCTCGCTAACCGGAGTGTGATATACGCGAATAGATCACAAAGGAGTCCGAGAGTAATCTTGGAGATGCGACATTAACCGGTCGCTAATGAGGGAGAAGGTCGGAAGAGGGGGGTGGAATCCAAGTATATGACTAACGCGACGGAGATGAGGAATGTTAAGGCAAAATCGCGATGCCGTTCAAGTTTAACCACAGCATTGGCGTACCGCTACAGACGCTACGGACACCACAGCTTTAGCCCGTGCCGTCTATACAGCTTCAGGGTACAGCATGAAAATTCTCCATCTGAACGCTCGTATTACTTGTAGTAAATGATGAGAGCATCTATTTTTGTTAAGACAGAAATGTCGGCTAGATACTGGGCGCAACGCCACGCAGACAACTTTTCCCACCAACTTCCAACTTTCGTTTGTTGGCGGTGGATTGATCGTGGATTGGTTCAATCATATCGTGTAGTGTGTTGCTAGGTACATTTCACTTAGCATAGAAAAATCATGGAAAAGACAAATAAAGGCAAGGGTTCGATTGTGGCCGTGTAGTGCCAAATTTGCCTTGAAGTGCGAAGTGCATCCCTGTCGTCTCCTTGTTGGCGTGCCTGCCACTTACTACGCTAAATTCTGGGTAATTTCATCAGGAATCAAAATAGTGCATCGTACCTTGCAGTAGTGGGAAGCATCGGTCAAGCATTGGCCACTCACTCGCATCGGCTGGCATCGTTACACCGCTAACCCTGCCTGTTCAGGTTAGTGCCTCCATCCAATTGGACGCATGTCGGACATCCCAGAGGGAGAGGACTAGGAAGGACCCGCCGTGGCAGACCCGTAGACCCGTAGACCCTCGTGTGTTTTCAGGTACAGCAGGTACGAACCTACGTGCATTCGCCTGATCAGTCGAAACCCCGGCCCTTCCCCCTAAACTTACTGGCACCCTGCAAACAATTAATTCCCACCGACTTCCCTCCTTCTCAACTTTCGGACGCTCATTGTCTCCTTTCAATTCGCGCCGTCTCCTCCAACTGAGAGTCATTCTGCTCTCTACCACATTCCTTTGGAACTGCGAACACGCTCGTTTACGTTACGCATCTAACGAATCAAAATAAACAATCAAATATTCGCCATTCCTTCTCTCTTCGACATCTATCACGATAGTTTATTGAAGTCATCTGGAATTGAAAGGATATCAAAGCACGACATCAGCGACTCGATCGGTAAGTGCCCATGCGTATTGTGTACCTAGGTTGGGATCGCAACGATCGTAGCTGTATAACTGCAAATCACATTTACATTTACACTTACCTTTACTGTACATTGCACATCACACATCACCCACTGCTTTATGCCACGTCGCTGCGCCCTTCACACGCACAGAACTATTGCGCTCACTTTTACTTCCCTCCCTCCAACCAGCTTTCCGTCTTCTATCCCTTGCCTTGATATCGAATTCTCACCCACAATCCTCATTTTTGTGGGCGCCGTTTCTTCAACCGTCGGACTAACAATGACTCTTTACAGAACTACGACTTTAGGTCACGATTGCCAAATCTGATATCGCCGATTAGTAATTTCGAATTTAAATATTGCATCCGGACAAGATGAAGGCTACCGTTCTGAACATGGCCATTGCGGCCTCCATCGCCGCTGGCGCTAACGCTCAGCCTCACCACCACGGTCACCACCACCACAAGAAGAACGTCGACAAGCGCGATGTTGAGACCACTTACGTTCCTGCCACCGTTACTCAGTACATGCTGGGCAACGATGAAGTGAGCGCCGACGAGGCTAAGGCTGGTTTGGATAAGGGTCTCTACGTCGTCGTTGGCGAGACCACCCCTACCTTCACCCCCCCTCCCAAGCCCGTGGTTACCAGCTCTTCTTCCAAGGAAGATGCTGTCTTCATCCAGAAGGTCACCTCAACTTCCTCTTCATCTTCTGCTTACGCTACCACTACCAGCAGCAGCAGTGCCACTTCGTCCTCTGCCGCCGCCTCGTCGAGCGCCAGCTCCAGTTACTCCAGCGGCGCAACTGGTGTTAACGCCGAGTTCCCAAGTGGCAAGATCAAGTGCTCTGAATTCCCCGAGCAATATGGTGCTGTCCCTCTCGATTATCTTGGTCTCGGAGGTTGGACTGGTCTCCAGTTCACCCCTGACTACAAGATCGGTGATCTTTCGATCAGCAACATTATCAACGGCGTGAAGGGCATGGCCCAGCAGGCCGGCTTTTACTCGTACGCCTGCCCTGATGGATACGTCAAGTCCCAGTGGCCCGAGGCCCAGGGTAGCACCAAACAATCCGTTGGTGGCCTTCAGTGCAACTCGGACGGCTACCTCGAGCTCAGCCGCCCTTCGTCCAAAACTCTTTGCGAACCTGGTGTTGGTGGCGTCACCATCAAGAACGACATGGCTAAGAACGTTGCCATTTGCCGTACTGACTACCCTGGTATCGAGGCCATGGTCATTCCTGTCGACTCCCAACCCGGTACTACCCGCAACTTGGCCAACGTCGATTCTGCCGATTACTATCACTGGACTGGTCTGTCTACCACGCTCCAGTACTATGTTAACCAGCCTGGTGTTTCGACCGAGGACGGATGTGTGTGGGACTGCGCTACTGACCACGATGAGTGCGGTAACTGGGCCCCTACTATCCTCGGTGTTGGCAAGGCTGCGGATGGCAACACTTACATCTCGCTCTTCCCCAACACGCCCACTAGCAGCGCCAAGCCTAGGATGAACATCAACATCACTGGTGACGTTAGCATACCATGCTACTTCCAGGATGGCGCGTACGCCGTTGGTGACAGCGGCTGCACCGTAAGTCGATATCTTATACTATGTATTTTGTGCACTTGACTAATTTTTGTATAGACTACTATCCCGTCCGGTGGCAGCGCCGTCATCCATTTCACCGAGGCTTAGTGTAGTGCGGTCCATAGTTCTTTTCAGTCATGCTGGGGTTATGGGTTTCTATATTGCTTTCTAATGGATACCTCTTGCCATCTTCCGCCTCAGTACGACGGGGTGTTAGAGGCCTGCTTGTCATGTGGATGATGAACATGACGATCTAATTTTTATTGTGTATATTTCTGGCTTTGCGGTTAGGAGATGGAAGGCATTCCTCGATAGCCACCGGTGGATGGATGTTGCGCGGGGGGTTGGTACATTGAGACGTTTCGCAGTATTTCATGGTGGCCGTTTAGGATGGATAGGTCCCGGCGTCTGTATTTGCTTATGCATTCCCTACCCGAAGCCATCGACCGTAGCCTTCTTCGGTAGGGTTTGCAGAGCAAAGGGATTACCTTTCCTACGCCGTGGGTTAGTGGATAGGAGTCCTGGCGGACGAGTTGATAGTGGAGCGGGGCGAGGAGGATCTCAGGAGTACAAGTCACGAGCACTGACTCGGCGGAATATGGCTCTTTGCAGAGAAGCAAAATCGCTCAATAAAATCGTTGATTTCTATTTGTTACAATAATTTTCGAAGTGTACTTGTATTTTCCTTTTAATGTTGACTATTGCGCGATGTCAACCCCATGACCTTGAACGTGTAACGGAGCTTTAGTGATTCTTAATCAACACTCGATTTCTATATTTCGTCGGCATGAATAACTATGTAGATAATAATGAGACATAAATTGGATTACTTGTCCAACTGAAGTCATCCATATGTTAGTAAAATAATCGACCCTTGTGAAAGTCGATGGGGGTATAGGTCAAGCAAGACTAGGGGAGTGGTCGGTTCAAGTTTAGGAACATGTATGATTGGTCTCATAAACTTGAGGCTCTTTACTAGCTTCTAATTTCATGCATTATACTGCTTAGGTAGTAAAGAGAGCTTAGGATAGGATCCATATTTTATAGGACGACTGGTGGCACGGGTTATAGAGCGTCGAACTTATTCTTCTACGGAATGCTCCTAGACTTGTAAAAAAGCAATGTGACTGAAAAATTAAGACAGTTCGGCGGTTAGTTAAGGTGCTGACCACCAGTATTGGCTAGTGAATCTTACTTACATAGGCCCTAGTCTGCCCCTGAGGTTCATGGCGTCATGATATAATATCATTAACAAATACCGACATTTCGCAAGTTGTAAATTAGGTAGGTTTGGACTATGGTAGGCCTTGAATAAATCGACTCTCAATTGGTATACGTATCTACCAGTATATTACTAGCCTGTGTAACAATCAACATTTTGTATTTGCGTTTTATGAACGTATTTCGGACTTCTCATTTTTGATGTTGTTGTCCGACACAACCGATGCGGCGGCTTCGCTCGAAGTCTATCTTTTACATAATTCATAGCTATACTCGACTACGATTGGCGGGTGCCTTTGTCTTGGCACATAACGTCAGTTCTCAACCTCGATTCTCCACCGGGTCTTGCGTCGAAGTTCCGGTATTGGCGAATTGCTTTGGGGCTTACCCCACATTGTACTAGACACTCGCATCTTCTCGCATGTAGACTAGCGGGTATCTAAGTTTGTGCTTTAGCTCAAGGTTTATCTGTTCGACATTGATCGTCACGTTGATAGGTAACTTAGCAAGTTGGTGGCGGGGATAAGTATCCCAACTTTTTTTTTCCTTCCACCTTTTATCTTTCTCTCCCAGTTTCTTATCTCTGTATCTCCTCGCCTACGAGTCATTTTCTCTTCTGGCGAGACTCTGAAAAGCTATGTCTTTGCAGCGCGTCGCGTCTCTCGAGACCTTTGTAAACGTCCCTACGGAGGGCCGAAGATCGCGGCGGGGTTCTGTATCCTCCGTTGCTGCCTCCGAAAGGGCTCGTAAACTTACCTTTAACCCGCTTCCAGAGTCGTGGAATCCTGTATTTGATGATCATGAAGCAGATCAGCTTGCCCGGACCCGTGGGGCCTTTGAAGTTCCGCAATGGAAACGTATACGTGAGTATCTGCCACCAGTCGCTGTTCTCTAGTTAGTTGGGAAGACTGCGGCTAATACTGAGGTCCAATATTTAGTCCAGGTTGTTGTTATGGTCGTAATTTGCCTTTTCTCAGCCGGGATCGTGTTCGGATATGCTGCTCTAAAACCAGTTCTCAAGAGAGAGGGCGCATATCAAGATATGTGTTACGGCGAAGATACATGTGTGGAAATTCATCTCAATCTCATGTTCACCGTTGCGGCTGTCGCCACCAATGTTGCTGCTCTGCCCGTCGGTGCAATCCTAGACCATTATGGCCCCCGAGTCTGCGGAATAACAGGTGCTCTGTTTCTTAGCATTGGTGCACTTTCCATATCCTTTGCTAAAACCTTGCCGTTCGACGCGTTCCTCCTTGGTTACCTCTTTCTTGCCCTGGGCGGGCCGTTTACATATATATCCTCCTTTCAACTATCCAATGCCTTTCCTCGACATTCCGGATTGATATTGGCATTGCTTACAGGGGCATTCGATGCATCGAGTGCCTTATTCCTCATATATCGTATCATCTACCTGAAATCGGAGGGCGCTTTTGGGCATCACAAGTTCTTCCTAGGTTACCTTGTAGTGCCGGCAGTAATTCTTGTCGTCCAACTCACGATACTCCCCAAGCGGTCATATAAGACGATGGGAGAAATGATCGAGGAATATGAAGCACCTCCGTTCGGCGACGCTTCAGCTGTTGCTAACGTTGTGAATGCTGATGACCAGGTGGACGAGCAGACTGCGCTCTTGCGCGAGGAACAAAGAGAGCACCACGAAAGTGTTATACACGATATTGAGGACCTACTAGGTTCCGACGAAGCAGACAAAGATAAACAAGCTCAACGAGAAGAGGCCAAGAACGAGAAAAGCGGCGTATGGGGTGTAATGCATAACAACACGGCGCTGGAACAGATCCGTTCGCCTTGGTTTGTGCTAATATGTCTATTCACTGTTGTACAGATGACCCGGATCAATTACTTCGTCGCGACTATCCGGCCGCAGTACGAGGCTATATTTGGCTCCACGGAAAAGGCTATCGAGATTAACAACTTCTTCGATCTTGCACTACCACTGGGCGGCATAATCTCTATTCCGTTCATCGGGGCTATTTTGGATCACACCAGCACGGTCGCGGTTCTCTCGACTCTCGTGGTTGCCGCAACTACGATTGGGATCCTGGGCGTGCTGCCGTACGAGTGGGCCGCATATGCCAATATCGTGCTGTTCGTGCTCTACCGACCTTTCTATTACACGGCCGTTAGCGATTACAGCGCTAAGGTGTTCGGATTCCGCACTTTCGGTACTGTTTACGGAACTATTATCTGCCTATCCGGCCTCTTTAACTTCAGTCAGAGTGCGTTGGATTACTTATTCCACCGCACCTTCCGTGGCAACCCGGTGCCGGTGAACCTGCTGCTGCTATCGCTCGGCTTGGTCATTGGAATTTGTCTCGTGGGGTACGTGACGCTGAAGGCGAGAAGCTTGAGTATGAAGAGGGCTGCTGGGTATGGGCACGGAGAGTACTAAATTTGCTCGTGCATGTTTGTGTCTTTTAATGGCATAGAAGTGTGTTTAAATTTGATTTCTGCATGGCGTTTCATTGTGCTTTTGCCAGTCAATGTTTAGGGAGTCTGTTAGGTATTCCGCATATCTGACTTGTGGCTATGTCTTAGGCCTGGCGTTTTTATAGTGTCTAGGTATATACCTCTTGGTTTGGGATGGGATTACGAATAAAAAGCAAAAACATAGATAACTGCCCATACAAGAATCGGCTTAACTCGAGTGCCAATAGTGAACCTTGGTAGATGGAGTTGCCTGATATGTACCTGAACACATAATCCGTAGAGATATGCGAATAATTCCAGATTGTCATTATCCTGTCAAAAATTTGACCTTGGAACTCCCTAGGTCCGCATGTACTTAGAAAAGTACCTAATAAACAAGAGTCGCGCACCCCCTTACTTCGGAATTTCCGAGTGGATTTCGGGGATGTGTATAACTTCGATCCGGTGTAATATAGATGCCGCGGTGGCTTCACTATAACTTCGCTTAAGTTTATTCTATTAGCACGATCAGGTTTCAGTCCTGCTACGTTACAAAGACACCAAGAAAGCAGGATAGTTGAATGGTGAAGCCTTAAATTGGAAAGCCGAAGACTTGATCAGATTCCTTGATATTTTATGGGGCACTATATATTCACAGCAGGACCTGGACCTGGACCTAGGCTCTTGATCTCAAGCGCGAGGCTATGTTGGTAATTGCCTACTTACCTAGGTAGGTAAGTATTCACAAAGATATAATTTTACTCATTCATGTGATAGATATCTTATGTAAGTAGGGCTGCTGCTCTTGAGCGTAGAATTCGTATTCAAAAGTGATATATACTATACTTAAGGTCTGGATTCTGTAGCCCTTTTCTTCAAGCACCATCAGTGGTAGTATCTTGACCTTGACTCCATAGTTCATCATACTTATTGTCGAGATAGCACTGTCTAGGCTGGACCTCCTCATATCGTCAATTTGACGAAGTTAGGCTTAACGCCTTGGCTTAAGTGTGCCTCTGTGCTGACCGGTAATCAAATAGTCAATGGCGCCTCCGGTGAAATCCGTAGTAGGGCTTAACTACTATCACGTTAAGCTGCCTGATCTACTTCCACTGGGTCGTATCCCATGATCTGTGTGACTCGTACCATAGCACTGTTACTGCCTTTATCATGACATCTGGCAGATCATATTTTTGGCAGGGTTCTGTTGGGATTTTCGAATCGGAAAATCGCTCGGACAATCGCCTACTCATCCTTCTTTCGTTGTCTCCTGAGCATTATCAGACTTGGGCTCGCCATCGGCGTCAAACCCGAGCGCTTCGAGTTCTCTCACGAGCTCATTAATCTTGATGACCTTGGCGATCTGTTCTGGCAGGAGAGATTCGCCGCCCTCCTTTTTGTTCTTCAGCTCCCTCGCCTGCTTCAACTTTTTCTTCAAATTCCGTGCCTTTTTCTCCCTTTCAACCTCCGGATCGACAGCTTCTTCTCCTTCTGTTGCCTTAGCAACGCTCGCATCACCGGGCGCGTTGTCTTCAGTCGCTGCTTTCGCCTTCTTTCTGGCTTCCCTGCGCTTGGCGTTCTTGTTGCTGGCAGCTGAGGCGGCCGCCGCTTCTTGCTTTTGCTCCTTCAGCCCTTCTGCGCCGATGACGCCGCCCTTGCCGCGGTTGCGGAACGACTCTGCGGTGCGGTTCTTGTAGACTTCGACATCCTCCGGGGGTCGGTAGCCAGGGCGAATCTTAATCGCCTTCCGCGTGGTGCCGTCCGCTCGCACGGATTCTGGGATGTGGCGCTCGCCGCTGTTCTCGTCTGTGACGATGCCCGAAGTGGATGGTTTGGACGGTTCGGAAGGCATCGGGAGGGGTAGTCGAACACGACACGCAATTGAAAATATCTTGTCTTTATAACCTTATAGTACCAAGAAATATAGAAACGAGTTTGGGAAATTGAGAAATGTGAGGACGTTAGTTGTCCGCATGCTACAATATGTAGACAGAATATAAAAATATCGAATTGTCGATCGCAGATGGGCAAGTAAACTGTAAAGGCCGGTGGAACGAACAGCCCACCTGCCCTAAGAGAAAATAGTGGGTCATTCAATTAAGGAAGCTTCAGCCAATCAGCAGTAACCATTTTCCAAAATCACCACTGGGCAATTCTTCGGCTAGAACTTCGAAAGCCGGAACTTACGTTTTCTAAGAACTTCTTCGCGACGCCTACCATTCAACGACATCGATAACCGTCTTGACCGACACGAACTTCATTTTCGTATACTTGGTCTCTAGCCTTCTAGACCCTATTCGCCATGGTATGTTGTAACTCTGTCTGGTTATCCATTGTTGCGCAGAAACTAACTAATCGCGCAATAGGCCGCTGCTCGTCCTCTCTACAAGCAAGTCGATCACTCCCATAACCCCCCGATGCGCTGAACTGACCATTCCTTGCGTAGCGCCTTCTTCCGAAGAAACTGGCAAATGCTGGGAGCCGTCTTTGCCGGAGCTTTCGCCTTCGAAATGTATGTAATGTAAAGGGCTTCGCAGGATGAACACCGGTTGCTGACGGAATCGCAGGGCGTTCGACACTGGCATGAACAAACTCTGGGACAACTACAACCGAGGGGTATGTGTTATTAGCTAAGAGTGTCGAGAATGATATTGCTAACATGTTGAAAGCGACAATGGAAGGACATCCGATCCCGATACGTGGAGGAGGATTAAGCGGCAACGATCAACTCGCGACATTAGAGAGATGGAGTACAAAGCAACTGCCAGGGACAATAGGATGAACCCAAAACTATACAATTGTACCTTAGAGATCGGAACCTTGGAACAATATTCAAACCACAATTCACGCAAAGTTATATACCCTTTTGGTCTCCTTGCGATGAACAACGAATTATATGGCGACTCAAGAAATTGTCGTATAAACATATCTTATGCCTTTACTATAAGGTGGTTTCGTGGAATAGAGCTAATACTAGTACATCATGATATCAATTCAATTGCTAATCTCTAATATGAAGGTAGTCAAATCATGATAGGCCCTCATGATGGATTTTGTACTCATATGACAGATACATGATTCTAGGTATATGTATGGTGAGTCATACTCATACAAGAAACTCAGCAATCATCCATCTCTCATGAAGCATATGATTAACTAGAACATGTGTCAGGCATGATACTATTGAAATACCATCGTTGATGCCTTATGTAATCCCACCTATAGATACGTTCGGTACAGTAAATAGCGTAGCATTAAGCAGGCGCTAAAGCGCGAACACCCGCTAGCAGCTGTCAATGGCTTATGACGATTTATCCCTGCGGTTCAGTCTTATCGACTCCAGATAAGAAACTAGTCGGTGTCAAAGGTTAGGAGGGGGGATACTGTTTCTAGTCGAAGCTTCTGCGTCTCAATTTATTATGACGGTAACTGCCTTTTTGCATAGCTTTTCTTCCTTGGGAGGTGTGTTGCAACTCTTTGTCTTGATTATATAAGACCGACCATCGAATCTTAATTTAATAAGATACCTACATCAATAGCACAACTTAGGACTGTACTCCTCCCAGTCCTCCCTGACGCACCTACGTAAACGGAACCCACCACATTCCGAGATACACCTTTCTTGACAGACTCCACACGTGCTATCGCCACCTAGCCTACCGACTTCGACCTCATCCTTTGTAATTTCGTTGCAAATCCTCCCGAGACCTACACCATCGACTCCCCTAATCTGTCCCCCGAGACGAAACCTGTATTCCCAAATCCCAATTATGACATTACGCCGAGTCTAACCATGGACGCCGGACTGTCTACCCAAGAGCTGCAGCTCTGTCAGCATCTGATAGAGCTGCCCAAACGTTACAGATACCGATACGAAGAAGCCGCATGTCGAGATCTATTATATAATCTCTTCTGGTCGATGGCTGGAGGCCGGCCTGAAAATCTACGGCTATTCTTCCCCGACGGCAAACTTACTCCAAAGAGCACCCTGAATCTTAGAGAGGCGCAGGGAGCGGTGGATGGAGCCGAATACACAGAAGCAGCCCGCGGCAAGGCATGTGGCCACATATTCCGAGCTGGAGAGGCGTCATATAGCTGCAAGACATGCAGTACTGATGACACTTGCTGCCTATGCAGCAAATGTTTCAACGCTACAGACCATGCGGGCCATATGGTAAGAATCTCCATATCTCCCGGTAATAGTGGTTGCTGCGACTGCGGAGATCCGGAGGCGTGGAAGACTCCTATGTTCTGCACTATACATAGCGAACGCGAGGATGATCGGTCGAAAGGAAAGGGTAAAGAGGCTGCTGGGCTGCCCGACGAGGTTGTTTCCAATATTCGCATGACCATATCGCGAGTCCTCGATTTCATCTGCGACGTCATATCGTGCGCTCCGGAACAACTCCGACAGCCTAAGACGAAAGAATCAATCGAACAAGATGAGAAGATGTCTCGCCTAGCCTCTACATATTGTGGAGGAGATATCGACTCTCCCGAGGAATACGCACTACTACTCTGGAACGACGAGAAACATACTGTTAAGGAAGTACAAGATCAAGTTGCACGTGCATGTAGTACCACCTCTGAGGAAGGATATAACCGAGCCGTAGAGACTGACTCCATTGGTCGGAGTATTTTGAAATACGATACGAGCATTGAGAGGCTTCTGGCAAACGCCACTGTTCTCGAACACATCAAGATAACTGTCACCATTCGGTCATCGCGCGATACGTTTCGAGAGCAGATGTGCGGGACTATGATTGACTGGTTGAATGACATCGCAGGCTGCGTAGTGGGAAATGACCACAACATCCTCCGAATGGTCATCTGTGAAGAACTTCTGAAGTCCTGGCGGAAAGGAAGCCCTGGAACGCATGCCATGCCGGGCAAGGATGGTCTTGAGGATGAGGAAAAACTCGAGTATGATCCATTAGAGGCCCATTCGGCTACGCTATTCATCCAACGCGCGAGATTCTTGGCGGAAACCGGGAACGCGGCTACCCTAGCCGAATTTCTCGATACTGATGACGATGATGAGGACGATGATGATGACGAGGATATGGACGGTGGCAACCGCACTCCCTCCAGTGAAGAGGACAATGATGAAGACGAAGACGACGATGAAGACGTAATGATGGTAGACATGGGACGGCCAGATGCAGGTGCCGATGTAAGTGTATCCGACTGGAACGCGCCGGGTATAGCGTCTCTCGAAGAGGAAGAAGCCACAATGGCAGGTTATCCACCACCTCCGCCGCCTCCTCCCGTGCCGAGACGCACGACCAGAGATCGGGACCTCACGCCGTCAGACTCAGATACCGCAGAGCCGTTAATCGCCCCAACCGTATATGCGAAGGCAAATCTTGAGATCCCTAAGACTCCGGGTTTATCAAAGGCAGACAAGGCCGCTCCGCCAAAGCCTGGGCGGTACTGGGTTGAAACGCCCACAGCTTACATGGAACGTGATCGGGTTCATCCATTTGAGGACGTCTTCCAACGAGTTCGTTTAGACTGGCTGATCCTGTTTGACCTGAGAATGTGGAAGAAAGTTCGTAATGATTTGCGTTCACTATACATTTCTACGGTCGTTACCATCCCCGAGTTCAAGAGGGTCTTAGGCCTCCGATTTGCTGCCCTATACACAACTTTGGCACAATTATACCTTATTGGAGACCGGGAACCGGACCACTCGATCATCAACATCTCCCTGCAGATGCTTACCACACCATCTATTACCGCCGAAGTGGTGGAGAGAGGCAACTTTTTAACAACTCTCATGGCAATCTTATACACCTTCTTGACTACCCGACAAGTCGGCCATCCTTGGGAGGTCTCGTCAAGCGCTGTCCTCGGATTCGATACAGGCTCAGTGACCAATAGGCGGATGTACCATTTCTACGTCGATCTCAAGTTCCTCCTCGGCTCTCCTCATGTTCAGGAACGCATGAGAACCGAAGAGAGGTATTTAATGCAATTCCTCGACTTGGTCAAACTTCATCAGGGCATCTGCCCGAATGTCCGAGCCGTTGGAGAGCACGTGGAATACGAAACTGATAGTTGGATCGGCGCCTCGTTGATGACTAGGGAAATCAACAGGCTCTGTAGGCTCCTATCCGGCTCCTTCCGGGGTCTTCCAGAACATGATTCTTTGTATCTGTGTAAGGCCATTCGAACGACGGCGAAGAGTGTCATCATCAATTCTGTTGGTGCCGAACGTGCCAGATTCACCCAGGCCGAGATTAAAGATGAAATACGGTTCAAGGCGCTGAGTGACTTCGAATTCGCCGGAGAGGCTACAAAATTTGAAGTAGTGAAGTTCAACGTGGAGGAGCAGTCAATTAGTTTCCATCATGCGTTGCACTATACTCTTTCCTGGCTGATCGAATGTGGAAAGCACATGTCGCCCCAACAACTCAGGTCGATCCTGAACTTCACTTCACAAGAGCTCAAATCAAAGCCTAGATCAATGGGCCGGAAGTCTATGCCCAGACGGGAGTATTCTCCGGAAGATTATCTCATGGCTGCATTTGATTATCCTCTACGCGTCTGTACCTGGCTTGCCCAGATCAAGGCGGGAATGTGGGTGCGTAATGGCATTAGTCTAAGGCACCAAGCTGGAACATACAAGAATATCCTACACAGGGACGTTACTCATGCCCGAGATATCTTCCTATTGCAAACAGCGATGGTTGTTTGTAAGCCGAGTCGTGTCCTTGCCTCTATTGTCGATCGCTTCGGCATGGAAAGCTGGATCAAGGGATTGTTCGAGCTCACTTCGCAAGCCCAAGATGAGATACAGCACCTTGACGTGGTGGAGGATATGATTCACTTCCTAATCGTCTTATTGAGCGACCGAACCTCGCTTATTCCCGTCAAAGATGAACAACAGACTCATCTGATGGCGATGCGCCGTGACATCACCCATGTTTTATGTTTCCGACCGCTGTCCTTCAACGAGATAGCTAGCAAGCTTCCTGAGAAATTCCACGAACACGAGGACTTCCAGCGTGTCCTGGACGAGGTGGCCACATTTAAGTCTCCCGAAGGTGTGTCGGACGTAGGAACCTTTGAGTTGAAGCCGCAATTTATTGAGGATATTGACCCATACATTGCTCACTACAATAAAAACCAGCGAGAGGAATCAGAGGCCGCTTACCGCAAGTGGATGGCCAAAAAGACAGGCAAGCCTATCGAAGAAATTGTCTACGAGCCCAAATTGCGGCCGATCGAATCTGGGATTTTCATGGGGCTGGCTCAATTCACGAGCACTGGGATGTTTGCACAGATCATCTACTATTGCCTCCTATACCCTCTAGTTGCGGCCAAGTTAACGCCCAAGGTTCCGTTCACCAGGATAGAAACGTTCCTGCAAGTGGTTCTACATTTAATTCTCATCGCTATTGCCGAGGACAAGGCAGAAGCGACCGAGCCTACCGCCGAAGCCGGGTCTTTCGTTTACATCGCTTTGACGACGCACGCCCGTAGCAATTTCATGCAAGATGCTCCGGCTCGAAAAACTATTGTATCGCTCCTGGATATGATGTCAACTAAAGAGGAGTTCAAGGCCTGTCACGCCAAGATCGCACTGATCTTGAAGAGAATGAGACAGAAATACCCACAACACTTCGATATGGCGTATAACCGACTGGGCATACCCGTGGATCGAATTGACACGGCATCCCCAGCCAGCACGCACAATGCTGAAGAGGAACGTGAACGAAAGAAGAAAGCCGCTCTCGACCGACAAGCCAAGGTTATGGCACAGTTCCAGCAGCAGCAGAAGAGTTTCTTGGAAATGCAAGGGGACGTCGACTGGGGTGAAGAAGAGTGGGACGATATGGACGAAGCCAAGCCAGTGGAAGAGCAGAAGAACTTTTGGAAATACCCAAGAGGTACCTGCATATTATGCCAGGAAGATACCGATGATGGACGTCTCTACGGAACCTTCGCACTCTTCACTGAGAGCAAAATTTTACGACAGACTGATCTCCAAGACCCAGATTTCGTGAGGGAGGCTGCAAGCACGCCCGTGAACCTTGACCGCTCAGCCGAGGCAATACGTCCGTTCGGTCTTGCCCACGAAAACAGACAGGTTGTGGAAAAGATAAAAGCAGATGGGCAGACATTTGTCGCCGAAAGGCAAGGTCTCGGCAAAGGGTTCCCAGCTAAGCTATGCCGAACAGGCCCCGTATCCGTTGGATGCGGGCATATTATGCACTTCAGCTGCTTCGATATGTATATGGAAGCGACAAGCCGCCGTCATGGGCACCAGATCGCCCGTCATCACCCCGAGTCATTGGAACGTTTAGAATTCGTGTGTCCTCTCTGTAAAGCCCTCGGGAATGCGTTCTTGCCTATATCCTGGGACGGTAAAGAAGAGTCTTATCCAGGAATCTTGCAAACAGAATCGGATTTTTCATCCTTCATATCCACAAGCATGGCGGATCCACACAACTCAGTCATAAGAGGGGACCAATCTCAAACTGCATTCGTCAACTACTTGCGAACAAGGATGCCGGACTGCCTCGAGAAAACTAGTGCCAGTCTGCCGGCCTTTTCCATTTGGGAACCGACCCCTTTTAGGACTGTCCCTTCGGTTTCGTCTTCTAGTGACACATTCTCTCTTGCAGCTACCCCTGGATCGAGTATACGGTCGCATTCGCCAGAATCGCAACACGGCGACAAAGAATTAATGCTGACCTATAGACGCCTGCGCGATACTCTTCGCAAGAATAAGCTCTTCAAGGCCCTTGACATCGAAATCAGGGATGATGATTTGTATGCCAGCGATGTATTGGCGCAGTCTGTGGGATATTCGATCTCCGCTGCTGAGATCCAACAACGGGGCACTGAAGCTCAATATGGAATGACATTGATCGAGCGTATGCCCGAACAACTATTGGTCCAACTTCGAATCCTGTCCGAGACGGTATCGTCATATATCGCGGTTGGTGGTCTCAGGCATTCAGGGGATAATCAGGTTGAGGTGGAATTCCGCACTGGTAGCGAGCGCCAGTTTTGCCAGCTGTTTTCAACGCAGTATTATGATGGGGCCGTGGGAGCTGAACATCGGCCATTCGATGAATTTCCGCCACTGCTTAGCCAGGATATGTTTATTTTCCTATGCGAGACTATGTTCGGCGTGTCCCCCGCGCTGGGCATAGATCCGATGCATTTGGTTCGCCTCTGCTATCTCGCTGAGATAGTCAAGGTCGTCTACAACGTATCTCAGAACCTGACACTTTCTAGTTGGCTCGAATACATGGGCAACCGAAACTCAGATGACCCTGCGATGAACAATTTTGCCAATTTCTTCCACTGCATCACGGTAACTAGAATGAATTTGGAGCCAGCACCTGATCAGCCTAACAAAGGATTCGACCAGCCGGGCTTAGACAGTCTAGAAAGTCTTCATTCATTCGTTAGGAAGTACGCCCTAATCTTCTTGCGAAAGGTTACAATTCTCCTCCACGTTCATCTTGGAGTTGACTTCAATAGTCACATCTCTCCGGTTCCGGAAGCAGATGAACTGACGCGTCTAACGGCCGCGCTGCGGTTGCCATCTTTTGATGAGATGTGCACTGCTCTGACACCCTTGGGTACCCAATTTGGATGGCCGCCACGTATCGAAGCTATGGTCAAGGGCTGGCTGCGCCATCAAATACGGTCATACACCACGAAGTACCTAGCTTCAGAAAAGGGCATTGAAGAGATCCCACCCGTTTCCGCTCAGCTAAGTCATCCTGGAATCTTCGAACTTGTTGGATTACCCAGGAACTTTGATACTCTGATCGAGGAGTGTGCTAAGAGAAGATGCCCTAAGACTGGCAAAGACTTGGCCGATCCTATCGTGTGCCTGATGTGCGGGGACATCTTTTGCGGACAGACTATGTGTTGTCTTATGGAATACTCGGAACCAGGACCAGACAAGCCATTGATGAGAATCGGGGGTGCCCAGCAACACATGCTGTTCAAGTATGCTATAACAAATGTCACGTCGTTTATCACATTTACTAACCTGAGTGTTTCATTAGGTGTCAGGGCAATATCGGACTCTTCATTAACATTCGCAAGTGTGCTATCTTCTACTTGCATCGTACGTCAGGTAGCTTTAGCAACGCACCTTACATCGACAAGTACGGAGAAGTGGATATCGGTTTGCGCCACGGGCGCCAGCTCTTCCTCAACCAGAAGCGCTACGACTCGATGCTGCGCAACATGTGGCTTAGCCATGGCATCCCTAGCTTTATTAGCAGAAAGCTGGAAGCTGATATTAACAGTGGTGGGTGGGAAACCATATGATTTTGACGAGTATCGTACATCGTACTGTGATCGATATGTAGCATTCGACAGAGCAGATAACAATGTGCAAGAAACGTCGTTGGTATTCCGGATAGCCCTTGACTCATTTTTTTCCCTTCTTTTTTTTGCTCTTTTGGTGTTAGGAGTTCTCCACTCATAGGTATAAAGGAAGGGTCGGGATTCATTCGCCATGCATTACGACATGAAGAGTGCTGTAGGGAAATACAAGATGATTATTAATATATATTATATCATCATAATGCGTCGGTTGCTCGTCTGTCGAGCATGAGTAAATAGGCTGGTACATAAAGTAAATACGGACTTTGGGAAGGCTCCCTGCCTCTTAGGATCCATGCGCGTAGTAACGAAGTCGGTTTTATTTTCTTCGCCTTTTTCGTTTCCCCTTAAATGCACACATATTACGTACCACTTATATTCCCTCAGCACAGTTAGCTGTAAATAATTTGGGTATGCCCTCCTCCTACTAATCTTCTTTTTTCACATCCTCATCCTTAAGCGGCGATATACTCCCGGTCCCGTCCCCGTTAGCAGTAGCAGCGACCCCGTCTTCCATATTTACGTCTTTCGCCCCGGCAGCAGCCACGCCGTTGACCTTGGCGGAGGCGGCGCCCGGGCGGCGGTGCTTGTACACCTTGATGCGGCCGTCCTTGCCGGCGCTGACCATGGTGTCCCCGTGGACGTCGACCCAGAAGCAGACGCCGTCGTGGGCGCCGTCGATGCGCTGGACGACCTCCTTCGTCTTGACGTCCCAGAGTACGACGGCGCCGTCCTCGCTGGGCGCCGCTATGAACGCCCTCCCACTCTCGTCCGAGGTGCCGTTGCTGTTATCGTCGTTGTCGGAGGAGGAGGAAGGTACGGTGCCGAAGCACCCGCCGATGCTGAACCCGCTGTTCTGGTGCCCCTGGTACGTCTTCTTGACGGTGCCGGAGACGTAGTCCCACAGGCGCAGGCACGAGTCCATGCTGAAGGCGAGGACGTACCGCCCGTTCGGCGCGAAGCAGACGGATGTTACCGGCGGGTTGTCCTCGTGCACGAGGGTTCGGAGACATTGGCCGGTGGAGGTGTCCCATATTCGGCTATTTGTTTTTAAGGCGGCTATATTAGTTCCCGTAGATAGAGCATGTATGGAATAGAACTAAGACTTACGTCAACCCGTCTGTACTACAACTAACGACCAAAGTCCCGTCTCTGCAAAAATCAATGCCGCTCACGGGGTCGCTGTGGGCAGGCAGACTCCTCATCAGCCGGCCGGCACGCACGTCCCAGAGGAAGACGGCCTCGTCGTAGCTGCCGCTCGCCAGAATATTCCCCTTGGGCGAGAAGGCGAGGCAGTAGACGTAGTTGTGGTGGCCGAGCAGCGGCTTGCCGCCGGCGCGCGCGCGCGGGCGCCCCGTGACGCGGTCCCACAGCCGGATGGCCTTGTCGTCGGACCCCGAGGCCAGCGTCGCGCTGTCGGGCGACCAGGCCACGGCCGACACGCCCGCCATGTGGCCGACGAGCGTCTCGGCGTGCGCGCCCGAAGCCGCGTCCCAGATCCGCACCGTCCCGTCCGCCGACGACGACGCGATCCACCGCCCGTCCGGCGAGATCCGCACTTGCGAGATCCCGTTCGTGTGCCCTGTTAACACCATCCGCGCTACGTAGTGCGGCTTCGCGGGTTGGGGATGCTGTCGGGAAGGAGGAGGGGCGTCGCGCGCGGCGAGGGCGGCGTCGTCGCGGAGTTGGGAGCCTGGTGAGGGCGAGCGGGAGTCGGATTGGGAGGGCGAGCGTGATCGGGAGCGAGGGGTTCGCGATCGTAAACGTGAGCGGCTCGAGGAGCGGCTCGAGGACGGGGAGCGCAGACGCGAACGCGTGCTAGACGTCGGCGATATGCTGTGCCGCGAACGGTCGCTGGAGTAGTCGTCTGTGTCTCGTCGACGTGGCCGGCTCCGGTCCCTGCTCCGGCTCGGGCTTCGGCTCCTGCTTGGCGTCATGGACGGGCTGTCTAGCGTCTTCTCGCGGATGGAGACGCGGAGGGTGTGCTTGTCGTCGGCTTTATCCGCGGCGTCGTAGTGGCGGACGGGCGTGGAGTCGGTGCTGTTGTCGTCGTGGACTTTGCGGCGCTTGGAGGGGGGCTCGGGGGCGGTGGCGGCAGCGTCGACGCCGGACATGGCGTCTTTCGTTCGTATAGCGTCGGATCGAAAATACTCGTTGTCAGGTACTCTCGATTTTACTCATCTGCCCTAGTTTAATCTCGACGCTAGTGTGACACGAATGAAGCATAGGCTTGGGCAAACGGTAAGGCTACGCAGATAGGAGGTATCGTCAGCCTCGTGTGCGAGTTTGAAAGGTTGACGGTAATGGAATTTGACAAGGCTGAATGGCAAACAGAAATTTTGGTGGGTCTTTCATAATAAGCTTAAATCTTCATTGGGCCGTCGGGCTATTAATGCGCTCCACTTTTAGCGAGCTTCCCGGCTTCCTAAACCCGCTAATCTTTATCGTGCCTGGCATAAGATTGGAATTAGGGGCGTGGGGATCACGGTGCGATACAGTGTCGGAAGGCACTGGTCGTGACAAAATCGCCGGCTTCCTCGGCAGGTACTGCCTTCTCAGGAACGAATCCCCGTCGAATGACGATCTAGAGAATCTTCCACTTTCCGATGCAGGGGGAAACTGCGAGTCTAAAAATCTCCCATGCAGGCAAGGATGGAACAATGGAAGCTTTAATGAAGAAATTGGTGTCATCCCTGCAATTAATGACATCGATACTTTGTACTAGCTAATTTTCTTCCCCTTTGATCAAGTTGCTCGATTTATGCAAATCTCACCAGCCATTGTCCATTGTCTCTTCCCCGCGAAGTTCATGTGGAGTTGTCTCATCTTGCTGTGAAACTGACGATTCATCTTGAGATTGCCGATTCGAAGCGATTTATCCTTATTCTCTCTTTCCGTAGTCTCGGGTCCTCGGTCTTAGAGACAGTGGAGGCTTGAGGAACGTTGGTCTAGTGAATAAATTTGGTTGGAAGGATCGCTAAATCCCAGTCCACGCATGCTGCAACTGCACAGGGGAAACATCCTATCATATGGCACATGAGCAACTAATTCGACTGTTCATATTTCCATTTACCAAAGGAGCTACTCACCACACTTCTTCCTAGACAATTCTAGCAAAATACGTTTAGGGAAGGAAACGAAAAGACGACTAAAGCCCTCTATAAGAGAAGAGAAGGAAAAATATAGGAGCCAAGATGGACGAACTCCCCATCGAGCTCAACGTCATCACGCTAAATTGCTGGGGTCTTTTACACTTGAGCCAGCACCGCGCCGAGCGTCTGACCGCCATCGGCCGCGAACTCGCCGCCGCCGACCCAGCACCACACATCGTCGCGCTGCAAGAATGCTGGACGCAAGAGGACTACCGGACCATCCGGCGCGAAACCCGCTTCGTGCTGCCCTTCGGCAAGTTCTACCATAGCGGTGTATTCGGCGGCGGCCTCGCCATACTGTCTAGATGGCCCATCGAGGAGAGTAGTATGGTCCGGTACCCTCTTAACGGCCGACCGACCGCGTTTTATAGGGGCGACTGGTTCGTCGGCAAGGGCGTGGCGTGCGCGCGGATCCGGTACGGCCCGGGGGACCGCGATATTGTGGAAGTTTTCAACACACATACTCATGCTATATACGAACACCCACCCGATAAAACCGACAGCTACGTGGTCCAGCGACTTTCGCAGTCCTGGGAAATGGCCAAACTAGTCCGCGGTGCCGCCGAGAGAGGGCACCTAGCCATAGCGCTGGGTGATTTTAACGACGTGCCGCTGTCGCTATCATATCGCATGTTAACAGCTCACGCCCCGATAAGAGATGTGTGGAGAGTATTAAACCCGGACTCGTCTCTCGGCTCCGCCATCCACGAGCTCGAGCGCTCGCGGCGGCGACCCATACCCTCTGCTGCCTTCAACCTGGCCGAAAATGGCGTTACGAGCAACAGTGTGTACAACACGTGGAGGTGGTCCAAGTCCGATCAACGGGCGCTGCGCTCGGGCAAGGACTCCATGATCGTGCCGCCGGACACGCCAGATCCGCGAGGCAAGCGGATCGACTACATATTCTTCTCGCCGCAAGTCTGCTCGACGACAAATCCACATTTTAGAGAACTTAACCAGGCACGCACGAGCCATGATGTCGGCGAACGCAGCACCAGGACCAGGGGCTGGGTCGTCAAGGACGCGCGTGTAGGCATGCTCACGCGGCACCCGGACCTCGGCTGCTCCCTCAGCGATCACTTCTCCGTCGAAGCCACTCTCCTGCTCCACACATCCGACACCTCCCTCGCCACCACATCCCCCAGCCGCCCACCCTCCTCCCCTCCATCCCCGCCCCCAAAACGGCCCTCTAGCTCAGACTCGCACCTCGCCGCCACGAAGGCGGGGACCAACCACCACGCGCGCTCGCTCCTGGCCCTCGAGCACGGCACCTACCTCTCCTCGCCCACGGGCTCCGAAGTCCGCGTCGCCTCGCGCCTCGAGCTAGACCAGTCCTACGACGCGCAGCTGCGCGACAGCGCCCGCGCGCTGCCGACCCTGCGCGGCGAGGGCCTGCCCTGCACCCTGTACGATGACGTATTATCCCTGATCCACGCCTACGACGCGCGCGAGCGCTCGCAGCGGCGCTGGCGCATCCTGCATTTTTTCCTCTGGCTCTGCGTCGTCGTCGCCTGCTACGTGGCCGTCTGGTTCGTGAAGCCGTGGCCCGGCGTCGCCTTCGCGTTCCTCGTCCTTAGTAGCCTCGGCTTCGCGCTCGGCCTCTTAGACGGCCTTATGGGCTTGTTGTTTTTTGGGTCAGAGATCCGCGCCCTCAAGGAGTTCGAGTGGGAGATCCGCAACGCGAAGGCTACCGCTAGCGGGGCGCATGGGCTGAGGGACGAGGAGGGGTGTGGTGCTTCTACTGTTGCTGGCGGGGAGGAGGTGGGGGAGAAGGTTTGGTGATTGATTGATTGGTTGATTAGTTATTTAATTAATTGGCGAGGCTGTGTGTGTGTTTACGTTTATGTTTGCGTATACGTATGATCTCGCTATTTTCGATCTACCTACCTACCTACCTACCTACCAACCAAGTAGGTATATTTCTAAGGACAGAAATTTTGGAAGGAGCGAAATAATGGACATACCGACTTACTTTTTCCTGGGACGAGGGAAACGCTTGTTTATAATGCACGGAACGATTAAAAAGGATAGGGGCGATACGAGTCGTGTTGGAAAGGCGATTACATACTTAGGTTATGAATTTGTAATGATACCACGAGGACGATACAGGTTCCATCCATATAGGGATACTGTTCTAATACTAATTTTTCTCTCCCGTCTGACTGGAATTTTTCCAGCGATCCCTATTTTCATCCTCTTGCTACTCTCATACCAATTTGTTAATCATGAGCGAGTTCCCTTCCCACCAAAGCGTACCTAAGTCTTCGCCCCGAAGCCACCACTGTCAGCCCGCCGCACGGGCGTGGTACCAAGCCCGATAGGAAGCCAGCTCAGCACTTTCGTTCGACTTCCCATTCCTTTTTCCATCTTCTCTACCATCCCAACCGGCCATAGCCAGAGGGTTATACTCTTTCATGCGCTGATATGGGTACCCCATGAACGCGGTCTGCTTGCGCACCTCCAGCACCGTCCCTTTGGTATTTCGATCCCTCAGTAGTTTATCGCGGGGCCGCTTCCGCTCGCGACGCCCATACCCCCTTACAAACGCCTTCATTGCTTCGCGGGTTTCTGTGTCGGGTGCTGTGGCTTCGATTTCGTGGTCCATTCGTTTGAGCTTGGCCGAATCGTACGGCACCGACACGAACTGTCCGATAACACCCCGTACATAGCGTGGAAACTTGGCGAGTTGCGCTTGCATGGCTGCTATCTTTTCGGGGCTCCTGTAAGGTGCGATTCGGGGGAGTGAAGGACTAGGAAGCCCACCGGCGATACTACCGATGTTTAGAGGATTTACCGACAGTGATAATTCCTCCATCTCAGAACTCGTTTCCGGTTCTGACTCCGACCAATCCGATATTGGCTCCTCTTCATCGAAGTAATGTGTATCCTCGCACCCTGAGAGTTGTGGGACAAACGGCGGAGGAATTTGCTGTAGCCGGTCCCAGGGGATATCACGGAACCACTTATGTGCTTTGATATCCTCTCCGTCATGAGGATATACTGCTCTTCCCGTCCAGTCTTGATATCCACGACGGTGTCGGCCTCTTCCTAGGTGCGAGGCCTCCGGGGTTGTATCCCGGTAACGATATCGTCTTGACGAAATACGGTCCTCTTTTTCACAGATCAGGTTGGCAATAAGATCCATGCATCGCCTCGAGATAACCGGGCGGGGTGGGAAAGCGAATGTCTGCTTGTGATTGACAATATTACGCTTCGTCTGCTGGCGACCACCCTCATCCGACAGAAAAGGGGTATGGCCGTATAAACATTCGTACAAAATGACGCCGACACTCCACTAATCGCATCTTGCATCGTAAGCACCCTCTCGGATGACTTCTGGGGCCATGTACTGGCTTGTTCCCACGCAAGATCGAGCAGCGCTCCGGTTACCGCATCTGTTACGCCAATTTAGAAGTGGTTCATCCGGCAATGCTGAGGACGAGGTCAGGTGCGCTGGATGGCGCTCATGCTTCTGCATCGCCTGAGCTACACCTTGAGCCCATTTGACAGAGCCTTGTAAGCCTTCGGCACGATCGAGGGCATCTCCCTCTACCGGTATACCGAATCGTTGTAGCAAGCTATACCGTTGCGTATGGTAGTAACTCGTGTCGTGCGACCAATGGCCATCAAAAGCCAGACCGAAGTCTGAGATCTTCAGATGGCCAGATGCGGAAATGAGAAAATTGTCCGGTTTAATATCACGGTGTATACACCGCAAAGAATGTGCCTCCTCGATGCACAAGATCATCTCGGCGATGTAAAATTTAGCGACTGGTTCGTTGAGAATGTTTTCTCGGATAAGAAGGCCGAGAAAGTCGCCTCCAGGCATATAATCCATCACGAGATACAAGTTCGCACAGTCCTGGAAACTAGTGACTAATGACACAATCCTAGGATCGTATTCATTAGCCTTGAGTCTTGATGGCGTTGATAGATAGTAACGAACCACTTCGAGCCCTCTGAAGCAACTAAGAAGTCTCTTTCGGCGCGCAAATGAGCCTCTTGGCTCGTCCTCAACATTGCCGACTTTCGTATCACCTTCATGGCGTATACTCGTTTGTCCTGTGATACCTCATGTACGAGAGCACCTAGTTTCGGTTTTTCACGTACAAGCCTCACAACACCGAAACTCCCCTTCCCAAGGATCTTCAAAACTTCGTAACCGTCAGCAAGTTGGTTATGCTTCCCTTGCACCGCGCCGATACTTTTCGCCTTCAAAACGCGACTTTCACGGAGATAATTAGTCTCCTGCTTGCAAAACCTCCGGCGTCTAGCAGCCTTCTCCGCCTCTGTCAGTCCACTAGCGTGGTATAGTTCTCCTTCTAGGTAACGCCGGCGAAGCGAGCGTGGGCTAGGCTTAGAGAGTTGTTCGTCAAAATAAGTCTCAAGAAAGACTTTTGCGGCCGCAGCTCGCTCGACAGTTAGAATAGTCGGTGTTATTATGTCGAGGGCCGTTTCTTGGATTGTTGTTAGGTTCGACTCGGTGATCGAGGTGGTTGTCTCTGGCTCCTTGTCACGAATCACTGTAAAGGTCTTTTTGTCTCCTGAGGTATTCTCTCGCTTAGACTCAAATGAAGTCTTGCCAGTAGTGCCGGTTCCACCAGTTCCCCCGGTAGTTTGACCGGACGATTTGCCGCTGGAAGTCGTATTACTGTTGCTATACGAGTTACCGCCAGAATTTGAAGAGACTACAGTCTCAGGGGGGTGAAGAGAATCATTAGCAGTTCTTTCCATGGACCCGAAGGACATTCTAGACTTGGATCGAATTCGATGAATAACGGTGACAGAGGCGCCGAAAGGACTTCGGAGGAACGGCATAGACATCTTCTTCCTGAACCGTCGACGTGTTTGGGATGGCTCTCCATTAAAGGTGGGAGAAGGTGCCGGCCATGTTGCTGGTTCCTTAACGGAATTACTCGAATCTAAAAGCTATAGTTAGAAGAGTTGACTACGATATGTTCTGTTGGGTCGGGAGACCCTACTGCCGTTTGTCAGTGAGCGTAACACAGACAAGATTCGTGAACCACGTCGTCTGAGTTTTCGAGAAGGCTCGCCTCTCTCAGGCATGGATAAAGGGGTGTACGATGGAGTAGCTAATGGAGAATGCCCATCATCCAAAAGGAGCGTTGGCGTGCTGCCCATCACTTGCAGCTCATGTGTCGTCATGCTGTAAATTCATTGGTGGCATGTAATGTAGCAGCTATAATCCAAAAGACAGTGTTACAATAGAAATGATATCAAATAACTTCGCCTGGGCCCTGGTGGATAAGCTAACATAAGGGCCCAGGCCACCGTCTAGAGGTATTGTGTCTGTTGGGAACTAGACGGCGATGTAAGATAACGGTATAGTAAGAGTATCAGAAGTAGGTAAGAATAGAAATTTCAGTCAAAATCCATTAGATCTACCTAGCAAGCATGTAAGGAAAGGGGTAGCTTCCTTACACGTGTATACTTCTTACCTTCGTCCAACCTTGTTGAAATAGGGGTAGAACGACCAACCCTCAACTGTAGCTTCAACTTCTCTTTGTCTCATCACTCCGCGCTTACCAACAAGTCGAATATGAACCTACTAGGATAGAGCCACTTGTCTCCTTATACCTGAACCAAAAACACTCGTGTCCTTCTCAAGACGTATCACAGTCACACGATTTAGGTAGGTAGTTATAGAACATATCTAATTTACTAACTTTGGCTTGATTGTTGGTATTGTAACTACCGACAGACAGCCGCAGATTCATTTATACGAGAGTATAACCAACCCCCCTGCACTTTTTACGCCATTGATGCAATGCAGACCTCGTCATCCCTTATGACAACATCTGCTTCCCGCGTCCGAATGACGCCAGATCCCAGCAGACCTGCGCAGGTCGGAGACCACACAGCGCATGAGTAGGAAAACCGACGACAGCTCATATCGCACGCAGACTTGACCGAATCGGCCAATAATAGAGTACAACCAACCAGGATGGTATCAGGAAATAAGGAGATTATAAGGAGAATTATTCGGCAGACGCTACGATCATTTGATCGCCAACAACTTGATGTCGAAGATCAAGGTGCTGTTTGCGGGGATGCCTGGCTGGCCTTTGCTGCCGTAGGCGAGGTTGGCCGGGATCGTGAGGCGACGCTCGCCACCTACGGACATGCCCTGAACACCAATATCCCATCCCTTGATGACCTCTCCTTTGCCTACCGAGAAGCTAAAGGGCTTTCCCTTCTTGTTGGCTACTTCTCGTTAGCATGTTTCCACATGTATCTTCTCAGATTAAAACCTACCATCGAAGACCTTGCCGTTCTGAAGCTTGCCGATGTATCGGACCTCGACCTTGTTACCCTTCTTGACAACGCGACCAGAGCCGAGCTTGCGATCGTCGACGGTGACACCCTGAACAACCTTGACGCCGAGGGTAGCTCCCTTTTCTGCGGCGGCCGAGCCTGTGGGGCCTTGCTCAAGGTTCTTGGCGAATTGCACCTTCTTGTCTCCCTTAGAGGCATCTTTCGATTCGGCCTTGGCCTCCTCTTTGGCGGCAATCGCCTCGCCCTTGTTGTTCTTCAGCTTTTTTTGCTGCTTCTTGCTAAGCTTGGTCTCTTCGGCCTTAGCCATCAGTTCATCAAGACCCTCCGTCTCGTCTTCGGCAGGACGTTTGTTCTTGCCCTTCTTAGCCTCAGCTTTTACCAATTTGGGGGCTTCCTCCTCCTCGGAGTCTATCTCCGTGATGCGAGGGTCCTGGAGACCATCTAGCTCGTCTACTTCCGAGTCGTCGGTGTCGTACTCCTCCATGTCTTCCATATCATAATCATAATCATCCTCCTCGTCCTCTTCGTCGGAAGAGGTAGGCTCTTCAGTGTCAATGAGGTAGTTGCCAGTCAAGTGAATGGTGTGGGTACCCTTGACCCTGAAGAATACTTCCTCATCAGGACCAATGGTGATGTCGAGGGGCTGCTGGTAGTTCTTCGGGGTGGGTTAGCATAAGCTCAACAGTACGAGATAGAGAAGACATACGCGTTCAGTATCGAGGGTGCACACAACAAACTCCTCAACTTCCGATCCCTCAGAGCCGTCGCTCTCATCATCATCCTCGTCATCACTAGATGTAGCAGGCTCCTTGCCCTTCTTGCCCTTCTTGCTAGCCTTGACGCCGTTAGGCTTGGCATCGCCCATCTCCTCATCGGAGTCCTCTTCTTCCTGGGCAGCCTGGATGAGTTTCTGCAAGGCAGCAGCCTGTCGAGCTTTCTTCGACTTGGCCGGGTCGCTAGGACCACCGTTAGGCTCGTCGTCGTCGTCGTCATCATCTTCGTCAGACGAGCCGCCCATCAGTTCATCAAGATATTCATCGTCCATTTCATCGTCGAGGGTGGGCGCGCGGCGAATGAGTTTTAGAGTAGCACGAGGGACGGCGGGGATGTTACCCTCTTCGTCAGCTTCGGGCGCCTCAGTCGGGTCGAGAGCGGCCATGGTAATGCGATACTGCAAATTCCATGTTAGCGACTAAGAATTGACCGAAGCACAGGATACGATGCTGCGACAGAGTGGGGAGCGGGGAGAATTTATGCGATGGAAAAGTTCATTTGTGCGAAAGGCCAATCTAGCGACTCATATTAACATATACTTACAGCGGCACCAGGAACACCATCCTCTGTCATGGCAGGAACCAGAAGGCCCTGCGCCGGGACCTCAAGCCCATAGAGGGCGATAGGCAGAATCGTCATTATGAATTGATGGGACGGTTAGATGATTGAACAAAATTTGTGCGACTGAGGGTTTACGATGCGATTAAAAAAGTGAATGATTGAAATCGCAAATGTCAATTACCAATATCAATTGTAAAAAGGCAGGAGGGAAAGGCAAGGTCTTATGAGAAAGGACGAAAAGGAAGTTGAACGCGACTCGAGCCGTTGAAGAGAAGAAGGAAAAAAAAAGTTCGAAGCTTAGCGTAGCTTTCATCCCGTTTAGCAACTGCACTCCAAATTTTTTTTTTCCGCCGAAGCAACCACCCCACCCAAAAAGTCTTACCGCCTTCGACGATAAGGGACCGCTAGTAAGGAATAGGCTTATCTAGCGGGAGCCCTTGCCAGAATTGGTTCTCTAGCGGTCGTCGACCAGCAACCAAATAACTGCCGTAAGCCTTTATGCAGCCAATAGTCGTAAAGAACTTATACGCAACAACAACAAATGTCCGCATATGTATTACCTTCTTTTCATCGGTTTTTAGGGTGGGATTATAGATTGTTGAATACTAACGTAGGACGCATCCTTCAATATGGTATGTTGTCAACAGAATAGGGTCCACCTAGGTGGTAGGTGCTGAATTGCGAGAACGACTACATTTTTACAGGTAGGTGGAAGATACGAACAAATACGGTTCGGGTGTCACGGATGAGAGAGGGGAGAAGAAGAAAAAGCAAAAACGAGAACAATGCGCACACCTCTCGATATATATGGTTTTCAAGGATAATGTCTGGCTTCTCTCAACCAAACGCAATAAACGCAATGCCATCAAGTTATGTCTCAGTCAAGGAATGTCTTAGATATACATTCCACTGGTCCATGGGTGCCAGCACTCAAAGAAGAGGATAACTCTCATTTCATCTCACTTCACTTCCCCTCCGTCTCCTCCCAACTCAACCTTCCTCCGAAAGAACCGTACTTACCTCCCTACTACCCTCAAACACTCACACCAGCAGCCTGAATAAGGCCCTCGAACGTATCCGGCGTAGTCATCTCTATTTGCGCCGCGAAGTAAAGCTCGTTAGCCACGCCCGAAAAGCGCCAAATACCATCCCGAGGACGAACGTCGACTGACCTTTGGTGTAGACCTGGGGGCGGTCGCCCACATCCACCATCTCGCACATGACCTCGACGAGCGGCGTCGGGAAGTGGCGCGACGCGCGGCAGTACGCCGCCACGAGGTCGTTTCCGTTGGTCACGCCGCCTGTATATGCCGTCACGTCAGCATGAATTTTCCAAAGCGCCTCGAGAAATTTATGATAAGGGGAAATAAGGAGTAAGGAGTAAGGAGTAATCCAAAGATAGGGGGGGAGAGAGAAGAAGAAGAAAAGGGGCAAAACCCACCACTAGACCAAAAATTGCCATCCTGAATCCACCTAAACTTATGCCCAACAAGCTCCTTCTCGCCGTATCCCTTCTCCCTGATCAAATCCTGCATGCCCCTAGGCCCGCACGCCGTCTTACCCTTCAGCAGGCCCGCGGCGCCGCAAACCAGGATTCCCGAGCAGATGCTCAGGACGTCGACGCCGGGGGTCTCGGCCTGGCTTTTGAGCCACTCGAGCGAGCCCTTCTCGAACTCCTTGAACGGGTCCGGGCCGGGCACGACCACGATGTCCAGCTCGCCGGGAGCGACCGCGGCGTCGGCGTAGTGGTTCGTCGCCACGAGCCCCTGGTTCGACGTGAGTTGGATCGGCTGGCCCGCTGCCACCGTGCCGATGTACCGGATCTGGACCGAGGGCGCGAGGTCCAGGAAGGCTTTGGGTAGGAGCGAGGATACCATGCTCATATCTGCCGAGTATTCAGTGTCTTTCTTTCCCTTCTCATAATACGGGACTGCGAAATGGGGAGATAGTAAGTTCGGGATTAGTATAACGTACTGCCGATCACGTTAGCTTATGTATGGAATAGGAGGTTTGAGAAGTTTGCCTTGGTGGCTTTCGTACTGACCATTCATAGCTTATAGATCCCATGATATCGACGGCTGCCGCGTCGAGTACCTGGCAGTCCGTGGGGATGAACACGCCGATTCTCACGGTGTGTCGAGTGTTGCTCTTCTTGTCTTCGCTGGCCATCTTGTAGAGTTGTGTCGGAAACGGTCAAAGTTCCAAGTATACTTAGATCGGCTGGGGTTGGATATAAGATAGATGATTATATATGAACCTGTCTCTTTAAGGTGAGGTTGTATATAGACAGGACTAAGAACCTAATTCGAGTGAAGTGATGAAGGGGGTATTTGTATTCTCGCGGTCCCAAACTCTCGCGAGTCGACATGTGCGCGGCCTTTCGACCTGGAACCGCAAAACATCATGGATTCCAAGCCAATTCCCGAAGTCGATCGGATGGGAGACAAATCTATTGTTCTTGATGCCGCCAAGGGCGTGCGGCCTAAAAGGGATCCGAGATTCCCCAGGAACAGTGTAATATGATTGGCCAACTATCTGGCGTCTACTCCGACTTGACTCGGAGCTAGACGTACATGGATTGCGCGTAACGAGTTACATAAAGAGCTGTATATTTCAAACCGTCGGACTATATCACTGAAGTAAGGGTTTATTTTGTAGGTAAATCAAAATAATTACCTGCTGGTTTGCCCAGTTGCCTTGTAAATACATATATCCCAGGAAAGACATACTAATTATCTGTACCACGTATATTCGCTATCACGTATCCGACCTGCCCCGGAGCATAGCAAAATATGATGAAATAATCTCATAAAAACTCTATCACCAAATCGTCAATTCATGAGAAGCATAATTCTAGAGCAATACGATTTTTATCATTGTTGTAAGCTTGAAGAGTACTGCTTGACAACTGTTCTCGGTCGCCATGTTGCTCGTAATCTTCAGCCCCATCAGGTGACTGGATCTTATGTACATCATTATTAGTTATTACCGGGCCAGATTTGCGCATTAGGTATCGTGGGTTGCTCCATCGTGAACCCCGCCTTGTCGTCCTCGCTGGGCTAGCCCGCCCCCCATTTGGACAGATGCGTCCCTTCGACCTCGACGAGTCGAACTTGACCACAGAGCCGTGTTCCCCCGGCCCCTTCTCTTTGCCGCGTAAACGAATGCCGGCAGGAAGTCTTTTTCACTCCTGCGATTTGCTCCAAGAACTCCGTGAGCCCAGAAAAAAGTATCCCCTTATCTAGAATGCCAATGCCGATGCCATGCATATCAACATCATGTCCTCTATTTACACGCGCTCCATGAGCTATTCTTTCAAAAGTCGGAAAAGGTCGCTCTCGCTTCTTCGGTCTTCAACGGGTATGTGGAGAATCGAACAGAAAGCGCGCAACAGGCTCAACCATTGCAATAGTCGGCCTGGACGAAGATTATTAAACTCAAAACAACTCATCCGTTAAAAGTCCATTAGGGCATGACAGTTGCGATTATAGACTTTGCTCTTTGTCTTGTGACCTTCTTGCTGACTGTGTAAACGAGATCAAGCGTGAAGAAGTGCATGATTTGAGCATGTGCAGTGGGAATAGCACCATATAGTGGTGCGACCAGGGGCGCCATTGCGTAGTCGATGTAGTTCTTTCGGATATTTCGGTGAGAAAAGCACATTCCCTTGGAGAGACCGGCTTCAGTCATTTCCCTCTCGCGCGTAGTGGCACAGATCTTATGTAACCGCTCGTATAGGAACAGCATCAGAGCGACCTCCATAAAACCAGCGGTTCTTAAGATGTTGCAGACAATGAAGATCCAGTTGAGATTGTGAGGGTCAGAACCGCCATCAGTAACCCAGACGTAAAGAGTGGAAGCAATGATGAGAATAGTCGTTTGCAGGGGCAGGAAGTGGGCCTCGAAGAGTCGGTGGAAAAGGAAGATGATTCGTTGCCAGTCAGGCTCTTTCAGGGTGTCAGAGGTAACGTCGCTAAAGATTCCACTCTCAAGAGTCTGTTCCGGGCTCATATCCAATTGAGTCTGCGTAAGGTACGAATCGGTAGGGTTGTTCCTATGTCGTGTTAGCAATGTCCGTTGAAGATCCTAATATAGATAAAAACCTACAAGGCGACGTGCAGAGGACGGAAAGCCCTAGCAGTGTGCTTGCGCTCTTGCCAAAGCTCCATGAACTTCCTGATAGCGAAACCCGAGTCAAGACCTCCCCACATGTGTCGCAGAGCTTGCTTGTAGCGGGCACCCATGTCGTTGTATAGTCCTTTCATTCCTTCGCCACCGTCACCCTTGACGTTACTCTGGCTGACAGGGCTCATGATAGTTCTCACAGTTAGGTTTCCGTTTAACGCGAAGAAACACTTCAGGTACATGTGCAGATCCTCGCCAATAGCCTCGGAGTCGCAGTCCCAGCCACCGACTCGGTCAACCAATTCAAGAGGCACAGAGTAAACAGACGTAGGAGGAGCAATAGTCGAACCACTGTACAGACCAGACAGACCAGCAGCGGCCCACAGAATATCGGCTACACGAACGATGGCGGGAACAGCGTGTGCGTTACGATCGAAGATGATAGGAGCACCGTACAGAGTAGTGCTGGCAGTCTCCTTGTAAGTTAGATGCATGCTAGTTAGATGAGCGAAGTAGTTGGCGGATAAATGACTGTCAGCTAAATTGCGATGTTTGTCAGCTTTCTGCATAGAAAATATCCCGGAAGGAGTTCTGCAGCCAGTGCACGTACCATCAATTCCAGTAACGATCACATCCTTCCTGGAGCCCATAGAATATCTCTCGCTAAGCTTGCGCGCGGCCCATGCCAAATTGCTACCTTTTCCAGGAGACTCGCCGGGAATATCAGACGGGTGCAGAGTAAAATCAATTGAACGGAATTTCTTGACAAATTCTTGAATGAGGTTCATGGCCTTGAGCTCAACATTGTGTTCGCGTTGCTCCATAGCAAGGTAGATCTGCGGGCAAATCCAATTAGTACTTTTGAAACGGTGATCACTAGCGCGACGTCATGCTTAAGAAAGGAGCCACGTAATTCGCCCAAATTGGGGATACGAATTAATTGAACCGCGCTTTTCACTCAACCTTCAAGAAAAACGAACTTACATCGTAGGAATCGCGAGCCTGAGGGTGGGATGCCAAAACGTCCAGTGTTTCTCTTAAGCTATCAACTTCTTCCTTGTAGTTGGGAATGACAATTGCGTGAACGACACGGTCGGATTCCGCGTCACCATCAGTATAGAACTCAGGCTCAATGTCGCCGATTTCGCTGCTAGTAGTCGAGGAAGGGAGAGAATCTTCTTTGGAAGAGGTCAATGTCTCAGAGCTAGACAGAGAGGTGGAAGAACCGCGACGACGGTGGGAGAGCTTGAAGTCACGTAGAGATCGACCCCGCGCAGCTTTGGTCAAGCTTCGAGTAATGTCGAAAATGGCGTAGCAAGAACGCATCGGAAAGGCGAAAACCAGAATGTGTATTAATAGAGAGTACCAAGCAAAGAGGACCGTCCATAGTCCGCCACCTTCTTCTTCAGATGTAGAGCTGGTAGAGTGTGTCGGCCTGCTCAAGGTATCTTGCTGCGTAAATTTGTAGTCATATCGCGTCGCAGCCGCTTCCTTGGAGACAACATAATAGCTGAGAGCTAAGGTCATTAACATGGCCAACCCTCCAGCTCTCCTCGTACACCAGTTGAAGAGCGACATGATGGGCAGGCGGAAGGGGGGACGTGTAAAGATTGATTCCTCGGGGGTTTGGCGATGGCTTGCCTACGGTGGGATAGATAAGGAGTGTAATGGTGAGGCGCCAACGAGGAATAAGGAAGAAAAGAGAAGAAGAAATGGCGTTCAGTAGCGAATTCGGGAAAAGATAACACAAGGAAGGACGTTGAGTGGGAAGGGGGTTAGAGGGAGAGGGGGGGCTGGGATGCTTGAGCAGAGAACGCGATGTTCGTGCGCTACTGCACAGTAACCTTGGGCCTGTGGTAATGATCCTCTCTTAGGTTGTATTGGCTGGGTGTGAAGGGAAAAAAAGGAAAAGAGGAAAAAATCTAGTAGTAAACTGGCAAAGTCAGGGCAAAGAGAGAAAAAAAACGGGAGAGGAGCTGGAAAATTACTAGGTTGAACCTCATGAAGGTAATAACATTTAGGGAAAAGGGGAGCCTGGTTTAGTACGATTGAGAAATTAGATGGGTAGGGATTCTGCGCCCCAAAGTGGACAGTAGCTCTGACGACGGGAAAGGTTCCAATTCCCAGATATTTCAAGCCTGGGGCCCAGACAGGCTAGTAGGCTCAGTTAGGTCTAGCGCCAGTAGTTTATGGTTATGGTTATGGGGGGCAAGGGGAGCGTTTATGGGGCTTGTCTCTACAAAGTACAGTACGCCATAGTACTTAATTTCTGATCTAGTCACTACATGCAAGGCTAGTCAATTGTTAGCCACACGCTCTTTATGCAATTCGATGAAATGCCCAGCTGGTAAAATGAAAGACCACTTTGCCCTGTCAGCTCCTGTTTCTTTGCCTTCTTTCGAGTTGGACGCACCGCCAATCACCATTTTATTCAATTGAACGAAGAAAATCACTAACAAAGCATAGATCACGGCCTTGTACAGCATTTAGGTCTGATGTAGGTATCCACTACAATATGTACAGTAGGTACAATACAGCTGTGGTAGGTACGACACATGTGTTTTAGAACACTCCAAAGACTTAAAACGGGACGGCATAATAGACTTTGAAGAAGCGTTCTTTCTTCACTTTGGATGGAGCAACTTCCAAAAAACGAGAACAATTATGTAAGTAGTGTAGAACTTGAATAATATAATAATTGCCAATCAATTCTAAAGTTTGAAAGTCTTCTCCTTCATCAAATCTAGTGGCGTCTAAAAGTGTTCCTGGGCGAAATTCAATATTGAACTTAACTCATGTGACAAAACATCTGTCCTCGAATCATATAATTTTACCTGCTCAATACAATACCCCGGATAAGAGCTATGCAAGATGCTACTTAGCATAGCCAACTAAGTCCTCTCGACTGCTCACGTTTTTCAGCACTAAGTTGCAGGTGCGAGATGCATCTAAACTCTAGAAGGCAAAGCAGACCCTCGATAGTAGTCACCAGGGACCGAATTCAATCTAACCCTTACCTTCATGTGGCGTCTCTCCGTCATCCGCCTACCCAATCGGTACGCCGTTTCGACATTCGACATTTGAATCTTTCGACCTAAGGTTAGAAAAACCTTGTAATGTTTCTTCGCTATAATTACATCATTCGATGCCGTGCCTTGTATGTAGGTCATTATTTGTTCCCCGATGTTAAAGGGCTGAAGAATAAGTGTTACCTAGACCAAATCCTATTTTCTTACGTTCGAGAGCGATGACTTCAGCTTCTATTCTTGTCACCAACCATACATAAGGGTGTATGTATGACCATGTATGGTCTTTCTTACATGCGCCATCCCAAGTACTGTACAAGTATTTACAACGGGACCAGGCACCCATATTACCGTAGTTCGGTACAATTAGGTTACGTGGGGAGAGGGATGAAGGTTGCATATGTGCAAGGTTCATAGCCATCCCGCCCCAAGGCTGACCAGTTACTCAGTTAGCGTACATTCTACGCCGTCGAACACCGCTGCGCCGGTCATTGTTGGCTGAGCGAGTCAATCTTGGGCTAGCGAATGCATCTCAGCCTCTTTGATCTTCAAGAAAGGCGGGTTGATCTTGGGAAGAACGGAAAGACGTACGATAATGACTACAGCAGCTTGCTCAGCTATCGTGATACAGATTCTGCAGTCCTGACTGGGGGTGCTACGATGAGATATGATGATATGTAGGTAGCTGGAGGTTCTCCACTTGCTATCCATCATCAATAACCTCAAACCGGCACTATGGTTACAGTAGCACATTGCAATACATTCACCATGAGCAACTGCAGACCTACTAACCGCGCGAACAGATACGGATAGCGGTTCTTCATTGTGGAAGTTCAAGTTCAGGTTCAGGTTCAAGTTTTAGAAGTCAAGCGTCCTTAGCATCTGATTATCTTGCCGAATAGCATGCACGCAGCCACTCGCCCACCCCAGAGTCGGCTTTTCTCTAGTGGTGTGTGCATACTCCCTTCTTTCGTCACCATCTGACTTATTGGCAGCATATCGCATCCCAACCTGCATGTCTGATACTGGTTAACCCGCCAATCCTATCCAATCTCAACTTCTGACCTCTACGATTATTGTATCACGACTCCTGTTAAAGACACAAATGCCCGTCAGCCGGGTCTGAGCCGATCAACCTGATGAATGCTGTGTTGCATATTATGTACGTCGACATGATTCCATGTCTGATCCTTCACATGCCCACGTACTGTCGGCAGTGGACACCGCTATTATGTCCTATTATGTATGCGATGTGGTGGCATAGTCGAGTCTACACTAAGCAATCCCTTACGCTAAACGTGCTAAACATATAAACGCCTCTCGTTTCGCATTCTGCGCGTAGGTATATCGTATAGGTTTAAGAGAATAACCCCCCATGGCTGGGCTATGTCTTAAGTGGCCTAAACACTCGCCTTAGTGGCGGACGACGTCGCTTCAAGCCACTAGCACAGCGCCGAACATATTTTATAGGATATACTATACCTATACAGATAAGCTCACCTGATAGGTTTACGTTTTTCGAACCTATCCCTCTCCTGCATCTCGACATCACTGATGCATATGCACACGCATAGACCGCGTGGGCGATGGTGGCTTGTTACCCTGTCTAGCCACGATGCCAACGCTAGTCGTCACCTTTTCATCGTCATCAAGACCTGTTCAATTGCCATCAAGATACCACGCGCTCATGATCGCGATTACGGACGAGATAACCTTGGATATGTCTACGTAGATAGACAGATATGAGGCTTATCGCCCCGTGGCGTCGTCATGCCACATCCCCCCGCTCCTATACTAGGTAGGCGCTAGGTACTGTTCTTATTTTCCAACATGAACGATAACGCTGAGATGTTATTGTAGCACATGTGTACAGTAAGTCGGACGTCATTATGGCGAGATGGTATGAGGTTCTATAATAAATCGGATAATTGCATATGCGTTTATTGTCGAAAGCTGCGACAGATATTAATTGCGATTCGGAAATGACCTCACCAGGCTCACTTCGTACCTTCTGTACCGAGACTTGTACCTACGTACCTCGGTATATAGTTTTATCGCAACTTCAAGAGCTACCGAAACACAGTATAGCTCACTGTGGCTTGGCCCCCTCGCGAATCGAATTGCGCTTTTTGGAGACAAATTTCCAGAAGTAGAATTCCGATTTCCTTATTGTCTTCGGTTTTCATTTTTCGAATCCTGAAACCTGCTTTAACTTAGCAGCCTTGCCAACATACCAAATATGAAACGGCCTCCAAAATGATGCTATTTAGGAATAGGGATCGTCTCTTTCTCGCTTGATATTCCCTCTTTTTTTAAAACATCCATCAACGCTCTTCGTTTGAAAAATGTTTCCTCCCGTTCTGATTCGCATGCAGAAGGCAAGAGCAAAGTCGCAGTACAGTGTGGAGGCCGCCAACGCAGGACGGTCTTCATCATGTAAGGTAGCACCGAAAAGGTACAGATTGCCTACAGCTGTGGGTATCAAGATGAGCTCTCTCTTGGCTCAGTGGCACATGACCCCCGGTCGTTGCAGCGTCGCTATGCTTGCTACTGCGTAGTATGCTCACCATTGATCCTCAGTGCGACTGCGAATTAATTTAAACTGCGGTTCGGGCAATTCTCATTGGCCGTTGCGGATTCCGTATCCACGTTTATTTGTCAGTCGAGATTACTGGCCCACCGTCGATCTGGATCCGTCACTAAAGCGACAGTAAAATTCTGCCTTTTCCGAAGTCTGACGGGGGACGGGGGCTAAGAGGAACCAATTGCAGACCAATTGGGGGCAATACCTTCTTCTGTCCTTTTTGAGGCATAACTACCTATGTATGTCTAGAAAAGGCTCGTACGCACGGTCTTTATTTATTTTTCTCTCTATTTTTCTTCGTCTTTTCGTCGAGTTGCTTAAATCCGCTGCCTCAGCTAATGGACCTCGAAATCTATAAGGGGGCTAACCGCTGGACCAGCTAACGAACAGGCCCCGCATATAAAACATCTCGTTAAGCCGTTTCCCGTAATATTAAGAGAAACGAGCTCGGGAGCTCCAGCTCTCTGCCGAATAGACCTGGGTCTAGGTTTCCGGGGTCATGATTGTCAAAATCCCAACCTGGCTGCCTGGACTGCGTGGGTATTCAGGGTCCTCGGCAGGGCTAATCGAAATACGACCAAAGCTTGGCGATGGAATGACCGATATTTTCCCGCGTGAGCCTAGGAGCCTTACCCGACCACGATTCGTGAGACGCGTTCTGGGTAATCGGGTCACGATTGGAAGAGAACTGCCAAAACGCGTCATTTCAGGTTTAGCAGGACTATACCCGGCCGACCAATTAACGCGCGACGTTTCTCCCTTTTTTCGTCCCATCTCTTTCGTAAAACCGGCGAGCTGTCAGATCCCATGTCTTGATACGCAAATCTCCTGATAGATGTCATAGCTATGTATCACAGCAGGTGACCTGCGTTTTGATTCATTTATACATGCAGTTACGAGAATCAGAGTCAACGCTAGGCGTGATTATAGTATCAGTTGACGGGCCTCCATTCACAGTCTCATAAATCACATCCATTCAAATATATAATACATAAAGGCTCGTACACTTTTTATATTCACTGAATAGCCTTGCCAAATACTACGGGCTTCAACATCATTATGCGCACATTTTAGAAGATTGATCATCTCTATTGTGTTTCACCGGTTCGGGCTAGATAAGTGTAGTGAACACGAGAAATCGATTCTTGCATGCAGCAAATGCGCACGGCATTAGTTGCCGACCATGCTGCACTGCTGCAGAGGTGGGCTACTAACAAGATTACCGGCAGAGTTCGATATGCAACTCCGGTCCAGCCAACATGCTATGACAATTGAGCCCATTTTGTCTGCTAGCCCAATGTGAAGGACTTTTTCCACCAGCATTCAATTACCTGTGCTGCAGCTAAACGTCCCTTCGCATTGACGGATATGTTCAAGATCCTCCTTTCCAGTAAAATTCAACCGACAAAAAGGCGTGTACACTCCTAATGGTTAGTTGGTTGATCGTTACTTGGCTCAAACCAGCTACGATAGTCACCAGGGTAACCAGTAATACTGGCTTCAACATCCCTAGTTGTATAGTGGTAAGCTTTCTAGTACATGCTTCTAATAAGGATGACTGCGTATAATATATATAAGGGAAGGGAGTTAAATACGCCCTCTGAATGGTGTTGATAACGACTTACATTAATCTCAGTAATATAATTTGACCGACGATCATTATGCCTGTGAAGATTCTTGCTAAGATCTTTACAAAGGCGTTCATAAAGTCGCGCCACGAGAAGTGTTGGCACTCTCTACTACTCGGGCTACTCGAGAATGTGGCCTAGACGTTCTTGTCGAGAAGCTTCTGAATGGGTTTCGCGGCCTGGTTGTATATTAGCGTTAGTAGCAAGAGAGGAACTCAGATATGAACGCACGTCGATGAATTTCTCAAGTTCCTTGTCGAGGTTTGCGAGATCCTCCTTTCGCTTCTTGTTGTCGGCAATGAGCTTCTGCTTCCGCTTAAGAAGTTCCATGCGTTTCTGCTCGAGAGCCTCGCGTTCGCTGCGCTCGTGGTCGATTCGTGCAATCATCAAGGTAACCTCGTCGTCGTTGGCATGCTCGGGTTTCAGGGCGAGGAACTCCTCCAGAGGGATGAGAGGCAGCTGCTGATAGGTATGACTATTTTCAAGCTCTGTTAGCTATTGTCTGAGATAAGGAGTGATGTTATATAATAGTCGCTGAAGTTGGTGCTACTTGACATAAAAGATTCGACTGCTGTCTAAATTGGTTAATGGGAAAGTTCGGTCAGGCACTAACTCGTATGATTCGCAGGCTAATATTTCTCCCTGCAGATGTCGCTGCTCGTAGTACAGGTTCTGGAGTTGTAGATGCAGACGATCTACCTCCTGCCGCGCCTCGGACGTTTGCGACTTGGTCTGTCGCGCAGCAAAATAGGCTGCTCGGTGGAGGCCACGAAGTTGCGCGAGGTTGGTGATAAGCAGTTTCTGTTGCTTGGAGGCTTCCTGGAGAGCTTCTGGAGATGCGTTCTCAATCGGGCCGGTCGCCGCGATCTGATCAACCAGACTCAACGCCTGTACCCGGGCATCGCGGGACGCATCAAGCACCTTCAATAGGTTCTCATCGGTCACAATCTCATCAATCGCCATCGTGATGAATGTGGAGAGTCCAGCTCAAGGTAGAAGGCTGAGCTTGACTCAGGTTTATCAACCAGTTGGTATTTACCCAGATAAAGTTTGTAATGTGCAATCGTTGTGAAATTTAGATGCGGCCAGGATGTTTTGAAAAAGTGACCAATCAAAATCACAATGGTGTTTGAAGGCCTTCAAGCCTTATCATTACATAATCAAAAATTTACAAGGTTCAAGTTGGGAAAGGTGATCCATGTCCCGTTAAAAATGGGCCTCATCGATTTGGGGTCGGATGATTCAATCGCCGCTGCCGCTTTCCGAGGATCTCAACTCAATTTTGTGATTGGTAAGTATGTACCTAGGTACATGCAACGGAAATTGGGGTCAGCATTCATTTTCTCCGCCACCACCAACAAGCAAATACCACCGCAACAATTTTTGGGGCTTTCGCAGCTCTTCAGCTGAAAATGTACACCAACTTTGGTACAATTGCTTGGATTCCCCTCAGTGCTCTTCAACGCCTTGCTACCTAATATCCATTATTGAAAATAGTTAGTATTGAATCCATAGAGGAAGTTGGTGGAGTCCAACATTTACACCAAATGAATGGTCGAATTTTGACAATCAATGCAAAAAGCGGCTAGTACTAGGGACATATTTCGGTATGTCATAGGTGCAAATGATTCAAAGGTTAAGTGTATCTGGTACTTTTAAATGATCGATATATGGCGTTCCGATGGTGGGGAACCTACGCAGACCCTTGCATGAATATTAGGTTTATTGAGTTTACGATCTTATCTAAGCTACTCCCCGTCCTCCCCGATTCAGTGTTTCTCCCCTTGAAAAGTTACCGCTCCTCAACATCGAACCAATAACAACGGCAAACTTCCACATGTGAAAGTCACAACCCCTCCGCTTAACCTCAGTTCGCTTCTTACTATCCTTTCGCCAGCAACCTTCAACCCAATCTTTCGGAAGTATTGCGCAACTCTATACTCTTACTGGTCAGCTTTGTCTCCGTGGATATCTCATGCAGGGACCTCTGACAGCGTAGACTTGCCTAAGCCTTGGTCTTATTAGTTGGCACCAACGAACTCTACATATTATTTTGCTACGCTTTATCCTCGCATACACACGTTTCTCACCATGTCTTGCACATCGACCTTCGCCTTTGGCTCCCACCAAGACCAGAAGCCTGGCGCCAGAGGTTCTACTACAGCGACCGAACAAAACATCCCGCGGCGCCGGAGACGACATTCCTCTTTTATGCCTCGGAGAAGACATTCTTTGGTTCAGCATATCATGGAGGGTGAAGAAGGCCTGCTGCTTCGGGTATTTGCCCATTTACTATTAACCTTTTAATACATTTAAGTTTCGATTGCCTATGTCCTAACCATAATAGGTTGATCTGTTCCTCTCTGAACTAGAGAGGAGACTTGAATACCTCGAAGGTTATAGCGAACTAGTCGACCTCGATACGAGCATCTCCAAAACCTTCGCCACTCTACAGACAGTGCGGGAACGATGTTCGCAAGTCTCGGAAGAGGTCATTGGTGCCGGCCGCCGGCGGTTGCAGGTCATGGTCGAGACCTTGGACACTAGATACCATGAAGCGTTGGATGCGGCCGGGTCGATGAATGAGAAGGCTCGTGTCGGTGTTGAAATCCTCGATGGTATGCTTACGGACTTTGAAACCCGAGCCTTGAAGTTGCGCGACAACGGGTTTGCGAACGCTGCCGGTGCTGCCGGAAGTTTGATAGGCGAGGGTCGACGAGTCGTAGACGAAGGGTTAGAGCGTGCTCGTGGCGTCGTGGACGACAGCCTCGAGCGAGCCTGGCGTGCCGCAGAAACAGTCGAAGAGCACATTCAGAGAGCCATTGCTAGTGCAAAGCAGAAGGGACTGATTAAATATGAGGAGCTTCCCGTACCTTGGCGAATTAACCCTCATATTCTTGGTGGATATCGATTCACCGAGTCTAAAATTGGTTGCGTTCGCTCGATGTTTGGTGTTTCGAACGAGACGGTTAACATCTGGTCTCACGCACTTGGCTTGATAATCATATTGTCCATTGCCTTCTACTTTTACCCGATGTCCGCGAACTTCTCTCTCTATACGAAGACTGACGTCTTCATCGCCGCCGTGTTCTTTTTCGCGGCTTGCAAGTGCCTAGTCTGCAGCACTATTTGGCACACCATGAACTGCGTCGCAGATCAATGTCTGATGGAACGGTTTGCGTGCATCGACTACACCGGAATCTCGTTACTCATCGCCGCATCGATCATGACAACTGAATATACGGCCTTTTATTGCGAGCCTATCAGCCGGTGGACGTACTTGACGGCAACGGCTGTCCTGGGCATTGCTGGTACCATCCTTCCGTGGCATCCGAAATTTAATGGCCAAGATATGGCTTGGTTAAGAGTAGGCTTTTTCGTGGGGTTAGGCGCTACTGGCTTTTTGCCAATCTTCCAGATCATCGTCACGCGTGGTCCCGAATGGGCCTATGAGTTCTATGCCGGTTCGAATTTGATCAAATCCCTTGCCGTCTATGTTATCGGAGCTTGTGTGTACGCAAGCAAAGTCCCTGAGCGGTGGTTCCCTGGGGCGTTTGATTACTGTGGGAATGCGCATAACCTATGGCATGTAAGTATTACAGAGGATCGAAACACCATCACACCATCGCTAATGCAGTGTCCAGCTTGCCGTACTTGGCGGAATCCTTTACCATTATGTCGCTATGCAAGAATTTTTCTCCGGCGCCTTTCAGCGCGCGCAAGGGGGTTGCCCAACTTATTAAGCAGCATATTCGAACGATTCAGGGATATAGTTTATCTACAGCTGACTGCGCAAAATCTTCTGGCATATGGCATTACACATTAAAAACCCCTACATATCTGTCTAACAATAAGCCTGCAAAATCTGTTCCAATGGGGATCCCTTCTCTGCCCTTCATTGATCTAGAGATTAAATCGTTCAAATGAGTGTCAAAAGACTAACTATCCCAACCATTACTATTCGTCCGCCTATAGGGTCAGCCCGTCTTCTTGCGAAGGAAACTTCTACAAGAGATGTCGGGGTTGTCGCATTCGTATGCGGTGCCGTCGTTGTTGGTGCGGACGTGGTCGAGTTTTTAGCTATAGCTTCGGCAGGTTCGGGTGAACCGCAATTTTCAATATCTACTGTGGCCGGCACCGACGATTCCTTGAGAAATGGAGTCACAGTCGGTGATCCGGCTATCGCATTAGCGCCCATCGACGACGAGTTAGAGATGGAGGCTGGGAGCGTGAAGCCGGCGTTTTTGGCGCACGTCTCGAGGTCTTCGCCCTATTTCACGGTTAACAAATGCGACTTTTTTGGACTAAGAATGGTCGGAAACTTACTTCGAAGCAACAGTAGCCTCCGACCGGCGCGCAATATTTCCCCGCGTCGCAGAACCCGTTGTCGGCTGCGCAGCACGACTGTTCCTTATTAGCATTTCCTATGGTTGGGAATGGGATGGGGTGTGTCAGCTGCTTGCTTACCTGACCGGAAGTAGGGTTGAAGCAATAGGTGCTGTCGGGGCCTCCGCAGGTCTGCGAGCCATTGCCGTACATCTCCTCGCAGGTTACCGTCTCCCTCTTATGGACGACGGAGACGCGGACATGTCCGTGTTTCTCCTGCGCGAGAGCGAAGAGCCCGAGCCAGGCGAGAAGCATAAGCGAAAGGACGAACATGGTGACTGATGTTATTTGGTTGGATGTTATTTGGTTGCTGATTTGATGGATAATGGCGTTCAAAGTGCGTTTTGGAGTATAAAGGCGAGGTATGGCGGTTTAGGGGTTAAGCATATAGCATAGAAAGCATGGGATATAGATAGCATAGGGAGCGAAGAAGGGCTTTTTCAGAGGATGGGAAGCCCGTTGTATATAATGCATAATATCATTACTACCGAACACCTCCGAATTCTCTTCGCAACTCCTTGATAGTTAGGTGCGTAGAACATGTTTCGACCGCGGACAATGAGATATCGATACTTAATTATAATCCCGCGGAATTTGGGGCCGATACATTTGCGACGCATAGCCTCCCCCCTGATCTGGCGCGGATCGGGTCTAACGTCATGGTATTTGTCGCTGGCGAAGAGGGTGGTTGGAGATGGGGGTTGGAAATATGTAGGGAGGTAGTGCGAGGTTTCTTAAGGGAGAATGCATTTTTAGGATGGCAGGTCTTTGAGGAGGGAGAGGGATATATCCCTTGCAATTTCTAGCCGAGCGCGAGGATGCAATTATCGTGTTCCGGATTCCTGTCTTACACAATTCGAAACTAATAGTTTCTCGTTGATGTTCGATAGTCGATATCAAGTTTTTTCTCCAGGCGCTTAAGGCTAGATAGTTATGTGTAGTATACAGAAAGATAGGTATATAATATAATAAGATGAATGAAATCAGTTATCTTCGCAGAAGAATCAGTTAGATCATTGTATATATCAAAATACAGCACGCTAAGCGCGCCTATTAGTGTACATATTGTATTCGTTTTGCGCGTAAAGTAGGGCAAGGTAGTTCAGGTCAATCATCTATAGCAATCGGCAATCCGTTTCCTTTGCCCTTATACAGTAGTAGTACAGCAACAAACAAAAGAAAAAAAGACACGCTGTGTGCGGTATTCGTAACTTCATCATGCATGATTCGTGACCCTCAAGGTCTTCTCCCCTTTTTAGTGTTCGTTCGTCGTCCATGTCGTCTTATATAGTACAAGGTTTGGTGGTATCAGACCTTTTCTTATGCGTTCTCGCAACTAGACGTATGCTGAGAAGGCTTACTCCGTAGATAGGCAGGCTTCCGATCGCGCGAGAGGAATCTATATGCAAAGGTCATTATCATGGGCATCTCGTGATACGAGGATCCAATGTCGTCCAATGCCTCGGCCGTCTGGGTATATGCCGAGGTCTCCGAGTTCCTTTAATTCGTCGTCATGGGCTGTTGTTACAAAAGGGGCTGAACCAAAGCAAGCCCCATATCCTATAGGCATACTTCCATCCTAGAGAATGGCGCTATCATTAGATGGTACATTATAGAGCGTGTTTGACGATCTCTGCGTAGACGTCCTCGGGTATCATCTTGATAATAGCGAGGGTAGTTCGCTTGACCATTTCTGCCCGCAAAGCCGGGAATGATCGGAGTAGTTTGTTAGGGCTGTTCACGATTAGCATCCAGTCATGATATCCTGATTTATAATGTCCATGAGACCACTTACTTTGCAGTGGTCAAGAGCTCATTACGCATCATGATCAACTGGGCAACGATACATAAGATGTTTAAGTGAGGCCCGTAGGCGAAAAGAAAATCCCAGTGCTTTAATACTTCTGGGAGAGGAGGTGTGCATGCACACAGAGTGAGGACGGATGGGAAGGCGTATATTTCCGCCGATAGAGCCTTAGACTTTAAGTGGGAGCTAAGCTTAGGATCCACGATTCCTAATACCTTGTCGACTAGGGCTAGGCCGCGGTGAACCCCGTCCATTGCGCCCCGGATGTATCCAGGACACTCCTTGGTCAGGAGAGTGTGAAACGAAGCGAATGCCTCTACCTCGCTACGAGCTGCATACAGGAACGGGGCGGCAAGCACGTTCATCCCCTGCACGTAGGTACCGGGCTCTGACGTGGTAGCATCAGAGTCCTCTGTCGTGAGCGTAAGAGCGCGGTTACGGTTCCTAGAGAACGGCGAGATATCCGTCTGCGACAGATCGCTACGGGAGCTACTGGCACTATCAGTAGGGGCGATAGAGAGTCTGCTGCTGGTCGGTCGGCGTTCTTCTTTCGCATCATGCAGCTTCCAGGCAATAGCATTTAAAAGACGAATTAAGCTTGCCTCACTAACACGACGACGGAAGAGAGGATCGGTAGTCAAGGTTCGAAAAGTGTCGTTTCGGATCTTGGAATAGGCTGGCGAAGCGCCTCGATGTATCAAACCGAGATATTCATTGGTGTCAAGGACGGGCGCATCGAGAAAGATGAGCCAGACGTAAATGCGAGTTCGCGACTAGACGAGGTTAGCTTGATTATTGTCAAATTTTGAAGTATAGAACAAAGCGAACCATTCCATCACTATCGCTTCGAATACCCTGGTCCAAAACCTTCAGGCGTGCGCTCTCCAAAGCGGCATCTATGTCACCATCAGGAGGACCCTCTCTAATCAGCCGGTCCAGAGACATGTTGTCGGCTGCTCTCGATGTTCTACTTAAAGCAGTTCTCTTGCTGTTCAACGAAATGAGGATATTATTCGGAAAGGTTGCGGGTGGAGGTGTCGCGGCGTCGGAGTTTGCTCTGTTCCGCTGAGGGGACCGGTTCGCAGGTCTGTTGTTCGGCGCAGGCGACGCGACGCGATCCTGGATATCCGCACGGAAAACTTGGGGAGGCATGATGGAGCTCTGAGTCGGATTCCGCGCGGCGGCACCGAGATTGTGTGCGGATTGCAGTTTGCGCAGCGCTCTGTGAGTTTGTGGTGAGGGCGGGGCGTGGAGCTGGGTAGCGAGCTGTGTGGTGAGAGAAGGGTTCGCGTGGATGGTGTTGAATGGCTGCGCAGCAGGTGGGAATTGCTCCCGGGTTGGGCTAGTCATTTTGGCTCGTATGCAGCAAACAGCTGCTGTAGAAATTGCGGAGACAGGCGAGTTGAAGCTATCGTCGTTGGCCAAAAAACCGTGCTCGACGTGTTCTGGAGTTGTAGGTGCGACGGTTGCGACGATCAGGTACAATAAACGAATAAAATTCGATAAAATCGAGGCAAGAAGAAGAGGTTGGTCAGTCTAGTCCAAGTGGGGATCCCAGGGTTACCCTATTGCCCTTGCTACAGGTACATAGGTACAGATCCCCTCACTCTTTCTTCAGCTGGACTAACACGAATAGAACGCGTCGTCTCAAAAAGGTTATTTATTTGGAAAGCCGTGTAACTTATGTAATAGCTCAATGGTATGTCTTTTTGGTGAAAGTTTGAATTTTCCTTTAACAAGCTGACATCACTTTCAAATGTTGATAGTAAATGTTTCTATATAAATTATTTCTATTGGCACTTAGGAGAAACATGTGAAAAATCAGCATTGATGTCGACAGGTTACAATGGGTCAATAAAAAGGTGGCCGGCGCCAAGAAATCCCCGTAAGAAATAGCCCCCATCTGCAGGTACAGTTGCTTCGCATTTGTTTGCGTACAGAGATCAATACTAGCATTCGCTAGAAGATCATCTATCTCATCCATCAACAACATCCAGATCTGTACGTACCTAGACAAGTACCCAGCCATGTATGAGAACTTACCTAGCATAAGGCTGTTGAGTTTACCAAACATGTGGTCTCGGTTCCCGACCAATCGCAGGAAGTAATGATTGCGTTAGAAAAGCTATTAACTTCATTATGAATGTCTAACCTAGGATAGTCGACGCATCCGGCACTGGCTATTTAGCTCCTAGATCCCCGAAGATCTAGAAGATCTAGAAGATCTAGAAGGTTCAAAGAAGACCATCTGCCTTGGAAAGATAGATTATTTAGGAAGAACTTGGGATCTTTAAAATCTCCTTAGTACATATGAGGCTAGGAGGCGTTCGCGGGTCTAGATTCGTAAGCAGGCGACTGCGGTGGGTACTAGAGGTACGTAGACTGATTCTAAGTCTCCTGACAAGAAACGTACGGGTATTTCCGTGGAGTCGGCGCCAGTTTAATATTCCTCCGGTCTACGTATTGTGAGAATTGTATGTACCTTAGTATAAGGTAGGTAGGTGGTATACGGAAGTATATTTTCGATTTGTATGTGGTTGACGTATTTCTACTGATGGCATCAACTGCAGATGAAATCGCGTCATCTGCGCTTGGACCAGTTTGTATAGATTTAAGCTTTCTGATTGGCCGAGGATGTGCCTTTTTCGCCTAATTGGGAACAATCCACTTCTTCCTATTCTCAATTCTCACTTTCCCCGTGGTCATCCACACTATCCCACGACTCCTCCATGTCCGTTCACGAGATCCAATATGCAACTGTACAGAAGCATCACTTGTAGCTTACGTCGTTGAAAAAAACTGCCGAATTTGTCTTTCAATGTGCCATTGGAGCAATGGATTCGCTGCGGGCGAGTACGGACGAATGCTATAAGATCGATCTTCGGCTGTCTTCGAAGACCAAGTGATAACTCCCAGTTCAGCTTGCAATTCGTTTTTATAAGATGTACTGGTAATAGTCGAGCATGAGAATGATCGACCTGAATATTTCCGCTAGACTCTATATAGCATAAAGCCAATTGCGCCATCGAAGGCCAGCCAATGTCGGGGCACCCGCAGAAGCACCAGAACGGACCGTATACTAGCAGATTGTTAGTTACTAAGCTGCTAGCTCATACTATGCGTACTATCCACGTTTTCTCGATCAGATTTTATTATATCTCTTCAAGCCTCACCTGAAAAGGGGTCCATTATGCCCACATAGATCTACCTATTGTTTATATCAAGTTTATACCCCGGCTCCTCAGCTTTTCTTGGTGGCAATCTTAAGATCTCCGGTCCCCACAGAGACTACGCACCATCATACCACGCCTCGGTCTGTTTCTAATTAGGCCTACGTGGATAATTGGATAACTCACCTTTATAACCTTCAGACACGTCCTCCAAACAAAATCTTTCCCAGAAAAGAGAACGTTCTTGACGGCTGTCTTTATCTCTGTCAACCTAGGATTGTGGCTCAAAGATAATTCGATCGTTACAATAACTGCAACGACTTATTGATGGCATCTTGACTGACGGCTAAACCCCTACTGACTGAACCTTCGTACGACACTCTCACTCCTTGGCGCGAATTACTCACCTCTGGATCGACGCATAACGTACAATCACGAGAACTCAATCTAGACATACGCAGTACCTTTGCTTTAGAATATCCCAAATGGCCATTGGTACTTCTGTATAGCGCTACTTTAGGGTCGCATTTCCTTGGCCCACGGGCTCATATTCGTGGGGTGTTAAGCTCTTTCACGGAGCAATCGCATACAACACCTCGACTATAAACTCCATCATAGCCCTCTAGCAACCACTCACACTTGTTGCTCTTACTACTTCACCTTGCCGCCATGCCTCAATCAAGACAATTGGGCCAAACCTTGGCAAAGGCTTTAGGTATCAAGCTCGATGATCCCGATACGGACAACGTGACTAGGGGAGAATCGGTCTTTTCGACGCATACTACAGACAGCTTTATCGAGCAGCAGCCTACAAGTGCAGAATGGATAGCGGAGGTCACGCCCTCGGGGCAGGACATGATTAATTACGTCAAATCCCTATTCCCATTCCTGTCTTGGATTGGATTCTACAATCTACAATGGTTCCTCGGCGACCTTGTTGCAGGTTTGTCCCCTTTTGCGACCTAAACGTGGTTCGTAACTAACTTAATTCAAGGTATAACCATTGGTGCCGTTGTTGTCCCTCAAGGAATGGCGTATGCCAAGCTAGCCAACCTTCCAGTGCAGTTTGGGTTATACTCCTCGTTTATGGGCGTCCTGATCTATTGGTTTTTCGCTACTTCCAAAGATATTACCATCGGGGTAAGTTGATACATGGTCGCATGTGTGAAATAGACGATCTGCTAACACATCAAAGCCTGTTGCTGTTGTGTCTACCGTTACCGGTACTGTCGTTTCAAAAGCCATTAAAGAATACCCAGAGTACGCTGATGAGCCTTGGGTCATTGCAAGCGCCCTTGCTCTCATATCTGGCTGTATCGTGCTTTTTATCGGTTTGATCCGATGTGGATGGATCGTGGAGTTGATACCTCTAGTATCGCTTGCTGCATTCATGACCGGATCTGCCATCAACATTGCGGCAGGGCAAGTCCCCACGCTTATGGGCATCTCCGGTTTCTCGACAAGGGATTCGACGTACCTGGTGATTATCAACACACTGAAAAATCTGGGCAAGACGGACTTGAACGCAGCTATGGGCTTGACTGCTCTCACGATGCTCTACTTGATCCGATTTTCCTGCGCATGGGCAGCAAAGAAGTTTCCAAACCACCACAAGCTGTTTTTCTTCCTGTCAACATTGAGGGCTGTGTTTGTCATCTTGTTATATACCATGATCAGTTGGCTGGTTAACATGCACCGTCGTTCAAATCCAGCCTTTGCAATCCTTAAGGATGTCCCGCGAGGTAATTATATTAACCGATTCCATTTTGACGATGAGGTTCTGATAGTCAACAGGTTTTCAGCATGCGGCTGTCCCAAAGATCAGTACGAACATTATCCGCTCATTTATCAGCGAACTCCCTGCGACAGTAATTGTTCTATTAATTGAACATATCGCCATCTCGAAATCTTTCGGTCGTGTCAACAACTACATAATCAACCCATCGCAGGAGATGGTTGCTATTGGTGTGACTAATGTCCTCGCGCCCTTCCTCGGAGGCTACCCATCTACCGGATCTTTTAGCCGTACTGCAATTAAGTCGAAGGCAGGTGTACGAACTCCATTCGCTGGCGTTATTACGGCGGTTGTGGTCCTCTTAGCAATCTACGCCCTTACCGCCGTGTTCTTTTATATCCCCTCCGCATCTCTTGCTGCTGTTATTATCCATGCTGTCGGAGACCTTATCACATCACCGAATACGCTTTACAAGTTTTGGAGAATCTCACCCATTGAGGTTATCATCTTCTTTGTCGGTGTGTTCGTTACCATATTTTCGACCATTGAAAATGGAATCTACGCGACAATATGCATCTCTTTCGCTGTCTTTATGTTCCGCGTCCTCAAATCGCGCGGAAGATTTCTCGGCAGAGTACAAGTGCATTCCGTGCTTGGTGATCACCTCATCGGCAACGACAGCAACGTAATGGGTGGATATGGAACGATCGATGTTGATTCTGCCCCCTCTCCACCTACTCGCAACGTTTTCCTCCCAATCGACCATGGCGATGGCTCTAACCCGCAAGTCGAGGTCGCCAGCCCCTACCCGGGTATATTTATCTACCGTTTCTCAGAAGGATTCAATTATCCCAGCGCTAGTCACACTTTAGACTACCTTACAAGTCACATTTTCGCCAATACACGTCGCAACAGATCTAACGCGTACTCACGTCCTGGAGACCGACCGTGGAATGATCCTGGTCCAAAGAAAGGACAACAAGAACAAAACGACGAGCTACCGACTTTAAAGGCTATCATCTTCGACTTCAGCTCGGTTAATAACGTCGATGTAACATCAGTGCAGCAGCTGATCGACGTACGCAACCAGCTAGACCGCTACGCGGCTCCGGAACCGGTAGACTTCCACTTTGCCTGTATCAACAACCGATGGACGAAGCGCGGCCTCGTCTCCGCAGGCTTCGGATACCCCACACCGCGCCCGGAACACGCGCGCTGGAAGTCTATCTTCAGCGTCGCCGAGATCGGCGGTTCGGATTCCGCGGCGGCGGCAGCAGAGCTGGAAGCTAGTGAGAAGGAGGGTACCCTGCGGCCGACTATTAGCAAGCCAGATACCGACATCATGAGCCCGTCCCAGAACAGCCCCGGGCCAAGCAAAGCCTCGAGCATAACGCAGTCGGCCTCAAAGAGCAAGGCGCCTGAATTCGCCAGGACTAACGAGCCTAGAAAGGTCGTTGTTCACGGATTGAACCGCCCGCTCTTCCACATCGATCTCACTAGCGCGCTGCAAAGCTCCATCGCTAATGTAAGGGCTAGAGAGGAGGTCGAGGCTGCGGGGGGACCGGATATCGGTGTTGACGTTTGAGTTTGAGGCGAGCTTGTACATACCAACATTAATTGGGTGCTGTTAAGTTTTGAAATATACGGGCGAGAAACTTAGAACGGGATTTTGCATTTTGCATTACGGCGGCCGGTTTGTAGAAATGGGATCGGGATTGGATACTTCGTTACCGTTATTTGGCATGATCGTTGGAGAACTTTTTCACTTTTCAGCTTTGGTTTGGGGGGCTTGGGGGAGGTCTGGTATTTTGGCCATATTTTAAGGTGTGGCTGATTAGACGAGATGGATGGTAAGATGAGATGAGATGAGATGCGTGTGATGTTACTTGCATGAAGGGCTAGCGGCGGTGGAGAGTGAAGGTGGAGATGCAAAGAGTCGCGCTGGATATACCCCGAGACATATGAATTGATACTCGCCTATGAAATAACATGAACTTTCCGAATTTTTAATCGAAACGACTAATGTGAGATTCATTTTCGTTGTTGAATATACGTATGCGGAACTTAGTATGGAAATACATTTTGAAGTTTCGGCGCATACGTCTGATGTCACTCGTTCCCTTGCATTGCGAGATTACGGGGTGTCCTGGGCTGCAATTGAGGCCGCCACGAGCTTGGGTTGTAGGAGGTTTCATTCTGCCACTGCTGACCGTGACGTGCTTTCGGGATGTTTGTAGGAGATATACATTCAAATCCCGACCGGAAAATTAAGCTGGTCTTGCTTGCCTTCCTCTTTCATTGATTTAATGAGATCCGGGCCTGAAATACTACACCTCAGGGCCGCGTAGTAGTGGGCAGGTGCATGTAGTTGGGTAGGTAATTAGGCGAATATTCGGTCAGATGTAAGGCCTTCTTCCACCGTAGAGCGCTCTCCTGCCTCGGTGGCGACGGTGAGGGAGATGAGGTGCGGTAAGATGAGACGAGACGAAATGGAAACGAGATGAGCTGAGGTTGAAGTTGGGATGAAATGGAATGGGACGGAAGCGAAAATGGAAAAGGGGGAAAATTACGCGGCCGCCAGATTCGGCATACCGGCCCCAACCCGGGTCGCGGTCGGATTTGGGGGACGGCGGCTACGGATCGCTCGCCTCGAAATTACCTACCTTCGGACGAGGCGAGGCTTAAGCTCAGGGGGGACTACTTTGGCCACCAACGCGGGCGAGTTCGACCTCGGGCATGGAGAAAGTATACGGGTTGCGCATTATTAGGCGCACTGTCGTTTTTACATATACATCTATCTTTTTATGAGGACTAGACTTACGGGACTGATAGTAAGCGCTCCCTAGTTGGATCGTTCGGACGGCTATCACGGCGGATGATCAGGAAAGGAGGACAGGTGCAGGAAGTGGAAGGGGAGGGGAAGAGGCGAGAGTTGCTTATAACCTATAGCTAGGAGATGTGCAATAGTTTTCATAGTTCGCGAAAATAATGATAACAACGTTTTAATAGAATTGAATTTTATTTCCGGGCACCCTATTTATCTTTTATCTTTATCTATTTTCGTGAGAAATAGCAGTCTAGACATCAACATTGTAGTAACCGTACACTGTAGGTATAATAGTCGAACATAAGTCAAGGGAAGAATTGCCTGCCTCCGAGCTGTCGAAGCCCGTTTGGATGAGGTAGGCATTGGATAGAAAACATGAAATGAAAGACGAGAAGAGAAGAGTCCCCCTTTCCTGAAGAGGGTTACGTAGTTAGTATCTGTCGTGAGACCAGATCAAAATTGCCCGTAGTCCGCACACATGACTCCAGTAACGAGAATACCAGCTCATTGCCCAGTCATATGGAAGCGGAAGTAAGCCCAGCTCACTCCCCTTCACTTCACCCTCTTCGCCCCACGATCCTGCCCCTGGCCCGTCCTCTTCGACCCCGCCGCCGGCGCCGCCGGCCCCGCCCAGCGGGAGCGCAAGTGCGCGACAAGCGAGCCCAGACGCGCCGTATACGATTCCGGCGCTCCCCGCTCCGCGACTTTATCGCGGATATCCGCGAGCTCGTCGATCCAAGGACCCAGGACCTGCGGCGGGATCGAGGCCAGGACGTCGAGGGCGAAGTTGCGATCGCCGGAGCCGACGAGCCGGAAGAACAGGTTGCGCTTCTCCTTGGGCAGGTGCGAGGGCCCGACGTCTTCGTCGCTGTCGACGACGCGCGCGAGCGCGTGCACGGCGGCGCGGGCCGCGGCGCGCAGCTCCCGCGCCTCGAGCGGCCGGTCCGTCGTGTGGATGACGGCGTGGATCTGGCGCGTCACCGAGGCGAGGTGTGTCGCGCACCACTCGACGTCCTTGGGGCGCGCGACGTTTTGCAATGATGGGTCCTCCGCGTACGCGCGCAGGCCGGCCAGCGCGGCGTCCGTCCGGTGCCGGAGGCTCCGGAACCGGTTCTTGTGGGGGGACTCGTCGGCGCGCATCGACGACAGGAAGTACTGGAAGAAGTCGTCGTTGCGGAGCAGCATGCGGAAGATGGTCTGCTCCAGGTCGCCTCGCTTGATGACCTTCTTGCCCTTCCGCGGGTTGTCGAAGAGGTCCGGCCGGTATTCGTCGATGGGCACCTCGTTTAGGGAGGCGAGTATCTCTCGTGTTTCCTGGACCCGCCTGGGGTTCGGATCTGGTGACTGCCCGACGACATCACAATGGAGGCTGTCTGCTAGCATGTCGAGATGGAAGTCCGATATCGCATCGTATGGGTTCCCGAGCTCCGTTGGAGAGCCGTGTTGCGATAGGGTGAAGGGATCCCTCTGGACGCCCAGGATCTGGCTGGTGATTTGATCGAACAGCCAAAGAATATGGCGGCAAGGTGACTCGCCGTGCTCGCCACTCTCGCAGGTACAGCTTGGAATCCCATAACCGCTTTCTTCCATACCAGTCCGAATCGTGTATTCCACCGGCTCTGTTATTAAGAAAAGGCAGCGCTGATCTCCTGCTTGGCAGCCACGCAACACGAACTGAGGAGGGACTTCAACAGCCCTCGTTACATTATCCCGTGTCTCTTCATCTAGGAGATCTAGTGAGTATCTGAGGTTCGACGGGGACGTCATGTAACCATCCTCATCGAAGTCGAAGTCCGGCTCGGTCTCAGACTCGGAGCTCGAGTCTTCCACCGGTAGCCTCTGGCTCTGGAGACGAGTTATGGGAGGCATGCCTTCGAGTGAAAGCTTCTTAAAACGTTCGGTTGGAGGGGACATCGAGTGATGTTGATGAAACGGCGATGATACTGAAGGATTTACCACACATGCTTTGGAAATATACGGGTGGTTATATAGAATAATCATCACGAGAGCAGGCAGACAGTGGGGAGTCCCCTAAGTGCTAGTATAATGAAAGAAGCGGCCCAATATCGAGACCACTCGGTCCGCGTTGGTTCAGCGACAGTAATACGTTACCTAGTTGGTCTAAGTCGACCGAATTGCAGGAGGGTAAGGGGCCGTGGGGGAGGAAGCACCGACGAGGGCCTCTGTACCGCCCGCCCGCCCGCCACGGGCCGGAAATGGTAGCAGAACAAAAGGAAAGGGTTCGCTGTAGGGAACCTCGTCGCCGGGATGGAAGCCTGGGTACTTGGGAACTTTGCACCCACCCATCTGGATGGCTGAGTCGCAGATGCACGTAGAAAGAAATGCTGTAGATCAAACAAATGCTACGTAATCCTGAGATGGCACGCCTAAGGTGCGTGATTAATGTCTCAAACGAGTAATCACCCAGACCCAAGGGGACGGGTAGGACTGGCGATGCCGAATATAGTCATACGGCAATTTTGTGTACTGCATACTAACGCATGCAGGAATCGACAATCTGGAGTCGTTATAATACAGCTTTTGTCAACGAATTGATCTCATCATCAGCCACACGGTAAGACCGGGGTTGTGATTGGTGGACAAGCGGGATTGGGTGTTCGGAGCAGTATTTTGTTCATTCACCTCCTTTTTTCTCTTTCTGCCTTGGGGAGGGACCATAATCCGGATCTGAAGCTCGTGGGTTAGCAATATAAAAGCACGGCCAGGGCCATCGATGCGACCAGCGCTCATTTGAGAGGTTCGTCGTGGCTTCGGGCCACGATTTCGGGCCCCAAAGCCTCGAACTAGGCCGCTTCTTGGCGACCGCCTATTCCGTCTCCAGCGAATCCGGCCCACTAGGCGGCCAACGAGGCTTCTCGCTTTTTCTCCCTCACCTTAGTTGTTATCAATTGCTTCGAGAAGGAAAAAAAATTGAGGGCTCCCACTCCGAGCGATCACATCTCGACGGCCTAGCATCACCGGATGAGGCCTAAACGTTATTTGCGATTCTTGCGCATCGTGCCAGAATCAAATGATCGAACTAGGACATATCCGAAATCCCCTGGGCGACTGCATTGCCTAATTCGGCACTCAGGACCGGGATGGTGATTCGGCGCTCATGGCGGTCGGGATATCTGAAATTCCACCTCAGAACCGGCAAGCGTCAGACCTAGCTTTGATTGTATAGCCTCAAGGAGAACGTTCGTCTCATCATGCTAAAAGCGCGGGGAGGGACACTGCCGCATGAGAGTGGGCAGGCATCAGCGCGGAATTCATACGTCTGCTGACGACTTCGGCGGAATGGACATATACTGCTCTGCCTCCCCTGAGGTCGTTGAGCTTCGATCCGATTGGGCACTGCGGCACGTTGCCGTCACCCGCTTTTCAAGGACCCTATATTCTCACTAGACAGTGGACTTATGGGACGATAGTAGACTACTTGAGATGGTGGTTTGCTGCGCCGCTTTGATATATCCCCTTTTCTCTCGCCGATTTGCCACTTCTTCACCTAGCTCTCTATTAGGATAGCAGCGGTGTGACCATGCTTGCACAGCTGAGACGATCGAGTAACTGCTAATGAACTCATAGGAATGGTACGAGATTATGGAGGAGTTCCTTGTATTACTTTGTGTCGTATATGTCGTTGGTGAGTGACTAGGATTATCCTTCTTGGTTGGCTTGCAGTTCTAACAATCTTTGAGGTTTCTCTTCGAACACAAGACTGCTGCTATCACACGTCTCGATGTTTGCTCCGTCCGCTCGTTGGTTCTGACTCTCCTTACGGTGGAATGTTCAGTCAGCTTATCCCCCTATCTGAGAGTTAGCTTCCTATTAGTTGCATAAATACAGGCCTCGATGTTTCCTTATTGGTTACCGCTGAGCCGGGATTCAATACAAAGTCGGTCAAGAATAACCGCGAGGCGATAGGTGATTATAGGTGTCAACTTCGGCAATTCATAATCCGGCTATCTTGCCAGCATTGTTGTCTGCCTAGCAGCTATAGCAGAGGGAGGTACCTCGCTGTCCATTAACATAGCCCCCTAATTGCTAAACACAGGCGATATAAGCTGAAGACAGGTATGTAATAGAAGTCGTCCATGGTGAGTCAGGGCGGAGGTCGAGATCATTACTGGAACAAGAAGCGGCGAAGCTGCTTATAATAAGTAGAGTTAATATAAGGAATGAATGGGGCCCTTCAACTAAGCAAGGTACACTTTTGATCTAGAGTTCCTTTAGTTTTCTCGGGGCACCTAACCAAGGAGCTCGATATCTTACTTAAACTGTATATCTGAATGGTCTAAGATGGTGAAGTTCACATATGTTAGCATCACCTAAGGTAAGTTACGTTGTGGCATTCATGCCACATTTTCATCGAATTAGGCAATTCTAGAAAAGTTAGTTTAACACTGTTTATAATAGATGATCTCTATGAGATACTAAAGTTCTTTAAAGGCATATGATTCAAGCTGTCTTACTGTTGGCTTCCATCGAGAAGCGAGGGAGGACTAGGCTGTTGAACCTGAAATGTTGACCTAGGCTCCTTACACAACCCTAAAGAGCTTGGATCTGAAATGCTTCTAGATCCTCCAAGACTTCTTTCAGAGTTGGCCGACCATAGTAGTTGTCATTCCACTCCCCTTTAAGACGTTGAGAGCTTCGGAGTGCCAGGAACCTCTCTGCTTCATCGATCTCAGCAAACCAGAAACGCTTTGCAGCTTCTCTAACGTCGTCGGCGCTTTGTTCCTTGGCGTCCTTGGCTGTTAAAAAGAGTTGGCTGTGCTGTCTCATTATGGTATTGCTGAGTGTGCCTCTTCTGCCTCTGGTGCATCTATCTATCAGATCCCTCATGGCAGGAGGGGTCCTCTTATACTCGGGGAATTCGATATCGGGTTCCCATCGATACGATTGCCAAACAGCTGCTTTCTGAGGACCGCTGACCCCTTCGAAAATGCACCATAGGACCCTGCCGAGCATGTATACTTCAGCGGCCTCTTGCTCTGCCGCGCTAAGCGCAATCCAAGGTAAGTTAAATCCGTCTTTAGGATTTGTGTATCTTTCATCCTCTAGTGATTCGAAGGAAGGTAGCAGATCTTGCAACATCCTTCGATACTTCGCGCTCACAGATTCGGACACACATTCGTCGGTCGCAATCAAACGGATGTATTCGATGGCATTGACTTCGGGGGCTGAAAACTCGCACCAGACTCCTCTCTGCTCGAAATCGACCATAATAATGTTGGAGCTCTCTGATAGGACAATATTATCTAGTCGCAAATCGGGATAGTATATCCCTGAGCGAGTCAAATGCTCAAGAGCCTTGGTCAGCTGGATCGACCACTTCAACTGATCGACACGTCGTAATTGGCCATGGGCGCGCGAGAGGGGTAGGACATCTCGGAGGGTGCCTTTCGAGTGATAGAACGTAGTGAACCCGACAACAGCCTTTTTGGTGCCGAAGTTGCACCTCTTTGTGACTATATGCATTGGCCGTACGATGATGTTCTCATGTGGTTCGATTGTACAGAGCGTTTTCAACTCGTGGTAGAGGTATTTCGCCCCGCTGGTCAATGCTTTGAATATGCAGAGTTGCTCGTTTATTCGGACGAGGCAGACGCTATCGTGTAAGATGCTGACAACATGGAGATCGAAGAAGTCAATCACTTGGGGGAACGGAAAGTCCGATCCCCAGAGGTCCGCCAATCTCGAAAATGGTAGCAGCTTATGCTCCAGATTATGGTTGAGGCCGACTTTGATACGAACTCGCCGCACATCGAGAGACATATCTTCCAAGACTAGACGTGATCCGAAAGGCACGCTTTTGTAAAAGTCTTCGAAAGCCGCGAGGTCCTTGAATTCGGAAGTAGTCCAGATCTGTAGGATTCGGACGATATGTTTTGTGATAGCAAGTCTAGGCAATCGAATAGCGTCTTTGGTATGGAACGCCCTGTGAAGTTCGAGCTGCTCACGAATGAGAGTGGGTTGAAAATTGGAAACAAACACGTCCATGCGCATGGGAGGGATTTTTTGAAGAAAAAGCGGAAGGACATAGTACTGCGTTCCCAAACCAGCACAGCCATCTACACGCCATAAAGGATTCTGAGGTAAATCAAGGCTATCAATCCGGTTCTTCGGGTTCAAGAGAGAATTTTCCCACGTAGACTCAACGACGGAATCTGCTGGGCTAAGACTTTCTAGAGTTTCTCCAACCTCTGAAGGAGGTTGGTAGAAAGCTGCGGTGGGGTGGACGACCTCTCCTATAGCTCTCGTGGACAATTCCATGTTCAAGTCGATATCGCTTCCCGTGGCTGATGGGTGCTCCGAAGGCCTTTGAGATAGGCAAATGCTCGATCAATAAGTATTGGATTTCCGGCCGATGCAGAGAAGTCGGAGCCAGGAGACCGAAGAGGGGACGTGGGTTTGGAGGATGCAAAAGACCGTGCCCAAAGCTGCCCAAAAACTGGACCGGCTCTAGCTGTATACTGGAATTAAAAGCACAAAGAGCGCGTGATGCTTCCTGGACGAGAAGCCACGTCTGCCATCTCCCGAGATTTCCGGCGTGCTTTCCTTAATCGAAGGCAAAGGCGCACCAAAAGCAATCTGGCTCGCTCCTTACTTGACCTACCTAATGAACTTACATAGGTGACGCCTGCCTACATGATACGTCGAGGTCCGATGTAGCACGTAGATACCCGACATTCGAAGCTAGATGGAAGTCTGGGGATTGATTTCGTCCCTAAGACCGACTCTCGCGTTTAGTGTCCAAGGACAGAAGCCAGCTCTGAGTTTCTAGTTTTACTTGGCTGATGTTCCTCTTCTTCTTGAGAACTAAGCCGCGTATACTCCCTTCAAGGAAATACCCAATAAGAGTCGAATTTTGATTGTCTGGACGGCTGGCTTATTTAGCAATGGCTGGAGGAAGGCAGCGTTGCCGCGGTTTTGTGGCTGTTAAAACCGAGCAGCCGCTTCAAGCCGCAAACGGACGTTAGCACCTGTCCTATGCCGAAACTCTTAATCTTAGCCTGTGTGATAGTGTCTACGCATAATCTGGCGGGCCCAGAAAAGACAACTTGGACGAAAACCGCGGGTGGGTGGCAAGATCACGATGGCCTCGACACTGGGCCATTAAAAATGTATCCCCCGCTGACCGAGTGCCTGACCGGATGCAGGTTGCGCAAGCCATTTCTCTTTAAGCTGAGCGGTAGTCGGCCCTAAAACGAAAAAAAAAAGCAAAAATAGGGGAAACCCGATTATCTTGTCGGGTTAATGATTGGTCGGGACTGTCGGTCTGGCTCCGCATCCATTGCTTATAGCTACCTACCTAATACTTTGTAGGTTTGTAACCTACCTACCTGAGCTAGCACAATGTTGAAATGCGGGTGAGGCTGACTCCGTAGAATCTATCGGCTGAAGGGCTATTAAGAAAGCTCCTCGATATCTCGCTAGCCCACGTCGATGGTAGACATCTGTAAATGACTTTACTAGACACGGTGGAGACGAAAGGCATCGAGTTACTAATATGGGCGCTCCTTAGGTATAGTAAAAGGTCCGTTTAGATTACCAAGCAACTAGGTTTGATAACCCAATTACATCTCCCGTATAGAAACTCTTTAGCTTTCGGACGATCAGGACTATGCTATACCGGAAGCGTTACTACTGCAGCATATACGCGCCGTCGTGAAGTGATGACCTTGAATAGTATTTATATCTGCATTATCGTGATTAGTTGGTAGTTAAAATAGGTACTGATTTCATAGGGCTGACACAGAAAGGCTTGGCGTTTCTCCAGCTACTTTCCCCGTTGCCAAGAAAACACGGGGCCAAGTCGAATTCTAAACCAAAATGTGTTCATTTATGTTCCCGTCGTAATGGTTATTTGGATAGATACGCCGCAAGGCATATACAGAAACCATGTAATTCTAGGGGATAGTCACTATGATACCTATTGACCTATGCTTGAGATTCAGTATACGTAGATAACTACGGGGTGAAGTAAAGCCGAAAAAAGGCGATTCACTTTTACTTGCCTCAGTAAATGGATCGAAGGATGATAAATGCCTAAGGAGCAACGTTTTCATTATCAATTTAGCCTGGCTGATTGTTCTTGTATACCTATATGCATTTTCTTCGATGAGATTATGATTGAGCGTTGCTACGGCTCCGATAATTGGCTATTGTGGGATTGTCGTCTACAGGAGGCCGACTTGAAGCGAATTATGATGAACAAGTGGAAGTATGAAAATCTGGTGGGTAATTATACAATTTTCGTGTGTCTAATAGCTTTGTTCTCTTGATCAGATAAACCGTGACTTCCACGTGGTAGAGATTTTAGTTTTTCGTTTTTTTCATAAAAATAACATCGAATATCCATGAACTCCTAAACGGGAAGTTCCCAAAATGTGGGGGACCCTCATTTTGGTTAAATGCTCCCCTGGCTGGTGATGTCAAGCTAGGAGAGGGGAACTGGGGAGGAGCGATCTGGAGGTTTTGTGTAACAAGAAAATGACATCATAGAGAGGGGGTCAAGTCCCTTAAGGTTACCTGAACGATCAATAACTCGGAACAATTAAATCTTCACATGTTATCCACGTGTGGGATGTAGTAGACACTGTACATCATTACAGACTGTATTAGCTGATAATGGAGAGCGAAGGAACCTGCTCCCTCGGTAAATTTAGTCAGTAAGACTTCCAAATAAGCGTTGCTTCCGCCATCTTGAATTTCCATTTTCTATCCAGACGGATGCACTAATCCCGAGACGAGGACGTGCATTTCCAAACTACAATCAGACGGAAACACATCCCACTTAGGTGTAGACATGTGCGTCTAAACATTTGTCGCAGATCTTGCGAGATGCGTTATGCTTAGAATTCCCCGGTCCATGATAAGCTGTACCATGCAAATCCCAAGGTTGGTAATCGCATGACCTATCCGCGTCAAGCGTCAACGGTTTGTCTGAGACCCTGTGACTAGGTACCTGGTAGAGCTAAACCGAAAATACCGAACATAATCCATCGGTATATAGTCATGCTATATCTCTAGCCAACGGGCTCGATGGTGGTCAGACAGTTGTTTTCGAGAATGCAAGGCTCTCTGGTTCATCGGGCGTCTCGGTCTGGTTATGTTCTATGTCGCACAACTTGGGCATCAGTGTCAGCTCTCACCGGTCGACCATCTATTGCCACTTCACGTACATTGAAACCTAAAAGGAGATGCACTTTTAGATATATACGAAAGGGGCGGTGAGTTATACACGGAGAAGCTTGAGTGGACGAAAAGAGCGTGCGGAGATCACAATGTCGCGTCGATTATATGAGCATACGCAGCGCCCGATACAGGTATGCATCACAACCATCCATAGCCGATGTTTCGTCGTGATAATCCGTAAGCCGCACATGCTATAGGAAGAAAGATATATTACCTCAGCCGACAGCCAGGTAACCTTGGAAGTCCACGTGTAGCAATATGCGGAGTAAAGATGGTACGTAGTAAACGTCCCGCGCAAATCCTTAAACCAACCTTGAAGATAGGTACAAAGTCAGGGCTTTCTTACGAACTACATAATCTGAAGTCTGTAGGTACCTACCTACATACATACCTGTTTATGTGTAAATGGCGTACATGCGGTTGCGAACGTTCTGCCGAGCGCTAGTAGCCTTACGTACAGTCAGCCCCACCTAAACTGTCAGTTCATCCATGATTAAATCGTCGAGCACGTGTATTTTAACTTCTACTACTCCTTTATCTTTCTAGCTACATTCTCAGATCATGGAATCATGCAATTTGCTCGATCGCAGGGAGGGATAAGCAATGAAATGTAACTCACCAAGGTAGTCGCCGTTTTGGAGAATCCTAGTTGAGTGTTAGGTACTACCTCATTATGCTCCGGGAGTCGGCCCAAGGGGTTCTGGTCTCTGAAAAGTTCAATCCGAGTTCCTAATTCGGCAGGTATCACATCATGTTCGCGTCAGTTGATAGGCTTAATAATAAGGGTCCCCCCCTCTCGCACTATCACACGCGAACCCTTAGCAGACCCTTAACTGACCCCTGGGCTTGACGGGAGACTACACTAGGCGGAACTTTGAGGCTGGAGGTGATGGATGTACGCGATTACTTTCCGATGATTAAGATCCGTCGTAGCGGGTCCGGCGAGATAGAAACGATGTATGTCGTTGGCTCGTCGGCTCGTTGGCTCCTCGAACTTGTGTATCCCCAGAAATGCGATCTCAGGTGGATGGATACGTTGGCAATCAGGTCAGTTGACACGGCTGATATAGACCTCGCCTTTCCTGATTTGCCTAGGTCGAAGAACAAACTCCACATTCCGCTCGATGTCGTTTTCTGGGTCGCCGTAATTTACCTACCTACGTAGTGTATTAGCAGTTTTCTAATCTAGACCGATTATGCCCGCTTCTACGTACTTTACCGACGACTTAGTGTAGGTACATACTTGCTCAAATATACGTACGATCAGCATTACCTTCGCCCTAATATATTTAAACCCCTTAGGCTTCAATCAGGTTCCATCTCATTAGCTCTGAAAGGTGGAGAACAGCTCAATCGAATCTTATCGGTCAGTACGTAAGCATCAATCGGTCCATTGAACTCATGCGAACAGATGTTTTAATTTTGGCCGAGACTAATGATTATCTTCGGGTTAACGGGTTGATAATGGAACAGGGGTTCGAGAATTAAGGGCAGGGAATAGGGAAAATGAACCCGAAAGGTGAAAAAGAGGGAAAAGGAGATACTAGTGTGGCTTTTGTGGAATGATGACATCTCTTACTTGCATTAAAGCTTACATTGATCATCCTACGTACGACGGGAAAGAGTGCACCAGATCCCACGCAGCCCACAGTCGCTTGGTCCCTTCCAAGGTTTACCTATCGATGCTATACCTCCAAGGTCCCGAATTGCCCACAATTGTCCGTGACTGCCCCAATTCGATCAAGCTCGCAAGGCTGTTCCTTACCTATTCCTTACTAAGGCACCTCGAAAGTTGAGGTAAAATTTCGGAGACTTCTTTTTTGAGCCGTATCTGAGCAGGTCCAGGCCAACTTTGGAACCCGTCGACCCCGTACTGTACCGTACGAGGTAACTTCTCTCCCAGATCCCTGCTCCCTGCTTATGCCTTATGCCTTAACATCCCGGCATCTTCCCCCAGGTCTCCCCCCCTTAAGTTCCTTGGTCCTATCAAGTTTATCTACCCATTAACCCCCAAATCTAACGATTGAAACCCTTGGTCAGCAACAGATTTATATTGCCTCATTGTAACTAATACAACATAAACCTAAGCTTATTTGCCCATTTTGCCCGTTGCCCGTTGCCCAGTCGAACGGTTGCACAAGGTCCAACTCTCATTAACTAGTTAATCCCCCCTCTTCTTTAAACCGGTGAATGCGCCGATTCAACGGTCGCGTAGAAACTTTCTCACCGAGTTATCTTTCTTCATCAGTTGCCGCATTTCTTCTTCCAATCATCACCTCTCCCGCACGGCGCACATCTCATCGGGCGGCAGCATACCGCCGTTTTCTTCCTCTCTTTTCCCTCTTCATCCTCTCTTTGGGCCTCCTCCACATTTCACCCCTAGCATCTATCCACCTGCTGACAGTTAATTCAGCCCCTTTTCAGTTTCTAATTACCTAGATAGGCTCATCGACGCAGGCGGCTCGTCCCAGTATAGCCATTGTACCTCACGGCACAGCATAACATAACATAATACAACGCGACACCAAGACATAGTCGCATTAGCTCTCTGATGATCCTGGTAGTCTTATTAGCGGCAATGACGCCCGTGAGACATTGACGTACGCCGCCTTTTCACACACCCTAATCTGTCAGACGCCCCGGTGAGGCGTAAGGGAAGAAAAACAGAGAGAGAGACACGCGCAGCTCCTTGATCGCTGCTACTGTTGCTACTGCTGGCCCTCGTTCTGTTGTACACATAGAGGCTTCTGGACCTCGTACACGCACCGGTGACAAGCTTTCGTTTAACACACCACCGTCTTCATACGATCCCTTATGGAACGTACAATGGTAAGGCTTTTCTTACTATATTCCTCTCCTCTAGATAGCCCAAAGTAGTGCATACCTTGTTTGGATTCCAGAGTGCAGTCCGTTGACTTGCATATAGAATAATCATAATATCAGAAAGCGCCGGCCCTATGGCCACGGGGAACCCCCGGCGGTGCCCGTGCCCCTGGATCCCTCGTACTCACCCTCTGCCTCTGTCCCTTCATCTCATCCGGAGGGCTTCTCCGTCCAGGATCTACATATACTCCAGCAGGCAGCGTCTATCTTAAATTGCCCCGTCTCCCAATTGCTTGGACTTAATAATAGAAGCTCTCATCCACAGCAATACCCACTCTCTTCTGTCTCATCTATACCATACCCAATTTCAACGAAGAGACAACGTCTTAGTGCAGACATGACACCGGCATCTCCTCAGGAGAAGTCCACGCCACCTACGCCCCCCATCCAAGATGGCTCTGAGCGGCCCCGTGCTCCCGAAGCACCAAATAATGGTTTCTCCATGGGCATAGACCGCTCCCGCCTGGCGCAGTACTTTTCAACCTTCTCTGTCTGCCCGCCCTGCACTACATGCGAACCCCAAGGTTTGCTTCCTGTTCTAGTTTTTGGTGTCCCATCAAACATACTAAATATGACTTAGTCTACGGCCAAATCCCGGCCGCCTCGCCTTATTCTTATGCCCCAGCACGGCAATACTTTGACGACAGCTCGTCGTCTCCTGGGCCACCACCCGGAACAATGTCTCCAGATCAGCCCAGTGTCTTTGCTCCTCATGACCCCTCCACAACCTCATCAATGATGTCCAACTATCCTATTCTGCAGCCAAACCGGCCTATGACAGTCCAGCCTTCTACTAGCGGCGAGGGCATGGTGTATCCCGAGCCCGTATCTGGTCAACAGTATTTTGGTCAACCAGACTTCTGTTCCGATATGCCAAATTCTATGACGAATAACATGATGGGAGCTCAGCAAAACTACACTCCATCGTCGTTCAGACAGAACACTACGGCCGAGGACGTTTCATCTCAGGAAGCAGATGGAATTCGGACTTCTAGTAAGCCTTGCGAGTTGGACATCTTACATCCGAATCAACGCCCCCCACATGCGAGGAGGGGACCGTTCAAGTCAAATGAAATACGGCAGGAGACGGCCGAGACGAGACGAATAGGTTCCTGTATTCGGTGCCGAATGCAGCGAATTCGCGTAAGCCACCATACGTCGCCTCTCGATTATTTCCTAGTGGCCTCTAAGAGTTCCATATACTAATTTTCAATTTTAGTGTGAGATTAATCCTTCGGACAAGCTTGGTACATGCCTCACTTGCCTGAAGGTATCTAGCGTGAAAGTGTGGCGAATGCCTTGTCTTCGTTACAAGATTACCGATGTGAAGTTGTTCAAGCCAGGGAACGTTAAGGGGTACGAGTGGACACGAAGGTGGATAGAGGGCATCCCCGACGATATATCGCAATGGGCATCGATGGAGATAAAGAGAGTCAAAGTCACTGAGGGCTACACTAACCAGCCCGTAGAGCTCCGAGTCCGTCAATTCGTCCCCCAAGAAGGCGACAGGCTCGAACGAAGCTGGGTTCACGACGGCACCAAGAAGAATGTCAAAATCCCTCCGTATGCTATCGTGAATCTTGAAGAAGCGAAGAGCATTTATACCGAATACATCAGACAGGGGTTGCCCGAATGTTGCAAGAAGGTGCTTCTAGGCAAGGACAGGCTATTACTTGCAACATACGCCGCAGCAATCAAGGCCTCAAGAGATCCGACGATAGATCCTAAGGAAAGTGCACTTCTCAAGAAAGCACTTCAGTTGTGGATGGCCATTCGATTGACAACGAAATCCACTATTATTGTTGGGGAAGAGACGTTGGGGATGCCTCTCGATATCATGGACGACACAAGCCCGCTTCGAGGATGTATTCCGTTGCCGCCGGTAATGGGTGCGCAAATCGAGTTGGTCCTCATTCATCAAATCCAATCTAACCTGCGTCGGGAGATGTTAGAAAACTTACAGACAATGACGCAAGCTAACAAACACCAAACCTGGTTCACAACATACCTCATTACCTTCATTTTGCTCCATAACGTAGCGCTTCTTTGCCAGCATGATGCTGGATATGCCCGTAAACACGGCATTAAGGTGTGTAACGAATGCCTACCAATGGACCATAAGGACTACCTCGCTCACTAATCAAGTTGCAGAGTCGGTTCGCGAGAGAAGAGATGGTGAGGGAGTACCAAATGGGTAAGCCGTCGTGTCTCCTCGAGCGGGTCCAAACTTTCGGCGTCGGTTATTGAGATTGCAGCTTCTGACATACGACTTTGTCGAACAGGCGCGAATATTCTGCTGGCGTATTTTCATTACTGCAATAAAAGTAAGAAAAACTGGTATTCTGGAACTTTCCACGAATTAATGAAGCTGACCGCCGATAGATATATACCCGTTCTCTGCGAAGTGCAAGGAACAAGACCTATCAATACTGGCTGAGTTAGATGAGACTCAAATTAAGCTCATTCAGTTCACAAGGTCGAACATTGAAAAATACAGTAAGCCTCGCTGGCATTCCGTCTCGTGTTGAGTTCCTATGACGATATCCAAGGCGGATGGATCACTAATCAGTTGGTTTCGTAGAGAGGCATTGGGCGAAGATACGTCAAACCGACGATTACGAAAACGATTTCTACTACATCAGCCAGATGTACGAGGAAAACTGGACACCGCAATCGACGATCTAAGACAATCAGTACGGTGGGAGCGATTTGAGCAAAGGATGTATGAGCGGAAACCTAAGTTCAGGTTAATGGAAAAGCATATGCGAGAAAACTTACGTCGCATACTAGTGCAGCAATATTGATGTATTAGGAACGGGATCCGGCGCATGTTGAACTCTATTCGTTGGCAACAACTCCAGACGCTTGGGTTGGCCATTGGCGATGATCTATGCTATACCTAGTACTTACACACTTAACCGGCGCAGTTTCTCCCGAAACAAAAGCAAAGAACGAAGGAACTGCAAACATAAACTAGAAAGAGCTGCTGCTAAAAAGGTTTCAAATTCAACCTTGACGAAAACTTTCATTATATCGAGGAAGGGTCGAGAGCACAGCATCCGGAACATTGCTCTTACCTAACGATGATAATATATACTGTATAACAACTCTGCAGCGGCCCGGTCCCTCTTGCATGTACGAGCCGTCCAGTATAGGTCGAATTGGCGTATCTCATCTGATTTGCCAATCACTCGAGCCGTCCGAGGCGGTACATCATTGGCCACACGGCACAATATTTTCCAGTCGGTACTTCTATCAACTATCTCCTATGAGAGCTCGAAGTAAACGGATATAAACGGATACTGTCAATCTGGCCACTCGTTGGACAATACACAAGACGCTCCCGACATTCGCAGAAAGAGCAAAAGATGAACTAACGCCAAGAGAGTATGCTGCGACCACAACTTCAAGTCGCGCCGTCTCTCGGAGCTACGTGCGGGTAGTAGCAGCTGCAAGCTGCATAGGTAGGTAGGTATGCGGCTCTCCCTCCGTCGCACCAGACATGGCCCACGCATGACTGCAGCCAGCCACAGTTCCATTAACCAGGTTTTGACACCTATGGCCCATCCAGATCTTGCATAATTTAGCGGGGCAGAAGCAAAACGACTGCATGGGAAAGCAATCTTCAGACAAGGCAGTGTATATCTTCCAATCGACACAGTTATGCAGCTCGTACGTACCTGCTCCTGCACTACATAGTTAGGGTAGGCACCTTGATATGCACACCCTGAGGCGGTAGCACTTGAGTAATGTCTACGCCATCAGGAAACTGCGGGCTTGTATACCGCTCCCACACGGGAAGCTGTACTCGTCTCGATATTTATGAATTGCTCTTTCCTACTGATTAATGGTTTGCGTCAACACTTTATGTCTGATGACCACTTGAATTCTGGAATCTTGTCCTTCTCATCTCAGATCCATTTCTTCTCAGATCCATCTCTTCTACCACAGTTGTCTAAAGTCTGGTACGAACCAGAGGAATCCTTCGTTTGTTTCAGTGTATGAGATGTAAGTTGATGGCCCAGAGTTATTATTGGCGCAGCTAACAGAACTAAAGATAGCTGCACTATGGATCTTGAGGGCCCAGTTTGCCGCCCCAGCCTTCACGGCCCAACACATAAATCTTCTACGTGGGCCAGCTGCGTCTCCGATGGGTTGTCTAGCCTCCCCAGCGATTATCCCCCTGTTCTGCAGCATGAACTTGCTTGGACAGGCCAGCAGCTGGACGGCCGTGAGTCCGAATACGTTCTCAACTTGACCGAGAACGAGCTGCTGGAAGTACGATCCGCAAAGGATCGCTTCAAATGTATACCTTCCTAAAAACCCTTCGTTGTCACCTCTTGCCCACGCTGACTCTAAACCTCTAGCACTGGAACTTGACGGAGACTTAGTCAACCGGGACAATTTCCCTCTTCCCACCCTCGGCTCAAAGCTAGAACAGCTCAGCCAGGATATCTACAATGGGAAGGGCCTCTCTGTTGTCCGTGGCATCAAGCCGGATGATTACTCCGTTGAAGACTTGACCATCATCTGGTTGGGAATCCAGTCTTACATTGCTGACCAGAGAGGTTGCCAAGACCATCTCGGAAACATGCTTGGTTAGTGTTATGTCGTAACGAGCCGAAGATCACATTTTCTAACATTGGTTTTTAGTCCACATTGTTGCTGATAACTCTTCTATGATGAAGTTGGGCCACCACCGCCACTCCACTTCCGCTATTGTAAGTTAGACTTACTAATTATAGAACCCCTCCCGTGTTCATGCGTTCTCACGATGCGTATAGTCCTTTCACAACGAGGAGGCAGGTGACGTAGTCGCTTGGCTAACTCGCAGCACGGCGGCCTCTGGCGGCAAATGCATCGTTGCTTCGGCTTACACGATTTACAACATGCTGGCGGCCCATCGTCCTGACATCATACGTACCCTTGCAAAGTCGGATTGGCCTTTTGCACTGTAAGCTGCTTACTCCATATTCTGTTATCCTTATAAACGGTACTGATATCCCGGCTGAAGACCCCAATTCCAATGTCGGCCGATACTCTTCTATCATGACTCGAAGTTGGTCATGAACTTCGGCCGTACGCCTTTACTGGGTAATGCTGTCCACCCACGTCCAGAGCACCTCCCAAAACTGAACGATCGCCAACGCGAAGCGCTCGATGTGGTAGAAGCTATTGCTCAAGCGGTCCAGCTCGAAATCAAGACCGAAGCTGGCGATATGCATTTCATCAACAACCTTGCCATTCTTCACAGACGTGAAGGGTTTGTTGACGGCCAATCCGCTCAGCAGAAACGACATCTGGTCCGCATGAGACTAAGAAGCTCGCAGCTAGGGTGGGATATCCCCAACGACCTAAAGCAGGAGTGGCATAATGCATTCGAGACAGACACTTACCAGACATGGCACCTCGAACCGATGCCTGGCGACGTGTTCCCCCTTCGCAAATACACCAACTAATGGGACGGCGCGGAAGCCCCAGCAAAAGGCGGGGGGAAAGTGATACTAGGTGTACCCTATAATTAATAGTTTTCTTAACGTTCTCCTTGGCTGGACTCCTCGATCACGATAACATTGTCATTACGGTGGTCTCAAGACTAATTACCTAGGGGAAAAAAAGGAGTAGTATGTTTTTCATCAAAACCGTTGTCACTCAGTAGGAGCAATAAGTCAGCTAGCTTCCTACTTTCTAGGTAGTCCTAAAAAAATTAACGAACCATTCATATCCACGCTACGCCTTAGGTACCCTACCTAAGACATCCTTTTTTTTGTTCCGATGTTGTTGCAGTCTGGGCCGTTCTCCACAGCGGTGGTACGGATTGGCCCCTATGCGTCCCCAGCATTGACTTGGCAAGACATATCTTTTTTTCGATAATGCTACGCTTTTACTGTTCGAATCAAAATCGTTAACTCGGTTGCAGCCGCAGCAGCAGTATTGGTGTTAGCAGTGACCGGCCGGGGATTAAACACCATTACGCGGACGAGACATGCCCAGTGGCTGCAGCGCATACCTTTTGTTTCCCGGGAGCGACGACATTGGTCGAGAAAAAGGATAAACAGGGATCGATTTAGATTGGTCCATTTTTTTAATTCTTGGTACCTATTAAGTGGCAGTAGCAGCAACGGCTGCTACTGTTCCTTTCGACTTTGTTGAGCTACCGAACGAAAGCATACATAAGTAGTAGGTTACATACCTCCTGGCATCTAGAGCTACGTACGTACATATGTATATGTCGCGAAATCTATACGTGGTATGTAATAAGGCGTCTCTCGTCTTGATAATATCCTTAGTCATTCAACCAAGAAAGGCGTAACCACGGCCCCGTCCCATTCATCATACCCTCCCAAGGCCTCGGTGACTGGTGTTGAGATCGGAGATCAAACCGGGGGACCCTACCTATCTCTGCTACACACACAACGGATGAAACCATTTTTTTTTCTCTCTGGTACTTCTTTTCCTTTCTTCTTCTTCTCTCTCCCCAGTCTTCCCCTTGTTGAGTGAAACATTTCTCGACACTAACGAACCTAGGTCCTCTCGAGATGCAGAAATTTTGCACCGCTTTGATCGATGTGCATTTTGCAACACATCGGGTGGGTAGCCGTTAACCATCCAAGATGGTTATATATAGTGTGATTGCGGAGGAGTTTTGCGGGCTTTGTACCTATCACAGTGGAGCAAGCATCTAAAGTCTCTCGCTAGTGCTACTACTGTAGTTTTTGCAGTAGACTATTCTCGTAAACACCTACATAGGGCGTAAGAACGAAGTATGTGGCTTCACCCAAGGTTTTCCCTGTCCTCTCCCCCCTTTTTCCGCCTCTAGTGTCTGACTACGTCTTATTCCAGAAAAAAATTCTGCTTAGCTAGTTTCTACCATCTTTCAACTTCATCCGCCAACCCGGCCGGCCGCATTCGTTAGTTTCAATCCTTGCAGTGTACGTTGTAGTATGAGATTAAAGAGTGTATAATGTCCGTGTACGTGCCGTACTCCGTGGCCGTGTGGGCTGATATCCGGTCCACTTCGCCACTTCGCCACTCCGGCCTACTGCACGTTGACGAGACCGATTAGTCCCGGCTTGAACACGACGAAAGAGAAGGGGCATTTTGCGAGTTGAAATTTCTTCGCATCATCCATGACGAGTGCCTTGATCAATCTATGTCGTACAAGCTAGCAAATCCATGTCTGCGACATATCCCAGGTGCATATGCAAACCACCTACAGGGCGGCTACTTTTTAGTAGATAGTCATAACTGAGCATCTACTAGGCGCATATGTTATACGTTGCCCGTTATATATCTTGTGCGACGTAGCAAAACCGCAGAACCGCAGAACCGCAGAACCTCAGGCCGCCCGCCGGCTACTTTGATCCGGATCTTCCGCGCGGCGTATCTGTGCCAAGATCCTCAGCCACCTCTAATTGAATCTAGAACTGATAACCCGGTTCTCCTGTACATTACCATTTACTCACGTGGCTATCCTACTACAATCCCTTACGGGCCTTTTCTTTTTCTTTTATCACCTCCCGTCGGCTGAACCAACGAGCATAGCAAAAGAAAGCCATCTCGTTCAATATACAAGCCCGTGCCGCCCCTCTGCGACACTCTCGTCTTTTTCAAAGAGGCGGTCGGGGCTGACGGAATAGACCGAAGCTCGCTTTTATAATGAACCGTGTGATCGGCAACACATGTTGACTTCAGAGCGCCTCGTGCATGATGAGCAAGGCCTGGACTCTCATCCATCACTTTTCGACCCACGTTGAACCCACGTCAGAGTTCTGTCAGTTTCATGGCGACGACCTGTGTTTTGACTGCAAACATCGACTAGAAACGACCAGGGAGAAGCATCACTGGATCGGAGCAGGCGGAACCAACAATCCGACCCTTATTTGCTACGTATTATTTGCCTCAGCACTAAGGGACGACATGAGCTTCTATCATATCTCATAAACTGCAGGTGGAAAATTACATGTATGTATTGGGGGGTTGGGGTGGTGGTAGAGGGAAAATACGGTTCTGCGCTGCTCCTTTCAAATTTGAGCATCGTAAGCTCATCTTCGCGGCGTCGGGGCTCTTCCTAAAGAACCCCAGTTTTTCCAGTGCCGTAGGGGGCTTAGTCTTCCAGATCTCCCGACGTACGATGTGCCGCCTAGCACCGTCTATGGAACCCGAATTCCCAATATTTGGGAACGCCGTGCTCTCGGATAGCTACACCTTACGATCTTGGCGAAGAAATGCGAAGGTACAAGCACGGTACGGGCTGTATAGGACGAAGGATAAGCACAGCTAACCCTGTTGTGGTTGCGCCGAAACGCCTCTCTGCGGGTACTATGTACCATACTGTGCCGCTAGCGAATACCAGGTTCCAGCAGGAAGCCAAGCACGCCTCCAACATCTCCCTACTAGGGCAGTGTATGCACTTGCATTCCGCCCTCGAGAGATCTGAGGTATGGGGTCAGGGCCAGGGCTAAAATATGGGTCTGGGTATGGGTATATCTGCAAGGCGTGCTTGCATTAGGACTGGATACTGCGACGGTTGCCGCTAGTGCGAGACGGCCTGCCGGGCTGCTTTGCCCACTTTGCGCTGCAGAGAGGAGGGTATACCATGTTCTTCGGCATGCGCAGATTGCCACTCCTCCTTGCTGCAGCATGTCGGGACGCCGAGTAGCCATCTGATTGCTGCATAGGCGAGGACAGCAGCGAGTCGACGGCATCCTTTCGCTAGAGACACCCGCGCACATATGGATGAGCCAAGCATCATTGTGCTGTCATCGGGAGCCACGACACGAAGCCAACGAAAACGCGCGATAAGGGGGGATGTATAGGATCGATGCTCCTTTACCCTGCTGCAGCGAGGACGGCCAACAGAATCCAAGCACGGTGACGAGGTTCTGCACACATATCCGAAGAGATTTCCTCGTGTATAGGTATAGGTAGGTAGAGAGTGGCTGATCTCGATCAGCACAGTGATGGCCACACAAAGTCCAGGCTGTCTTAGAAATCATCGACAGTAAGACTGGGAAGGGTGCAACATAAGCCACGAACTCGTGAACTGTGCACAATTTTGTAATCGGATTACCCGATAAGGGCGTGTGAACGCATCAGGTACGGGTTCTGCATGTCGTCGATCCCCAGGAATCACGCTCTCGGAATTCGAAAGGCGAGAGGCGCGCTTGGGAAGAAATATTGACTAATGAGACCGTATTTCGGCCATTTTCGTCGCGTGACCCGTTGCAACTCGACGCAGGACGGGCTCCATTCCAAAGGAACCATTCCTTGCGTCAATCCTTGAATGGTGACGAATGAAGTCAGCCCATCCTCCACATTCGCTGAAGATGTGAACTTTTGTGAATTTGTGCGATTATGTATGAGTATCAGAGTTGAAATAGGGCAAAGTAGACGTTGAATGATGCTGACGATGATGATTTGGTACATTTACCTAGACAGGGGGTAAGGGGGCAAATTTTGGTTATTGGGCCTTACCAGCCCAACCCAAATCCCGTATGAGGAAAAAGAGAGTCCTTAGGTCCTTCCGGCTTCAAGTAAGCTTCGCAAAGTATGAGCTGCACAGTACCTTGCTCCATACATGTCCCATACCGTCAGTGACACTGCCCTTGGTACGTAGACTAGGGTGCGCACTTAATAAAGTAGGTACTCAATACTCATAAATACGCAAGCTTCGGCTAATGCCTTCCGGTAAATAAGGGGCCAAGCAGGTAACCACTAGGTACATAAGCACATAGCCACATTCCAGATTTGTGTACTCATAACGGAGGTTGGAAGTAGTTACCTTGTATACCAGCATTATCTTTGCATCGAAGATCGAGACTTCCAAGGTTCCTACTTCTCGCGAAGAGAAAAAGAAACATTTGAACTTACCTTTCCCTTTCCCACTCTCCATACCTCCATGCTTCCATAGCTCTGGACTCCCCCATCCCTATCAGGTACGACTCCACTAGTAGGTATATCTGTCATTCTTTACTCTTATTGTCCACTTAAGCCGTCTAGACCCCCCTCCAGGCTCCTCGACAAAAGCCACCCGTCCAGTGAACTCGGGCGGCATAGCAGAATGTCGTATCGGTCAACCGGCGTTGGAGCACTTTCGGGCATGTTCGGTCATCAAATCAACAGCTGTCTTTCATGATTAGGTAGCTTGATCGACCTCTTCACGTCAATAAGCGCTCCAATAGTTGGTTCCTCGAACTTCAGCTTGGAGGTAACTTAGAAGATTTCGCCTTTATCAAGAAGGTAAACCAAGTGATCATCATCTTGGTATGTCCGATCTGATAAGACCTAGAAAGATCATTAGTTAATCCATAATCTATATCCATATTCAGAACAAGCCAATCACACATACCTCTCAATCTCGGCATCCTGCCCTCGAAACCGGTGTCCTTGTGATTCAAAACAAAAGTTTCAGGTTGATACAAGCCCGTATCTCACGATGAGCTGACACATGTGTAAACTTATGCAATCCAGTCCCGCCACCGAATACCACCAACGACTAACTCAAGCTAGAGTTAGAGAATGAATGAAGGCTATCCTAGTCTTGATCCGAGCTCTCGGTCTATCTCCGTACAAGGTAACTCGGGGTTGCGCCGAAAGGAGTCAACCTCCGACCGTGCGTAGCATGTTTTCAAGAATCCCAACGTCATATGGTGCGATTCTTAGAAATATAACTTCCAATACAACAAGGACGGAGTCAAACTTGACATATGAATAAGTGAGAATCTAACATACTTGGTAAGTAGGAGGGGGTAGTCAAAGCTTTATATTACCTTTGCGACACTTATCAAGGGGTCTTCCGGGTTGCCATGCGAGACCTCCCCATCATCAACTTGTGCAACAGTCGCATACAGATCAGATGTTGTCCACTCTTAAGATCTAACGCCGTGTTACAACGCTGGGGCGACGACTCAAAAATAAGCACTAAAAAGTGATCACTTAGATCTTGGAGGTACGGCATAGCCGTGGAGCCGCATAGCTTCCAGGTTCTCGACCACGTGGGCCGGCAGACCTGCAGACACCAAACGGCCCATTCAACATGTGTTCTGCGTATGGGGCTAGTCTAGGCCCCTTGTTATGATCCGCAATTAAAGGAAGGCGGAAAGACTAGGAGAGGGCGGCGAAATCGAGATCTACCGACAGGATTAGTCACGAGGCATCTAATAAAGATGAGGGTTGCGCGCTTTGCAGTGTTTCTTCGGAACTGGGTGGCTTTGTTGGCAACCTACATGTAAGCATGAGCACCAACAGGCGAAATCAGCTGTATGAGGATGCATGATCTCCTCGTGAATCACCGTATCCAAAACATTCCAATTGGAGATTATACGAATGCAACACAGGTCAATAAGGGCTCGGGCTTCCTCGATATGCCCACATCCATTTTTCCACCGCCATTCTTTGTCCATACCACCACAATGGTGCCCTAGGATGGTATCCCCCCCTTTACGATATTTGGGTGTTTTGGGCGTAGAGAAGGTTATGACGTCCTCGTCAAGACGCTGTGTGACCTGGTACAGGCCCGGTGGTGTAGAGTTGTATGCGAAGCATATCGAGCAGATTGAGGGTAGTAAGCCGAGTGATGACTTTTACATCCGAAATAGGGCGTAGTACCCTCCTACGGCGCCTACATATATTTAGATATACCAAACATGTTAGAAACAAATCATGTTCTTGCCCTAACCATGTCTGACCATGGTCCATTGAGTCTATTGAAATCTACGGTATGGGCTTCCATCCAGTCATACATGATAGTTCTCATAAATACCCGACCGCTTCGTATGGCTTCGAGAGGCAATCAATAATATTGTCACCCCACGTCCTCGTTCCCCATCCGACTACAGGAATTAGATTATCAAATAGGTTTGTTATGGGGGTAGCAGATCACGGATATACGTTCCCTCCGCGATAATCCCTTTTATGTGTATTATTTTCGACTCTTACGCAGGTTACTCACACCACACGTTTTAATTATAATATTAAACAGCCCGTTATTGGCGTTTGTATCTCGTAGCAGTTAGTGTTTGACCACTCTCATAAAATATTGGTTAACATCTGAAATACCAAAGTTACAGTTACAGCGTCAGATGACTTAGCTAGATACACACTTATCAAGGAAGCAACTATTCATGAAGGGTCGGTATATTATTAAACACCAACATAATTATCGTAAAAAGCTATCTCATTTTCAAAAGAAAGTATGATAAGGCTTCTTGACAAGCAAACAATTATTCTCAGAGACGTGTTAAAAATACATACCGACTTCACCTATTCCAAACGTGTACTAAGTATCTCGGACAGAAAGGCTACGTATGTAATGAATATGGGGAGCTAGCGCTTTAGACGCAGAAGAAAGGTACGCTGATCTCGAAGGGAGTAGATGATATCATAGAAGCTCAAAATCCCTGTAGGAAGACCTGATTCACAAAGAGTTTCTCATATACCTTAGGTACCTATATTGTCACTTTCTCTTTTTATTTCATACGAAAGGTTTTGCTAAGATAGTCCACGAGATCTTATAAGTATTCCTTTATGAATTACATGAACAGATTAGAGAACGCAGTAATTAAATCTCAACTCACGTAGATTAGAAGATAATGCCAGAGCAACCCTTAGAAACACTTTCCTTAGTGAGATTATGATATCCATATTCCCCTAGTCCCCTATTCGGTCTTTAAGATAACTCTTGCTCAACCACCACTTGAATCTCACATGCGCCCGTAGTCAATTTTACTGCGATATGTTATTCTGCCATTTCCTTACCTTATTTATCATGTCATATTCACGATCAACCGATACATCAATTCAGAATACATGAATGTGTAACTATTCTTACAGTCCCCGAAAAGGTTCAAACCAATTATATCAAGATTTCTACCCGATCCGAACTCACAAACCACGACATTTTCCATGGTCTCTAATTCTACGATGTATTCCACGATGTCCGGTATCTTTGTCTTAGGTATCCTGCCGAGATCATGCTCTTATTATTCTGGTCTAGACTTGTTCGTTGTCAAGTGTACCTAATAACCTCTTCAATAGTTAAATACGTCATGTTGAGAAATACTTGACCAAAAGAGATATTATATTAATGTCATTTTAACCAGTAAGGTTCACCTGTAATACTTTGACTACCAAGCTGGTCTTCGGGACAAGTGTTACAAGTTAATCAAAGTTAATGTTCAGAATAAACAAAACGCACACCCGTCGTTTCTCTTCTGTTCTATGAATCGCGTAGTTCCTTGACATTTATATACTTGTATGATCCTTGCATCGACCCACGGTAGTTCCCAATGATAATATTACATCACCTACAAACCAACATCCAATCGAGAAAATACTCACATTTCGTGACGAGATTTATGCCAACTCTATCTCACGAAACTAGGATTGGTACCTAGGTAATTATTCAACTAAGCCGGTACTCAAGAAAAGTCTGAACTCAGCGAGTGCTTTCAATGATTGAGAGCCTTCTCCCTCGAGAATCGAAGAGGGAAACTGCCTAATAGACGAAGGAGTAGCTGATCCATCTCTCTGGCGGGGTTTCATGTCGAATGGCAATTAGATATTACGTAATACGCTCACCTTAGCCACTGTGGGGTTTGGAGCACACCCTTGCACATATGCATGTGGAGACTAAGTATATAAGTACATAATCTAGGTATTTTTGGCACCTTACGTACTCCTGGTACAAAGATTATGTAGGCTTCGTTACTTTAACGTCAACCATAGATGTCCCTGGACTTACGTAGAATCTGAGCTGATCTTGCCATTTTGTTGGAAGCAAACAATCGGTGCCTTATAGGCATTGTGTTGCGAAAGGCCCCAACATAAAGTCGTCAGGAACTCTCTACGTGTACCTCCACAGGTACGCGTGCGTAGGTATGTAATTGGCGGGGTTCATGGTACCAATGTAGGTACGCAGGTAGTGGTCCCTTCCAATTGTTCCAGTTGAGGCTGTAAACCGGAAGCTTCCAACGTTAAGCTTCACCTATCACCTATCAATTATCAGTTATCAAACCCAAATCCCCCACCGTTGTGCATCAGGCGGGTGTTGTTATGACTTCTAACTTTAAGAAATTGCGCCACTTACCTTTAATCATTCATTTGGTCATCCTCTAACAGAAGGTAGCTGCATTTGTTGAGGTCGACTTATCTGTGATGACATGGCTATGGCGAAGCCTGCGAGCTCCGAAGGGGCGCTTCGAGTGAGCAGAAGCTACATGGAGACTGGTCGCAAGAGGGTAAGTACCTAAGCAGCTAACGTTGTGTGGCTTCTGAGTTACCCGTCGCTTTTCTAGCCTCACCCGCTGATTACTTTGATTAACTTGACTGCCTTCAATGTATTCCGACAACCTGCTGACATCGTCCTCCTCATAGCACCGAATTCCAAGCTCAGTACAAATCCCCTTCGAGAGTTCCCTGCACCTCGGCGTAATCAACCAAGATCACGATATGGATATTGAACCTCCTGACGATGACGACGACGACGACGATGACGACGATAATGATACCACCATTTCTGACGGAAGTGACCAAGAGGATGATGCCTTGTTGGAAGATGCCGCGTTCTTATTTGATGAGGCTCCCGAAATTAATGATGGAGCAGTGATAGTAGATATGATGACACCACAAGGACTCCTAGCTGCTGGATTCTTTGATGATGGTATGGAACTTGCCGATCCTGATGATGAATCAGATGAGTCAGATGACCAAGACGAGGCCGATGATACGGTGGAGGGAGAAGGCCTGCCGCAAGTTGCGCCGTGGAGGATGAATCTCACGGCGTTATCGCAGGTCTACAATATTTACATGGTAGCATACACTGACAAGATCTATGTCTCTCGGCCCCGTAGCTGCGTTACCAATGCCCTGCCTGCTGAGCCTGATCTTATTTTGCAACCCAAAGCAAGTACGATGGGCATTGATGTTGGTGGCTACTTAGACGAGAACTTTCCGCATCAGGTTAATCATCTGATCGTTGGCGCCTTCGGGAATGAGGAAATTCTACTGCTTGCCTACGATGACGGCGACGTTATAGGCTACTACACCCATCACATCGAGAACGAGCTTCTACGCCGTGAGAGGGAAGGTCGGAACCATAAATCTGTTCCTACCCCCTTCTTCCACGAAAACGTTGAGAAAAGCGCCTGGGGATTAGCAATCCACAAGCAATCTCGCATCATCGCTGCCAGTTCCAACACCCACAATGTCTCCGTCTTCATCTTCGCCTTGACCGGTCATCCATACCGACATACGCCTGAGGTTGACGAGCTCGAACTCTTCAGAAATGTTGTTAAAGACGAGCATGGCAAATTTGTGGATCCAAAGACGGGCTCATCACAGGCCTCCGATGCTACTAAGCACGGTTCAAATGATTCCAAGATTGCTGCACTGGAAAGTGCAGTCCGACGTCGAGATGCTAATTGGCGTATTGTCTTGGAAACTGGTCGCATGGGCGCCAACATTCCCAATATTGCTTTCAGCAGCGACGCCGATGGAGAGGCAGACAAGGTTGTGGCGGTAGACATTAACGGAAGACTTTGGTTGATGGATATCTGGAATTTTGACCAACGCCCCTACGTCAAAATTGATGGTCTTCACCCAGGCCAGCCTCGTCTAAGGCACCAAGGAATTACCCTCCATTCGCACAAGTGAGTTTATCCTATTTCCTTACACCGTAGGAGTGGCTAAATGTGATTTAGACCTAGGGGTTGGGGTGTACTCGTATTACCTGAAAGTAGTTTTCTTCCGATGAAGAATAAAGAGGATGCGATTGGTATGTCATTGGACGATGCCAGATACGTATCGAACGACAGGGTCGGCAATTGGATAGATATCAGCCCGGGCATTAAGAATGTAGAAAATAATTCCCGGGTGCATCCGTGGGTGAGATGGGGACATCATACGCAATTCGCCTTCAACCCTCTAGAGCCTAGAAGGGCGCAGTTAGAGGCACCATGGTTTGATTTCGATGGCCCCAAGTCGGCTTCTTCGGTGAAGGACCACGATGAAGATAGGATGTCACGTCGCGAACGCGAATCTCGCCCGGGTTATAAAAACCAACCGAAACGTAAGACCGTCTTGGCAGATGGAAGCAGTATCATGCGCACGTACGAAATGGATATCGAACTTCGCAGCTTTGAGCAAGACGGTAGAGGCATCATGTTCGAAAAGGTCATTGATCAAATGCGGCCTTCACAGGCAGTATTACCTTTGATGAGAGTGGCACATGAGCGTCTAGCAAACCTCATTCATGTCCCTGAGTTGTCGTTGGTGGTAGCTGCCTCATTATGCGGAAGGGTAGCGCTGGTCACCTTAACGCGCCCAGAGGAAAAGGGCCTCTCTTTCAAACGAGCATTCAGGGTTGAGGCTATTTTACCCACCGCACTGGACGAAGATAAAGGGAGGCGACCCATATGCCCCTTGCTGGGCGTGGCTGTCGGACCTGTTCCATTTTCCGGAAGCCCTGAACTAGCAGACAGGCCTATTAACGCAAGGCCGTACCGTATCATGCTTCATTTCTACGATCTTAGCATACTGAGTTATGACCTGTCCCGGAGTTCAGCGACGGATTCTCTCTCTATTAGCTGAAGATATCATTTCCCTTCTTCCCTAGACTATGCTGTCATGATACCCAGGGGCTTTTGCAAACTACTTTCAGATTGAGGCTGGTAGGCGTTTGGGTTGCATGAGAATGACGGATGGTGGACGAGGCTCACTTAATCATCCGGCAGCCCGTCCCGGTAAGGCGTTAGGTGAAACATGAATGGAAATAATGGCACGAATAAAAACAAGTCTCTGGGTCAATTCCTTTTAGGTATCTAGGTACTGGGTACTGAGCAGCCAGGCTTGATATGTAGGTACGCGATACGAAATACAGTGGCGGCTGACCCGTGGGGAAATCAGATCGCCGCAGCAAGGATGTTTTCTTCTAGAAGAATTCTCCACGGCAAGGATGATGAGGATACATACAGGTAATATGCCAGGAACATGAATTTGGACCTGCGCTCTCTCTGTTCGGGCAGCCACTCTTACGCATTAATAATAAAAGACATGATGAATAATGAGCTAAGCTTTACCCATGATGCCTATTTCATACTGAGTAGGTAGGTGCCGATGCTTCGGATATTCAGGAGTACGTTCAATAAGTTGAGCCACTCATATGAACCATTGAATTGGAAGCTCCATACCTACGTTAAGAAGTTACTGAAGTTGAACATTTACAAATAATTCCCATTCCCTTGACGACTTACGCTTAGGAGTAGTTAGATGAGTACGTACCTTTAGGGAGATCAGATGCCAAGCCGCGATTTCGTGGAGGAATGATAAATCGATGAAGCAATTGGAAGTTCTGATTGGATGGCAAAGTGAAGATAAGGCTCTAAGTTGACCTTTCCCTTCTCAGTCAGACTTTTGCGGGTCGCGCTTTATTTCCGGGGGTGGATGGGGTTTGGCGGGACCCATTTTGTCATTTAAAAAGGTAACTCTCGGGCAGGCAAGCTGACGAAAGAGACTTTCAGCCCTCAGCCCAAGGTTGCTAATTTCCGACAGCCTCATGCGCCTTCCTAACATGCGACTGTGACACGATATTCTCTCCGGCTGTTACCTTTGAAGTGGTCCGGGGACGGACGTAGGTAGAATTGGTACCATAGGCGATTTATTCGGGTGACACCGACGCCACCTACCTTCTGATGTTTTAAACATGAGGGTTGAAACGCACGTGTCTAAATGGTTACCGAACCAAGATAGCCAAGAGGTGGTATCTCTCAGCAAATCGACAGCTTGACATCATACCTACCTAGGCATGGTACTCGATTTTTACAGCACCCTATGTGGAAATTGTTAAGGGGGTACTTCCACATCTTCTTGGCTTCAATCAAAAAAAGTCGTAACCCATCGTCGATCCCGGCACTAGCGGACCATGTCTCTTAAGAGACAGCGCTGTTGACTAAAAAGACATTGATGACATATCAATGCTGCAAAAAATCTCTCAAGCCCGCAGCCTGTCGTGCCTAGGCTTGAAGGGCGCGGGATGTTTTGAGGCTAAGCGACATTTTTCGTTGCATTTCGTTTGGAAGCTAGTTGGTCACTTGCATGTGAATTAAGCAGTTGGGATGATGGATGGTTATGCATACCTAGCACCAAATACAAACGGGCAAGATCGTGAAGTTGCAAGATTTTGCGGCTAATACATGGTTAAGCTTTAACGGTTCGAGAAGATCCAAGGTATCTCGCGGTTTTCGCCCTTGTCGCGTCCCCCGGTTCTACGCAGCTGGTTCCGATCTCAGCCCCATTGCACGACTCGTTCAAGGATAGAAGCAAAAGATAGGAATTGTTCGGGCTGAAGGCTGGCGTTTTCATTCGCCTGAGTCGAGGCTGTTGCAAATGGTTTGCAGGGAAGCAGACAAACTATTTCGTAACAGATACTCCCGTCCCACGCGATCTAAAGGGCTCAAGCTTCGCTTGGCTATGGAACTAGGGGACCTGCATTCGAGGGACCCTTGGGCTTGGGATCGGCAACGACAAGAAATTATACGACTTGGACTTCGTCGTCGCTTGCGACTACGACGCAATGAGATATCGAAGATCACGAAAAAGAATCTTTTCTGCACACATTGACGACATGATGTAGTGTGAATTATTAGCGCTGCTACCGAACCCCTAGACCTGGCAATTGGAAATCCTAGTAACGCGAGAGCCCCCCGGCCGTGCAGTAGGTAGCCGCGTAGCTCCACGTACCCCACAAACTCCGGATATTCCTAGACCAGGAGAAGGACGACGATACCGACAAGGGCTGAACATTGGCAGAAACATCAACGTAAGCTGGTAAGCTGCCACTTAGATATCCGGTTGGCTTATGTCTCCTTCAGTTCTGATTAACCCCCAAGACATGGTGAAACAGATCGGAGCTGAATAAACAAGCCCGAAAGATTGGAACCGACGAGCCGACGAAAATGGGCAGAGGTTCGTACTAGTCACCAAGATTGTTCATGAACAGGTTCCCGATGTTGTGGACATGCCCAGCTAATTCGTGAGGATGGACCCTGAATAAGGTACCTGTCTAGATTCCTACATGTACCTAGGCAAGGTAAAGGCCTCGGTCTAGGAGACTCAGCGATGTCGCTCATAGGACGTGCCTTCTCGCACACCTGGAAGTGACTGCTCTGCTACTCTACATTACACAAACTATGACTCTGGTAACTGCCTCAATGCATGTACTATGTAAGATGTAAGCCTCCGGTGGAGACATACATGGGGGTCCCATAAAAGGTGTAGGTACCCAACCATCATTAGGGTTTGGGGAAGTGCACCCCGGTACTCGATTACATACGGGCTACAAGTAAGACTTTGAACTTTGATTGGCCGGATACTTATCTATCATCCCAAATTTGGTCCCGTCTTCTTTCAAGGTCCATGTTGCATCTTCATACCGGGGTCTAGCCAGATCTTCAAAGTCTAAGAAAAATCTCGGTCTCGGTCTAGGTATTCTCTCATATATACTCGCGTAGATCCCGCCTCGTTGCGAACTTACGATCAGATGTTGTTTCAATTCTTCTTCGCCTCTTCCCATCCTCGACGCCCTCGTTTCCGAGTAGATATCACCGCCTAAGTACCCACCCCGAAACGGCATTCCCGATACAAAGAAACCGAACACGGCCGTTTAATCACTGATCTTCAACGACCACCACCCTTCAACCGGCAGCATGTCGTGGCAACCGTCCTACTCGTGGACCGGTGCGCCCACCACGTTCAATGGCACGAACGCTGAGACCGGAGGCGATTCCAGTATGTACAACTATACACGATTCTTGACAAATTCAAGAAAAGAGGGAAAGGGCAAAAAGCGCCCTTACGACCGAAACTAACTCGATCCTCTCGTAGACACCGAGAACCTGAACCAATGGTACCAATCGGGTGACCAGGCGTTCATCCTCGTTGCGGCATGTATGGTTTTGCTGATGGTGCCCGGAATCGCCTTTCTGTATTCCGGCCTGTCGCGAAGAAAGTCGGCTCTGTCCTTGATCTGGGTCTGCATGATGTCTTTCAGCGTCATCATCTTCCAGTGGTACTTCTGGGGCTACTCGCTGGCTTTCAGCTCGACCGCCACCAATGGTTTTATCGGCAACCTTCACCATTTCGGCCTCATGAACACCCTCGCGGTGCCCTCTCCCGGTTCCCCTTTAATACCTGAATTGCTCTATTCTTTCTACCAGGTTAGTTTTGCCTTTTTTTTTTTTTTTTTTTCCTTCGCCGCCTTCAAAAAATGAATATTTCTAGTGATCTGAGAACTTATCGGCTAACGCGCGATTCAGATGATGTTCTGCGCCGTAACAGCAGCTCTCGTCATTGGGGCGGTTGCCGAACGTGGTCGCATGCTTCCCGCCATGGTCTTCACCTTCTTCTGGGCCACCCTGGTCTACTGCCCACTCGCCTGCTGGGTTTGGAATATAAACGGATGGGCCTTCAACTACGGTGTCCTCGACTATGCCGGAGGCGGGCCTGTCGAAATCGGTTCCGGTCTATCCGCCTTAGCCTATTCGTGGGTCCTCGGCCGACGTCACGAGAAGATGATGCTCAATTTCCGTCCTCACAACGTTTCCCTAGTCACTCTTGGCACCGTTTTCCTGTGGTTCGGCTGGCTCGGCTTCAACGGTGGATCTGCATTCGGCGCTAACTTGCGCGCGACGATGGCCTGCTGGAACTCTTGCTTGACTGCCACATTTGCCGCCATGACCTGGTGCCTGCTCGATTTCCGCCTCGCAAAGAAGTGGTCGATGGTAGGATGGTGTTCTGGTGTTATTTCCGGTCTCGTTGCCGCTACCCCTGCGTCGGGATTCATCCCTCCCTGGGCATCTATTATCCTGGGTGTTGTTACTGGAGTGTGCTGCAATTTTGGCACTAAAGGTATTTCACTTGAAAATTCAAATTATGAGAACAAAAGTTAACATCTGAAACAGTCAAGTTCCTGGTTAGAATCGACGACTCCCTCGATGTATTCGCCGAGCACGGTATTGGTGGCATCGTCGGTCTCATCTTTAACGCCCTGTTCGGTGCGAACTACATCATCGGTCTGGACGGCGTCAACAACGGCGTGTACCCCGGTGGTTGGATCGACCACCACTACGCACAGCTGTACATCCAGATCGCGTATATCGTAGCGGCTTGCGGTTACAGTTTCGTCATGTCGGCCATCATTGCTAAGCTGATCGACCTCGTGCCGGGCCTACACCTGCGCGCCACGGAGGAAGCGGAACTCCTGGGCATGGACGACGACCAGCTCGGCGAATTCGCATACGACTACGTCGAGGTGCGCCGCGACTTCCTGGCCTGGACCCCGGCCAAGGAGGAGCCCACTTCCGGCGGCCACCGCTTCATCCCCCAGCACGGCATCGAGGAGCACCAGAACATGGCTAACACGAACGGCCACGTCCTCGAGAAGGAGCAGGAGAAGATGGGAGCTTCGGTCAGGGCCCCTGCTAAAGAGGAGGCCGCCGAAGAAGCCGCGGACGCGGACGCGGCTACCGAAAGTAGCAGTCGATGATGGCCCATCGCGTGAAATGGGCCCCGTGTATTTTTGCTCCGTGGGAGGGTTGCGCTGTGGATACAAGTTGGCTACATAATACCCATCAGTTCTTCGGTTCTCTTATTTGTCTTGTATCAGGAGTCGGAAAAACATATATCAGGGAGGCTTAAAAAAGATCTGCTTAGGGGCGTGGTGTATAAGGCGTTGAGATGTCGTTGAATACCAATCTAGCTGAATTGAGTTGCTGTTGAATCTGAATCGTTTCGTCTCGGATTCTTAGGTACCTTGTCTTTGGTTAGATGTGATTCGGTGTGATGTTTTTGACTAATATTTTAAGCACTTCTATATCCTATTTATAGGTACTAACGGATCTATCATGTACGTGCTCGTGAACAACCGCCCCTTTTTCCATCTGCATATGTACACTACTACCCCCCCTTACAGCAAGTAACTTATAGCATCTACCTAGTACTTACATCTATATATATATGCACCAAGTATCATGTTGATATAATCCATACCTCAACTCTTCTCGCCACATGCAACTAGATGATAAATACTAAGCAGTATCAATCAAGTCGTGAAGATTTGCCTTCACGTAGTCAGCTTTTATTAACTTTCTTGATGTAATAGGAACCTACCTGGTGCTTACCTAGACATCTATGTAGATAATTACTAGGTAGTTTCCTTCTCTAACCTCTCATTACACCACGTCACATCAAGCTTAATAGCATATCACTCTGCAAACACAACCACTGCATTAAAACCTTGCCTTTATCTTGAAATATCCTCTTATTTACTTGCAGCTACATGCGAAGCACAGGCAGGCAAGCCAGTCAGTCGCTCATAGCAACCGATTAGCTCTCCCTCTCAAATCCCAGTACGTGCTCTACTCATCTACTCCTCAGCCTATATAGCACTTGCTCCTCGCTCGAACTCGAAAAGCTTTGCCGCATTCTAGGCGCACACCTAATCTATTCCAGCTTCAGGGCCTCGAACTGCTTAATCGTGCCCTCGAAGCCCTTCGCCTCGGACTCGAAGTCCGCGAGCCTCTTCTTGTCGGCCTCCTGGATGGCGGCCGTGACCTTCTGCTGGTAGCCCGGGTCGGACAGGAGCTTCGACTGCTTCGCGATGGCGAGACGCGTCTTTTCGAGCTTCTTGTTGGCCTTGGAGATCTCGTCGTCGATGTCTACGCGACCCTTGACATGCAGGAACACGGCCGCCGAGCTTGACACCGGGAATGCCACACATCCCGCCGGCCGGGGTTGCGAGCCCGAGATTACCTCGATGTCGGTGACGCCCTTGCCGCTTAGCGATTTGATGGATTGCACCTGATCAACTGCGGTTTGGTGTGCGGTCTCATCGTAGGTTTGTACGAAGACTGTAGTCGTATGTGTTAATTTACATCCATGAATTAAGAATTACGAATGTCTTCAAATAACTTACCCTTAGCTTCGTCCTTCAGCGCATACTCGGCCATCAGGGACCGAATACCCTTAGAACAGCCCTGGACGAGCTCGTATGCAGCCTCGGCTGCGGGGTCGTCCAACTCCGGATCGTACGTAGGGTATCGCGCGAGCATGATCGATGGGGTTTCGTCGCCAGGTCGCCGCGGAAGCCGTTGCCATAACTCTTCCGTCAGGAAAGGCATGAATGGGTGGATCAATCTTAACGCATTGTCAAGTGCTGTGTATAGAGTATCAACGGCCGAGCGCTTCTCGTCTGCCGTACCATCCTGGATAAGGGCCTTCGAGTTCTCTATGTAAACATCGCAAAGATGGTTGTACCAATACTGATACACCGTCAACGTTGACTTGTTGAACTCTCGGTCTGCTATAGACTCGTTGATCTCCTTGGCGGCTGTGTTCATCTTGTGGAGGATCCACTTTTCAGCAAGGGATTCCTTTCCGGTAAGTTTTCCGGTCTTTTGAGGAATAAAGTCTTGGTCTATTTTACTAAGCACATACTTCGTGGCCTGGTAAATCTTGTTGCAAAACTTTCGGTAACCGTGCATGACTTTGATATCGAAATTGATGTCTCCTCCGCCGGTGGTGTAATTGACCATGCAAAACCGAAGAGCATCGGCTCCACATTGGGGAATACCATCTGGGAAAGCCGTCTTTTGGTATTTCGTGGCCTTCTCGACCTCACTAGGGTGCAGGTTTCCAAGAGCTAGCTTTTCGTGAAGTTTCTCTAGGGGAATTCCACTGATGACATCAAGAGGGTCAATGACATTACCCAAAGACTTGGACATTTTCCTTCCCTCTGAATCTCGCACGAGGGAGTGGCAGTAAACTTCGCGGAACGGAATCTCTCCGACCATCTTCAGGCCTAGCATAATCATCCTCGCAATCCAGAAGAACAAGATATCCCATCCGGTTTCGAGGACACTCGTCGGGTAAAGCGTCTGCAAGTCATGGGTCTTGTTGGGCCACCCAAGAGTTGAAAAGGGCCATAATCCGGAAGAAAACCATGTATCTAACACGTCTTCATCACGTTCCAGTGTGAACTTCTTGCCCGGCAAAGCTTTTTCAGCCTTTGCTTGAGCCTCTTCCTCCGTTCGGCCAGAGAACCACAACTTGTCGTCTGCCCGATCACCTGCCTCACCCTCAACGTTGGCGAAGTAGACGGGGCATTGGTGGCCCCACCAGAGTTGACGCGAAAGACACCAGTCATTAATATCTTCCATCCATCTGTAGTAGCTCTTTTCGGCGGTTTCCGGCTTAATTTTGATCTCGCCATTCTTCACTACTTTGATCGCCTCGGCAGCCAGATCCTTCATTCTCATCCACCACTGGGGCTTCATGATGGGTTCGATGATATCCTTTGACTTCTCGCAGAGAGGGACTTTCATAGGATTGTCTTTCTTATCCACGTACAGTCCGCGCTCCTTAAGATCAGCTTGGATAGAATACCTTACATCAAATCGCTTCTGGCCCTTGTATGGACCGGCATTCTCATTCATAAGGCCATCATCTGTCAGGATATTGATGAACTTTAAGTTGTGTCTCTGGCCCAGTGCGAAATCGTTGGGGTCATGAGCTGGGGTGATTTTTACGGCACCGGTACCAAATTCTAGATCAACGTAGTCATCAGCCACGATAGGCAGCAGACGACCAGGGATAAAAGGGTGGATGGCATTCTTGCCAACGAGATGCTTATATCGTTCGTCCTTAGGGTGGACGGCGATACCAGTATCACCCAGCATCGTCTCGGGACGTGTAGTGGCTACCTCAATCGTCTCCTCAGTTCCCTCGATGGGGTACTTGAAATGGACGATAATTCCGAATTCAACCTTCTTGTCGTATCCAGGCACATCGAGAAGCGTTCGCCCAGCCAACTCCTTGTTGACGACTTCCAGATTAGAAAGCGCCGTGTTGAGCTTCGTACACCAGTTGACGAGGCGATTCGCACGATAGATAGTCCCCTCCTCATGAAGCTTGACAAACGTTTCTGTTACGGCCGCACTGAGGTTCTTGTCCATAGTGAAGGCTTCTCTACTCCAGTCGGTCGAGCCACCCATCTTACGTTGAGCATTGTTGATTCTCTTGTGGTAATCTTCTTTCCACTCCCAGACGGTCTCTACGAACTTCTTACGTCCCAGGTCGTGTCGAGTCTTGCCCTGCCGTCTCCATAACATGTTCTCGACAACGCTCTGGGTGCTAATACCGGCATGGTCACAACCCGGTAGCCATAATGTCGTCTTGCCATGCATACGGTTCCACCTAATCATGACATCCTGAAGAGAATTGCCTAAAGCGTGACCCATATGTAGAGCTCCCGTCACATTGGGTGGTGGTATGACGATCACGAAGGATCCCTCCTCTTTCACCTTGCCATCAGGGGTGAATTCAGGCTTGAAGAAGCCAGACTTCTCCCACCACTCGTACCAGGCACTCTCAACGGCGATCGGGTTATAAGCTTTCAGCTGGGGGTCGTCGAGGGATCGAAGTTGCTTCTTCTCGCCGGCGGGAGTCTCTTCGACATAAGAAGGGAGGGCCTCTTCCTCGGCTTTCTGAGCCTTGGCCTTCTTCTCCTTGTTCTTGCTGGCGGCAGGGGCTTGGGCAGCAGCTTTGGCCTTTTTCTGCTCGAACTTGGCAGCCTTCTCAGCCTTCTTGCGCTCCTTCTCTAGCTCCTTTTCGGTCTTGACCTTGGCGCCAGCTGGTGCTGCACCTGCATCTTGGCCTTGGGCATGCACACCAGGACCGTCGGACTGTCCCGCAGCTTCTTTCACAGCACCCTTAACGTCGGCGGGAACTGGGGGCGGTGCGCCCTCGCCGACTTTGCTTGGGCCCTCGGATGCGTTGATAGGGTTACCACGACCGCTATTAGTAGCCATTGTGGCACGATTGAAGTGAAGAATTGGTCTGTATGGCGGCCTGCGCACCCAGAGTGCTCTTAGTAATAGCCTAGACAACTTGACGGTATTTTGTGCGGAGGAAGTTAAGAGGCGGTTCGTGGCATTTGGTTGAAGTGGGATGTTTATATTAAAACCCGTGTCGCTTCCTTCCGTTCTCGAAGTTTTCTTGACTCACACTGTAAAAAGGTAAGAGTCACGGAGGGGTAAGCACCACCGGTTATTATCGCTTATCGATAATTGATAGTGGGATGTTAGGTGTACTCCGGTACCTCGTATGTAAAACCAATTGCTTCACCACTTCGTTACTCACAGCGAACATCCGTAAGCAATACGTTCATAGCATCTATTAAAAGCACAAGATATCCATATGTTATGACTCCATTGTATTGATTTATGTTTCGGTAAGAGTCATAATGAATTATCTTGTTATATCATCACGCATTCTCCACACTCTCTTAGACGTGGACTCCTAGATTCATTCGTCATAAGAACGACCTGTAACGAGTATAACACACACAATGGCCCAGTCAGTCTCTTAGGTACGAATACCTACTGGGTAGGCATATCACAAAGCGTATACTTTGACCAATGAAAAGAAGTACAAGACAATATGGGATTTCTGTATATACAACCTACTAGAGTGGTGATCCTCCTAATTACGGTGTTTGACTATGGGTAACTCTCATTATCCATCCATGGATATCACTTAGGACATATTGCTCCCTATAACACGTCTACTCTCCGAGCGAGGAAAAAGCAACCTAAGCCACGCTGGGGTATACCCGACCATACCGTACCATTAATTCCTCCAGCTGTTCCCCCCAGCGACTCCCCAAAGATTCCTCAGATAGAATCAAGCGCTCCCCGAGACCTTCGCCGTCTGACTAACCTCCACCCCGGTAGTGACCTCGGGACCCGTATGCGCATCGAGTTCGGGGTCATTCGACGTCTCCTCCGAAACCGTAGGCAAACTGCCAACTTCCACCCCAGACGAAACCCGCGGTAACGCCGCCCTTTCACCGTCCGCATCTGGGCTCTTGGCCTTCTCTTCCTTCTTCCCTCCCCCGTTAGGCGCTGCCTCCTTCGTCTGCGCCCTCCTCCCCCTCTCCCTCGCGATCCACCCCAGGAACAAGGGCACGTCCTTCCAGATAACCGCCGGCGCCGCCAGATTCTGCACCCAGGCGGGCAGAACGCCCGCGGCATCACTCGCCGTCGCCATCAACCACTCGATCTTCCTTTGGCCCCCATCTCCTCCTCCGATGCCGCGTATGCGCTCCACACTAACATAGAACGCGACCTGCGCGCCCTTCTCCCTCGCCAACTTGCTCTTATCAGACCTCTCCCCATAATCCGGCACCGGGATACTCGCGACCACGAACTCCCTTCCCCCCTCCCCCCCGGTCCCAGACCCCAGCGCCGCCGCCGTCATCTGCAAAACAGGAAACGTACGGTCCTTAAGCACCGGCTTCCCAATACGGTGCCGCATCTCCTCCACAACCAACTTGAACCGGCCCCACCGGACGCCCCCCTCCTCGACCTCGACGCCCGCGCAGTCCCAGCTCTGCGCCTCGTGCGCCGCCAGACACGCCGGCGTGAACGCCTTCTCCGACTGCGCGTGCTCCTCGCGGAAGGCCGCAACAAACTCCTCCCAGCTCGCCGTCCCGCGCTCCGCCGCGTCCGCGTGCACGCTGCGGCGGCAGCACCACGTCTCGCCTTTCACCTTCGCGTCCTTTCCCCCACCGCCCTTGCTTTCTCCGCCACCCTCGCTTGCCGCGCTGCTCCTAGACTCCACCTTCTCCAGCTCGGCGGCCGGGATGACGCGCTCCAGCACCTCGACCTTAGCCTTGGAATCCGGGTGCGTGTGCGTCCCCTTGAGCTTCCAGATCTTGGGGTCGGGCTTGGCGTCGCCGGAAGCTTTGGGCGCCGCGGAGTCGATGAATGGCACGGCCTCCTGCAGGATGGCGAGCAAAAACGGCGCGAGGTCGTCCGGCGACGCGGACGCCGCGGGCAGCTGCTCCGTTCGCAGGCCCCGTAGGCGGACTAGGGGGCCTAGCGTGTTTGTCGACATAGTATTTTGTGTAAGTTCTTTGTATATGATAAGTCTTTCAAACTATTTTATTTTAAACTCGGATGGATAAATTATGTAAGGGTATAAGAGCACGGGTTTTTAAACTCTCTCAGTTTGTATTGTAAAAGGTTGAGAATTCGGAAATGTTTGTTTGCTAGTTAGCGTTGCGTGTCTCACAACCCCCAGGTTAAGGTAAAATCTTGCTCGCAACTTTGTTGGAACCGTTTCAAGGGGCTGGGGGCTACCGATTCAAACCGCACCTCATTTACTACCTATCCATTAAAAACGCAAAAAAGCCCTAGAGCACTAGAAAGAGATAAGAAGTAGGTAATGTGGTGACACGAGCCCAAATTAACCCTAATGATCATTACATAGCGTTGTGTCGAATTCCTTAGGCAAAAGGCTCGTATGAGTTATCGAATATGTAGATCATCGACCCTATGCGACACTATATATCCGGCCTCAAAATGCCGAGTGCGTGATGTGTAGCTTCGACTGGCCTGCGTCATCCAATATGTGGGGACGCGCAAAAACATTGGGTTCCATGATCGATTGCCGGCAGGGTTCCCAGCTGGAACTCGACCAGTCAACCCCTTACTGTAGGAGGCTGAGTCGCATCTGCGTAGTAATAAGGGAGACAATCCGTACAGATTCATACTCGCCTGCAGTTCCGCGTCACATGCGGGGTGAGTCGCAATACGTTCGATAGGGGATAGAGGGTTACTTCTTTATGTTTATCTTATTAATATTAGTTAGTCTAGCTATATGCTGTCTTCTCTCGTGACATATCCGGCCAGGTTCTCTTGCCTTGGGCCGTGTTCATCATCTAATAGGTCGCATGTATATATGTACAGATCTCTAGTCATGGTATTCAGTCAAGTACGCCTCGCTTCCTGATCCAAAATCACTCCCAGTCTCGCTTTTCCCAGCGGATGTTAGCTGGCTCAAGCGGTCTCGAGAACATAGAGGCGTAATCTGTGCCAATAACGTCGCTGCCTCCGTCGACATTCCTGAACTTGAACGCGCGAACGATCATAGCATTAATGGTCTGCAACTGGACGTTGGCGAACTGTTCGCCGATACACCGATGCCTTCCAGCACCGAACGGAAGGTATGGTGAGTTTCCGCCCTTGCTGACCAAGCCATATCCGTAATCGATCTTTTCCTCTTCTTCTACGTTGTTTCGTACCACAGTCGGGGCAATAGGCGAGTTCTTGTCCCATCGCGTAGGCTCCCATTTATCCGGCTCGGGGAAATACTGGGGATCTGTCGAAGATACACCGGAGGCAGACAATAGAGTGTGGCTAGTAGGGATGACATATTTGGTTCCAGGGACTTGCAGAGGAGACTTGACAGCTCGCATAATAGAGTGGATAGGAGCGTGAAGTCTAAGCGTCTCTTTGATGATTGCCTGGTTCAGCGGAAGCTTGGCGAGATCCTCGTACTTCAGTGGTGGTAAGTCGGCACCAAGAGCCTCAACTTGCTCGCGGTACAAGGCCTCCATGATATCCGGGCGCGCAGCGAGACGCAGCATCATCCAAGAACTTGTTGAAGAGGAAGAGTGTTGGCCAGCCATGAGCAATGCAATCAACATGTGCGCGATCTCGTGGTCTGGGACAGGAGTGCCATTCTTGTAAGTAGAGTTCATCAAATGCCACATCATATCCTGCGCATCAGTCTTGCCAGCAGCACGGCGCTCCTTGATGATATCCATGTAAATCTTCGCTATAGTCCGCTGGGCGTGGTCGCGTCTCTTGTTCCAGGGTAACGGGGCCCAGTGAAGCATGAAGTTAATCGGAGTGAAGCCCATATCCAAATCGTGGTACAAAGCAGCCAGCGACTCGTCGAACTTGCTTCGGACCTGCTTTCCTTGGAGAGAATGCGAGGCAGTGAAGATGGTAATCTCGGCCATGTTCTTGGGAATGTTTACAATTCCGGACTTGCCCTTGAAATCGGGGCATCTCTTGAGGTAGCTGGTGACCTCGTCGGCGATGATGGGCACGTAGTTTTGGAAGGCGGCTGTAGTGAGGGCGATTTTCATAAACTTCTTTTGTTCCATGAGCTTGGAGTTAGGGCAGTCGTAGACGACGTCCTTCCCGAAGACAGGGGTAGTCAAGACGGTGTAGATGTCCTCGGCGCAGACATCCTTAATCTTGCCGTTAAGGATGAAGTCGTTGCCGGCGGTACCAAGATATACGGTGGTCTTCTTCCCAAGAAGGATAAAAGTGAAGATATCTCCATACTGTCGCGTCTCCTATTAGTACGCGACCTAATTAAGCGGGTCGGAGAATAAGGGGCACCGTACCTTTTTGCGGTTTTCCTTGAAGAATCGGGGAGGGTCCATTCCGTAGGTGATGGTGCTTCCTACGACAGGAAACCAGTGGAAAACGACGGGAGGCTCATTGGGGTTCTTGAAGAGGATTTGTTGCAAGACATTGAAAAATACGGTCAAGAATAAAGCGCCGACAGCGAAAACAACGACTTGCGCCGGAGTGGAAAGCTGCGACATGTATTGGGACACGGGTCCCTGAATATTCTCTAAAAGCCCCATTTCGAAAATCTATCGCTACTGAGCTGTTGTCCACTGCACATGTAGCTTGAAAGACTCTTGAAATGTGAGGATGAAAATGGGATAGAGAATATTAGGAGACAGTTTAATAAATACAAAAAACTGAGGGTCAAGTCGAAACCCTTTTTGGTAAAAGATGGCAAGAGATTGGCCAATCGATAGGGGGCTCAAGGTCGGCCCATGTTCCCCATCCAGGGACCACGCTAAAGAAGTACTTAAATACCTCGTATTCGGATTTCCACGCGGTACGCTTCAAATTGTTCAAATTATTCCAATGTTTATTTTCACAAGTCCAACTTTATTTCCAGGACGTCGAATGCCGCGCATGGAACCTTCCTAGGATCAATTAAGCCGCAGAACATCGACTGTTTCTTAGCCAATTACGAAACAAGAACACCTCATAGGCTTTACACCGCTACCGAAACATTTTAACTACGTCAATCTGTAAAATTACATCTGATATGTCTAGACTTGCTGGTTGGTAATCCCGCACCTGCGGTATCCAGTACGATCAGTCTGTTAAGGCATGACAATGATACGATGTAGAATTACATCGACTCGATATGGCTTGGCAAAGTTCTTTAACACTCTCCTACTCAACACTATCAGCTGAGTAACCTTCAAAAATTTTACGTTTAATAGTTAAACTATCCATTAATCTGGGATTGTCAATCCCTATTCTTCGCATCGTCATTTAATCAATTGTTACAGTCAGGATATTATATCTACTAGTAGTCAAAGCTAGTTAGGAGTTAGGAGATTACTCGCATCTGAGAAACTCCTTGAACATCCACCTTACTTGACTTTCTAAAAAGCACATACCTATTGAAGAGTTGCTGGTTTGTAATATTGAAGATCATGTTTCGTGGTTGCTTATTAACCTTGATCATTGTATCTAACAGTCCTCCCGCCTAACAACACCAATGTACCCTTCACTACGAAAACCCAACCTCGAACTAAAGAACCACTTCTACATCCTTGGACCGGTAACGGAACCCGCTGTAGAATGATAGCTCAGAAATAGTCATCATCGGATATCGTGAAGATTGACCTCTGCGAGACCCCTAAACCACCGTGTCAATATTCGGGTGATCGATGGTCGTCTATAAAATCTCGTATTCGGGTTCAGGCTTATCTAATTGGCATAAGACTCGCTATTCAAGCCACTATTTGTGGCGCAGAACTACGATAGATGGTTTCAAGCTCCTATACACAATCGTGGAACCTTGGAACTCTAACTATCGTGACGTATGCCTCATAACAACAAGTGGCATGCCTATTATGTACCTTATCGGCGTTAGGCCATTACCCTCGTGAGTGCTTCGCTTACAATAATATCTTACTGATACAGAGTTTACCCCCCACATTGAAGTCTTCCGCAAGAGCCGCTGTGAGTCCCTACATAACCAAGTCCTCTGTCTGTGTGGTTTCACTCCGCTAGGGTAGCAATCTAAGAAGTCAGTTATGCAAATCTGTCCCAAGGACCGGCGAGGACAAGAGCAAGGCATTATCAACACAATCTTTCAAGTCGGTGCAGTATACCCTTGAGATATAAGAAGACCAAGGATGCAAAGAAAATTTCTGAACATCTATTGTAGGTATGATAGGAGAAGTAATTAGCAAAGTAGTGTTGTAGGTCTTATGTATTTAAGTAACCTAGTATTGCTAATAAGCCCAACCGGAAGAAGAGGCTCATCGTCACTCTTGGCTTAGTAGAGAGTTAAGCAAAGCAAGAAGAGGTCAGACTTAAGCCCTTACCTTAATTTAAACTTAGATAGATTTATTATTGCTGAAGGATCGATATGGACGTAGACAACTATTGGGCATCCGTAAACCTTCTAGAAAGGTTTAACGCTGCTATACTATCTCGGATAGAAGACTCGGCTCCAAGGTCATCGAAACACCAGGTACTGGTATATTTCTGACGATTCGAGTAACTCGTGATACTTTTACGACATCTTGTCGCCCTTCGAGTAGATGGCCCATGAATGGTAATACTTAAGCAACCTGATGTCCTGTGCTACGGTGTGAAATCATTGCCAGTGCGTTCCTTAGAGATACTTATCCATAAGGTGATCAACACTACCTAGGTAAGCAATGAAAGAACATGTCACGAAATAAAGTTTGCACTAGCAAACTCTATCTTCTAGCGTACTCACTTGACGGCTGTCGTCTAGCCGTCCAACTGTATCATCAACTAGCACATGACAGCTGCCGGCTGCACTTAGTGGCAGAAAGTACACACCGCCGACAATTCTGCCGCACCGCCCGTGATTCTGCCGCGGCAGAATAATCTATATATACCCAGCTCTCCACGTTTACTTTTGAATTTTTGTTCCTTTCTTCTTCATGTCGACAAGTGAGTTCTCCCCTCCCCTACCTGGTCCCAAACGCCAAACCCAGACCCAAATCTATACCCAATCACCAATTCATCAATCACCAACCATTCGCACAAATAGACCGAACGAGCTAACCGCCGTTGCGCAAACAGTACTTCAGAGAATCATTTCTATAGTATTCGTTCCCACTCTGTGTTCCCTACAGGAGCCACAGATCCCACCCTGGTTGATGAACGCATATCCCCGTCGCCCCAGAGTGAAAATCCATTTTACGGGAGCACTGAGACCTTTGGTCGCTTTGTTCCTTAACTCTCGCACCGTCCGTGAGGACGGCGGTAACTTCTGGCGACAGATCTTGCTGTATAGAGAGTGGTGATGATCTCAACCCCGATTTGTCGCGGTCTTTGCCTTCGGGCGCGCGGCCGGGGTGGGCGATGGTGGACGTCTGACAGGCATATTCTTTCTTTCCTTTTTTTCGTTGCTATCGCGTGCTTGACGCGCGATGTGAGGAAGAAGCTATCTAGTCTTATCATATCTTGTCTATTTGACTGGCTTAAGGTAAGGTCCCCACTGCATTTGATAGCAAATCCGGCATATATGACCCTTATAATGATACATCAATCAAGCTCTGTTCGTCGCCCTAGAAATTATCTAACTATTATCAAAGTACCGTACCAACTTGAATTAGTAGCGTATCCTACGTTAGCTGATGTTACGCTACGCGTTGAACTACTAGTATTGTAATTATGGTAAATATTCTCACGTCTTCACTTGTCACGAGAAAATCCAGTTTGCATGCATTGTATGTAAAATGAAAATATCATTCGTAGCCATAGAGGCTTGTACGGGGCTATTCCCCTTGTCCTAACCTCGCGGTCGGCACATATGCTCTGATGCTCTCATACGACAATCCCCCGTATGCTTCGTTGAGATGTCGTACTTCCATCAATCAACAAAGCGTTTTTCTACGTCAACCCAACGCCGAATGGATATGCTAATATGCAGGATATCTTAATTTTTCTTATGCCGGCCTCATTTAGCTCTTACGCAATCAAACCCCCAATAACGCCTTGCCGGGTGCTTATAATCACAACGCCGTCCACTGGAAATCACCATCGATGTTGACCCATTTTCCATCCTCCATTGCCTTCTCCCAGCCCATGATCACGGCTATCAATCGACATCCCATCGCACTCATAGTACAAATGACAGAATCGCTAGCTTGACCAAGGACAGCCAGGTCCATCACGTAAGCTCGGCCAATCAGCCCTCTAAGCCGCATGGTCTCCGCCGACGGTCGTAACGTTGGTTGCACGTCGTCTGCTGCGTTGGCATTATTTATCGTCGATCGACCTAAGTTCCAGAACATGCTCGCAAAGAACCCGCCCTCCCAACCGAAGGTCTCGTCGACGAATTTATGCATCACCGACTTATCCGGGTTCGCGCTTTGGATATGTTGCTTACTGGCAAGCTTGATTTGCTCCTGGGCGCGAAGCGAGCCCGAAAACTCTTCCGACTCGTAAACGTCAGGATCGTCTGACGCAACTATAGAAAATGAATGTTGCTTTGCAACTAGATCCTCCCCTCCGAGGGGAGTACTGTGGTTGTGATATTCTTCGACAATTTCTTTAGATCTTTGCGCATAAATATTTAGGGGTATATACGCCCCATTATACTGATATTCATATGGGTGTAAATCGCCATGTCGAATATGAACCCCGATAATCAGACCATCGTGATAGGCACCATCCGTCGCTTTAGCCATCGCTCTTAGCTCCTTCACGCGATGCTCTACATAAGGCTGATCGTCATCATTGAGACGGAACAAGGCCTCGTATCCAACTCGAGCGAGATCGTATATTGGCTTCTCTCGCTCAACGTTACTGCGGCGGAGATTCTCGTATTCGGCGTTGAAACTCTTGCCGAAGGTTTCAGACGCGGTGGCAGATGAGACAACCAAGTGGCGCGCAGTGTGAGGGCACGGCAGCATCTCGTGACGCGGGGGCGGGTTGCAGTCAGGCATTGGGGGTGGCTTGAAGATGGCGGTATATTCACCATAAACCCATCGCGAATCATCAATGAAGAAAGACCGTTTTTCCTTCTGGGCGAGACCATATGCCATCCACATCATCATTAATGTGGGACCCAACCCAGCATCGGCCGACTCAAGGACAAACGTCAAGGACGTTTTGCAAATGCCCCTATCGACCAACCCGTCCGCTCTATCCCCCACCAAGTGACCGTCTTGAGCCTGAGCAGTCACTTTCCACGCCTTTCCCTCTACACCCGGCAACAGTCCACGTTTCTCAGCATCCCTGACATCGATGAAGTAAGGATCCTCGTAATAGTAATCTGTCTGAGACTGTTGATTCGTATGACCATGTAGTTCTCTAACATGAGCAGCGACCTCATGGCACTTAACACAGATATCCGAATACTCCTTGACGGTTAGAGGGAAAGAATACGTAGGCGGGATGGAGACCGTCCACTTCGACCTGCCGTTCCGGTCCGTCACGGCAATAGGCGTAGGAAAATCCGGTAAGTCATACTGTCCGACCATCTCATATTCTTCACGGTCCAAGGCCCACGAAACAACCGGGACTCGTACCTCCTTCTTTACGACGGCCCTAACAACAAATGTGACAAGTGCTAATCCGAGAACCCACACGATAACTCGGACGACTCGGCTTGGCCTCGGTCCGTTGGACAACTTCCGTGGCCGGGGTACCAAGGCTGGCAGTCCGGGAGAGGGCGGAGGAGAGAACATGAGGTGGTTGAAGTTGAAGCGTGACGAAGTCGCGGATAGAGGTGCCTTTTCATGCTGGTAGGACGCGGCCCTGCGCAGATTAATTCGAGGTGGTGAGACGATCATCTTGGCGTGGGTGCTCTGGGATAAGTCTAAAGTCGGCGGCATGGCTGAAGTATGTAGTGACGTCGAAAGCGACCTCACTACTGTGACATCCGCGGGGATGGAACGGGATATCGGGATTCGACGTTATGTGGTAATCACAGCCCGCAGGCGTGTATAAGGAGTGACAGAAAGCCCAGCTGAAAGAGGCTGCGGCAGAGAGGGAAGTTTGAATTCAAGTGTGAAAAGGAGCGACAGATGATTCAAAGACAACGAAGACGGCGATTACCTATTAGAGCCAGGCATCAGGGCATACAGCTCGTGCGGTTTCTCATCTACATCTGCGGTGTATCGAAGAACAAGTTACCACCTAACTACCGAAGATGGTGAACCTCGAGTGGCAGAAAGTGAGGAAACTCCGGGTGGTGGCCGAGCCTTCGTGCGACGCGGTACTTGTATGCCTTATTGTCTTCGACACTTGGAGGTGATCGTGCCCAGAAAAAGCAGGTGATCGCTCAGGCGCAGGTGAGCGACGATCTCTACTCAATATTTTCCTTTCTCGGCACTAGATCGCGCTGAGTAGCCGTCCGCCGGTGCTTAGTATATGTATAGTATGTACAATATTTCCCAGGAAATGGGGGAAACGGGGTCGACAAGGACCCAATATATTTGACCGCCCAATGCTTTTTGGTGGTGAGACGACGATCACAGGTATGTGGTCCAATGGAGCCGAGGAATACGACGAACGATGTGCATATGAATAGCCAAATACTCTTGGCATAAAAAAAAGAGAGGAAGGACCACGATAGCCACAGGCTTACAGGGCTGAGAGCAACCAGGCCGGGGGAAGGACGATACGGAAAATATTTTGTCGATCGAACAGAAAAAGTAATTAAATTAAAACAAACAGTACTTGACAGTACTCTTGTAGAAAGAAAGCTAATGAGAAAATCTACCTTCGGTTCTCTCCAGATCCTTTTGACGCAAAGGAAGATGCGCCGAGCCACTTATTGGAAAGAGGATAAGTGCGTGGGAAAGGAATGGTGAAAAAGAAAAGAGATGACAACATCGTGGGTTACGCAGGGTAGCGGGATGATGTCAGACCACACAGACGAACGATGGAGAGACTTAGATTTCCAGATGTCCAGCTCTCCTTCCAGGAAGATCGACCAACCGTAATCTTAATGGTTCCTGATCTCCATCGGGCCTGTTATGGATTTGCAAGGGGTACATAGTAAGGCGAACTCTAATAGTGCTGGATAATGTATCTGAAGCAACAGATGGAATTTTGAGTTTAGTAGACACGTTAGAATCGCCTAACGGCTTCATAGAAACAAACTAACAAACAACAGATTGATGAGATGAAATGCGCAGTACGTATACGTACACACACACCTCTATTTTTAATATGCCATGGTTGGAAGAAAGGACGAACGGCAACGTACGTTGGACATGGACGGCACCTGCTTCTATGCACCTATTCATGGGTATTATATTATTCAAATTTGGGTAACTATACGCGGTTGCAGTTGGATGATGTCGTTCCGCCTTGGGACTGTAAACTTTATAATAATAGCCCAGGAGCCCTTGTGGCCGAAATGTACCCTCTTTAAGCAATAAGAAGTTAGCTCAAAGCCGCACCAATTGTTTATGAGCCAATTGCAATTTCGCTAGCAATTTAGGTTCGCCGAGATTATTATATACCATGCATTTTTTTTTTATGATTCCCCATACTGGCATAGGCATGTGTACCCCAATTCTCGGGTGACACGGTGCCATCGAGTTTGACGGCGTAAAATCCATGCGTTATCTGATTGGTCGGCTTCGACTAGAGATGATCGCCATTTGAAACCCCTGAGCATTTTGAAACTGCGCTAAATGTCGCTACAAAAGGTGGATTCCACCTCATCGGGTGCCCATTGGTGCGTCGATTCGGAATTTGGGGGCATGACGATATTCTACTACGTAGTAGGCACCATTTCGTCTAATTCTCTAGGTCCCTTGTTAGGTCCCTTGAAAATCCTCTCTTTTTATCACAGGCTCACTTGACCGTCTTTAGAAAATGCTCTGCACAATCCCATGTTTACATAAGACGCAAGCGGACACGGACTTGACTCCCGTTGGCTTTCCTAAACTTCGGATTGCCGGATACCTCGGCGCCCTTTCGCCAACCTCCATGGATGACAGCGGCGAAGTTCGAGTTGGCTGGGCTTGGTTGCCTGGTTGGTGTGGCAGTTTATCGTCGCAAGATCTTACGTTGACAACCTAGTCAAATCCTTGATTTGTTGGTTTTTCTGAGGGGCTACCGACGATCTTGTCAGACGCTCTGCCGCGAATGTCTGTCAATTGAAAGTTAATAGGCAATTCATTACCCGCCTCTTAGCACGCCTCGTCAGCTGGGTCTGCTAGGTCTGAGTGGCGTCAGACCCCGCCATCCACTCCTATTGGTCCACTCGTCTGCCGTGCGAACGCCAGTTAGACGCAGCATTGGCTCTTTGGGACCGGAGGACGAAGACGTGACCGCGAAGGCACCGGTGGAAAGGCATCGTTGGACCCAAACTGATCACACAGACTAGTTCCTGTATTCGCCGAGTGGTCCATTCAGACGAGCACGTTGTGGTTGCAGGAATGCGGTGCCGCATTGACGAAACGACAATTCTGTGCTCCCACCAATCCTTTCTAACCTGGTTACCTCCTCACCACATCCTGCTGTGCCACCTGAGATCAAAAGCCACGAGTATTTAGCTAGATCTTTGCGGACCATACCCTCTCCCCGGAATTGTATTAACCACTGTCATCCACCATCTAGCCTCTCTCCGTGTTCGGAGCAAAGTGTCCTTCCGGACGCCATCCGTACAAGAGCCATCTAGACCTTACAACTCCGCCGGTTAATCATAAGATGACGACGGAGAGGCGTGTAGTTTAAAAATAGCACCATGGAATCCATTCATGCCTAGGTATCATATTGCGTACCTCATCCCTTCGGACGATCATCTGACTGCGATGGAGTTGAGTCCGGTTGAGTTGGTTGTTACACTTTATTAGATAGCCCCCATCATAGAATTCAATGCCACGTTGTGAAAATTACTATATTGAATCCAGTTTCAACTTTACTGCACAACATATTCATTCTAAAGAGGCGCGGGCCAACAACCCATCACCTAATCCACAGCATCGTTCACTTTCAAAAGTTCCTTGTAATATCCGAGCGCTGTAATAGGCCACGTGCAGGATCCCAAAGGTATCGCGGATCTACCGTCTTTTGAGTCATCACGCCCGAATCTGGAGCGGGAAGCAAGCCTAGCACATAAAACATACATAAGGTCTTTGAGAGAAATATGATTTCGTCGTTTGCAATGTGAATAGCATTGAGATGTACCACTACAATTTCCACAACTGGATGGAGTCGACCGATAAACAATGCAGTTGACCGAACTCCGAGTGAGCGCTCGCTCCGGGCTTGACGGAAGGCTAGCTACTTCACTATTCTTCAGAATCATCTTGTAGAAAGGATGTGATCACCTAGTGTCTTCAGCAAAAGAATTTTTTCTTTAAAAAAAGGAACAAAAGGCTAGGTATATCCCGGACGCCGGATGTCAGCTTCGTATTCTTCAGCTTGTCAAAAGGTCCTAAGAGGGCCGATGTGGTTTCACAGATTCAATAGAATCATGCATAGAAAAAAAATCCTATGGTAATTAGATCATATTTACGCCTCCTTTTTATGAGCCTGGGCCCGGCATAGGTTTCAATAATATACAGAGAAGAAACCCCCCCAGGGGCCAAAACAAGGTTGCTCTGCCACCTATTCACGTTTCTACCCGCTGCCATTAGGAAATAAAACAATCCCATCGCCCTCATTTAATACATGATAAAAAAATAACATTGTCCGACGGCTCGGAAACGGTAAAAAATGATCCGTCAACTTCCTTTCCTTCGTCAGAATATTCATGTTTCACAGGCCCCTCGGCGTAGCAAACAGATGAATTGGATCGGGTATAAAACAAACGGCAGAAGCAGTGCCAAACCGGAACGCCCTCGTTAATTCGCAAAGATGATAGATGCTGCCTCCTGAATCGCCAATGAGGGTATCTACGCCTCCAGCACGACTTGCATCGACTCGCTTCCGTGCAACGGTTCAACATCCCCATTGTTTGTTTCGGTCAATGTCTCGCGTTTGCGGTCGCTGACTACACGAACGCTGCCTCGGGAGCCCCTGACAATGTCGCCCGCCTCGACCCGATCCTGGATCATCTCGTCTAGGATACGGCTCATCTCATCAACGCTTCTGGTTCGCTTTTTGATCGGCGAGTGACCTTTGGATATTGGTGGGTCGGGAAGAGCTCCTTGAGGTGGCGGGCTTGCTGCTTGTTCATACAAGAGAGACGAGCGAGTATCGTTTCTAGTCTCGTTCCTAGTTTCGTTCCTAGTCTCATTCCTAGAATGATCTCTCGAAAAATCAATACCCTCAGCAACATCTCTCGAACGAGCTGCGCTCCGTAGAGCTGCTAACATCCTGTCCTTGTCATCGAGTCTTGCTCTCAATTCCGCAATCTCGGCATCCTTCTCCTTCATAAGGGTAGAAACACTGTGATCTTCGCCAACCATGATGCCCTTGTTAGGGGCTGAGAGGCCAACCGAAGTTCGCGAGGAGCTAGCACGACGAGCTTGTAGGAGACGCTTTTCGAGCGTGGCGATATATCGGTTCTTATCAGCAAGATCCGCCTGTAGAGCTTGGTTCTGGGCTTGCAAGGACGCTGTGCCATCGCCATATTCACCCAGACTATCCTCATCCTCGTTTGACGCCTGTTCCCCTATGCTGGACCGTCGCTGCCCTATTGACCGTCGGCCAATTGTTGACGATGAAGAATTCATGGAAGCGGTTCTCTCTAGGACTGAACGACTGCCGTTAGAAGTCGTGAGGGATGTCCGTATAGACGTCTGAGAAAACCTGGAGTTGGCGTGAATTCCTAGCGCACTATACGTTCCGCCAGTGTTTACTCCTGTCGATTTCGAGCTAAGAATTAGTCGGTTCAGATGGTCGATCCGCTCCTTCAGTGCCGTACGTGCTAATTGCATCTCCAACATTTGCTCCTCATGCCTTGCCTCCTGTTCTTTTTCACGAGCACGCTCTTCTTCTTCGTCTCTATCCTTCTCCTCTTCCTCGGCCTTGTTGTTATTTGACTTGGCCTGAGTCTCCAATTGATTCCTGAGTTCCTGAATCTCCATCCGGTAACGTTCCAAGAGAACTCTGGCTCCTCCTTCTCCTCCGGCGCCGAGAGCTTCTTCGGCTCTTTTGGCATGACTAACAATGCTGTTCTTTGCTCTCGAAGCGAACTTAAGGGTGTTTATCGTTTCGTTTGCATGCGAATTTGCAGAGGCTGCACTACCAGCCGAGCCAGTCTGGATCGTACACAAAATACTCACAAGCGAGTTGCCGGACAGAGCTCCTTGCAGGAGTCGAGTCAGCTTGCTATCTCGGTAAGGTAAGTGCTTCCCATCTTTGTCCGCCCCCTTTCCGTCTTTTTCTTTGTGTTCCGATAGCTTGGATATAACGGTTCCTAGAGTTAACAAACTCTTGTTGATATGAGATCCTTCTGTCCGGCGCTCCTTGGACTCCGCAGCTTTTTCTGAACCTGCTAAATCGATCAAGCTCAGCGTGGAGACACGAACACCACCGGGAGGTAAGGCCTGTCGTTTGCTGTCGCCACCTGCGCCGCCAGGTATGCGTTCTCTGCTTTCAACCACGATCTGCACAACAGCATGACTGCGAGAGCTCCTAGCGTTGAATTGCGTGCTCGCAGTTCTACGAGCTTGATCGCCACGGGCAATTACTCGTAAAAGCTGTGTGGGACTTTGGACGATCTCCTCTTTCAGCGGAGTGGCGTAGACACCCCGCTTGCTGTCCTCCCGCAACTTGATCTCCTCTTGCGCGCCCATCCCGGGGCCGTTGCCGGAGGCCATGCTTAGGAGATCGTGGATCTTCTCGTTGTAGATCTCCAAGTAGCTAACACGCAACAGAAACTCTCTAGAGGGAGTCTCCCGAATGTACGAGAAAATGTCCGTTATGGCAAGAGGAATCACACCAGGTGACGACGCGGTTCCTTGCATGGAAAACGTCTTTCCAGTGCCTGTCATACCATATGCGAATACAGTGCCATGGTAACCTTCCATAACCCGGCGAACTAAGCGCTTGGCAATGTGGTCGTAGACTCTGCTGTTGTCATCATGTGTCGTGAAGACATTATCTACCAAAATCAGTTAGTTAACCATTTGACAGAATAAGCACGAAACACACTCACCGTAATAGTAATCGCCCCCTTCGCGGCCACGATAAGCTACTAAAGACCTGCGGCCATCTACCATCCATTCACCTTCCGGATTACCGTTGTTACCTCCGGCGTCGGGCCTTACCCTGACGCTGACGATAACGTTGCCCTTACCCTCCATCCCTTTAGAAGAACGCTTATCAACGGTTGGAGTACCCGCTGTTTCAGCTAGATCGTCATAGGTTGTTGCCGAGGTAGAATATGAATCTTGCGCAGAAGAACTACGGCTTTGTGGGGGAGAGGAAATACTAATAAGTCCGTCCGAGTTCCTCGCGCCGGCTCCGCCGAGAAGTGACTTGCCCTCACCGCTACCATTTAATAAACTTGGTACTCCACTGCCCATATGAGCCATCTTAGAGGTTGGCTGGGGCGTCCGTGATTTTCTCGATGGGGTCACTGCCCCAGATAAGGGGCTTGGGAGGCTTGTGCGGCTCGGCGGCTGGGGAAACGAGTTTATGCTCACGGTTTTCCTAATAGTCTTTCCAGCGCTGTTGACCCCATGTGAGCTTTTTGGAACCGGGAGGGCTGTCGTCGGTGCAGGAGACGGGGGAGGGCCGGGGTAATTGGCGGAAGGTGCTCGGAGGCCACTCTTAGGCGTACCGTGATGATTGCTATGAGTTGACAAGGAACTAGTGCTCTTGCGGGTCTTTGCGATGGGCAGGGCCGGAAGAGCGCCGGTTGGCGGGCCATTCGAAGGCCGCGGTCGGGGTAGGGTGGTCGCCATATTGAAAGGAGTGTCTATGACCTGACACACGAGAAAGCGGGAAGAATAGGTAGGTTGATGGTTTTTTTCTTATGTTACCAATTACAACTCCTTACAGTACGGTGCTAACAGATTAACGGCAGGCAAACCAGATCTAAGAAAACTATAAGATCAATGGCATTCTTTTCGTTTCATAGTCAAGGCTTTCCGTATAGGGGGGTTTCCAGAATAGAGCCTCTTTATTCCTTAATTCGGCAACGGAGAAACGTTCGAGGATAGTCACAGTCGGGATGAAAAGGGAAGCGGGTATCGAGTTGGTGTGACGAAACGTAGCCGAAAGTTACGACCCCTCACAGGTCTAGGATGTAATTATCTCGATTATATCGATATGACTTGGCTTAGTAGGGTAGAATGTTGGTGAAACTCCACGTGGGTGAACAAGAATCCAAGTTGAATTTCAAAAGGTTCCAGATTAATCTATTCAAGCACCTGTCAGTACGACACATATTCGAATATCTAAGCTTTGCGCCGTAATTGCCAACATTGTTAATTGAGTCACTTACTTCAGTCGCAAGTACCTCTACGTAGGTACTATGTAGGTTAAGGTGAAAGCACGTCTGATAGGTATTGTGTTGATACAAAGTCCAAACGCGAAGGCTGACGATTGGGAACGGGGGGTATCTCCAAAGTAGTCGAAAAAAAATAGTTAAGAATGTACTATTGCCGGAAACTGACAATAGAGAAATCCAGCAATTCCTGGTTTCGCAGCAAAATGACAACGAATACAAAGAACAAATGAGACCGTGTCGGTGGTTGGGTAATCTTTCGGCGGTTCGAGATCTACTTTCTTTTGCTGAGTCCCTGCGAAAGATGGATGGGGCCGAGACACTTTTTAGAGACACCGCGTATCCGATTTCTATTTTCGGTGAAAAAAGCGAACGAATATACGAAGTATAGGTAGCTATCTCGACAACAAATCGTCGGGAGGAAGAGGAAGTTGCTAAAGTAAAAATTAGACAAGTATGTAAATTACAATGAATGAATGGCGGGCGTCGCGATCGGGCAAGCTACCTGAAGCACCCAACGATGAATCTTCTCAAAAGAAGCATGCGCGAAGGTTAAGAAACTGGAGTTCATGGATCCGGTGGAGAGAAGGACGATAGAGGTAGCGGAAAGTGCTTGCTTGCTTGCACGCAACTAGCTGGAACCCTAGTGGAAGCAGTGGAAGTAACAATCTCGAAGTGGTCTGGGCTTAGGTACTTTGGGTTGGGTTGGGGTAGGCATTTGAGTGGGAAAGTGGAGGGGGAACAAGGGGATAAGATGCGCGGCCAGAAAGTTCACCTAAGTACTAGGTAGGTCGTACGCAACCATCGAAGTTGCCCCAATCGTTCAATATTTGCTAACCTTAAATTCAATCATGGATTACACATGTATATAGGTATTTTAGATCTTCTTCTTCTCTTCTTCATTCACGATCGAATCCCTTCAATACCCTAATACCTCAATATGGGATATACGAAAATATCTCGAGCGACAGAAAAAGAAGGAGATTGGTGTCTCCTATGACAACACCAGATGACGCGTGGGAAGGATTAATTGTATCTTCTAGTATATTTTCCCTTAATATCCCCTGATACGTGCCTGACCAATTACAGTACCTTGCATCCAAATTAGGGCCAAGCTCACTGTAGGGGCTTGCACTATCACAGACCATGCACAATGTATGGTCCAGATTCAGGGATTGGATATGCATGCTCTTCACGACCAGGGCCCCCCCCTGCCGTGATAGAGAACTTATTTTCGTTAATATGAATTAGGGATCTGGATGGTGCCTCTTGTCGAAAGTCACTTCGCGTACCAAGAAGAGAAGAGACGGCGATGATCCTATCTTTGCCTCTTATCCTTCTTCTCTCTCAGTTTCTCTTCCATAACACATTCGTACATATCAACTCATCAACAGTGTTGCCGATCTTTTTTTCTTTTTTTTTTCTTGCCTCAACAGCCGTGCGCCGATGTCTCATTTACTCGTGGCACTCGTTCGAGCCAGAACGCCATCTCGGCTGTGGCTGATCTTGATTTAGTTTGGCGGCGAAGTTGGAAACAAGTAAATACAACCGACGGCGCTGCATTGCTTTTTTTCCTTACTCTCCCTTCCTGACGAGGTAGAACAAACATAACGGTCAGTATCAATTCTCAACGCCTTGCTTGAACCCCTTTTATTAGGACGGCTGCGCTACCACGTAGCGGGCAGGGCTAGCTAACTGGAATTCTGAATCAAGTATTTTCTACTGGGTTTAATGAGAGTCGAGCTAAAAGCCTTCTGCCGGGCTGTCGGGCTGTCTTAACCCCTAGTCCCTCCATCCGCCGCAACGGGTTGACTTTCCCCTTTAGAAAAAAGAGGATTCTCGGAAAAGATTTACGAGAAGTATCCGTTGGAGATGCTTGAAGGTGCGATATCTACAACCTAAAAAATTCTCCTATTTAACCTATTAGGTATAACAGCTTACCTATTGTCCTCCCACGTTTCGAAGATTATGGTTCGATGTTCTGTGCAGATGCAAGTGGCTTGCATTTGTGTTTCCTTGCGGGTTAGTACATACTATGTACATACACTAGGTAGCTTATTGCATTTGCTGATCCGAATGGGCTCACCCAGTTAGGTCTAGGTACTGACTGCAACAGCGGGAGACCTGGGATGTAGATGCAATGGAACTGCACCTACGCAGGTCCCACGGTTGTTATTCGCGTATTTCTCGTTACATGGTGGGTGAAAACGACAGTAGATTATATCCATTGTAATATGAATGTAAACAGCGCCCGTTGCAAGACTCTACTACGCGATGTAAGATTCTTCAGGGGATCCCCTTTCCATTTTCCCCCACGATCATCTGTCAACCAACATTCAGAGCATACAGGGGTTTCTCCACGCATATCAGTCGGCTCTCTATGTTATCACTCACATATTTGTCATATGGTATCGGCCTAAGGGTTTTTTTTTGCTTGGGTTGTATGCATAAAAACGGCCGATAATCGAGGTAATTTCGGAAGTTGCCAACCATGTCTGTGTCCTTTGCATTGTCAGCACTCTACTAAAGACGGTGTTTTGCACGGACTCGGCGAAGAGGAGCCTTAGCACTCGTCACGTATGCGCTTATCCTTTTATCCCACTATTATGTATGAAAGCATGTACGTGATCAGATCCCCCAAGTCCGTGCAGTAGCGTCAATGTCGACAAGTGCTAAACTGCCTCTGATATTGGGATCACATATCATTGCGTCTTTAGGGTATTTAGCACCTTTAGTACACAGATATAAGGTGGACCAGAATCCATTTTCGCCCCATCCCACCTACTACTGCTCAGCTAACGGTAGAGATCGTGCCATGACCATGAGGAACTCAGTTGGTCAGTGTGGGTTAAACAGCGGGGTTCCTTGCGTGAACCGCGTCCGTGGACGATAGCACTTATTATATTTCGCGAATGGGCAGGAATCAGAGATCCCTACCTAAACCCGAAGTCCGCTTTCCTCTTTCTAGCGAATTCCCGGGTTTCCCAAAGCCACGTCTTCGGCTCGCCGGCCGGGAAGGTGAGGCTGAGCAATCAACCCCGGTCCTGGTCCGGGGTTTCAATTAAGTTCTTATCGTCAAAGCGAGACCATGGCACCTAACAAGGGGTTTTTGACGGATGACTGATGGCTTGTGACTTATGATAATAAGTAACACCCGCACAATTTAGCTGAGTGGGATAGATACTGGGATAAATAGAAAAGATGACGATGAAATATTAAAAGTCGAAAGATTCTCGTTTCCCTTTGAACAGATCTTCCACTCTCCCTTTCTGCAAGTACTGTTTCATGCATATTGAGCTACCCAGATTTCTGAGGTCAGGATTATAGACACGATGTCCGATTACGTCGTACTGCGTACGAGCAATACGACCGCGATCTACAAGAATCCTGTCGCAGGTAATAGCCTTATACGTAAGGTAGTATACCTAGCCTATCACAGCAGAGAGATCTATGCAAAAAAGGGGAAACAAAAAGACGGGGATTATTCCTCTATGCCTTCCGCGTCCGAGGAGAGAGAGAGAGTGTGTGTGTATGTGTGTGTATTAGTCCTTCCCAAGCATTAAGTAATCGACGTCCGAAGCCACGGCTCCGGACCGCCCCGGTTCCCTATCCCCCCTGCTTCCCCTGCGTCCAAGATGAAAATGGAGTTGCATGTAGATGCCGCTAGGGATGACGTTTCGACGCCGAGTGCGCATAAAGAAGCTAGAACTCCGGCCCTCGAATGACTGCGGGGAAGATCATCTGCCCCTTATATAGTAATATAGATCATGGGGCTTGGACGCATTCTCGGGACTATATGTACGGACAGTCTCGAAGCTTAGCTGCATATGTAGCTCTGATACGCGTGTGACCACCTTTATTCATGCCTTCTACCTCGACACCTAGTAGTTTGAGGCCTTTCTAATAATCTATATGGACGTATCCAAATGTCCTCGTCTATATTCTATGTGGAAATATTCATGATATAGCCAAGCTGCTCGTACTGTTCGGCGGTATTGTCTATGATATGCGTTTCCTTCTAGATCGCCGTCGATGATACGGGTGAGAGATCATGATCGCGATCTACGGAGGATCTGTGGATCTGTTTGATACCGGACCGCCATTACTTTTATGTTTTGCCGTTTCACATGTGCGCTCTCGGGCGGCGTGATCGACGTGTATTCTCTTGTCGTAATGTTTATAGCGACCAATCGCAACATTGGCCCTACTTGTTATAGTTTCATTCGTTTGCATTAACCCTTCATCCTCAATGGTCAATGTGAATAAGGGTCTGATTAAGCTTCAGCAGAATCGCATGGCAACGATCGACGGCATTTCACGTTTCTCTAGGATCACCCCGGTTGAGGCTGAACCGTAGAAACGCCCAGCTCTCTACTTTCTGCATCGCACAAGTTTCATCTGCTGTCCAACCACTATCGTCGGCATAGTTGGCATGGGCTACCGCAACACCCTTCCAAATCAACGTCAGGCCATAGATGCAGTAGCCTGTGTTGCGCGATCTGGGGTAAAACTTGTACATACATACATAGTATGCCTGGGCGTCGAGGTGCGACGCCAAGACTAGTGACACCGCATCTCGGCAGACCATCTGTCGCATGGAAGACTCACAGAGCACGTACGCCGCGGCCAACACTTCTGGTTTCAAAGACTTCGACTAGGCCAGATCCGACAGCCTCTTGTAAAACCCAGTCAAAAGAAAGTCCGTAGAACTGCCTCCACTTCCTAGTCTGCCCAGGCAACACGCCAGCGAACTCTCCTCGTGAGCGCTTCGCCGCATAGCGCGCCTCGTCTTTTGCGATACCGCCATCCCATCGATCACGAAGGACCGTCTCCGGCGCCTCACGGAAACGTGACTTCCCTAGTAACGAGACGAGGTGATCGAGCGCCAAAGAGAGAAGCTTCAGGAACGTGCCATTCCCAGGCACGGCAAGCTTCAATTCCGCAGCGCCCGTATCAAGCCAGGACATGCCGAGTGAGCCTGCCCCACTACCACCAACTTTGTGTACTACACCCTCGCCTCCTACGGCGTCAAGTGTGCCAGTTGGCTGTCTTGAGATGTTGTCTAAGGACGTTAACGTCACCTTATCTCCAGGTCGCGAGTATGAATTTGTAGTATGTAACGAGCGGCCATGGTGGGTTGCGCCAGTGTTGTGAGATGTTAGGAACCCAGCCTTGAGGAGCTGGTCAATCCCCGACGCATGAAGAGCATCCGACTTCAATGCCTGGACTCCAGGATTTTCTTTTAAAAATTTAATCAGACTACTCTTCGTATCCTCCTCCAGACTCATAGAAGCTTTCACCATCTGTTCATAATCCGCGGCAAGTACCACGGTCTCTCCTATGTCTCCTCGCCGGGGAACAATCACCTTCCGAATAAACCCAGCCCGCGCAAGTTCCGCGATTTCTCGTTCCACTGCGCTCGGTGACGATAACAGAGCTTGTATGTGCGAGATAGTAACGATAGGAGGAAGCGACTTTCGATAATTAAGTACTTCCGCGATTCGCGTAGAGTTCATTCCGGCCGCTCGATCGGGCATTGGTGAGAACATGTGGCTGCGTATATGGAGGACGGCTTGTGAGGTGTCACGTAAGTTCAGATCGGTCGCTAGGGACTTGACCAGCCCGTAATCGTCGAGTTGATCGTCAAAGAGGTCATCTTCGCCATCTTCATCTCCTATAGATGACTTCTCACTCCGGATTCCTGGTTTGCGACGAGGTAGAGAAGATGGCCAAGAGGAGGATGAAGGCGAACATCGGTTTGCGCCAGACTTCTTGGAGGCCTTTTTAACCCGGCTGGAGCCCCCTAAGATCTTCCGCAGACTCATTTCTGACAAGAACGAACATCAGATGCTTCAATAAAGTACGAAATAAGAGATATGATGGCGATTGGAAGCAGGCAGCCGTTAGTAAAGTTTGCCTGGCCACATTGAAGGCTACTTGCCTGTGTGACGTTAGTGGGGTGTGTGGCGCATACTCTGGGCGATAGGGGCAGCCATCATCTCATCCACACGATTCAATTGGCCATCAAGATTTGCGCTAGCCGAATTCGGCTTTCTATGAATAAGTAAATGTGACACTATGAAGCTTTAGAAGTCTATTCCCTTGTGTTATGTTCTGTCCCTACGAAGGACAATCCCCAGATTCTTAAGCCCAAACTGTTTGAATTCTACGAAATACAAACCGTAAGTTAGTTGTGATTCACTTTATTTTCGACAGAGATAAAAGAATGCATCGACCTAGAGAGCTGGCCAAGAGAATACTTGCCTGCTTCACGATTTACTCTTTCGCCTAAGAATAAACACCAACGTATTCTATTCAAGATGCCACCAACCGTCATTCTCATACGTCATGGCGAAGCTTTACACAGTAGGAACCTATCATCAACTTCTAGAAGGCAATATCTAATTGATTATAGACATCACCAATAAGTTATACCAAGACCTATAATAAATCACATAAGCTAACGCGATGCAGCACATGACTGGTCACTTTTCGACCCAGGTCTTAGTGATAGAGGCATACATTTAACCAAAAATCTTCAGGGGGAGTTTGAGCCAGGTTTCCCTTTCAAGCCCGAAGAGTGCCTTATAGTGGTAAGCCCTCTGAAAAGAACGTTAGAGACCGTCAAGTATGGTTTCCAATGGCTTCGAAATCGTGGTGTTCGTGTCGAGGTTCGCGCCGAATGGCAAGTATGTATAACAAATCACCAGGAGCTATTCATTAGAATAAGCGTTGACCATATGTAGGAAACAACGGACAACCCTTGTGATATTGGCACCCATCCCGAGCTCATCAAGTCACAGTGGCCAGACATAGATTTCTCGAAGTTGGACCCCGTCTATCCCCAGAAGACTGGCTTGTATGAGAATTCAGAGGAGGCATTTCAGAGAAGGGGAGCTTTCGCCAAAGAATGGCTCTACAATCGTCCCGAAAAATGTGTCATCGTTGTGACGCATTCGGGCTTTATTCGAAGACTTGTCACGGGACCAAAATACAAGAACTTAGAGTACGGATCGTATAAGCTTGTCAAGAACTCGGAGGGTCTCGAACTTGAGGAGCTCCACAGGGTTATCGTCAATGATTTATAGGATTACCGTCCATGATTGAGCCGGGTTAGAGGTACTGTGAATATCAAAGATAATGCAGAAACAATGGGTCCCGTAGTTATCATAGGAATTAAAAATGCAAGAAATTCCTGTCAAGTGCGAAATGCATATGCATTTTTGTCGGCAGAATTACCGCACGAAACCATATGCGGACACTCGCGAATAGGGATGATACAGTGGCATCCCGTTCTATCCCGTGATGCCCGTGCTAAAACGAGACAACGTGAGACAACATAATGCTTGAAACATTTGGATATAAACTACCTAGCATATGAAAGGCAGTTGAATGAGCACAATGTAACCTAAATACCTGACCTAGTAGATATCGGAAGCGCTGCGTCCAGTGACACGTGTCGTCCTCCAGAAGATTCGCTTGATACTACATTCTACACAAGTAGTAGTAGGTATGTATGGAATTGCGATGTCGCCGAGATATACCATAGGAACCCGATGTTTTGAAAAAATATCGGGTTCCCTCAAACGAACGGCATATTATAATCTCGCACTAGACTCGGCTTTGAAGACGGTGGAAGAAATCGTCTTTGAGCAATCGTAAACGATTGGGGGTCAGATGTGCTGTCGAATGTAAAGATTAAAAAGACGTCTTCATCCCGCAAAGAAAAAAATTTAGGTGTACCTGTTGTACCCGTTACGTAGGCTCTCTTATGTAATCATACGTTAGCGCAAAATCGGAGAGACCCCTAAGAATCTACAGGTTCCCATTGGCCAATACTCTCAGGGGTCTTGTTACATTCATGTATGTATGTCTTCCATCGTCACTGCCAATTTTCAAGAAGTTTAATTCTTAGCTCGACACTTATAGACCAGTTGACATGAAGTGGGTATTCTAAGTTTCTAGGTTGACAAACTTCCCCATGGTACGATCTAGATCACAGGGGCGTCAATTATAAACAGAAATCCCCAATATTCACCTCACAACCAGTCAGCAATGTGGCAATGAATAGGCTCATTTTTAGACTAGCACACTAGCTCCAACACGGAATTCACGGCTTCACATCTTACTCACTGTACTAGGTCTGACGTCACTCGATCCTCGAAGGGCCAACGAAAGGATCGTCGAATCGTTCTATTGACTTAGAAGAGCACCTTGATGGCCAGTGGGACTTGGCAGTCGGATAGTTGCAGGACACACGAGAACGGGAACTCGGCAGAGCGGAGTTCTTTGTCTTCATCACGGCCGTACATCCTGCCATCTTGCCTCCACCTGACGACCTCGGTGTTGAAACTTGCAGGACGACTCCATTTGCAAATGACCCTAGCAAACACTCGGGTATTGATCTTTCGATAAACTAGTGGGCAGGAACTTAGGCAAGTGTGTGGATCTAACCGACCTACCCGCCGTCGTGTGCCCTTTAAAGTGGCGCTTGGGGGAGGTCTACGATGTCTCACTTGCTCGACTCTCCGCGATTAACCACCTACACGTGCGAGATCCGACGCTGTGATTCGTCGCCTATCATCAGCCTTCAGCCTCGTGAACAGTAATCCACTAGAACATGAGGGAGTACCCAGTAGCTTAAGAAGCTCGTAAGCCGCCGCCGACTCACTTGTGGTTATTTTTGAATTAGATTGTTCTATGTTCGGGAAGATTCGTTCAGGACTCAGGAATCTGTAGGTACGTAGTATTCTAGGCCCCCTTTACCCATCGTTGGTTATCCACTTGGCACCGAGCCCTTGGCTAAAAACGCCGTTTTGGCCTTTACAGCAAGTTTTATTGGTCCCTAGGCGGACAGCTAGCCCTGTTTGACGTCCGCCGTCGATCATTTTGATCAATTTTCGAATCTACAGTTGACAATGACGGAATTGTCACACCGTTGAACACGACAGCTTTGCAATTTCTCTCCTACTTACACCCTGGCTATGCGACTTGTTTTCCCCCTTCATCACTTATAGCTCTCTGAGAGCACCGTTCACGGTCAAATATGGTTCCTGGAAAATCAACCTGGTTATGGACGGTTCCCGGCCTGCTGGCGACTTTCGTCATAGGTGCGCCAACTACCGGAAACCAATACGTCCTGCAGGCAGGTAAAGATGGTAGCCCACTCGCATCGCAGCGCAAGTTGCACGGCAGGTTCCTTCATATAACAGGTACTGTACATCGCGATTCGTAACATCCCACCACACCACGATCTATATAGATCTATATAACATTCATTTTAATGCTAACTCATCCCACCTTGCGTAGATCTACACCCTGACGAATTCTATAAAGTCCACACATCTACGGAGGAGAATATCGCATGCCATCGAGGCCATGGCCCGGCTGGCACTTATGGCGCAGAAACTTCTGATTGCGATTCTCCCCTAGCACTGGTAGATGCGACCCTCGATTGGATTACCGCCAATTTGAAAGACTCGATTGATTTTGTCGTTTGGACTGGCGACTCTGCCCGCCATGACAGCGATGAGAAGACGCCCCGCCATAATAAAGATATTCTGGCCATGAACCGCAGGATTGCGGATTCATTTGTCAAAACATTTTCTGACGATAGTGGATTAGTAGTCCCTGTCGTCCCAACATTTGGCAACAATGATATATACCCGCACAACGTATTAATGCCAGGTCCGAACGACATTTTGAGGGCCTATACCGACGTTTGGAAACCCTTCATCCCGGAAGATCAGCGACACTCATTTGAATTTGGAGGCTGGTTCTACGTTGAGGTTATCCCCAACAAGCTCGCCGTCTTCAGTCTCAACACCTTATACTTCTTCGATCGCAATGCAGGGGTTGACGATTGTGCGCACCCAAGCGAGCCCGGATACCAGCATTTTGAATGGTTACGAGTCCAACTTCAATTCATGCGAGAGCGCGGGATGAAGGCTATCCTTATGGGACATGTTCCTCCAGCTAGAACTTCTGGAAAGCAATTGTGGGATGAGACATGCTGGCAGAAATACACCCTCTGGCTACAGCAGTATCGCGATGTCGTCATCAACTCCCTATATGGTCACATGAACATTGACCATTTTCTTCTACAAGATACCAAAGAGATTGACTTTTCCTATATTGTAGCTCAGTCTAATCAATTGGCAAACGTTCGCGAGTCTTTGGGGGATGAGATTTCAACTGAATCCAGCAAAGATTACCTCATGGAATTGCGAGAAGACTGGGCCAAACTGCCAGACCCCGTTCAGGGCCAGGACTTTGAAGAATCCAAGAAAAAGAAGAAGGGCAACAAAAAGAAGAAGCTCGGAGGACCATGGGCAGAGCGATACCAGCTCACTCTCATCAGCCCTAGCGTCGTTCCTAATTATCTCCCAACTCTTAGGGTCTTCGAGTACAACATTACCGGTATCGAGGATACTCCCACATGGGTAGATACTGTCCGCAAGTCAGGTGTGCAAAGTGCTTCCGCGTCTGACCATGAAGTGCATTCACTGGAATTACGCAGCGAGCCCGACATGGAGATTGAGAAGAAGAAGAAAAAGAAGAAGGGAAAGCATGGCAAAGACCCCGACATTCCCATCCCAGACGCGCCAGCAAAGGGAAGTCTACCAGGTCCAGGATACTATCCCCAACCTTTAACACTCAAAGGCTACATCCAATACTATGCCAACTTGACCGTAATCAACAACGACATTACCGCGGACGACGTTGGAAAGGATGAATTATCGTCCTCTAAATGGGACGCAGGAAAGCACAAGGATAAGAAGCCAAAACACGCCAAACCCCAACCCAAGGAGTTTCACTACGAGGTCGAATATACCACTTTTGACGACAAGATCTACAAGCTGAAAGACTTGACCGTCAGGAGTTTATTGAGACTCGCCCACAGGATAGGGCAAACCTCTGCCCAGTCCACCGGACTTAGCGAGGAGGAATACGATGAATATGAAGAGGATACGTATGATGAAGTAGAAGATGTGGAGTCCAGCGACGAAGAAGAGGACGACGATATCGAAGCTGAGAAGAAGAAAAAGAAAAAGAAGAAGAAGAAGGGGGGCCACGAGATGAAGAACACGAAGATATGGCTCCATTTTCTGAAGCACGCGTTCGTCAGCACGAAAAGCGTTGACGAGCTCAAAGATCTCAAATAAGCCCCAAAGAGAAGGATAGCTTTTTTGTCATAGTTGGTAAAGGGGGGCTAGATTTAAACCTAACCCTAGGTAGGGAGTTTTTGTCTTTCTTTTTTTTCGCATGGCATGAGAGCGGCGCACTAGGTATAGGGGGTATGATAACTACGATAATAGACGTTGGTAGCAACGAACGTCTTTGGATGAATGATTGGAAGCGGCCACTGCATGGCGGATTTGGTATATATATGCTTCATACGCAACCGCATTGCACTGCATCGCATCGCATTAGATAGCATTTACGCATCTAGATCCTAGAGTTAGACTAGGACGAATGGTGTTGGGGCGATGAGCATGGGGAGCTACCTGTTTTGAAGATGTTGGAGGTGCGTCTTTTTTTGGTTCGGTTCGACGACTATGTACGAGATAGCAAGCATCATTTACCAAGACACGTATTTACGAAAACTGAACATAGTTACGAATTCAACGTTGAAAAATTTTTGTCATCATTGTCATCACTTATCGTCTCTAGTATCTCGGTGTCAATCGTTCACGCGCACTTCCCCGTAGCCCAGTAAAGTCACCTAATTAATCGGAATCGCTCTCCGACGAAGAGGGAAACCCATTCCACTCCTCCTCCGTATCATCAATTACTCCCTCGCCATTAGCCGCGCCACCGTCCTCGTCCTCTTCATCATCATCGTCCAGTTCTTCGACCTCGAAAGTGCCGCTGATATCCCACCTGTCGCCCGGAGCTTTTTGGCTTACGTACTTGACGAACTTGAGAACGCCGCTGTCGCGCAATACCAAGGACATGGAGTTCCAGGTGGCAGCTTCGAAGGTAAGGATATTGTCATCGTCGTTGCCCGACTTGTATATAGCCGCGTCCTCGTTCGCGTCGTCGTCGCCCGCCATGTACACCTCGTGGCCGCCGACCTCGACCGGCTCTTCTTTCTCTTCCTCGCGTTCTTTCTTGCCGTTCTTCTTCTTATTTGCGGCCTTGCCTTTCCCTTTGCTCTTTCCGTTAGACTTAGCGCCGCCGTCTTCTTCGGCAGAGGCGTCATCTTCGTCCTCGTCTTCGTCTTCGGCGCCGCCCCATCCGCTCGTCGGTGTGATGCCGAGGGTGAGTTCTAGGCGCGGCTTGCCCTCGTGGCCCGTCGCTAGCGTGTAGTCTTTGCCGCGTCGGAAGCGCCGAGCTATGAAGTCGTGGCTCTCGACCACGCTGCGGGTGGCTATCTGCAGCCAGCGGCGGAACTGCGGGCTTGGGAGGAACTCTTCTAAGAGCTCTTTGATAGGCGAGGCTTCTTCCTCCTTCGAATTCCCGTTCTTCTTAGAGCCGTCTGCTTGGAGGTATAGGAAACGGTGTTTGTGAGGCGGCTTGGCGACTCGCCAGAAGCCCTTCTCGATATTCGCGCTGTCTTCTGGAAGAGGCGTGCTTTCTTGTGCAGTGATGTAGTCTTTCAGCTTCTGAGCGAATTTTTTGCCCAGGAGATTGGGTAGAGTGATTGTGGATAATTCGTCGAATTGCTCGGCAACTTGGTCGAGGGTATCGGGGGTGAGGTAGGTCGGGGCCATGTACTTGAGTAGAAATTCGAGGTCGGCTTCGTCGAACTCCTCTTGTGAACTCGATTGTGGTTGCTCGACTTTGACCGGTTTCGCTTGAGGCAAGTCGTACTGGTCTGGATTCCCTTGTAATTGCATCAAGCCACTATTCTTGGCCAGTTTCTCCTCAGCGCCTTCGACATATCCATCCTCTCCGATCTGGGGTATGTGGAACCAGCCGCTGATGGCCATACGGACTCTACCCCCCTCCTTTTCTAGTTGCTTCTTGCTTTCAGAATGGTATACTTCCTCAACGTCATGAAAACTCTCGCCGGGTTGGACAGCAAAGAAACTCAGCTGGTTCCATGCAGGTGGTATTATTTTAGAAACATCTGGCGCAGGTGTCTTCGCAACTTCACCATCCTTGCCTTTAATCGTACGTACGGGAAATAGCCTTAGCGCGCCGCCCCATTCAGCCTTCCAAGGGATGTCGGGGTCGGTTAGGTAAAGGATGTAGCTGACTTTGCGGCTCCCGATAACGTCGTCATGGCACAAGAGATAGCAACCCGGAGTATACACGTTAATAGCCATGTCCGTCTTCCTGCCACTCAAGGGGCCACATCCAGTAATGTGGGCAACATAATCTCGGAACGCTTGCGAGTACATTGCATCTCTTAGAGCAAGTAATGACGGCAGCTTTGCTAAAGCCTCGTCGTCCAAGCCGTCGAGATTTGCGAGGTCGCCGGATTGGTGGATCTTGTAGATGTCAGTCTCCTTGGGCGTAAAGGATACATTGTCCTTGATCTCCTCGCGGACGGCTCGTAGTAAGGTGTCGTCGATTAATTCGTGGATGACGCTATGCTTGTAAGGCGTGGATTTAGCATAGCCTTTTGTATATTTGTCCAGGACATCTTTGTCAAAGAGTCCTTTCCTGAACCTCTTTTTGGCATCCTCATCACCCAATGCTGTGGTGGCAGTCAACCTTTCTGCCGTGAAAAAATTCTAGCCGGATCGTACGATGGGCGATCGCGATCTGTTAGATAGATGGTAGACGGCTTACAGGTCTTGGACTTTTTCTTGTGCGGTTTGTGGCTTTCGGCCTGTGACTGAGCTTTGCGCTTCATATTGGGCTAACGATAGAGTTTGTGTTACAAGATTGTAGATGCCAATTGCGAGTTTGGGAAGTTCAAAAAGCTCGCGGAAGTCGTGGAAAATGTAGAAAAATGTAGAAAAATGTAGACAAGAATTGTAGCTTCCTACTTTATCGACTGATAATCGTTCTAGTCTCGCACTTTTATTGAGGGAAAGCAGCGGCAGAAAAAAGAAAAATGGTCCACGCTAACCCGCACTTTCCAAAGCTTCATGGATGGTAGCCCTAGGGAAGCTGGTATGATCTTCACCGCCCGACCCACCAACTTTAATGGACAAAGTGGATACTTCTTACCGGGTAGGTAATTGAATTGATGCCCCTCTCTATTTTCTCTATCTTCTCTATCTTTTCTCGTTCTCCTATTCGTAACCCTCCCGCTTTCATACTCTCCCGCTTGCCTCCTTACCGCCACGGCTGCTACATCTCCTACATTGGCTTTAATATTCAGCTCCAATGAACCAACAAATCTAACGCCAAAATAACTGGTATGATCTGACTGCATGATGGTTGAAGCGCCCATCCATTCCGACTCGCAGGATTCCCGTTCTCTAGTTTGACTGGATGCATTCGAAAGCCATGTATAGCTAGGTATATATAGATCATGCAATATGCATAGTCGACACCATCACTCTGTTCAATGGCCTCTATAGTGGAACTGTATTGGCGGTTAACACATAAAGTCCGGCAATTGCTCTAAATCAGAGTAATAAGTTGGTGTTATATCGAGCTGATTTCTCACTGGACGACATCTATAGACATGTATCTATTCATGTGGAACGGGCTAACACTAGGTGCACCAAGGCCGGCGGTTCTAATCCTCAGTGTTGAGTTCCATCAGGGCACCATCCATGAGTCTATCTATGTATGTGGAATTCGCCAATAAAAATGAGAATTGAGCCATACACTTCCCCCTTTAGAGGTTCCTAACTTTCTTAAAAAGACGGAGGCCATTTTCTCTACGAAATGAAGCTATAATTATCTCGACATTGAACGAACGAACGCTAATGCTATAATTCTATTTGTTTTCCAACATCGTCCCTCCCATAGCACGGCGTCATTCCGTTGCCAATGTCTACCTCCCCCTTTTCTCCTAGGTAGAAATTCGAAATATGTTCCCGTTTTTGCCGAGTCTTCTGATCACCGCTTCCCGTATGATCGCAACTAGCTAATGCTACACTGACATAGTCTCCGTGCTTCGTGGGACCCCTCTTAAGACACTTGTTGGAGTCTGTCGAGTCTGATTCTCATCTCGCTCTCTTGTGAAACGGTCTAGCAACGGTATACATAGTCTTCCCGTGAGTTCTCTTTACTGCTCTTGAGCATTCCGATCCTCGGAGATGGCGTGCGTGATACATACTACATACCGCATCTACCCAGAATAATCACAATTCCCCTCAGCGTCGAAATCAAGATACACCACATTGTCTTTCTAGGAGGGCGTATGCTACGTTAGTAATTAAGATTATGGATCCGGTGAACCAACTTTGGAGATATCAGGTAGATGTGCCTAGGTTGGTCTTATGGTATGATCAGATATAATAGAGTTTCTTTCAATCTCTGAGAGGCCTTTACATTGAACCAAATGGCAGATTTGAGCAAGACGCGGAGTCTGCAAAGGTGTACTGTTATGCTGAAGGTTTCTGACAGCTCCCATCGAATGTTGGGCACCTTGGATACATTAGCCCCTGATTTTCGTGGATCTGAACGGGGAGATTTTCCTCATACATACATAGGTACCTACCCGATTCTTTTACCAAATTCTCTTGCCCCTTTTCCATTACCGCCTCCATTATCGCTAGTCAATAATGTAATTCAGGAGGGCATATCTTGTAGCAACATTCGAGCTGGACAGCGATGCATTCTGTACAGAAGGTTCGAATTCACAAGTAAACGGATAGAGAAGAAACTTCTACGGCTATAATTACCTTAGTTCCCACTTAGGGATGAAGCTATTATAAGCCCCATACACTTGAACCTCCTCTTACGGTCACTTATTCCATCTGACTATTTTTGCAATCCCATGTTTTACAATATCTGGTATTGTACCTGCATTGACGTCTTCTTTGGTACGCCCATTTCCTATCATATTCCCGCCCCTGAACGGCGGCTATTGACGAAGCGCTTAATCTGTATACTCTGCCATTGAGCTATAATTATGCCTACATCATACACCTATATTATGTTATAGCGCATTCTACTACGGTACGCTAGCCACATGCACGAGATAAGTATTATCTGTTGTGTAGCATCGCTTCATAACGTAGTCTGGGTAAAGCAAGGATTTTGGGGGACAAAGGAAATCACAAGTGAAAAGTCGTCCGGACAATTCTTCTTAGTTCTTTTCTTTCCAAAGGAGTATATGCTCTCAATTGTAGGTCTAAATGGTTGTCGATATCCTCAAATACTCGAATTAGTAGTTCGTGAAGATATAGAATTCCACTCGGTATTCATTCTGTTATAGCGAGGTGGGAACTTGAGCAACCCATGTCTAGTCTAGGTACTAGGTATGTATGTAGGCAAGATAAAGTATTGGAGAACCTAGATTTATTCGGAATAGAAACGCCCATCGGCAGTATATCCCCGCACCAGCGTCATTAGTTGCGTTCTAAACTCGGTAACTCTTACAGTTGGTATAGAAGGGTTGAACGCCTACCTTCAGGTATATAATACATACATGGCAAAATAATAATTACAAGAACTAAACTAGGCCATTGTTTTAAGTAAAAGGAAAACAATGGCTAACTTCGACGTCGAAGCCGCCAGATCTAAGTTCCCGGCCTTAAAGGAGGATCAGGTATTCCTGGATAACGCAGGTGGAAGCCAGGTCTTAGGAAGTGTCGTCGAAGCGTGAGTAAGAAAAACCGTCACGTCTGAAAAACAAAAGGGGTTTGCTCTAATACAAATTAGGATATCCGACTGGTTGATCAAGAGTAACGTCCAGTTTGGAGGAGGTTATAAAGTCAGCAAAGCCTCTAGTTCCCGGTACAATGACGGCGTGACTGCTGGGGCGAAGTTCCTCAATGCCCAAAAGGATGAGATAGGTAAGTCTTTTGACCTATCTTCCATATATCTCCATGTCAAGATATTAGGCGTAGGGAATTTATTACTCATCCCCCATAAGCATATGGTTCTACCGCGACCCAACTCCTTCGGAACCTATCATTCACCTTCCAGTTCCAAGAAGGCGACGAGATCGTGCTCTCGGCGATCGACCACGAGGCTAATATCGCGCCGTGGAAAGACCTCGCAGAGCGTCTGAAGCTCGTCATCAAGTGGTGGGTTCCGCAGGAGGGCTCAACCAATCCAAAACTACTACCCGAAGACCTCAAGAACCTATTATCCGCGAAGACGCGGTTGGTGACGTGCACGCACGCTAGCAACATCTTAGGGACGATCCACGACGTCAAGGCTATCGCTGAAGTCGTCCATACTATCCCTAATGCTCTCCTGCTTGTCGACGGCGTATCGTACGCGCCTCACCGGCCTATCGACGTCAAGGAGCTAGGGGTGGACTTCTACGTCTTGTCATGGTACAAGATATTCGGTCCGCACGTCTCAATGCTGTACGGGAGCCGCAAGGCTCAGGAGCAAATGCGCACGCTTGGGCATTTCTTCAACCCGAGTGCGACACTTGAGAATAAGATTACTCTTGGTACGTATAACCAACCCCTTTTCGCAATCTAGGAAGAGAAATTCCCCAGTGATCCGATGCTGATAAAAAGGCTAGGAAGCTGCTGTTACGAGCTAGTCCAGTCCATCCCAGCAGTCACCGAATACCTCGGCCCCCCTCAAGCCGGATCATGGGGCGCTCTGCACTCGCAAGAGACGCAGCTACAGGCCGCGTTGCTCGAGTACCTCAACTCCAAACCCAACATTACTATATACGGCGAGAGGGGCGCGGACGAGAAGCTCCGACTCCCTACGATTAGCTTCACGGTAGACGGTCTGGACTCGAGGGAGCTTGTCGAGACGCTCGAACGGACTACCAATTTCGGGTTTCGCTGGGGCGCTTTCTACTCGGTTTATCTGGTGAACGAGTACTTCAAGCTAGGTCCTAGCGGAGTTGTGAGAGTTAGCATGGCGCATTATAATACTTGTAAGTGCTGTTATCATTCGTAGCAATATCATCTCCTGACGACGTCGTATAGTGGAGGAAATAAAGGGGTTGATTGAGGCACTCGACAGCGTAATCTCGAAGACTACTTAGATATAAAGGTATAAAGGTTAGACCTGTGTATTAGCATTTGTCCCTGTTAGTGGCCGCGCCGAAACGATGTTGGGTATCACCTTTGAACATTTAGGTAGCTAGGGGGTTTGGCCGTGTCGATAGTGATATCCTGATTTCTTAACCTCATAAAGTCATCTACCATCCTTGAAACTTATCCTGAATAGTAGAAAATGTATATTAATCTCTTTCGTAACTTCCAAAAATCCCGCGCCAGTCTACCGCTTCGCTCCTAAGCAATCCACGGGTCGTACGCCACACCATGCATCTCATATTCATTTATGCCTCACCCATATACCCCTATATCCATATCCCCACTTACAGCTTTCCGGACCTCGTATCGACAGCAGTCCTCAGCAACGAGATAACCTCCGCCGGGTCCTTAGCACCGAAAACGGCGCTTCCGGCGACGATCACGTTGGCGCCCGCGTCGGCCGCCTGGTCGATGGTGCCGGGTCCCAGGCCGCCGTCGACCTCGATATTCAGGTCCGGGTACTTCTGCCTCAACGCCTGCACCTTGGGCAGCTCCGACGCCATGAACTTCTGGCCGCCGAAGCCGGGCTCGACCGTCATGATCAGGACCATCTATCCATTGTTAGTTAACCGTTCCGACAACTAACATTAACCAACCCCCGCGACCCCCTAAGTAATAGAAAAAGTAAAATATGAAGGAAACAAAAAATAGGGGACAGAGGAAAAAACGCACATCCGGCCGCTCCTTCGGATCCGGATTTTCGAGGATATCGGTGAGGACGTCGACGGTGGTAGCGGGCTTGAGCGCGATGCCGGCCAGCAGGCCCTGGTCGTGTATGTAGCGGATCAGCTCCTTCGGGCTCGTCTTCGCGTCGGTCTTGGCCTCGGGGCTCTCGGCCGCGCTCGAGAAGGCCGCCTCGTAGTGGAAGCAGTACAGGTCGCAGCCCGCCTTCTGGAACTCCTTGACCCATTTCTTCGGCTGTTGGGTACCCCGTCGCCCGGACGGGTTTTACGGTTAGCCCATATATTCTCTTTAACGCGCCCTGCCTCCCCCCTTTTTTTTGGGGGGGGGGTTATGCAAAGGTGTGCGTAGTAAAAATTATCTAGTCGAAGCTAGGAACGAAAGGGGAAGGGGAAGGGAAAGGGAAAACACGCAATGGCATGGTATACATACCTCCGCGATCATCATATGGCAGTCGAACGTCCCGCGCCCGTAGCTCGCCTCGGGCTTATCGACATGCTTCCGGATCTTGGCCACGACCGGCGCGCCGAAGGTGATGTTGGGTACGAAGTGGCCGTCCCTGCGAGAGAACCGCGCTTTAGTCTTCGCAAACCCGGTAAAGGCCAATCTCTCCCACCCAAGTCTCCTTATAACCTAGTAATCTCAACAAATATATAATACGCACATGATATCTACGTGAAGCCAGTCGGCACCTTGCTCCATCGTCCTCTTGCAGTCGGCGCCTAGCTGCGCGAAGTCCGCCGACAGGATCGAGGGCGCTATGATCGCTTTTGGCGCCATAATTGTGGTTGGCTGTTTAGAGGGTCAATGAATTACGGGTGTCTCGTGCGTAATTGAAGTTATCTCGTCGTAAATCGAGGGATCTGCCTGGTGCTATATCTCTGTACAGGTTTGCGAAATGAGACGACAAATGGTTACAAATAGACGTCACTGAAGAAATATGGCGGGGCATCGCGGGTAGTGGGGGGAAGGGGATCGACGGTGGGGCGGCCCCTCATCCCCTAATGCTTGCTCTATTGCGTGTATGGGTGGAAATGGTGTCTTTTACGAGCAGGAATTCACGTAGATTTATAGCTTGATTTGAACATATCATGGCCAAGAAATAGTCGAACAATTACGAACTTGGATCAATGTTCTCTATTATGAATGCTTCTTTTGCTCCTAATGTCACCGGGTTGTCCTCAGGTAGATAACCCGTGAACTACTAGACCAAGCTTCCTAAAGTCCTCTCTTCTCAAGCTGTTGAGTTTAATCTTCCTCAGCAACGGTCTCAGGAATCGTTTCCTCCTCGCCATCCTCGTCGAAGCTACCAGCGGGTACTTCGTACAGACGAAGGATCGACTTGTTAGGATCCTTCACAAGCACAAATTTGCCATCTTCGCGCTTGAGGCACATGTCAGCAATGGTGCGGACGATACCCCAGCCGTTGGAGAGAGACAAGTTCATCTGGTTGGCGAAATCCTTGGGCTTCCAGCCAATAACGCCCAAAATGATGTGCTTGTCGTTAGTCTTCGGGTTGGCCCGAGAAACAAAGCTAGAAAACAAGTTAGTAATGAATATCTAATGATATAGGAATAGAGTAGAAACATACCCAAGCTTCATGACATCGGCCTTAGACAGGATACTCTGCACCGTCCATCTGGCAAGCTTGACACTGTTGTTCTTCATCTCCGTCGCAACGACTGCACCGCGTTGACTGACCAGCTTAGTCCTCCAGTCCAAAGCACCACCACTGCCTTGTGCCTTGTTGTCGAATTCGTTTAGGGCCTTGACGGTCACGAATTGGTCCTCGCCATTGATGGCGTTCTTTTGGACGGCGTCTAACTCAGTTCGAACGATCAAGTACATGGGGTCCTCTTCGCTAGTCGAAAGGTCAAATCTGCGGTACTTGTATGCCTTGCTTGCGGGAGGTTCGGTCTCTTCGGAAGCGTTATAGAACGGGTTCTCGTGAGTCATCTCAACCTTGTTAGACTCATTCTCCAGAACAATTTGGTTAGCAAAGTTGTGATTGATATATGTAGCCTCTTCCGCAAGAGCACCAGGCTGGTTAATACCATCCTTGTTGCCATCGGAAGATTCCAGTGGCGCATCTGCGGCATTCTCATTCACCGTCACCATGTCAAGCGCGGCGCTATCACGCTTGTCAAAGAAGATCTTGTTGCCTTGTCTGACGATGACGATATCCCACGGGTAAACCGAGCGGGTAGAACACATGAGCATGGACAGGATGCTGTCAGTGGCGAAGATAGTAGCCTCGTCCTTCTCAGCTAGTTCCTGAATGACAGGATCCGAAGAGGTCGTGACGTTGTAAGCGGCACGATCCAGAGGCACAAGTCTCCTCTCGGCTGCCTTGACGGGTTGCTTATCGTAAGACCGATCATAGTAATATAGGAATCCGTAACTGTCGATATCCTCTCCATCGTCCGCATCCAGGTTCAACTTGGCGAGCCTGTTGAAATCAATTTCTTCCAGCAGCTGCCAGTCAGCCTTGATGTTAATGGACGCATCTCGGTTTCGAGTCGGCTTATCGTAGTCCTTCCATCCAAAGCGACGGCCACGAGGCGCGTTGGAGCGTCCACGGCTGTCGTATCCATAGCCTTGGTTACCTCCACGTCCAGGGCGCTGAGGTTGGGCACGGCCACCTCTAGTATCCTGACGAGCGCCTCGCTGTCCACGGCCGCGCGTGAAAACGGCTCCCCGGCCGTATCGTGTCTTAGTGGGCTCTCGGCTAACAACGGAGAAGGTATTTTCGTCTTCGGCGACAGGGGCGGTAAAGAGCGCGGCACTACCAGCGCCATAGATCTGCTGGTCTATATCGATTTGAAAATTAGCACCACGTCTATTGTTTCCATGGCCGAGACCAAATTGTCCAAGATTTCCATACCCCTAAAGTTGCGGTTATACTGCTGTCTACCACCACGACCGTCGCGGGAATCCTTGCTATCCGCGGTCCAGTCTGCCATGCGACCTAGTTTGTCCCCCTTCGAGAAGGGAGCATACGGGACACCATTCAGAGTGGTCTCGGTTACGGGGGGAGGGCCCCATCCATCGCCTTCGGGCAGGGCCGAAATGAGGTCGGCTAAAGAAGTAGGCGCCATATTGGACGATTCCAGAAAATAATCAATTCTTGCGCGTATATTCTACTCCGAAATAATATGGAATCGTTGCAAGTTGCTTCGGAGTTGTTTTTATGTTAAGGTTGAAGTGCGATGAAATTTTAGTCGAGGGCGAATATTTTACTTCGAAATCAGAGAGTTTGGTGGGGTGTGGGGCAGTCGCAAACTATCTCAGGTACCTACGTACCTTGCCATTTGGAAAAGAGCATACTGTGTGAAAAGGTGTAAGTTTCTACTATCTTTATACTGTACATATAGTTATGAAGTCTTTATGAAAGCTCCCCCCTTTTCTTGTTACCCCCCTATTATCCTCATAAGTGAACCAACGAGGTAGAACAGTCATATCTAATATAGTATCTGGCAATATCAATTGAATTAGGCGCAGAGAATAGACAATATAGATCCAACTATTTACGAATTCAAGGGTTCCTAGGAGCTTCGATACAATTTACCTTCATATGGATGTATTTACTTTCCGTATGCATACCCAGGTCGATAGATGTTGCTCATACTTGGGACGTAGAACAAGACAGGTCTAAATGAAACATAATGGACTTCGTACAAGTCCGCAAGCTGAACGAAAAGTCAGCACCGGGAAGCAATACTAATGAGACATGATTTTAATTCGCTATATGTAATTGTAATACATATCTAGGTAGATAATCTAACGCCCCCAACAATCATACCCCCCAATCATCGTAACCGTCGTCACCATTGCTACATCTCTCTTGTAATTTTCACACTAATAGTATAAGGTACTAACTGATAACACGCCAAACGCGGCAAGGACCAGATTCGTTCGTTACCTAAAAAGCTATACCCATTTGCATCTCTGTTTTCATCTCTGGCTTCGCGGAGAAGACGGCGTTGAGAGCGTCTCGGACCTCGAACTCCTCCATCACAGCTCCGAACCTGTGGGGTAAAATAATCAGCACTTATATGACTTCATAGAAACAGGACAGGGAAGAAGGTCGTAAGCCATACCCGTAGCAACGGACTTTCCCCTTGAGATCGTCGATCAATCTCTCAAAGTCCTCCCTCTTCAGGTCCGCCAGTCTCGGGTGGGCGAGGACCATGCCCCAGGCCATGACGGGGGTGATCTCGCCGTCGAGGTCGAGCTTCTTGCTGAGGTCGAGCAGCGTGGTCAGGTCGCCCTTGGACAGCTCCCACGTCTGCTGGCTCGACTGGTTGAGGTGCGGGTCCCCGCGGTTGGCGTGCGTGTGCGCGTACCCGAACGGGATCTCCTCGCTCAGCTCGGGAAAGGGTTCCGGCGGGCACGAGGCCATCAGCGCGTGGCCGCAGGCGTCGCCGCTCGTGTCCTGCGCCCGCTCGATCAGCCACGGCATGTGGTCCATGCACGGTCTCTCGAGCCTATACGCCCGTCAGCCAAGCTATAATTAGCTTTCCACGCTCTTGTACCACGTCCGTGAAATTTACATTTTCGTGAGTGTAATCATATTAGTCAATATGGTGCAATGAACCTGTTTTTCTTTTTCTTCTTTTTTTCTTCTCTCTCTTTCTTTTCTTTTCTTCTACTACTTTTGTAAAAACAAAACAGGCACAAAAAAGGAGGTTCACTGCGGGGGAGGTGATATGTACGCCTTCGAGGGGTCATCGGGGTTCTCGTACGTTAAGACGAAATCTATTCCAGCTTGTTCGTAATCCACGCGATTCTGACCGGGTTGCTGCTGCTGCTGTTGTTGCCGCTGCTGGCCTTGGGACGACACGGACATGGAAGGGGGACTTGACATTGTCGACGTCAGGGGCGGCGTGTACGCAGTGTTGGAACTTCCGGGTGCGTAGCTGCCCGATATGCTCCCGCTAGACGTGTACCCAGGGCTCAGGCCGCTGGCGACGTCGTCTATGCCGGCTCCCGACCCGAGCGAGATGCCGTTCTGTCGCAGGAGCGTCTTGAGCTGCCTGTTCTCCTCGGCAAGCTTATCCTTGTCTTGTGAGACGTTGCTATATATTTCCTTCAACCGCAGCACCTCGTCCTCGAGCGCCTTTATATACAATTCCTTGCGTTCTCGGTGCGTCCTATCCAATCGGTGATCAGAACGAAATACTTTGATGACGCCGGACTTTTTGGTTGACCGGAAGAAATACTAAGATACTGTTACCTACCTTTGCGCTTGGCGGTTCAATTCTTGGCGTCGTGTCAGTGCTGGTTTGCTGTCGGGCTTCGGACCTCGTCGCTTGGGCGGGTTCCCATCGCGGGTCGTCTTTTTGTCGTTAAGCGATTTGAGAAAGTTGAGGTTGAGCGACGAGAGCGGTCCTCCCTTGTCGGGATGGGCGCCGCTGTTGGAGTTCTGGGGCGACGAGGAAGACGACATCGATACGTGTTCGTATAGCGAACCCAAGGAAGGTTTATGGTCGGATGGAGAGTAATGCCTCGGAGGCGACGGATAGCCGGCTGTAGGCCCTGGGTCAGTCATTCTAGCCATGATTCACATTGGAGCGAAATCGACGGCGAAGTGCGCGATCCGAGATCTGGGGATTGAAGGGGGGGTATCTAATACGGGCTGTAGGGCCCAAATTGATGGAAGACGCATTCATATATGTGCCTCGCGAAGCGGGGTGAGAATGTTACATACATACTTAAGAATAGATGAATCGCCTCCCACACCTTTCGATTCAGCCTTGAACGGCCCTGGGAGCGGTATCTAATTCAGGATGTTAAAAAGGATCGCTTCTATTGACGGACGGCTCTTTTGGGTCGCCACTATGCAGGTGCAAGAAGCTCTTTGAGATCTAATTTGCGCCGCGTGGTAAAAGTTCAAACTAATTTGATGATGAGTATGCGTATGAGACGGGATTCCCTCCAAATCCGATATGCTGCTTGAGATGATGCGTTCTATGGATGGCGGAGGCCGATCATCTGGGGGCGTAGAGCGTGTTGGAGAGGTGGGCGGATAAGCCCCACGAAATCTTGGATAAGACGGTGGATATTCCCTTCACGATATGTTCCTCCTTAACAGTTCCAGGGGTCAGGCTCAGCTTACGTTGCAGCAGATGTAATGATGGGCTGATATGTGAGTACATGCCCGCTCTTCGATAAATAGCACTGCCTCACAACCTCGCTACTGTTGGGTAATTGCCGTACCATCTCCTGGCTTTCTAAAGAATTATTAAGAAGCTTGATCTTTTAGCCTTAGGGCCTATTCTTCTTGGATATGTCATGCATGTAGCCTAGATAAGTTGCCTGCTCTCTTCTCCAATAGGTATGCTTACCATCGTGAGATTCAACTTGAGCTTTAATTACGTTGTATCCTTAAGCCCAATCACACCCTGGGAGGTACATAGTAAGACAGTGAGTGCTGTCATTTTTGATGATTCGAGGAGCCTGGGTGCGTTCATCTTCTTTGGCTGATTCAGCAACAGCTGATCAATCCCATCAATCCGCTTGTCAAGTCATTGATTTTCCTTGGCAATGGCACGTATCAGAGTGTAAACTAGAAACAGTTGTTTACTCGGATATAACACCGATGGGCATATCAAGTCAAGCCTTTCCCAACAATGGAGCGTACATAGTAATATGTATGTATGCACGAAACACGCGAATATGGTAGGTAGCTTCAACCCCGGATGATCACGGAAAGCTTCCACTTGGGAACTAGAGTATGCATGTGAATTGTGCCTTGTCTTTTATCGAAACAGTTATGATTATCAGGGCAGGAATCATGGGAATTTGAAAGTCGTTAAATAGCTAGATATATATTAGATGAGGACCTACACAGGTCGTCAAGCAGAGCGATCTCTTATTTTCCGTGAGCTGGTTCGGGAGAAGGATAGACGTGCTTTTGCAGGTCTCCTGACCGCCAATCCATTGTCCAGCATTGTCGAAGGTGAAAGTCAATCGAAGAATGAAGCCGAAGGTTGCATTTAGTCTACCTGTAGCGATCTTGTATGTAGATCGGGCAGTAGTCCCATTGGACGCAGCTCGGCCCCCTCCTCCAGTTTCCTTTCACGTACAGTTGAACTTTACCCGTAAAGTGGTCGGATGTCTTAGCTAAACGCCACTTAGTAGCTAGGTCTCCCTAGGTAGGGTTTTCGCAAACCTTTGGAATGTTGTATTGTTAGGTGACGGGGCGAGTCGCGTACCGAACCCAATAACATTGACGTAACTTAGTAAACGTCAACGCCGGAACGGGCCGTTTGAAACTGATTCTTGCATTGCGGATTGCGGCATCTTTATGGTAAATCCTTGCGGCAGCTTCAGTTGCGAATTGCTTGTTTGGCTGACCCCAGCGATCTTCCACTCTAAGCGATCGCCGGGTCTGATCTCCAAGCGCTTAGGCCGAGACCCGAACCTGAAACGACGGGGCTGCTGGTCATTGTGACAAGTCGACCGAGTTGCCGAATTTCCTGTGGCCGGAATTGGTTTTTAACTCGTGATCCAGACGGAGGACCGACATTTATTTTTTTCGGTCCGTCGTCTAGAAGTCGGTCCTTGTTATTGTCTCCAGTATCTCGACATCCACGTAGAGCCCTGGATGGCTCTAGTAGCGAAGATTGCCGCCAACCTAAGGGGCGTGGCGTTAGTAACCCCTTGGGTTCTTCACCTGGCGGTGTGCGACCTTGCGCTATCTCTCCTCTTGCCAGTGAAGATATTCGCGCCGGACCTCGTCTATCACGCTTCCTCCCGCATTGCATACTCCGTCTGGAAGTGGATCCAGGTCATATTCGAGAGTTGCAATGGCGCAAAGATCACGTTTTCAGGGGACCGTTTACCGATGAAGGAGTCGGCTGTTGTCATCTCGAATCACGTTACGTGGGCCGACTTTTACATGATTCAGGCCTGTGCCTTGCGTGCGGGTATGCTGGGGCAATGCCGATGGTTTGCGAAGATCCAGCTCAGATGGGTTCCATTCCTTGGTTGGGGCTTGTGGGCGATGGGTATGCCAATGGTATCCAGGAATTGGATGCGAGATCAACGTGAGCTTCAACGCGTCTTTGGCGGGATCGTGCGTAGGAAGTGGCCAATGTGTAAGTGTCCGATCGAGTGATTCCTATCGCGGACGATATAGTAGACTGTGCCGCTAACATATTCATCTGCAGGGCTGATAAGTTTCAGTGAGGCTACACGATTTACTCCGAAGAAGTATGAGGAGTCTAGACTCTGGTGCAACGAGAATGGCCGCCCGCAGCCCTTGCATTTGTTATACCCCCGTACCAAGGGGTTCGTGACTACTGTGCAGCAACTAAGAAAGGCACCTCACGTAAAGGCTGTGTATGATTTCACTATTGCGTATCAGCATAAGGATAAATTCCATATAGCTCCGAACATGTGGGAAACTTTGAAGCTTCCAGATCTGAGCGGTTCCCACGAATATAGATTCCATATCCATACGCGGCGTTTTCTTCTGGAAGACCTCCCTTCGACGGACGAAGAACTGGTGAAATGGTTGGAGCAGCGGTGGGTCGAGAAAGGGGAATGGCTCGATACTATCAAAACTGAATGGGCTACAAGATAGTTCGCTCATGGAAGTATGCACATAACCTGTGAGACTAGTACTAGATTTTGAGACACGGTACCCTCTATGTTGGAGTAGTAACTCGGGGGTGACGCTTTGATATGAGAACACTACTATGTAGAAATGTCAGCCGCATTGCAAGGGGCAATGAAATTCATAGTCGGCCTTGGTATCGTTAACCGATTATCCGTGGCATATGACTTTTATATGCCCATAGCTCGGGATGCGTTTTGCCTAATTACTTGCGTCACGAGGGTGTTGGACGATATCGCATGCGGTCCTTGCTGCAAGGAGTTATCGTGCATTTGCAGGGCTTCGAACGTTGTTCGTCTCCGTGGAGACACCATGGCCCCGATGGCCGTGACGGGAACCGTGGGCTGATGAAGCTAGTTCGTCTAGAGTCTAGACCATCTCTTCGTCATGTGTCATAGCAGCACCAATATCCTAGACTATACTCGTAACGAGAACCAAGTTACGGGAATTGAGGGATAGCTGTCCTTGAATTGGAAACATATCGTGGAGTATTGTGCTCTCTTCGACCCGATACAACATTACGAGCCCACCCAGTTCAGCAGAAGAATGAGATGTAGGAGTAAATCTACGATAGCACAGACAATCCCGTGTGAATTGGCAATGGTGATAGGTTTGACATCATTCGGTTAAAGTGAGGTTGCGTAGCATCGGCTGCGAGACACGATCCCACCCACTGATCGGTATGCATTTAATCGCCATCTCGAGGATCCTCGATAATCGAACAAATGTGAACTCGCTACGAGAAGTGCGAGATGATGGGGTGGTGCAGGGTGGGTAGAATATAGATTACCGTCGTTGATCTTAGAAGAGACTAACCAAATGATCGTCATCGGCGACTGGACAGAGCCGTGTTCAAAGGTTAGTCGACGGATATAGGGCCATCGTCGAAGAGGGTTGGCTAAGGTATCACCTTTGATATGTAAGCGTACATACGTGAGCGTACATACATAATAGAGGCTAGCTCAAATGGTAGCTATTGCATTGGAGAGGGGGCTTGCTTGGAGGACTATGTGATGGTGGGGTGATGGCCATGATGATGCTGTGGAATGGGATGTGGTTTCGTCGTTTCAGTGGTCGTAGATCGCTCCATGTTACCGGTCGTTCTACTTCCTTTCACTTCCTTCTTGTGTCTCTCGAGATAAGATTCCCAAGATATACATTCCTTTGCGTGAATCGTAGGATCTTGGAGGGGTCGCTCAGCTTGAAGATTTCTGACAAGATAGGCTATTAAAGCGTATCTCTACATACCTCCTAGGTTGTGTATGTATGTAGGTATGTATGTATGTCTTTCTTAGGAGGAGGGGGAGGGGGCGGGGAGTGATCCCCATTACAACACAGAAATAGGGGATATTCCCGGTACCGAAGGCAATAGAAAACACACACGGACAACATACTATATGGTTTCCCGGAACGAAGTGGATGTCCTTTGCCGATTCAGCGTCCAACTGGGAGACATGGAACCGGGATTTTGGAAACCTATCGGCCGATGTCTCGTTACAACCACTTTGCAACGTAGACGCATACGCATCGCGTTTACAAAAAGGGAGGAATATTACCGCTGGTTAGACTCCCGATCGAGGAGAAGGTGTGTTTGCTAATTCGGTTCCATTTCCCAAGATGAGATGACTGCATGAACAATGGTAATGAAGACGAAGCCATCGTCCTCTTGGAACGCAGCATTGACGTATACCCCCTTGGTGGGCGTTGTTTTGTATGGTCCGAGAAGTAAACACTGGCCATAGACTCGTTGGATTGGGTTGGTTGTGCTGCAAGAGGATCACTGGACCCATGTTTCGTCGCTGTTCATTTGCTGACAGGAACAACTGACAACCAGCTAAACTAAGCTGTCGGAGGAAACTAGCTGCTCCGCTGCATGCATTACTTGGATGGATATTGAAGACCTAAGAAGCTAAGATCTTTTGGTCCGTGTCGTGGGCTGGGCGGGTTGGAGAAGATCCAGCATCTGTCGAAGCTATCGTGACTTGAGAACGATCGTTGGCCTTGATGCCTTGATGTTAGGATGTCAGTACCCGTCATCAAATATCGCCAAATATCGTGGTTATATTCTAGGCGAAGATATAAAACACACCGCAAGTACACTTGTGTGTACTCATATCTGACGCGGCTCAGAATGACTTGGACTAGAAGCGAAAAAGAAAGGAGATAGAAGTTCCTTGGAATGTTTGTAAAACGCATCTCAAGGGTATTCAAGGGTAGCTGGGTCTAGGACTATCTGGGGTTAGCGAGGTAGGTTAGTGAGGTACCCTGTCCCCGCTCAGGGAGCGATTTCCGCATGACTACTGGGCAGGTCTTGACAACGTTAAAAGGCGCTAAAAAAAACCTTAGTGTTAGCTGTGTTAAACAATTATGCATCTCCAACCTGTTTAACTTGAATTAATAAGCCCTCAAGCATCTACGTGCATGTAAATGTGAGACCCGGCGTGCATATAAGGAAACTTATGCTTGTAAGAAAGGGTTCAAGGAACGAAAGGAACGAAAGGACGTACAGCCGGATGGTCGAATGCAACTCCCTGTCGTTCCCCCGCTCTGGGTCTTCGAATGTTCACGGGTACCCAGAGAAAAAAAAGAAGTCGCTTTGTGGTGGACCCATACGGCGTTTATGGTACGTCCAATGCCTGTGGTGTAAAGTATATATGTAAAATACGTACTAGGTACCTACAAAGGTACCTACATGACTGCTAGGTAGATAGCCCTGTGTACGTAGAACCCTTTCCTTTGCTGACTCTTTTGCTTTACGCGCCGCCCCAAAAGGGAAGAAAAGTCTAATGCTTAAAAGACCCGCGCTGTAAAAGGTATATCCACTCCGACTCAAAATTGGATGCTCCTTCAATTAACTTGCCCTACGTCAGGCATGGTCATTCCCTCGTTCTGAAGGGAAAGTTTTGTACGTTGGTGATACTTCGAAAAAAAAGGTGACCAAATTGGTTCTTACCTCGATTTCCCTTCTGGCAGAACTTTCTTGTTCTTTCAATTCTCTTCCCTTTTCCCTCACGGACCCCTCCGTAAGCCTCCGTCGATACCGCCCTTTGTCAACAATACGACCGGATCGCGATAGTGCTCGAGCGTGTTGGCCGCTCTCGTGAACAGAGAGAGGCTCGCCCTCAATCCTTCAAACGCTTCGAATCTCTCTTCGAATCTCTTGCTAAATCGGGTGACCCGAACAATTACGAACGTCACTCACAGTCATGTCTCGGGTTCTCGCGGGCTTCTGACTCTGGCTTCCTGCCAGATAACTTGGCTTTGCATAAGGTCCTCTTCTGACCAAGAACCAAATTTCGATATACGCCAGCTTGTTCCGTCTAGGACGCGTTTGCGCCCTAGCTAAACTACACATATCTTCTTTTCGATCCGAAAGACTTCCTACCCGATGCCATCCTCGCAATTGAGCACAGCGCCTGTCTCTTCACAACAATGGACGACGATACTAGCAGATTAGCCCCTCCGGCTGTTAGCTCGCTTCGTGCACAAGCTATCGGCCGGTCAATGGAAAGGTCTCTAAGTGCTGACATTAGAGAGGAGCGTGAGGAACTTCGTGAGGCTGCGGAGCAGACGTTGAACGTTATCGTCGACCTTAACCTCGATGGCACCATTCGGTGGGTCAGCCCCTCGTGGGCCGATGTTGTTGGGACACAACCGAATTCCGTCGAAGGCACTCCTATTGGCGATTTGATCATTAGCGAGGACAAGTCTGCGTTTACCGAAGCTGTTGCTTCGATGAGAGAGGACGATTCGCGTAGCAAGTATATCCGTTTTGCTGTTGCACTGGGGCCCTTGTCTAAGCTGTATCCCGTGGAAGAATGCAAAGAGCCTGAGGACAATGGCAACGGTCTTACCACTGTTGAGCTTGAAGCCCAAGGAATTATGGTCTATGATCGTACTACTGGGAATGAAAGTCATGTAAGAAATCCTTTTCTTTTTCCCCGCAGTGAAACTTCAAGCTCACTTCTCTAGACAATGTGGATGATTCGACCATGGATTGCACCTCGAGAGATCAAAATCGATCTTGCGCCACTGCTTGTAGAGTCTCTTGGCTCAGGCGCTGAAGTCCTTGCTAGTTATCTTACTCAACTGGCCGAATCTGGGAACGAGGATCCTGCCAACCACCCACCCCCGCTTCCAGTTCTTTGTCGTATTTGCGAGCGCCAAATACCACCTTGGTGGTTTGAGAAGCATACAGACTTGTGCCTCCAAGAGCATCGAGCGGAAATGGATGTCCAGATGGCCCAGGAAAACCTAACCGAACATCGTCACGCCATCGTTAAAGTATTAGATGCCTTGGAAGCACGCAAAAGCCGTGCCCTATCGGATATCCCCGCATCGCTTCCCGTTGCCGAATACAAGGGCCTGCCAATTGGGCCATCTTCTAGTACGTCTTCTCCCGGGGCAGCGTCGCCTACACCTTCGTCAAGGGATCGATCAACGGGTTATGCCCATTCCCGCTCTAGATCTTTTGCTGTACGACGTCCTCAAGCTCGCATTGTTGAGCTGCTTTTGGACCTTTGTGATACCGCTATCGAGATTAGTACTCCAGCAATTAAAGAATCTTCATCTCAAGGTACTGGTGAGTTTCGTACACAGTCGCCACAATCAGAGTCTCGTATATCGCAGGTGCTCCAATGGCAATCTCCTGGTTCGAACACCCTTGATCAGGAGCAAGGTTTAGCTTTGTTGTGCGCAGAAACCGAGAAGGTTGCTAAAGAGAAAGTCGAGGCTGTATTCCGTCATAGGAGAATAATCGAATACGCAGAAAGGATACGGGTCGAGTTCACTGTGATTGTTGAAACTTGCATTGAAGATGCGATGCGCAAAGCGGCACGAATCGCGGCTGGTCTGAGCGACTCAACTGAGGACGAAGAAGGCGACGAAGACGAAGAAGACGTTGAAGAAACTCCAGTGGTGCAAGAAGAACCTATGTTCCCTGGATCTTTTGATACGCCGTCCACCTTGGCAGTTGCCCTCAAGAATGTGGTTTTAAGCGATACAGATGATAGGAAACGCCCATCTTCGGTCATTGAATCGACAAGGTCCAGTAGCCCGCGGGAATGCCCAACGCCAAGGTCCCATCGCGAAGTGTTGGGGACAACTGGCCAGTCTCGGGATTCACGACGAGGCTCTACCTTACTTGATCATGATGCTGGAGATAGCGACGGTAGTGGTAGGTCTGCCTCCGTGGCGCGCCAACCACCCCGAACCGACTCTCCCATGTCCGAATTGAGTGACCTGCGACGTGCTACTAGTGCGCGGCAGCATCATAGGCGAAGCCTCATTCTTGCCGGCACGTCTTCGCCTCATCGCCAGGAGTCGCCTTCCAGAGTCACCCAGCCATCGTCGCCGCTTCGAATCCATAAGCCTAGAAATCTTCAATATTCGCAGGAGGGTGTCGCTTCTCCCGAGGCATCTCCCATGCTCCCCGGTAGTGAATTTAGCTCTCCTGCTATTATTCCGCACCATCGTCGACAGTCTTCCGCGGCTTTATCAGAGTTTCCAAGTCGGCCAGCTACATCGCCACGCCTGAACGCCGTGAATCATGCCCCAATGGCACGTGCTGTCCCGCCATCCATCAAAGACTTTGAAATCATCAAGCCAATCAGTAAGGGCGCTTTCGGTAGTGTCTATCTGTCCAAGAAGAAGTCCACAGGCGAATATTTCGCCATCAAGGTCTTAAAGAAGGCGGACATGGTAGCCAAGAACCAAGTCACCAATGTCAAAGCCGAAAGAGCTATTATGATGTGGCAAGGGGAGAGTGAATTTGTTGCAAAGTTGTATTGGACATTCTCAAGCAAGGACTACTTGTACCTTGTGATGGAGTATTTGAATGGCGGGGATTGTGCCTCTCTTATTAAAGTCCTTGGTGGTCTACCTGAAGAATGGGTAAAGAAGTATCTCGGTGAGGTTATCCTTGGGGTAGAGCATCTGCACGACCGAGGCATAATTCATCGTGATCTTAAGCCCGATAACCTACTGATCGACCAAAAAGGACACCTCAAATTAACCGATTTTGGACTGTCGCGTATGGGATTGATTGGACGCCAGAAGAGAGCCTTGAACAGCGGAACTAACGAACCTACGCCGGACTTGCTAAAGACAGGCCCGTTTGTTCGGTCAACTTCGGTTGCGTCCTCCCGGTCAACTTCGTTGGATTTCCATGGCAGTCACCATTCCCCCTCTACGACACCCCAGATTACCCCTGACAATGGAGTTGGACAACCGTCATATTTTAATCTGTCACAAATTCATCCAGAACCACGCCGCATTTCCGGCCAACGTAGCGACAGTGGTGGGAGCGAGACATTAACACATATGATGGGAAACTTCTCTTTGAATGACCCTCAGCATAGTCAGTCGAGTTTACGGTCTCCGCGTGATGATGGCAGCGAGACTGGAAATGCTTCCCCTGACCTTCCGTCGCTTCACCAGACCAATAGCCAGAATAGCGACGTACATAGGAATACCCCGCCTCAGTCGAGTATGATGCCTCCTCCGATGGCTTTGTTTGACCCTGATGATACTAATCGTCGGTTCGTGGGCACCCCCGATTACCTTGCACCCGAAACGATTAAGGGTGCTAGACAAGATGAGACTAGTGATTGGTGGTCAGTTGGGTGTATCATGTTTGAATTTCTTTATGGCTATCCGCCATTCCATGCCACGGAGGCGGAACAAGTGTTCGAAAATATACTCGCCCGAAAGATCATGTGGCCTGATGAGCCGGATGACGTTTCGCCAGAAGCGAAAGACCTCATTAACAGACTGCTCTGCATTGAGCCCCAGCAGAGACTGGGTGCTAATCGCGAGGAAAAGTACGCTTCTGGCGGAGAAGAGATTAGAAACCATCCTTGGTTTGAGGGCATTAACTGGGATACACTGCTCCAAGATGACGCTCAGTTCGTTCCCCAGCCGGAAAATCCTGAAGATACGGAGTACTTCGATGCCCGCGGCGCTACTTTGCAATCGTTTACCGAGGAGATAGAAGACCAAGCATCTCCTCCTTCTGCGCCAACACCGGATTATGCCGATCGCCCACACGACGCTCTCTCTCGTGTCCGTTCTCAAGTGCAGGTCAACCAGATCAAACGGGGCCTAATGCCACTGCACATACCTCCCCACATCCGGGATCTGAAGAGTCGACGACTTAGTGAGCCAGTGGCTTCAGACGATTTTGGAACGTTTGCCTTCAAGAATCTTACAGTTCTTGACAAGGCTAACAAAGATGTGATCCAACAGCTGAAAGCCCAAGCGATGGCAGCACAGAACAGATCTGGAACGAGTCCGGGAGGTAATAACCCGACATCTCCGTCTCCAGCTCTTGAAGGCAGTCCAGTTATGGCTATACCAATACAGCGCAACTTGTCAAATGCCAAAGCATCTGCATCCCAACGCCCTGCGTCGCCATCCACGGCTAGTCACGCCAATTCGTCCCCAAGTCGCGCTTCGCAACCATCCTCGCCGCTTCTCGTGTCTTTCCATGCAGGCCAGGGAGCCGAGGGTCGTAGAAAAGCTTCAAGTAATTCTTCCAGCTTGTCACAACAATCGGGATCTGGTTCTTTGCAACCTGGAAGCTTTTTCGATGCGCCGCGCACTACTCCTAGTCTACAAAAGTCAGCAAGTGCTTCCGCTGCCGCCGCCGTTGCTGCCGTATCTCCCGTGAAGGGTAAAGGCGCGCCGCCTCCGCCTCTGCCACTTTCCCCACAGAAGTCAGTAGGGACTCCAAGACAAGCGAGCGGATCTTCAACACGATCGCGCTCTCTGACTGTAGGTTCTCAAGAAGGTAGTCCCGTGGCAGCTGACCTTCTTGCACACCATCGAAATCGCCGAAGCCAGGTGTTCGATATGTCTCCTTCATCATCGGATAACGAAGGCGAGAGGGCAAATGCTCTGCTTAAAGTGCAGCGTCGGCGCCAATCTTCTCGTCGGATGTCGGCCATTATGCTTGACAGCCCGTCCTTCCGTTCTCTAGATGTTTTAATATGCGAAGATCACCCAGTTTCGCGAATGGTTATGGAGAAGCTACTCGAAAAGCTTCGTTGTCGCACTATTTCTGCATCGACAGGTTCCGACGCAGTTCGATACGCCGTGAGTGAAATCAAGTTTGACATAATCTTCACTGAATTCAAATTGCCGGAAATAAGCGGATCGGATGTTGCTCGAATGGTTCGCGAAGTTAAGAATGTCAACGCCCATACACCTATCGTGGCAATTACCGCTTATCTGAAGGAGCTTCAGGCTCCTCATTATTTCGACTCTCTCATCGAGAAACCTATTAGCTCTTCGAAACTGATTGAAGTTCTTTCCAATCTTTGCCAATGGAAGCCGCCTTCGCCAGGTCAAGCCCAAGCGATGCCGATACTCAATCCTATCTCTAGTGCAAAACTGAACTGCGCACGCTTGGGGGATAGTCCCACGTCGGGGTCATCTGGATTCGCTCACCCTGGAAGTAGCAGCTTTAGAGGCTCTAGTAGGGAAGATTCTATCAGTTCCAGCTTTTTCGGTGACTCTGAATCTGCAACCACCGACGAGATACCTGTGGTGGTCAGTCGCAAAGCTACAGGGGAGTGGGGTGAGGAATCAGGCCTTGGGATTAGCAATGACGAGGCTGTAGCAGGCACCGGGGGAGCCTCCAAAACACCTATTCCACTCATTTCCCAACAGTCAGCCCCAGCTCAAATAGAGCAACCCCGGATGCCGGTTCCCCAACGATCGTTGGAGAAGCTACGTTCGAGGCGTGAACACCTCGAAAAGCGGCGCCTTGAAGGTAATGACTCCGCGGATGATGAAGATGATGAGCTCGGCACGCATAAAGACCGCGGTTTCCGCGGTAAGCCGCTGCCTCCTAGTTCTAAACTTGGTATCGAAATGATGAGAGCAAATAGCTACGATAGTGTTGCCATCTCTTCTGATACCACACTAGAGCCTGTAACACAGGTAGTGACTCCGGCAAGAGAACAGGACGTCTCGCCACTTTCGGGTGCTAGATCGCCGCTCAAGAACTCTTTACAGACACCACCGGAAGTTTCTCCAACGTTTGGTCCGGATACTAGCGAAGAAGGCTTGGATAAGACGCCACGATCAACTGCTACTGCACAAGACGAAGAAGCGGTGGAAGAACCAACACCACGACCGCCTACGAAATCATCCGAATCCGGTCTTCGAGTAAATCAAGATTGATGCGTTGTTTCAGTATGCGTCTGTCAGGAACGGCGTGACGTCTCTATTACATTACAATCTTTAGTCTTCTCCACAGCAATGGCGTTTTTACGGATTGGCGCGCTGCGTATGCATTCTATTTCTTTTGTCAGGGAACCGATAGCAATGGAGTTTGGTATTTCTCAAAGGAACGAGACTTATTGGCGGCTAAAAGATGCCCCAGAAAGAAGCAGGGTGGATTAGTCGTCGCATTTACAACCAGTTTTGTGTTTTCTCGCATCCGTTGTATTGTCGTGTCACTACTCGCGTGTCCGTAGTAGGCCAGCGGCGTTGGTGTCCCAAAGTCGATTACAACCTCAAAGCCTCTCCATTCCTTTAGTTTTCCTATGAAGTCTCCCCCTCCTCCCGGTTGACCGGGAAAATGCCCTGTTCCGTGTACCAGTATGATGCGAGAGGGGAGCCCTATGGTTAACTAGAAGAGAATTTGGACCTGGATTTTCTTTCATGTCGTTTTGTTTTTTTTACGATTTTACGGGGTTTTTTACTCTTGCAAGGGTGTAAGTTAGGAACATCCGAATAGGTAGCTGTCTATACCTTTTCCTTGCAGATCAAAATGACGAGATGGACGAATATAAAAAACATTCGTAGATTGGATTTTATGACTGAAAAAAAGGCGTGTTTGTGTGTCTGTGATTAGTTTTTGCGTGTGTTGTATGGACGAAAACGGTAAGAGAAAATGAAAACGAAACATGAGTCGACCATGAAGCCGACGTGTCCTTCAGGGCTAGGCTGGTACCTACCCAGCTGTATATTTCCGATGATGTAGTTTCTGAAATTCACATATTTTATGATTTATCATAGTAAGGAGATACATTGGTTAGGATATGGTCCACAGAGTTACCCAGGTTAGCATCTTGAGAGAATGACCTTTCTAGTTTGTATATCTTCATTTCGTAACGTTGTCTGGTATGTTCTGTAAAAGTTTCCCCGTACGACTTATGTACACATAATAAATTGCAACCTTAAGCTCGCCAAGAACACCGATTCTGATGACTCATTCGCGTTTCTTCATGTTCCAATACCCCCAGATTACCACTAGACGTTTCTCTCGTCCCACATTCATCTCTCGTATACGCTTTAATCAACTATTATAGGTTTGGGTGTGTTCTCAAGGAGAGCACGGGGCCAGGGAAACAAGACGGGTTGGGGAGGAGATTCGTCGAAGAGACTGAGCCCGTCGAGGCAAAGCCCGTTGAGCCAGCGTTTGATGTAGAGTTTCGGGAGCGGGGAGGAACTGTTCTCGGGTACGCCCTGTTTCGGCCACTCGACGGCGACTTCCAGCGACACGTGTTTGTCGACGTCCACCGACGAGTTGTACTTGGCAGGCCGCGAGGCAGTGAAAGCGTACCTTTCGACAGTCTCGTCTTCCCAATCATCCTTGCCATCACCCACAAAGATTGCAGTGTAAGGTTCGTTTTTCGTTCCGTAAATAGGATCTACAAGACATCCTAATCGAAGAGTCTTCCCCTCTAAGAGAGCTTCTTCGATTGTGTCGGTCATCCGCACGTGCCATCTCCAAAGAGGAGAGCAGGGACGTTTGCAGTATGGAGAAGAAGGGTCATTGGCCCAAGAGGTGAGACGCAGGGCCATATCCGCATATGATTTACCATACTTTCTATACTGAAGATCAGTCGCAAAGTCCATGATTGGCGACGATCGTCTGCCGAATCTGTTCAGCTTCATGGGCTTGCAGCGTATTACCTTGCCCAATTTCCAGAGATAACCAACCGTTCTTGTCCCTTCTAGAGTCAACACGGGGTTTATAAAACGACAGCCCTTAATGAAAGTGAGAGCCTCGTCAACTGGAGGCCTAAAGCTACTGAGCGATTGTTTGGATAAGTATTTGTGGACGTTGTCGTCAAGCGTTCCTTGGCCGGGCTTTTCTGGATCGTTTTCTATTATCTCGCCGTTCAAAAGATACAGGGCAAGGATTGTCAAACTCAAGCTGCTTCTGTCGCTGTTGAGAGAATTCGTGTCGAGCCGAGTATTATACCCACAACAATTAGCCATAATGGCAAGACGATCCGATTCTTTTCCAATGTCGCGCGAGACCACATCCGAGAGAATTGTTGGGGACATAGAACGCGATATAAGCCCAAAGCCGTGAGGCGGGGACCCTTCTTCGAGCAGAACGTTGTATTTTGGAGCCGTCCTGAGTATTCTGTCACAAATATCTTTATCTTTTGACCTCTTCCGATACGCAAGGCAGAACTCCGTAGCCCGCATCCTGAAGTCCGAGGATCGTATAACGATCTCGCCTTCGACTTCACCTAGAAGAGGTCGCTCACGCTCATCTATCGCATCCCGCTTACGCCTTTCCAAATCAGGATGATGTGGGATAAGAAGCTTCATACGGACAGAAGCTCTGTAGTCTTCCTGAAATGTCCAGGCTCTTGTCCACCAGTAATTGGATGTTATTTTGTGTAGAAGAGTTAGCACAGCCTCTTCGTCTTCAGAGTCCACCACGCCATCTATTAAATTCGCAAGGAGATCGAGTTCTTCCACGGTCTTGATTGTGCATGTAAGGAGAGCAATTGGGTATTTGCTGAGGCTGTACACTAGGTGCATGCTTTGGATTGCTTCCTCCTGTGCTACTTCATCTTGCTGATCAATGCATTCGCGGTCGATCCAGATATTTTCGCAGCCCACATGATCGGCGTAGTTGAGCACTCGACTCCATACTCCGTCCCTCACCTCACTGGGCAGCGCAGGCTCGCCGGCCCTAGGCTGTTCGATGAGGTACTTTCCATGGGTGGCCTCTCCAGATTCTTCCTCTTCCTTCGAGGCGTCCCAGGTGTACGAGACGGCGATATAGTACCTTTCCCTCTCGTCGCCCGTGACGGGATTAAGATGCCGCCTCCTTAGCAGCTCTGAGGCACCGGTGGTGATACTACCATCAGCGACGCGTCTCCGCTTCCCGCATGGCTCGTCGTTGTCCTCTGCCAAGTAAAGACACTCGAGTGACCTGAGCCAATTGTCCCTGGTGACGGCCTGTTTCTTCCGGATGTCTAGCACGGAAGAGATGATTGAAGTATTGGTTCGATCCCGGATTTGGCTAAGGGGCAAGGAGGTGTCTTTGACGACGCCATAATCATCGGACATGCTCAGAAAGTGCCCTAGCCACCCAATTCCAAGATCGACGGTGTTTTGATGGGAATTAATGCATGTATGGTTGTTGCAATTGGAAAGTTCAAATGTTGGAAAGAATTCTGCCGTTTGAAACGAAAGGTTCCATCGAACCTGTTGCCCTGTTCTGCCCTGTTTGACACGGCCTGTTAGTGACGCTCGGACGCTAGCCCTGATTGAGCTAGTCCCCGACTCACCGCCCACTTGGCTCGGTACTTAGATGCCATTTATAGTAACTGCTCCAATTGTCTCGTCACACAGGAACGCAACTGGCCAATGCCAGCTGGCAAGTAGCAGTAGCGCTTCATGGTGTTAGGTACAGCTGTCACCATGAACTTTAAATCCGGAGATTTTCTCTTCCTTGCATTTTGATATCTGACGAAAAGCAAAAAAGAAAGTCAAAATAAAAGGCCAATGCATGATATATTAGCAAAGTTCATTTAAGCACAATATGAAAATCAATTTCGACTTTCAATTACCACCCATAGACTTCGTCTAACCCATTTCACTGCTTAGAACGACCACTGTCTCATCCAGTTTTCCATCCACTCCTCATGAACCGGTTTTAGACTCGCTAGTGTCTGCGAGACACGGGTTGTCTCGCGCGTATCAAGAACAATCGATTCCTCACCCTGACTAGTCAGGCTTTCAAAAAATTCCAAGATTTTGATAGCAGGGTTCCGAGATAAATCCTCCGTCTTAGGCGCGCTCTCACGCAGCGTCCTGATCCACTCATCCCAGGATATAGTCTTCAGCCCCAAGTATCGTGCAACGGTAGCTACTAATATCGCCCAGCTCGTGCGCTGCGGGTTCACTGCGTGGTACACCGTAGCACCGGCTGTCGGGATATCCGGAGATTGGATCGCGAGCTCGACGATACCCTTACCGAGTATGTCTACAGGAATCCAATCCACCGCCTCCATCCGGCCTATAGAGGAGGGCAGCTTGCCTAGATACTTTGAGCTTGCGATCAAGCTCGGTAGCCATTCCCGCTTCGGCCACATCCCACTTGATGAAGTCGGGCCCGCTACCTGGCCGACACGGCAGACAATGGTAGGAATATCGGCCTCTTTGGCCGCGACGTCGAGTAGGCGTTCAGAGACAAACTTGGACTTCCCGTAGCCCGTCTCTCCAGGCGTGTGCCAGTCTTCGAAGATCTGCTCGGCAACGATACCCGTCCGTCCAGCAGTGGCACTGATGCTAGAGACGAAGAAAAGCCGTGCCCCGAAACGGGAATGCGACGAGAAGTCTACGAGCCGCCGGACGGTGCTGATGTGGCTGGCGAAGGAGTCAATCGAAAGGTTGAAGTCAACCTGCCATGCATCATGTACGATGTGGGTAACTTGGTCGAGAAGTTCCTTGTACTCTTCGATCGAGAGCCCAAAGTATGACTTCGACAGGTCAACGTCCAGACACTGGACTTTATCCGGAAGTGGCTGAATACCCTTGGCGTATTGGGACTGCTGCTGGCGTTTAAGACTATCAGGACCGCGGTTAAGGCAGTAGATTCGACGTATACGAGAATCCTTGTGTAGCGAGTCGAGGATGTACGAGCCAAGAGACCCGGTCGAGCCAGTCAACAGGAAAACAAGACCGTCTGGAGGTTTTGGCTGTGCTTGCCTGTCAGAAATTGGCATGTTTGCTGCATGAAGCTCATAGAGTTTTTGCATTTTCTGTGCGTCAGTTTCTCCATTGGATGAAAGTGTTCTTCCTTCAACCAGGCCCGAAACGACTTTTTTGAGAGCAGAGATGCTGGAATTTGAGTACACGGTTTTAGTCTCTAGGGACTGTTCCTTTCCATGAAGGGAAAGATACTTATTTAGCTCCCTGGTTATGACCGTCATTTGCAAGGAATCAAGTCCTAATTCGAAGAGGTCGGCATTGAGAGAAAGTGAGTTCACATCAATGTCTGTCGACGCAGCTATGATACTCTTGACGGTATCTTCCACACTGTCGTTGTTGTTCGTATCATTTCTTGTTGGCCCATTACCAGACAATTCGTTTGCTTTATATAACGCATCAAGCTCTGATGCGTACATATCAACTGTCAGCCTCCGCTGCACTGTTCCCTTACCAGCTCTGAGCATCGGCTTCTCTGGAGATGTGAAGGCAATCATATTGTGATAAATACGTCCGTATGAAGGTACCTCCTTGTTAGCGGCTTGGACCGACGGCCATATGACCTCTAGAAGGTCTTCTTTCTGGGCGTCGCTTGTCGGAGGGTTAACAGCCTCGACGAGGAGACTCGCTTGGAAACGCCCAAGACCAGTCACGAGTACTTCTTTCACAGCGGGGTTCGCTCCGATGATACTCTCCATGTCGAGAGGATGGATCTTCTCGCCAGTGGAAAAGACGATGATATCATCGGCTCGCCCCTTGTAGAGCCAGAGGTCCTCTTTAGTTGGATGTTTCGAGAAGAGGTCTTTCATACGCCATTCGTTTAATTCGGGGAAAGTGCCAAAGATTCCTTGATATCTCTCAAGTGCTGGGTTTCGTACGACGACTTGTTCGTATAGGTCACCAGAGAAGGGTCGATATTCACATCCCAGTACTGGGCTGATGCTAATATAAGCCGAATCTTCCGGATCGCAGACTTGAGCAGGGAACAGGCCACATTCAGTAGAACCGAATGATGTGATTAACCTAGTCTTCGTGCTGATGAGGTCGGCTACTGCCTTGGGACAAGGACCTCCACCATATCCAATTAACTCCAGCTTGCCAAGATTCTCTAGGTACTCGGGGTTTTTGGCAAGGTCTGCCAGCATTGTGGGAACAAGACAGCTTTGTTGTACGTTGCCGTGGACATGAACTCCATTGATAGCGTCAACGGAAGGTGGGAAAGGTCCTAGGACTACGGTGAAACCAGTAAATATAGGGGCTGGGAGAAGTATCGTAAGTCCCGCACAATGGAATAAGGGGAATGCCAGGTAAGCCCTCTTGCCTGCGCAAATGGCCGGATGTACCGGCTGGTGTCCCAATGACGGTAATGCTGAGAAGGCATCGAGGGGTGAAATTGTGGCGTGTGTTTGTATGATAGGTTTTGGCAATCCCGTCGAACCCGACGTGTGCAGGACGACGAATGGCTCGGCCCTAGCTTCGGAAAATGTCTTCGTATATGGATACGGTTTTCCTTCGGTATTTCCTTCAAACCAGTAGCCTACCTCTGGTACCTCCAAGTGACGCATTGGCTTCGCTGTCAAAATCTGCTTGACGATTGGCAAGGGAAAGTTGGTAGGGGATATGAAAGTCCTGCAATCTGTTTTCTCAAACAAGGACAAGTTCGCCTCTAGGGTGTTGCGAGTTGAGATAAGGAGGAGCTTATATCCAGTCTTTATAGAAGCCAGGACAGATATCGCATATAAGAGATCTTGAGGTCCTATATAGGCGAGTGTTGGGAAGCCTTGGCCTCTCCCTAAATGTTCATCGATGTACCATGAGAAGCAATCGACAGCGCAGGCAAACGATTTCACATCGATATCCTCGAAGCCATCCTCCGGATTCTTAGTCCTTGCCACGGAGTATAACACGCGATGAGGATCAGATGATGCGATCTCATCTACGAGAGATGGTAGCAAGCGTTCGCCCAATATGGGAGCCATTATATTCGAAGAATCTGTCGTACGGAGGTGAACTAAGTATGAGGCTATGGAAATATAGCGGAAAATATCATACCACCTAGCCGTTCGGTACCTATATGGAAACGGGCTGAGTAATGAACGCTCTTGACAAGAGGAGGGGGCGGTAGGTAAGTGAGTAAGCCTTGACTACTAGGTGGTAGGTATCTGGGCATGTGCATGATATTAATAAATTTTCACCGAATTAGTTGACCACTCTCTTGCTTAGCAAGGGAAATACACCATCTCTCTTACCCTATGATATAACATGCCCGAAAATCGCCGTTGGTCTCCGAAATTTCGCTGTTGGTAGTTCGTTGCTAGTTGCTGACGTTATATTCATAGGCTCATATCACCTTCGAAAGCTAACTCGATGTTGGAAGTGGTAAACAAATTCAACTCTCCAATCCAAAGATGGATGAACTATTCATCATCCTTTTCAGTCTCTCGTGCAGTTTTAGCCCTTACATAGAGTACATCCCTTAGTACATGTGTTGGTTATCTTTGCCTTGATAGGGAGAACGACCGAGTAAGGGGAGTGATGGAGCCTCAGACCTCTATTGCTGCCCTGCGAATCAAATAATCTCCCCAATAAACCGCCAACTCTTTCCGAGACCAATACCATTGGCGTGACGCACTTGTCGAGGCCAGTCGCCTAATCCGGCCCTCTTGGGACTCATGGTTTCAAGGCGGCGGCAATGATACCGAGAAGATAGGATCCTAAGAAAAGGGATTCGGCCCCCATTTTCAGACGAGCCGCAGATATGCAGCAGCAGTCGTGTAGGTGTCTTCATAGGCGCGCTGACAGCCATGTTGGCATGCGCGCTACCCATCGCAACCGAGGACGTGCAATCAGAAAAGCCGGTTTCTGACTACGATATTTGAATTTTCATGGGAATGGAGCAGCTTGGTCGGCGAGTTCTAACTATACAAACGTGAATAATTCAGCTTCTTTACCCGCCTTCTGTTGCGTATGCACCAATTCTCCTTCCATGATGCCATCAACATAACATTCCCCGAGAAGAACATATTTCTGGTTTTCTTGGTCTCCGGTCTTCCGAATGATGAAGGGAACTGGGACTCCTAGGATAACCGCAACGAGATCGCCGGCTTTCATGCATGCGGGACCGATGCCGATGAAACCTCTTTTGGTAATGAAGAACCTCCTGCCTACGCATGACCGCAGCAGCGCAGCTTGGAAAAGCATGCCCGCTCCTGGGTACCACTTATCTCGGACGATATGCCAGATCTTGGTGACCCAAGAGGCGGGGTGTGAGGACCAGCCTACGTTCTGTTGGAACCAGGCTTCTGCCGAATCGACCATATCTTCGGCCTCGTCGCCCCGGTCGTCGGGGGATCCCCCGTTGGTTTGCACCGATAAAGTGCTCACGAAGGCCTCGAAGACTCCCTTTTCGGTGGTGTAAGTCGGGAGACAGAGTTGATTAGTCAAGTCTTGGGCTACAGCTTCAACCGCGATGTTCTCGTCCCCGCTACTAGTTCTTCGATTATAGTATTCAGTGGTCATGGATAATGCAGATATGACAAAGTCTATCTCAGCCTGGTGAGGTGGGTAATGCCACTCTATCAGCTCATCCTGAGCCCGCAACGGTGTATTTGCGTCAATGAGAGGGTCAGTGATCGATCCTACAGAGTCTAATAAATGCCCAGCGACTTGTAAAAGGTCAGCATTGCCGGTTGCTTTCATAGACATCTTTTGGTTGGCGTCCGCGCTGAAGAAGTCATAGTCGAAAGCGGATGTCCGGCGGGGCTCCGACCACACGGGTGTCCAAGATGGACAATCGGGTACGGATGGATCCTCCAATATTTCTACTGCTGTAAGCGGCCGGAGCGTTGCGTGAGTAAGGATAATGAACCAGGTCGCGTCCCTGAACACTTGGCCGACTGGCTTTTCGTAATTGACGGCGACCAGTTTACTACTCAGGTCGGTGGCATTTGCCACATCCCCGGCTATCCCAAGCACAGCGAATACATGGTCTGCCGGATTAGTCGCCTTACGTGTCCGCGACTTGTTTAGTAAAGGGAAAAGGCTCTCCTTGCGCCCGGGGAGCTGCTGAATTTGGCACAGATACAAGGCCGCTGGGATGTCTACTCCAGCGGACGATTCTTCTGAAGTCACTCCGGTGACGCGCAACTGCAGCGTGAAAGGATCCCGGATGTTGCCCGCATCCATCACATTCACGGCTTCGGCGAACGGTTTCCAATCCAACTCCCAAGCGCCAACGAGTATCTTAGCGTTCTGGGCTAATACTGCCTCTTGGACAATCCATACACGGTGGAACCACGGCTGGTTGAAGAACGCTCCAAGGATTCGGTGTTCGGGGGTTTTCTGAGAGGGAAATCCAAGCAAGTCTACGTCGGGCAGGCCGTACTCGTTGGTCGTGACTCGGTGTGAGTTTCGCAATGCTTGAGCGAAGAACGATAGCACGACTGACATGTAGTCGATGTCAGCCAGACGTTTACGCCCAAACGCACGGTCTAGCCTAGAGGTTCGCAAATCGGATACCAGGATATCTGGCGCGACAAGCTCGTCGCCTAACCAGATACAGACCATAGAGGCCGTGGTATATATCCTTCGCATGAGCTTGACCTGCTCGGCGCGTTCTTGCATATCGTCTTGGTTGATACATAGGGCGTCTATCCAGAAAAGCAGCGGTCCCTGACTAGCTCTCCGAGATTCGATCATGTCGACTTCGTTGCGGTTTCGGGCGATGTCTTTCCAGGCGCGCTGCTTAGAATGCAAGATATGAGATTCATCCACGACGGATATGCCATGCGTAGTAGGGTCGCCTTCTGATGGTAACTGCCGTAATGCTGCCAGCGCTGAAGCTAAGTTCCGAGTTACCTGCATAGGACAGTCATCGCACTTGATTGGCACCGGGTTCTCGACAGAACCCCAAACGTAAGAAAGTGCCTGGTAACATGGCGAATCGTTTAAATGAGTGACGATTTGGATGTTAGCCCTTATCGGATCTGAAGGCCAGCCGGGCTCAACGCTTAGAAGACGTATGGAGTTAGCTGGATCTGGTAGAGGTTGGTAAGTGTATTTCGACTCCATACTATCTATCATTGATGAAGGAATCCAATTAAATAATGTGGTATCTAGAAAGAAACTGTCAGTTTTCTGAGCACAAACGACCCCCAACTATGCAGCCGCTCCGCTGAAGATCTGCCGACAGCTATAAATATTTGCCAATCATGATTGATATACTGCCAGCCCTAGGAGTCTTATGAAGACAGATCTTTATTTACATTGCGAGAGTTTTGTAGTTTCAAAGAAAATATCTTGTTATTTCTTAGGGATATAATTGGTATCGAAGTTATAACTATAATTCCATTAACGTAGTAAGTTCGAGACTTTATTTGGATCAATGCTTTCGTTGGATTTTTACTGCTTCAGCTGTGCCGTAGACCTACATGAGCTGTGTCGGACAGCCCCTTGGCGCTAACAGGGGCCTGCTTCAGCTCACACTTAGATGTGAAGAAATCTACAAATTCAGTTTATGTCTTCTCAAAACTCATCTTCAAGATAAGTTGTATAGAGCTGATGAAGATGGCTACTATACGTGCCGTAGTTAAGGAGGTCAAATTGATGAACTTCTGTAGGTCTCTGCCCACTAAAACTTCTATTCTAGACCGGAGTTAACTGTGTCACTGATATAGACATTTATGCACAATGGTACGTTAGACGACGTTTCCATATGGCTTTTCTGTTTCTGATAACTCGTTAGGTTTATCCTTTCTGGACTCGTTTCCGACTTTATATTAACCATTATTGTTCTCCCAATCGTGGCTACCCGTAGCTCTTCATTCCCCCAGTTAGGCGATAATAAATGGATAGCCTGGGCTTACGAACTAGGGATGAATATGTAGGGGTCCCTTACCATATTTCATCTCGGGGCTGTACTGACTATTTCTTCAAAGCCCAGCCATGTTTGCTATATTTTGGTACTACTTTCTCGAGGATGAAACGACATCTAGGGTCAGACACGAAGACTTGATATTTCTGTGCTTATGGCTTCTCGTTGCCACGACGAAATGGATAGGGTATGGCATTGGCTTGTTGTACCTATCCTCGGCGGTTTTATTCACTGCAGCTGTGGTCTGTCACTGTGTGGCGTACTTCCTCTGTCAAAGTCCAAGGAAGACTCGACTAATTGGTGGATCTGGAGTCGAGTATATGATGCTTGAAGTCCCTAACAAAAGCGGGAGGAATGGCTTTAACTGGACGGGCTTCCTTTGTGTCCTTGGCATCTTCCTGATATTTGGTTGTATCGGCGTTGGCGGCTGGTACGGTTTTTATTACGCTATATTCATCAAACAATAAGTAGAATTCATGTAGATGTAGTCTACATAAGTGTGCAGTTGTGAAACTTGAAACCTCTAAACCTCATCGTAAACCTCATCGTAAACATCATCGTAAACATCATTAAAATCATAACACATCCCCTGACTTCTCCCCCAAATATCCTTCTTAGGTAGCTGAAGTTTCGATTTAGTGATGAGCACAGCACAGTAGCAATTCCACAGTCGCTGTCGGGCCTATGATCTCATGGAATCGTGGTGTTTTGGTGCCGTACCGTCATTGCAGCGTTCCTCGCATGTCTCAATATACACTGTGCGGAGGATTCCTCCCTGATTATTATTGAGAGGTGGCGAATTATCGCGATCCGCGTGAAGTTGTCCAGCCGAACAGACTACCTGGGTATTCCAATTTCCGTTCCGCAGCTCCAAGTCCCTAAGGGGCGGATTACCGATCTCCTCAATCCTCTCGTATGTGTTATCAGAAGCTGCTGGATGTCTTTCTATGTCAACCTGCGTAGGGACCTTGCTGGTTCTAGATCGTCCAGTAAACAATCTCGACCATAGGGATAATTCGAAGGTTTTGTTGACCTGCGTCTCTTTACTGACGATCCTAGGTATGACAGGAGCGCAAAAGACTAGGACCACAAACGTTAACTCGGCTACGCACCAAAGGTAAACTTTGTATCCAATGTATATGACATCTTTGCTGGTGAAATATTGCATTGTCGCAGATAATCGACAGACACCTGTCACCACAACCCTACGACGCATGGTAGTCACATTAGTAGCCATCAACAGGAAGCAGGGAACACAATGATACTCTCACGTACAGTAAACCAAAGGCAAATACTAAGGATACACCAATCTTTTTCCTGATTGTCATGTGTAAATTCCATATGATCCTCTGGGGAAGGGCGAAGATTAGGATATGCGAGACAAGATTGATGGTAGCAGAAACTCCCTCGGCAATTGCCTTGTTGAGACAGAGGCTCGGATTCGACTTATCAATTATATCCATAGTCGGAAAGCAGACGATATTCGAGAAAACGACGGTTATAACGTAATATATAATATTCACCCAAAGGAGGATGTAACATATCCACTGCAATCTGGGTCAGCACGTAGGACGAAGGCTTGAGTATAACGGAAGTCTATTCAATAAAACCCGCCCGATTGAGTCTTCTTAATTCAGGGAACTTGCATAGAAAGACTTGGGTGTATGGTTCGGAGCAAATATCTTATTCCATTCCAAGAGGATGGCAACTTTCAAGGTCGAAATGGCGATTAAATAGAAGGAAGTTGCCATATTCCCCACCTATCAAGATAATCTGGTCAGTTGTGCGTGAGGTACTATCGGAATTTCAAACCTTACATAGAGAGCGTCATATAGATTCCTAACGCTTATATCCCACTGATGTATGAGAAAGCCTACTTGGTGTAGTACGCGGTAGGAGCAGTATACATATGCCAATACCATAGACTGGTGCGCAATCGTCAGCAACTTGAAAACTCCCATCGACGTGGTTTTTATTGTGAAGGGTGAAATACAAATCCTACGAAAGCAAGAGCTGGAGCAGGTGTTAGTCAACTGGACCTAAAGAGACATATGGAATATGAAGGCGCTTACCATCTTCTAGGAATAGCTTGCGATATATGAAAACCTTCACGTATGCCCGTAGAAGTACGGCGAACGTTACTACGATTAGGGAGATAGTGATCGTGGCCAGAGCTAAAGTGTTGCTGTTTGGAGGATTCTGCAGGTTGGACACCATGTTCGCTGGAGGGGGCATAGCTGGGCCGTTGAGAATACCATCTTGCTGCTCAGGAGGTAGTGAGGATATCTGGGTGAGAATATCCCAAGACATAGTAAAAGATGGCTACGATGACTGTAGAAAAACCTGCTAGATTTGGTGACAAGAGTTTAAGAACCCAGCAGCAAGAGAAACTAAGAAGAACTGAGAGGAACTCGACGTAGGCTAATAAAAAGGCTGAGGGAAACGAGAGTATATGCCATGAGGAATATCGTTGATGCAACCCCTCTTCCTCGCAATGGTATGGTGGCATACATTTTCAAGGCCCCTTGGCCCTCAAAGATTTGGACCTGTATGGTGGTGTAACGACTTGTCCTGTGGGGGCTAGAGAGCCTACCTATGAAATAAAGAAGTTATTGGTGAAAGATATTAATTGAACCTCATAGGTAACCCTCCCTAAGCAGAAGGAGTGATGAGATGGCGAGGCATACCTTTGCTGGTAATAGAGGACGTCCATACTGATGCAGCCAAACCTAACATTCCTCTCTACTCATATTCGAGTGAGATTTTCACATGCTCGTAATTAAGAGCCTTCTCTCAACCTCACAAGACAATAAATCAAAACCTATCCTCTATTCGAGGGGATCGCTTGCTATAAACCTGACCGGTGATACCCTGACTTCCTTTCTAGACTAGAGTCATCTATCGCAGTATCCGTAATGATGAGATGAATACAATACCCACGCTGATGATGATGTCCGAGGTTATAGTGATTGTACAGCTTGTAATTCAAAATTTCCCTCCCGAGTGGTATTTCCCGCGTAGTCAACCCGCGAACTTGTAGTTTTTGAACATGATATAAAGCAACGCTTTCTACAATTCTTCCACTGTATCGCTCTTATCCCTATTTGCTTCCTCATCCCCCTTATTCTCACCCTCATCGTCGTCATTGTCGTTCTCTCCCGCGCCAGCGATGAGCTCCGTCATGTCGCGCATGCGATAATCGAGGATGGGCGTGATCCAGTCGTCCTTAACAAGCGAGTACGACTCCGGCTCGTTGTCCTTAGGTTTGCGCGGGTTAATGGCCCAATATCCAAAGTCCGCGTCTATGCGCTTCAAGTACCGCAGCAAGTTCCGCCAATAGTTTGCGTCGCCCGTGCCCGGGTTGCGCGGTGCACCGAACTCGCCTACCCATACCGGCGCCACATCGTTCTCGACTAGGTATGCCCAGTTCTTCCTCATCGCCTGGATAAAGGAAGCGTAGCTACGCTTGGCGTACCTTCCCTCTCGGCTACCCCACCCGGACCACGCATACACGTGCGCCGAGTATACGACTCGGTCCGCAACGTCCAGTTTCACCGGTCGCTCCTGCGCTTTGGTGAGGTCGTTCCCGGACTCAGTCCCACCGACGATAATCAGCCAGTCCTTGTTCATCTTCAATAGCCTATTCCCGCACTTTTCGGCAGCAGTTGCCCAGCGATTCCACGACATGGTGCCCCAGACGCCGCGCACTTCGTTTCTCAGGTCGGCTCCAATCACTCTGGGGTTATCCACAAACCGCTCCATCACCGTCTCCCAGTGCTGTATCCAGTCCTCCTCCGTCTGCGGAATCGGACACAAGGGACCAAGGTGGTCGTTTGCCCAGCCGGCATCGCACGGGTCTGCGCCACAGCACCACGTCGCACTTGTAATATGGTTGTTTATTATGACAGCGATGCCAGCATCGGTCAATGCTTCGACAACGGCTTGGAAAACATCGAGTGCGCGCGAACCCATAAGGTCGGGATTGGCGGTGAGGAGATGTGGAAGGATATGCGGGTTCTTTATGACCATCTCGTCGGAGTAGGGTAGGCGCACGCTGTTGAAGCCTAACAGGCGGATAGTGGCTGCGATGACGGAACGGTGCTGGACCTCGAGGCCCCCGGGGATAAAGAGCTCGTCGCTAGCCCCGTACCAATTGACGCTGGAGAGCTTGTAACGGCGACCGGTGGAATCGACGATATTCCGGCCGTGAGTTCGTAAAGGAAGTGCATAGGTTGCTATACTAGACTCTTCTTTGAAAGGAGGTAGCGGTCGTTCGCTGAAGAGTCGGTCGCCGACGTCAGGGACCCATGGCTCGTGGAGGGCGCCCTCAGCTTTCCACAGGTAATGAACATAGCCGCCGAGGAATACGACAGTGAATAAAAGGATAGAATACATCGTCTACGTCTGTTTCTCTTTTCCAAGAAAATCGAGAGCAACGAAGTTACGGGCGGTATCGAAGGCAGGTCTCTAGATATAACGCTGATGAGTACCAATGTCTGGAATTTCGTAGTAAGACACGACAAATGCTATAGATAACAATAACATGGAGCCCATTGTAACATATGGGCTTTGATTACCAAGATAGATTGTTGAATGGTATAGATCAACATTGAAGGTGATTTTCTTGAGTTGAGCTTTGGTAGGGAGAAGGTGAGAAGGTAAAAGGGTACCAACGTTCCATGTCAGCCACGCTCCTGCCATTCTGTAACGCAGTGACGTTGGGCGGGTACGTGCTTCGCAACTACCCCCCGCTACCCCGGTCAGAGCTGACCCCACCAATCCCGATATTATGTAATCGCTCATAGAGTCTGAACTTTTGAGTAAAAATTGGAACCCCCTTACTCACTCGTTTCGATACGTCCTTAAATCTCAGTCTTACGCCTAAAAACGTGCAACCAACAGGATCAACCCTCGTATCAGGTACATATGAGTTACGACTATCGAAGAACCTATTTCTGGCTATACGTTACAGCTAAATACTAGGCGAGGCATTTGAAAAGGGATAACCTATAAGAAGAGAGAGGGATAACATGTGGGATAATCCGAACTTTTCATAAGGCGTCACTTTTTCCCTGCCTTACAGAGCCTTCCGTCTGTAGCAACCTCCCACGCCTCACTTCCTACGGCTGTCGGACCCCAGAAAATGTCATCCGGATCATACTTCCGCTTGATGGCCAAGAGCTTGGCATAGTTCTCGCCGTAGAAGACCTGCTGCCAATTGGGCTCATTGAAATCAGCCTCATTCATGTAAGCAGCGCCGCTTAGCGTCAGCTTATCTAGGGCGGCAACCAGCACGTTGGTGACTTTTTGGTGTTCAATAAGATTCGCAGTCATATTATGTCGATCATACATACTTCCCCAGAGTGTCAGCCTTATTCAGAGGATCACGAAGTTTCTGGGGACGACTCACGTGGAAATAAATGCTAGGAATAGCGAGTTCCTCCAAGCCGGATGAACGGAGTTGGGAGATGGGGGTAGCCGACTAACGTCCATCGAGACGCCAGACAAGACGCCACCATTGCTTACGATAGTCTTAATGGCGTCGACGAGAGCGGCGCTGTCGGACGTCACGAGTGATTGCGGAATAATGCGGCCTCCGATATTGACCTCATAGACGTCCGTTTCGGGAACCAAAGTGTTAAAAGAGTCCTGGAAGGTTGGAAAGACGGTAGTGGAAAAGTCTGCCGTCTTCTGATTAGTCATGCAGAAGTAAGAGTTTGGTCAGTCTTCTATACTCACCATACGGGATACCACTACGATCCAATGCTTTTAGCGTTGGCTGTAACAGACGTTCGAGTTCTTCGGCAGTTCCGTTCGGAAAGTATGATTGCGGCATCCGGAACATGTTTCCTGGTATAGTTTGCCAGTAGACGGTAACACCGGCAGCCTCGATTGCTGGTAGGTTTGTTATAAAGGTTTGTACAATATCCCAATACGCATCCGAAGATTCGATGAAAGAAAGAGTGGCGCTAGCTGTCGGCATGTTTGGGTGTAGCTTCACCGTTACCGAAAGCACCATTCCATACGTACCGCCGCCACCGCCCGAAAGAGCCCAATACAAATCCTCATTTTGATTTGGAGTTGCTACCAGAAGTTTCCCAGTTGCAGTGACCACCTCCCATTCGAGAACTTGATCGACTGCGAGCCCAAACTTGGACCCCAGCGGGCTGGTCCCGCCTCCTTGAATATAGCCACCCGCGATGCCTACCGATGGGCAGTCACCTTCAACAACGATGAGGCCGTGTGCATTGGCGGCTTCCTGTGCTTCAGAGGCCTGCACGCCAGCTCCAATTTTCATCGCTTTTCCGGTGTAACCCGTAGATTCATAGTCCAAGACTGAGATGTCCCCAATGTTACGGGTCCATAATGCGAGTGCGCCCGCCCCCGTCGACTTGCCCATATAATCGTGTCCTGTATTCCGGATAACTAGGCGGATGTTGTGCTTCGTCGCAAATGCTGCTGTGTGACGATAGTCCTCGGCACTTGAGGCGTTAACAGCATAAGGTACATAAGCACCTACGATACACTGCGCGTCCCGAGGTGTGAATGGATCGCAACTCATGTTGGCGAAGAAGGCAGCCATGGGTGAATGAGTGCTCTCATAATGAAGCTCAGGACGTCCCCAGTTTGCTTGGATTTGGGCGCATTTTTCGGCATCGAAGCTAACGCCGGGGAAACTATCGTGGCATGGACTAGCAATCGGTACTGTGGCTATCAGTCGACCTCCCACAGTCTTATTGAGTGAATCCCATTCTTCCGCCGATGGCCAGCAAGTGTCGCCAGGAAAGCAACGACATTGCGACTGAGGACGTGACGTTGCGATCCATGCTGCCCCTATTAGGACAGCAATAGATGTCCAGATTACTATCCGGAAATGGCCTCTATTCTCTCTTTTTTCTGCCATGATTTATTACTTGGTCAAAGTTACAATGGTGATGTGAACCTGAACACCTATTTACCATTTAAGAGGTTGTAAGCTGACAGACATAATTAATTCCAGAAATCTGAAAGGAAGACAGAGCCCACATTCAATCGCCAGCACACAGATATCCATGTAATTGAACATCAAGCTCATTGGCTGAATGTTCCGACCATTCCTGTCGTTCAAAAGGTCGGGTATTAGGTATCCCTCCAGAGCTCTTCGTCGAACATAATTATTATATCTATTTCCCTAATATCTATTCTTCTAAGTATTTTGCTTCATCCTAATCTCAGATTCCAACAATATTACAGCCACCTTTCCCCTATCAAATTGCCACGTGCTAGGCATAGCCGGCAAGACTGAAGTCTAGATAGCGCTGGACCAAGTGGCAAGTGCTGGTATTGTCCTTTTGCTACTGTCCTACACCGTCATCGGTTACTTCGACAGAGGTGGACGAGTGGTGGAAATGTTTTGATGTGCTCTCTCGCCTTCCTAATCTAGGTACCTACCAATGTAGTTATCGTATAACTGCGTATCGTAACTAGGTAGCTTGCCTTTAGACGAAAGTCCTAGGCATATTGCTGACGGACAAAGGGTTCCTCCCAACGGCTAATTCGGCCCAAGTGGCTACCCTTGACATAACTTCGGACCTGAGGGAATGCTATACCTGGGTGAGTCGGGCGAATTAGATTGTGGAAGAGATAAAGGTTAAGAAGCCGGTGAACCTTGAGGGATTGTTTGTGACGGCTGGTTTTGAAGAATTGCCGAAAGGTGCTCACATATCACGAATCTTAGGTACACTACTCATAGCCTTCCAAACCCCTTTCAAGTCTTACTACTTCGCGACTTGATTATCATACTAGAGAAACGTGTTCGGAGTCTGGTAGTCAAAATATCTTGGGTCGAAGAGAATGCTGAGACTGGGTAATTTATCCCGACCCGGATAGTCGGGTCGGGATTAAGGGGCTCAGGTATAAGAGGTCTTTCAACACCACGTATCTTTCAATCATAAATGTATCATGAGATATGCGTGCTGAGCAACAAGATTAGGTGGGCTAGATCAAAAGGTTCTTGAATCCATTAAGACAACATTGAAAGCGGCGATTCTAAAAGCTCATGTGTCTACATAAGGAGCGGCAGTTCTCCGTATTCATTGGGTCAATGCATCAATCCTATTTACGTGTCAAGTAGGTAGGTAGGTATTCAACATGGTCAAGAAGCAAGTATTTATCTTAAGTTTATGCCTTTTTATTGAGACGGACAGATATATGTATACCTATCCCATTCTTAACGACCTTGGTAAGTCTTGAATAGAGCACACCAAGTTAGGTAGAAAGTCAATGCCGCTTCGTAGCTTCGTTCCTCCAACAGCTCTCGTAGCAACACTTAAGATCTTCAGCGATGTCAACTTCATGCGCCAGCCGATGGGTTTCCCTCCATCCATTTGTCCCATACGAGCCTAATATCCCCACATTACGAATACGTGATTCGGCAATGACACTTTTGATTCCTCCGACCACCTTCCCAAGATATTTCCCTCTCTTTTGAGCGCATTGCCGTATCCTAAATTTTCAGTATACCAATTCCTTGCCTCTACGAGGTCAGGACTGACGGTTTTCTATCGATACAAAATCCCGGGACGCCGCGCTTGAAGCCTGATAAATAACATCTGTGTAGGGTACCAATTCGCCCCAAATATAGTAACATGAAGAAAAAATATTTTGTACATGGTGTACATGCTTTGTAAGATCGGGCGCATAGCCTGTGGTAACAGATCGAATAATTATTCAAATGAAAACGTGGTCGCGACTATAATCGGGAGCGTGTGGTTGGGTATATTGCGACCTCGGGGCCGAGTATTGTATTTCATCCTCCTCTTCCTTTTCTATCCTGTTCATTCCTAACGGGTTCATATTATCGTAATCGTATGTACGTGATGGCGGCATCGGCGGCAAGGGATAGGCATTTTCTTGTCCCTCATTCGTATCCCAGCGGAGTTGCTGTGGGGGTCTGGGCGAAGAAAAGGACCGCTGGTGCGGTTGGTATCGGACCGTTTGTCCGAAGTAATCAGGGGTTTTGCGCCCGCCTTGAGCAGAGGGCGACATTGTCGCGCTAATTGGGGTCAGCACCGTGTCTACCTTTCCGGAATCGCGAGACAACATTTCATAAGATCGAGGGTCCTGCTTAATATCCATTCGAGCGTCTACAGACACGAATTCTTTCTTGGTGGTGCGACCACTCAGAGCTGCGAAGAAATCGACCCAGCCGGTGACCATAGACCAGCGGCCGAGTAGCAAGAGCAACCAAAGGCCGTTCATCTGTATTGAGTGTTAGCTCATGTAAAACCAATGATTGCAATGTGGTACTCACAGCCAATAGTACTAGAACCGCCGTGACAGTCGGCAGATTAACAACCAACCCTTTAGCCTTGTCCAAACACTTATTCTTATCACCGCTAGCAGCGATGAGGCAAGCTGCCCATGGAAGTGCCTTTGCCGGGTCAGTCCTAACCGATTCCACAGTATTGTCTAGAAAGACGAAGATGACAGCAAAGAAGATAACATCCGCGATAATTATCAATACAATGACAATGCCACGCCATTGGAGTTGGACGACGCGTCGAATTCGCCGGTAGGCTTGACGGGGAGTCATAGTGCGGATACTGTTAGAATATGAAGGCATCCCAGAGCCCTCAGTGGTTGTGCTGTTGTCAGTCAGAGAGGCGAGGTAAACTTTGATACAATATCCAAAAGTGGCGAATTGTATGATAACAGTCAGGCCTGCGAAGACAAGAAGTGGAATCCAGAAATCGGCCAAACTGTTCTCGTGGTTGATATGGCATGTTGCGCCGAATCGGAAAGAAACTCCGCTGAAGACGAGTAGAATGATGAGACCAATAACGGGTATACCCCAGCCGAGAACTTGAGAAAACCACATGTAGTTTCGTCCCACCACCAATTGCCAGCATATTTGGAGATGTAGAGAAAGAGCCCTCAAGAAAACCCACATGACACCAGCCCAGCCTCCAATAAGTAAGAAAGCGCCCGAGGCAGCGCATACGGAGCTCGTGTCCATCCCATGAGGCGTAATCTCGTTGTAACATTGGTTTGGCTTAGCTGCTAGTGGAATGATGAAGCCCAACTGTGATTTGTTAGCCATTGACGAATTTACTTACTCTCGAACGTGTGTAGGTAGACTCACGTTCATTAAAACAACGGCACACGCGAGACTGATGCTCAAATAATGGCGATGCGTCTTCTCGACGGGAAGCACGATCCAGGATATTAATAAGAACCCGCAGCAGACCATGCCGACAACATTAACCCAGTTTGCCGCCGTCGTTGCCGTGTTAAAATTATCTGGGTAAGCCCAGTCCGTCATAGGACATGGCACACAACAGTTTATACGCCCCAGGGGCGAACACAACCGGCCCTCGATGTCTATGAAGCAATTAGAAGAATACTAAAGACTGCGCCAACGCAAAACTTACGTCCTCCCACCGTAGGGAATAAGTCCTCGTTAAAAAAGGGCACGGGACACCCGCCACGCAAAGTTTCGTTCGCCATACGGAAGACTGTACGGGCTGGCCCGAATCACTGAATAGGTGGTAAAGAAAATATGTCTGAATTCTAGACCTCGACGGAGAACCGAGCGGCGGAGAAGCTGCGTGTTGTACGATATAATACCTATATCTTAGGTAACTTCCTGCTTTGGCCGAAGTACTTAAAACCAGGATGACGAAATCCGGATCCGGTGTATATTATGCGAAATAGACGGAGTCGTCCAAAGCCGAACAGAAAACCGGGTATGTCGCGAATGCGTTAATGTTAACCAGCTCGTCCCCAGCCCAATACCTAGATTTTTACTTTGAAACCCACTGATCCTGTCGAATAGAGTTACGTTCGTCTAGAAACATGTGAGATGGAATAACCGTCTAATCGCTTCGGTTGGACAACCAGGCGAGAACCGAGACGTGATGTATGCTCCTAACGCGTAGAGGGTTGATAGCTTAGGTGGTATTCATGGCCCCGAACGTCACGCAGATGAGGCAATTCCCATACACATGAATTGTAGGCAGGGGCAAGAAATTCGACGGAGAGGCATGCACGAGAAAGCGAAAAGACCAGAAAATTAGGAATATACAGTGACAGTGGGAAGGAAGGACATATTAAGGTACGAGTGCGCCAGTAGGTTGCGGTACATGTAACCTAGTACATAGTAAATAGTAAATGGGGGTCTCGATTTGGGTAGCCAATTGACGACATGAGCCAGGGGCTTGGGGAAGCGGATACTCGATGGATACTCGATGAATCCAACACTGAGGTGACTCTGGCATGGTGGTATGGTACATATGTACGCTGTACTGTACTACATATGTACGATAGAGACGCGGACAGGTCAAGGAGGCACAAATGATCCCTGAGGGTTACTTTCCCTGGGTCGCCCTGACGGACCTCGCGTCAGTCCTGAATGGGTAGGATGGCGTGGTCGCAGGTGGAGGCCGGTGGACCACATGGGGAAGCTAGTGTTCGCCATCTGCCTGGTCTCGCAAAGCTTGCGCATCTTCGAGACTCGTTGACTAGGAGGTCCAGGTAGGCCGGCCCACTAGGATTCTAGATACTGTTCCCCTAGTCAGCCTAGAAGAGTTCTGTGCTTGGCCGTTGGAGAGGACTATACTCGGTTAAGTCTTCTCCGTTTCGACTACTGTAGGTTAATTAGCTTCGGCCATTTGATAACTAGCAGTAAACTGGCAAGATTGGCGAATATCTGGGCATGTTGGGCATGTTGATCTCGCGTAGTCAGACGCGCTGCCCCATTGGCTTTGGGCAGGAAGAAAGGGTTTCGATTCTATGCTTGGTGGGGTTGTAGAATGTAAAATCCTGCGTCTATTCTCGTGATATCCACATGTAGGTCTGGTCTAGTCTAGGTAGTAACAGAGTAGCAACAGTGGCTATGGTAGGTAGTATTAGACGTGGTATTGGATGTAGTAGTTAAAAAAATATGTAGGTTGGTTGTATGACATAGAGTCAACTTGGAACTGCACATCTATCTAATCATATGGATGTACCAACGTACCCAGACATTAATGCAGGTGGTGGCCTCAATCGCTCAATCGTACATGCCTGGTCAGTGATGTCGCACAAAACTTTGCAGCCCGCAGCTCCTTAGAGAATTCGTGTCCAATCTTCTCTTTTGGCTGGGGGGATCCATGCAAGTTACCGACGGTGGGGCTACATAGGATTGGGCAAGTGCCTAGACGAGGGGGCCAGTGGGCATTAGCGGGCATAGGCGACTCCAAGAAGAAAGTTGACAGCACCTGCAGCAATTTGAATATGAACCCCCATGGAGCTTCCCCCCGGTACTTCAGTTACGTACCTGCCGCTTGAGGTACATTCCGGCCAAGTACCAAACCGTACCGCAGTCTTCCTTCCTACGGCACAACAATTCTGTCGGTATCGCGATGAGAGAAAGGATTCAGCATCTGCATGTCATACTATACCATACTATATCGTACAGGAGTCAAGTAAGAATTAAGCTCTTTTTTATTTTCTTTTTCTTTCTTATACGCATTATACCGATGAGGTGACCGGTCAGCAGCGGGCCGAATCCGCACCTACCACATCGTCAGGTTAAATCGTTTATTTGACTTTATTACATATCATGCTCTAGGCTACTCATGGTCTCTTTGCAGTTGTCCTACTATGTAGTCTGGAGTCTAGGTTGATATTGGACTGGTATCAATTCCAAAATAGTCTTCGTGCAATACCAAGGCCTGCAACAACCATGTCTGCCATGCAACTAATACTATGTAACAATTTCACGCGTGCTAGTGCTATAGTAGTGAGACATGACATCGCCGCATAGCCGGGGAAAGGATGGGCACCTACTATATACTAGCATCGCAACACTGCATACTATAGAAGTAATAGTCATATTATTAGCATCGCGACGGTAAGGTCCAAGAGACCCAACGAAATTTAACTCGCCCCATACTCCGTACCGGTAGAACGTTTATAACGCCTCCATCTTGAGCTAGTCCTGCAGGTACAGGCAGGCTTACCATAGACAGCCTAATCACGCAGTCTGACAGTGTGACGGTTAGGTCGTCCCTGCATGCTGATTATTGGTCCAGTCCATTTTCTTCCACAAATCGGAAATGTGCGCCGTCGAAAGGGAGGACGCCTCTGCAAGCCTCTTCTGTATGTTGAGATGCGATTAGTTAAAACGCCACAAACATTCTGTGCAAGTCATCGACGCCTCCAAAAGATCGGCATCTGCGTGCGCTCCGCATGTGCCTGTGTGTCTAGCCCTCAAGTTGCCACCAACACACATAAGAGGTAAAAGGACATGCCGATATGCTAGAAGATATTGTACATACGAGTACCGATGCAATGTCTTGCTCTCACGTTTTGACAGGGGACATAATGAGACTGCTGTGTAGGTATGTCTCGAAGTCGGCTACTTCCATACTAGAAAGTCGGGATTTGATTTGATATTACAATCTTGAGAATATCCTGCGTGCAGTAAAAAGGTACATATAATATCAGCCCTGTCAAACTCACGGACTGCCCAGCTTCATCCGATCGAACATTCATATTGCTCATCATATGGACATCATGCGAACACAATCCGACAGTTGGCCAGAGCCTTTCCGAAATTCCCAATGCCGGTCAAGTTTACCTCAAGGGGCACTAGCTTCGTGGAGAATACTACCCCCTGTGATAAGCTTGCCCAGTCGGGTGTGAGGGAAAGATGACTAAGTGAGAAGTAGGGAAATTTAAATGCCCCTCGGTGCGGCGCGGTGCAAGAGAGTGATGGATACGCCTTGTGCTTCCAATATTGTGTATACTTGCCAATGTTGTACTACCAGCCCAGCTGAAAATCCCCAGTCGTGTAGCCATTCGTGTTCGAGTATTGCCAAAAGATGTGATCATGATGCGGGCTCTCAATTTGTAGAGAATAGGGGAGCGGCAATTTGTTAATTCTTGCAGCCACTTAGAAGAGGGTTCCGTCGTGTTGGTTCCTGGCACCACCGAAGACCGCAGCGAGGGTTGGGCCTCTCACAGTTCGCACCAGCAGTGGCGTAGTTCTACTGGTCCCCCCTCCCCCTGCAGGTCTCAGATCCCGCCGCTCGCAGCCTGCATTGGAACACTCTACCCAGATTTTGCCTTACGAGTTATTCCCCGCTGACCCGCACTCCCGTCTTCCTCACCTATCACCACGTTTATGCAGGGGGGGCGGGTCCTAGGAAAACTTCTGCGCTCTAACAGCACGGGGGCTAGACCAATAGGAAAATACGCGTCACCGTATTCATTGTTCAGAAAAGAAAGCATAAACAGCGAATGATGTAGCAGTATTTATCCTGGCCAGCATCGCAAATTCGTAGATGATAGGCTCGGCAAGCTCATTTGTTAGTTAAGTCGCCGAATCATACATGAATATCCAAAGATAAATTGTCGCCGAGGAAATAAATAGTTTGTCTGGACGACGCAAGGGTATAGATTTGCATGCGCAGATTTAATATGAGTAACGATTACATATAGTAGATGATAATCGAGCTGCAGTATAACATCGTGTCGGATCCGAACGCATAGTATTTGATGTAAGTATAACATCCACTTTCCGTCGGTCCGCGTCTATCGGACCTCGATCTCGTCGAATCGGGAACGCGTCAGATTTTGGCGTCTTGGTAGTCGGGGAAGCGATCGTAACGGAAGGTAATAAAACTCGAACCACCTATCACAACGCGAATAGTCAACCGGTGCCGGTCGTCGTTCGTCGAGAGAGCCTCATGGATATCAAGGCTAGCCTATGAGAGGCTCAGGCACCAGCTTCATGTGTGACCACGCTTAGTATTGGCGAACTTGACATGCCACAAGGTTTTCACGTTTGCTATAACGTCAGCCCCCTTTTCAATGTGGGATATCCCGCACCGAGCGATTATTCCCGCGCTTACATCTGCGTGCGGCTTGATATAATGAAATTTACATGTCGAAGCGCCCCGGCATGAGTGAACCGAAAGACATGGTTATAGCAGGCATGCAGGCTTTGGGGTTTCCAGGCGTCTGGAAACGATACCCAGGTCATACGCTAGAACAGACGTTGGTTACGATTACGTATTCAGTTCGGGGCATCAACGCCGCATCGTCGCAACCGCAACGCTTGTCTTCGGACCGACCCAGGCTGTCTAGATTAAAAGAAGTAGTTTTCTGGAAGATGTTGGCTTTCTTAACTGAGTAACCCATACTAACGGTGCTCTAGTGCGACGAAGATAGTAGGATGACCGAAGCCGTTTCAGTGAGACACACGAAGTAGAAGTCTTCAATTCTGATCGTGTCAAATGTGTTCCACGGTATACGGTTCTGCTCAGTAAAAGGATCACAATGCTACAGAGAAGCCGCCGCGGAATAAATTACCATACAACCTCACCAACCCCCCACCGATTTATCATGATCGCATAAGAATTTTAAGTTACTAAGAGAACTATTTATATCGCATTTCGCCGCATTTAGCCTCATCATATGGTTTTGTACAGATTAGCTACCTATCTATATAGAACCTCGTTAATGTCGAGCAGAGATTGCTATCAACACCACCAGATGCTGTCTTCTACCTAAATAGTCTTTATATGAAGTAGTTTGAAACCACATTGTCTGACTTCGTATCAGTGCATGCGTGTGTTGCATGCATTTAGGACCCTCTATCTCCAAATTGGGATGCCTTCTATTTTCATCTATCCACATTAGTCTCATCGCATTTAGCTTCATTGCTACCGCATCATTGCAGTCCGTCACGTTCACCAAGTTTCAGGTCAGTGACGTTACCTTCGACTGATTACGAACTTATTATGATAATTCTGCAGACTACACACCCGCATCATGTCATACCTATTTCTTCACCTCGCATGTCATGTTATTTCGAAGAACCAGACCTTCCCAAAAGCTACATTTGCTAGGCGCCCCATAGTAGATAGGATAAACAAGATGACAAGCCCGCTAGAGGAACCGGATCTCAACCGTCACCGAGCTACGTGCATCTTAAACATTTCTAGAAGCTGTTAGTTGAAGATAGCCGCGGAATATCGTCTGTAGATATCGTCAATTTCTTATGGATTGGAACATCACGGCTTTTACCGGCGCTAGCGGTTACTATTTTCACTCGATAAAAAATATCTTTAGCAACTTACATAGCTCCTTCCGAGAATCCGAGGAGATCGAAGGCACAGACTGCATCCTTAGTGCACTTGAGATGATCATGTCCAGTTCATTGGAATCCCCGATGCATTGGGTCAACTTAATTTCTACTCGTGAGCAGCAACGTCTTGTCTCGGCGCATATACTTGATCGCCATAGTCAAACTTTAGCAATACTAGGCGAGGTTCCAGAATTTCAAGTTTGAGGTGGCTTCATACCAGGTTTTATCCTCCTACATACATACTGCACGGCACATGACGATGGGACGATTTTCAACTACTGTCCTGAATTCGGGTTGCATTAAGCTTATCTGAAACACATATAGCTTGCTAGTACCTATGTACATAGGTAAGCTCGGTAGTTGATAGCATACCCAGAGGTAGTGCTCGTGGGCTCACAGACGTCTTCGACGAGCGGCTGCTAGGCTTTGCTCGGCTGCCCTCCTTCCCAAGGCGATCTTTTTAGATTTCTGAAACCGTATCTAAATGCAACCAACGTGGGGGGGCGCTGATATTTCCCTCGGATCTGGCAACCGAAGTAACGGGTTGGAGCCCAATTTGCCAGAATATCAATTCTGTTGAGACATTGTCTTAGAAAAGCAAAGATAAAAAGGCTTGTTTGTGAAACAGTAACATCCGGTGGTGAATCCCGACCGTCTAAGCGATGCAGTGCGCCGGACCAGCAGGCGGCATACCAAAGACAAATATCACGACAGTCTGATCACTCATCTCGGATGCCATCCGTTTTGCGCCTCCAACTTGCTGCAACCCTTGAAGCCCCAATACCAAAACCCGGAAAAGACTGAGGCGACCCCAGTCAGTGCAGCACCATGTTATATTCAGGACCAACAGCTCAACAACTGAGTCAAGAAACATCTAACCAAGGCTATAAACGAGCCCAATACATAGTAGTGATGGACAGCCGCGTCTGTACCGTAACATGCCGCAATGCAAGGGCTCGGGCAACGAACTATATCTGAGCGGCGACGAGATCGACTCGGGCTCGTCGTCAGAAAAGGTAGATAGCGTCACATTGTGCAGCAATTAGAAACGCTCTAGCCGCACCGTAGCTGCGCTGTTCTGCGACGCCATCACACAACACTGCTCGAAGGTTCGCACGCCGAAATGGGTCAACCTTGAGAGAAGGTAACCCGACCAGATGGTCAGACGAGGGCGGCCATGTATTATAATGGCTAGGTATTGTGTTATAGTGAGTACTACGTATGACCCTTCTAGAAGCGGCGTTGTCTTGGCTCTGTTGAACCAATCGCAGAGGAGGAAGAATGGCTCGTACAGGGCGGGGAGGAGAAGTTGAAAGATGAATGGTAAACGTTAGGCCTGGCTCCGCGCACATACGAATTCAATGTACCCCGTGCGCATCAGCACCGATCCCTGCTGCAGCTGGCCTTTTAGCAACCTCCTCTTTGCGGAACGGACCCCGTCCTCAGTCTCGCATTTTTTTCACGAGGGTCGCGTCGGCCGGCCCGATTACACGGACAGGGTCAAAGTCGAACCTCCAGCCTGAGCCAGAGACAATTCTGTCTTATCGATTGTTTCTTCAGGTTCTTGAAACATGACGTTGAATGATCGAGGGAAGGTGACTACAGATCTGTAGGGCAGGTAGTGTAGGGAACTAAAAATTGACATTTGGACGATCTTGGACGATAATGTCGATGAGTTTCATTAAATCATTGAATAACATGATAAAAGTATGATATGCATGCATAAAGAGATGGCACGTGACAGTGGAGTTACGTAACCGGCCAACCTCCAAGACTTTTGAGAAGAACCAACATCAATGCAAATCAACCTTGCAAGATTAAACAGACTATCACCATTATCAAAAGTTCTATTGGTAAGACATCCTAGCTGTTTTCTCGATTTAAGGCCAAGGACTCGCGACACAGCTGAAATACCCAGCAGCTCAGTAAGCAAGCAGGATACGTTTGCGCACCGGGGGTAGATGACGATGACGATGACGAATCCGGAGGAGTCCATATGCGCTGCAGCGCTGATACGCCCTATCATATTCTGTCTCCTACGCTCAATAGCTTTTGTAAAAACTCAAGTAAGCTTTTGTCAGATACTTTGATCCTTTTAACTGCATGATGCTAGGACTCCGATGTGACCGGAGTTGAGCTAGCCTCAAGTTGGCTTCAAGTCAAAGATGGAATGAGAAATAGCTAGTATTCGAAGTAATGTGGTTGGTATCTAGATAGATTAGGTATACACATTTGCAAAAGCCACCCATACCAAGAGAGCTCAAGGCTGACGCAAACTAATAGAGAGTGCTGATGATTGTGTATATTCAAGAAATAATAGGTATTCAACTCAAACGACCCTCCTTACAATCTAGTCCGCTTTTCCATCTCAAGACAAATTTTGATAAAACAAGGCCGAACAAAAGGTGCAAATAGGTATCCAACCAAAGCGTTTTCCCCGCTAATAGTTCCATTGCTTGCACCAATTCTGCAGCAACTCCGGCGTCACAGCTTCCATGTTCGCAGCAGTCTTGCTGTAGGATTTCGTCCTCTCCATGGAGAACTTGACTTGATCCTCCGAAGTCCCACTGAAGAAGCCCTCGTACGAGTCAATCAACTTGATTCCCGGGTTCTTGCTCACGTCGGTCGTCGTTTCTTGGCTGGCCTTTAGTAAGTCGATCCACTCCCTAAATGATACGGTAGCCTTGATCCGGGGTCCGTAGAATTCTCTTACGGCGGCAGACATCTTGGTCCAAGTCGTCGTCTTGGGGTTCACGGCGTGGAAATAGCCGTTAATCTTGTCGACTGGAAGGCGCTCTTCAACGCCTGACACTTCCAGGACGAGGTGGGCGACGTCCTCGATAGCCACCCAATCAATCTCGTCGAAGACTCCCAGATTAGATGGGAGAACTCCAAGGTAGACGGAAGACGCGATGATAGAGGGGAACCACTCTTGCCTATTCCACAAGCCCTTCTCGTACCGCGAGCCAGCAATCTGGCCAACACGGACACTAGCCGTAGGAACACAAGAAACCTTCGTTGCCTGGTCTAAGATCAAGCTAGAGACCATCTTCGAGCGGCCGTAGTTCATAGACGCCGCAGTGAAGTCTGTGATTTGAGCTTCCGGAACGTCTCCCTTCCAGTGGTCTACGGTGCCGATACTAGAGATGAAGATAATGGGGACTCTCTTGGCTGCCTTGGCGCTGAAGTCCACGAAGTGGCGGACACCCCGAATATGCGGCTCGAATGACGAGAGGGCGATGTTGAAATTGACGGGCCAGCCGTTGTGAATGATCCTGTCAGTGGTAGATAGGAGTTCGTCGTACTTGGCCTGACCAATTCCCAAGTCGGGCAGCGATAGGTCGGCCTGGAGGAACTCGACCTTGCTAAAATCGGTACTGAGCCCACGGCTCTCGCAGCTTTGGATTTGGCGGCCCTGGCCGTCCTTGGAACGGTTGAGGCAGATCACTTTCTTGATGTTGCTATCGCAGATCATGAAGTGTAGGAGGTAGGAGCCAAGACCTCCAGTACTACCAGTGACTATGACGGTCTGTCCCTCGTCTAGTGGTGGAGGCTTGGTTGTGTTGGCGGCTGGCAAGTCAGTGGTGTACTTCTCAACCAAGCCCTTCATTTGTGCCACGACCTTCTCCACACCGTCTCCCGCAATCGCCGCGCCGGAATCAACCAGGGAATAAAGGTATCCTGCAAGCTCCCTAAAGGTTGGGTGAGAGTAAATGACACGGGGAGCGAGGGCAGAAGGGTCAACTTCAATACCAGCTGCTTTCAACCCGGCATTGATCAAGCGGCTAGCATTGATCACCTGCAGCGAATCGATGCCCACGGTGAAGAAATCCGTATCGGGGCCCAAGGGCGGGGCTTCAAGCCTCGTCGTGAAGAGCTCCTGCAGAGACTCTAGGAGGTCGCTCTCGGAGCCAACCTCCAACTTCGGCGCATTAGCTTGCTGCGAGTCCTCTGCCTTCGCGTACAAATCCTCGATCTCGTCCTTGTACAGCTTTACGGCGGCTCCTCGCTGGATCGTGCCCTTTCCGGCTCGAGGGAATGGCTTTTCCGGTTTCGTAAGCATGATGAAATCGCGACTTATATGGCCATGGGCGACGGAGCTCTTGTTCGCCTCTTCGATTAGGGGCCACACGCTGTCGATCAACTTTTTAACCTCCTCGTCGTTCTTCGGATAGATGACGGGCTCGAGAATAATGGCCGGCTGGAATTGGTCCTGGCCGACGACCAGCGCGCCCTTGAGACCGGCATGGTCACTAACAATGTGCTCGATGGTAAGAGGGTTGAGCTTCTCGCCGTTGGAAAAAACTATAACGGTGTCGGCACGTCCAGCGTACGCCCAGTGGTTCGGCAGGGTGGGATGTGGACGGAACAAGTCTTTCGTGTCGTACTCGTCTATGTCTGGGAAGGTGTAGAAGACGCCTTGGATATTCGGTTCAAGACCAGTACGTTTGATGAAAAGCTGATACGTATTTGGGTCTTCGGCAGTAGGGCGGAAATCCGCCCCGCCCAACTTGGGCTCGAAAACGAAGTATTGCCAGAGCTTATTATCCGGCTGAAAAACGATAGGATATGGTAATCTGGAATACTGTTAGCTCCCCGACATCTTTCCAGCATATTGTACCCATCATTTGTTAAAAAGCTTACTCAGTAGCAGAGATCATGTTCATCATGCGTATCCCCTGTTCGACAAGGTAATTTCCCACCCGAGTAGCAAGATTTCCTAGGGAAGACATTAGTAACAACAATCCACGTCAAGACTACGTTCGTAGGCAGCGAATAGCCGCGAAATGGGATCACTTACCACCTCCGAATGCAACAATTTTCAATTTCTTCAACGCCTCGACTTGAGCAGGCACTTGGCTCATGTCTGTTACAATCGAAGGAGGCAGGAGGATGCACTCGGCCCCCGTATACTCAATGTATTGGACTGCTAGGTCTCCCGTCAAGGGTTTCGATCCAATCGGGAGTATACATGGGCTACCAGCAATAATGCTTAGGAATGTTGTGAAGTACAACCCAGATGCGTGGAAAAAGGGCACTGTTAAGGGGTTAGGATCATTTCTTCGCTAATCATATTTTACTGGCCACTTACTCGGAATGATATGTCGCTTTGCGATGCTAACTAATTCCGTAGTCCACACTAGAAGGTACAAGAGTTAGTATACGGTTCTTTCTGTTGAAATTAGAGATTCTGGGTGTTACTGAGAGGTAACACCCTGAGAGAGAAAGTGTACAAAATAAGCAATGAAATTACGTACTTCTTACACCGTCCTGCGGGGGTACCTTATTGAACGAATCCATGGTCGTGAGCCATCCTTGCTTGCTAACAATGGGTTTCGGAAATCCAGAGCTTCCGCTAGTGTGAAGAACGACGAAGGGATCCCACTGTCCCTTCTCGACACTTCTCTCGTAGTCGATCTGAGTCGAACCCTCGCCGGTGTACCATTCTTTCTCAGGGGAGACGACCATGCTCTCCATCTTGTGAAGCTTTTTCCAGGAGTCAACTGCATCTTGGAACTCAGGAGTGTGAGCGATGAGGTGGCAGTCCGTGTCCTGGAACAAGCGGATTTGGCCCTCTGTCGAGTTTCGAGGAGAAATGAATAGCGCCTATAAAAATTAATAATATTCAAGGCCAAAAGATATACATGGTCCTACCTTGTAACCAGCCTTGAGAGCAGCGAAGGTGAACGAAACGTAACGAGAGTCGTTCGTCCCGATATATGCTATAGTCGGGAATGTGTCAGGCTCTGGCACACCGCCAAAGGCACGGATACCATCTGCGACGCGGTTGATTGCTTTTGCCAGCTGCGCGAAAGTAAGCTTCTCCCATCCATCCTCGGGGTTTGTGCCTCGCGGTATGGACAGCCATTCACGGTCCGGTTCGGTAGCTGCTCTCTCCTTAATGATCTGGAGAGGGAGTCGTCGTCCGAATTTGTCTCGACTCTCACTCATTTTTGAGTATGTGATATGTTCGATTCTTCAAGTCAGGCAGGCTATTGTTGTAACAGTTCCAAATATAAAGGTTGTTGGATGCTTGGGTATCTACGAAGTTTCTCTTGTTAACTCAAATGGGTAGACCTCTTATTTTCTACCAGAGGTTGCGCCTTATATATATAAGTGCCGTAAGCATACACCAAAAGGGGTTGGCGGCTATCCCGTAGTGCTCCATGGATCATCATTATCTGTACACTGCTCCGTTATTCGACGAAGACCCCACGTCCTGGTTTCCCTAGGACGTGTCATGCGACAATCCTACCCTGATGTGATGACGGAAATCGTGAGGAAGTCTCGCGAATCCCGATTCGGGCTTGAAACGCCCCCATTCAAATGGCCTCGTCGCCGCGACATCAGAGCGTCGTTAAAAGGCATTTGCCGTCACTACCAAACCATCTCGAGCTAGCTAATGTTGTGATGTAACTTGCGTGGATTACGAAAGATATTTGCCTCGGATGAGATCCACTATCTAATGGGAATACCGTTGCGGTGACATATCTGATCCTCCGAACCCCCCGAATCCCTACCCTAAGGTCCGCAGATGCAGGTGCGGAGTTATCATCCTGACATAAAGATACTAGTTGAAGGTTGCATACAGTTTTATGTAGTTTAGCGGCCCTGTCATGAGCATGGCTGATTCATGGAGCCCAAGGAATAGTTCTATGCAAACAGGGATCATGGTGATCGGATGCTCCAACTTGTTCTCACGCATTCCCAACTGGGTAGGTACGCCAACTAACTTATAGAGCGTAGACTAAACTACTTTTTTCATAACTAGTATTATTTGAACAACTACCTATAATATATCCTTCTTAATAATCTGGGATACACCACTATATCATCCAAACCTTTATAATTTGTTATTGACGATCGATAACCAAGACTGGCTAGAGTTGCGCGGTTTGTAGGGCTTGTCAGGTCAAACTCCTTCTAAGTGCAACCCATGTATGTAGTAGGCCCGGTAGATTGGGCTTCCGGAAACAGCACAAATTATGTATAAAATGGATCCTCGCGGGGAAATGCTACATAAATTTCTACATAAAGGTATTGGGTGGCGGCGGCGGGATCACTGGATCCCTTCGCGCTTCGCGATCTATCTCGGCTTCCAATGTTGAGTAATCGGCTAGTGAATTTTACCGAAAGTTTATCGGTAAAAGTGGAACCCAGCCGGATATCATCCGGGTCAAACAAACTTCTAATGCTGACGCCCCCCGGCATGAACACGGCCAGTTATAACCGTCCCCTAACAACTATTACTGATATCCATACGCACCCAGATACAAGTACCTAATAAGCATCTTCTACTTATTTTAGGTCATGGATTGGTAAGAAGTCATCTGGTGACGTAGTAGTTATTTTTAAAAACTTCGTGAAGTAAAAGTATCTCGAGGGATACGAATATAATGAAACGAAAACAGGCTTCACGCTAGTTAAAGTGGAAGCGCTTCTGGATGCGGCATTTATCCCCCATGTAGGATACCAGACTGAATAAATACAAACCTTGGAATATATCCAGCTTCACAACTAGAGGCTTGCTGTGTCGTCTTCACATCTCAGTTGAATCATGCAATTTCAAGGAGAAAGTCATAACACTGTAATAGAGAATGAGCTCGACTTGATTTCTATAGGGACATGTGGCTTTCTAGGTACTGCTATGAGTTCACCATCATCACCTCCTGACGAAGCTCCTGGCGCGATCAAGGTTGAACGCGGCGCTGATGAGAGCCAAATGGCTAAAAGCCTGAGGCGTGTTACCGAGCTGCTCACCACTGCGAGAAATTTCCTCGGAGAACATGGTCAAATGGTTCGAAAAGCTGAGCATGTTCTCAAACAGGTTCACAGCCCTCGGCAAATAGGTAGGCTCGTATACCGCCGCCCGGGTCAGCGCCTCCACTAGCCAGAACGTGCACATACTAAAAGCGCCTTCCTGCCCTCCTACTCCTGCAACACTTGTTAGAGAGACCTCGGAAGTCAATGCTGAGAAGACCTACCGTCATTTGAAAGCTCAGTGTTGTAGCGGTAGACGAGGCCCGCACTCGTAAGTCCACCCTTCTCTGGCGGGAGGAGTATCCTGTCTACAGTGTTGAGGAAGCGTGGGTCGTTGGGCGTGACGAAGAAGACAAGGGGCGCTATCAGTATTGAGGAGTCGAGGAAAGTATTATTCTCGTAGCTCTGGATGAAACTCTCCATTTCCGTGTTGTATCCTGTTTTACCCAGTCAGCATACTTGACGCTAACGTGACCCATGGGAGATTTGAGCTATTGACCTTTCTCCATCACTTCTTCGTAGATGGCGTCTCGGGCGTCCAACCACTTCGCTCGGTTTGGACAAGGCAGACATCTCTTTTCAGCAAGCCGCAGTCCTCTATCGAACGCCACCCAAAGCATTACCTTGGAGTAAACAAAGTGCTGCTTATTGTTGCGCACTTCCCATATCGACATGTCCGGTTCTAATGAGCACCGCGATTAGTAACAAAACCTCCCCCTTCGGCGGTAATATTTCACATACGGTCAAGTATCGTTAGGACGTGGTCTGCTGGGTATTAGTCATTTGATTGGTAGGTTTTATGGGATTAGTTCAGAGACCCACCAAGCATCTTACGGACAGATACCCAAGTATCCCAAGAGATAGGCTTTCCATACTTATTGTATAGATATATGCCATCCATGAGCTCGCCGTAAATATCGAACTGCTTATGGAACGCAGCTCCATTGCCGATGCGGACCGGTTTGCTACCTTTGTATCCGTCAAGGTGATCGAGCTCTTGTTCCGGTATGTCGGTTTCCCCCCTGATAGTGAACATAATTGGCAGATCTCCACCTGTTTTCGTTGTCTCCCTAACACGGTTGTTGATGAACTCCATATAGGCGTCTGCTTCTTCCGTAAATCCCATCCGCAGTAGGATATAGATCGTGAAGCTAGAGTCGCGAACCCAAGAGAAACGATAATCCCAGTTACTGTACCTCGTTAGTCACTGTTAATATCGGTACTGAAATGACAAAGTTGATCGTACCGAGCTCCACCGATTGCCTCGGGAATTGAAAAGGTGGGAGCTGCAACAATGGCACCAGTAGGCTCGTAGGTTAGCATCTTAAGGATCATGAAACTCCTCATGACAACTTCACGCCAACCCCCCTTGTAACTACTCTTAGACAGCCAGTTGTACCAGTAAAGTTGCGTGTCATGTTGTCGAGAGTCCAGAATTGAGCTTGTGATATTCTCCGTCACATGATTTTGTATGTCTTCGCGGATTACAAAGGAAATTGCTTGACCTTCTTGCAAGGTAAAATGAGCAATGACCCCCTCGCCTCTCATGCCATCTCTCTGTACCTTCTTAAAAATGAGATTTGGGCAGGTAGTAGAGTCTCCGCCGCCGCAGTCTATCGTCACATCTAGTTGAAGCTTCAGACTCTTGCTGTGGAAAGTTACGGTCTTGCTCTGAGGGCTGTCAGTTCCACGCACGTTCTGTAGTATGGTAGTGGTGTGAGATTCTCGGGCGTAGTCGAATGCTGGGAAGACATCCACATCTTGAGACGGATCAGCGGCCCATCATTGGTATCAAGAACGGAAGAATGACAAACCTAAAGACATCTGACCTCGAATACATTCGACGCGTCGAACCAACCACTTCTTCAGCTCCTCGTATATGTTCTTAGTCTCACGGTAGGCACTATGCTTGTTTTTCGTAGACAGAACGGTAGCCTCCTTTGGACGTGGGAAGAAGTCCACGACGTCCACTACACCTTCCTCGTTAATGTAACGAGTCTGTAGAATGGCAGAAGACGGGAGATATTGTTGTTTGGTCGTGCAAGATGCTGGTTCGGGTGGGGCAATACTAAAGAAGCCCCCCTTATCTTTGTCAAGGAGTCGGCAGAATACAGTCGGTGAGTCAAAATCAGGCCTATGATAGAATTTAGTTTCTATGCCGATTAATGGCTAGAGCCCCCTTTCCTATGAAGATACAGATTCTTGGCGAGACCCGTCAATAAAGGGGTAGGGTGTCTCGCTCTTCGGTATTTCAAGAAGATCCTCTCCCGAGGAGGTAGATATTCTAGGTGAAGTTATGACAAGAAGAACTTACCAGCACATAAAATCTAATTGCAACACGAAACTATGATATCAGCTTCTATCAAAGGTATATCATGAGAAAGGGATTTTCTACTAACCTATACTTCCGTCCATGCTTACTAACGCACAGGTCCTCATATTTCCGATCATGCCATAGTTTTCGATTGGGAGATATCCAGCAGCATCTCTTACAGAGACACTAAGGGTATTGCATTTAGGGGTAGCCATGATGTGAGACTAAGTCTACTTGAGCTCAGTTATGACAACGAAAGTTCCGGAGGTTAATAATCCTTCTTTCTCTCTACAATAGGTAATGTAAGCTGTGACAATATACCGTAGTCTCGCGTAGTCTCACTTGAGTATATAACCGGATCGTTCGATCTAAAAGACTCTATTTGATCTCTAATGCTTTTAATGACAAAATTAAGTTGTGGTCTTCGTCGACTTGTCATCGTGCATGCTATGGTCATGTGAGTGGATTGAGAGCTCGAAGCCCTTTGGCCCTGACTCAGCGCCACATTCCACTCACGGTCCCTAAAACGGCTTCCGGTAAATCCGTAAATCATTATGTAATAGACACTAAGTGGTCTTAACTGCTCCTATCCAAACTCACATTCTTACCGGGGAAACACTTGACATCACATCTCACCGATGAGTTTTGAATGTTTATCTAGCTAACTAATGATACCCAGATAACATCGTCTAATCTATTTCCTCCCATTTAAATTACATGGCCAATGGTACGTCATTTGGGTTCAGCGTAGCTCTAGGTCCCAGAGGAGTAATCTCGGCGTATTGCCAGGCAGCCTGGACACGTTTTAAAGTCCTGAAGCATCCGCCTACCTAACCCTGGAGGTCACATCGTTATTCGAGAGATTGTTACATCCGCGCGGCTTGGATCAGCCACTACTTTTAAGGTTAAAAAGACTGCGAGTCTTTTGCATTCAAAACAAAGTATTGTCATGTGATGGATGGGGCGAATGTATGGCAAGAGAAAATTCCGTCAAGCTGATTGCAAAGCTGAGGTTTAATGTGGTACGTTTTACACCCATGGATGTTTAAAGACCTACGTTTTGCAGCTGCACGAAACAAAAAGGTTTCGGTATGGTTTAGAGTTCTGATGTACAAGCAACCTTACATAGTGCAACTTTACTTCCAAAAATAGAACTGTCTAACTTTATATGGAGACGGTTGGCTAGATCGTATTCCTTATTTCTTACCCGCAGGATTAGCGCCTGAATCTTACGGAGTCCTATTACGAGGGGGTACTTCATGTATGCCGTTGAAAAGGAAAATCAGAGGCGTCTAGTTTGATTTATCATAATTATTCAAACAACCGAGACTTGAATCTGCATAAGAAGTAATCATAAGGTTGTTTTAGCTGTTTCAACTGAGGCTATAGCCCTGTCATGATAGCTTGCCAAGCTTGAGAACATTGAAGTAATTGCGGAGTGATGACATAACCTTTATGCTCTTGTATATAGTACATATATAGGTATCTCCAGATTTCCCTGCCAAGAACATTTCAGCATGCGCCTACCCGAGATCGCCTATCACGATAATTGGTAGATTCAACATTGTCGAAGCGTTTTTCTTACGTGTAATCCTTCTTGCAACGTTAGAGACAAGTCTCGAGCTTGTGCCAAGGTACTGCCACCCAACATCAGTATGATATGAGCAACGTTGGACATTGTATTTGTTCTACGCAACTTGTGTGTGTGTGCTCAAGCGTGGATAGTATTGAAGTACCTACTTAGATCCATATTCGCAGTCGTAACTGCATCGTGGTTCAATCGGCTAGGGTTTAGGCTTAAATGCGTAGGTGTATAACGGGTACCCGCAAAATACAAAGCGGAGTACCGGCGCGTCGCTTAAATTAGGTATATGCAAGTAGTCGCGAACAAGGCTACAAGCAGCTATTAAATTGAGGTAAGTTAAGGTAACATGCTCGGGTGAAGCTGACATCCATTCAATGTACACGGTACAAGGGCGATCCGACCAATTACTAGGTACTCCGCCCCAGCTTCCCTATCTCAGGGAAAGACAATACATCTAATACATATCCTATTCGATCCTACCCCAGCGTCAATCTGCCGCGTCACCTCCATTTTCTTCTGTCACACACTCGCCTTTCTCTTCTCATTGGTTCCCCGCTCAAGATTCTCGAACTTGTCCAACAACACGATCCGAGAGACAGAACGCCTAGGCAGAGTCGGCAGTCCCGTTCTCCTTCTCTCCTTTACCTCTACCTTCATGATGTATTCGAACTAATCTAGCAAATAATACGTATAGATATCTGTTAAGTCATGGCATAGTATTCGTCTTGGGATATCGTGAGGTGTTTGCTTTTACCTTGCTGAGTTTCGCGCCGTTAGTTTTCATCGGAGGCTACCAATCCGCCTGTCATGTCCGAAGTTCAACAGTCCGATATGGACGAGAAGCCAACTACGTCCAGCGGCAAGCAATCGCCTTCGGCTTTTGACAGGCTTCCTGACGAGATTATCGAACAGTAGGTTCTGCTGCCATCTGTTCTGGTGTATGCTGTTATTAATATACTATTCGCTGTAGAATACTTCAATTAACTGATCCTGAATCGTTTGCGTCTCTCGTCCTATTGAATTCGAAATGGAGGCGTGTTTCGCAACATGCTCATCTCTATGCACTCCACCTCTCGCAATGCGCATCCTACGCTTCTAGTCATAATGCCGTGCCAGTCGCAACAGTCGGTGACGATGATAACTTACCTAAGCTGCGCCGTTCATTCGCCCGCGAGGTCAAGAGGAACCTGTTCGAAGCATATCTGCGACCGAGGTCGACTACGATCAAATTGATTTCGAATTGTATTGGCTCGTCCTCTGCGCCCGGCGGCGAGGGAATGCAATTTAGTCCATCACCTAGAGGTCATCATATTCTCGCATATAACTCATCTCGAATATTTGTCTTTGACGTCAGGGAACCCGAGCTAGCTGTTAAGCGGGAGTTTAAAATACTGCGCCGCCCTGCATCCGCGTGCATCTTGGACGATGGCAGTCTCCTTGCAGTCTTGTCAACTGATATGCAGGTTGACCTATATGATTTGGGCAAAGTTCCACCTCGTCGGATTCAGTCGCTGATCCTAGACCACGCTCCTCGCGCGATCGCACTATCCCCGTGTGGGCGCGTTCTGGCTGCCGCATACGAAGGTGGCATCGAGGTACAATCTCTAAACCCAGGAGCTCTACCGACAGACCGACGGGCTGTTAAATGCGACGGCGTGGACTCTCTTGCCTTCTCATTCGACGGAACTCAGCTGTTAGGGACAACGACGACATCGCATACGCCCAACACTGTTATTCTGACTGCTCCTTATTACGATCCTGAAAATCAAATGTGCGAAGAAAATAATATTAGCGCGCTCTGGACTACTTCTATACTCTTCCCAAATACAAGCCGGGATTGTAGTCACGCTGTTCTGCTACAGGAATCAAGTTCTATGGAGGCGACTTGGACTTTTACCTACGATCGATCCTTCGAGACTTTCCGTGCTGTGAGAATTGACGATCTGCGCAACGGAACGACTTATTTCACAGGGCCTGTCCCGAGCACCTCCTCGCCTGGGCCTTTGCTGCCATGTACCTTACCTGCTGCTAACTATCAGGGAGACCTTGTTTCGGCTGGGTTTGAAGGAAAAGACATATGGCTATACGGCATACCCGAGGATCTGGAAGCTGTTCCTGAAGGTATCCACGCATCGCCTGACTCGAATGGGCCTCCTGGATTGCACCGTATGAATAGCGGGGTTTCAGTCCGGTCGCCTTCCCGAGTACAGGATGTAAACGGTGGGCGTGTTCCCCAGTGGCAAATACTCTGCGACAAGTTCCGTAATAACTTCGTGAGCGGGCGCAATATCACCCAGTTGACTGGTGTGAGCACTGTCAAGTGGGTTTCTGGCTTCGGCGATACGTCTTTAGAGGAACGTCTTGTTGTTGCAGCTCGGGGCGTTATGCCACCTAAGCCCGTAACCGAGGAAGACGGTATCGACTTTGTAGACGGAGGAAGAATTACAATACTCGATTTTGACTATAGGACGGAGGACGGCGAAGAGAAAGAGATCACCATTGAAGTTGGCACAAATGAGGCTGAAATACTAGAAGAGGAACACCGAGATATCGACACAGAAGTGGCCATCGTCAGGCGAAGAACAGTGGCACAGCGGAGGGGTAACCGGAATAGTGTAATGTCTGTGGCAGCAACCTCTTCTCGCCAGGTTGATGCTCTGCTTCGACCATCAACCTCTCACACCTACATCGACGATTTGGAGGATCCGCTAGTACCGCGGCCAATGGCTACAGCACGTTCTAATTCCTACGTCACGGCACTTGATGAGACGGAAGACGTCTCTTTAGAGGAGGCTCAAGAGGCTCTTGACGCCCCGTATGCTCATGCCAACCCACGATCTGGACCAACACTGCGTCGCGCCGCTACAGCTGCTGCTGTTAATCGTCGACGTAATCCACAACCGGCCGCCGCTGGTCGAGTCGAGTATAGACGCGCCGACGGAAGGGCGGAACATCCTCATGAGAGTGACGCTGACAACTGGGTACCTCCCCCGCCCCCGTATACTAAGGACGATCCCGGCGACTTGCCTGCATTTCTACGCCATTCTGCTATATCTGGCGTCGGCCTTCCACTTAGTGACTTCGTCCCACCTGTTCCTCCACTCCCATCGTCGATTCCTCCCGTCCCCTCTTTTCCGTCGGCTGTCCCACCTGTTCCACCAGTTCCGGCGGTTCCATATTCGCATGCGAATTCCGGTCGTCCTGAGCTGCCTCGTCTTCAAACCACCCCATTGCGAGAACAAGCATCTCGCATGTCTTGGAATTACCAATTCCCAAGCCAGGGAGGCATGAACGATTCTGTCAACGGTAGTAGATCTGCTGTCCCGGTAGGTAGGCAATCCCCTACTTTCTCGCGACGTAATCGACCCCACGTGGATGATGATGACATATACAATGTATCTCCGGTTGGGACTCCTCGGGCCACAAGTTCCCACGTATCCGAAGGCCCGGCCATGACAAATGTAACCCCCGAACGGCCTAGCCCACATAACACAGCGCCTTCGTGGCGTACGGAATATACACCAACCTCATCTAGGTCGCATCCATTCACGGGAGGATCCCGTCCAGGATCAGCTAATACATACTATCACAATCCTACCACACCCTCATCTACAGTGGGCAATCAGAGGTGGGATAATGGACAGATTGGTAACTACCCAACTGTCGGTAGACTTCCCAACGCTCAGACTTGGCCAAGAGCTCCCCCTTCTTCGGACATGCCTTCTTTAGCTTCATTTGATGGCTACCCTCATTCCGCACCTGCCACAAATCAGTACAACGAGGAAATTATAGCGGCAGCTTTACCCCCTGCGCCTACCCCGGATTTGTTAGCACGTCTTCACAGAAGACAGGGCAGCACTGGCGCTCCTCGTCCCGCGTCTGGAAGCTTCCAGTTCCCACGCGTACCTGTGGGTAGTCGTAGTCAGCGAGATTCTCGACGGTACAGTGGAATTCCCGAAATTCAACCTCCACCGGCGGATCCAGACCAGCCACTTATTATCAGCACGCCAACGGGTGTTTCTGGTGCGTACGATACTCCCGGCTATTTGGACGGAGGTAGAGGGCCTTCAGAACCGATCTTGCATGCACCAGTTCCTCGCCATCCTAGACCAACGTCGGGAGCTCACCTGCTTCGGCCTACCGTCGAGCGTCTTGAAACTATTTCTAGTATCAATAATGGAGAGCAGCCGCCCTCTACATCGCTGCGCCACCATACAAGTCTGACCCGCCGGCAGAGTCGCGCCCGAAGAGGGGCGCTCAAGAATATACAGGATGCTAAGCTCCGGGGCTGGACGGGCCGGAGGAAGAGTAAGAAGAAGGATAAGGAGACCTGGACGGATGTGACCTGGGCTGCGGCGGTAGCACCTAGAGGCCTGAGTAAGGATAAGAAGTGTGCTGTGATGTAAAAAAGAGAGAGGACATATGATGTTGAAATACTTTTGGTTTTTGGGTTTTCTTTTTTAACGATTAATACCCTTTTTGCCTTGGACGCAAATAAAAAGAGAGATTTACTTTGTTTAAGAAAAGGGATACAGGCTGGATATTTTGGGTCCATTCGCTCAGACGTCGGTTAGGGTTGGAAAGGGATAACAGGCGCAAGTGCAATAGATACCATAGTCTGCTGCCAACACAAAGGAGTTTAAAAATGAGACGTGGAGCCGCGTATTGCGGTTCCTTATTAGTCTGTAATAGGATTCGTCGAACCAGTGAATATTCACCAACGTAGTGTCGTACAAGGGATGTTGTCTTTGCTCATATATGGGTGGCGCTCGTTTTATACGGCCGCGTATATTCTGTATACGAGCCTAGAGTTGTGGGGTTGGATTCTAATCACTCTAACATGTCACAATTGCATGATTAACGGACGTATGAGTTGTGTGGGTGCCACTGCTTTTTTGCAGGGCAAGAGAAGCGTATTATTGCGTGCCGACACTCATTTTATGAGCACGGCTGTTGTCACAAAACTTCTCTAAAGAGTCGGTGATGGTAGTTCCTCCCCAAAGATCCAAATACATAATGCCAACCCGAACTCCCACAAAGACAGACCCAACGTCAACGCCATAGCTATGCCTCCAACTCCAAGCGTCACGTTCCGTTGTTCACGTGCGCATCAATGACTCAGGAATAAAGATTGTAGGCATGGCTGTAGACTGTTAGTTATTAAATCTTTGACATAGTAGGCATTCGTCTCTTACCAGACTAGAAGTTCATGTCCATGTCCATGTCCATCATGGCGACATCTTCGTCGGCCAGTGAACTCAGACCAGAGCTGGCTGGTCTGGGAGACTCTTCTTGAGCTACCTCATGCTCGGGAAGACGGCGGGCCTGTTCGTGCATCTGGATCGCCCAGAGGTGCACAGGGTTTGGCTTAGGTTGGGGATCAGGATCGACCATTCCGCGCCCCAGGATGGTGCTCGCGTACTTAGAGTCGTCACCAGTCCTGTTGTGCTTCCTCTTAAGAGCTGTAATCAAATTAGTTAGCATGACTGTGATTACGATATTATGTAAGAATAGTTGGAGGTTTAAACATACCACTGAGGTAGTCGGTCTCCCGCGGCTCTTCCTGTCCATCCATCTCCGTGTCGCCTGCGGTCGGCTTGTCGAGCCCGGCGACTTTGCGAATACGGAGGTTCTTGGGGCCTGTGGCCCATTGGATGAAGTTATCCACGCCACGAGTGTCCTCCTCGCCACGGAACACCTGCTCGGTGAACTCTTTGTCTGGCTTCAGCGCGCCGCAGTCCTCCAGAGCCATGCGGATGTCGGTGATGTTGGGGACACACGACACACCGTCTTCGTTGTTAGCGTTGGCGTAGTGAGCCGCGCGTCCCGAGATAGCCATCATGTACTTAGCCGTGAGGCTGGTGAACGCGTCGACGGTCGCAGGGGTGGAGGAGTGATACCCTTGTGCGCGCATGATCTGGAGGATGACTGGGCGGAGGAGCGCGTGGTGGATCTCGAAAGAACCGGGAGCACGGCTGCTCTGCTGTGCCTGTGACGACATTGCGGATTCTCGAGCTGGACTGATTCCTTTGTCTCGAGGTTGGTGACTCTGAAACAAACGAGGGAATCAAGGACGCGCGATGCTATGTCAAACAAAGCGGCTGTCGGAACTACTAGCAATTGACGACTAGAGTCTAGATTCAAGGATTAGCGTGGGTTAGGTATTTTCATTTGAAACAGAAACGTGGGATGGCATCTAAAGCGAAAGTGACATACCTGTGTCCAGCGAGATCCGCGCCTTCGTCCAATAGGGCTGATGAGTCAAGATAATGACTTGCCCAGAGTGCAATCAATGCGGAGAGTAGCTTTCTTTAGAAAAGAAGCAGTATGTAGAGGTAGAAATTGAGAACTTGGTTTGATAAGTCAAGTTGATGTTGGTTGTTGAACTTGCAAGTGTGAACTTTACAAGTAACTGGAGAAAAGATGAATCTCTAGAGAAGAGAAGAAAAGAAGGAGAGAAAATTTGATGGGGGGCCTTGGTTTATATATCTTTTGGAAACCGTAGAGTCGGGTTGAAAAAATATCAGTATAGCTTTCGATGTCGATGTCGATGTTGGTGTCAATGTCGGGAAGTAGTGATTAATATCGTTGTACGTTAACCGAATTCAGATGATTTTATTATTTCCGCTGCCATCTGCGCAGTTAGCGCGCCCTAGCAAGCAATTGCCAGGTTTTGCGTCGTAGCATTTGACGATTTGATGCTATTTTCAAACGCGACATACGTAGAAGTTAAAAATCGACGGGAGGTTTTGGTCAATAAAGCTCAAAGCTTTGGTCCAAAAACGGACTAGCGTCAAAAATCGCGCAAATACCGGGATATTTTCGACCAATGAGAGTACATGTTGGATTAATTGAGAAAATAACTTGCTTGATCCTTGATATGATTTGATTTAAAATAAAATTCCCTAAAATATAAAGTTTAGAATTAATTCATGAGAATAACTGATTGGGTCTTCTTTGTCGCGATCTTTGTTACAGACGACGTGATCGTAGAGTGTGGAGCTGCAATGTACGTAACTATCTGGGTACAAAGGTACCTACCTACCTTAGCTTATTGATTCTGTCCCACTTTACTACGTAGTAAGGTTCGTACTGTGCATGTGCAGGTAGGTACTATAGTTTAGCCCCACACGAGCACTCAAGATTCTTATCGATAAAGCGTCAGGGACAGGTCGACCCCAGACTTCCAATCGACCTGTCGCGCTTTCAAGAATTCTAAGTTCTTCATCCCAAGTTTCGTTCGCATGAGCAACCTCAAAGTTCAGCCAGTTCAACCAACACCGAGAAATTATATTTCTTTCCTTCCTCTTTTTTCTTTATTTATTGGACCGACCGCGACGATAGCACGACTACTGAGACTTGGAGATTAAGTCTCATCTCTTCATCTCAATTTATTGAGACGTTGAGACGCGACCATCCTCATTTCTTGTCTTCAGTTGCCATCGGCCTCTAAATCTCCATCATGTCTTCCATCAATGTGAAACCCACGCTCAAGCTTGACACGAGTCAGAGCATGCCGCCCCCGTCGAATGCCGATAATCCTAAGCCTAAACTCAAACTCAATACTACTTCGACTCCGACTCCTTCTAGCGAGAAGATAAAGATCAATATCAAGAAGAAATTGGAGGGTAGTCAACCGGGCACGCCAGCGGCCACTTCTCCCGCCCCGACGCCAACAATCACCAAGTCCAAAGCAGGAAGAACATCGAAGCCGACGAAGAAGCTGCTCGAATCTAAGAAACGAGGCTTTGACAGCGACGATGAAGACCGCCCATTATCGGAGACTCGCCAGGAGTCAAACAGACCCAGCAAGATAATCAAAGTTAAACACACCCCGAACACGCCTATTAATTCCATCAAGTTCAAGCCACGAGGAGAGCCCGTCGAGCACCGACCGGGCGATGGCTACGATTCCGAGGCCAGTGACCGTGAAACAGACCCCATCCGAGAATCCACCTTTGTGATCCGTACCGTTCCGGATGCCTCGATGGAGTATTTAAAGAAGGCCTTAGAGGAAGGTATAATGGGTGTACCTAAGCAAATGGGAGGCGCAGATTTTAACCTTCAGTTTATCGATGCTAAGTCGCGTCGAGCTGTGGTTACTATTGACGGGAACCATTATGCTGCTGTTCTAGTCCAACTGCCTACTATCACAGAAGCGACGAAGACGTGGGACAAGAAAAACATGATGAAGAACTCGGATATCTCAGAGATGCTTCTATGTTTTGCTAAGGTCAAGAATGAAGCTGAGGCTAAGACTGTCCCAATTCCGGAAATGGTATTGAAGAACGATTATAAATGGCCGCATGGCCTTACCCCTCCAATGCACGATGCTGTCCACCGACGGTTCAGAAAGACATTATCTGAGAAGCAGTGGCAGAATAGTACAGCCCGTGTTGCAAAATTACTGGAGGATGACGCAGCCGCCACAGAAGTCCACGTTGAATTGATGCAGGATGATGACGAGTCCGAGGACGAGGAGGAAGAGGATGCCGAAGGCGAGATTGAGCAAGATTACTTTGGAGAACAGCCCGAAGCTATGGAGGAAGATGTGGAAGAAGACGATGAGTTGTTGGCCGCAATGGAGGCCGCGCTTGACGAGGATGGAATGCAAATCGAGGAACCTATTGCAGCCACGCCAAGTTTACCATTAGAAGTTCCAGAGGCGCCAACTCCAATGACTGTCGATGCTATTACACCCGCACCCGCGGCGGAGGAAGTCATATCAGAAGAAGATGAAGATGAAGAAGACGAGGAGGACGAAGACGATGAGGAAGATGATGAAGAAGTGGATGAGGAGCAGTTGGTCGCAGAGCGAGAGCGCAAAGAAAAGCTTGATGAGATCGAGCACTTGAACAAGGCATATGAGGAGACATTGCGCCAACTCACTGAAGTCAATGCACCTATCCTCAAGAGACGTATTCTGACGACGAAGGCCAACCTCGAAAAGGAGATTGCTGTCAAGAAGGCCGCCTTAGGTTTGACAGATGAGGATTAGGACTGACATATTCTTGGGAAGGCGAGAGGGGTATTATATCGAAATGGGGCAGCGGGTTTTTGGGTTTGACGTCTTTATATCTCGAAACGAGGTGTCTACTTTGCAAGGACGGAACGACATCGGCAATCGGTTAGACTAAGGACAGGAGTTATTGGAACGATACGATACCCTTAAGCGCTGCATATAGCTGGAAATACTATGGATTCAACTTGGGTTGCCCACGGGTTTATGGGCGGATGATGCGTTATATGTTTGCGACTGTGGAATTCTGTGTAAGTAGTGTCGAAATAGTCGCTCGAATACGAGAAGTAGTCGCAATTCTTTGACATATATGTGTGATTTATGTTTGTATACAGGTCTACTCGCGTATAGTACATCTCGGGGAGTAGAGCTATGCTCAGCCTCGCCCCTTACGCAAGGCCATGATTTCTCCCCGTGTGTTTTACACAACAGATCATCCGCCGTAGATATCCCATTATCATCACCGAAATTTCATTACTGTCGTGGTAGACTACATGCCCTTCAGGTAGTTGGTCTCCTTGATGGTCTTCTTCCTCTCCTTGCGCATGGCCTTGGTCAGCGCCTCGCGGGCCTCCTTCGCGGCGAGCGCGCCCTCCGGCGTGCCGTCCTCGTTGCCCGGCAGGTTGATGCTCTGGTACTGCAGCGGGATCTTGGGCGCTAGGGCCTCGAGGTTGCCCTCGGCGAGGATCTTGGCCTCGAGCGCGCGTTGCCGCTTCGCTGCTAGACGACGCTGCTTTTTAGATTTTGCTGGGAGGGGGTTAGTAAGTGTGTGGAGTCGGGTAGGCACCTAGCTAGGTGTCTATTCAATTGTATGTGCACGTAGATATGGATATATATGGATATGTCTATGAAATGGATTGGGTGGGTGTAGACTCAGCGCAACCAAAGGTCCATAACAGCAGAAGATATCCGGACTTCGCAGGGGAACTCACAGAATTCGTCGCCTTCATCCTCGCCAGCCTCTTCTTCCTTCTGCTCCGTCTCTATGCACGTCCACAGCCACGACGGGTACGCATCGTCAGCCAAGGCCACGGGGTCCGTCCGGTTCTTGAAGTAGTTGAGCCCCGTCAGAATGGTGCCCTCCGGACACGACGACAGCGCGGGCTTCTCCTCGCCGCCCGCTGCGGTATCGGACAGAGGCGTGCTGAAGGTGGGCGATTCGCTACCGGGCGCGGATGCGGGGGCGGATGGTGACGGTGATGGTGATGGGGCCGCGGGGGGTGACCGTTGTGCGTGGGTGCTGGATATTGTGCGTATGGCGGTGGAGGAGCGCAGAGTGTTCGATATGCGTGAGCTGAGCGCCGAGGCGCGCGCGAGACAGCGGTGGCATATCATCATGAGTGGATTGCGTTGGGATGCGCGGGGCGCTGGTTTGAGATTTGGAGGCTTGGATATTGAAGCTCTAGAAATTTTGTATGCGATGGTCGGAGCTTTGGGTTCAGTTTTGCCGATGTCCACTCGATGCCCACCAGTTAAAGTGGAGGGGACGTCAGCTCAGAGCCTCAACCCCGGATATTGCAACTAGGTAATAGATATCAGGTATCTTGGTACGTGCTACTAGGTAATATACGAATAATGTCTATGGATATTAATTTCACGAATAAAACATGGCAATTCGATTGGATTTCTTGTTTTTGACAGGCCGGGCTTCGGAAGCAATTATGTACAATATCATAGGTGTGGAAGAAGTTCCCATTGCACCAGATTGGCCTCATATAAAGACCCTCTGTTCAGAGCATGCATTCATGGCTTCTCGCTCCGTTACTTCGCCTGCCTCAGCTCCGTGTCTACTATTTGCTCCGTTCCATCCTTGAGCACTCGTGAGCGGGCGACGTGTCGTTGCTCGAACATGTAACCCTGTACGCGGACATCCTTGAGCATCTGGAGGTATTTTTCTGTTGACATGTTAGCCAATTCAATCGCCACAAGCCAGATCCTATTAACAATAGCAACGAATATGGTCCCCCCAAGAATTTCCGAGCCTCCATATAGCATTACCACAGGGACCGTATATCAAACTAACCTCTTAGAGCACCGCACTTCTCGAGGTGGTTAACACCCTCGCGGTAGTAGCATTTGCTCAGCTCCTCTCGCACCAGTCGGCCCATCATGACGCCGACCCATTGTTCTCGGATTATGGCGTCTTGCGCTTGTTTCAATCGTTTGTTATCGTCGAAGTCGACACCGGCGAAGGTGGGAGGGACTGTAGGTTTCTTGGCCAGGAAGGCCTCGGATTCAGGTGTCGGCATGGCGATTAAAGGCTTGGATGATATAATCGAGGTTGGACTTGTTGTTAGCGGGATAGCCCTCAATCGGCAGCGATTTGATGCTGCCGTGGGTGGTTGAGCGTCGAATGGGAATTCTCGGTAGATTTCGAGATACAGCTTCAATCAAGCAATCCAATGTCAATGCTCGCAGTAGGTACTCGGTAGCTGACTCAAGTCACGTGTAACTACGTATTTCCTCTACTAGTACTGTACAAAGTACAGTACACGGATTGTACCTTCCAATTCCGCACAAACTTAGATAGTGTGTGATCCGTGCTATCATACCTTATTAGTGTGACACTACCCCTCACCGCCCGAGATTGCCCCACAGGCAGAATGAAATTTTCAAGAGGAAGGGTCCTGGGTCTAGAAATTTTTCAAGCTTTTTTTTCGAGCTACCAACCACAGTTTTTCATCCTTCCATTGAAATACAACTGTGCGCCCACTCTCGTCTTTCATCTTTCTTCATCCTCACCTCTTTCATTAATTCACAAGATTCGCATATCTTTTCACATTCAATCACTCAATCTTCACACCTCGTCGTTACAATGGGCAAGGTTAAGCAAGCAAATGGCAAAGCCGCCAAGGCTGCCAATCCTCTCACTGCCGTGAAGAATGCCGGCATCAAGAAATCCACTGACAGCCCCAAGGCTAAGTCCAAGGCACTCGCTAAGGACGTCGCTTCCAAGGCCGTTAACAAGAAGGAGCTCGAGAAGAAGACGAAGAAGAAGGTTGTAGAGCCTGAATCCGAATCTGATTCCGAGTCCGAGGCTGACTCTGACTCTGACTCTGCTTCTGAGGACTCCGAATCTGAGGATGCTTCTGGCTCTTCAGATGATGACTCTGATGCCTCTGAGTCTGAGGAAGAGAAGCCTGCTGCTAAGGCACAGGCCAACGGCAAGGTTAACGGCAAGACTAACGGCAAGGCTACCAAGCCAGTCACGAATGGCAAGGCCAAGCCCGCCAAGAAGGAATCCTCTGACTCTTCTGATTCTTCCAACGAGGAGGATGACAGCGATGACAGCGACGACAGCGAAGATGGTGGCGCTGCTGCTACCAAGTCTGCTAAGCCTGCCGCTGCTGTCGCAGAAAAGGCCAAGGCTAAGGAAGAGGTACGTCGAGATCAATATCTGCTTTACTTAAATAAACCCATGCTAATATGAATTTTAGTCCGACGAAGACTCTGACGCCTCTGACGACTCTGATTCTTCCGAGGAAGAGAAGGATTCCGACGACTCTGACGATTCCAGCGAGGATTCTGAAGAGGCCGAGAAGAAGTCTGAGCAACCCAAGAAGCGCAAGGCTGAAGAGGAGGTATCTACACCTTTCAAGAAGTCCAAGACCGAGACTTCTGAGGACGAGTACACCACCCTCTTCGTTGGAAATCTTGGCTGGGCTGTAGATGACGACAAGCTGTACGAAACATTCAAGGAGTTTGCCGACCTTACCAGCGCCCGAGTTGTCACTGACAAGCAAATGCAACGCTCTCGAGGCTTCGGATATGTCGACTTCTCAACTCATGAGGGTGCCAAGACCGCTTTCGAGAAGATGAACGGTTTTGAGCTTGAAGGTCGTGGATTGAGACTCGACCCCTCCAAGCCCCGCCCCGCTGATGACGCCACTCCCAATGCCCGTGCCCAAGACAGAGCTCGACAGCACGGAGATACCGTCAGTGCGGAAAGCGACACCTTGTTCGTCGGCAACCTGCCGTGGGATGCTGATGAGGACTCCGTGGCTACATTCTTCGGCGAGGTCGCAGAAGTCAAGAGTGTCCGACTTCCTACCGATCCGTAAGTCCAGTGTTTCCCACCTGGAATATTCTAATGCTAATCATATGATAGTGAATCTGGAAACCGAAAGGGCTTCGGCTACGTCAGTTTCAACTCGGTCGAGGAGGCCAAGAGCGCGTTCAACGCGAAGAACGGTGCTTATGTCGGCGAGGGACGAGGTGCTCGTGCCGTCCGCCTTGACTTTGCCAGCCAGAGACCTCCTCGTGATGGTAACTCCGGCGGTCGTGGTGGCTTTGGCGGCCGAGGTGGTGGCCGTGGTGGTGGCCGCGGTGGTTTCGGTGGACGCGGTGGTGGTCGCGGCGGCGGTGGACGAGGTGGTGGCTTTGGCAATTCCGCTCGGGGTGGCATGCGACAGTTTGAGGGCAAGAAGATCACTTTCTAAAGTGATGTAGCCGCACATGACAGTTCCATCTGAGGGCTCCTTGATACGACGGTTGGCTTAGTGGGTTTGTCGGCTTCTCCAAAACTATATACTCCTCTGGAGTTGTGGGCTTTGAGGGCTACGCTTCGGTAAGAAGCCGTACTACAACCTGAGGGCTTGATCGGAGGGTAACCTCCATATGGTTTCTGGGGGCTCGAGGGCTTCTTCGAAGAGATCGCGCGGTTACTTATGGGCTGTTCTTACGCGCTTTGGTTCTCATATACCAGTTTCCATCAAGTCGGCTTTTCCTTCTGTGGGCTCTGAGGGCTTCTTTTTAGTCAAAAGAGTTGGTATGAACCTCCTTATGCTTGTGATATCAATCCAGCATCTTGGAGCGGACCAAGCTTCTGGACTACGAGGGCTTTGCGACGGCGTTTGAGGGCATAAAAAAGTTTTTCCCTTGTGGGTATGAGAGACGAGCAGTGAGCAATTTCCTTGCAGCTATTCTGACGGTGTATGATCAAGGCTCGGTGAGTATACCACACTTCGCGTTTTCCCGTAGGTTTCACCATCACAGGTCTATAGATTCGTCAAGTCCATAGTGAATTCCGCTTAATTCTACTACCCGCTGCCCCCTTTTCTATGTTAAATGAACGTAAAGTACAACCATGAATCGAATAGTTCGATATAAGCTTGACAAGTGTTCGCAATAGTCCCAATATTCCTTTGACAACTTTACACGAAGCAACGTTTCGCCCCGATGACTTATCTAGCTGTGGGAGTCTAGACGTAGTACCTACTCATGCTTCGTCCTTGGCGTACATGGTTGCTAACATCGTATGGTTTGCTATGGCTTTCGATGGTATGGTGGATTAGGGGAGGCTCGTTGCTTTCTAATCGACGGGATGGAAATATCGCTGCTATTTAAGCAAACTCTTCCGTGTCTTGTGCATTCCTCGCTTTGAACCAGGAATAGTCACCATGGGCGATTCCATATTCAGGAAATCAACGCTGTTGGGAGGGCTTGACGGATACTGGTAGGGACTAAGTGTTAGCATACGAGCTGCGTCTATGATAAGGGGCGAGTGGTGGTTTAGAGAAGACGCGACCCACGACCAAAGGCTTAACACCAGTCCGTTACATAGCATATATGATGCTAGTCCCATGTGTGCTCTGCGTATATATCCACGGCATTCTTTTCTAAATAATGTTCTAGGGCGCGCATGATAAGCACATCGCGTTCTGTGAGCAACGTTCCGGTGCCAACGTGACGGCCGTACTAGAAACCGGCGAGGAAGCCGGTGAGGGCCATGGCGAATACACTATACATCATGGTGAGGAGAAGGGACATCATAGAATAAAGTGTGTCGATATATAGTTCGATCGCGGCCTCGTAAAGGTGAGACAGGGAACTCATTGGTGTTGGTTAATTGGTATTGGTAAAGCTGACGATGCGAATACTTGTTTATCTTGAAGTTGGTCTGGGAATTGTGTGATGTCTATATATTTATTTGCGTCCTGAATATACGGTCAATTTGGAAGACACCTTCCTCTTATAAGGAGGATATTGTTCTTAGTCCAAGATCATTAGAATGCGTAGGAGCGAACCCATCCAAGATATGGGTGCAGGTGGTCTTGCTGCCTACTTAGATATCGGAAAGCAGATCCCTATTAATGTCAAATCTTAGATTGTATCAATTCTGTATTCTGATGTTATTCACATAGAGCAAGAAACGGAAGGACCTTCCGCTATATAGATTATAACTTCAACGTTTCGATTATCGTAATGTAGTAAGTTAAGCAGTTGGCAATGGTTTCGCAAGACTGGATTTCTTTAGATACCTATGAATAGATAAAAGTTGAAGTCTTTTTGGTTTATCATATTAACTCAACCCCTTTAGACCAACCACATTACCCCTATTCTAGTAGCGACAAATCTCATGCTATCTCAACCACTTCATTTAGCCCATACAAAATAGCTCAAACAGTGGCGACCTAAAGATATTATAGAATGAAATATAATCAATAGATGTTTAAGAAGACCATGTACTTATATTATGAATTGCATTCGCATAGACATCCATAGAGGAAACCAAGTAATTAGATTCAACGTGGTTCTATTCGTGTAATACTATGACTTCCACCCTGACACTGCTACAATTTGATATTGCAAAAATCCTTGGCACCGTTACATTCTACAGCAGCCATATCTCTACCCTTTAGTAAGCCAAGAGGCCTCATATATCAAGGGAGCAGTTTTTGCTTTCTGATCGTCAGACAACCTAGCTAGTCCCATCTACTTCGATCTTTCTTCGATCTCTCTCACTATGATGCCTCTTTTGCGATCCAAATTTGCTTTCATTTATTTCCCCTGAATGTTAGATTTCCCGACGGACTAAGTTTCCACCTAGGGATAACTCCGGCGCGCGCGAGTGTATGAGGTGTACATCTTTTAGTATTATGCTAGTCGAGTATTTCGGGGCACTCTGGCACTGTACCAAGCCCTCTATTTCCTATGGTATAAGTAATTCCTACCTATTCACTAGCATCCTTTCATATATGTTAGATAAAGCTTATTCTAAGCTACCGGTACTAGTTATGGTGTCATATTGTGGGTAGAATAATGATAACACGAGCGCGACGTGATTGGCGGCCCGACCACTGTTCTGATGGTAGTGGCAAGGAGTAAGAGCCCAATAAGGTCAGATTAGAACATATAAATGAGGTTATAGAGTGTATTACCTTGGGAAACTGGTACTGAATTGCATGTCTGGTTGGTCGAGGAGTGGTACTCGATAACGGACGAAACGACTTGGGAATATACGAGAATTTGATTTCTTCCATACTGTGGATGTTATACATTACTATACATAAATTTATCCCATGAAGTATTTACACGAACGAGTAACTGCTATGGATTGGGATTAGTCACTTGATATACTCGGGGTAAGGCTTAGGCTGAGAGTGTAAGAGCTACTGCCATTGATGTAATAGTGAACCCCCACCCGGTTGCCTAATAAAGTGTAGTGTCAAGTGCCTGACATATTCCCTTAGGTGGCTGGTTGCACATGAACCCTTCTGCACTGCCTTTGGGCTTGGGCTTGGTCCAATGATATTTATGATCACGGATGAATCCTATCAGGTGAGAGTGAGCATGACACAGTCATTTGTAGCCTGTCTGCCCTTTATTCTATATACGCTTATAAAAAAGCAATGAAGTTTATATTGTTGATCCTGGATTTTAGTGTCTCAAGTAAACGGGGTCAGACTTTCAATCGGCTGACCTGCATGGTTAGTGCGTTAAGTTGGGCACATCATTGAATGTGTTGAGAGGGTTGAGAAGGTTTAATAAGAGAACAAACTTGGAAGAGGTTAGGTTGAATGGCCATATTCTGGGACGTTATCGGCGAGATTGGAAGATCTTGCCAAGACACCATTTCAAATCCACCGATTGGTTGTACCTGTACAAGGTACCTACAAGTGGGATATCGTCATCTTCCCATCTCACTAGGGAGGTGCTGTCATTAACAATTATTTAAATAATAAGGATAACCACACGATATTTTTACGTTAAAAAAACAACATTTTTTTAATTAAAATTAATTAATAATTGCGACACTTTATTACTTAATTTAATAATGTTTTTATTATATATTTTATTTAAATATAATTTTATTAATTATATATTTTATTATTTAATATTTTTAATTATATTAATTAAATTTAATTAATTTTTTTTTAAGTTAATATAATTTATAATTAAAATTTTAATATTATATATTTAAATTATATAATATAATATTAAAAATTAAAACTTTAATTATATTAATTATATTAATTATTTAAATATTATTTTAATTAATTTATATATAATTAATTTAAATAATTTTATAATTATAATATTAACGGTTATTAAAATTATTAATATTTTTATATATTATTTATATTATTTAATTTTAATATAAATTTTATAAAAATAAATATTTATAATAATAATAATTATATAAATTTAATAAAAAATAATATAATAAATATAAATTACGATTTAAATTAAAATTTTTATTAATTTTATAAATTTTATAATTATTATTTTAATTAATTAATTTTTTAATTAATTTTATTTTTTTAAATTTTAATTTTAAATTTATAATTTAATTATTATTAAATAAACCGAAAAAATTTATTATATAATAAAATTTAACGATTATTATAATTATTAATTTTTAAAAATTAATTAATTAATTTTATATAATTTAATTTATATTTTTTAAAATTTAAAAATTTTAACTTTTTTTCGTTACGTTATAAAATTAATAAAAATATTATTAAATAAATTATACGACGTTAATAATTTTTAAAACGACGAATAAAATTTAATAAAAATTTTTTTTATAATTTTTAATTAATTAAAATTAAATTATTATTTTTAATAAATTATTAATAACGGTTAATATTTTTTATTTTTAAAATTTAAACTTTAATAAATTAAATTTAATTAAAATTTACCCGTAAAAAATTAAAAAATACGTATTTATAAAATAAATTTTATTATTTAATAAATAATTTTTTATAAAATAATTAATTAATATTTTAATTTTTTTAAATTATATAATTTTTATAAATTAATTTATATTATTTTTATATTTTTTTAAAAAAAATTAAAATTATTTAAAATAATATTAATTAAAATAAATTAATATTATTATATTTAAATAAATATATAAATTTAATAATTTTAATTTATTATTTATAAATGGTTTTTTAATTTATATATATTTTATAAATTTAATTATATAATAAATTTAAAATATAATATTTATTTTTTATATAACGTTTTATATGTTTATAAATTATTTTAATTTAATTCGTTACCGTAATTTTATAATTATATAAATAAAATATTATATATTAATAAAATTCGGTTTATTAAAAAAAGTATATAATAATTATATAATTTAAAAACATTATAAAAATAAAAATTAATAAAATAATTAAAAAAATAAATATTACATGTTATAAAAAAACTTTAATTATAAAATTTTATTTTAACGTATAAATAATTTAATTAAATAAAAAATAAATAAAATAACGAATTAAAAAAATATAACGTACGTTTTTATTTTTAAAATTTTTTTTTTAATAAAACTTAAATACGTTAAAATATATTTTTATTATCGGTATATATATAATTTTATTAAGTTTATATAAAATTATTATAAAAATTTAATTATTTTTTAATATTTAAATTTTAATATTAAATATTATTTTAAACTTTTATTTTTTTAAATAATTACGTTATTTATTAATTATATTATATTTCGAAAAAATTTTTATTATCGTTATTATTATTTTAATTAATCGGTTTATACGTAAATAAATTAAACCCGGGCTTATTATAATTAAATTTTAAATAAAATTATATTTTATTAATATTTTAAAGTTTTATAATTAAATTATTATTAAATTTAATTTATTTTTATTTCACGTAATAAATTATATTTTTTAATATATATTATTTATATAATTATTAAAATATATTTTTATAAATTTAATTAATTATAAATTTAAAACTTTTAATAAAATTATTTAATATAATTATTAAAAAATAAATTAAATGTTTTTACCGTAATTCGTTTAAATAATTTAAATATTATAAAAAATTAATTTTTAATTCGTTAAAAAATAATTTAAAAATTACGTGGAAATTAATATATAAAACGATAATATTTATAATATTAAAAAATAACATATTAAATTTATTAACTTATAAATTATAAAATTAATATATAAAACGTATATAAATTAAATAACGTATATATTAAAATGTTTTAATTTACATTATAAATATTATTAAATAATAATACGTTAAAATTTTATTTTTATAATTTAATATATTATTTAAAAATTTAAAATAATTTCGTTATTTTATTAATTTATTCGTTAATAAATATAAAATAATTTATACCGTAAATTTTTTTATATTTCTTAAGTTTTTTAAATAATATTTAAATATTAAATAAACTTTTTTATATATATTATTAAAATAAATTTTTAACGTTTTATATATTTTTAAAAATAATTATTATTCCGTTCGTTTAAAAGTTTTTAATAAGTTTTTTATTAATTATATTAATATTAAATAAATCGTTAAAATCGTGGTTTAATTTATAAAATATATTAATATTTTTTTAAATAAATTTAAATTTATTTAATAAATAAAAAATTATTTAATTATTAATTAATAAATTAATTCGTAATAATTTTAATATTATAATTTTTATATTTACGGATTTTTTTTATTATTAATAATACGTAATATTAATTTTAATTATATTTAAAAAATAATTATAATTAAAATTTTTAATTTTAATTATTTATTTTTTTTTTTATTTTAATATAAAATCGTTATTTTATAAAAATAATTTAATTTTCGTAAAAATTATTAACGTTTATTAAATTTTTTAATTATTATTAATTCCCCGTGGTAATTATATATTAAATTAATATATTTTATATATAATTAATTAATTTATTTTAAAACTTTATTTTTAATTAAATTTAAAATAATTATAATAAACTTTAATTCGTAAAAATATTTAATATATATATTTAAAATATTTTTATAAAATTTAAATAATTAATTAATTTCGTAAAAAATTAAGTTTTCCCGTTTTTAAATAATACGTTTTTAATTAAATAATATAATAAATATTTTCGTAAATAAAATAATTTTATTAAAATTAAATAATATAATAAAATAAAATTAAATTAACATTTAAAAAATTAATATATACGTTATTATTTATTAAATAAAAATAATTAAAATCGTAAATATTATAATAATTCGAAAAAAAATATTAAAATTAAAAACCATTATAAATATTTTATAATAAAATTCGGAAATTATTATATTATTATAACATTTAAATTTAAATAAAAATAAATTTAATATTAAAATAAATTAATATAATTTTATATTATAAATAAATATAATTTAATTTAATAAATAAATTAATTAAATAAATAAAATATAATTAAAAATATTAAATAATAAAATATATAATTAATAAAATTATATTTAAATAAAATATATAATAAAAACATTATTAAATTAAATGGTAAAATGTCGTAATTATTAATTAATCTCAATTAAAAAAGTATCGTTTTTTTAACGTAAAAGTATCGTGTGGTTATCCTTACTATTATCTAAATTATTAGCAATTATTAGTCCCCGCTAAAAACGTCGCTCCTATTAAATTAGGGAAGTCTGACATCGAACTCTCTACTACACCTTCCATTTATTTTACTGCATTACTTGTACGTGGACAGGTTTTGAGTTTGGCTGGTTACTAGCTACTTAGTACTTCTTACCTAAAGACAATAAGGCGAGGGAGTTAAGCAAGTTGAAACAAAGAAGTCACGGTTCACGGCTTGGGAAACAAGTACATTCCGCAGCGTACCTTGCGTGTGACCGTCGCCTGCGTCTGCCGGCTTCCTCGTTTGATCTCTCTTTCTAGCATCGTTCGGTTTGACGACATCTCAAACATCGACCATTCGGTTATGAACCCATGAACCCTTGTCTTTCTCGCTCCTATCCATCTAAAATATCCTGCCGTTGTCGTCCTTGAATTATTATTGACCAAGCAACCCCCGCCGACTCGCACCTCTCTCACGTACGTGTGCCCAAACCTGTAGGTACCATACGAGATGCAAATACCAATACACCACCTGGCACGAATAAACTAACATAGATCAGCGGATCCCTGCTTAAGTTGAGCGCGCGGGGGATTCTCTGCTGTTCTTTCGTTGGGAGACGAGCAGCTCTGGTGCCCCCCAAGCCTCCAAAAGCCCCCAAACTCCAGAGGCCTAATCGCCAGCCGTCGGTGAGCTGCGCAGCCGCGGTTATTATTGATAATCGATAGGCCACTTACAGCACATCACTACTCCATTCCAAGGTGTCGTTATCCATCATCTATCTGATAGTTTGGGTCTATTGCATCTTCCCCTTTTTTCTCACCTGCTTCCCTTGACGCATCGCGTATCCCTCTTCTGCACAAGATGTCGGCCCAGACCTGGCAACGTGGCAATAACCCCCAGCGGGTCTCCCAATCCACCGCGATGCGATCCGCATCCGGCCCTGCTGCTCCAAACCAACAGCGACAGCGTAACGATGGTAAGTCTGACTGGCCCAAGCCTGACAAACAAATCCTCACCGCCTTAGAATCGTGGGTCGAGGTTTCTTCCCATCCGTCTTCCTCTTCCGTGTCCTCTATCGGCGACGAGATCGTTACCACGGGCCTACAGGTGGGCTCGTCCTACCACGGCCAACGACGGCGACGTTTGCATCCACAATCGTATGCGCGCTCCGGTGCTCCACAGCCCACTTTTGTCGCCGGTCAGGTTGGTCAGACCGGTACGAGCAGCAGCCAAGAAGAGTATGAGGAGAGTGAGAGCGAGGACGACCGAGTCTTAACTAGTTCCGCCGAAAACATTGCTTCACCCCAAGCTGCTCGAAGTACTCCACTACGACAAGTCCAACCTATTGAGCCTGAATCGAGCGATGATGACGATGATCGTGCAACAGCGCTGGGAACTCGCCCTCCGGAGCAGCCTTTTCAACCCCAGCCTAATGCATTCTCGCATCCGCCCTCGCATCTGTTGCATCGCCACTCTACAACCTCGTCTCTTCCCCAACACCACAGACCATCCTTCGGTCAGCGATCCCAAACGCGCGTTGATCGTCGCTCCCCTAATTATCAGGCTGACAATGATGCTGCATTGCGTGCCAGTCTGACGACACTGCTTAGCTGTGCCGCTGCAGCGGGCAGACGATCGAAGGATGGCGAGAAAGAGATAGGCGAGCGCTCGAATGCCGCTACTGGTAATCAGCCTATTTCGTTCCGCTTCGCTACCGAGACCGACTTAATGGAACCCCCTCCATCAACCCAGACACGAGGGGTTCCTCAGCCCTCCAGGCCTAGCCCACAAGCTGCCACAAACCGTGAATCTGCCGGCGAGAAGGTCAAGCGATCTGCCACACCTACCCCGAATACGAAGTCTCGAACCACCAAGAAGAAGAGAACGAACGTGGCTGCAGGGGAGGAAGCGTTTATCAGCCCTACGCTCCTGACTTGGGTCGTAAGTGCCGGTGTTGTAGTATTGGTCTCCGTCGTCGGCTTCGGAGCAGGCTATGTCATCGGAAGAGAGGTCGGTCGCCAAGAGACCTTGAATGGCCTTGGTGCGGCGGGTAATGCGAGCGCAGTGGCCGAGGGAAGCAACTGCGGCAGGGAGGTTATCAGAAGTGGTGGTGGAACTCTGAAGAGGTTCCGTTGGGGCACCGCCATGGGTAGGAGCGTAGCCGCGTGAAGCTAAGAGCCTCGGAAGATACCGAGCTGGGTTTGATATTGCTCTTTTGCCTTAAGAAGCGGACGACCGGCGCATTAACGTGTTACGAATCGATGACCTACCGTCAAGGGCATCATATATGCATTTTCGATAATTAGCCGCCATATTTACATGACGCTTACCGGAGTACGAAGTTGGAGCACTATATATCTTGATAGGCGTTTTTGAGCTTTCTGGTGTCGAGTGACACGAAGGGATTCATCGAGGTCATAACCACGAGCATTATCCTTGTTATTTGTGGGAGTTGGTTATGATATTTCGGGGTGATCTGACGGCTGCCTGGTCAAGTTGACACGAGTGTATTTCGCTGCAGGACGACTACATAAGAGTAATATGACTGAGGCAAATGGCTCGATATGCGTTCGCTCCATCCATGTTAAGTTGTTCTGCGGGTAGGAAAGGATCAGGGCTGGTTTAGGTATAGGTTAATTAGCTTAGCAATAATTATAACGACAAGTATACATTATATTGTAAAGATTCAATGCTCAGTGTTTGGAAGCTAGAAGAAAGGGAGAGGATTCGAAGAACTTCGTAGGGGATACTGGAACGCCCCCTTTCTTTTAGAAAGAGTTTTTTTAGGCGTATTAGGTTGCTTGAAAGGAAACATGGCCACTTAGGTAAGTGTCAAGGTATTGTAGGTAGGCATGAATATATAATATACCTATACCTCGGGCATGTAATAGACAGCCAAGAAGACGAATATCAAGCTCTAACGGGACGCGGTTATAGCAAAAGCCAAGGCGGATGTGCCGTCGCATAGCTACGGAAAAGGGGTCTACCGGTGGCTCTGAATAATCGCGCTGCGTCGGGGCGTAGCATCGGTAGACACGCTCCGACTTAGTCGGGAAATCTACAATCTACCACTTAGCTACTTATTTCATTGAGGTTAGGTAGGATGGAAAGTGGTAGTTGGGTGTTTACCGTTCAAACCTACCTGTCACGTTGTACCTGGGCAGGGAGGAGACATGTCGTTCTCATGTATCGATTAGGCCGCAGTACGTCTACGTCTATGGTGCGCAGAGCGTGTCTGTAAACATGTATGTACGTACACAAAATACCACGAAAGTCAAGTCAAGTCAAGTCATCTTAATCCGATTCGTAACAGACTTAGATATTTGCTAGGTAATGTAGCTGTAGACTTTTTCTCTAGGTAAAGGGGGGGTATAGCAGGGTCAATTTTTTCAAAGCAACAACATCCATGCAAAAGAACCCCGATCCGTTATCCATTCATCCATCTAATACCCATCGCTCTCTTCGACTAGTACTTCGTTATCATCATCGTCGTCGTCGTCGTCATCTTCATTATCAGAAGACACAAATCGTTTTTGCCTTTTCGTCTTTGCCTTCACTCTTCCCTTGTCACGAGCAGCGGCACCTCTCCGGACGGGGACATCCGTGTCACTACCATCGTCGTCCTCGGAGTCGACGGGCGAGGTGGGGATCGTGACGGCAGAAGAAGCAGTAGCTTTACTTTTCTCCGAAGCGCGTTTGCTCCGTACAAGCTGGCTCATGGACGGGATCCCATCGTCACCCTCAGTATCGAGGCTGTCCTGCGTGGCGGCGAAGCGCGTAGGTTCATAGTACGGCTTCTGCTTCTCCTTTGGTTTCTGTTGCCCCTGCTTGTCTTTTTGCCGAGAGCGGCTGTCGATAACGGAAGAGGACGGCGAGGTGGGAGAGGTGGACCTGTGCCGAGGTCTTCGTGCGACGAAGGACATAGATGAGGTTGGGACTGCGGGTGTCGATGTGGCTTCGTCGTCGCCGGCTATGAAATCTACTAGATCGCTCCCGTTGTCCGAGTCCTCTGTTAGCTCCAAGTCGCTAGTACGCCGACAATCATCGCCTTCATCGGCGCTTTCATCATAGGCTGCTGGGTGTTGGGTTTTCTTGGGTCGACCGCGAGATTTTTTCGGGGTTGTTGCTTTGGCCTTTGCCTTTGCCTTTGGTTTCGACTGTGCTTTTGCGATGGTGGTGCGTTTTCGAGGAGGTGGGAGGTCCTCTTCCTCGTCCTCATCGCCATCCTCGATGATTTCCTCTAGAATATGACGTTTTACAGCAGGGCTCGGTTTTGTAGGCTTGAGAGCTTTCTTAGGTCGTGATGGGACGGCTGACACCTCTTCAACTTCGTCGTCGTCGTCTGAGGTTGGTGATGCCATCTTTCTTTTCTTCCGAGCTGGTCCTGGATCGGTGACTTCACCATCCGAATCAGGCGCATAACCTGGCATCGGTAGATGGAGATAACGACGCCCATCTGCTTCTGAATACGGATGCTCCGAGGCGGTCTGCGCTTTCGATAATCTCTTAAACAACCTCACGCATCGCTTCGCGTATTCCCCGTGTTTCAGATCTACAGTCTTCCGTAGCGTCCTTAGGGCATTGGGGCGTGCCTTTAGATCCACTTGATCAATCTCCTCCATATCTCCGTTATGATACGGGAGAAATTTGTATATGCTGTTTAGCTCCCTTGTCTGGCTTTCGTTGAGTAATACTCGCCCGAGAGCTGGTATATCGACGACCTCATCCTCTTCGATAGGATCGGGAGCCGCTTTCGTCTTTGCCGGCTGCGATTTCTTACCTAGGAGTGAAGCAACACTGGCGAAGCCAGTTTCTACGCCATCGGGCATATGAAACTTCTTTGGTGGCTTCTTCTTTTTAGCCCTTCCCTTTTTGGGCTCCGGAAGACCCTGGACTTGGGTGTTTTCAACTGGAATATCCACGGCCCTCATATCAACTTCAGGTCGGATGTCCCTTGGTACTATCCTTGTGGATAGGTCGTGGCGAAAGTTGAAGCGACTTCCGTCACATATCATCATTTGCATCTTTTCGTAGCCGTCCTTGGACTTTGAATAATTTTCCTCTTCTTTTCCACGCATCAGCAGTAGGACAACGCGACCTGCTCGTTTTCTTCCGGTTCGTCCCATTCTCTGAAGCATACGAATTGGAGATGCGGATGCGTCATAACATACGATCAGATCAACCTGACCGATGTCGAGTCCTTCCTCACCGATAGAAGTCGCGACTAAGACGTTGAATTCACCGCCCTTAAACTTCTGTATGCGCTCTATTTGCTCTGCTTGCTTCATACCCCCTGATCTTTTTGAGTCTGCCTGTCCAACAAATACCGCGGCACGGATAAGCGGCTTGTGCTTGTTGAGAATTCGTACGATTTCTTCGGCGCTGTCTCGGTATTCGCTGAAAACGATGATTCTAGTGTTAGTAGAAGCTCCTTCTCGGCCTTCGCCAGCATCCATGAAATGGTTCAAAACAGTATCGGATAAATATGTGAGCTTTGGGTGGCTAATGAAGTCATCTTTCTTCGACCAACTGTCGATTTTATCCATCATTTCCTGGAAACTGGGAGATTCGATGATTTGCTTCTTGAATTTGGAACCCTTTTCACCTTTATTCTCGGTCTCTTCCCGAAACTGAACAAGACTGTCGTAGAACGGTTTAATACCGTGGAAGTTGAGTAGTTTGATGCCATGGGCTAGACTGGTGAGAACGGAAAATATTGCCATCATCATGAATTTCACTCCCTGGTTAACGTGCTGCCCAGCTCGGCCCATCCAATCTTTCCTTGCCTGAAGAAGACCGTATACAGTGAGAGCCATTGGATCACGACCGTAGTAGATATTTTGCTGGCTTAGCTTGTCTACGAGCGGTTTCAACGCTTTGGAGAAGAGCTCCTTGATGTGATTCATCTCGTCCGACGGATCTAGTAAAACGATATCTTCGTCTCTTGAATGAACATACTGGCGAATATCAATGGACTCCTCGGTGCGGATCTCTACATGTGAGATACCAAGGCTGTCGATTACCTCCTGAACCGATTCAACTTTGGATCCTGGAGTCGCAGTAAGAGCCAATATTCGGAAACTGCTGGTGAAACGTCTTAGGAAGCTGACGACTTTTACATATGAATAATTCCCGGTAGCTCTATGAGCCTCATCCACTACTAGTAGCCCGATTGACTTAGGATCAGCAAATCCTGAAGACAAGTCATTCTCTAATGTTTGGGGAGTCATGAAAAAGACCCTTTTGGACCCCCACTCGTCCGCTCGAAGGCCTGGCGATATTTCACCTGTGAGCAGAGTTGTCTGAGACCTCGGAATACCAGCGATGTTGAAACAGGCGTCTACTTGTTGGGATACGAGTGGCTTGGTAGGGGCCACAAATATGATCTTTGCTGATTTCATCCAGCGGAAGTAGTTAAGCATGATGGTGGCTGCGATGAAAGTCTTTCCTAGACCAGTCGGAAGAGCCACGAGGGTATTGTTAAACAACCCATTCTTCACGATACTGAATTGGTAGTCTCGAGTCGGACCCAGATTAGTGGGGTAAACCCAAGTCTGCATAGCCTCCGTGTCAAGTTCATGGTGAGATGGCGGCTCAGGGGGCAAGTCTGCACGGAAGACACGGTTCCTATTAGTCTGAGAAGATCCGGGATCTTGATCTTGACGGATAGTCTGGCCAAACAGAGTAGTCTGTTTGTAAGTAGGAGCTGGACCACCGATACGAGGCGGTTGTCGAAAACCTGCTGAGAAGCTTCTCTCATTTCTAGAATTCTGGAATGCGTCTAGTGGCAGATCCTCGAGGTCAATGAAAGATTGCTTATTAGAACTTGTGCCTCGCTGGAGTACATGTTAGCGGGAATCCTCTGAACATAACGTTAAGATATTGGCAAAATATAAATGTGTTGTGCAAAAATAAATAAATTTCATATGTGATCCTATGTGGGAGATTTTGGATTCATACTATTATTGAATTTGGCCTCACTGGATTGACGTGGGGCTGGAATCGACCTTGATTGAGCTTGGAAACCTGGTCACGACCTGAAGCTGATGCCGGGACCTGGCTGGCGGCGATCAGATCTTCGTCGGCGATATCATCATCGAACTCATCCGAATCCATGGCTCAATCCTATTCAGATATCGCATAACTAGTTTCCTTGTCCGATGACTCTTCAGCTGGTATGGCGAGTTGGTGTATCTCTATCGCGTCGCATAATAGGTAGTCCCAAGTGCTAGTAGTAGTAGCGTTCCCTAATCCGTCGAATAATTGGCGTTTGGTTTCGCGTGGTCATGTGCATATTGTGGCTTAGTCCGTAGTGTACCGTGTGGCTTTGCTTCAAACCCAACTATGGTAAGGTGGCTCTAGTGGCTGAGTAACTTACCATAGATGGTCTGTGCATATAGTTTTTCCCTAGTCTCACCTGAACAACACCTACTTTCTTTTTCGTCAGCCTTTGTTCCGACGTCACAACCTTCCACCTTTCAACCTTTTTACCTTGGTCACTTTCTTTACTAGAAAGACAAAACAACAAAACAACCACAATCCGAGTGATCAGTCTTTCGCGTTCACACCGCAATCAATACGCGAGCACTCCCTCTTTCCTACTTTTCGTTTAGTTGCCTCGAGCAAGTACCGACTTCGCAATTATATCACTTTTTAGGCAACCAGCCATTTATCAACCTGCGATTAAATGGTATTCTAGCTGCTCTACGAGACCGTCGCATTACCTTGACGGGCCTCTTGCACCTTTCAACCTCTTATCAACGGCTTTATTAATCCCGCCTAATTAATCTTGCCTTCCTCATTTTGCGCTCCCAACATCCTCTGTCGCCATCCTTACATCTCAACACGTTTCGTCACGTGTAGCTTCTGTCGCTATCCACAAAGCGACAATGGCTCCCTCTGGCCCTCGTAGAGGATCAGCCCCTTCTGGCTTGCGCAACAACCGAGGATCTGCAGCGAAGACAGCCAGCCGAGGCGGAATCACTAAGCGTCGCGGAAACGCAGCACCGAGACTTGACCGAGATGGCGACCTCGACATGGACGGCCCAAATGATCCCAACCGTTCGTCGCAGAAGTCGAAACGCGCCAACCATCACGATGCTATTCCCACCGCGCCTCGAGCCAACCGACAAGCCGCGAATGGACCCCGCGCGCCAAGAGCTTCGGTGAAAGCACAACAAATCATCCAACGAGCCCTCACGAACGGAATGACCGGAGGACCTCGAGGTGCTCAACGTGTCAACGCTCAAGAGACGATGACACTACAAGTCGCAGGTCTCAAGTCGAGCAAGGCCGCTCACAACGAAGGAGGTGGCCTGAAGGAGCTGCTCAATTTCTTAGAACGCAAGGCCCAGACCGTTGGTAAAACTACACGACCCATCAGGATTAAGAAGGTATGTGATAGCATTCTATCCGAGAATCTGGGGGGTTACGGGGCGACGCAAATTCTCCGTATTCGTTATCATGCCGTATAGCTCGCAAAAAGAAACGAGGAGAGACAAGATTCAACGAGCCACATACCTATCCCGGATTCCTAGAGCATTATCAAGGTTTCATTACCTTGCTAACGTCTAGCAGTCACACATTGTTGGTGACTTAGTCCAAATTTCAACAAGCAAGCAAGATGGAGAAGAGATTCTTAAGGTGGATGGTTTCACATTCGCCGGTACACCCCTTACTATTACGGCGCTTTCTGAAGGACAGAATCCGCTACCCGAGACCAAACTGTCCTCGGATGCCCTTCAGATCAAGGAGCAGCTACGTAGTGTCCTCAGTTTACGCTACAACACTGAGGTGAAGCTGTTGGATCTATCTGTCCTCGGCAATGATCAGATCCTGCAGCAGATGGGATTCTTCAGCGGCGAAAGCAAACCCGAGAAGCTGTTTAGAGCTCTGATGGCTGTCTGTGATGGTCTGTTTAAGACGCCTCAGGACAAGCGCCAAGCCGTTGTTAGCGTCAGCCTCGCAGGCAACAATATCGACGATGTTCATCAGATTATGTCCTTGGCCGAAACCTTCCCCGACCTAGTCAATTTGGACTTGAGTCGAAACCACTTCAAGGACATGCGAGGTCTTCAAAAATGGCGACACCGTCTTCGCAAGCTTGAGACTCTTCTTCTTAACGACAATCCCATCGAGACTACAACTCCTGGCTACAGAGAAGAGATCATGGCTTGGTTCCCGAGACTGCAGAATCTCAACAACGTTCAGGTCCGAACACCGGAGCAAGTTGCCGCAATGGCGCTTGCTGCTCGGCCTGTCCCGATCCCGCAACATGGGCCAGACTTTCGAGATATCAATGGAATTGGTGAAGGTTTCATCAGAGAATTCATCCCGATGTACGACTCGGATCGCCCGAACCTAGCTAGCAAGTACTACGACAACGACAGCACGTTCTCTATATCAGTCGACAATACTACCTCTCGATCGTCGCATGCGCAGCAAGCTGGATGGGGTGCATATATCAAATTCTCGCGTAATCACGTCAAGATTACACACGAGAACACTCGTAGCAAGCGTGTGTTCGCCGGTCCAAATCTCATTAGAAGCGTGTGGGATCAACTACCCGCTACGCGACATCCCGATCTACTGGCGGAGGTCGACAAGTACATCGTCGACTGCCATCCTATCCACGGTCTCGAAGACCCGGCTGGCCAGCATCGATCCGGCGTGGACGGAATGATCATCACCATTCATGGAGAGTTTGATGATCAAGAACCTATCACGATGAAGACGGCTAAGCGAAGCTTCTCCCGAACTTTTGTTCTCGGCCCAGGCATGCCGGGTAGAAACCCTATTCGTGTCATCAGCGACATGCTCGCCGTAAGGCCTTTCAGACCCTCGCCTGCATCAGCGCCAACGCCGGCGCCGGCATCGGCACCGGCACCGGCACCGGCCCCAGTCTTGGCCCCAGCTGCTCAACTGAATCCAGAGTTGCAGCAGCAGATGGTGATTGAGCTGTGCAACCGCACGCGCATGACCCCGGAGTACTCCAAGTTGTGCCTAGACGGGGTCAACTGGAACTTCGACCAAGCTCTAGTGGTGTTCAACGACAAGCAAGTAAGTTATCTCCATCTAACATCATGCAAAGTATTATAAGCTAACATTACAATAGGCGCAGCTACCGGCTGAAGCCTTTATAAACCCGTCTCAATAGGAGTTGTGACGTGAAAAGGGTTGAGTCAGGTTGGGATTTCTACGCGATGGCATTGCATGGTTCAGGAGTTTAAGGTTTATGGGTTTCATGGGTTAATGATTTCGGAATATGGCGAGGAGGACTACGTTTGGCTGTGCATATAATGCAGCAAGGGGGATATTGTGAGAATGAGAATGAGGCGGCTTGGAGGAAATTTGTTATGGTCCGCATGACCCCCTGGATCTGATTGAGACTTCCCGCTCAAGATACTGCGCGCTTAGCTCTCGTCGGTCTGAGCTCAGAAGCTGTCGGATTCACTACATCCGCACAAAGCTTCGTCTAGCAATACCAAAAGGTTGCTAAAACTACAACACCGTTGACGCGCTTGTGATATGTTTCCCGCTAGCATGTGAAAAGATACGTTGATGCCACTACCTACGTAGTATCGATTGCCACTGATGTTGGTGACATTTGTCCATCCATACCTAACCCAGAAGTCTTCAACGGTAGTTCTCGATAAGATTATCGAGAACATATCGAGCCAATAGAGAAATAGGAATTGGGGCTCATGTGCTTCGAGAGTAGTAACATTCGGATGCCGCGCGCTTTTAAAGGATGAGAAGACAAGAATAATTGGTTCGTGACGAGCCTGTCTCTAGCAAGAGCCGTGATGGTCTGTGGTTCGGCGCTTATCATGAGAGGGTCACGGCCTGCGGCTAGGCTCATCTCGGCAGGCATGCATACTGCGTATTTGCATCTACATATTCCCCAGCACAGATCTCTTATGCGGTGGGAAGGTAATAAACGGGATGACGACATTGAGCGACCTTTAAAATTGGCCGTACTCACGACCGTTGTCAGCCGGGGATTGGGCCGTTGCTCATTCGCGACGATGTTGGAAAGACATTTTAATGTTGTAGGGTTCCGAGTCGGGCCGCTTGTGATCATTCAGTACACCGAAGAGTCTAACAATCTACCTAAAGAATCTTGAATAAAGAAGGTCGTTCCTTTGCAAAACCCAAAATAATATTCTATTGTAATACTTAAACTAGCTGACCACGTAAACTGCCCATTCACACATTTAGACACAGGTAGGCAGCTAACATACTATAAAAATAGCAGTGATAGTAATCAGCGTAACTGAGGTAGGTAGCTAACTCTAGTTTGTATGTTGGAAGGAGATGCAACGCCTCATTATGAGATGAGAGCTGTCGCATGTTTCGTAGGATTTTCTTCAAGCAAACGTGACAAACAAAATGAGCGATGACGATAGAAATAATAATTCTGAAGCAGCTTAGGACTGCCCTTTCTAGGCACGATTTCTTTTTTGCCATTATTTTGCCTTCAGTTCGGTATTCGGGTCCGAATCCAGTTCGGCGGATTTCGACCGTCATTAACACTAAACATCAAAGTTGGTTGAAAGTGATCATCCATCCGTTCGCTTAGTTTGGATTAAGGCATCAACATTGAACAATCGAATACGCTGGAAGTAGTGGGGTTATACGATCGTACATGCCTATTCTGCTGAATGCCGACGATGCTAATGCCGTTCAAGCAATAGCGAACTGCACAATAGCAGGTACGAACTCGAAGACGACCAATTGATCAGTAGCGATTTCCGTCTGATACTACACAATGACCAATTGAATCTCACACGCTAAGGACTTGCGTTCTTCACATTAACCAAACTTACGCCGTTTATGAGTTCGGGACCTAGTGGGGTAGCCGTTTCACAATATATTTGCCTTCTTTTAGTGGTTAGTGCCCGTCGCGTTCAAGCCTTAATAGGCAAAGTGTGGGTGTCCAGGCGCACACTAATTATCGCCTACATGTACGTACTGGAAACAGCCTATCCAAAGATCATTTTACGATGTTCCCGTTCGATTGGACAATTCTGTCCTTCGTTTCGTCCAGTCACTTTCTCGCTCGCACAGCCCCCAACCTCCAACTCGTCGTATTGACGGGTAAAATTGGACTGGCACTCCAGACCAGATTTTTTCGATATGCTTCTCATCGCATTACTTACATAAAGGGGTGCATAACATACCCTCATGATCATTTAGCAATTAGCCATAGTGTATGTCATCGGAAGATGAGGAGATGAATCAAAGATAGACGAGATAAACGGAGCGACGGAGGAATATCAGCTCGCATTCTCATCTAAACACGTTGACCTTCGACCCGCAACCACGCGAGAAAGTCTCTCCACCTCATGGCTGCTCATGGCTGCTCATGGTGGTATCAGAGGGAATCAGCAAGGATGGCGAGAGGTCTGCCCCTTTTCCTGCTAGTAACCCTACGTCGTACCAAGCCCACTAAGTATGGTACTGCGTAGTAGCCTTTACATGCCCAGCCACAGGGTAATTGCATGTACTACGATCCCGGATGGGTACCTTGCATCTCGTTGCATCTCTTACCGGATTGGGCGCTGTTGGCAACTAGCTCGGACGTACTTTGGTCGTTTAAGGTACCTGACGCTATCTTCGGCCCCTGACGATTACCCTCCTCCCATTCGGCGCAGAGATGGCGATCCACAAACTGCTGCCAAGGTCCCCTGGTCTATGCCCCAGGTCGTATTCTTGTCCTCCTCGTCGATGTGTGCTCGATCACTCTGTTTGTACCCTCCTCTGAGTCCTCTCATACGTTTACAGCGCCTTCTCTCTCTCACTCTCTACCTCTCATTTCCCACTGACCCTGCACTCTCTCTTGCTGCAGCTTGCCTTTCCTTTGGACCCATTCCCGTCGCTGCGGTATTCTTTCCTTGTCTTCCTTCGTCTCCTCTATTCGACAGGATTTCTCGTCAGTGTTTCTCGATCGCTGGTCGTCTAAACCTCACGCCTTCGATCTTTGTGTGTAAACCCTCTTCCCACTCCTTCCGTGTTTAATGTATGATATCCCTATATTGCGGCGCATCCCGAAATATTTTTACTTACTAGAGCTGACGCCAGATACTACGTAGTATACGGAGCAGGGCTACACCTTTAGGCAAAGCATTCGGGGCGTGTATCGGTGGTTTGCTTGGTTTTACATCCTGCGACACCACGCCTGTCAAGGAGAACGATCGACCGTTCCCACCTTTCGTCCACTCTGTCAATCTCAATCGAAGACGGAAACATCTCCTTTTCTGAAAAACAACTACCGAGTTTTGTTTCTGTAGATCATCTTGTCCTACGTGGGCCGGCCCTGTTGCTTCGAGAGTCAGGTTTGCTCAGTTGCAAACAACTCCCAGACAACTATCAGATACTCTCGACGGCAACTTTTTTTCGGCCTCGGATTGCTCTAGCAGCCATTCATCAAACAAATCCTACGGACCGCTGTCTGGTTTTACTAGCGTTGCTTACTGTCTTCGATTGCTATTACTGACAAAGCGCTGCGCCTCTATTATCTTGCCACGACATCGATCAACGATTCCGACATTGTGCAGATTTGTCTTACCTTTCCAGCAGCTGACCATGACCTTGTGATAGGCAGCGATAGTTTGGAGGCCACATTATTTGGTACTGTTGTCACTCACTCATTTAGAGTCGTCGTCTTGGGGTTGAAGAGATTTATCTTTCACCATGTCGTTACCTAAACCACCGGTGTCATTGACGGGCGCTTGCAGCGTCCTCTTCAACAACACCCTCTATTCTTACTCGGGTGCGGGATTCGAATCGTTAGCTTTGAAAGACGGTGCCGAATGGAAAAAACTACCTGGTGGTCAGGCAGTTGAAGGTGCCGTCTGCGTCGGCTCGACACCGAAGGATTCCTCGACGGCTGGCTTTTATGTCGTGGGTGGACAATCAAGTTCAACTGATTATCCAGGCCTTCAAAAATATACATATTTTACCGGAAAATGGGAGACTATAACTCCGCAAGTGCCGGTAACGCAAAATCGAACATGGCATAGCGCAACGTATCTCAACAGCAGCGATTCGATTTTGATATATTCCGGATCAACCGATGGACAGCCCAATCTGTCGTCGCAGACCTTTACGGTCGCAGCATCCGAACCTCATTCGGTATTGGCTTTTCAGTCCACTCTTTCGCCTCCAGGAGTTGCACCGATTCTTCTCCCGTGGTCGGAAACACAGGCGGTACTGATCGGCGGTAACCCTACTAACACGAAAGTGATGCTGTTTGACCCGGCTGCTTCTTGGGCGGATTCAGGAATAACGCTGGCTGAACCGTTACCGAAAAACTCCACATCAATTAAGGCTGCTATCATACCCGGCGATGATGGCAGTAAACACCTCTACACATTCGACCTCACTGTCTCGCCTAATGCTGTCAATAGGACAATGCTACTAAATGCGGGTGCGGCTCCCGTAGCGAACGCAGCTCCTGTTACGACAACTGGTTCAACTCGAAGAGATAATGATGATATCGAAAGACGAGCGCTCACCGTCGCGGACTGGCCGGCATACAATTCCACGCTGGCACCGCAGAAAACGAGAACTGAATACTCGATAGCTACTAATTCGGACGGCTTGGTGGTAATGTCTGGTGGCAACGAAGACGAGATATTGTGCATGTTTAATGCGAGAGAGAATGGTTGGAAGAACGCGACAGCCGTATTTGGACAGCAGAAGGGGGTCTTTTCTATCGAGTCATCGTCATCAACATCATCTTCAGTATCAAGCGCCACTCCTACGTCCACAGCTAGCTCATCTGATATCCCTACTCCCGCCATTACTGCGGCGGCTGCCGCCCCTACCACTTCGGATAGTGGCAGCGGTACACTAGCTCCAACGACCCTTCTAGGCGTAGTGTTGGGTACTATCTTCGGCTTTGCCATTATCCTGATGGCCTTATTATTCTGGATTAAGCACCTCCGAAGAAGGCAGAATTTCGTGGAAGCGGGTCATGCACGGAGAGCTAGCGGAATACCGGATGAGAAGGATTTCTTCAGCCCAGAACTGGGTAAGGCCTCAGGCGGCCAGTTCCGAGGACATGCTCCGCAGGACTCGGCTGGATCTTTCTCATCAATGGCCATCTTGATGGGCAAGGTCCAAAAGCCTGCCATCCAGCGCAAGACGAGTAACGACACGAAACGCAGCTCTCTCAGCAGCATCTTCAGCAAACAGCAATTGAAGAGCACCATAAGCCGGCCACAGCCCCAGGTGACTCCGGAACCTCAATTCATCGTCAGCGATGAGAAGGGAGTCTCTTTCGCGGCGACTACGAACGATCCTAAGCCTCGTCCCAGACCTGCAGTTAATCGAGACGGGGAAAGGAGAAGTTCTGGCTGGAATAGATATTGGTCTGGTGGTAGCGCGTTATCTGTTCTAGGATTCGGAAACAGCAATTCACGCCGTGAGACAGGCGCCTCCGAGCCGAGTTCGGTATACTCCGATAGAAATCGTATGACGCAAGACTCGGCTACAGTCCCTCCATTACAAGTCGTTGAAGGGCGAGCAGAACTAAATCGCGTCCACTCAGCCAGTCCAACGGTTGCACAATATAACCCGATGATAGGAGAGGGGATGTCTGGCCAAATAGAACGGTCCAATTCCAACGCGTCGTCCTCAGGTTATTCGAGCGGTATCCCGGCCAGTGTTACCGAAAGTTGGGATCCAACGATGGCGAAGAAGAAAATGGGAACGGAGCGAGCACCCAGCAGTAATTATAGCCAGAGCATCTACCAGACAGGACTTGGCCCGCCTAACACAAACCAAGCTCCGAGTGGCCTGTCATCGCAACCGCAGTTGGCTATGGCATCCAAGTCAAACGACTTGAGTTGGTTGAACTTGGGAGACAATAATCATACGTACAAATAAGTGTCTCCGGCATTCTCAGCTTACCGTTCTCTTTCGTCCTATTCGACACATTAATGATTCCGTTACGATAATACCATTTTATGACTCTCGCTTATACCCAATTCTCATCAACGGAGTAAAAGTCCTGTATTTAAACATGGGGGCCACGCCGCGGAATAGACGGGGCCATCACCATGACCACAGAGAAGAAGGGGTCGATCAGAAGTAAAACAGAGTTCCTTCGTTCAGATGTTATTCATCAAAAGCTGCCTTGGTGCAGCATTAATCTACGCATACACGACGATACATACACAATTGTATCCTCCGCATTTTGGAAAAGGCGCAGCTGTCGGTCATTTTTCACACGTTTGGATATATCATTATCTTTGCATTCGTCTTTTTTATATTTACAGCATGCTGTATAATCATCATCGCTTTGGACGTTGGGCGTCCCTTCGGAATAAGGCGCTCTGGTCTTTTATTTTCGACACATCGTTGATAACATTTACATTTTAACTATTTTTCTGCTGTTCGGCTGCCCCCTTTTCCCCGCGCACGTTCTTTGCATGATACCACCTAGATCCCGTCGAACCTCCACCGGGGCGAGGCGGCGAATGGCCCCCACGAAACGCCGTGTTCTGATTTTTTTTTATCAAAATTTATTCTGTATTTGGATTGTATTCGAGTGTCTAACTAGCTAGTGAGAGAGGAAGAAGAGGAAAGGAGAGGAGAGGAGAGGAGAGAAGAAAAGAAAAGAGAGGATGTAGTGTCTAGTCAAATCACGTTGTAAGAGTCGAGTTGAGTTGTCGTTGATCTAATGAGGGGATCTGTATCTATTTAGGCCTACGGCGTGTATCTACCTACAACCGACTCTTCGCGGGAGAGTGGAATGAGGAAGCGAAGCCTCGCTGTCTATAGTCTGAGTAGTGCGGGTAGAAAGAATCCATTGTACAAATTTCAACTTAAAGCTTTACGTGAACTTGGTATCAGTAGTGATCGCTTTCTATTCTGACAATTTAACCCAATCTAACCCACCAATATTCCAAGGTCATATTTCCATCCTTTAAATGATACCTTTCCAATTCAATTCATCGATGCTCGAAATACCCTCACCCCTGGCTAGCTAAGTTGAACGCGACAGGCAGACAAAAGTTCCATAAGCATTAAGAAACCTAGATTTTCTTGGCGTCGGCGAGGCGTAAGAAGCCAAGTCTATATTTAAAACCATCCTATCACCCTTCCCGCTCCGTCCCCGTCCCCATCCCCATCCACCACCCCTAACGCGTCAGCGAAAGAGTGCATACCTAACCTACATGGGGCATGAATAATGGTGGCACGGGGAAGAAAAATAGAAAAAAAGACAACTATTAATAACACCTAACTAGCAGTAAGCACCTACATAAGTTACGTATTAACAGCGTCATCATTAGAAGCGAAAAACAAGAAGCAAAGCGTCGTCGCAAATTAAGAACAAAATTGATTAAATCGATGAAACGCCAGCGACCCTCATCACTAGGTAGGCAGCTAAATGATTGCTTAACTGATCGATTGGTTCATCCTACAAAGTACACGGACAGCGGTGTGCGGTGTAGACCTCCATCCACCCTGCCCACCTACATAAAACATAAAAAAAGCACACGTTTCGAAACGAAACAAGACGAAAATTCCGCGTCATCGTCATCACCTAAGCCAAGTCACCAGGCCAAAGTCTCGGCAATACAATTCAGCAATAACCCCAAACCAAAACCCAAACCCAAACACAAACCACCTGGGTCCTGAACGAGGGTAGCCAAAATAGAAAGGAAAATCGCAAGTAATGGTGTAGTGTGACGTATTAGACAAGTTTATCCGTACACTGTTTGTTTGTTTAACAAAAGAAAAGAAAAAAAGGAAGTTAATAAAAACAAAAGTATGCCATGGAATTATTGATTGCGCATAGCTGTCCTGTCCTGTCCTGTCTGTGAAAAGAGCAAAGCCGCGTAAGGGGGAATAACCCAAATCCTGAACGCCTGCCGATGAACTAATCCCCGCCGTCGCCTCCCAATCCCCCATTAGACACGCGCGCGCACATTGTCAGACACCCTTTCCTAGTTACCTAAGACCTAGTAAATCGGTCGAGGCTCCTCCCACTTTTGATGGTGTCCATCTCCTGCCGGCGAATCCACGCTGGTATCCGGTCCGTATGAGGCGCGATTGCTTCTCCGTCGCCTGCTGCTGGGGTCGCCCGCGGTAGGGCCGATCCACTCCCAAGCTCTTCCCATCTCGCCGCTGCGACCCTCGCGCTGGCCAGTTCGGACGTTGCTGTTCTGCTCGACGACAGCTCGAACTCGCTGCCAAATCTTCTCGCGCTCCGAAAGCGAATGGACCGATCTCAAGACATCGTCGCGTAGGTTCGGAAGAAATAGCCATGGATCATCGAGATCCTCGTCTCCCAGTTGCTTCTGGTTCGCCAATCTCTCGAGCACGAGATCGACCAATGCTGGAACTTGAGCAGCGGCCGCTCGGATGGCTCTATACCGGTATCGTGCGTAGATGGCTGTCAAGATAAAGGCTATCACAGCACTAATATGGAGTCGATATCTTGCCACGCCGAGCCGGACTGACCGTCGGAGGGCGCAGGTGAGTGAAATTCGAGCGAGAGAGGTGGACGTGAGGTAGGTGTTTGAAATACCTCCGGAATCGGTGGTTCTATGGTTGCCGGAGGAGCTCTGGTTAGTCGAACAGTCAGACTTTATTTAAACATGTTATACACTCAACCTCTCTCAGAGAAAGGGAAGAGAAGACGGGCTGTTCATGGAATAGTACTTACTCAACCTGTACCTCCTCTCTCGTCTTAATCTCACCAAGCGCAGCACCCCAGAGGTCTTCGAATTCTTGGTTGTTCATCTTCTTACTTCTCTTCTTGTTGATAATATCCTTCAATGCCTGTTGCTCGACTGCCGGCGTTTCCAGTTTTTCTCCTTCCTCGTTGATTGGTTCGCCACATTCATACTTGGCGGTTTGTTCACGGAGCTCTTCGATTGCTTTATCCGCGACAGCTTGGACTCGACGAACCCTTGCACCGTCAGGTTCGCAAGTAGGCGGTAGAGGGACGATACCCCATAAAGCTAGAGGGTGAGGCTTGAGAATATAGTCCTGCTCGCACCGAACAGAGAAGTCGGTATAACAGTAAGCATGGAGAGGGCAAGGTTCGCACTCTGGCGTAACAGAGTCTATGAGAGATTGCGGAATCGTGATTACGGGTGGGAGGACTGATAGCGCCCATTCTGGCGTTTCAATCTCGTTAGGAATCGAGCTTCCAGCTTGGCCGACTCCGCAGTAACCCACGGCAATCTTCTCCTGTCGATACCACCCGCCATAGATAGCTAGAAGCGTGACGGATAGTACAGACAATATTGTACCCCAGCCAGTCCCGCTCGGCTGGCGAGGTTGTCGAGTATAGGCGATCGAGGAATCTCCATGCTCCGCTTCCTCAGCGGAGAGTTGAAGCTGCTCTTCTGGAGTAAATTCCTCTCCAGCTTCGATCATAGGCGGTTCCACGGACTTTAGGGGCACCTTTTGGACTATCGGAGGGCCAAAACTCCTAGGCATGCTGAAGCGCTCTTCCTTAGGAGCAAGGACAGGCGCAGGAGCAGTATGAACCTCTGTTCGTCGTCGTGTGCCACTACTCGTACTCCGAGGTTTGTCCCCGCCCCCTGTTCTTCTACGAACACTTGGGGTCCGGTCTACAGCTGACGGGGAACTGCCACTCTGAAATGGGTTGTCGTTGGTAAAGACGTCGGAAGTGCGTCGGAAGAGACCTTCTTCGGAATCTTCTTTCTTGATCTTAGGCGCAGGTCGTCGGACTTTACTCATAATCCTATGGCCGTCATGTTCCGGAGCAGTGTCTGTATCTGAGGCTTGTACGGGGCGGCTTGAGGCTCGCGACTTTCGTTTTGTGGGACTAGCTGATCGTGGGGGCATTGGCAGATCTTCAGGCTCTTCGGTCTTGATTCTGGTCGACGCTTTTCTTGGTGATCTTGATCGGCGAGTGACAGGGCGCGGTGCAAGCTCTTCATGTTCTTCAAAGGGATTGCTGCTGCTTTGTGACTCTGCGTCGACGATTCCTTTGCTTGAACGCTTTGCTCGTGCACGAGCAGCTAGAATCTTCTGAGACTGGGGAAGAACCTGTTCATTGAAAATTTCGACCAGTTGACTCTTCTTCGCACTAGAAGAATACGGAACATTGTGGGCAACCAGAATTGACCGTATGCGCGGGACCGTTAGGGTTCTCGCGTCGAATCCCGGCTGTAGATAATCGAGGCTCTCTAAATCGGACATCGTGGGTAGTTGATGGATGATCGCGCGTCCTCAAACGTGTGCGAGCAATGTTGTTAAATACTGGGGGACGTAAAATTGCCAGATTTTTCTTGCCCTTATGCAAACTAGGCACCCGAGGTCTGTATTGAGCAATGCCTGATAAGCACAGCTAGACACGTCCGTCTTGGCCACGTAGAATAGACTGGGGCGCAATGACGCAGTCTTCAATGACGTCAAATTTTGAAATTAGGACGTATACTTAGCCCACCGTACAAATCTACCAACGGCAGATTTGGCGATGCGATTGTTGAAACTAAAAGAAAAATACGCGCAATGGTGAAAAAGGTATTAAGGTGGGGGGGATAAATTGATTGTGTTGATGAAAGAGTTCAAGTGGAAATCCGGTTGCAGTGGCAACAGAAAACTGAACTAAGAAGGTCACTGTTACATCAAATTATGGCTCCACCGTTGGCCGAAGGCAGGTCAGGCAGGTGTAAGTTCCAACAACGGAAGATTATCGGGAAATACTTAGGTACCTCTTCAGGTTGGCAACCTCCACGTTTCTCCTCAACCAATCATAGCCCTAGTAATTAAATACTTGTTAGGCACCATCACCAGAAGGGAGAGGTTGATTGGAGAGATGGCATCTAATAAAATGAGTTGTATTTCCAGCTGGGTATTGCCACCATCCATACCGAACGTCCCATATCGCGACAAGTACCGCATAAATACAATACAACGCTTTTGCTTCCCAGTGTTCCTGATTCATAGGTCATGATGCTTCACGCTGACAATATAACCGCCTTCCGCCTTGATGATATGCAATTCTACATTTCCTAATTATATGACAATACATCTTCGTAGATTTCATTAGGCTGGAACTGGCTAGGGATGGTTCATATGATATTCCTCCCATGACTATGCTGTCTCGTAAGGTGCTTCCTTTCAAAGCGACAAGCCGGCGCGCCAGTAAGATAAAAACAAACCAACATACCAACTTTTAGTAATAATAGCCATGGCTCTCGGCATTGACCTTTCCGCTAATGTCAACTCACCGTTGCTTTCTCTCCGAGCTTCTTTTCGGCTTCGTCTGCTCTCTGATTCGCTTCCGCTATTTCTTGTTGTAGTTGTTTGATGTATACGATTGCCAACTCCACCGTGCTCGCTTTGCTGTTCGGTGTGTTGGACTGTTTGCCGTCTTTCTTGTCTCCATTCCCGCCTTCTCCGTCACCCTCGCTCAGGTCCTTAGTTACGCTCTTCGGCAGCAACGTCGCGATCTCCTGGAGTGCCGAGTTGATGCGATTCCGACGGCCTTGTTCTGCTATCTTATGTGACGTCCGTTTTGAGGTTAGATTGGTAGATAGTTCACTCGGGTACGAAACCCCGGGCACGGTATTGCCCTCTAATATATTCTGATAATTCGACTTAGATGCTAGTAGTCTTGAAGCAGAATCTTCGGCAGATAAACCAGGGGTTCCTGGGAGCAGTGGTTTGATGTTTGGCGATATTTTTGGTCGAAGAGCTGGTGATACTGAACTGACGCTCGTCCTTTTCTTGGGCCCTCTCGGGGCTATGAGCGGTGTTTTTCTCGGGTTAGGCGTTCCAGATTTAGGGGTGAGTTGAGGACTTTGAGTTGCTGATGCTGTTGCCGAGTGCGTAGGCTTGGGGAGAACCGGAGATGGAAGGGGTTGGAAATTAGATGTCTTTGCCGTCTCGACTTCGGCCGGTGATTTCGTTGGTTGTCGAGTATCGAGCGATGGTAGATTAGGTTTGGAGAAATTAACAGATTCGGGAAGCTCGAAGCTTTCTATATGTTCTGAGCCACTTTGTTCGGGATTATTCAAGTCAGCCGATTTGCTCTTAGGTGAAATCCTGAATAGCGAGGCTGGTGTCGCGGGCGACGGTTTACCGGCCAGAGAGCCCGGCAATGCTAAAGGTGCCGCATTACCGTTGGTCTGGTTCGTATGTGGCTGGATGTACGGAGACTGTCTAGCTGAGCGGGGCGGAGGAAGAGGTGGAGGTGGCATATCGGAAAGAGCTTCTGGAGACACCGAAGCATTCTCTGACTCCTCTGTCGACGCCGCCGAGTCCGATTTTGGTTTTGATGGGTGTTCCGAGCTCTCGGTCAGAGTTTCAGTCAGCTCACTTAGTGCCTGGGCATTCATTACAGGGGTTGAAGCGGTTTTCCTTCTTTGAGGTTTCGTGATTGGCGACTGTCTAACATTTGGTTTTCTTGCCTTAGTGGCATTGTTCTTGCGGACTTTCTTCGACAAATTCGCCGTGCTATTGGTAGCTGGTGAGGGTTCGACTTCTATTTCCATTTCCATGGGTGAATTAGTGGTGTGACCTGAGTTTCTGTGATCAAAGGTCGTCGACTCATTCTGGGCGTGTAGCGCGGGAGATGTCAAGGGACTGAAGTAGGGCCCCGAGTGAGCAAATCCAGGATCTACTGGAAAGTGAGGTTCGAGGGGGGTCACCGCAGGAGAGACCAGCGGCGTAAATGCCATCTACTAGATGGTTAGTGAATTAAGCCTTCCAAGCCTTGAACTGGAGGGATCAACTTACATCCTGCTGCTCCTTGAGATGATATGCATCGAACATGCCGGAGGAATGCGCCTGGTCTTGTTGAGCGTAAAATTGATTCGCGGCCTGTATCTCGAGGCTCTGCGGGGTTGGCGGCACCATGTTTCTCTGCTGAGCGTAGAAAGCTGCTTGTTGTTCGTGAAACTGCCTCTGTTGCTCTGCAAGCTGTCTCCTTTGCTGCTGAAGCCTCTGCTGCTGTAGAAACTGAATTTGCGCATCTATCTCGGAGATAGGATCAGAGGACGTATGATGCGGAGGCATCATTTGCGACGGTATCCCCGAGTGACTCTGAGCAGATGTCATTGGGGACATCTGGTTCTGCTGTCCTATGTCGTTTCTTGCGATGATTGTCGGAACGTTCGAATTACTCATGGGAGTGTCTATGGAATCGCCGTGTTGCTGGTGCATCAACGAAGCACCATTGTTGTTTCCGAAGTCTTGGAAATCGAATTGCAAGCCGTCGCCCAGATTAGACATCCCTCCCATCTCAAGAAATTGTTGGAAGTCATCCTCGCCTGCCGAAGACAGTGTCTGGTCTTGCCCGTTCCAAGCGCCCGGGTCCATCATGGCCATATCTAGAATTGACGGTCGTTAACCCGTTTTCCCAAAAAAGCAATAACTTGTATTTGTCGCCAAGATCTAGATCGAAATCGCAATCGCAAAATTTGTAGTTATTTTCGGTGGAAAGCCAAGATGCCCAAAATGATTATTCTATATTCTACCAATGTCCTTGACTGCCTGATAGTACGTCGCTATGGTAGCTGTCGTTGATACTGCGATCGCGCAGCGTGAAACGTATCGAAGGACCTGATCAAAGCATCTCTGGGAGAGGGAGGAAAATCGTGGGCGGGAAGGGGAGTTGGCGGTTTCTGCCGAAAGCCCACTAGGAAAGACTCGCAAGCGACCTACTACGTGCTATTTACTATAGTAGGTATGTAGTCGCAGACCAGGCAGACCAGGTTAGAAAGAGAAGCTAACGACTAGGCGCGGTCGCAAAATCGTAGGATTATGAATATGAAATTTCATTTAACCCAGCATAACTCTTTGAATAACAGCAAGTCTTTGGCCCCCGACGGCGAACTCTAGAAAAATGCGAGCGAGGACAGGACTGCGAGTATGCGAGAAGATGGTGGGGGGAAGTTCGCATTGGGACGAATTCACTGGACAGCACGATGTACAGGGTTCTAGAGGTGGGGTCTTCGCGTTAAAATGGTTAGTCCAGATGGGGTTATTTTCTCTCTAAGGTTAGCTAGTAGGTTAGCTGGAGCAGCAGGAGCAGGTGACGGTCTCAGCGCCAGACATGCACCTACAAGGTCAGGGCCCAGAACTTTCAGACGTCGCTCCCCGCTCCTCGCTTTGTAAATACAGCATCACACATTCCTACTTAGGTACCTAGTAGGTAGGAACTGCTAGGGCCGAAATGTTACAGTATTCGTAGCACAAAACGCAATGCATCCAACGGCAACGGTTTATATATCTATATATACACCCGTATACACAGTTGTTCTCTTCTTTTCTTTACCATCCTCCATCCTCCACGAGATACATAGAAAACGTCACGGGTTGCACATTAACACGCAAGGATTGTCTCACGGCTCCTTTACGAATTCTGATGGTCTGACTCGGTGGCGTTTAGCTTGACATTGCTTGAAATTCGGGTTGGTGAACTAAGTACCTAGGCAGCTAGGACCTAAATTTTTCTGCTTTAAAGACCCTTAAACTCCACCGTTCGGCCGCTTTTCCTAGGGACCCTTAGGGGGCATGTTCGTAGTACGTAAAAGAAACGAATTTTCCAGCTGGTCCCGTTCTGCTCCGCAGTGTAGAGGTTTGGAATATCGCATAGCTGCAGCGGATATTACTTCGATGGAACGGCATGTATGCATATATATACCTAGGTAGCTACTATAGCTCTTCTGAGCTAGATGGTGGCGGGTGAGTTCCCCGCGAAGCCTTCTCTACACCCTCTGCATTTTTCACATCCGGTGCACATCCAGCTGATGTCTTCCCGTAAGAGGCTCGTAAATACAGAACCACACCCATCCGTGCTAAGTTGGGGGTCGGTGGTGCTTGACTATCCACAAAGGGCAGGAAACCGGGAACCGAGGAGTGGTTCGGTTCTTCGACCGGCTTGCCCAAGCAGCCCAAGCAGATCAGATCCTAGATCGTCCGTTTTTCGCAGGAGATCTACTGCAAACTCCCTTTCGGTACTCGGTAATTGGTAAATACTTCATCCAGTCTGTTTAAGCACATGTGCAGCATCAGACAAGGAGACATGTAAAATTACGATGACGCGAAGCTGGAAAATATAATCATATTTGAAGAATTAGACGGAATGGAATTGGTTGACAGCTACTAAAGTGGTGGTGCCGGCAGTAAGTTATTAGATAGCACGCGAAGAACCGCAACACAGGGCTATTCAACCCACCTCTTAGTAAACTCATAAGTTTTTTGGTTGGCTAACAACCTAGGTACCTACACAGTAAGTTGAACTACCTACACTAAATAGTAAGTGTAAATGTGATGAAGCAGTTATAGTTACTTAACTGCTTGGTTGATTAATGTGTAGATATCTCTTCAAGGGTTGTTGACCATACAATACGTGAGAATCACAATATGTGTACTCTAAATATGTTCACAAGTCTATTATTACCTCTAACCGTTTAAAAGATATAAAACACGTTCGCTTGCTAAGTAATACATATTGCCCTTTAGTTCTTAGTCATCTCCTTTTGAACAGTCTCCATTCTCATAACGGTGTCTGATATCCGCTCAAGGATAGGACCCTCGAGCTTCAGGCTCTCAGCATCGGCGGCGATCTCACCAAGCCGTTTCTTCCAAAACTCCCACCGCTTGATGCTAAATTGAGGGATATCTTCGCCACAAAGCGAGCCCGTCTGGAAAGCATTGTTCGGCTCCTCATCTGAGTTCATATCCTCAAAGATTATTTCCGCGCAGCGGAGTATCCACTCGCACGCCACCCATACCCGGCATTCCTGCCGAGCTCCTTTCGCCGGCGGCGTTTCGAGAGCTTCCCGGAGTTGCCAGATGGGGAGAGTCAGCCAGGGAGCAAATGACGGTCCCGTAAGCCGAGCGGCAAACGAGTTTTGATTTTTCCATCGGACGAAGTCTTCCATCAACTCCTCCATCTGCTCTTTGGAAAACCCTTCTTCGTTAATCTCCGTTGGAATCTCTAATCAGAAGAAATGTTATTATTAGCGAAAATTTCTAGGCTCAAACAAGAGGAGACCTCTGTTTCATACCGTTCCATTCTTCTCTCATGCATAGCGCAAGTTCGGGCAGATTTTTCCATAATGCATATTTATATTGCTTTTACGTTCTCATTAGACTGGATGTCATGTATGAGATGGTAGGTTGACAAAGTGACTCACATCAGATATGGGACCTTCTTGTTGGCGAAGATTGTCTACTGCTTGGACCAGACTGTCTTGCCATGGATGATCTGGCGGAATATAGCGGGACAATTGAATGATCACCGTCCACATGGAACAGGTGTCGGCGGGGCTACCATCTAGCATTGGTGTCCTACACATAAATGTGATGTCACCAGCAAGCTTGGCGCCAATCGATTTTGGATCGGCTGGATACTGGAGAGTAGCCTTGAGCATATTGTAAATGGGTCGGTCAAAATCTTGTAACAACTCATGGTCTTCGAATTTCTTTAAATCGACTTCCATTTTGATATCTGGCCTGCTGCGGGGGAGATGAGAGAGACCGATTGGAATGAAGGGCCTGTGTTTTAAGATATGATAGTAGAGAGTGAAGTCTTGAGGGATCAAAGGTTGGCGACTGATAGTGTTCAGGTAGATATTGGTCTGTTGTGAGTGTAAAGATGTGCAAACCGGGCGGATGCGGGGTACTGATAAGTGAATCATGCGAATTGAGCAAATCATAAGGGAGACATTGCTACCTATATAAATTGCCTACAAAACCAACACTTCATGGATGCCTCTGAGGCGAAGTAGAGATTTGCTTACGCTTGGGTACAGCCAGGCACAGGGTAGAAAGCGCTTCTTAGCCGCCGAAGGTGGATGCGGTCCCCTTTGCGGCCGCTTACACTTGTGTAAGCGCCGGTTCCTTGTCTTCACAGCCGCCTGGGTCATATACCTACCTAGGTATACAACCAACAGAATCTCATATGCAAACACGGATAGCCAATCAAATAAACCCTTGCATAATTTGATATGAAGAATTCTACGGCAAGGCTGAATATTGAAAGTTACCTATGCTAGAAGAACCTTCCTCTGGGTCACACCGCGAGGCCTGTGAACACACCCAACATCCTTTTGTTGGCGTTTCCACCATGGTTTCAGTTGGACATAATGCATCCATTTGGATCTATCATTAGCCTGGATACCAGGGAGTTTGACCCCTCAGAGTGATCCATACCCTCACCAGAACCATAACATACTATGATGGCAAAGAATATAAGCTGGGCACAGCCGCTCAGATTAACTAGGCGTATTGAATCATTAGTCAATCCTATCGATCTCCTGTGAATTTCAATTTTCTTACCTTGGTTCAATTGCATTACCCACCTCCCTCTAGAGAAGTCCGCAGAACCGTTACAAAATGGCTACAGCATCCAATTCCAGGAGCTCCAACTCAGCTCCACCAGGTCATACTCCCGCCAGACGTACGCCCACAAATTCCTCTTACGTATGTACTTGTACATTCTTTATACGAACCGTTCTCTAACACAGAGCCAGTACGACTTTAATGGAGTTCCCTACCACGAGAAGAACCCAAATTCTGCCACATGGATGTACGCAAGGGACGCCAGAGCGCAACAGGCAGGTTTGCCCCCAGGAAGGCAGCCGGGCCGGAAATACCCATCTCCCTTCGGAAATGGAGAGAAACTCGCGCTTACGACCCCCGGATCGGCTCTGAGTCCTGATGGTCCCACTCAATGGCTTCACCATCCACTTATACCGGGAACGACAACTACCTGTACTGGTAAAGGTAGAAAACACCTAGGTGGTGTTCGAAGTGTGTATACGGCTAATGATCCTAATACATTCGATGTTATGTATCACAATAGGAATGCTGGACTTTCGGCCAATGGTAATGGTAACTTTGAAATGTCGAAATACCACCCAGCCGCCGAGGGACAAGGCCGCCCGTAGTGGTGTTGATGAACTAAGACAGGCCGTCGCTTGGTTGTAACTATTGTATTGTTTACAGGATTGGGAAGAGAAGAAGTGTTTGGGTTTCTTTTTGGAATGATCGGTATTTTTTCTAGCGTTTCAGGCAGGCCTTTGTCCGGGGAATGATCTTATAAATATAATAATTTGTATTATCGTACGGTCCGCCATTGTGAAATGACTGAATAGATTAAATAGATCATAGAGTCACAAGTCAAACGGGCTTTGCATAAACAAGACCTAAATATTTTTGATTCATTCAACGAGTGGGCGATCCGTTCTATGAGAGGGCTGACGGTAGTTAGTTTATTATCTAGAAGTTGTATGGTGAAGATACGAAAGTTTACGAGTGAATCTCACAGCTAGATCTTATACCCCGTATCATGTACGCCACTTTTTGTCCTACCTTAAGTACCTAGGTATTCAACATGTGGCTTACAAGGATTAATCGATGAGTGGGGGCACGGATAATCGCATTATGTGACTAGTCCGGTACCTGCAACTACTCGGCCCCTCGGGTAGCATCTGCTTGCCGTCTTGGGAATTTGCCTTATACATATCGTCAGCCTCAACACCGTCACCTTTCCTCCCTTACCGGAATGGACCCAATATCTAATAAAGCCGAGCAGCTCCGGGACAAGATCGCGCAGGCTGAAAGAGAACTACAGGATCTGCGAAGGCAACTGGCTGAGCTCGAGTCGTCAACTCGTGATGCGAATACAGAGCAGGGGTTCGACTCAGTAGCGGACCCTAACCAATCTGCTGGAACGCCACTCGATTGGAAATGGCCTCTGAAAGAGGAGGAGTATTCCCGTTATGGTCGTCAGCTTATTCTGCCTACGGTCGGTATTAAAGGCCAACTAAATCTCAAGTCCAGTGCCGTATTAATAGTCGGCGCTGGAGGCCTAGGATGTCCAGCTGCTGCATACTTAGCTGGCGCGGGAGTCGGCACGCTTGGAGTCGTCGATGGAGACACCGTCGAAATCTCAAACCTGCATCGCCAGATCGCACATAGCACTTCGAGGGTTGGTATGACGAAGGTGGACAGCTTAGTCGAGTACTGCCATGGGCTCAATCCGGAAGTGACGTACATCCCCCATCGGGAACATCTCACACCCCAGAATGCTGAGAGCATCGTTTCCAAGTACGACTTGGTTCTCGACTGCACAGATCACCCGACATCCAGGTACCTAATATCTGACATCTGTGTCTTGCTGCGGAAGACGCTTGTCTCTGCGTCTGCTCTACGGACAGACGGACAGCTGATCGTCTTAAATAACCCACCAGCAGCTCAAGGGGCCACAGATGGCGGCCCATGCTACCGCTGTGTCTTTCCTAAGCCACCTCCCGCCGACAGTGTAGTTAGCTGCGGCGAAGGTGGTATTCTAGGGCCAATCGTAGGTGTGATGGGTGTATTACAAGCTCTCGAAGCTATCAAACTGATTGCTGCCGGAATTGGGAAAGAAGCAAGTTCGATATCGAAAGAGCCGGCCAACCCAAGTCTACTTCTGTTCTCGGCTACTTCTGCTACGCCATTCCGATCTATTAGGATGAGGAGCCGAAGACCCAACTGTTTTGCTTGTTCTTCTGACTCGGCCTTGACTCTGAAAGAACTTAAATCTGGGTCGTTAGATTACGTCCAGTTCTGTGGGGTGACTTCGCCAGTCAATGTATTGAAGCCCGAAGAAAGAATCACTGTTACAGAGTACAACGATATTTTAGCAAAACAGCCTGATAAGAAACATTTGCTACTGGATGTCCGAGAACGGGAACATTTTAATATTGGCAGCATACCAGGCGCGATAAATGTGCCATTCTCATCGTTGCAATCACGTAATAAGTCGACAACCAACAACGATAGTTCAAGGCCAGAATATATCCCAGAATCACTCCCAGCCGATGCGCCCATATATGTCGTCTGTCGGGTAGGAAACGACTCACAGTTAGTAACCCAGAGATTAAAGGAGATGGGCTTAGATAGGGATGGAGCACGCTTCGTGGGCGACATCAAAGGAGGCATGCTTGCCTGGAAACACGAAGTCGACAAGACAATGCCTTTCACATAATCTGGTATGCCCCACGATGAATATAACAATTCAAGACCAAATACGGAAGAGAGATTCCATTCCAAATCATACCCGTTCCTGCTGTTGATACATAGGAGGGAGAGTACCGGCACCGAACGCCAGCCCATTCATTTCCGTAGCTTTGCTTTTCACGGTGAGATGTACCTTCTCGGTAACAAGCCAATAAACCCGTAAGAGTGCGAAGGCACGTGAGTTATACGTTTCCTTCCTTACATTCTCGTTCATCCTCCCTAGCCTATCTCCAGAGACCCTCGCGAATCTTGCCCCTCAGACGAAGCTCGTGCGCTTCTTGTTGAAAGCTCTTTGGTCCTTGAGCCACTGTCTGTAACCCGCCACACTGGAAATCTTCTCACCGTAGAAATCGGGAACTATAAAAGCACGCAACACGATCTTATTAGCAAATCCCAATTCTTTCCAACATGACCTAGATAGAATCCCGGGGAATCTGAAGAAATGACAAATGGAACTCACCAGCATTCCCGCTGAGGGAGCTGTTGCTAGGATCGACCCTGTTCTTCTTGATGCGCGCGAAGAACTCGGACTCCTTGACGGCCATGGGCTTCTTGACGCCGCGCTTGAAGGCGTAGAAGAGCGCGGAGCCCAGGCTCGGGCCGGCGAGCCAGCCGAGGCCCGCGAAGCTCAGCGTCATGATCCCCAGCGCGAAGAACGGGTCCATCGGCACCTTGGTCAGCAGCCAGTCCATGTCCATGTTCACGAGCAGCAGCGCGCCCGCCGACCCGCCGACCGCCATCGTGAAGATCCCGCTGACGAGCTGGAACCGTCGCCGCGTCTTGCGCAGCCGGAAGAACGTGTTCCAGTCGAGAGCCGCCGTTGGCGGTTCTGGGGTCGGGGCCGACGATGACGAGGTAGTAGAGGCCGTGGTCGAGGCGTGGCGCCGGGCTGCGGCGAATTGGCACTGCATGCGCGCAGCTGCTGTTGTCGGCCTTCGGGTAATCGATTGCGTCTTGATGGGGGCGGAGGAGAATTGCTTCGTGGTGCGGGCGGCGCATTGTCGCTGCGTCATCGACGAGGCCAGCGAAGAGTAGGGGCAGGTTGCCCCTCTCGCGAATGCGACCTGCAGATTGAGGCAACGGGCGCCGACGCGCGTCGCTGTCGTTGCTGGAGTCAACATCTCATCGGTTGGTCGTCCGCCAATTTCTTTTTACGACGGTTGGATGAAATGAGGGAGCGTTTTTTTTTAGGAGTGGAGATTTAATTTTTTTGGTTGTCGCTTGAAGATCTGTCGGAAGCTAAATATCGAAGCTTGACGTCGGCTAAGTCGAAGAGGATTCTCAAAGCTCGAGCCACTGTGGGGCTTTTTAGCCGTTAAAGCTTGGGCCACTTCGATAGACTCCGATTAATGCACTTTCGTATTTTGGATAAATGAATATAGGCGCATATGGGCCAAAGGTGGTTGTATTTTCTAAGTGTTGCACCTAGAGTGTGTACACTGCTAAGTTTACATATGGTGGGCAGAACTAGGTACCACCCCTTGATGACTCATCCACTAGCCCATGGATTCTAGCTTCCCATAGCATATTAGTCATTGCTTCTCAACCGATCTTCCTCAAATATTTTATCGTGATACTTCCCACACGAGTTTGAACGATTTTTTTTTGGTTGGTTTCCTCAGGCTTCTGTTTTATGAAATGAAAGAATATTCTAACCTTGAATTTGACAAGTACTCGCTAAGTTATCATTCGTCTAAGACACCACTGACCAGATACTACCTTTTCTAGATGCAACTTTTGCCTTAGCTCCTATGAACCACCATTCAGTTCCCTTCCTCTGCCTGGTGAGAATATCTACGAAAGCACTTAGCTATGAGGTAGAATAGTCGAAGATGGAGGGATTCAATATGTTTCAAGACGAACTTCGATGGTGCTACACCACCTGAAAGTTGACTAGAATCATCCAAAGATCGGATCATAAATCTAGAAGCTGAGCGGAGACAAACGCACAATTGTTTTAAAATGACCAAGTGAAAGTTTCCTTGTTCTGGGCACGGTTCCTATTTTCTTTTTAGGTACCTAGGCATTAAGGATACCCTTTTTCTTCAAGCAGTGTCTAAAGATCGAGAACTTCGCCTACTTTTCAACAGGGACACACGATATCAAGTCGAGCCAAATATCGCCAAAGTCGTTCATGCATATCAATTAAACCCGAACCAGAATATCGTAACTCTCTTGTGAGAAATATCTGCGAATTGATTTCTTCTCTCGGAATACCTGAGCACTTACATAGAAGGAGGTACAAGATTGAAACGGGAATTTCCGTCAATATCTCAACCATGCTCTTGGAAATATTGCTAAGCCTCTTTCGTCTATCCTTCATAATCTTCGAGATTATGTTGGCAATAGGTGCGGCTATACATGCCATAATAATCTCGAGTCATAATGCCTTGAACGACAAGCCGTTGGGTCCCACGGACTTATATTTTCATAAACTTCCACTCCCGAGGAAGCGTATACTCTGGCCCTTGCATATCGGGATACTCTGGTTCGCAATTTGGTTGATGGGGTCAATTTACATACCTGTACACATACTTCAATGGCTTTTCGAAGATATTGACGAGACGAAGGACAACGCCAGAACCACGCAACATAGAAATCGAGCTTCGGTGGCAATATATCAAGGATACGAATATATATATTGTCAGAAACAAACACCTTCCTGCTAGGAATCCCCTAGGCGACACTATACCTTCAGCACAAGAACCGAGGGTGAAATATCTTGGCGATGTGTATGAAAAGGGGTAAAAAAGGGGGGGATAAAGTTGGGAAAGTGGCTAAAGGGCGCGAATCAGGTATGGAGGTATTTCACTATGGCCATCAACAAACTTTCTCCATATAATAAATGTATCTAGCATTCGAGCTTTCTCGTTCGGCCAGAGGTAGCCTCCATTGTCGAGGGAAAATATAGTTACGTTTGCTTTCACTTAACGTTAGACTTGTATATCGGCACAATCGGGCGTTTATTGGCAATTTCATTACTAGGATGGCCATCTTTTGAGATTCAATCCAAGGTGATAGGAATCAATGTTTACCTTTATTCACTAAAGTATTTCGTGGCAATATACCTCAAAGTTAGAATAACGTATGTAGTTTATAAGGTGGTGCCACAATGTTTATACACAAACTCAATACCATGGAGAGATTATAAATAGGGGCCGTATCTTTCTCCAGGAGAGTAAATAAATTCCATTAATCGTCTTTCACCAGATCTTGAACTGTTATATAATACTACAACAACCAGACATTGAACCGAAAGTTACAACACAACAACGACGCTATCGCTCCAATTGACACGCGCTGCCACCATGAAATCCATATCAACGTTACCAACCTGGTGCAATATACTAATTGGCATCTATTTGCTCGCCACGCTGATAAAATCATACTTTTTGACCAAAATCATCCTGCGCAGCAGATTTTTGAAAGAAACTTCGATCCCTGGATACAAGGTAGTCATGGCGGTCATATGGCTAGCGGCTTCCTTGGCGTTGCTTGTCTCGAGCCCCTTTTACATCCTGTTCGAAATCACGAAGAAAATATTGAAGGCGAAACGGACCCGTTGCCAACATGGCTATGAAGAGCCGGACATAGAAAGCGGCCCGCAGGTAGAAGAGACTACCTATGAGAGGTGGAAAGGAATGAATCTCGGGGCAATGAGAAAGAGGATCTTCACTCGTGATGTATCATATGAGAGCCATCCTTATCGATTTAACGAGCACGTTGTGGCTGAATGGTAACGATACTCGTCGCCTATAGTCCCAACCTCGGAATATTTTCTGAAAGCTGAAGATGTTTTGACGCCAACTTTGAGCTACTATTGGGTTTAAGAAGATGGAATTTGTGTTGGAAAGATGCTAGAAAACGAGGGACCGCGGCTCGAAGATCATTCGAAGTAAGTGTACTATTGTTGACTATGACCATCTACACTAAGCTAACACGTATATAGATTTCCCCTTCACGGCGCCTGAGTGGGAAATATGCGCGCATTAATGGGGATGAGGCGTCGTTCGCATCATATCGACTAATTGGCATATCCAAAGTACAGCTCGAGGAGGTCGTTGATGCATGCACGTGGGAATCGGTCAACAAGAGGATGGGACACGGATTCACATGTCTTGCAGACATAGTCCAGGCGCATGTTACAATGGTGGAGAACGGCGCCAACCTATGGAACGAGTCAGATCCTGATCTAGAGTGGTCTCTTCTCGCCTTCATCGGTGTTGTGAAGAAAGGCTGGAAGTCAGTTGGTGGCCTCCTATTTGTTCCTGCCGACACCTAAAGAAAAGGGGGAGCCCTATTATGGATAATTCTTTTTCACGACACATGTTGCACGGACTCTCCTTGCTGGCTTCTCATTTGGAGATGAATGGCTTTCTGATATTCAAGGGTTATTTGCTGTGGAAAATGTAAGGTATCTAGTCACGATGAACTCAAGTCTGTAGGCTCCTATACAGCGTTAGTGTCGTTCAATTGTATCGGAAATTCAGAATATGCGCGGCGCTTATAAGTTGTCTAATACTTGCTACGTATGTAATCATAGTTAGATCTTGGATACTTGTATGCTTGATAGGTTGACGGTGTCATGAAATCGGGTTAGAATATGAGCTCAAAATAAGCAAACTTATTACGAAAAGGGTTTCTGTGGAATTCTGGATGATGTGATAATAATAGTGGCATGATACGTAAAGAAAACAATTGAATGGGTTCTGTCCTTTTAACGATCTAGTGTTGTGGGTCGATATACACAGCCTACGAATAACTTCTAATTCAGTATCTGGGGTGCCAATTTCGGCCGAGGCCCATATATACCCGGAGCTTCAAACGTCTTTGAGCAATGAGCACCGGCATGACATATTATACGGAAGATGCGTCTATGCTATAACTAGTTAAGTCAAGTGAAACTACGGGCCCCAAGCCAGGGTACCATGCGAGAGCTGAATAGCTGAAGATCATCCCTGGCCAGGGTCGTATGGATGGATTCAACATTGTCGACCCGATTTGGAAAGGATTACGAAACACTTTCATGACAGACACTTTTATATCCGCGAACCGTCTCGATCGTGGTCGCGTATCATGTTTCCTACAAGTTCTTAACTCTCACAACTCTTGAGGGAAAATGGCACAGAAATTACAGTACAGCCCGCTTCTCAACGACGATATTCGAGTCATCCAACTGCTCACGCAGGTCGATGATCCGGTCCACGCGACAGGACCTGTACACTGCAAGCTCGTACATGTTTCACTCGATGACTCGCATCGGGTTGACAGCAGCAAGACTGCGCTCAAGGGCTCTGATGGCGTCTGGCCCGTGACGGTAGCCAATGCCGTTGACAACGAGTCCGGCACGTCGCAGCCGGTGAACTACGGCGCGCTTTTTGAAGCAGGGTTAGCGGAACGCATGATCCCGTTCGCTCGCCTTCCAGAAACACCATACTTCGAGAGACCCAACTTTCTCAAGGCAAAAGCCAAATCTCAGCACAGGGCACCAGCGTGGGACCCGAGCAAGGATCCGGAGGCGGACCTGCCTTGGCGGTACACCTGGGGTGATTTTGTCGCTTTATCCTATGTCTGGGGAGACCAATCTATTAGGAAGGACATATATGTCAATGGCGTGCCTATGTCCGTGACAGCCAGTCTGGAGTCGGCTTTAAGAGAGTTGCGAAACCATATGCGGATACAGCAGGGCTTCTACGTGTGGGTCGACGCGCTATGTATCAACCAAGAAGATATGGATGAACGCGGGGTTCAGGTCGGGCGGATGAAGGAAATCTACCATACGGCATGGCATGTTGTTATATGGCTCGGTCCTGAGGCTCATCGTAGCGATTTAGCGATGCTGGCACTCCGATACATGAGTGTTGAGTCGGAACGAGGCGATGTACTGTCCAAACTTTACAAAAGGGTCGAATTCTACATCGTCCGATTGCCCTATATGCAATGGAAGCACGAACACAGGTCCCTGCTAATACGCAAAGGCGTGCTCAACGCTATCCATCACTTACTTTCCAGGCCATACTGGCGTAGGCTCTGGATTATCCAAGAAGTTGTCCTGGGATCCACAAACTCGCCCGTACTTTGTGGCGGCAGTTCTATCCTGATTAGGGATATTTTCAAGTCTCTACAGGTTATGAAAGGAGATGGCGACGCACTTGGCCAATACATCATTATGTCTGCCAGGGGCAACAGTACGCTTGGACGGAAATGGAATATCACGGAAGACACCTACGAGATCTCAGAGAAGCTATGGGAAAGACCGGTCGCGATGGCGATTCTGCAAGCCTTGGACACGAACCTGGCGACAACGAATAGAGGCGTATACGACGCCCTACTCCTGAGTCGCGAAGCCAAGGCCACCGACGAAAGGGACCGCGTCTACGGCATCCTCGGCCTGCCCCATCTCGCGCGACTCGTCAAAATTAACCCCGACTATAATCTCACCGCAGCCCAAACCTTCACCATGTTCTCAGCGCGCCTCCTCTCAAGCGGCAACCTAAACGGCCTACGACTCGTGAACAGCCCCGTACCGCCCATCGGAACGCAATACCTAAAATCGACGCACTTCTCGCGCCCGCGCAAGCCCAGATTAGTCCACGGCCACCGCACCATCCACCGCGGCTGCGAGCACGGCCTGCCCTCCTGGGTAATCTGCTGGTCGTGCCCGCGCAACCCGGCGCAACCCTTCGACAACCGGTCCAGCGCGCTCTCGCCCCTCACATCCCCATCCCTCCCTTCATCCGCGCCGCCCCGGATAACAGACGACCGGCTCCTTACGGCCCAAGGCGTAATATTCGAAGAAATCACAAGCCTAAGCGCCTGCCACGCAACCGAATCCTCGAAAACGTACCCCCTTTCCTCGTCCTCCCCTCCGCCCAGCCCCTACGGCACACGAACCCAGACGCGCGAAGCGCTCGCACGTCTCTTCACCGGCAACGATCCAGCAGGCTCTGACCCTAGCCTGCTCCTCCTCCCGCGGCTCTGGCAGACGGGCATCATGGGCGTGGACACGACGAACGTATTCGGGGTGAAAGACTTCTACTACCGCAACCGGTCGCTGCGGCTATGGGACGCATGGACCATCGACACGCTGATCCGCGAGCCGAAGGGGGCTTTAGACAAGCGCGTCCGCGCCGGCGCGAGCACCGCGCCTAAGCTCGCGCGGCTCACGCCCGGACACCACGACGTGATGGCCGCCGCCATGCGGATGCTGGCCTGGCGGCGCCTCGTGACTACGCGGAGCGGGTACATGGGCCTTGTGCCTGCCGCGACGCGGGCCGGCGACGTGATCGCCGTGCTGGTCGGGTGCGATGCGCCGCTCGTGCTGAGGCCGGAGTCCGAGGGGCGGTATTCGGTCGTCGGCGAGGCGTACGTGCAGTGGGTTACGGGAGGGGAGGTGCATCAGCGGCTGGAGAAGGGGATTTGTAGTATGGAGGATATATGTATTTGTTAAGAGAAGGTGGGTTGGTGGAGGTATAGTTATGTGGGTGGCCCCCTTTTAAAAGGGGGAATAGGGGGCTTGATCACGTGACCCCCCTTTGCATTACTACAGCGAGCATTCCATTCATATATACGTGTACACTTAGGAGGTTCCGCATAAGTTCTTTTATATAGGCATTTAAATCAAGCTCTACTTTATTCCCATGGATGCACTTGAGTTTACAGAGGTATAGTTACCGGGTGATTTAGGGAATTAATTTATATGTATCTTCACGGCTTTTGTAGAAGTCTCTTAATAAGAAGCTGTTGCCGGCTATCATGACTCCAAAAGGGGTTTATACCAACGCGACGTACTTGTAAGGACTTATAAGTGAATTCTATCTCTATGAGCTGAGCTTCTACTAATATTCGAGATATGGCCAAGTGATTCAGGGTTGTCGTGATAGTTCACAGCTCGAGTAACGTTTAGCTAATAGCTATTGAGACTTACGGGATAAATCATGCCTCACCAGAAGTTTTGATGTGCTTGCGCGTTACGACTCGAACAATCCCTTTGATTGTGCACTGATTCTTTAGATATTTGCTATTGTTCTTTCTCTCAATCTAACAATATATAACAAAGTCCCTTTCAGCGTTTCATGTTTGCTTGGATCTACAGGTGCTTCTCAACAATCGCGCAATACCTACAAAAACTCTCCAAGAGATCAAGATCACATCAGCAAGAACTCGCAACTCAACCATCAACAATCAACTTAGACTAGATCTTCCTCAATCACAATTCGACCGCAAACATGCCTCGTAGCCGGGAAGCGCAGGTCAATGCTCGCCTAGAGTCTACGTCAAAGAATCTTGAGGCTCTACTGGAGCGAAAGAATATCTTGGAGCACCCGCCCAATTATGAAGAGTTGAGATACACGGACGTAGAGGAACAACTTCGAAAAATTAGAGAAGAGATCTCTAAGCTGGTTAAGAAGAAGCGTGCGCTACGGACCGAATTAGCAGAGCTCCGGAAGAATAAATGAGAAAAGAGATCCTAGGGGGAAATGATTGCTGATAGGCAGGATGGGGAAGGCGATCGACCGGACTGAGCGATCAAGAAGACTGATGTTTGACTAAGAGAACTCACCATATAAACCATTTGGGAAATGCATTTTACAAAATAAAAAGGGTGTATCACCAACAATATTGTCGCTATGTTCTATGTGATATTAGCAACCATGTCTAGCTGAAAAGGCCTCATGCATTTGGCTTAGGCATCCGACCAAAACTTCAAAGTTGAAGTTATGTTACTCGTAAGACAAGGAGAACACTGTTGAGTAGAACCGAAGCATTTATGAAGTATTTAGCCCAAACAGCCCCTCGGTTAAGGGATTCTCATATCCATGTATTTCAATGAACATGATTAGATCTAGATCTTGTATTATATTCTTTCGGGATAGATCAAGTGATGGTGTAGCCGTGCGCAGAAACACGGTACCCAAGAAGGTATCACCTTGCGTGCCTAGGTGCCTTTTCTCACAAGCAACGTAGCATGTGGCTTTTTTGCATATATTAATCAAGCGAGATTGGTTCAATTTTCCGACACGCCTGCCCTCGACGCCGGAAAAGATGACGTTAAGGGCAAAGTCGTTTTCCAAGGAATTGGCATGACTAACAGCCGTAGCTAAGCTTTCCGGCACTGCGCCGTCTTTACTTTAACCGAACCGCAGTGTATTTGCAAATTGGCAATTAAGGCACAGGCCTAGTCTGCTGTAAGGGACCAATTTAGTCGGTCAATCTAGAACTCAGCCGCCACCATGAATTGAAAGCACTGTTTCTCTGGTCGGATCGATAGATCGACTGCGGGGAAGTACCGAAAGAAAAGTCTCGCGGAGCTTGACTTGCCTTATTAGGCCCGGCGAGCTGCAGGATGTCGCCAGCAGATGGTAGGTACGATAGGAGCACTACCGACAAGTTCATTCGATATTTAGTGGTTAATTTATATACCCTTTGGATGCCCTTACCTCCAAGATGTCTTTGATTTTACGAACTCCTTCTGAGCACATCTAGACGCGATGCATATTCGCCAGCTATTGTTGGGGCTCGGTCTCGGCACCGACACATTTGCTGCTGCAGCACTGCTTTCTGAACCGGGTGAAGTCACCGTCATACCATCGTGGGACATTCAATCGACCGAGAAAGTCGGCACAGATCTCGAAGCATTATCGCAGCCGGGCGTCGATACGAAGACATGGCATGCGGTCGACAGTTCTCGCTGCACCCTCATGGGTTGCTTAATAAAAGCTGGCGTGTACCGCGAGGACGGGCTATTCTTCTCTAACGCTCTAAAGAGCTTCAACTTGAGCCAATTTGGGGTGCCTTGGATATATCGGAAAGAATTCGCCCTTACCCCTGAACCTGGCCAACATTACCATATCCGAACTCATGGAATCAGCTCCAGCGGCGATATTTATGTCAATGGCCAGGAGGTCGTGGCGAGCGAGTTGCAGGCGGGTGCCTATGTCGGTAATACTTTCGAAATTACCGACAAAGTGAAGGAATCGAATGCGGTAGCAATTCAAGTTCATCCCACCGACTACAACTACAACTTCGCTCTTGGGTTCGTAGATTGGAATCCATATCCACCAGATAACGGCACCGGGGTGTGGCGAGATGTAGAGGTAAAGCAGACGGGCCCAATCGCTTTGGGACCTCTGCGGGTGAGCACACAAGCCAATTTGCCAATTGGGCATTCTAGTGCTCTCGTGACATTGAAAACGACTGTCACGAACTTAGAGGATCGCGAGTACGATGTTCTGTTAGTAGGGAGCATCTCCCCAGAGGGAGGGGCTAGCCAAAGCTACGAGATGAACCAGACCCTTACGGTGCCCCCGAAGCAATCCATTGAAGCAGTCTTGGAGACAGCGATTAACGAGCCTGCGATATGGTGGCCTAAGCAATGGGGCGACCAACCACTTTACACAGGCCAACTGTCCGCGACGGCCGATGAAACCATTTCTGACAAGATAGAGAGAACTTTCGGTATCCGCAAGGTAACGGCGGAGCTCAACGCCAACAACGACACTGTGTTCTATGTCAATGGCTATCCATTCCAGGTTGTCGGCGCAGGTTACTCGGCAGATATATTTCTGCGCTGGGATAGTGCTAAGTTTGCTTCACAAGCCAAGTTGATGCTCGATCTAGGCCACAATACCGTTAGGCTGGAGGGTAAGAATGAACACCCGGAACTCTATGAAGTCGCGGACCGTTTGGGGATAATGGTCTTACCAGGCTGGGAATGCTGTGATAAATGGGAGGCCTGGAAGTATAACGAAGATTTGGCCGTCAAGTCAGAGTGGACGGAAGCCGATTACATCATAGCGAACAAGAGCATGTCCCACGAAGCTCTCATGCAACAGGGCCATCCGAGCATATTGGGATATCTGGTTGGGAGTGACTACTGGCCGGACGATAAAGCGGCGGAGATGTATTATTATTCGCTTCAGGCAGCAGACTGGCAGATGCCCATCGTCGCATCAGCATCGGAGAGAGGATACCCTAAGATTTTAGGGCCGTCGGGGTTAAAGATGGCAGGACCATACGATGTATGTGATGCGGTGATCACTCCCTTGTGAACTGACTTATTGCCCCTGAGATATCACCTAACACTGATTTGCATTGTTGCAGTGGGTACCGCCAAATTACTGGTACGATGTCGATCCGGCGGAAGATCGTCTAGGTGCTGCTTTCGGATTCGGCTCTGAGCTCGGTGCTGGTGTTGGAACGCCGGAAATTGGTAGCCTAAAAAAGTTTCTGTCGGATTCTGATCTAGAAGATCTTTGGAAGAATCCGAATAAGGGCCTTTACCATATGTCGACGAGCGTGTCATCCTTCTACGATCGGAAAATCTATAACGATGCCCTATGGAATCGTCTCGGTGCACCTTCTTCGTTGGAGGACTACCTGCTCAAAGCGCAAATCCTCGACTATGAAGCGACGAGGTCTCAATTCGAAGGGTTTGCCGCTTTATGGAATGCTGAAAGGCCTGCGACAGGCCTGATATATTGGATGCTGAATAACGCCTGGCCGAGCTTGCACTGGAACTTGTTCGATTATTATCTACACCCCGCTGGATCCTACTTCGGGGCCAAGGTCGGTGCAAGAAAAGAGCATGCCGCATATGACTATAATGGGAAGCTGGTATACTTGATCAACCGCTCTCTAGACCAAGATGGACCGAGGACAGTAGCAGTCCAGGTCATTGACAAGAACGGTAAAGAAGTTTACAAGACCCAGAAAGTTATCCAGACCGAACCAAACACCAGCAAAGAAATCCTGGATCTGTCTGATGCTCTCGCGGCGATCACGGATGTCGTGTTCCTGAGGCTCATCTTGTCTGATGGCGAAGCTGCTGTTATAAGTCGTAACGTCTATTGGCTTGCTAAGACGATTGATACCCTGGATTGGGACAACTCGGACTGGTTCTACACACCGGTGACGCAGTATGCCAATTTCACAGCGTTAAACAGTTTGCCGACTGCTGATGTCTCAGTAACGCTTGCGGCGCCCGCGAAGAGAGACAATTCGAAAGCAGGACAAGTGGTTGTGGTTGAGAACCACTCCAATGTTCCCGCATTCTTCGTCACGCTTAACCTCGTAGACGGAGAAGGGAATGATGTGTTGCCTGTATTTTGGTCGGATAATTACGTTACTCTATGGCCTAATGAGAAACTAGAGCTGCAGGTAGAAGGTGAAGGCGGTGTTTCTGTACAAGTCGTCGGTAAAAATGTTCGTAAGGCGGAGGTATTTTTGTAATTAATAATCCTACAATCTGCTGGGATATGGAATGGGATATGAGCGTGACCGTGCTTAGTAATAAATGTATTCTCCATTCATTTGTTGCTGTCTCAAGTCACTTCAAACCCCAGAAATCACCGGGTCCCCAGAGTGTCCTCTCAATAACATCCCTATGAGGGTGGAAAAACACGCCGGGATCGTCAGGCTCATCTTCATCGCGAAAGGCCAACCTGTACCCAGCTTTCAGGACAACCTGACGTGACTCAAAGCAGACGTGGGCAATCGGCATTCGTAGGCTACTGCGCTCTAATAGCTGCATCTTCAACCCCGCAGAGGCGTACACCAACGCGTTGAACACTCTCGAGTCTGGCAGCGCGTATTCCCAAATCATTTCCCGCAGCTCGGCAGGGAGGTCAGAGAATGTAGTTCTCGTCGACTTGCCGTACGTCGTGCTACCTGCTGCTGTGTCTGGATGGGACTGATGGTGTGGTCGCTCTTGGGCATTAGAATGAGAAGCGACATCCTTATTCACAGGAATCGAGGCCGGCTCATCTGAGGCAACATATATGTGATAATGTACAACATCACTTGTTTTTGGACTCTCTAGAGTGTCCATTGTTTGGATCTCATCCATTTATGGAGGTGATCTTGGGAGGAAAGAATGAGGGTGCATGTAGCTGGAGCGACGAAATCACTAATCCGATACTAATACCTAGGACATGTATGGTAACACGCGCATTAGATAATATGCTCTTAAATGCATAAAGCAGATCACTAAGATATTACTAAGTCATATCGCCTTACCTAATCTGCTTCGATTACTAATTCTAACCCTAACCCCGGCTTGGACTCAGTAACTTGACATAAGCAGTATAGCTGATATAATCATGGCGTTTCCTAGGAGCATGGTGGTTGTATGAGTACCTATGTGAGGAAAACAGTTCTGTTCGACGTTACTGCTAGATATGTCACAAGATAGAGAACTGAATCCACCTCGTTCTAAGAAGAAAAGAGTTACCTTGTTTGCTCGACGGAAAGAGAATACTATCGAATGTGAGCCTAACATGAATGGTGGAAGGATGGGTATTTAGCAACCTATGTATTAAGCACATTTATGATGGAAGCCCTTGAAATTAGGTACTCAATCTCAAGCTAGTAGCAATTACATTAGAATAAAGGTATTGGCACATATAATATTGCGCTGAACCAGGACTTATCTGCATCACCATTGGTGATAGTGCTCCAGCTGACCTGTGAGATCGCCTAGAATGGCAATTGCTTCACATCACAGCTGCAACAATTACGCCTTCTTTTCAAAAGAGGTGTACGTGACTCTGATGAGCTGAAATACGCTTTCTGTCAACCAGCAGTCAATTTTAAAGCTGGCGTGAATAAAGTGTTAGTAGATTCACGCGCCAAGGCTAATGACTTGAGTTTCTACTCATATATAATAGGGTATCGTGAGGCTTTTCGTCCAAATAGCGAGGTAGGACTCAAGTAGGACTGAGCTGAATACTCCAATTCGAGTATACTCACGTTCGGAGCATTTTAATATTGATGCAGATCTCACTTCGGGCCCACGAACCGTGGTAATTACCTACCTCAAGCACACCCACAATGCCGTCGCTCCCTTGCGCGCGTCTTTGCATCGATATAGAGCTAAAAGATCATCAAGCATCCGATAGGATACTGTGAGAAGGGAAGATGGATGGGTTGAACAAGTGGTTTGCAGCGACCACTTCAACTATATAAACGAGCAGCAATCCCATATCGTATCGTATCTCACCATCACTCTTCACGAGCATCTCCCATCTCAACAAGACAATTCCAAGAATCATTTATTTCCACCATCCTCTAATCCTAACCATGAAGTCCTACCTCCAAGCGCTCACTCTCTTCCTGGCTTCCGTGCCCCTGAGCACTGCCACCATCCCTCCCGTGACTTACTGCCCCAGCTGTCCCAAGCCAGTTCACTGCGACAACGCCGGCTGGGACTGGGCCTACTACAGCAACCCGCTGCACAACAACGGCGAGGGGTATCCCGGCTTCAGCGCAGATGTATACAAGACGAAGCAGCCGGAGTACACCGGCGTAACGGCCTCGATTGGCGGGCATCTCGGCTACACAGCCGCGAGCCCGGATGTAACGACCTTCTACGGCTCAACTCAAGAGCTCAACGCAACATACTTCGCTATCAACCACCACGCGTACCTGTACGCCTGCGAGGCGGGCACGTATCAGTTCGACATCTCGTTCGTGGACGATGTAGTGTTTGCCTGGGTCGGGGAGACCGCGTACTCCGGGTGGACGGACGAGAATAGGGACGCGAAAGCCGTGTGGACCTTCCAGGGAGACACGCACTTTGGCTCTGCGAGCTTTAGTAAGGATCTTGGAATCGGAAGCTTCAATCCTCTGCGCTTCGTTTTCGCTAATGGCCAGAACGGCGGTTCATTTAATCTGACCATCACCAGTCCCAGTGGTGTTATCGTTCATCAGAGTGGCCGAGACAGCGATTATATTGTCCGCTACTCCTACGACTTCCAGATTTCGGCGCCGAAGTTCCCCGCTTTTGGGGCAGAGACGTAAATGCCGTTGGGGAAAGGGTAAATAGCAAGGGTTCTGCTTTCAGGGATGAAGATCCTAGGTGGTGAGAAAAAGGGTTCATAATGCGATAGTTAGTCCCCGGGGAGGGGGGTCCTCATCTAGGAAAGATGATACTTGTTTGCAATGCTATCGGGGAAATTCACTTCTACTTACCAACAGTAACTTACTACTGCCTTCACATTATAGTGCTCATAATTTAATCTCATAGAACTTTCAGATCGTTACGATGAATATCAAGTTAGGAGAAACTGCTGTGTGCTGACCGCCTTGTCCCGAAATAGTGCAAAAACGTCTAGGTCATAGAGAAAGCAGTCTCCGATCAGCTCGTGGGTGCCGTTATCTCTTGCCCTCAAAATGAAGGGATATTTTCCACCTGGGAAAAATACGATATCATCGCTCTCCCTCGTGCGCGGTGGTGCTAAGCCCATCGATCCCTTGTCAGTGATGAAAAACTTGCGGCCGTAACAGGTCATCTCCATACGGCGAGAATACCACATCGAATCGGCATCTAAGGATTCTCTCCAGCGCTGCTGTTGGCCTTTGCTGAAATTGCTGCCCTTGGCGCATACTTTACCAATTTGATGTTCCTGTATGTGCTTATACCACACGTTGAACTTAGTAGCCACTGAAGAAGACAATGCTCTCATCTTTCTGACCAATGGAGGATTGTCATTTTCAACTAGCAAATCGGCGTCATCATTCCCAATGAGTGTATCGGAGAAAGCGTCAATAATTGTTTGCGGGAACCTCTTATTGTTTAAGCTTGAAGCCAGGTTTTCCCATCCACTCACGACGGAGCTGAACTCCTTGCTTCCTGGAACAGTCGTATCTTGCGCTTCCAATTCTTCAGCCGCTTGCGTAACTTTCTCGACGAATCGCCCGTTAAGCATTAATATGTTTCCATCTCGGAACTCAAACCCTGGGATTAGTGTGAGTGGGTAATGAATAGAATACGTTGCAGACATCCCGAATACTCTAGGAAGAGTTCCTGTCGGGTTGACAACGTTATAATCTGGGACCCAAGACGGAAGACCATCGACACAGTTGTTTGGCCCTAACCAATGAAGGACGTCGAGGTCCCGACTTGATTCGATAAGCTTTCGAGTGAATTTCTGAAATAGTTGGGGAATGTCTTGTTTATAATCGATGGTAATGTCAAAATGGATGTTAGTATTCATCATCAAGGCTCCAAATATCTTGTCCCTAGGATCCTCAGCTTGGCAATGTCTATTCAGGCAGAATAGGTTCCTCAGTCGTACGCGGTAGGCGCGGGAGATTGTGTCAAGGTGATGCAAGTGGGTTCGCCCATCTGGACCTCCTAACGGGTGATAATAATCGCTTGTCGATGGGAAGCTAGAACATTTCATCAAGTCCAACCATTCACATCGATGGCGACCGCACAAGATAGTTGCCTCCTCGCTCAATGAAAGCTCTTGAGCAGACAATGCTCTATAGAACCAAGATCTCTTCGAAAGCTTGTAAAAGGCATCTTTCGTTTCGCCAGAGTAATGACACCAATTGATGTGAGAATGATTGCGACATCTATCAAGAAATTCAAATACAAGATGAGAATTGTCCTCGGCACCCCCAAGCCAGACAAGAAGGCGGGTTGCATTCTGGTAGATATCAGGTAAATGGGAGAGCTGGCCATTCCTTTCTGCATTGTTAGCACGTCGGTTTTCACTGTCGAATCTCTGGTTGATGCAGATAGAATCTGTCCAGAGGAATCTCGATCGGGTTTCCGATCTGATTCGATGTAATGCCGCCCAAACCTCAGGCGGGACGTCAAAGGTGTGTCCATTCAAGGATATTGGCACTTTAGGCTTTGCCAATCTGCGCCAATCGCAAGAGAGAACTTCATATGTATGTTTCTCATAGCGCTTCAAATGGAAGAGGCGACACCTTATCGGGTCTGGAGAAAGACCTGGTTCAAGTTCTAGAAACCTTATCTGGTCGTCTTTCAAAGGGTCATACTCGAAGTATGATCCTGTTTCCTCAAGCCAAGGAACCGCTTCACCTGAAGCATCTGCCAGGCCATCAGCTGAGCGCGTTAACGACATCTTGGATCGCTGCCTTATGTAAGCTCAAAATTCGAAACAGGTCCTAAGCAAGTCGTCTTTTCTGATATTCGTTGGCTAGGTTCTCATCAGCCGGTTATTGATGAACTTGTGATGTCGCATGAAAATGATGCTGGGGAACAAAAAAGCGGGTGGGGAAATAGGCGCTTGGTCCCTGTGTCATCAAAGGAAATTCACGTGATAATCAACTATGTCTGCTGTACAATGTGCCAATTGTGCAAAGCTGAAACCTTTCTATCCATCTCTATTGGCTCCAGCCCGTCTAATGCGCAAACGCTCACCGTGCTAATTGATGTGTACTGGAATACACCACCCTAACATCCGCTAATAAATGCCGACATAGCTTGTAACACAGCGCCCCTCTACCAAAACCCTCCCCTAAACCCAAACCCCAGACTCCGAATAAATGACGGGAAAGAAAAACATCACAAGTTTTTCGAGAGCACCCAATCCGTCTGTATGCACGCACCAGTAGCAAAGTCCGTTTCGCCCTTCTTCACATAACTCAGCTTCTCGTAAAGTTGGCGGGACCTGACGTTGTCCTCCCAGACGGTCAACCACAGCTGCTTGAACCCCTCCGCTTTGGCCTTTTCTTCGACGGCTGCGATGAGCTTGCTGCCCACCCCCAAGCCCTGTGTGGAGACGTCGACGTAGAGCCTCCTCAACTCCGCGTGCGAAGAGGGCTCGCCCTCCAAGCACGGATCTGTGAGCTCACGGACGAGCTGCACGAAACCCAGCACGACGCCCGTTTTGCTACGAGCCACGAAGGTGGTGACGTTGTTTTCTTGTGCACTCGATATCTCTGCCTCGATGGCCTTTTCCGAGTACGTTGCTGCTAAGAAGTCTGCTAGGTCATTGTCCGGTACTGAGTACCCGAAGGTTGCTGCGAAAGTGGTGGCTCCGATCAGAGCAATTGCTGCTGCTTCCGATACTAAAGCTTCACCTATGGTCACATCGTGCGCCAGTCTATGCGGTGCACTAGGATTTGTGGGAGGAGAAGCAACTTTTGCTGCCATCGTGTTGCTCTGCGTTGGTGATGAAAGCCGTGACTAGTAATATATGGATACACAACGAAAAGGAGTAGCGTTGACTAACTGATTGACTATTTCGATATCTCATTTGGTTGGATTAAGCTTCTGAAAAAGATCCCAAGGATTTTATAGAACTTTGGATATTAAATTGACTAACTCATTAGTATGTCTCTAAGGTTTGAACTAGCCCGATTTTCGGCGTCTTTAGTGACTCCTTTCTCTGCCTCTAAATGTTAATCTTAGTTGTAATGCTCATTGCTTACCCCTGCGCGCCCTGCGGCTTGTCAACACAGCCGCTTTCTCGGCGCTACCTTCTGCCGTCAACCTCCTTAGAAAGATGACCTTACATAGAAGCCCCTGGAACAACAAACATGAAACTTTTCATAATTCAATGTCAGGCATGGTATAACGACTTATAGCATACCATACATATGTTACGCAAAGTATTAGAACATGTAGTTTACGTAATCATTGGCTATTATGATAGAAATTGCTTGTATTGTGAATTTTATTACCGTTACAGCGGATAGAAGACGCCGCTATATAATATGGTGCCTACAAGTAATCTTCCGGCTTCAGCTGAGTTATAGGGGCTGAGTGCATCGGAAGTTTCCGGTTCTGCCACATCAGCCTCTTCTACGATTATTATCAAGTTGACATCATTGCGGTAATATCTCGAAAACTTCTAATCATCACTAGGTATAATGGGGGTAAAGAACCCCATTGTTCCTTGGATATCTCAGGGGGATAGGGGCTCGGTTCGGCCCGCAACAGATTTATGTCGCACATGAGAGTGTGGCGAATTTCATTGTCCAATCGTATCTCCAGCAATTGGCCTTACGAGCCCAATTAGGAAATACTGACAGAACATAAACCCGTGTCACCATCTAATACCTACTATGTAAGTATGGATAGTAAAGATATCTGGGGCTTTACAAGACAAGTCCAAATTAAGCGCGCGTAATTAGCCGATATATATAAAAAGCTATTCATAATTATTTTCTATGGTATCGACTGTTAAAGCACTGTTCTACATGCGTGGTAGTGTTGCATGCCAGTCTAAGGGGTATCTGGTATGTGTTTGGTGTCTTAAAGTAGTATCTACCTATATATACAACTTCCACCTACTCATCTCTGGATATCCATAGTACTATGATTGTGAGTTTGCAAACTACGGAAAGATCTTGGTATACACGTTTTTTGGGGATTTTATTAATAATACCGCTAGATAAACAGTACAAACCATCAAACAATTGACCGCGAATACATACCGTACCGGGAAAGGGGGGGTAGCTGCAACGGTTGTAATAGGGGCTTAAACGTTGTTGGATTATAAACAGTTTGGATCACAATAACCGTTGCTGCTCTTAGAAGTACCTTTCCACGTAAATTAGGTGAAGGGGTACAAGGCTGTAATGGCAACGCGTATAAAGGTCTAAAACCATTGAGATAATTGCAACTATTCCCACCCTTACAACGATTACAAGTCCTTTTGCTCCATACTTATATAAATTATCACCACTTTAATCACCTTGCATTCGTTACACCTACCCCGCAAACGTTTAGCCACCATACAAAGATCTTGCAACCGTTGTGGTAATCTCAACAGATTTCGACAACAACGCTGACGATAGCCTCAACGCAGTAATTATAGGCTTTAGAGTTGCTACCACCACTACCGTTACAACAAAATCTCAAAAACCGGTACCCACTTCTCGTTGCCTACCTACCGCCCACCGCAAAACTTAAAAGTTTTTATTCCCACGTACAAGTAAACAAACAAAACATCCCACCTACAACATACAAAACACCACACACACACACACACACACAACACACAACAGGTAGGTCTAATCCCGTCGCATTAGGCCAAGCTAATCAGCTTCATCTAGGTCGATATTTTAATCACGTCAGATACTAAGTAAGTTTATCAATCCTGTCGCATCAACAAGTCAAGCTAATTAAATCAGCCAGCCCGTCAACAACGATCTAATAGCGTTAAGTAAGTAAACACCTACCAGTATCTTTGAACCACGCATCAAAAGCTAATTGAATCAATCAGGTCCAAGGTCAGCAATCCAGTCGCGTTCAATCAGGTAAAATCAGGTCAGTATACCTCAATCGATATATCTAAGTTGAAAACAGTGAGCTAACTTATTACTAAAGTCCCTTAGGTTCGAATCCTGGACCAAGCGAGTATTTACCTACTTTTTTCTAAGTAGATAGATAATTTTTATTACAATTCAACGGTTGCAACCATGGCTCAACGGTTGCAACTACGTCTCAACGCCTGAAATTCTTTGAAGGCTTGAAATCAATTTTACGCTTGCTTGATAAATAACTGTTACACTCCTACAACCATTGAATATAAGGAAACCGTAGAATTGATTTCAAGCCTTCAAAAAATTCCAGGCGTTGAGACGTATTTGCAACCGTTGCAGCAAACCCCGCTTGCCCGTTAGGTACGCTCCTTGAATAAAGGTATCGAGGACCCCTAGATAAACACACTCTCTGTACGATGGATATTTTGCTTCACTCTCTAAAGCATGCCTGATAACAAGTCATCTCCCTCCTCAATGAATCCACCAACTCTCTCGCGTTCCGTGATTCTCGCGAAGAGTTGAGTCGGCAAGACATTGGGAGCCCTTTCAAACAAGAAGTCCCACCATGAGATGTCGCCACTTGGGTGCATCAAGGTTCCAGCCTCGAATTCGTCATACTCTTCGTCGCTGATTTCCACGCATAGCCGAGCTACGGTTGAAAGGTATGCGAACATGACCTGTCCACCGAGCACGACCCACCAATGATCGTCATTATCATTGAAGGCGATCTCGTTATGCTGCCTCCAGTAATTAGCAACACTTTGTGGGAGCATGGAGGCGATACGATCAATACGATCCATGCTGTCGTTATATAGGTTGAGATCTGGAACGATGGCTGTGTTGGATTCGGACTGGAACAACTCGGAGTTGACTTGAGGATCCCACTGCTCATTGACAAGGGTGAATTTGTCCTCCAAGTTCACAAAGATGTTTCGGAGACCGCTTAATTCGGAATCGGTGAGGAGCATCTCGAAAGCTTCGCAAGCCTCGGAAAAGTCGTCGAGCATGTGGCGGGGAATTACGATGTTTTGGATGGCTGGCGCAAGCTCTCCCACTGTCACCATTAATGTCAGTTGCCGTTGTCTAGCAATTGTCGGGAATAGACTAGAAAATCACTTCAAGCATGAAGGCAGAAATGCTCCAAGATGGATCCAGATCGTAGGAATGAACTTACAACCAAGGTTGTGGCCGCCCCAAAGGAAGAAGTCAGTCTCCTTGTTGAACCAAGTCCTCCTCCCATCCTCAAGTTCATACACTCTTCCCGACTTCAGAGCGATGTCGCGAGACGCTTTACACACGTGTGCTATTGCTGGCGGCGCCTGGAGGATTTGAACGGAACCGGAGAGAAGAATGTACCCAGCCTGGGGTTCAGGCATTGCCTTCTATTGTTGTCGACAGATCAGCATGTCTTTCATGTACGTCTAGGTAGTTTGACAAAGAAGTCCGCTGCTATCCAACAGAGTGATCTTACCTCCCAGATGTCCAGTTGGAGCTCGGTAGGTAGAGAGCTAAATCGGGGAAAGGTCGACAGCCTGGTCGCAGGCTGGAGTTGCTGGTTGGCCGACATCTTCTTTTGCCGATAAGGGGTAGTGTCGGCGATAAGAAGAAGGTAGAGATGTCAAGTGGGATAAGCAGAAGGCCTGGCTGTTTAGCTGATCTAGGGCAAGAACGAACCCAGATTAATTAACGAGCTTCGTGGCTGGCCAGTTGAATAACAGTCAGGCAAATGAAAAGGGCAAGCTGAAGATCGAGTAGTCAACCTGATCATGCGAGTCAAGGGTATGAATGAAGAGTAAGAACGCGCTGTGAACTTCTCGCAGCGCTAGAAGCTCAAGTAAATGGCATCAACGAGTTGCGCAATAGTTGAAAAAGCTGATGACCGTGTAATGATGGATATAAACCAAAGAGAACTCCAGAAGACGTGCCATTTTATACACTTGATGCTCGCAAGAGCTACAGAAGAGAGTGGTTTGCTTTGACATGCTGTGAATGCCGAGTCGAACTTAGGGATAGTTGGGATAGCAATAGATCACCTAGAATCTCTAGGCAAGCCTGGCTAGATAGGCAATAGAACGCTCGAGACTACTTGCAAGGGATGAAAGAGAGAAGTCCGCCCAGTCAAACTGCACATAGATCAGGACGATCCCAAGTTTGTGTGAGAATGATAATGTTTTGGAGAAATTTAGAAATGGATGGGAGCCAAGTTTTATGCTGTGGAAGGGTAGTAAGGAAAGCAAGTGCGTCAGGAACAATCAACGGCAAGAGACGACATGGTATTTTCAAAGGCCATCCAATAAGCGTCGTTATTTCTCGCAAAAAAAACGCTTATATATCGGGACATTACAGGTAGGCAGCATCGTCCTAACTCGATCCTGCCCCTGCTTGACACTTCTGAGTCAGTTGAGGGTGTTCTTGCATAATGTAGTGGGCCCAATACCCGATATAAGAATCGCTACTTCCTATCTCTAGAAGTACCTATTGGGTAGGCAGAACATGTATCACAGGTACTTTCCAGGGCATAATTATAATAGATACCTAGGAAATATTGGAATAGGGACCATTTATGTCGCAACATCCCATATTGTGAGGAATATACGTCAGGGGTTAAGAATAGAGTTATGGCAGATCCAAGCCCGACATGATGTTCAGAGTCCCCATATCACAAAGAATCATTTGTGCTCAATGCTAAGCTTCCATGTTGTGTTCAAGGATCGACTAGTTCGTACCTGCCCAGCTGTGAATGGCCTCAACTTGAAGTTTATCACAAACTGTAAGCTCCAGATCTTTAGCATGCCGTGCCGAACCTAGCGCCGAACTTAATAAAGAAAGACAAGAACTAGAGTAGGTACGAGGCGGTTTGCGTCATGCAGAAAATCTCAAGCAGGTACCCATACTAGGTGTAACATTGTTATCCTTTGAAGACGGTTGACTCATTGAAGTACCTACATACAGCTAGTTACACTTCCAAGCATTGTTGCAACACTTGTCCGGGGATTATGTAGCCCAAGAAGGTAAAACTGTATGTGATATTGTTGGAGTGAACAAAGCTAGGGCAGCTCTATGAGTCTATATTTTTCCATAAACAACTACCAACTTATGTATTCCCAGCTAGCAGCGGCACTCATATTATTTGGATGCAATAATAAGGGTACATACATAGCGGCTCGTGAGGGTGTGGGGTAGAGCTCATTGTCTGGAGGGGAAGTTGATAATCTTCAACAAACGATTTGCGTCAGGCATAGGTATACGTGAAATATATTTGTCTTTGGTTCTACTAACGTATACCTCCGCTGTAAGGATGCAAAAATAACGACTTATGATAGTACAAGGATATATCTGAATCGTATGAAAAGGGCCCTGAGCAAGGACCTGTGCCTACTACTCGGATTAACGTAAATGTCTGGGACGTCATATACCCATACTCGAGCATACAAGAGACTCCATCGCTAAATTGTTGTTAGATTCTATTAAAAAAGGCAGATGGAAAAAAAATCCATTACCATGTGCTCGGTGTCCTAGGTCCGGTTGAAACAGTTTCAGGGGCAGTTGAGCTCTTCCAGATAACCCTGCTAATAGCTACATATGTCTCCCATATATTCAATCATGATATAAGGAAAATTAAATAGGTACTCTGTGTATAATAATGTGTGGATACATGTAGATATGGATAGGGTTAGCACGATATATACCCTGATTATAATACTCGGGGGATTGGGAGAGTAGGTATTCAGCAGCGACAATATGGATGCTGTTTAATTCATCCGAGGCTGATCTATAATTAAAATACGGTGCTTGCAACTGGCCAGATTACTTAGGTACCGAGGTAGCGAAGAATGCAAAAAACCCTAAGTTTCTAGAAGAGATCAGATTCATTTCGTTATTTTCGCCCAACCACTTCATAGAACATCAGAGCTGGACATGAACATCTATCACTAGGATCAATGACCGCTAGATAATCAGATCCTATGCTAAAGTTTTAGAGAAATGTGCCGGAATGTCTTGGATATGTTGGTTTGTGGGGAGTTGGTTGTTAGGTACTCTCGTTTACAAAAATCATGTACATGCCTCATAATCGGAAAGACAAAAAAATAAGTTTCAAATGCTACCAACTATAGATACGATTATGTCAAATCACAAAAGAAAATCAAATGACAGGGTTACACCTTGTCCGTCAAATGCTCTTGTTATTACTTAACTAACCTATCCATTCCTATGCTGGATTTTCCTGGCTGATTACCAAGGGTGTTCAGAAACAAAAACTCCTCAAACCACTAAAGCAAGAAACGTAATTATGATGAGTTGCTACTACTGGGATATCAGAAGCAATGCGAGCTTATATGTCGTTTATAGTCGTACCGAGGTGAAGTTCAATATTATTCAGCTATATTGAACTTGCTAACTGTAGTCCCAAAGCCGAATGTCTCGGAACTACCTACATGTAGGTATGTGACATTTAGGTAGCTTCGGAATGCTACTGTTGTCAAGTATGACCACATAATTGTTAAGAAACGGATATATGAGCAGTGTTTGGTACCTTGCGAATAACTATGATTATCGCCGTGAGATGACAAATGCAGCAGACCTAGCATTTTATATATAATAGATTGATGGATGCGAATGAGAACCTACCTGTTCAGGGGTAGGTAGGTGTTGGTCTCCATATGACGGGTCGGTGTAACAGAGCACCATCCCTTGTTGTGTACACTGCCCAGTAGGTAGTTAAAGTGCATTATCTTACTAACTCCTCCTTTCCTTTTTGATCCCCTAGACATATCTTCTCGTGCCTGATAATTACTAGCAAATCTAGCACTTGTTTAAACTTAGGTGAGTGAGTGTTTCATGATTTACTAAGATTGTATTAGCGCATGGTGGTCTGCTTCTCTGGAATAGTAGTGTCCCAGGGATCGGGGTGGAGGCGGGGGTTTGCATGGACTGGGTTCAAAATCCTACATCGTATTGGAAGATCTTTGTTTGGTTCACGACCAATCAGCATGAATTTCACCTAGAAATTCAATTTCAACGTCACAGCGAGCAGTGATGTAGCTCAGCTCAGCCCCAAAGAGCCGAGCTGGACCAGGGGTTGGAGAAGATAGGAGGTTGATCTCCCCCTAGCGTTCGTACGTATAGTAATATGTAGCATGCATTCTACTATACGGGATAATCGCCTTGCTATAAGTATGACGGACTTTCCCGTCACGAATGCATGAATAAATATGCAATATACTGAGTTTTACCTGCTTAAAGATTTGTGTATACTTTACTGTCCTTAACCTACATCGTTCGAATTGTTCTTGATCAACACTCGATTGATTCAATTGGCAATGCAAATTTCATCTTACGATACATAAGTTGAACAGGAAAGTGACCACCCATAAGGCTTATCATCAAATAATACGTGCCACTACACAGGAAGTGGCGTCATGTGTGTTGGACCCCTTTATACTTAGTATAGTTGCATATTAATATCGTATTTATTCAAATACACGAATGGCGCCTCACTATATGTATAGGTACCTAGTTCCAAACCCCTATCTCTTCTACCTTTCTACTTGCGGCGTAGCTAACCCTTTATTTCCAGCATCTTCAACATTGATGGCGTGTTAGAAAAACACATTGAATAGCTCATTAGATGTACAAATGTTGCTAGTGTTAACGCGCACAATGTCGTTTTGCTGCAGCAATGCAGAACCATCATCAAGATGCGCTTTTCGATAATAATAAGTATTATTTCCCGCCCGACACTCTAGCCCCTCCTAAGAAACCGCTTGGAGAGCAAGACGATGCGCGATTACACGACGGTCACAAATATGCAGACATTACGCCAGGAGGGTCACGAAATGGCGCCTCATCGCTCACTGAACCTGCCCCACAAGGGACACCATCACAACCTCGAATTCAATCGCAACCACCCCAATATGAAGGGCCCGGGCCAGACGCAAGCCAGATCTATGGACAATCGTCCCACACCCTCCCATTATCGCAAATTTCTAGTTATCGGACAGCCGATCCTCAACCAATTGCATCGAGTACCAAAGACCAACAACCTAGCCCTCATGCGCCTACCAACCCCAGCTCGTCCTGGGTGAGTAAAGATGTCAAGGTCAAGCGCTGGGTAATATGGGCTATTAGCGGCGCTCTGATATTAATTATTGGAGTCGGTGCCATTATAGGCGGTATCATAGGAGCTGAAGAAGTAAAAGCGAAACATGCCACCGATAGTAACGATAGCAACGACAGCAACGGTAGCGACGCGCCAACAAGTTCGAACACAACTTCAAACGGCACTTCACCTAATGCACCACAAACGATATCAGCGCCACGTGTTAGACTAGGTTCTCGACTAGCTGTGACTGGTTACAGGAACGCGACGGACTATAACATCCGTCTCTTCTACCAAGACAAGGACAATCAAATACAATTCGTGGATAAAGAGGGTGCTAGCGCCAATTGGTCCGCATCGACAGTATTGGACCTACCATACCAACCCATTGAAAACGGCACGATGGCTGCTGGTTCGTACGTATTGGATGACCCAGTGGTAAGTTTCCTACCCTGTTATCTCCGTGTATACTACTAATTGAGCAGCCAAAACTTGAGTTCTTCTATGAAGATAAGGACGGTATTATACGCGGGCAGAACTTCAATTTCAGATTTGAGAATGGAACAATTCCCGTGAATGGAGAACCTGGAAGCATCAATACATACCCACTCCAGATAGCCGGAAATACTCGCATATCGTGCTATTTCCCATATCTAATTTCACAAGATGCGGATAATGCGATACGTTGGTCTACGATGATTGGACAGAATGCCAGTAATCTTTCTGCTCCATGGTGGATCAACAGTACCGATTGGAATGGGGACGTTGAGGCGACACAAGCGGGTGGTATCGTTGCTCTTCCCATCGCCCAAAACTATTCAGATGCTGGCGGCATTGTATACCGAAGTAACGAAGGCATGCTGTCAGTCAAGATACACGATGAATCTGCGAAAAGTAACGAAGGGGTGGCATGGAGAAAAGGGGCTTTATCAAAGGAGATACCAGCTTCTTCTCCTATCGGCGCATTTGCCGTTGGCCGACCTTATGACAGCAACAACCAAATCAACACATACATACTCTACCAAGATGATTCTGGAATTATACAAGTGGTGTGGCAGGACGACGATAGTTGGCAGGGCCCCGAAACATATGACGCGCTAGGTTCCGCCAACAACGGAACAGATATTGCTTGCCTGACTCCGGGGGCTGACAATGCCGCGAACGTAGGGATATCCAAGGATCAGGATATGAATAGATGCTTCTATCAGACTAAGCTTGGAATCAAGGAAGTTTGGTTCGATGGTAGCAACTGGAATGATGAAGGTATCTTGCCAATATAATATGTGTAATAGATATATATATATATATATATATATATACGGACGCGTTCAATGTATTCTTCAGGCACAATATACCCCGTAAATAAACTCAATGACGAAAAAGATCGAGGAATCATGATGTTCTGGTCAGAGATGCGAATAAGGGCTAGATATATATAGTACCTAATGAGTGGCTTCCGGTTAAGGTTGCTTGCAGTTTGCTTGCAGACGTCTCACATCAATTGATATCCAAAATATGTAGCTGCATATACTCCACTATTGCACCACCTGGCGTGGAGGATCTTAGCTAAGATCCTTATGAGCTAAGGTTAAGGTTCTTCAATTTTGCCCCAGCTGCGGCTAATCCCCACTTTGAACCCCCAAGCACGCGCATTAGCAGCTGATTAGGTAGTACGAAGCTACATGTCCAGTAAGGTTCTGAAGGCCGAGTTGAGCGATAAGATAAGAAAAGCATATGGAAATTGGAAATTGTCCAGGTGATTGGGCGATTGTGTAACTCCTCCGTACCTCCAAGCCTCTCTATCTCTCCCCACCGAAACTTAGGGAGTCGCGTGTTATCGAATCAACCTTCCAACCTTCCTCCGAGAAACTTTTATCTACCCTTTTTTTAAAATTTCTTTTGTCACATACACTCGACCATCCTATTTTCTATATATCGTGAAGTTTAGACATCTTGTCAACTTGTAAGTTAATAGAAGGAAAGCCCTTATGTGGGACGGCTATGGCATAAGATCAACCCCTCAATCTTCGCTTCATCATAGCATCAGTGCAAGATCGTGTATAACTCACTACTAACACTTTTACCAGTAGATTTCCCAATAATTCTTATTCGCCTGCGATCGTTACATCCTATAACCGTGTCCGACTACTGCGGGACTTTTCCCAGAGAACCCGGTATCTTTCGTGCTTCCATGATCTCTTTATTAGCGCCTCTTCAAGTGGCTTGAGCCAGTCGAACTCCTAGGATGTCTACTGGTGATATTGCGCCTGATGCTCCCGGTCCATCCGGGGAGCACAGTCCCGCGATCCGCGACGCCGAGTCGGGAAGTTCATATGCTAGGAGTACTGATTCCTCTACCCCGGGATGCGACGACTATTACGATTGCCCTACACATAGATTTCCGAGGAATGCATTGACAGATGCCGATTCCAATGCTGCGGAGGCTAGCACAAGCAACGAAGCTCTTCCATCTGAAAACTCGACATCGCAAGTTAATGGTATAGCGGAGGATTCAGCCAGCGTGGAACACCCAGATACTGAACCAAGCGGAGAAGGTATAACAACTCCCGGCCAAGTTCCGGCTTTAGACACGGAATTATCGAGCATCAGCGGTTCTTCACGGGAACAAGCAGGTTCAGAGCGAGGACGAATGCCAGCACGGGGCATGAGAGAAACTTCTGCAGCACAAGAAGCGGGTATCACTCTCAGGGAGGCTCTGCATCAAACAGCCGGATCACTCAGTGGACTATCTATAGCGGATGAGAGTACATCTCGTTCTACGCCCGATGGGAGATCGCCGCTTCTGGGTGATACAAGTCGAAACGGTATAGCTTCAACCTCAGATACGTCTGAGACTCAGCGACCTACCTCAAGATTGAATCCGATAGCGCCATCATTTTCTCCGAGGAGGTCTCCGCCGGAAGTCGCCCTTCCACGATGGCAGCCGGATAGTGAAGTGACCTACTGTCCGATATGTCGTACACAGTTCAGCTTTTTTGTTAGGAAGCATCATTGCCGGTAGGGTTCTTTGCATTCCATATGCGATTGATAGAAGCTAACAACTAGAATAGGAAATGCGGTAGGGTCGTATGCAACTCTTGTTCCCCGCATAAGATCACGATACCCCATCAATATATTGTACGACCACCTGGAGAACGAGGCTTCCATCGGTATTCATTCCTTGGAGACGAAGGTAGCATTGCCGATTTCAGTGTTTTGGGAGGCGGCGAGCAGGTTCGACTTTGTAACCCATGTGTCCCGGACCCCAATACAACACCGCCGCAAACTCAGAACTCTGCAGGACAATTCTCTCCAAGGTCACCACTTCCACATCAGCGGTCTCAAAGCAGTTCTAGTGGTAATTATAATTATAATGGTAATCACAATAGCGACAACAATATGAATCGTTACTCACAATACATGGTACCGCCAAATATGTCACCTGACACTTATTCTAGGAGTCGAAGTGTTACGATGGTTAGTCACTTGCCCCTATGTCGTATCGAACGTGTACTAATATGATCATAGCATTCTGGCCCAGGTCCCTCGAGAGCTTCGAGTAGTAATTACTATCCTCCTCAGAGCCGAGTCATCAGCGGGACTCCACCAACATATTATCCACACCCATACTCTACATATCGTCACTCCTCCTTCCTAGGTCATCGTTTCCCTGGTGCTTCGCTAGCTGATCTAGCCGATATGGCCGGTCTTGGTGGCCCGTCATCTTCCTCGGCGGCGACAATGAATCGCCCGTTGCCACCTCCGCCACAAATTCCCGAGGAAGACGAGTGTCCGATTTGTCACCGAGAGCTGCCTTCAAGAGAACTGCCCAACTTTGAGGCTCGTCGAGAATCGCACATCGAGTCGTGTATTGTAGCCCATAGCGCATACAGCCCGGGCTCAAGATCAGGGTCGGGACCTGGATCGGTCGGATCTGGTATTCAAGGCAGCCATGGGGTACCGCCTCTTACTGCTCGCAGAACCGGTATGTTCCCGTACTTAGCGACGGAAAAGGATTGCGTCGATTCCGCGGAATGCACCATATGTCTTGAGGAATTTGAGGTTGGCGTTCCTATGGCCCGCTTGGAGTGCCTATGCCGTTTCCACCGATCCTGCATCACGGCATGGTTTGTCGACCATCCAGGGCGGTGCCCGGTTCATCAACATGACAGTTTCGGTTATTAATCAAGCATCACCGACCACACCACAACCTTCTCCTTGCACATTTATGCCGCCAGTCGTTGCAATCAAGTCCACTAGCACTCATCTCGTTTATTTATACCAATTCATCGCTCTGGGAGTCCAAGCTTAGGTATAGTTTGGCAAGGGAGATGGGCGTCCTAACATTTACTTCTCGGTCTTTACACTCTGCATTCCCCCCCGCGGTTTCAGCGTCAGGTCTTTCTCCCTTTAAACGCGTGTGACCCTGCGTCAACGTCACCTCACAGTTTGGAGTCCGGCGTATGGCTCTATCATTTTAGCGTTTGGATAGATACTCTAGATAATATACCATTGCTGTTCAGTCTATGGATCGGCGTCTACCCCGAAACATTGCTCGGTGACACAATTTGGTAAGTCAAGGATATTTTCACGTGGGATCTCTATATCCCTGATACCACATGCACTTCACAGCTGCTGTGGCTACTGCATACACACAGTATGAACCAAGTCCCCGACGTCATACCAGCTTGTTTCAACTACCTACACTGCTGTACTCATAGTCCTTTAGTTTAGTTCATCAAAGTACATGCAGATAGATACTTAGTAGTAAGCTTCTAGTAACCCACGAGCTGCGCTTACAGGGGGTTGTTGGTATTAGCCTCGTCAACCTTGGACCTCACCGACTTCGAAATATTCATGCTGTCACGACAGGACTGCATGATATAGTCCCCACATCGGCATCGTCTTAGGTTAGTCTAATCCTAGATGCCCAAGGTTTTTTATTATCGCATAGGTAAGTACCCTACTTAGGTACCCAAGTTCCATTAACTATTACCTGATAGTAGATGCCTATGTATATGTATTCTTTCAGAACCATGGGGGGTTTTTTTTCTCCTCATCGTCCTGAGCGTTGGACACCCCACTCGCGCGCGCGCCTGAGCGGCTAGGCCCTGAGCGTGCGTAGCGCGGTCCCGATTCTTGTTTTCGGCGTCCCGGGATGACGCACGTAGCAGGCGCTAAGGCGCCAGGAAAACTTGACAAGACCCCTAAATAAGGCTAAGTTCTTTTTTTTCCCTTTTCTTCTATTGATTCCCGCCGGGGAGGTAGGGAGGTAGGTAGGTAGGTAGGTACCGTAGGTAAGACGGTTTCTTCCAACCCCTCCCGCTCCTACTTGAGAGGCTTAGCCTAAGAAGGCATGTTGCAAAACGTGGTTAGGTATGTAAACTGGGCTGACGGAACAACTGGGGCGCTTGCAGGATACATACATAGTAGTATTTAATACTGCAAGGCCTCTTTCAAGCCTAGGTATCAATGCGTTAGCGCGGCTGGTACCGTGTACTGTATAGTTGGCTAGCTAGAACGGGTATGGCTGCCCTTTGGTTAGGACGGAGGACCCTGATTTTCTCGCGGCGGGATTTCGCTCACTTATCCTGATGTGGCCTGTTAGGACCCTCTTGTCAGACCCCTAATGCTCCATATGGGGTGGAACGTATCGCCGCTGAGGAGGGGAGCTTTGCTCCAGCTCCCCGAGCCTTGTTCGTTTAGCATGTGCCTGTGTATCAGCTAGTCTGTATGAAGGCTTGTTGGTATGGGGGTTATGTATGAGGATATGCGACTTTGGAAGCATGCAAGAACCGTCAGCGTCAGCTTGGAGAAGTTGCCGGGGCCGAAACCTCGACAGCGCCCCCTCGGCGCATTAGATTCGGTTCTTGGGCCGCGGAATATGCCGTCTGAGCCAAATCTCCTGGCGGTCATTGCCTACACCGGTAGGATGCGATTCAAGGTTTCGAGATAAACTTGCGCCGGTGGGCACTGGGCAGACGATTACCGCCTCGTTCGCGAACGGACGTTCGTGATGCTTCGTCCGGGCGTTCGTCGAGGAGTCGCCATTGGGACGCTACTAACATAATAACAGTAGTGCGTGATTCCGGCCCCTTTGGCGTCCTTTCCTAGGGCGACCCGAGAGAAAAAAAAACCAAATTTCAACAAATCTCCGCCGACTAACTAGCGAGTTCTCCCCAGATCGATTTCAAAACCAGGGGGATCCCGGGAGCCAAAGACCCTAAGTTCCTTGAATCTTCCCCAGGCGAAACCAGACGAAACCAAGGAATTTGAGATTCTCGAGAAGCCTTGCCCTGGACAAATACCGTATAATCAGGGAGCTTTTGTCCCGCCGAACACGAGTTAAGATAGGTAATATAGGACTCCCTCTGAGACGGCGCCAATTTTGATCTCTGGAATATTCTAGCCCATCCCACTGGAACTTCCGGTGAAAGGTCGACGACAGGGAAAGATGGGCGAGCTAGTATCTCGGCCGATGTTAGGCATGTTAACGGTTCATCTAGCTTACCTAGTGTTTGTTAGTTGAACTATCAGCCAACTTCCAACAACCTCTCGTGGTGTCTTATGACCAGTTCGCCTCGGGCTTGTAAGTCACATGTCCTTGTCGCCTTGCCTCTCATGAAGAGTATCACCACATCGAGAGTTATCGAGGCGAGCACAAGATCTGAACGGTGATGATACCTAGAGGCGCCAGATACCCGAGGTTTCAATATTCCTTTTACCCGTGGAGGCGGTAACAGCATCTCGGGTTGTCTTTGAAGGCGTACGTATATTATGCGGCTCGGGGGTGTACCTATCGAACACTGCCCAGGACCGGCTACATCTTGGCAGGCAAAGTGGAAGAAAATAACATTAGCTTGGGAAAGCTTAATCCCGTTTCCTCGAGATCTTGGTCCTTTGGTCGCGTCTCGGTGCGGGTTGGAGTTCCAGCGCTGGCGGATCTTTTGTCGCATCGGAGAAGAAAGCGAAAGAGGCAGGTTATGGGGTACGGGGTTTATTGGTAATAGCCATATATCATATATATTTATATACGCATCCCATTTCTACCGTATGAAGGAGATATAACGGTTTTTTTCTTTACCCGAGCTCGCAGGACGGCGTAACGTTTTTTTTTTCTGATACCTCCATGTAGCTGAGTCTTTGTCTCGCTACGTTCCCTTCGTGAAACCCTAGAGGGAATGCTTCCCGAATTTCCATGCATGAGGCTCCTGTACGTGGTGCTCTACTCCTGCACCGAAAGGTTTGCCATTTCAGGACCGTGAGGTTACCTAGACACGCGCTCATCTGCCTGCTTAATGTAGGTATTGTAGGCAGATATGTAGGCATGCGCGCGCATGTAGGTGTGTCTTGCCGTATGTCTCGCGCACACCGTATCCTTTATTGTCAGGCAATAGGCAATAAGCATCGTTGTCCAGTGTCACGAACTCGGGGTATCATGGATCTAGCCGTATCTAACCGAAGGAAGGGCAAACCAGCCGCTCAGCTCTTGTAGATCTAAGAGGATGTACAGAGGATCCTTCCTCCAAGGATGCAACTAATGCATCTGACCTGAGTGTACGTACATATCTGCCTACGGAGGTAGACATGTCGATCGATAGATACCTAGGTCGGTTTTGACGTACGATAATCGACGGCGAGAGTGGCTTAGTTAAGTGTTGTAGGGCGGTAAGGACGAATAAGAATGGGAGAAAATGATTCACATGTTACATTGGCCTATTGCTTACAGTAGTAGACCGTTACATATCATGCTGGCGCAACAGCGAATAGCGGCACCCGGCATGTCGTGACTTTTGATACGGCAAGTATCTACCATGTAGGTAGGCAGAGACAACGGAGAAAGAAAGAGACAGAGAGAGAGGTGGGCGGTGAAAGAAGATGCCAATTCCGTCTTCTCCATCATCCCGTTCCATCCAGCCATCCCACGTGCAGCCGCGTGCCGCGGGAAAATAGCTCGCAAGGGTTAATGCCAACGGCATCCCTTCCCCAATGAGGGGACCGGTGAGGCGGCTTGCTGAGAAGTGAGATCTTATAAAAGATAACCATAACTGCCTAGCCTATAGCCATGGTGGATGGAAAGGGAAAGGGAGGAGGGGTAATACGCATGGTCGCTCATCGAGAACTACATTGTCCATGTTATACACATACTGTACGTACGTACCGGAAGTAGAAAGTAGAAAGTAGTAGATAGAAGCAGACAGGGAGATAGGGAAGTAAATGTGTATATACCCCCCATGCTTCGACCCCCGCGGGTGGATGCCTGTCAGGGGAACAGGGTCCGCCAATCGCGACAACAACTGGAGAGGCGCACGATGACTAATGGGTCACATTGTCCTGAGCTCGATAGACGAAGGGTCTATGGGATTCCTCAGAAGTTGATAGGAATGTAAAGATTCTGGATTGGATATTGAATATGCAAATGTCGCTGCTTGAGGCGAGCAGGGCGAGGTTTTAACTCGTCATCTCGAGTCGTGGGGGTTAAGATATTTCCATATGATCCATAAACGAGGGAAATATACATACAGATATGAAGTGCGTACGGACGGCAGTCGTCAGGGGTTTCTAACCAAACAGCTTCCAAGTGTGGTTACACGGGATTAGATTTTCTCGCCCTTCTATTCGGGCGTCAGTTGGGCTTATGGGATTTTTGAGTATTATGGGATTTTATTTTATGGTCCTGAGCTTTTCCATCCTTCTACCCGGCCAACAACCCCCCAAAGAAGCCAAAGAATCCCCTACAGTAAAATAAGTGCGTAGTCATCGTATCGAAGAACAAAGCAGATCCGTCATATTTCAACTTCGCCGGTCATGCTGCCCATCCTGGATTCCCATTCACGGCCGGCACACGAGTCCCGGATTCATTCCATATGTGGATCCCCCGTCGTGGCCCCTATTTTGACAGACCGGTTCCTCCCACCGCCATCATCCGACGAGTTTGTTTACACGGCATGTAAATCGCCTAGGCGGTGCACTCACCTTCCCGTCCGTTCTATTTGTTTCTCAGATCATTGGGACCACAGCATCTGCAACGTCGAAGCATTCAACCCGACGCTTATGCCGTAGAACCGCTCCTGGGTTACACGAGCAGCAGCGTCGACGTATTTTCTCTCATTTCGGAAATCTAACGTAGGTCGATTACTAGAAGCGAAATCGTATGTGCAGTATCGCCATGAGGGAGGACGGGTACCGGTAGATATCGATATATTGCTTGGATCGGATGATTCGCTCCTATTGTTGGGAGGGTCATCGTTTGCGTCTTACCCAACGTTACAGTTGAGATAACCTGTGACCGTCTTCGGTGGTAGCGGTAGTAAACACAACACAACCGATAAAGAGATTGCGAGTCCTCCTATAATAGGGCGGTGAGTTGTCAACTTCTTAATATCGTGAGTTGAATATTGGACGGCCGGGCAATGCATCCTGAGATCCAAAGCAACTAAGGGCCCACTATCTGCCAGATCACAATATGTAATTCGTCGCCAAGAGGAAGAAACCCGGGAGTAGTCGAAGGGACGGGTAAGTCCCATTCGCGAATCATTTTTTGAACCAATTGTTATGCTTTAATGATGAGCAACGCCTACGTACATGTGGTCAACGAGGCCAATCGCCCCTGACTGACTTGCCGAAATCAAATATTCGTTATTGCAAACGCCGTTTGTGATGCCAAATTCCGATCAACCCACCCCGTGAGCCAATGGTAATCCTGATGCTGGTGTAAGTCATGAAACGGCAGTGGTATATAAACTTCTTTTTCAACACCGGATCCCCTGACTTGGTATAAAATCACAGTACAACTCATCGCCCTCGTGTAGCACTGTTGATGATAACACGCGCAGAATCGAATCCCCCCCAAAGCGAGTTGGCCCAGACGTGAGACTGGGGCGAACCACTAGGATATAAATAAGCGACAAAATGCTACCGAGCGAACTTCGTTTGGTGATGTATCGTAGAATTCGTCCGAATTCAATTCCGTCGGTGCCACAGGCGATTTGGAATCGCAGAATCGATATGGGTATCATAAGCGCCCTTGTCGCGGCATGGCGGCTACAGGGCTGCCAAGTTTTGCTCCTCCCCACTGCCACTACTGTAGTGATCACTCATTTCCTACCCCTATTGCTAGCGGTTATCTTGCTCGTGCTCATCAGATCACCAATATATTTCTGTAGGAACTTGTTGTGGCTATCCAACTTGTCGTGTTCCTCCTTGACCGCCTCTATCCGGTTAAATATCATGAGGAGCGAATCTTGTAGCGCTCTCGCATGTCTAGACACGTTAGTCTAAGTAATTCGACCGCAAAGGATAGGTTATCTTACTTGTGAAGCTCTTCGCGTGCCTCGCGCCCCATAACCTCAATGTCCTCGCTCGTTCTACGAGGACTCATCGCTCTAACATCATCCGGCTCAAGTTCTGGTTCTAGAGGTCCGACTTGGTTGGAATCTCGAGGAACTATAAGAGTACCGCTGCTCTTTCTATTAGGCAAGCGTGGTCGAATCGGTACGGGGTTGTGTATCTCCTGACTTTCGACGGAAGAGGATGACGAGTCCGATCGCTCGGGGGGATTAGGTTTGGTTTCGGTAGGATCACTACTCATGATGAAGTGTGATTATGTACTGGTCCAGACCGTGGAAATTGTATATCGAAGCGAAGTTGTTGAGTTGGTAAAAAGCGAAAGACGTTGAGCCGTAAGTAGTATTAGAATGAATTAAGGATGGCAATATGCCGTCGACGTTTACGCCCGTATCCTCCCGTCACCCGAGCCTCGAAGGGATCGCCACCATTCAGTGAAGAAGATGCGCCGTAGTGTCGAGGAACGAGCAGAATAGGCTGTGAGGGTTGCGAATGCGTATGCGTATGCGTGACGAGCCCGAAGCGTAAAGTGTAGGTAACGAGAGAAAGGCGCAGAAGGCTGGCTGGCTGGCTGGCTTGGCTAGTTCCTGCAAGAAGGATACATCGGCTCTTTTTCTACAATTGTGATGTTGTTTTTCGTTGAAGGGTGTGGGTTGTATGAGTCGGTCAAGCTACGGTAGCAAAAAAGAAGATAGATGGGGTGGGCTTTGAGTAATAAGGGAGGAAAGAGGCAGAAGAAGCAGAAAGAGGTCTAACGAGACCCGGTCTTGCGAATCGGGGATGAGCGGGGGGAACCAATTCGACGTAGTTTGAAGTGATCGTCAGTCAAACCTCAGGACTTTATGAACGGGGGGTGCAACAGGTGTTTTGGGGGGTGACTAGGTGACTTGGGTGTACTGGGTGAACGATGGCAGGATGGTTATGGTTGCGTGGTTGGGTTTTTGCGCTGGCCGAAGTTATTGGGAGAGTCTGTGTGGTCAGCGAGACTTCGTGGGTCGTTGTCGATCGGTACAAAATGTTCAAAGGACGGCAGCAAGACGCTTTTGTTTGGCCTCTGATGTGACAGAGATTACGGCGCAGGGGGAAGATGACCGAGTGACATAGTCACAGTATAAATAATACGGTATATTATTTCGGTACGTTGCAAACCCAAAAACCTTCCTACCTCGCTTCAAGGTTCATGAAGTTTGCTAATCTAGGTACGTACCTGTAGTACTCACGTAGACAGGTACTCAAGTATCTAGGTACCTAAGTACATTCCTAGGTATGTATGTACCTCCACTAGCCAAGAACCCCTGTCCTTACGTACCTACTTGACCCGTTAGTGGACACCTTGTAGCTCCGTCGATGAGGGAATGGGATTTTCTCTCCTTTCGCTTTCCCCTTGAGGTCTTGGGTCACCGCAGTTGCGAGAGTTGCCTAGGTATGTCCGCATGAAAAAGATTCATAATAATACATAGCCGCAGGAAAAGGAAACCACTAGAAGATAATTATCACCAGGGGGAAGTTGCCTAACATCAATTCCAGCAGGTAATAGTCGACCATGCATGATCCATTTCATCTTTCACAAGCCAGGCCAATGTATGTGGTGATGGCTAAACACATACTAGACAAGCGGATAGGCATATCACTACTTACCGCATGAGCATCTCCGAAGTATACCGCACAAGTCAATTATCATTAGTTATTAGTCTCCTTAGTAGGAGATTCTCAATTGCCACGTTTGCACCCGCGAGTTCACTACGGACAAAGATCAATGCTAATCAATTCAGCCGAAGGTTCAAAACTTGGATGGGTTGGTCTTATTCCATACGTGGCTGCGTGGTTCCTTAATGCTTCGTAGACCTGAGACACGACGGCAGTAGCAAGGCAAAATATGACCGTCTCAGAAGAGATGTTAGAGTTCTATTATCTCTTACCAATATCCCGAAAAAAGACCACCAACGTCCACTGCGCCCATATTATTCTCGCGCGGAGGAACCACTGAAGAGCATCCACATACAATATCCCAGTCGCGCAGATCGTCGTTGACTTGTGTGACTCCAACAGGCCGGCCTATGATTGGAGGATTTGATAAGGAGTGGTCCCTTGTATGGGGAATGGACAGGCGTGGTAACGAGGAATGGGATTTCTCATGGATTCCTCTCGGGCTTGGCCTGTCCCAAACTGGCCAATGGCCGTTCTCGGGCTCATGGGCCAGAGAGAGAGGTTGATGGAGCACGGCAATCTTAGGCCGTTTCTAAGGGGCTCTGTGATGGGCAACTGATCTTAAAAAGCCTGCTTCACGACGACGTTTTTAGTAAGTGATAAGCAAAAGGCTCCGTTCAACGGCCCATTATGATGCCTAGAAGATTCTCATAATCTGGCGGTCGGGGCGACACCCGAATTACCTAGGTAAACTTGCTTGGGGCTACGCCGCGAACTATCGCATACCTCAGCGTTGTCAGCCGGGACCAAAAAGCAAGAGGCCAACTATTATGTTAACGACGTCTCTGATCGCGCGTCAGAAAGGAGACATTTTAAATGAAAAAAAGGAACGCGACTCGGAGGGGGAGCGGGGCATATAACTGGTCTACGGCCTCCCTTGGCGCAGATTAAAGTTGTTCTTCCGCCCTGCAAGGCGCCAATTTCAGAGGATGGGAGAAAGACCCCTAAAAACGTCTTTTGGGATTTCGGCGGATGCAGGTTAGGCAAAATGCCAGTTTCCCTCTTTCAAATCCCCATATGACATGGCAAAGAATACCACTAGCATCGCTGCCTCATTTTCCTCAATTTACACTTCCTGCTTGCTAATAGCATTCTCTCGAATACTGATTCGAAGCAATGACACCCGTGACCCGGGGTATCAAGGTGGCTTGATAGGTCCCCTAAAACCCCTAGAAAGAACAGAATATTCCAGATGATACAGAGATGGCGTAATCGGTACGTTCTCGGGTCTTTTCCAGGCGGTTCAACGACCTGGCGCTAGAGATGGCCCTTGGGAATATGACGATTTAAGGGAACGGAGCCGACAAGGCAGATATGGTCCACGGATTATGGACGGATGGAATATCTGGGGCACTTTGAGCTGAAGCAAAGCTGGGCTGTCTCCCACACAGTCTGATGGGTACAGTGTGAAAGTCTCCCGGCATGTAGCTATCGGTAAGTACAGAGGTACTTTAATGATGTGATGTTTCTAAACCGGAAGCGGGGCCCAATTTACCCCCGGCGTGTATCGAAAACTCTGGATGATGTCATCTTTAGCAAATGTGTGGTACGTATGTACCTCTCAGTGCTTCGACGCTTCGACAGCACCAATGCAAAAGTAGCAGGCGCTTTAATAAGACCTTGTATACATACCTTCCATGTCCGTGGGCTACAGTTGGTCTCTGTGTTATGGTTTAATAATGTACTAGTAATTAGTATGATATCTCTCAAGGTTATTTCGGTACGATTTTACTGCAGCAGTAATGTTTTAGCTACGAGTAGGGCAACCCACTAGGATGGGTACAGAGGAGACAACCGAAGGGGAAAGCGACGATCAAAATGTTAGGATAACAGATGTACATATCCCTTTATCATCAATATGCTCACAACCCTTGTGTTACTAGTTTGTCAAGTAGTTCTACCAGTTAGCGAAACATTTTTTTCCCTCTCTTCTACATGCCTTACCCGCCGTCAAATCATTTCCTTCATTGGAAGGTGTATTAGTCAATCCTCATTTTGAGCCTTGCAATTGACGGCAATTCTATTTAGAAGCACCGACTGCCCCCGTCTTTTTCTTCTCGAGCTGTTCGGGTTTCTTCAATGCATTGACATGTTTTTTCCCTGGACCTTTCACGTTTGGTATTGTCCGAAGCCACGAGGCACTTAACGTGGCTGCTTACCAATTTCATCGTGCAGAATCGTCGTGACGACATGTGTCCCCGAACCAAACGAGAAGAGGACAAAGGAATATAATAATAGCCTTCGCCACAGCTTACATTGAACATGCTGAACGCGTATGAATATTTCAATGGACGAGACCATTAAGGAATTCCATTCACCCCCGCGTTTACTACTAGTATGTATAGTGTATTAAGGCTATTATGTGTCAGCCACTGCGCCAACCCGAGTACAATGATACATCTGAGACCCTTTAATCTCAGCCCCCGAAAGCTTTTTCTCCAAAATTCCCCATAGAACCCATAAAACCCTTAAAGGCTTCGTCATTTCTCGATTCCCCTTTCGCGATCTCCTGCTGGTTGCCGCTGCTTGTGCGTATGTTGTGGAACAATAATGACATCATAACAAAGTCTGTCCGCACACGTACATGTGTATGCACTCTTTGAACGGACATGGAAATATTCGGTTGTAGTTCGACGTTCTCACTTCCCCTCATTAAATGTTTCAATATCATTTTGACAAGACTCCCCAAGGCTCCTTCAAAACTATTGTGAAGACACTCTATTGCGTATACCTGCATCTTTCAACCAAATTGACAGCATTACATGTACTAAACCAACATTGCAGCAATACAACTAAGTTCAGCCATTCAGATAACTGAATCTGTATATGCACTGTAAGGTATGGTATATACGTACCCACTATAAGGTACCCAAAGACATAGTTATACCCGATAAGGTGTTCTACTACCTAATTGCACTCGAATAGCGCTACCTGATTAGTGCCCGCCTCTCGAAGGTCTAAACGTTCTTAGGTCCGAACCTGCAAGCCTCACCTTGTTCTCTCCCCTATCCCATCGCTGCGTCAATGTCTGACATGCCCAGCTGTCAGCTCATTCACCCAGTTATATAATGTGGCCCTTGTGTCATCCATCACCACGTAATACAGCACGGTTATGAGGAACCTCATCCAGCTTTTCGCTCACCAGGTATACGGAGTTGATAGGTAGATGGTTGCTTGGTTGCTCCATCCACGACACTTACAACAGACTCGGCATGTCCGCCCCCCTCAGTTCCCGTCAATGCTATCCCACGCTGAATCACGGAGACCCGAATATCTCATCGAAACAAGGAAAAAAAGAGGAGGCAGCTCACCGACAAGAAGCTGCCTAGAAGTGCCGATCCCATAGCTTCCGCGACGCTCGTCCAACGTCGTCCGGCCAATCAGCTATCATGGAGGCGGGCATCCTCTCCTCCAGGCCTAGTACCCAGAGATCAGCGCTCGCTGGGGCCAAGTCTCGTTATTCGGAGCATTCTCGCCTCTAGTCCTCTAGTTTTTACGCACCCCCCAAAATTCCATATCACGAGGACCTCTTCCTGTCTGCGCCCTGCCACGTGCAACATTGGCCGTTGTCTCTCATCTGCGTGCATAGTACGCCCATAGGAAGCGGGGAGCCTTGGCCTGTTATAAGGCGCAATGGCACACCCCACCGACCAGCTTATCAGATGGCGGCCCAGTCACGATATGCTCAAAGCCGTCAAAGCCCGTTGGGGCCTAGTTGGTCATCGATGATGCTATAGACGTATCGTTGGCTGGATATGTATTACCCGGAGATAGGGTCCCGTTACGAGGTTATCAGGCGCTATGGGATGATCTCCGACTTGACAACATCCAGATCAGCGTAAATGGTAAGCATTGGTGACGGGAATCAATGC